TGGTTTTCGAAAGATTTACCGTTCTAGTTGTGTGGGTGGTAGACCACTTGATCAATTGGATCCTAAACCTTGTCCAGGTAAGGAAATTGAATTTAACAAGCACTACAACAAAGAAGTCACCATAGTCAATTGAACGATAGCTATTGTTGTTCCACTACTTATCTTCATATTTGTCACATGGTTTGTCTATGACAGAGGTGTTCGAAGAAAAGGTGGATTTACGAGATTAAGCGAAATCAGAATAGGTGAGGAGGATGTTCAACCTATTGAAAACGACCGTATTGATAAGATCACAAGCAAAATTGTCAAATATGGAATCGCTATAATTGTTGATTCCTCTGCAGCAACGAGTGCAATAAGAAGTATCAATGGAAGTTCATTTCGGAAGCTTATATCTGCGATCTTCACAAGATCTCCAAGTGGAAGAAACTTCGTAGCAGTGCCCGATTTGAACCAAGAAGAAGATCGATTATTTGCAAACTCTCATAGCACACAAGAAGCAGATGATGATTACGATGACGAACAAGAGTAACAAGATGAACAACTGGCATGTTCATCGAGGAATCGAAATTATTGGCATAAAACTGCACCCTTCCCTTTAATATTCCAAGCATTTCAAAATTGGGAGAAAAATACTCTCAATAGACCCATTATATTCTCAGTCTACAATAGCGGGACAGAAGATGCGAATCTCCGTATCTGGTAGAACAACTTTCCCATCCTCTTATAGCAATGTAGCACGAAAATTGGTGAATTTTCTCCGTTAATTTTCTCTATGCATAGCCTTCCTCGTTAAGCTTGCGCTTCTTCCGAGCAGGTTAACTAAGCGTTGGAAGTGAATAAGTTCGTAATGCAGGCAAGCGTAACTATTCGCTCATTTTGCAAATACTAAAGCACGGCTGAAAAGGTCTATCAAACTCCAAATTGTGCTTCTTTAGTCCTGTTTTCACTAGTTACAGTCAATCATATACATGTGGGGAAGGATTTGCGCTGCGTACGCTAATGGCCACAGAGTATCACCCTAAAGGTATACGGGAGTATGCAGATGAGTAAGTAATAGAAATTATTTTTCTCCTGCATTACCACCTCGTAAATGTGTATTACCTTTTTGGGACTAATGGAATCTTTCGGTTTATTTGGACAAGCTCCCTTGGTTCTACATGCTCCACTTCCATACCAACTTACTTTCAAGTAAAGCTTTAGCTCTTGTACGGTATTTTCCATCTATATACGGGACTCTTATCATATCGTACACTCGTATATTTTTCTTCTGCGCTCGTGAGCCGTGCATCGGCTGGGGCTTAAAACTCAGATCTTTATTCCGAGACCCTACACCTAGTTTGAGGTGTATCAGCAGTGGCCAATCTCCAGTTGAACAACAACCCTACCATCGTTGTTCCAAGATAGCCATCCCTGTTTCAACCAACATAATCCCAAGACGTGTCCGGATTTGACAGCCTTGGCGATCTCGCCTCGTCTGAGTCAAAATAGGACATGACGCAAGTGACATATTGTGTCATCTTCCACCGCCATTTAGATATATAAATGGCCTGCCCACAAAAATGCCACATTGACAGGCACTGGAGCCATCTTGAAGCATTTCGTTCAACAGACACTGTAACTTATTGCTAATTCACCTTCAATCCAACCATTTCAGTTTACCAGTGTTCGCCTAGCTTTGACAGATAAATCTAGTGTCTTAAGATGAAGTTCGCCCATTTGCTTCTTCCCGTGATTTCTTTCTTCGAGCTTTCCAAGGGCCAAGGTACGGAGGCCTCTGCCCACATGAAGCGGATGGAACAGCAACGTTATTCTCCCCGGTTCAACATCGTCGACTCGGTTCCTTCCAACTCCCCAGAATTCCAGTTGTCAGATAGCCTTCGCATGATCACGGGTGATACGCTCTTCTATTTAGTTTTAAACGTCTCAGACTCTTCCAACAATTACACTGATTCTTTTAACATGAGGTTGGATACCAGCGGCGTCAAACTCTCCTGGATGTATAATAAGACGTGCATCGAAGAAGCTTCCCCCCACTGTCTGTCATATGGTTTTTTTAATGATTCCAGACCCATCCAAACAGAAAGCACATTCCATTTCAATAATATAGATGTGCAAGTAGGTGGTGATGTAGTCTCATTGGATAAAAATGATTTATCAATCGGATGGGGAGACACCACTATCTCTAACTTCTCAATGGGATTTGCACAGCATAACATTTCAAAGAACTTTGGCTCTGGAGTTGTGGCTCTTTCTTCATCACTGGACTCCAATACCAATTTGATCTCGCAAATGTTTCAGGAGGGCTACATCGACAAGGAGCAATTCGGCTTATACCTCCTCACAACAACGAACCGGTCTCCTCCTGACATCCAGTACACCAACTCATCTTCTCCCTGGAAATCTTTCTATGGAGGATTAATTGCCTACGGTTCTGATGCGGAAAATGTGGTGTATAACATTACTGGCTCCACAGATATGTTCTACGTAGATATCAACAACCATACCACTTCGAAATGGCTTTTGGACGTTACTGATATCAACGTGTCAAATGGTAATCATACCATGCACGCCTTTGACTCCAAACATTTGCACATTGATACGTCAGTTTTGAACTATTTTCTACCTATGGAAGATGCCCACTTGGTCCATCAGTTGATGTTTGGTGAGAATTTCATGAACAATACCTCTGGAGACTACGCTATTCCATGCAATGCTACTGGATCGTTACTGTTCAAACTTAACGACAGAGAATTTAATTTTACAGCTGATGACCTCACGTATACTCGCTTTTATGGTTTCAATGAAGGTTATCTTGGGGGAAACGATCTTCCATCTGTACCTAGTGGTTACTGTCATTCCTTGTTGGGCGGATGGTCAGGAGACGACTTTATACTTGGAAATGGCTTTTTGCAGCATTATTACACTATTTTCGATTTGAAAGAAAGGAGAATTGGATTTGGCGAAATTAACCTCTCCAGTTTTGTGTTGAAGGACGGCTCAGGTCCCTCTCACAGTTCGAAAAGCACGGGAAAACCTCCATCATCAGCTAGTGCTTCTTCGTCTTCTTCTTCTTCTTCCAACTCTAACGCTACCAATAGTAATGGAACCAAGAAAAATGAGTCTGGCAAGATCAATGCCGGCCTTCTCGTGCCGGGAGTTATTTTAGGGGTTATGATCGCCATGGCATGAAGATGACCTTCTTCAAACTACATCATAGCTTGATGCCTCTACGAATTATCTTTAAAAGTTGCATAATATTTCAAAGAATGTATAATAACGACATATATTTTAAATCGTGCTAACCCATACTCAGTAGCTCCTGGAAGCCAAGTAACTGCAGTATATCCGTAGCAAAGATTCTTCACTTACATTATTAAGGGGAAACAACGGTTAAGTATTTCCATAAACAAATTTTAAAAACTGTTACAAAGTAACAATTGATCAATTATACCCTGTGTAGAGTATACCTAAAATTGTTTGCATTAAGCTTATACTGTGCTGAGCTCAAAGAAATACGATGAAAAATCACACAAGTATGTTATTGATCAGTTCGTTAGCTTCTGACTTCATACTCAGTACTTGGCAGTCCTGAGTATACTTAAATTTAATCCTCCAGCTCTTCTTTGGATATATTCCTAGTTCTTATCTTAGCCTCTTGCTCCTCGGCCAGCCTGACTTGGTTTGAACTCTTCTTTTATCTCATCTTGATTGTGATCGATGAACTTGAAGAAATGTTACATCAAACCACTCTCCAAAACAGTTCCTCCAGCCTTATAACCTACACGCTTCTCCACTCCCTATTCTACACATATCCCCGGTACCCAGTACCCTATATTACAGATAACTAATAAATTAAAACCTATTAACCTAGTTAACCAAAGCAGAAGCAGTAGCGGACTCGTACTTCCAGTTTGGTGGTAAGACAGCGACGGTTCTGTAGTATCTGGCCAATCTGTGGATTCTAGATTCGATCAAAATCAATCTGAACTTAGAGTCCTTGTCCTTTCTGTTTCTTTCCAAGTGCTTTCTGACAGAGACAGCCTTCTTGATCAAGTAGTACAAGTCTTCTGGGATTTCTGGAGCCAAACCGTTGGACTTCAAGATTCTCAAGATCTTGTTACCGGTGACAACCTTGGATTGGGAAACACCGTGAGCATCTCTCAAGATAACACCAATTTGAGATGGGGTCAAACCCTTTCTGGCGTACTTGATGACTTGTTCGACAACGTCGTCAGCGGTCAACTTGAACCAAGCTGGAGCGTTTCTCGAGTATGGAGTAGCGGAAGAAGAGATACCTTTACCCTAGAATTGTTAGTATTGCCCAGGCGGTCCAACACGGTACACTGTGCGCCAGCAATAAGCCGGCAGCGAGCTCCCGTGTAGTCACCACTCCATCAGCAGCCGAAGCTGCTGACTGTGCTACACTTCAATAGTGGTGTCGATCAGTTTTGCCCACAGTCAAGTAAGTCTTGCGACTCACTTCGAGTGGAACCGAATCAACCCTCAGTCTATCAAGTATGGAATGGAATGGTAGAATATCTGGTCTCACATACAGAATTGTGCATACGACCCATTTTGACGGATTTGTTTTGTATAAAGATTTGAAATTTTTCGGGGACAGCTCGTGCTTATATAGTACTGAAAATTTTTAGTGAGATGGCATTGGGCGCGTGCACGACATGAAAAATGGGTCCAGTGAGCGCGGTGCGGTGGTTTACGCTGGGTGAGTATTCGCGGGCACGGATTACCCGGACACTGTTCTATTGTCTATACACTGAGAATTGCAGCTTCGTGGCTGCAACCGGAAGGAATCTATCGCTGGAGCCCGTTGTGGTTACTTCAACTGGTCCTCGAGGTCCTCGAAGTCCTCCTCCTCCTCCATCTTGATCAATCTGCGGGTTAGTAACTCAATGCGTGTGTTTTGCGTGTGTTTTCTCCATATACTTACTTGGAGACACCAGCCTTTTCTCTGAACTGCTCGACAGCTCCAGCATAGAGCATTCTGCTCTCCTGGCCCGAGGTGGGTGGGATCCAGTACAAAAGCACCAAAGGTGTCATGAGGCGGCCGTCGCTGGCCTTCATGGGGTACGACAACACGATGTAGCGAGGAGTGTTGTCGGGCAATTCCTCAACCAACTCGTCCACGTTGTCGATGATGTCGTCGTCCTGTCTTCTGATCTCGTAGGTGTCCTTGTCGATGATGTCTGGCGTTAGTGGTGCACTTTGGGTGTTACTATGAGCTGTACTTACATATAATGGCCTGCATTGACAGCACGCGAGCACTTCCAAAGCGGAACTTGCGGAGTGCCGTGAGTGTTTCTGTCGAGAAGCTGTAGAGGTTGGACTGGGGTTAGTATTGGCGGTGGGATGTGTCTGGGGGTAAGAAGGCAAGAGAATAGTGAGTGAGCAGCAGTGTGGCTATGACGCTGCTGGAGCACTGAGTGGTAAACCATGCGAGCTTAGCGTCAGAGGCTGCTAGGCTGGTAGGCACTGCTAGTCTGGTAGGCACTAATAGTCTGGTAGGCACTAATAGTCTGGTAGGCACTAATAGTCTAGTACGCACTGCTAAGCTGGTAGACACTGCTAGATTACCTTGATCACTAGCATTGACTGGTCCCCTGCTAGAGTACCTTGATCACTAGCATTGACTGGTCCCCTGCTAGATTGCCTTGATCACTAGCATTGACTGGCTGGTTCTGGCTGTTTTGCAAGCATTGGAATCTCGACACTTCCTCGTTGCTTAGACTACCTCGTCTCTGTAGACTACCAGCTGGCTTGCCTGACCATTCGTTACTGTCTAGACTATGCAGTTGCTGCCTATACTGCCTCCTTGCCGTCTATACTGTCTTGTTACCAGCTCATTGCTATCATTGACTTGCTGTCTCTACTGCCATGTAGACTATCGCATTGGCGGCTATACTGTCTCGTTTTCAGAGACTTTCACTTTAGTCTTCCTCTTTAGTCCACCTCTTAAGTCCCTGCCGGTCTCCCTGCGTTCACCTTCCATCCAGACGCTGCCTTTCCATACTCACCATCGTTGGCGCCAACTGCTCCTCCGCACCTCACTATCACTAGGCTCAATCTGGAAATCGCCGGCGTGCGCCTACCGCCCACTTATCGGGAAGGATTCAAAACAAACAACTGGAGTCCTCATATAAAGTCTCTGTTCACGCTGTTGGCTCACCAAATCAGCAAGATGGGCAAGAGCAGAGTCAATGTACCTCTTATCGAGTTCTTAAAGAGTGAGTACCGGAATTTCCCGCGAGCCGCCGTGGGTGGTGGGGATGAAGCAGATGGAAATGAGACGGCTGATGGACAGCTGATGGACAGCTGATGGACAGCTGATGGGACAGGCCATGAGACATCACGATGGGATGAAGTGTTATTCCTTCGTGGCTCAGAATTTACGTGGAAGTCAAGTGAGACTTCCGCGGCTGGTCAGAGTGGGCCATCATGGCTGGTCTAGTCAGAGTCATCTACCGTGGCTGGTCAAAGTGGCTAGTCGGCGGGACCTGTTTTGTCTGGCTTGGACTATCTCTGTGGCTAGACTTACTGGCACTTCGGAGTGATCCGCCGTGGCTGTCTCTTCTGATCTACGTGACTAAAATGTCTTCCTTCGCTATCTCAGAACGAGCTGTGGCTGGCTCAGTTTATCTAGCGTGGCTCTCCAGGCTGATCTGCCTTGTCTGGAGTGTCTGGCTCTTCAGAGTGCTACTGTCGCTCCTCGTACTGGTCCAGCAGAGTACCTAGTTGACCTGGTTGCCTCTTCAGACAGCAGTCATGACATCTACAGTCTTCCATCTGCACCCCATTTCACGCTCCCATCCCAGCTCCATGACACACGAGCTATCCTCGACATACTAACTCTAGACCGTATCTACCTCGGGGCCTACGACTACACCCCCCAAGACACCTCCGATCTTGTCTACTTCACCGTCGAAGATGCGTTGGCCTACAACGCATTCCACCTCGACTTCGGTCCCTTGCACATCGGTAACTTGTACCGTTTCGCCGTGGTGCTCCACAACATCTTGAACGAAGAGGCCAACCAGGGTAAGGCCATCGTGCTCTACAGCACCACATCCCCCAAAGAGCGTGCCAACACAGCCTGTTTGTTGTGCTGCTACATGACCTTGGTCCAGTCCTGGTCGCCCCACCAGGTCCTTCAGCCCATCGCCCAGATTGACCCGCCTTTCCAGGGCTTTAGAGACGCCGGCTACTCCAACGCCGATTTCGAAATCACCATCCAAGACGTGGTGTACGGTATGTGGAGAGCCAAAGAAAGGGGAATGATCGACTTGACCACCTTCAACCTCGAGGAGTACGAACAATACGAAAGAGTGGACCAGGGTGATTTCAACGTCATCTCCAAGGATTTCATTGCCTTCGCCTCTCCTCAGCAGAGCTCCAGAAAGCCTACTCTCAACGAGCCTTTCAAGAAGGTGTTGAACTATTTCATGGAAAACGAAGTCCAGTTGGTGGTCAGATTGAACAGTCATTTATACGATTCTGCGGAATTCACCAAGCGTAACATCCAGCACATAGACATGATTTTTGATGACGGTACCTGCCCAACCATGGAGTTCGTAAAGCAATTCATTGGTGCTTCCGAATGTGTCATTAACAAAGGTGGGAAGATCGCTGTGCACTGCAAGGCCGGTCTCGGTAGAACTGGATGCCTTATTGGTGCTCATTTGATTTACACCCATGGATTTACCGCAAACGAGTGCATTGGCTATATGAGAATGATTCGTCCGGGTATGGTTGTCGGTCCTCAACAACATTGGTTGTACTTACATCAGAATGACTTTAGAGATTGGAGACATACCATGGTCTTGGATAACCGTCCAGACGCATTTATTGGGGGATTATTCCCATTAACTCCTTACGATGAATTCAAGGCAAGAATGAAGCAAGAAGCTAAGCAAAGAAAATTACAACATCAACAAGTCAACTCGTCAGTCAGCCATATGGACTCATCATTCCAGACTCCTATTAGAAGAAGAAAGATCAGTGGAGTTTTAGCATCAAAGATCCAAACTGCCGTGCCCAACGAATCACCGGGTCAACCAAGAAAGTACCAAGAAGCCAACACCTCTGGCGTGGAAGAAATTGTCAACAACTCGGACGAAGAACAAGGAGAAACAATGCAGGATATTCAAAGTCCCGCAAGAAAGGGTGTACAGGAAATGGAAGAGCCAGCTGAAGTAGAGATTCATAATTCCAATGGTACGTTGATTAACGGCTCTCCCAAAAGAGATACATCAAGTGACTGGAGGGTTTTGAAATCGATCTCTGCAAACGGTTCCAACCAACCAGTTCAGTTAACCAAGACCACCACCACAACTACAACCAGAACCGTCAGCACCACCTTGTCATCGTCGCCCCAGTCCTCACCCACCCATAGCATCAAGCTTCCCAAGTCAAGATCAGGTTCCCGAGTGAACTCAGGAATGATACAATCCAAGAGCCCAGGCAACAGAATCCAATCTGCCGGGATCAGAAAAGTAAGTGGTAAAAAGTTTTAACTTGTATTATGACCTTCGCGGGCGCCCCAGCATACTATATTGTGTTATATCATTGTACTCATAACGATCTTCATTTCTTCTACTACTCTAGTCTTCATAGATAGCTTCTGTTATATAAAACTCCTCTTGTTCGTAAGCGAACGCTAGTATGTCGTAATCTCCAAACTTCAAGTCTTCCACCAGACCATCGGTCAATTGGATCCATTGATTCTCATAAGGTTGAGTTTTATCTTTAGGAACGGCCAATCTGATGCTGGATGAGGTGACAGTGACGCTGTTGCTGTCATTCTCTTCTATGTTAGATGCATCTTCTTCGAGATACTCTGATTTAGGCACGGGAATATCGTCTTCGTCAACTAGCTCCGATTTAGGAACAACGATATCATCCTCGTTGGCTGGTTCATTGTCATTAATATTGAGGCCTCCACTGCTGTTAATTGCCGTGGTCAAGCTGGACTTCAACTCTTCCAAGCTCAACGTGCCAGTGATAGGCAACGCGTAGGTGGTTTTTTGACGTTTGAACTTCAAAATCGTCACTTCTGGGGCATCCTTTCTCGAGAGTTTAGGTGGCTGTTGTTAGCGGTGCGTTGTGCAGGAGCAACTAGGACGTCCGGGACATGGCCATTGGAACGACCAAGCGTGCAAGAGGTTCTCGTACTTACCATTGGAGTAGAGTTTGCTGGGTGGAACGAAATCTGGCACCAAAAATGGAGCACCAAAATCGTTTCCATAATGATTCGCGTGACTTTCAGCACGTGACCCGATATCAGCTCGGCTCATCAACATCTCCAGTTGCAACTGTAGACTTCCCCGTCCATGCCCGAGTAATGCGCCTCTACGACAAGTTGTCCCATAAGCTGGCGGTACGTGCACTCTTCCGGTCGCTCCTCAGGCGTGTCAAGGGCGCAAATATCACCATTTCTGCCACCAATCCGGACCATGCCAAATACTCCCTCGATCCTCAACTCTACATATCATACCTCAAATCCGAGTGGAAGTACAACTTGAGAATGGAGTTCAGCTCAATGCACAAAACTGAGAAGTCTTTTGCCAAATCATTCTTGCGAGGGGTCGAAATTGACCAAAGAATAGCCACAAGTGAGTCCAGAGGCGATGCCTTGGTGGAAGTCATGTTGGAATACAGAAAGACAAAGTTCCAGGAACAGAAATGGCGTGCAAACTACTTGGAACGCAAACAGGATATACAGAAACAGGACGACAAGGCTGCCAAAGAGCTTCAGTTGCGAAAACAGGAGTCCAAGCTCAAGAAACCGATAGACCCAAAACAGATCTTCCACCGGCTTGAGGCTCCCCAGAAGCATAGGGTGGTACTCTCCGAGCTCAAGGCATCAAAAGAATTCTCGGAACATCTCTTGCGCAGGTACTTGAAGTTGAAACAGCAGAGTCTCCAGCTCCCCAATCCCGCGATGTTACCCAACACCCCAGACATCAAGGAGATTCCCGAATACAAGAGCAAGTACGCCCTTCCTGGGTCTACCAGGCACGACTTGATCAAAGCTGGCTACGATACTGAGTATATCGACGCCATAGTGAAGCCATCGCTCGAGTACGACATCAATAAGTACCACTATCTCAACAATCTACAACATATCGTCAACAACAAGGGTCCTTATCCCGTCAAAATAGCCACCACATCCGCAGGACCCATTCCCATGCCGTATATCAAGGTTCCATTTGCGAGACCCCAGCAAATGAAGCAAATTGCTCTAGACACCAAGAAGCTGTGGACGGTGATCAGAATACGAAATGTGTGGGTCTCCGAACCAGGAACCATCAAGGACGAGAAGATGTTCAGCGATGGCCGCTACAGCATCCCAGGAAGTCGAGGTTTTGGCCCAGAACAGTTCATGTACCCTAGAAGCTACTACCAGAAACTCGCTGAGAGTGAAGCGTTGTGGGAGTACGTTCTTGATCGTGAAACAGGAGGCTCCAGGTCATTTTCGTCGTATGTCTCAGACTGGACTGAGCATCTCGATATCAACACTAAAGTGCTCGAGGCCAAGGTGGATGCGTACTTTTCGAAGTATAGCCAATTGCGTACCAGAAACTCATCGCTCCAAAAGGAACGTGATGCCCTCCAGCTCCAGATGAACGAGCATTACGACCAGTTAGTTGCCACTTATGATTCGTTGATCAATGAATTAAATACACAGGGAATATTCAAGCACTCAGAAATAGTCAATCCAGCTAAGGTCACTCAGACATACCCCCAAATCCTAGACACCACGCCTCATGCCAGAGTGTCTGAAGGAATCCCCGAATTGGAGCGAATTGGCATGGGCAAGAAGTTGGGCGATTATCTTCGGGAAGCAGGTGTGAAGAGCTTCAGTTGGGGGGAGAAGTTCTACAAGAGGTTCAAGTTCGATATCAAAAAGACATGATTATTTAATGGAAGAAATAAAGGAAATCTTTGCATTCATCTAAGGAAGGAGTTTGGCTTAGCAACCCAAGCAATTAAATAGAAATATCCTAAGTACTATTACAGATCTTACAATTACAGATCTTTTTTGCTAATTACTTAAGGGTTGGTTATCCATCGATATATCAAAAACCAAACTCCGATTGGTTTGAGCCTTCAATGGTAGATCAGGACTGGTATTTCAAAGGATTGAACATCTAATTCGCTACTCTAACGTTCTGATAAAATCGTTCGTATTGTACATAGTTCTACTTACTGTATATAGTGTAACATAGAACCGAATCGTCAGCAGCATGCAGTGATCATTTAATCATAACGGAGGATACCACCAAGTGTGGTGTCGAGAAGTGTAAGGAAAGTCTTCAGAGAATGTTGGACGCGAGGCTTCTAGAACTACTAGAGGTTCGGCAGTTTTAACTCCCAGCTGAAGCTCCTTTTAGGTTTCTGGCAAGTTTCTGGTGGCTTTCTGGTAGCTTTCTGGTAGCTTTCTGGTAGCTTTCCCAGATCTGAACATTCAGGGAGGATTACACCACATAGCCTCCGAAGCTCTTGTTGGTGGTGACATACCCATCAATGCCATTTGCTCGTTCGGCGTAGTCGAGTTCATCGTCCTCGTCCACGTCTCCGGTGACACCACCTTCCTTTTCCACGATCTCAAAGTCCTCAATGAGCTTGATGAGCTCGCTGGTATCGGGAGAGGGCGAGCCCTCCGACACAGACAACCCACTCATCATGGCAATTACGTCAGAAATCGACTTTCCTTGGCCCTTAAGCTCCTTGTGCTTCGACAACACCTCCTCCAAGCAGGTGATTCCGTTTTCGTACCAGTTGGCAGAGATTTCCGGCGAAAAAGGACGTACCACCATGATGTCCTTACGTGCAAACATTGCCTCATTGGAGAGCTGGTTGCGGTAGAAGATCGATGCCTGGTAATGGTCCTTGCAGCAGTACTGTGAGAGATATGTGTTGGGAAGGATCATCGACGGTTTGCGGTTGTAGATCTGGAACTTGGTGGCAGACCTGTCTGCCAACATGGCTCCTGTTGATGCTCTGCGAACCTGCTGGCGAGGAGACTTGTCACAGATCAAGTAGCCACACTGGTGGTCGATGTTCCGTTCTTCGATGATTTCATCGTACGACTGTTGGCTGAGAAAACGACTGAGGAACTTGAGAAGTGGATAGTCCACATAGTAGTCCACAAGAAGCTCGGTGATGGCTAGCTGGAGCTTGGAGGCTTCTGACGGGATCAAGAGGTCGGTGTGGGCGAACGGCTCGAGCTTGGTGAGGAACTCGGAGAGGGTGAGAGACTCCATGGTGGGAAAAAATGGCAGTGGGGTCAATTGGTGGTGGGAATTGGATGGAGTTTGTAAGAGTGTGAAGAAATGTGATGGTTGGGGGCGGCAGTGGGGGTATTGTAGGCTGGAGAAGGCTCCTGAGGCTGGATGGGGCACCGTCATGTCAGTCACGTGAGTTGTATCATGTGATGTATAATACCTTACGTGCAGGCAAGTATAGCTCTGGAAATGGGCCTATAGTACGTTTTTAGCTTTGGTCAGCGGAAGTCACACTTGGAGCAGATAGATCACTGCAAATGACGGTATTTTTGTAGAAATTTAAGTCTTATTTTTTACGTTTCGCCATTGGGTTCCCTGTGGATAATTACATCAATTCTTGGACTCAATACTGATGAGTCCCTTTTGAGGCATGACAGAGCCTTTGATTGCTGATGCATTTAAGTACCAGCTTTTCATCTGGTTAAAGTTCCTAAACAGCCAGTGGAAGCTTCTCTGAATATGGGCGTGTCCTGGCCAGTAATGCCAACTCCCTGATCTGCTCACGTGTGCAATCTCACGTGCTCTGATATTCATTACTCCCACAACTCCATCTTCACCACCATGCCCCGCCAACGCAACTCCCTTCTGGGCCGTCTCGAGCCGTTGCAGCCCCGGGCGTCCCGCTCGCGGTCTCGTTCACGCTCCCGTTCCGCATCCACTGGCCACTCACACTCCACCTTCTTCAACTTCATCATCGGAAGCACTCCCTCGCTGTCTTCGTACAAACAGCCATCCAAGAACAAGAACAGGCTCGTCTCGCTTTACCGGCTCCTCCTCATCGAGTTGAACCTCCCAGTGGACTCGCTCCAGGGCCCAAGCCAGCCGTCTTCCAGTAAGGAGGCATCAGAGTCCTATGACGAGCTCATCAGCATGGTCCAGATCCCGTTTTATTTGGAGAACTTCATGGTGTTTGGGCTTCTTATCTGCCTCAATTCGTTCCTCACCTTGTTCACGGTGACTCCCTTGAAGATCTTCATCACCTGCGTGGCCGGGGTCAAGAAACTCGTGTCTACAGGCACTGCTCGTACCACGTTTGCTCCCGTCAAAAAGGACTTTGTCACTGTGTCCATCATCGTGTGTTCGCTCGTGGTGCTCTCATCGCCCCGACTCGACATCTCCAAGATGTACCACGACATCCGTGGCCTGGCACACATCAAATTGTACGTGATGTTTGGAGTTCTCGAGGTGGCTGACAAGTTGTGCTCTTCTTTGGGCCAGAACTTCCTCAATATCCTCCACGAGATCCCTCTCACCGATTCCTCTGCTTCCCAGAGGCTCAAGCTCGTGTTCTTCTTCGCGGTTTCCGTGCTTTACCTCTCGTTCCACGGGTACATTCTCATCTACCAAACGATTTCGTTGAACGTGGCAGCCAACTCGTACTCAAACGCGTTGCTAGCGCTTCTCTTGTCCAATCAGTTTGCCGAGTTGAAGAGCTCGGTGTTCAAGAAGTTCGAACGAGAGGGTCTCTTCCAGATCACCATGTCGGACTTGTGCGAGCGGTTCCAGTTGTCAATCATGCTCAGCATCATCACCCTCCGCAACTTCCTCCAGTTGGGCCAGATCGGACTCATTCCCAATAGCTGGAAGAGCTGGAACACCTGGCTCGGGTCCATTTTTGGGCCTGGTGTCATCGTCATTGGCAGCGAGATCTTTGTCGATTGGTTGAAGCATTCTTACATCGCCAAATTCAACAAGATCCGCCCTCGCATCTACAGAAACTTCCTCTACGTGTTAAGCTTGGACTACTTGACAGTTCTCAACTTCGACAACTCGACTGGCTCCGATTATGTGGTGCTCACCAAGCGCATCGGATTGCCTCTCCTCGCCACCATCGTCTGTTTCTTGCGGATGACTCTCACCGACTTCAAGCAGCTTTTGATCTTTCCCTACTCGATGGCTGCCACCACGGGCATCGTGTTGGTGACGTTTGCCACGTTGGTGCTTGTGCGGTTGATCCTAGGCTTGGTGATTCTCAAGCTCGCCAACAAGATCAAGTTGGAGCACAGAGAGTACCAGGACTCGTTGCGAGGAATGCGGCTAGATCCGTTCCAGGAACTTGCCAAAGGACTGGAGGCACCACAGCCGTTTGGCAGTCCTACTCCAGTCCGGTTTCCCGTGGCTGGTGACGAACAAGACTTGCCTCCCCAAAGCACGCTAACGCTCACATTGCCCATTACTGGCGACGAAACGCCGGACGTTTCAAGTGTGCCCGAGTCGCCACGTTCACCGATAGACCTTTCGTTTCTCCCAGGCATCCCCAACACCGAACCCTCGTCAATCAACCCCACCACGCGATCGTATCTCTACGACTACGATGAAAAGGTTCCACCCACGGTGGAAGAGAAGCGGAACCAACAGTTACTTGATAAACTCGAGGACGACGACTTGGGCACAGTCATGAGGTACGAGATGTCCAGTAAGCGGATATGGTAGGCAAGATAGATTAATTAACAGATATTCAATGTCGATCTAGCTAGTAGTGATATTAATTAGTCTCATGAGTTCATTGATGTAGTCGATCATATTCATTAGTACTTGAATATTCATTCACTATTTCGTACTCATATTAATTTAGCTGGAATATTCGAACATCGTCCCAAATATTGATTCATGAATTCCACAATCATATGTATTTGGACTCGAATTTACGATAATTATGGATGTGGTCCAGTTTTATTAAATAGCCTAAGAATTGTTGATCTAGTTCATTTTTATTAGTTAACTAGCTAAGCTTCTCATATAAGAGTACACATATTATCATTATCCATCTTACGATTGGGACTACTTTTCTACTGGATGTTGTTAAGCCATTTGGCATTCAAACTGGATTGGACTTCCCACCAGCATGAAATCACTATTTCGAGGTACTATTTACAGGTATATACAAGTTGTGATCTCTATGATTCAAGCTTTTGGTCGTTCAGTTCTTCTTGAGCAACTGGTTTTTCATGGCTTGGTTGATGTAGCTAACGGCAGCAGGTCTAGGTTTTCTCAAACTGGCCGAAAAAGCGAGGCACCCGGTCAAAAGAGCCAATGCTCCTGCCTGGTGGGCAGAACCGAGAGGAATAGGCACCAAGTAAATCAATGTGGTGATTCCCAAGGCTACCTGTAAGGTGACCAAGCCCATGATTCCATGGGCCCTCTTGAGAGTGGCTTTAGGGAACATAGCCTTGTTTCTAGAACAAAACAAGTAAGTACCGGCCACTGTGAAAAAGACAGTAGTTGCAAGAATACGGTGGACCAATTGCACAGTAGTTGGGTTTTCCAAAAGGTTTCTCCACCACAAATCCGATTGATCCGCCTTTCTGGCGTACACGGGACTCATCAACTCGTTAACACTTGGCACAATATCGTCACCCATGTGTGGGAATGTGTTGTAGATCAAACCGGCATCCAAACCGGCAACCATACCACCAGACATGGCAGTAGCAAAGGCCAATCCCAACAAGGCAAAACGGAAGGGGGCGATTTTTCTCAATGCAGGGTTGTTCAACTTCTCGATTATATTCTGGAACATTTCTGGCTTGTTGGCGTTCTTGAGCCATTTGTTCTCGGTCAAAATTTCAAAACCAGTGGATAAAACACCCAAGTACAACAAGAATGCAGCAGCAAGATGGGTGGTCAATCTATATTGGGAGACAGTGGGCTTGGACTTTCTTTCGGCCAAGCTTTCTTCATCTAAACCTGACTTGACCATCCACCACCCGATGGCACCCTGCAATCCCAAGAGACCAGTCAATCCCAATACACGCTTAGAAACATGGGTACTCATTTTGCCAGACTTCCAGAAGTAAAGAGCGGGCAACACAAAGAACATTCCGATGGCTCTGCCCATCAATCTGTGGGCCCACTCCATCTTGAAGATGAATTTGAACTCTTCCAAAGTGATATGTGAGTTCAACTGTTGAAATTCGGGTGAGCTTTTGTACTTGTCAAATTCTTCCTCCCATTCCTTCTGGTTCATGGGCGGAATAGCTCCAGTGATGGGTTTCCACTCGGTGATGGATAACCCGGACTCCGTGAGTCTGGTCAACCCTCCAAGGACCACAATACCAAAAACCAACCCGGAAGTGGCAAGCAACCAGTAGCCGACGTACTTGTGCGAGATGACGGTGGGTCCTGGCTTGGATACGCTAATGGTGCTGGCCTTGACGCTGTTGAGAATAGGCGACTGGACGTTGGCATTTGCTGGAATGGTCGAGTACGACCTAGTTGACCGGGTGATCCTGGAAAACATCTGGGAGAGCGAGAACTTGGCCCTGGGCGCGATGGAGAGCCTGGACACCTTGGACTGGGCCAAGGTGTTGAGGACCACCGCGTTTTTGGTGAAGAAGAAGCCTGTTCTGCAAAGCATGGTTGGTGATGAGTTGGTAATTGGGCAGCTGTGATTTGAGAATCAGGTGAGGCCGCGGCCACCACCGCGGCGGCACGGGACCGCAGTGGTCTGAGACTGGGCCTTAGACTAGAAACGCAAATTGGCTACTCCTGACAGGTGTCACTAGTGAATTATGGACTGTAGGCTGACTTAGCTGCTACTGTGGAAGTCTGTGTCCAATTGCAGTACTGGTGTGCGTTTTCGTGGAGTTTTGGCGGTAAATCTACCGCGAGACTCACGCCGGTGCTGGAACAGCCATAGAAGTGGAGGACCGGCAGTGCCTTATGGCCACTTCCACGTCCTAGGTGTATCCATATTACACTCGGTGGTTTTCTTGAAGGGCCTGGCAAGTTGTGAATACACCAAAGGATGCTAGAGTTATCAGGAGGAAAGTATTAAATGCTGTAAATATTGCAATATTTTCTCACTTTTCTCATATTTTTGCAGTCACCCAAGAATTCAGGTCTATTCTGTTTACTTAGTAAATGATAGAAGGTACTAGTTCTGGTCAACATAATCCTTATTCGTGATTCAACAAGTCATTTGAGCTGGGTGGAACCTCTCAGGATATATTTGTGAGACTGGAGGCATGAACAAATCGCTCGTCAACATTCCATTTACTTCTTGGTTTCCTTAACTACTGTGTTTGAGAGAGCCAAGAAAGAATCTTGCTTTATAAAGGATCAACCCAATCTCTCACAAATATAATCTAATGGTATATTCTCCATTAATAGGTGTATAGTTAGATTATACTTCCCATTAAAATAAAAGAGAGCGGTTTGGAACGATTCCTGAACTGGGTGCAAAAAGTCATGAGAATGATCTGGAAGAAGCAGAAAGAAAAGCGAAATGTGGACAAGCAGGCATGCCACAGATTATCGAGCCAACTTTTCTCTCAAATTGTTTGGACGCTCTCAGGTTGTTTGACCACCAAGCCACAGATGCAACCTGTTTTGGTGGGGATATTCATTACTTGGTGGATTTCCAGAATATTGTAGTGCTTTTAAAAACAGAAAAAGAGCCACCGGCTAGAATACGGCTTTACTTATGGCCTCGACCTTGTGCTGCCTAATAACTAACCCGTGGGTTCGTTATGACCCCAACAAGCTGTACTAAATAATGACTATAAGAAGTCTAGCTTATCTACTGAGTCAATTGGCTCGAAATATTAATTCTCACTTAAAACACTTACTTCGTCTGATCGAATCAAGGTATTCGGCCATAAACCACCCTGGCTTTAACTGCGAGTTGACTACCACACTCTGAGTTCTCGAACTCATTTCATGGATTTGAAGACAGGTTGGTGACCGCAAAATAAGGACAAGCTTTTAGACCGGATATTGTTTCCCTCTACCCCACCAACTGGCCCTCACAAAAAGCCAATCAGTGCTGCTTTGGCAAAATAAGCTAGGAGCAGAGGTGTGGGAGCCTCTATATGAGTGGACCCATATCGATGGCCCAGTAAACTTAACCCGAATGGTATATTTTACGGTTCATTTATATCAGCTGGAGGTTCAATAGTTCTGCTAGAACAGATCAAGCTAGGCTGGAAAAGAAACAAGTACTTATTTCCGAGATATCTATCAGTGTCTCCTGGACCACATCTGGCTAGTTAAGCCACATAGTTGTGGTCACACTGATAACCACGGAAAATCCGCAGTTGAACCTCTCATTCTTCCCCNCCCAGCCGTTTTCAGCTTGACAAGCATTTTTGGGTTTAGTTCAAATGACATATCCGAGGTACTCCAAAAGGGAGAATTGGGTCTTTTATGAGTAAGTAAAGCTGGCAAGATCAAAGTGCCCGAGCTCGTGGCCATGGTCCCGATGATACGCAAGGTACCATGGCTATTCTACCGTCTGGAGATGTGCTAAAGCCGCTTATAGTGAAATGAAGCATAATGCAAAAATGCGAGATCTCTCACATCCTGCTGTATTGTACGCTAGTTTGATCTGACTAAAACACAAGAATTTAGAGTGGGTTGTGGCAGGTATCCGGGGGCTTATGAGATTGCCAATTAAAGCCAAAAACAGGCTGACAGTCGAGAAACGACACCGAGAAACGACACAGAAGTATTACAGCGAGGCAGTAGATCCTCCAGTAGAGCCTCCAGTGGTGCCTCCAGTGGTGCCTCCGACTGCCACGGATGCACACTATTCCCAGAACCTCAACGCAGTCTTGGAACTTGTTGGGCCACTCGGATTTCACGTTCTGTTTCCGCACCCAGACAAACAGATAAGCCAACGTGCAAGCCCAAAAGGGTATCCGGTGGAAGCGATTCAAGTTGACCATGTGATCACGCAAGAGAGGAGAGGAACAATCCGGAGTGGCTACCGCATCACATGAAGCGCAGTTGACCAACGATGCGATGGCTGGTTTGGGGAATAGGTGAACAAACTCACGGCAGTACTACTCGAGATGCCCGTCAGACAGCTCTCATGCCCGAAACTTGCGTATTCACCCAATATTCTCGCCGTTTGCCCTGCTTGAGCAGTGATGGCTAGCTGCGGTATGCGCGCATGCCAAACACACATGAAAGTGAAGCACGAAAAAATGCACTACATCCGAGTTCCAATTGCGGAGAGGTGAAGTATATATATGTCAAAGTCCGTTGTGTCCCGTATCGAACAAATTGCCAGAGTCGACCACCACGATTTTATAGTACAATGCCAGCCTTAGAGTTAATCGCAGCAGGACTACTTGGCTCCCAGTTGTTGGATGCCAAATACCACATCAAAGATGACTTTTTGCTTACCCAGAAGGTCTTGACCAATCTGATTCCTTTCTTCTATCAATGCTACAAGGGAAGAGCCAGTTACTGGTACTGGTTCGAGAAAGCAGCAGCGAAATACCCGCAGAACACCGCCGTGTCTTTTCCCAGACCAAAAAAGAACCCTCCGCCATTGAGCTTCGATGCCGAAGGTAACAAGATCTACGACGACCAGTTCACCCTCGAGAACTACACCTACCAGGAATTGTTCGATATGGTGTTGAGGTTCTCACATATTTTGAAGTACGAGTATGGAATCACCTCGAAGGACACCATTGCCGTTAGTTGCATGAACAAGCCGTTATTCATTATCATCTGGTTGTCGTTGTGGAATATTGGTGCTCTTCCCGCCTTTTTGAACTTCAACACCAAGGACAAGCCCTTGGTCCATTGCTTGAAGATCTCCAAGGCTTCCCAGGTATTGATTGATCCAGATTGCGCCGATCCAGTCCGTGAAACCGAGGACAGAATCCACCAAGAATTGCCTGAGGTCAAATTGAGATACATCAATGAGCCAGAATTATTGAAGGTTTTAGCAGACAAGTCCAGACCAAAGCACAGGGCCCCGGACGAAACCAGAAGACCAGACGATGGCGACCACTCTCCCGCCTGTTTGATCTACACTTCTGGTACCACGGGATTACCCAAGTCCGCAATCATGTCTTGGAGAAAGGCATTCATGGCTTCTAAGTTCTTTGGTTATATCATGAAAATTGACTCCAGCTCAACGGTTTTAACCGCAATGCCTTTGTATCACTCAACTGCTGCAATGCTTGGGGTTTGTCCGGCCCTTTTGGTCGGGGCATGTGTTTCCGTTTCCCAAAAATTCTCAGCAACTTCGTTCTGGACACAGGCCAAATTATCCAATGCCACCCATGTTCAATACGTTGGTGAAGTTTGTCGTTACTTGTTGAACTCCAAGCCACACCCAGATCAACAAAAACATAACGTCTCCATCGCATATGGTAACGGTTTACGTCCTGATATTTGGACGAATTTCAAGGAAAGATTCCATATCAAGGCAATTGGAGAATTCTATGCTTCTACCGAATCTCCAATTGCTACTACAAACTTGCAATATGGTGAATTTGGTGTTGGTGCCTGCCGTAAATATGGCTCTTTGATTAATTTGCTTTTGTCTTTCACCCAAGTGTTGGTGAAGATGGACCCTGAGGATGAAAACGAAATCTGGAGAAATCCAGACACAGGGTATGCTACCAAGGCTGATCGCAACGAACCCGGTGAATTATTGATGAAGATCTTGAACGCCAGTGATCCAGAGAAGACTTTCCAAGGATATTACGGTAATAAGAGTGCTACGTCTTCCAAAATCGTGACTGATGTGTTCAAAAAGGGCGACGCCTGGTTCAGAACTGGAGATTTGTTGAAAATGGACGAGGACGGTTTATTGTACTTTGTTGATAGATTGGGTGACACTTTCCGTTGGAAGTCCGAGAATGTGTCGGCAACCGAGGTTGAGAATGAGTTAATGGGCTCGAAGTCCATCAAGCAGTCCGTTGTTGTTGGTGTCAAGGTTCCAAATCATGAAGGTAGAGCTGGTTTCGCCGTAATTGAACCTATTGATGACTTTGCCGACAGTTCCAAGCACTCTGAAATGTTGAACAAGATCAGTGAGCACGTTCTCAAGTCATTGCCCAAGTATGCGGTCCCACAATTCGTCAAGATCACCGAACAAATCGAAGCATCCCACAATCACAAGGTTCCCAAGAACCAGTACAAGAACCAGAAGTTGCCCAAGGGAGAGAACGGCCAAGATACCATCTACTGGTTACACAACAATAAGTACGAGGAGTTGACCCAAGACGCTTGGAGCGGCATCATGAATGGGAAATCCAAGTTATAGCACGATGGGGTCTATTGTATATTTTTGTACTGTTTATTGAATTACTTGAGGCTTATCCACCTATTTAGTAGCTCCTTATTGCTTGTTAGAAATAGCAACAACACCTGGCAATTCCTTACCTTCCAACAATTCCAAGGAAGCACCACCACCAGTAGAGACGTGGGACAACTTGTCAACAACGCCGTACTTCTTGGCAACAGTGGCAGTGTCACCACCACCGATAATGACGGTGTTACCTTCACCAGCAGACTTGACGGCAGCGTCCAACAAGGACTTGGTACCGGCAGCGAACTTTTCGAACTCGAACACACCTGGTGGACCGTTCCAGACGATGGTCTTGGCCTTGGCCACGGTGGCTTCGAACAATTCTCTGGACTTTGGACCAGCATCCAAACCCATCCAGTTGTCTGGAATACCTTCTTCTTGGGTAGCAGTGGAGGTGTTGGCGTCCTTGTTGAAGTCGTCAGCAGTGACGAAGTCGACAGGCAAGACGATTTCGACACCGTTCTTCTTAGCCTTGGCCACCAAGTGTTCCACGTTCTTGGCACCAGCCTCGTCGAACAACGAGTTACCAATTGGCATCTTGTCCAAGACCTTCTTGAAGGTGAAAGCCATACCACCACCGACAATCAACAAGTCGACCTTGTCCAACAAGTTGTCGATCAATTGGATCTTGTCGGAGACCTTGGCACCTCCCAAGATGGCCAAGAAAGGTCTGGTTGGGTTTTCCAAAGCCTTAGCGAAGTATTCCAATTCCTTGGCCATCAAGAAACCAGCAGCCTTTTGGGGCAAGTCCAAGCCAACCATGGAGGAGTGGGCTCTGTGGGCAGTGCCGAAGGCATCGTTGACGTAGACGTCGGCCAAGGCAGTCAATTGCGATCTGAACTTCTTGACGTCTTCGGCAGAGGCCTTGACCTTTTCACCGTCCTTGTTCTTCTTGGAGCCTTCTTCTTCGATGTGGAATCTCAAGTTCTCCAATAAGAAGATCTGGCCATCCTTGCCGGCGTTGACAGCCTTTTCGACATCGTCACCGACACAGTCCTTGAGGAAAGTGACAGGCTTCTTCAACAAAGACTCCAATTCGGCAGCAACAGGAGCCAACGAGTACTTTTCGTTGACTTCTCCGTTAGGTCTGCCCAAGTGGGAGGCTAACACAATGGCCTTTGGCTTGTTTTCCAACACGTATTCGATGGTTGGCAAGGCAGCCACGATTCTTTGGTTGTTGGTGATGGTCTTGCCATCCAATGGGACGTTGAAATCAACACGGATGAAGACTCTCTTGTCGGAGACGGTCAAGTCCTTGACGGATAATTTGTTGGATAAAGACATTTTATGACAATTGCGGTTAGCTAGGGGAAGCAATCTCATGCTAGGGAAATCGTGGTATTTATGGGAAAATGTCGGGATGTGTGCGTAGGCAACTCCGAGCGGGCGAGGGGGTTCCGAGATGGTGGTGTGATAGGGAGGGCTACCGAGCTAGCCTGGGTGCGTAGCGAGAGTGCGTAGCGATGGTGCGGTACCAGTGGCGCGGTGGATAGCGAGAGTGCAGTACCAGTGGTGTGCTAGTGGCGCGGTGCCTAGGGAGGATGATCGCACTGTCGTAGCGCGCACTAGCGACAACACACCACTTACCGCACGCCCGGAAAACCCTTTCACCCGGGTGGTTCCCGGGAAACAGCACGTGAAGACGTCTCCTGACCCTCCGGGGCCCCGAGAAGCCAATGATAGCCGGGTGGGTGATTCTGGGGATCTGGGTAGCGTCGTGGAGGCCCCAACGGCTCGCAATGGCCAGGATTCACGTCGCTAGCACTCCCAGACCTGCAGCCCCCAGCGAGCCATCCCAAAAATGTCGCGATGTCGTGGAACCTTCTCGAAATCACCACCAGTGGGATATATATTCCCATCCTCCACCAGCCCATCCTTCCCCATATCCGCCACATTCTCCCACCATGGATAAAATCTTGCAATGGTCTATAGCGCTGCAGTCTGGCGACCAGGAAACGTTGAAGAAACTCGGGGCTCCCGACCCCAAAATGTTGCAGCAGCTCTTCGGAGGTCCCGATGAGCCTACCCTCATGAAACAGGCCATAACAGTGGTGGTCAACCCCGACAGCGAGTTGGAGGCCAAAGAGATCGCGTTCGACAACTTCGAGATGCTCATTGAGAACATGGACAACGCCAACAACATCGAAAACATCAAGTTGTGGTCGCCCATCATCGACCAGTTGGATGCCTCCAAGCCCGAGTCCTTGCGGGTGTACGCAGCCTCCATCATCGGTACTGCTGTGCAGAACAACCCAAACTCGCAAGAAGCATTCATCAAATATCCTGGCTTGCAGGCGTTGATCGACATCGCCTCGGACCCTGCCACCTCCTCGGAGCTTCTCTTGAAAGCCCTTTTCGCGATTGCATCGTTCGTCAGGAACTATGAGGCCGGCTACCTCAAGTTCGACGAGTTGGACGGGTGGAAAATCATCAACTTATCCAGAGACAGCAATCACAAGGTCAAATTGAGAATACTATCATTGATCTCTTCCATCTTATCCACAGGTATAGACGCAAAGAAGGAGGAGCACATCAGCAAGGCCCATATGACAGAGTTCTTGGCTTCGGTGCTTGCAAAAGACGGCCACGCCGGCTGTATCGACAAGGTATTGAACATCATCTCCCAATTGGCCGAATTGAAGTACCAGTTCTCAGCCTCTGAAATAGCCACCTTCTCCCAGGGATTATCCAATGTCGAGCACATGGAGGAGTTGAGCACAGATGACTTACACGCGGCCAAGAAGGTGATCAATTAATTTATAGGGTAATGTATCGTAATTCAAGAAGGCATGGTTGATGCAGCGTAGACGGAAGCAGGTTTAGCTCATGTAAATAGGCAATACAAGTATTTGAAACACCAAGCTGTCCTAGTATTTTGAAATCAGATAAAACGCCTAAAGTAGGTTAATTCTTAGCATTTGCTTCCTATTCGTTAATGACCTCATTGGGGTCATCTCCCAAAAATGCCTTCCTCATAGCACTATCTGTAGTGGGAGGTACGATGTTCTTTCCAAACCCATCTTTGCCAAGGGTATCATTCTTCTCAAGCTCCAAATATATAGAATAGATACTCTGGAACAGCCCATAGAGTTTATCTGCCTTCGGCTCTGTCATCATTTTGAATTGGCGTATGGTCTGGAGGAAAGTGCTCTTCGGATCGGTTCCCGATTTCACCGTCCCCAAATTGGCCAAGCTACTGTTTCTCTCATATTTATCGTAAATGGAGTACGCAATCGTGTACGTGAATGAAAGAAGCCATTCGACCGTCTCCTTCGTTCCTCGAGTTGGGAAAACGTTCAAGCCCAAATCGAGCTGGCATTGATTAATTAGGTAGTTCGCCTCCTTCGCCGTAATATCTTCTTCATCATCATCTTCGAGCTTTCTTTTCTTCGATTGCGAGCTTTCATTCAACCGCTTTAATACTTCATCCTTGTATCTCTTGTTCTCCATATTTCTGAGCTTCAAGATGTACTGATCGTACCCTTCAATGACAATTATGACTGAGTATTTGAGAATAGGCTGTCTCAATCTGGCCATTGAAAGTGCTTTTTGCACTTGGGATTTGATTGTACCACTTCGTATTCTGGAAATGAAGTCTTGTGCCTTGAAATGAAGCACCAACGTCTTTTCTTGTACTTCCATTGGAGCACAGGGAACAAATATATCCCTGGAAGAGTCGTAGGATGCCCGCACCTTACGCGTCCAGTATATCAAAGGCACATCACAGTTGTAAAACTCGACAGCGGAATGCTCGAAACTTTGGTCAATGAATTCATTTTCTAGACATATTGATCTTGGAATGTGAATTACCATCTCCCCCAAGAGCTCTTCTTTCTTTCTAGTGATTTTATTAGCTTCTTTAAGCTCTTTTGCGGTATATTCATAGTTCAGAAATGGATTCACGAGTTTTGAAGGCTGTTTCTTGTTTTGCAGCTGCTGATTCTTGTGCTCCTTTCTCTGTTGTATGGCATTTGGTGCTTTGACCACAGGGACCACTATTGGCTCCTCGGGATCATTAGCCTTGAGTGCTTCTCCAAGAACTGGGAGCTCCTTGTGTACTGGCTTCGTTTCTAACACAAGGGACGGGGGAGACTTTTCCTTCACGCTGGGAAGTGCTGGGTTTGATAGACGTGTTACCGGGTCCTTTGAAAACAGATCGTCCTCGCTGTCGGAGAGCCACTTTACGATGTCCATCAATGACGTCTTGTTGGATGGTTGCAGTTGCAGAAACGTGAAGGACGAGTCCTCTATGGGATCAACCTTGGAGCTCGCCCGAGGTGAGTGCTTCTTCAAGGGGGACAGGGCAGGTACATGCGACGTCTGCTCGGAATATGCTGGGAGCTTGAATGAGCTGGGTATGACGGGGGACAGACTATCAAACTGGGACCTGTAGGTGTTGGCAGTGGGCTTTGGAGAGCCCACGGATGGTTCTATTGTGCATGGGATGTCACGCTCAGGAGAACCTGCTGGCCCACCAGATTGCTGGGATGAGGAAATGACAATGGCTCCAGGTCGCCTGTTCCCGATGACCTGTGACAGGCTCGGGAAACAGCCTAAATCGTTGGTGGCAGGCCCTTCGTAGGTGATGATGGGGGATGAGGGAGTATTTTGTCTGTTGGACGTGGGCCGAATCGGTGCCACAGTTGGCGAGGAAGGCGTGGGAAGCTCGTGGCGTGGTTTGGGGGCTTCTGGGCCATCGTTGATCTCGGAGGTCAATCTGTTGTTAGTGAGTTCTTGCAACCAAAAGATAAGTACTTACAGTTCGATGATTTCTGGTTCTGTGAAGGTATCGTCGGAGATGTCGATAACAAGGTTGTCCCTCATTGGACAGGCAGGCAGGCAGGAGTGCTGGTGGAGGAGTGGAGAGAAGAGGTGTGGTGGATTGGAGTGATGTGGTTTGGCTGTAATACCGCGTAGCGAGGATTTCGCGCAGGGCGAGTCTAGCGAGGATGTGAGCTACAGATTTCAACTTCGAAGAACTCTTTACAAAAATGGCCATTTGTTTGGGAACTTGGCTGGGTGATGGAGCTGGTATCGGAGGTGCAAATCGTCCATTTCAGGTCGATTTGCCGTCCATGGGCCAGTAGGACGATTGGTGCTGTTACGCGGAGTAATGGGTGGGAGGGAAAGCCCCGTGCGAAATAGCGACACCCAAAGAAGGCTAGCGAGACAACGCCCAGTAAAGCTAGCGGGGCCCGCGCGAAATAGCGACACCACCCAGATCGAAATCCAAATCGAGACAAACAATTCCATCATCAACTCCACAAACCACCCAATTGCACAGGCCCATCCATCCTTGCCAGCATGATGTCTAGGAGACGAAGCTCCAACGCCGGGATTTCCACCCGTGCCACCTCCAACGGCCACGGGTCCTCCAGCGAGTCCATGTTTGAGCTCAAAGAAGCCCAGAGCAGTCTCCGCTACGACTGGCCCCAGCTCCTCCAGGACGACGCCAATCCCATCGAGCTCGCAGTAGCATTCTTGGACGACACTTCCGTAGGGTTGGCCCACCGGCTCAGCGAGTTCGAGCAAGTCAAACAGTCCACAGAGTCTGCGCTCAGAAACGTCGTCAACGACCACCACGAGCTCTTCAACAACAGCGTGGGGTCGTACCACTTGTTGCTCTCCACATTGACGGAGTCACAGCAGGACTCCATCGCCATCAAGCACATGTTGGAAAGCACCACCAAAGATATCCATGACCGTTCAGACATTTTGGGAGAGTTAAGCCAAACATCAGCCAGATACGCCGACATGATCGAGATCTTGGACGCCATCAACGAGATGATGGACATACCCACGCGCATTGATCAGCTCGTGGGCGACAAGAAGATCCACGAGGTCTACGACGTGATTTCCCACGGATACAAATTGGCAGAACAGTACAACTTGTGGACATTGCCAGCCATGAACGCCCTCCAGAACTACCTCGAGATCCAGTCCAACACCTTGTTCGACTTGATCATCGACGAGCTCCAGAACGAGATCTACCTCAAGGGCTCCACTGCCCTCAACGACCCTGCCAGCCAGTTATACAGCTGGGACACCTTGCTCCGCTCCAACAACCCCCAGTTGGCGTCGTTCAAGACCTTGATCGCCGAGCTGTACAACTTGGAGCAGTATATCTACAACTCGGCCAATTTGGACATTCCTGAAGTGGTGGAGGTACTCCATAAGCCAGTACAGACGTTTGTCAACTCACAATTGCCCAAGCTCCACTCCCATTTTTCGAACCCGCTGGAAAAGCTCTACTCGCTCTCTGACAACGACAAGCACGATGCGTCGTCGGCGTTGGACTACTCGGTGCTCTTGGAGTCCACGTCCAGCTTCAGCTCCGAATCGTTCCACTACATCTACATGCTTCTCCACACCGCGTCCAAATTGAGCAGACTCAACCAGGTGATCGAGATCCTCTCAGGCAACAACCAGCTGGAGTTGCACGGCCTCATCAACCGCACCATCGAGGAGGTCAAGCAAAAAAACGGTGCAACCATAGGCAAGCTCGACAAGCACCAGGCATTCGACCGGTCTTTCACGTTCGACTTCATCGGCACCAAGAACTTCAGCGACAACTCGGTGCTAATTCTCAAGGATTTGTTCGGGTCGATCTTTGTCAAGAGTTTGGCCGTCTTGCAAAGACACAAGATCGTCAGTGAAATCGTGCACAGAATAGAGAGTGGCCAGAACTTGGTGCCGGGAGTGACAAACGGCGACGGAAACAGAGTGTATGGCGACAGCTCGAAGTCGTACGACGTCCACGACATCTGGAACTCCATCAAGAAAGAGCTACAATCGTTGATGACCAACTATATCTACGACAGCATGATCATAAATGGAACGTCCGATATGATTTCCACTAACAGCAAAATCCACGACATTTTACGGAAGAGAGACCTCTTCCAGTTCGAAGATGTGTCGTATAACAAAACGTCCAAGGGGCCTGAAGATCTACAGATTATATTGCAAGATATGTTCCCAGGCTTCCTCTTGTCGGATTCGTTGAAAACCAAGGGAGCCGATGCTGTGGACTCCAACTCTCCATACATCAAGAACGAGCGATTCAATGCCATGGTGGAAGTTCTAGTGCCCAAAAACTTGTTCAACATGAGAATCATCCTTGAATTCTTCTTGATTTTTGTTGCTGGATCTCAAAAGCTCTTTGCTGGAGATGGAGCCAATAAACCTGCCAATAGAACGGCCATCCAATTTTTCGAGGACTTCATGAAATTGTCCTTCTTGGCCCACGTCCGAGACAGCTTGGATGCATCATTCAAGGAGTTTATCGGCCATACAGGCGATTCCACCAAGGGCATCGGCAGTGGCCTCAAATTGGACTTGATTTCCATGGACAAGTCCCAGTCGAACGGCGAAATAGGGATAACCCCCAATTCCACAAACTTCACGGTGATCTACCAGAATGCATTGGACTTCAAGAGGCTCTTTTACAACGTCTGTTCCGTATTCAACACCTCGTTGACCTACAGAGACGAGTTCAGCGTGCTTGTGTTGAGGTTTTTGAAGCAGTTCTCTGATTCCTACTTGTCCTTCTACAACGAATTGTTGTCAGGAGGAGAGGAAAATAGCAGAATAGTGGACTACAATTCACCAGCAAGCAACAAGCCGATCCTGAGAACCAGCAAGTGGATACGAGTTCCATCTTTAACTGAGATCAGTGGCATGATCATCAGTTCTCAAACCAGCGGCGACGAGCTCAAGTTGTTGGTGCAGAAGGAGCTCGAAATGCTTGTATTTGGGGGCAGAGAAGACTCGGTCTTTGACACCAACAAAGACGACCTTTTGGACAACGAATCGTTCAACCAAGTGTGCTACTTGTTGTTGACCACCTCGTGGATATTGACCTGGTTGCCGTTCATCAAGAAGGAGTCCAACTACACCGCCACCTCAGGCGATCTGGCGTTCAGTCTCTCCGCGATTGACAAGCTCAGGTACGACTGGTCGTTCTTGGAGAACGGCAGATCGTTGATAAACGTCACCACTGGAGGCGAAGACATCAACCAGGATAATCTCTACCTTGCGTTGACAAAGGAGAAACTCAACGAGTTCAACGCAGTGGTACTGAATTTCCACACCATCAGAGATAACACCTTGCTTGCCTTGCGGTACGACTTGAGGTGCAAGGCCATCTACTACATCGGCAAGTCGTTTAAGCTGATCGACTGGACCCCCATCTCCGAGCCTGGAGACTCGGACCAATTCATTGGTTTGTTCAACAAGGAAGTGTTTTCCATCGACAACAAGCTCACCAAGTACTTGAGCGATGGCGAGAAAGAGAGTATTTTCGTAGGGTTGCCCGAGTTTCTCAATGTGTTGGTGATCCAGGGGTCTCAGTTGATCAGAAAGGTAAATGCGAACGGTATCAAGAGAGTTTTGTTGAATATATTCACCTTGCAACAAATGTTGCGGAACTTGTTGAAGAACCCCGAGGAGGTAGACTTTGGCAGATCGTCGATTTACTTCGAGTTGTTCACCTTGAACGAGTTCAATTTTATTAACTTTGTCAAGGCCAACGACCACCAGTTCAGTGCTGACGAGTACAAGAACATGGTGCGGTTGATCTACAGTGAGAAGTTGGCTGACGGGAACGGTACCCAGTTTAACAAGACCAAGTACAATGACTTGTTGAAGAAAGTGGACCAAGTGTTTGCCAGCATGGATTAGAACAGCTACTTTGAAACAAAACTGCGAAAAGCACTTTAGGTGTTTATGAGAATATATTTTATTCTAACAAGTTGGGGTGGATCGGTTACTTGAAGACATAATGGATGCAAAACATACCATTTCTAGCAAGTCATTTGTGTCATGAGTCATTCAAGGTCTACACTTTATCTTCAATTTTATCATCTATGGCTAGATCCATCCAAAATTCTGAAATAGGTCTATTTAAAACTATCTCCTGTAGTTTATAACAAGGAAATGAACTTGAATTATGAATTCAATGGGTAGATGTAGTACTGGTGAGTTTGTTTCTAACAGTTGGGTTAAATCTGATTTGCATTTTTTGGTTTGAAATGGGTCTCTGAGAAGAATGTTGTATGCGCAGTTTATAGTATTGTGAACCATGGGCCATCACAAATGTTGTGATTGTTACAGGCAAAACTCTCCGCTAGAGCGATACATACTGGAAGGATTGTTGGTTGGGTTTGTACAAATGTCCATCAGCTCTAAACAAAGTCACCCATTTATATCATGTTATTAATTCAATTTTCAAATTTTCAGTATATTATTGAAGAATTTAATACTCTCATAGATGTCCGATTATTGTCAACTAAAGCTACCATCGCTACGAATGTTGAAGACTTTATCTCTAAATTCAAGTAGTGCAGAGGCAGTTCGTTCAGATCCTTCATGAGTTGTCCACTCTTAGCTGGAAAATAATTTCTTTGCAAATGTAGGCTTTACATCGAATTGGTCCAAATGCTTTTAAAATTTGTGGTCTTAAGCAAAACGTTTAGATTTATGATCCTCTATGATGCCAGTATTTACAACGTCGAAGAAAGATCTGAAAAATAATCTGTCCATACAATTACTGCTGACTACACTTCATCACCAACCTGGCACCTGTATTATTCTATTAACAATGTCTTCCAAATGAAGTGGAAGCCTTAATGTTGAGTTTGTCACTCAATCTCTCAAAGAAGAATCTTCCCACACCTGAGCCGATGACCACAGCAAAGAAGTAGACCAAGGTGTAGGTCATGGCCACCAACATCAAGGAGTAGCCAAACAAGTCGGGCAAGATACACAACACCAATCTGATGATGTCTCTGTACACTCTGGAAGCCATGGACAACAGGTTGTTGGTGGCATCTCTCTTGTCGTGCTCGAAGGAGTCCGCACGGAACACAGCCGAGTTTGGTTTCTTGATGCTATCGTCAGAGTCGTCACCGCCACAGCAGTTGGCGGTTTCCTTGGGTGAAATGACATTGGCCTCGTCGCCAGGGTGGCACTCAACGTAGACAGGGTTCTTCCACACCAACTGCTCCAAGTACATTCTAAGGAACTCGAAGCCTCTGGCCACAAATGCGAGGAAGAAGAACAACACAAAGATCCCGAACGCCTGGGCCTTGGTGGATGCAGTCAAGCTGCTGAAAAGCACGGGGTAGTTCTTGAACTCGGTTGTGAAGAACATGTGCATGCCGTCCATACCGTCCATTCCGCCCATGTGCATTCCTTCCATACCAGTGGAGGTAGCCATGGACATACCGGAGGTGTGATGTGCGCCCATATCCATCGTGGAAGAGGCAGTGGCCATGGCCATAGAGCCCATATCCATGGAGCCCATATTCATTGTGGAGGGTGAGTTCTTACTAGTTGTGGTGGGGGGTCTGGGCAAGTGTAAAGTGGGTGCTAGCAGGTAGTGGTGCTAGTGGGAGCGGCTGGAGATTGATGCTGAGGGGTGAATAGATTGGCATTGCCCAGTTTATATATTGCCGTAATTTGCTCGTTCTGGCGAGCAAATAAACCTACCCCATGCAGACAAAATCTGATGAGAATCGACTATTCGCGGGTCTTAGGGCGATCGGTGCAGCAACGACCGCGGTGAGAACATTATTCGACCAGAATGGAAAGGCCGCCGCGGATGGGGTACGATGGTGGTGGGTGCAACCACGAAGGGTGGTTAGTGCTGGGGAGTGCCGGGGGGTGCTGGGATGGTGCTGGCGACATGAAATGGCTGGGTGTGGGTAGTGCGGTCAGTGTCTGTCTTGCAGGCAGGATGTGGCTTGATAGGTAGTGAGTGCGACAGTATTGGCTGCAATCTGCACTAAGATCAAGCGCATATCGGGGGCAACAGTCCAGGAGGGCAGCGGATAAGGGTATTTTTCGAGCAGAAAGCCCAACTCAGCTCAAATTGCTCAGGATATGTCGACACCACTTAGTTGGTCTACGCATGATCGTCCAAACTCAGTTCAAATTGCTCAAGACATGCGGGCACCGCTTGGAGGCGTCGTTGGTCAACACATGATCGTCCAACCAGTCCTTGCCAACAAACCGAGCCCCACAGCCAAGGCAGGTTCCCGTCAACGGGAGCTTGTCGGTCAAGGTGTGAGACAACTTGCCCTTGGGGTCGTCGAACTTGAAGTGTATGTGGAGCAAGTGTTTCTTGTAGTCGTACGGCCGGTTGAAGTGCTGGGTCTTGTGGTTGCACATGTAGCGGGGATAAACGCACTGGAAGCGCCCTACCTCGTTGTGGATCCGCAAATGGCGGGTGAGATCTCGACTGATGTGCTTGTTGCAGATGGGGCACATGGCGCCCTTGGGGTTTCTTTTCTTCTTGCGCTTGACACCGTCTGTTCCTGAAGCATCGGTGGTGGTCTCTCGGCTCGATACACTGTTGTTGCTCTGGTGAGACGAGGTCCTCTCGAGAGGGTGGTTTTCGTATGATGAGCTGGATACGGGTGAGTATCCTTGCTGCAACGCCTGTGCCGGGTCGAGCAAGTCCTGATCGTTGTCGCTGGTATCTTCACGAGCTCCGATATTGTTAGGGGCGTCTGAGAAGGCGGGAGGTTTGGCTCCAGGGCCCTGGGGCTGTGTATCCACCTCATCGATGCCAATGGGCTTGAATAGCACCAGTGGTGACGGTAAAAGCTCGTTGGGATTTACGTCGAAGTTGTAACCAGCCAAATCGGGATTGGAGATGTCCACCTTGAGGTTGTTTGGTGGCTGGGATTCCGGTTTGGGGTGCACCAAATACTCCTCGAACGTCTTGCTGAAGTTGTTGAAGTCCTGCTCGTTGTAGTTGATGTGGGGCGACAAGAATTCGCCCGAAAGGCCCGTTTCCTCGAAGTAACCGTTCTGGCTAGTCCCGGGTGGCTTCATAGACGGGGTCATGTTGGAGTGGGTGGAGATGAAGCGCAGGAGCTCAGAATCGTCGTAGGTGCCTAAGTCGGGTTCAAGAATGCGCAAGTCGGGGCGGTTGGGGTCTTCTTCCGCGTCTTTGTAGTGGGGAATCACGCTGAACTGTTTCGACGGCACCAAGTGTGTAGTTTTGGGGGCAAAGAGCGAGTCCACGCTCGAGTTGGAGGGCGCACCGCTTGCTGACACATCGCGGTTGAGATTGTCGAGCTTGATGAAGAAGCCAGGGTGTTTGGGCTTCTTGGGACGGCCTCGCGGCCGGGGACCCGGCTTGGGAGGTGCTGGTGGGTCTCTGAAGCTTGGTGGCGGTGGGAAGAGCGCCTGGAGCTCAGAAGCAGGCTGCTCATGGGAGATTTCGGGCTTTGTGCCGGTGCTGTCGAACTCGTAGTAGGACTGGCGGAGCGACGACAGCTCGTGGGCCGATGCCAGGGCCGGCTTGGGCTTGTTGATGAGCGGGAATGAGTTCTGCCGTATGGTTTTGGGGCGCTGAGGCTTGACTACGTGCTTGTTTGCCTTGGGTTTGGCGATGGGAGGCGTCAACGGCGCCGTGTGGCCTGAGGGACTGAGCCTGCGCTTGAGGAGCGACTCCTGGGGTGGCTGGAATGCTGGTGCTGGCGGGTAGTGGTGGTCGATGCGGCTGGACGGGACCAGGAAGCTGGAGTAAGTGAAGTAGTCGAGGTCAGCATCACTGGCGCTGACAGAAGGGGTGCCTAAGCCGGTGTGGACCGAGGCAGAGGGGGTGCCCAAGGCGGTGTGGATGTTGGAGCTGGCGTAGGCGCTGGCGGAAGGGGTCCCCAAGTCGTGGACACTGGAGCTGGCGTAGCCAGCATAGGCGTCACCGCCATGCTGACGGCTCTCGCTAGCACCACCATACTGCTGGTACAATGCGGTGGCAAACTGGTCGATCTCCACAGCGTCGTTGTCGGAGAGCTGGGGGGGCCACTGGGCGTTGTGTAGGGGCTGGAGTGGGGGAAACGGCTGGTTTGGGTGGTAGGACGACTCCTGGCGGTCGGAGTCGTTGTTGTTGCCCGTGTTGGTGTCGTTCATTGTGCCATCTAACGGTTGGTGGTGGTGTAGGATCGTCTCGTTAGTTGTGGTGGTGGCAGCAGCTGTTTGGATAAGCAAAAAACCGGCGGTTTTGTGGCACGAGCTGGTAGGTAGCAGGCGAGTGGAAAACGGCGGTGGCTGGGGGGTAGGAAGGGTCCGAGGCTGGTGGCTGGAGAAGAAACATAGAAAGTACCGCCAGGTAGACAATTGCAAAAGCTGCTAAAACGGGTGGTGGGGGGTCACGGGTGGGGGGCAGGGGTGGCGGTGACTGTCTGGTACCAGCGGCGTCAGTGTCGGCCAGAGGCCTCGGAGGTGTCGGTGCAGTGCGCATGGACCCTAGGCAGGGTATGCAAAAAAGTTACCGGATCAGGGCGAGCGGGTCGGTGCACCGCCAGTCTGTGGGGGCAAGGCTATTTCATTACCACGGATGACTGCAGCGTGCGTGGCGGTGGACCCAGCCGATGCCAGTACCGAAAATAATAGTGATGTCAGGAGTGACATTGTGTGGCAAATATACGAACCTGGCTGTATGGAACACTAGAACACTAACCATGGAACAGGAGGGTGGGTCTCTTATAGGTGTTTGGAGGGCGGCTCCGCGTCACGCCTTGGAAGTTGGTCCCAGGGGTGTTCCACCGTCCGTACGCCAGTAGCGGGCCACGGGCCGGGCCACGCTGACACTTCCCAGGAAGGCCCGGTTTGTGCATGGAACACCCACCAGGCCGTCGCAACCTGAAATAGCGGTAGTTGCATGGGTGCGGTGCGTGCTGGCGAAATTGCCTGTGATCGAGGGCACCGACGTACGTGGTTCCTAGGGTGAGATCTAGATCTGGGTCGAGATCTCAAAAGTCGTTGCCGTCCGCTACCGAGTTACAAACATTGCCAGAGCCATTCCAGAATCGGCACCTGAAATCAGGCTGGAGGGCTATCCAGGCACCTTTAACCGCGCGAAAATATGCACTGGCATCCAAATCTGCGTTGCATCCCGGCGCTACCACAGACGTACCATCTGGGATGCCAAAATGGGCCAGAAGCTGGAAAAAACCATTGTTCTCGTACTTTGAACTAATGTCGAAGGGGCTAAGCTGTCGCTTATTTTTGGGGCTGCTTGGAATCGTACCACAACAACGCAGGATTTGTTGCGATGCCCACACACGAGAGTTGAGACCAGACATGCCAAACTAGTGCATTGGCTATTTTTGTGCATGCAGCCCGGGTAAAATAAAAATATGCAAACGAGCAAATAGATTTGCTACAGAAGGCTTTGTGGCACCAGGCTGGGTTCTAGGAACTGCATATTTCAGGGTGTGCCTCATCAGTTACGAGAAGGCAAGATGGAGGCGGGGGGAAAATATAACGGCCCCGGGCTTGGGCGGTGGTGATGGAAGGAGCGATACCACCGCCAGGCCGGACCGTGACCCTGGGCCACCCGGTTTCGACTAATAATGTGCATAAGAATTGTTAGCTTTGATGCAGTTGTTTCGGCTATTTGGCCAAGGGAACTTTTTGACTGCTTCTGCTGCTGGAGGTGCGCGTGATGTGGTTCCATGCACCCTCATGCAGATGCACACTGCGGTCAGCTGTAAGTGGCCCAAAGCGGCCAGTAACGAGTTCCATTGCAGATTGCCCTGGTGGCACCAAGCTTCCAAGAAAAACATTCCCCTAGTGGCCATGCACCCTGCAGTGTGGAAGCAAGTTTTTGGCAGATGCATCTGCTTCGAACTCTTCCGCCCTTGTTTTAATACATGGTTTTAGTTGGAATTGCGGAAATCCATCTCTCGCTCTCACTAGTGTTTTGTGGGCGATGTCTTCCCGCATGGGGCCCGCCCTCACGGCACTGGGTGCGAATTCGCCGCCGCATTAGTCCCTAGCGAGCCCACTGAATCTGGCTCCCCATCCCCTCGTCAACGCGTGGCTGTAGTCTCCATCTAGACCCTGTATGTTGGGCCCAGGAATTTTGCTGCTAGCTGCACAAAACCTGAAAACCTTATTAAGTGGGTCCTCACTCGTCCCAAAATAGCCCCTTACCATCCCCTCCCAATGGGCCGGATCTGCATACAGCTCCGCATGCCTGCACACAGCACTCCCACACCAATTTTATGTTTCGGAGCATCATGTTTGCCTCCCAGCCATGAGTTACTTCGTACTTGGATCCACCGGCTTGGTGGGCAACCAAATCTTGAAATACATCGAGTCTGTTGATGCCGTCACCGCCATCACCACCTTGACCAGACGCCAGCCAAAAATCGCCTCTCCCAAGGTCAATGCCATCGTGGAGGAGGATTCCTCTTTGTGGCCCAAGGTCATTTCCCAACAGGCCCAAGGCACCAAAGTGTTCTTCTCTGCATTCGGTACCACCAGAGCCGCTGCCGGATCTGCTGAGAATTTCCGCAAGATCGACTACGGAATAAACTACGATGCTGCCAAAGCCGCCAAGGACCTCGGAGTGGAGACTTTCGTGTTGATCTCCACGGCCGGCGCAAAAACAAGCTCGCCCTTCCTCTACCCCGCTACTAAGGGCAAGTTGGAGGACGACATCATCGCGCTCAAATTCCCCAGAACCATCATCTTGAGACCAGGCGTGCTTTTGGGCGACAGAGACGTGCCCAAGGGCTTCTTGAACGATCTTGCCGTGAGAGTGGGCAGCTGGACCAAGGGCACGTCGTTGGACTTTGTGGGCCACGGCGTGGATGCTGCCGACTTGGCAAGAGTCAGCTTCGATGCGGCTCAGGAGGACTTTGACAAGTCCGCTCCTGTGGTGAAGTACCTTTACGGAGGAGACATCACCAAGTTGGTGCGTCAGTTGAAGTAGGCAATGCGTATACGTGAGTTCCACGCAGTTACTGCCTATTTAGTTAATCCATTCCACAGTTTTCGTTTAATCCATGTCTGTCAACTGCGTGAAGCAACGATAATTTCTACGTATTTAGCTAATCGAAGTCTGCCAAATGCAAGCACCACGATAATTTGTATATAGCTTATGCACTGCCAACTGCAAGCTCCTCGATAATATCTAATGGCTAACATTTCTGCTGTGCACCACCCACTTTCTTTTGGCTAACATTGCCACATCGAACCATCTGTATTCTCCGTCGCCCAGATCCAGTACCTTAACCAGTGGTCTCGCCCAGATCATGCACTGCACTCTAGAATCCGGCCATTCTTGCCTTGCCTACCGGCCTGCGATAATCACCCAACAACATCCCGTAGTTTAAACTCTGTGGCCGACCATTGGCCCGGCGTAAACCCGGAGAAATATAGAAAATATTGTACCACTATATTTTCGCAACCCCACTCAAAGCGAGAATTTTAATGAACACTCATCACAGTTGGGGTAGGTGTCACTACTGGGTGGTCCACATGTCTGTCATTACTCCTGAGTCACGGAAACGCCCGTGGCTGTAATCCCCGTCTCCGGAAAAAATAATCCATTCGATTAATTACTTGGAAACAACAGACGAAAATATATGGCAATGGATAATATTCGCTTGTCTGTTGAAGGAGAAGCCCCGCTGCAGCCTAACCTCGAAATGCCAAAGCCGAGGGAGTATTGGGGTATTCGACTAATGGTCAGGTTGGCCTTGTGAAGGTATGAATCGAAGTGTAATAATCACTGCGGTGGCCAAACCATTCTATCCCTGTAGACGCATGGCTTAGTTGAGCAATAATCACTACAGTTGATTAATTACTACTTGAGCGTTCTACTCCATTAGTTACACTTCTCTTACGTACAATCAACTATTATTCATATATACCATTAAAACATGCTCGCAAGAAGCTCTATAAATTATCCACAGCTGCAGGCCCTGGGCCTTCATTAGCACCCTAGCTTACTCGATGATGGGACATTTCTTGGAAGCATCCTCAGTGAGAATGTGCTTGTCCAACCAGTCCTTGCCCATGAACCGGAGCCCACAAGGACAGGTGCCCCAGTCAAAGAGCTTGTCGCTGAGGTTGTGGAGTCTTTTAACACATGGGTCGTCGAACTTGAAGTGTCTGTTCAATAAATGCTTCTTGTAGTCGTAAGGACGGTTGAACTTGCCCAGCTTGTGGCGGCACTGGCCCTTGGGGAATTTGCAGGTGAAACGAGCCTCGCTCTGGTGGGTTCTCATATGTCTTGACATGTCTCTAGTGATTCTCTTTCCACAGATTTGACAAGACTTATGGTCCACAAACTGGCTCTCCACCGGTGGGGGCAACAAGTTGGAATTGGAGTTGAGGAGGGTGGTCATGTCGGGGTACAGGTTGACATCTATGCCCTGGGGGACTTGGATGGATAATACGTTTTGTTGGCCGTGCTGGTACAGTTGTCCTTCATGTGGATATGGCTGTGAATGCAATGGGTTTTGGTAAGGGTTGACTGGGCATGAGTTCGCCCTGTACTTAGAGGGCTCGTCATCGTAGGAACCAGGACGGATGTCAGGAAGAGAGTGTCCCTTGGGGTGCTTGAACTCATCAACGTGCAATGCTGGAGGCACTGGTGCCGCAACATTGGCCCCTGGTGGTGGCTGCGAATTGAACTGGCCCTGGTAGTATTGTTGTTGGGTGTGATCGTATGGCGATTGGTGCACTTGGGAATAGGAGCCCGATGCGGGAGCTGGTGGGTAGCCCGACTCCCCAGCACTAGCACCTGTGCCTGGAATTGGAGGTTGGTTTGGTGGACGGTGGCTGTACGAAGAAAGGTTCAGGTTGGCATTAACGGGTGAGTAATGATCCACTTGGTTGGAGGAGGACCCGCTGGCAGCTGGTGGAGCACCACCAGCTGGGTTCATCACGTAGCTGTACGATTCCTTGTAGTCATATTCGTTGGCAGAAACCGTGCTAGCATTCCCTTGGCTCAGCTCATTGTCTGAGTTGTAGTGATATAATTGGTTTTGCAATTGTGATTGCAGTGGTGCCTGTTGCTGCAGTTGTGTAGTAGGAGGGGTTGGCATTAATGAACTATTTGTCAAAGAATTCAATTCATAGCCCCTTCTTGCTAAATTCTGTGAATGATTAGGTAGTTTATTATTATTGACAGGAGTAACTAGCTTCATTAAAGAATCAACTTCGGGTTGGTATGTAGTTGTATTTGGTACAGAATAATTGAGTAACTCCATTAAGAATGTCTATGATGAATGGGCTATCTAAAAGAATGAATCAGTCCTATCAATATATGCCGCAAAAACTATGAACGAAGAAAGCACCTAAGAAAAGATCTGGCAAGATCGTGATTATTTAAGTAACTTTTGAGCAGGATATCTGAACTCCTCCAAGATCTCCGTTTAAGGTCTGCTAAGCGCCTATGATCTTTGTAGAGACGTGAAACAGTGGGAGGGTTTGCACCTGAAAAATATTGCATAAAATTAAGGCGTTAAAGTATCGAAGTTTTACCAAGGTATTTCCTACGCATCAAAAAAAAAATACCATGCAAGTCCTCACTTTAGAGTTAGGCATCAAATATAAGAGGGGCTATAAAGCCTTTCAAAACAAAATTAAAAATTGCAAAGAAAGTAATTGTGGTAAAAAATAATATTATACATGCCGCTAAATAATAAATAGGAGCTCCGAACAGGGTGCATATATAATTATAGTTCTGTCACAAAATAGTGGTGACTGAAGAACACGAAACCTGAAGGAAAGTTAACGACAGGCCAACCGCAACAAAATCAAAAAGCTTAATTCCTGGCTTCTGGGAACATCAGTCACATGTATCTATGGAAGCTGATACGAGTACCCCCCGTGCCGTACGCAGGGACTATCTTTTTTCAATTTCCCCGATACGGCCGAATTCAAATTTTATCCGATCCGCTCCGATCACTACCAATTAGGGCCAGTTATCCATGCGCCTCGATCAAGCTTCAGTTCATGACTTCGCATCACGGGTCCTGTCGATACATCTACGAGCCCTCTTAGCAAGACGTAAAATTCACATGTAACCAAAAAATATCCGCCTACACAGCCAGGGTCCTCCGTGGCAGAGGGAAGTATTTCGTAACGGTTGCACAAACATGCGTCGGTTCAGACAGACCACACCAATATTAATGCGCGACATTTTGTTTGTGGCTGTCAGAGATGCGCACCGACATTTGTCTCCCTCAGCATTTCTAAGCAATTTAGTGAGAATTAGTAATTTGTTAAACAAGTCAAACTGAATAAACGAATCAGTCAAGAAAAAAACCCTACATTAACAATAAGAGGAATTATATGCAGGTCATATATACAAGTTAATTATGTACTCCATGGCAGCATTCGAAAGTACCCACATGCGCTAGTCAGACTATGCATGGTTACAAGAATTAGCCCAGGTACTATTGCAAATAGTATCGCCAAGGATAGAGCTGTTTGGGCTTATCGGTTGAACGGTGGCGATAATTGCAAAACTGGTATTACCAGCCACCACTACAGGTCTTAGAGGGTCTACGAGCATCTATGGCTCATCTTGTAAATAATAGGCTACCGTTCGACCCAGATTCGAATCCAGGAACTGAAATTCACTGTTCCTATTCGGGCTTTCTAAAACGTTGTGCTATTTCAAGTGAGTTCTTCTGCTTTAGTTGACCTTCGCTAGGCGAGGCCACACAGGCTAGACGAAGATGACTTCATTTTCACGGCGAATGGCATAATTAGCCCCTAAGGGGATCCTGTTTCAGCCGTTGGGTGAAGTAGATGCGCTCTCTAGTAACGGTCATGTCTCGCTTATTGCTACCCCGGTTCAGGCGATCATGGGAGTGCATATATCAACTCCTCGCCAATTTTGCAGTCATGACCAAATAATACTATCCCCTCCGGAAGAACGGGTAAAGCAGGATTCCGTTACCGGTCCCTCTTAGATACGATTTCGATCCCCAGGCAACTAAAAATTATCGGAGTCCATTCTTGCATATTTCCCCCAAACACGACAATGAAACAAGCAAACCTCATCTTTTTCTCTAGAAGCCAGACCGCTCAGAATGTTCTATGGGGGTATCCAGATCCCCCAACCCCTCTAAATCTATTAGACGGCACTAAACGTGATAAGAGTGATTCAAAAGTGAGGCTTCTACGATGCAGCAAGCCCAGAGCTAATTCTAGACCAAGAATAAGAAAAGATAGATAGATATGACGAATATGGTATCGCTGGCGGATAGCGGTAGTATGAAATGGGTATATCTCTGTTTTTGCTCCTTGTAGTGGGTTCTAAAATGGCGCGGGTGACCGAAATGGGTATCTTGTGCTATAGCCAAGCATCTGTAGTGCATATAAGTCGGAGATAAACTGTTCGAAGTGTGGTCCCAGAAGCTCAGTTTTGTGGTAACATGGACTATTGGCCATGTACCTGTTGTCGGGCCCTTACTGCACTTTGTGCGTTTCCGTGCGTAGTATTTTAAGGCGTCAAGGCGCAAATGCGAAACCTAGTTAACCCGTAGCACAATAAATAAATATTTCGTTTAGACTGAAGAGCAACAAACATTTCCCCATCATTGTAACCGAGGTACATGTTTGATAAAGAAATGGGATGATTTTCGTATCTTTGGATTTAATAGCTGTTGATTCTCAGAAACAGACTATTTTTTATGTGAAAAGCGGAAACCCCGTAAAACTCAAGCCCGAATCGTACATGCCTATTTCAATTATACATAAGTGATGTAACCTCCATGTATGTTAGCATCATAGCTCAGACCAGCAGGCTCAAGTGTCATGGTTTGGAGATATGCTGTAGTATAATTGGAAGCGAATTTCAAGTTTTGACGTTTGCCGTGTCACTGAACACAATCACTACACTATTGGTAGCAAGATTGTCTATTACAATAGTAACCATAAAATGGGGGATTTGACTGATGCAATCGAAATCCTGTGCGCGAGCTGAGCGAATTCTCTTTTATTTTTTACAAACCCCCACTCTCAAGTTCCATCTAGTATTTCTCACTAACACTGCTAAGGTCAACAGTAACCAACTAGGCACTGCAGATGCTTGGATGCACCAACATCTATGAACTTATGAACGGAAATACGAAGTTCTCATGGAAAACTGTCAGAATCATACATCCGACTGTAAAATAACTAGTTACCCAGGCCTACATGAAACTGCCACAATTCGTGGCCAGTGTAATGGACATATGTACATTTGAACTACAATTCTCTTGCATCCCTCAAGTAATTTGATGGACCTCGGTTCATTCTATTCAACTTAAGACAAACAGCACTTCATGCATATAAGCTTCTTGCGTAAATGCAAGCTTTGGCTAATACAATCTGTTGATTTGTTGTCAGTACCACGGGCTATACACAGCTGTTAAACAGCTTCTCAACCGGAAAGAATCAAGAACAAGTGAGAGGCAGTCAAACTATGAAGTGCTCACTCGGTAAAAAAAGTTTATGTTTCCTATCACCTGGAGCTTTTTTTCTGGAGCTAAAAATAGAAGTGAGAACTGTATGAGAAATCTAGTTATACAGGCGCGTGGATCAATGCAGAGCCTTGTAAACTACAACTTCTTTCGATCGCCCTCAATCATTTGAAGGTAACCAAAAACTAAAAGTTCCGGAGGAACAAGCCTGGTATAATTAGGATGTGATTCTACTTTTGTGACACAGAATAGGGGCTACGTCAAAAAATAGGAACAAAGTTACGTTACATCCCAGCAATAAAGGTCCTACAATAGCAATAATTTAAGTATTGAGAAGCAAATAGTTTCATACAACTTGTAGGCCATGTTGTGATCGCTGTTATTTCTGAGGTAAGAATAATTTTATGTAACCTAACCTGAACTATGGATCAATTACAATAGAAGTGCCTGAATCGATGATATTATGACACCAATTTACGGCATATCTCGACACTACGCACGTGTCGTATCAGAAGTGAGATGCTCCGAACATACCACCGGTAAGAGCTTCTCGAACAAGTATGAAATGATGAGGAAGTTTCACCTAAACTTGTCGCTTACAGAATTTATTGGGGTGGTCTAGATTTTGGAGTTAGAATTACCGAGACTACTAGATAGCATTAGAGTTTGATCTTTAAAGAGAGACTAATAAATTGGTGCAAGTGAGGATGATGGCTAGTAAACGAGCTAGTCTTGATGTAGAAAAAACTGGGATTACAAAAAAGGTACCGAAGCAAAGCATTGAGAGGACCACAATAGCCACATCACAATATCTTTCTTCTAATTATAATTGGTATTCATCTTGATGTTATATTTTCAGAATTAGAGATTCTTACTATTATCCAATTTTTGAATTTGTAAGAAATTAAAAGTTTATTTTTCTTTTAAGCTAGGAAGTTAAAAGTTAAAACTAAAAAGGTTGTTAATCCCGCTAAAAGCGCATCTGGTATAGAGCATGTAGCGTGAGTGCCAGGACTAAATATGTGTATTTTGTGACGGATCCGTTCGTGCTACTTCTAAAACTATTCACAAGTGGTTACATTTATTGCGGAACTAAAACCCTTTATTTTTGTTTCTCTTCAATTTTAGATTCAGCGTCAAAGACCCTTTTCGATATCAGCACTTGATCTTACCCAGGTGAGGCGCTAATAACATGAACACTGCACCTTATCGCAATCGCCACAACATATCCAAGCCAACATCTCAACCTAAATTCCTACATTCCTGGAATCCATAAAAGACCTTGTAACAAAGCCGATACTTTACTATGCATATTGGAAAAAGTAGTTAGTTTGGAGTAGATTGGCAATTGGGGGTAAACTTTGAAATACCATCCAGGGAGCGAAGAGTCCACAAAGGGTATTAGGGCATTTGTGGATGTGTGTAGGTGGCGCATTGCAATTGGCACTGGCGAGAAGAATGTTTCAAATCTGATTTTATACACGTACTACTCTGTTGGATAGCAATTTGGTTCAATGCTAGGAACAATCGGAACCAGTGCGCAAACGAGCTAGTTCATAACAATACAGGGTTGGTCAGGGCAATAGACGATGCGAGTTCCAAGACACAAGGCTGCTGTGATCAAGAATGGCATTTGGCAAGTTCGGTTTCATTGCAATTACACTAAATTTGCACCATTCTAAATCCGATGGTTACTGAGAATAGCTACTATCAAGGTCCATTATTTTATTCTGTAACCCAGCTCGGGTTTATCATAGGCTTACAGGGTTTTGTTTGGGGATCTCCAGCCCCGAGCCATATGGCTGTTTGGGCATTTCTACGCAGCAATCCAGAATTAGGTTTGGGTGCTTCCCGTAAATGCCACAAGATGACAAAATAAGGAGTATATATAGGTGTGCGGTCAACTCAGCCTAGCAACGAGGGTAAGCGACATTGCTCGGTTAACTATACCGAGAAGGCTGATTTGTGGCTAAAGGTACCTGGCACACGAGAAACGCGTGCGAGAACCATTTTTACCCGACCAACCCAACCTGTAAAACTCCGGGGTTCTGCCGGAGCTAATCTGTAAACCGTCCCGGGATGACCGAAGTGCAGAGGGCAGCTCAAATAGTGCAGCGCGCCAGCGGACGGGCCGACTTTTGCTAGGCATCGTGCCCGAACTGGCGACGCGGCAAGCACCAAGAACTTGCAGCAACCAGCATTCTCAGGTGCACCAGCCAGAGCCCAACCAGCAATCTCGTCAAAATGGAGGGATGCTGGCTGGGGCTGCTCGTCAACATAGCCAGCACCAACGGCCCCGATCCACTCTTAAAGGGCGTGGTGCCCTGTGGTAGACTTTTAGAACCTCTTGTTCACTTTTACTACCTCTAGCCAACTTTTGTCATTCTTTTCAAGGTATGTTGAATAGTTGTTTGAAACCGCAGATTAGATGAGACGGTATGCAAGCAGCACCAGGAGGAATGTTCTGGGCGCAGTTTGCGAAAGGCGCAGAGGAGGCCACGACACAGCGCCCGCCAGGGGGAGCGTTCTCATGACTACCGCTGGGGCCATGCACGGAACAGGCCAATTAGCCCATAGAGGCAGTCGGCCCACAATAGGCCCATAGTGGCAGTCACCGACCAGCAGGGGCTGGCTGGGACAGTTCCGAGGGCGTCAGCCCCACATCCGGGCGTTTGTGCGATGTTGTTTGTTGACAATATGCGCGTGTCGCCCGTGTTTCGTCTCTGCCCACCCCCTTCTCCACCCTTCCCCAACGTCCTGCAACGCTCACAAACACGCTTCCTGCGCTGCCTCCCGGAATGCCCCCGGCTGTTTCATCTCCGACCTCCTTCTGGCAGCCAATATATAATCCCCAGCCGCCTCATTTTCTGCCCTTGTTTTCCCACCACCACTAACTAACTAACCTATAGTCATTCCTTTCCCCATCCATTGGTTGATAGTTATGAAGTTCTCCATATCCTCCATGTTGGCGTTGTCTGCCATGTCGCTCGCTGCTCCTGCTGCTGCCGACTCTGACTGTTCCACCACCAGATTACACGCCCACCATCAACACAAGCGTGAGGTTGTGTATGACTACTCGTACGTGACTGTGACTGTCGACAAGGACGGCTCGCTCATTCCTGAAACCACCCTGGTCAAGGAGCCAGTTTCCACCGTTGCTGATGCCTCCACCACCAGTGCGGCCAACCAGGTCAAGGCTGTGGACTCGTCTTCCAGCTCATCCAGCGCCAGCTCCAGCTCCAGCGCTGCCAGCTCTAGTTCGTCCAGTGCTGCCACCACCACCAGCTCCAGCGCTGCCAGCTCGTCCAGTGCCGCCAGCTCGTCCTCTGACGTTCCAGAATCGTCTTCTTCCGGCACTTCTGGCGACCAGCCTCCAAAGGGTGACTTGGGTGCATTCCAAGACCCCAGCACCCCCTTCCAGGACGGTGTGATCAGCTGCAGCTCGTTCCCATCTGGCCAAGGTGTGATCCCATTGTGGTACCTCGGCTTTGGCGGTTATTCCGGTATCGAGAACAGTGATGGCTCCACCGGTGGTAACTGCAGAGAGGGCTCCTACTGCTCGTACGCCTGTCAATCTGGTATGTCCAAGACTCAATGGCCAGAAGACCAACCTTCCAACGGTGTCTCCATCGGTGGTTTGTTGTGTAAGAACGGTAAGTTGTACAGATCCAACACCAAGGCCCAGCACTTGTGCGAATGGGGTATCCAGGCTGCCTCCGTGCAGAACCAGTTGAACAAGGACGTCGCCATCTGCAGAACCGACTACCCAGGTACTGAAAACATGGTCATCCCAACTGTCCTCCAAGGTGGCTCCTCGTCTCCTATCACTGTCGTTGACCAAGGCACCTACTACCAATGGAAGGGCCAACCAACCTCTGCCCAATACTACGTCAACAACGCCGGTGTCTCGTGGCAAGATGGTTGTCAATGGGGTTCTGAAGGTTCCGGTATCGGAAACTGGGCTCCATTGAACTTCGGTGCTGGTTACGCAAACGGAGTCTCCTACTTGTCGTTGATTCCAAACCCTAACAACCGTGACGCTGCCAACTTCAGAGTCAAGATTGTTGCCGACGGTGACGCCACCGTCAGTGGATCTTGTGTCTACGAAAATGGTTCCTACAACGGTGCTGGTTCCGACGGTTGTACCGTTGGTGTCACCCGTGGTAAAGCCAAGTTTGTCATCTACTAGTTGGGCCAAAAATTGTCGTGCTGCTCTAAGCTTCATTGATTTGTTATTTCAATTCCAGGTTACCTTCTTACCACTGTATATTTAGTAAATTTTAGAATCTTGTATGATTGTAGTGGAACGAGCTAGAAAGACTCTAACAAGAATTCTGGTTCGAGTACAGACTGGGGAATTGATGCTAAGTGCCGGGGTGGACATTAGGTTGTTATTAATTAGTGATTGAACTTTTCTTAAGATCCAAGTTACTTCATGTTATTAATTATTCATCGTAATTGCAGCAGTATAAGATCAAGGATACTAAGAGAGTAATGGTAGTATCTGCTTCTTTTCTTAAGCCTTTCGGTACTAAGATGTTATTTATTGATAGCAAATGAACCCTTGAGACCCTGGATCTTAAGTGGTTATTAGTTAATTAATAGTAATTGAACCTATACTTTAAGATCCCAGATACCAAAAATCAGAACACGCCTCTCACTTTGTGGTTATATGGACTTCACTACCATCGATACATGATGGTATGCCCGAATAGTGACTGCAAACAGTGCCAGACCAACTGGTTTAGTTGCGAAATTCTGTATGAGTCTTCAGTTTTAAGAAACAGTGGATAATAATCAGTAGTTGAAGATCAACAAATACCGAGGAACCTTAGAAGTACCCCTGATATATTAAATGAATAAACCATCTTAATAAATCAATATTAAAGTGAATACCGTTAGAAGAGAAAAAAACCGCTCTATACTATAATATTTTTTGTATCAAAAATGCTTGTATAAGTTTAATAATTCAAAACTTATTTTTCGCGCATAACCATGAGCACCAGCCAAGCATCGATCTTGACATTCTTGCTGTTAACCGGTGAGATCATCATCGTGGCATTAATTTCAGGAACCTCATATCCAGAGCACATATTGCTTAATTAGGAACGCATTGCCGTGCCCCACGCGGGCTCTGAAGCCGGTGGTTGACGGCATATGAATATGGGCCCTGAGATTGATTCGAGAAAATAATGCAAGCAAGTTCAACTGCCGGAAGAGAGTTCATAACGGCCTATTTCATCTACGCCGTTTTAAATTGAAATATGTTTTTGCTACCGTGTATTTAGTAATCGAGAGCGATACAGCATGACAAGCCTAGATAGAGGCTTGTAGTTTTAGTCACTCTCCATAATCTTATTGAACTAAAAATGGAGGAATAGGTGGAAAATAAATGTTGAAATATTTATACAATGCACCAGAGGACCAGACATCGGCTACCTATTATACGACCAATTAACTCGCTAAGGCAATTGATACAGACTTTACATTATTGCTCTTAAAAATACGTAGGTTATTTTGGGCAGGGTTATAGACTTTTAGGGGTCCATGTTATTTTTTAACGGGTACATACTCAATGGCATATAACCAAACCTCCGTTTATTCTTAACCTCGCAACGAGAAACGCATTTATGCTTCATTACTTGGAATAGCCGTTTAAAAAATTAGTAGGTTGTGGTTATTGTCGAGCAATATAGGCAAAATAGAAATCCAAGAACCGAAGCTAATTCCACAACAACGAAATTCCAACGAGAATTAACGGTATTGCAATTAATTGTGATGCAACAGGAGAATTTTTTTAGTGATGATGGAATAAATATGAACTACGCCAGTCCAAGTCAATGAGACATGTACTAATTACAATCCTTTCATAACTGGTGGCCAGGTACCGAGTTTGAGTATTCCGCCGTCTGACCCCATTACAAACACTTGAAAAGGTGAACATATATTAATTATACAGACATGCCAACAACAAGAACTGAAATTCGAAGTTTCTAGAATTAAACGGTATTTTAAACGTTGGGGTCTGAACTCAAGCGAGTGATGAAAGTGATGCTAAAATGTCGCGTCTGGCGGATATTAGGACATCATAACCAGATCAAGGCGGGTCTAACTGATGATAGCCCAGAACTTTTGCCATGCGTTCTTTGGCTCGTCTTCTTCCCAATCTTCATCGTCGATTTCTCTGACCCCAGTGTCGATGTCACACTCTTCCAAGGGGACCAAGAAGCTGCTGTAGGACCAGGAACGGATGTTAAAGCCATTGAAGTAGAAGTGGAATCCGATCCAGCAGACGGCAAACAAAATCAACGAGACATAAGAGGTGAAGAACTTGGTTGCATCGATATCCCAGAATGCTTGGAAACCCTGGATGAAGGTGATGATGAACACGGCAACGGCAGCGTAGTAGGAGGCATAAGGCATGAACTTGGCCTTGAATGGCAACGAGTCTCTGCTGATGTTTCTGGACTTCAAGATGTTCATGAATCTAATGTGGGTGAACGAGATCCATCCCCATGCGATCAAACCAGAAGTGGCAGTGATGTTCAATAACCAGCCAAAGGCCTCATTACCGTCACTGGAGGTGGCCAAGTAACCAAGGGCTCCAAAGGCAGAGGTGAAGAGCACAGCAACCCATGGCACACCGTGCTTGGAGGTCTTCTGGAAGAATTTTGGTGCCACGCCGGCCTGGGCCAAACCAAACAAGATACGCGAGCCACAGTAGACGTTAGAGTTACCAGCAGAGATGATGGTGACCAAAATGACGGCGTTAAAGATGTCTGGCAAGATTTTGGTTCCGGAATTGTTCATGGCAATGATGAAGGGAGAGTTGGCAGTGTAAGCGGCTCCATCACCTGGGTTCAAGGCTGGGTCGTCGAAAGGAACCAACAATCCGATGAAAAGCATACAGGCGACGTAGAACACCAAGATTCTGAACAACACCTTTCTGATGGCAGAAGGGACCGTTTTGTGGGGGTTTTTGGACTCACCAGCGGAGATACCCACCAACTCACAGCCCTGGAAGGTGAAGGCAGCGGAGATCAACGAGGCTAACCAACCGAGGAAACGTCCAGTGTTGACGTTTTCCACGAGAATACCTGGGCCCCAAGGACCTGGGTTTCTCCAGTATCTGAAGCCAACAGGGCCAGTTTTGCCAGCTCCACACACCATGATGAACGCGTACAACAACCAACCGACAACAGCCACCACCTTCAAGGTGGCGATCCAGAATTCGATTTCTCCGTAGTACTTGACGGGGAAAAGGTTGGAAAGTGTCAAAAGCACGAAAAAAATCGAGATCCATGCCGCCAACGGCACAGCATCCGTCCACTTGCCAATGACCTGGCCCACTACCGACAACTCCAATGCGTAGGTGATGGCCCACGAGAACCAGTAGTTCCATCCATTTGCTGCACCCAATGCAGGCGAGCACCAACGAGTGACAAACTGTGCAAACGAGCCTGCCACAGGAATCAACGTGGCCATCTCTCCCAACGCCTGGGTGACGGAGAACGCCAACGTGGTCATGAACAAGAACGAGATCACTGACGATACTGGGCCTGCCTGGCTCAAAGTGCCTCCGGTCGAGATGAACAAACCAGTTCCGATGGTACCTCCAATAGCGATCATGGAGATCTGACGAGCCTTGAGGCCACGATGGACCTCGTCGGTGGCAGGCAAGATCTCATCCTTGATAGAGTCGGTTTCGTTGGCGTAGTCGATGTTCTTCTCCTTATTGAGTGGTTCTTTGGAGCCAGTTGGCGACAGTGGCGAGTACTCTCTGTAGCCAGACGACAGCCCTACTACGGGCGAGGAGACGTAGTGCTTTTCCGACATGGTAATTGATAGGAAGAAAGAAGGGGCACCAGGAGAAATATATATGGGTGGGCGTCTAAGCCATTATATACAAATTTTGCACGAGTGCATTGTTGCGAAACATGCATAGACAGGGACCTGGGAGGTGCAGGGGGCGGCAGGAACGATAGCGGAGTTATCAGGGCGATAAAGGGTGGGGGAGGGAGAGGGTGGAGATACCAGAGCAGTGAAGTATGGGTGGGGGTGGCCGCGGTGGCTCGCTGTGGGTGGCACTATGGGTCAGGGCAGGCCCTGGCGGCCTGCCAACAGCTAGTGACAGCGACGCGCGCATCGATGGAAGAAGCATGAAAAAGCGAAGAGTGCGCGCGCAGAAACGCCTGGCGCTAGGGAAGACCGCGCTGGTGGCGCTGGGAGCCACCGCTAGCTGGCCCAAGTATGGGGACTGACAGTGGGGACGCCTCATCCAGCGGTTTAAGCTCCGGAGGCGTGCGGACCTTCCATTGGTTGACAGGAAGGCGGTCCAAACGGCTGCGCGAGCCGTTTCTTTTTGCGTGCGCGGCGTTTTGGTGCGCAGCCTGCATCCATGCTCGGCACGCCTAGCCACCGCAAACTGGCCGAGCGAGTGGCTATTGTTCAGGCCCTGGATCAACAACACCACCCCCCATTAGCCGTCCCCTCCCTGGACCCTTCCTACTGTGGCCCTTGCGCTTCCGTGGCGCCTGTCCACCCCTGGAGAGCCAGCTTCGGCATTTCGCACCAGGACCCCGAAGCGGCGTTACCCGCATGGACAAGTTCTGGGTGCATATCACTGGGCGCACATTGGGCAATTGCCTTATTGCGTAGTCCAATCAGCGTACTAGCCTTCGATCTACCATCATTATCTCTGGCGGTATCGGGGCCGCCCGCCGCCGAGCAATTCTCCACAGGCATTATCAGGGTAGTCTCCTGTCAGGGTTGTCCTCCCAGTCATCCGCTAGTTAAGCCTCTTTCGGAAAATCCCACCCAAACTAACTTTGGCCCGTCTACACTTCCCCTCGCGCCCGTAGATGCGTGCAGCACATCTAGCCTGGCGATCTCCGCTGCTTATCCACACATTTGGTGGATCATGCAGAATGAACTCAATTTTTGAGTCATCGCAGCCATTACAGTCATGCGACCATCGCCAGAACTCATCGATGCATGCGTGTCGGGCATCGTAATTCGGCTATCTGCTTATCTTAGCATAATCATCTCTCTTCAGTAGTATGGAAGTTTCTCCTTCACTGGATTCTTTCTTTCCATAATGGCAGGCTTCTCTGCGGCCTTTCCTTCTCTCCTTTGCAGTGTCGCTCTCACCTGCCTGGCTATGGCCCGAAAACTTGAACGAATGTGGAGAGAACAAGCTACGGGGCAAAGGTTCCGTTGGTGTATCGCCGTCAGTCCATTGCGGAGAGTAGAAGTGGCATGACCAGCGGAGATTCGGCTTGGCCTGCTGGTGAAGTTTGAATTATGGGGTAGAAGAATTTTGCGGGTGAAAGAGTAGAAACGGATATTGTGGGCGAGTGAAGAGTGAAGCAAAGAACTTGCAAGTGAGTTAATGGAAGTAGAGTAGCTAATTTTGTAGGTGAATAGTCGAGTGAATAGTAGTAGAGAAGAGTGAATTTTGCGGATAAGTGAATAGTAAATACCTGACAATTACATGGTGAGTGAATTTCTGATATTTACATGGTCAGATAAGTCTCACTATGAGTGGGTTCCTAGCATTCGAGATTTGAAGATCGACTAGCCCCCGATCCAAGCCTGGTACTTATGCCCAGTCTACTCTCAACCGGTCTAGGCGCGCCAGGAGCTCTGCGACCGTGTGGAATCTCCATTTACGGTGCCAACTGGCCCCGCATTTTCCACCCTATATTGTGGGGAAGTATGGAGACAATACACAGCCACCAATAGCCAGATGATGCCAGGAATTGAGCCAGACCTGGCCATGGGGCTTTCTCGTCCCACCAATATGTCCACCTAATTGCATCAATTCTCACCTACGTTTCAGCCAAGCCAGTCTGGAAATCCAGATCACTGAATTTTGGCAAAGGCAAGTCTCTATCTCTAGTAAGAGAGTCACTTTAAGTTGTATGTTTACTGTTACATAACCAGTCTATTGAATCACAGCACTTCTCTACTATACAGTTACCAAAAACATTATTGAGCGGTGCATGCACCACATGGTTTAAGTCTTTACTCCCTGATTTGGTGTTGCCTCTATATCCGAATTCAATTAATTGCCCAAGCTGTATTAAATTGCACCTGCTATTAAAGAGCATCAATATTGGCCAACACTGTAGATTGAAATAGAAAAGTATACGTTAAGCCCAATAAGCAGATTCACCCAAATTTTCACCCTACTCAGTTCCATTAACTAAGCAAATTCATTCGCAACCCACTTTATTCTAAAGCTCGATCTTTACTCTTACTGTTAATTATTCGATCTTCACTGGCAATCAAAACATCCTTACTTCCCCACTCCAAAAACAGCCACCATTTCATGTCGGAAAACCTCTCAATAGCATTTTGCCCATTTCCAACGGCCTGTCACACTCATCCATCGATCTGCTCAGATGCCACTCCATCTAGGAAATATCTCTGACGCGCCCACGCGACACGCGATTTCCTGCCAATTGCCGGTCACGTGCCGCGTGCGTTGTCAAAGTCACTTCTATTCACCGTTGGCCATCTCCAACTCCATCATTGAGCCTGATGTCGCTGTCCGACGAAGACCAACCACTTGCTAGAAGATCCAAGCAGCCACGAATCGGCTCCGACGATGAGGACCTTCCTTTGGCCCGGATGTCGGCCGCCCCCATGGACATTGATGAGGACGATGAGGACGACATTGTAATCACCAAGAGAAAGAGAACTTCCAACGGGACCGCAGCTGGCTCCAAGCGAGCCAAGAAGGTTAAGGAGGAGCCCAAAAGCGCTCGAGTGCCCAAGACTCCGAAAACTCCGAAAAGTGCCGCTGTTTCCAAGGCCCCAAAAACCCCAAAGACTCCAAAGACCCCAAAGACTCCAAAGGCCGCTAAAACTCCCTCTGACAAGGTGAAAGAAGAGACACCAAAGGAGGAGACTCCGGACGACATGGGGTACAAGTGGTGGGAGGCTGAGGAGAACGATGGCGAGCAAAAGTGGGAAACTCTCGACCACAACGGAGTGATATTCCCTCCGGAATACGAGCCATTGCCCCTGCATGTCAAGCTCTTCTACAACGGAAAACCTGTGAATTTGCCTAAGGAGGCAGAGGAAGTGGCAGGTTTCTTCGGTGCCATGCTTGAAACGGAACATGCCAAAAATCCAGTTTTCCAGGCCAATTTCTTCGCCGATTTCTTACAAGTGTTGAAGGAATGTGGAGGATGCGGCGTGGAAATCAAGGAGTTTTCCAAGTGTGACTTCACCAAGATGTATGCCCACTTCGAGTTGTTGCGTGAGGAAAAGAAGAACATGACCAAGGACGAAAAGAAGAGGCTCAAGGCCGAAAAGGAAGCGTTCGAAGAACCCTACAAGACTTGTTTGTTGAATGGCCGTAAAGAGTTGGTGGGAAACTTCAGAATCGAACCTCCAGGCTTGTTCAGAGGTAGAGGTGCCCACCCTAAGACAGGTAAATTGAAAAGAAGAGTTCCTCCAGAGAGCGTTACTCTCAACTTGGGACAGGGAGCCAAAATCCCAGACCCACCACCAGGACATCAGTGGGGCGAAATTAGACACGATAACACCGTCACCTGGTTGGCCATGTGGAAGGAGAATATTGCTGATTCGTTCAAGTACGTCAGATTTGCTGCCAGTTCATCGATCAAGGGTCAATCTGACTTCAAGAAGTTTGAAACCGCCAGGAACTTGCGTAACCACATCGAGGAGATTAGAAAGGACTACACCAAGTTGTTGAAGAGTGACATCATGCAAAATAGACAGATGGCCACGGCCACCTACCTCATTGATATATTTGCCTTGAGAGCTGGTGGTGAAAAGGGAGACGACGAGGCGGACACTGTTGGTTGTTGTTCGTTGAGATACGAGCACATCACCTTGAAACCCCCAAACAAGGTCATTTTTGATTTCTTGGGTAAGGACTCTATTAGATTCTACCAGGAAGTGGAAGTGGATCACCAGGTGTTTAAGAATCTTCGTATCTTCAAAAAGGACCCCAAACAGCCTGGTGACGACTTGTTTGACAGAATCACTCCCTCGTTGTTGAACAGACAATTTCAAAACTATATGAAGGGTTTGACTGCGAAGGTCTTCCGTACCTACAATGCATCCAAAACCATGCAGGATCAGATTGACTTGATACCCAACGAAGGTACAGTGGCTGAGAAAGTGGTCAAGTTCAATGCTGCCAATAGAACCGTGGCTATCTTGTGTAATCACCAGCGTACGGTCAGCAGAACACACAACACCTCAGTCCAGAAAATCAACGATAAGTTGAAGGAGTTGATTTGGAATAAAATCCGTCTCAAGAAAATGATCCTTGAATTGGAGCCTAAGTTGAAGAAAAAGGACCCAAAGTATTTCAACGAGCTTGATGACTTAAGCAAGGAGGACGAGGCGCATATCCATAAAATCATCATTGAAAGACAAAAAGAACAAGCCTTCAAGAAGTTGCAGAGAGACAACGAGAAATTAAAGGCGGAGAAGATGCCGTTACTCTCGGAAGACTCGATAAAGGAGAAGCTTGAGAAGATAGACGAATTGAAGGAAGAGTACGCCCTCGAATTGAAAACAGGAAAGCCTGAAATCAAGAAGAGTACCACTGTGGAGAAATTGAAGCAGCAGATCGAAACCATTGCTAACAGAATTTCCACCACCACCTTCCAATTGAAGGACAAGGAGGACAACTCCGAGGTGTCATTGGGTACTTCCAAGATGAACTATATTGATCCCAGACTTACCGTGATGTTTTCAAAGAAGTTTGACGTGCCCATAGAAAAGCTTTTCACTAAGACTTTGAGAGAAAAGTTCAAGTGGGCCATTGAAAGCACCGATGCAGACTGGAGGTTTTGAGGTTCTTTGGAGGGCAGACTCGTACATAGCTCAGCTACTAGAATAGTGGGTTTATAGCATAATAAAATGAAAGATATGAATTAGCAGCGGGAACCTCGTGGGCCACTGAAAGCCGGAAATTGCGTCCCTTTAGTACCATTTGAGGATTAACATTATAATTAGCATTATTTGACCCAATATCGCTCTAACTGATGGGCTTGAACATGCAATGAGTATATCATTAATTTAATGAATTCTGGCCATGGAGAAAAATACCAAAACTGAGCGAATGGAGTGTTCAAGACAGGAAGGTGTTTAAAGGCTACTTTCTGCTCTAAGTCAATGAGTCCCAGTACAAGTAACTCTACAATCCGTACTACTCTTACTGAAATAATGAAATCCCGAAATTTTCAAGATCGGTAGCGCAGGTATAACAATTGGTGCCTAACTGGACAGAGCCCCTACCCAGAATTTGCAATCCTAGGTGTTCTCTCAGAGCATGTCCTGAACACTCTCAAGTCCACAAAGGGCGCTGCTGTCGGGTCCGCAATCTCCACCGTAATTCCCGAGAGTATCTCGAGAAATTCCAGACAATTGTTCGCTGTCGGCATATGGTGCGTGGGGATCTCATCTGAAACACCGCGAGGCGCCTGACGCGCGGCATCTTATCGGTGGAGCCATACCTTATCCCTTAAGCCCATCACGAAGTGCTACGGGACCTTCCGTGCCTCCAGGAGCACCGCTACTGGCTAGGTAAGTGCCTACACAACTGTGAACTCTTGTGGAAGCCCGCTAGGCCCGGTGCCCTGGGTCCGGTATTTCCCGTGCACCACCACCACGGGCCCCTCGCGGATCTTGCCACGCGCGTTCTGTTATGAACTTCGCGTTCTGTGCATTGACGTGAATTGTCTCCAGCTTATTCATCTCACAATCACCCCCCGTTGACGACCACCTTTACTGCACCACTTCCACAATGTCGCCACTGCTGCCCCACCACAGCATGCTCCTACCAGCTTTCGTTCTCACTCTTCGTCCCTTTTCCTCTGCCTCTCTCTGCCCACGCCCTCCCGCTCATGCGGCCTACGCATGCACTTCCGCCGTTCGCTGTGCGACACGCTACGCGTACCACAGGGGCCTGAAATCAAAACACTCCATCGCTTGGTTTATATAGCGGTATATCCGTCCATTGTCCATTCTTAACCACCTTCACCACTTCTGAAACCTCAGCCAACGCACTCCACGTCGCCAGCTCCCCACTCCCTCCACCCACCACCTCCCCTAATCCCGCCATATCCGCCATATCCGCCATGAGACTCCTTCTATGGCTCTCCACAGTGGCTGCCCACCACGTCCACCATAACCACAACCACAACCACGCCAGAGCCATGCCCACGCTCGCTGGAAACCCCGAACAATCCGCCCAGAAGTCGATGACTACGTTCCCGTCCGGTAAATCCTCCCAAGCGGCCCAAACAGCTGCTCCAGAGTCCTCCTCCACCACCTCCTACTCCTATAGCATCGCCATACCCGCTGCCACGGCGGCCTCCCATGGCTCGCCCATAAACCCCAACATCCAGGTGTCGCATCTTCCCGAAAACTTGGTGTTCATTGTGTTTGGAGCCATAATTGCCATGGCTCTCTTGGTAGCAATCGCCTACCGAGCAGTCACCCACGTCCTCTACAGTCGCCAGGCCAAGTCAGAAAAGGAGGTTTACTACGCAAACTTCTTAACAGGCTCAGGCTCCGACATGGGCTCCAATTTCAACAGTTTCTCGTCCAACTCGTCCATGCTCGAAAAGACCAACCCCTCGTCCAACTCCAGCATATATCTCTTGCAAAGACAGAGCTCATTGCTCAGGTTGCAGCAGCTCCTGGAGGAGGGCTCGTACTCGGACTCCAGCAACCCAGGACGGGCCTACAGAGACAACTTCAACCACAGTGGCCATCGAGGCTCGATGTACTTCAGTCCCGTGATGGATATCATGAATACTAAGAGAGCGTCGCAGCTCGAGCTTCCTCTCCACCACAGCTCGACCCTGGTGTTGCTTCCGATCGACAAGCCAGAAGACAGTCCCCTTCCCAGCGAATATTCGTGTGGTGATGGGTTTATGTACGATTCGTCCTTCGACTTGGATTCGCTCCTGAGAAGCCAGAAGGACAAGGAGGAGAAGCTAAGACGTCCGCCGCTCACCAGGCCGCCAAGTCAGCTTTTGGACGACTTGATCAACGAAGCATAGGATCCATGACACCATGGCTGTATTATAGGAATAGACATAGACTTGTACAACTACTCCCTCGGATAGAGGTTACAATAGACGTATAGAATGCGACCGCAATGGATATAGTAGGAGATAAATTAGATAACTAGTCTGGGATAGTTGCTATTATTAACGAACAATTAATTACTTAATATTCTAGTTTACGCTTGGGCTTTGCGGTAATGAATAGACTGGAATAATGGTGACGAATAGAAGCAGTTGCTAGTCAAAAGATACTAATTTTTCGAAATAATCTAATAAATACCTATTAAGAATTTTTAATTTAGGAAATTTGCTGCTGATGATCAAATATAAATACACGGGTATCAAATATATGATGATTAGCGTCAAATAGATACTTCTCGCTTTCAAACCTAATTGGAATTAATATAGGTCATACTTCAGAACAAAGTTTGAATGAGGATTTTTAACAGCACTATCATTTAGGCCAACAGCGAGCTATTTAGAAAAAGTTCATCACGAATACTCTATCGTTTAACTGAGTGATTTATTCAGTATTCATTTGGACATATTCTTACTTCTTTTTGCACCCTCGAACCATAACAAATGCACAGATCAATTATACGTTGTAATCTATGGTTTTCTTTCTTCGCTTGCAAGTTCTAATGAGGAAACTCTTTTGCAAAGTAGAGAAGAGACGACAGCGAAAAAACGTATCGAAGGATCTTTCGTTGCAAGGGATTAACAAAGAAAAACAACCCCACCCCAACAATTTACTTTCAGAGTAGTTGCCCAAGACAACCCTATCAAAATAACCTCTGGCAAAAAGCTGCAAATAAGCTGACCAGAATGATCGAATTTGCTGTAGAAGCGTAGCACGCTCGTATGGCGAGCTCAAGCCGCCAACCAATCGTTACTGCCATTAAAAAGAGACTCCGATCTAGTCAATACTCAATTTAGCCTAAATCTGAAACGTTAACAAAATGTCCTCGTGTTGCATTTATTGATTTTCTGAATTACACAGAATTGACGTACTTACATATCAAAGCTGCACTACACGATAGCTATGTGACTTACTGTGCCTGTTCTAATAGGAGTTTTTCATAATTTCCTAATACCCACTTTATTTAAAGGGAACTTAATTTTTAAGTTGCATTTACGAGCCGTTTTGACAAGAACCATCTGCTTTTCTCAATTTACCTAATTTTAATCGAACAGAATCATTTAATATAATTCCCCCACCCGCCATTTGCATCCAGTCACGTGTGCGCCACGTCAGCCTGCAGCACGTCAATGCTGCATCCAGCCACTGCGTGCTGCAGTGACTGCCCCATACGTCATGGGACGCCAGCCTGCCTTTTCACGCCTACCTCCCGGTCCTCATGCCGTCCAATCACCAGCGACTCCCCCACGCTGCATCCCAGCCCCACCCGTGACCCTTCTCCCGTGACCCCTGACGTTATCGCCCCACCCCCGCACCTCGGCATCACATGACCGGGTCTGCGGAGCAATCCCTATACCCTCCACAGCCAATCCCTGCCATCCACGTTCCTACTTATACCCGTCAACACCCGCCCAATTCCACTCACCACCAATTGCCCATCCAATGTTAACAAACACCCTCAGAACCTCCGCCTCGTCTGTCTCCAGAAGGGCGTTCCACGTCTCCCGTTTGGTGACTGCTAAAGGCGACACTTCCACCATCGACTCCTACAAGTTGCCCTCCCAGACCTCCATCCACGAGTGGGAGTTCAAGTATGACTTCATCCCCAAAACCACCGAGCCAAAAGTGCCACCAGTGACCAAAGAGGCTGTGAAACAGGACATTGCTCACGAAAAGGCCAAACAAGTGGCTCACGAGATGTTCGCCAAGGAGAGCAACTCCTCCGTCAAGGTAGAGGCCAACGACGCCCACGTCGTGCATGGAGGTGAGTCTGTGACTTCGGAGCCCGAGTTTCTCCACGACAGAGGCAGTATTCCAGTGGACCTGTCCAGACCAGGAGCCACCCAGCCCAAGAAGCCTGCCAACAGAGACCAGTACGTGCAGTCGTCCATCAACCCCAACATCAACAACAGTGACGTGGTCAACTTGGGTGACCGTACGGTGGACCACAAGCAGACCACTGTGGACAAACAGACTCCTGTGGTCGACGACTTGGACCACGACAACTTGCACCACCAGGAAACCCACGAGCAGCCCAAGAGCGGACCTGGCTTGGGTGTACCTTTGCTAGTTTTGGGTCTCGGTGGTGCTGGGTACTACTACTACTCCAAGGAAGAGAAGAAATAGGAGATTTAACATTATAGACAATATATATTCGAACAGCGAGGTGTAGACAGTAAATCGGGGATTGCAAAATTACCTGTATGTTCAATAATTACAAGCAATTGGGGACTGAAAATTTATTAGAATAAGACAAGGCCAGAAGTATTGACACTGAAAATTACCTTAATTATCAATAGTAGGGCACAACAAGGGCTCGGGTCTTGGGATTGGCACTTTATCATCAGTAGCATAGTATCTTCTTTTTAATTGATTCCAACAATTACTAATTCGAATGGCCTTCTTGTACTATTCTATATATTTGAATTTTACCCCCATTTTAACTCTTCTGCTTGTACTGTACAATTGACTACGTCTAATTCAATACTTTCTACTAATAATTCCATACGTCTCGTAGGTTGAATATTTTCTTATTGTTTCAAAATTGAGCACGGACTTGATAGCTTGTTATGAAGCAAGTCAGACTATCTCAACACCCGGATTGTAGAACAGAAATTGAGGTTAATATAAGCGTTGAAAAATTAACTGCACTCTTCACAAAATATATGAACAACAATTCAGGAGAAGGGCTGGAGAATAAAAAAATCCAGTAGCATTGATTTGACCATTGATTTGACTAGTCTACAGAAGAACGGTCCAATTGAGCCAGCAGAATTTTCATTACCAAAACGATAAGGCCACTTCTTTTACATATTGCATGTACTTGATGGAAAAGTTATCCCCCCTTCTAATCTAGTGTCCACAGTTTGAAAATCATTTGAAAGTGCTTGACAAATGTGTGGGTTGAACTTGGAGATGAATTTTCTAACTCCTCCAGTATTGATATATTCTTGTACGGTTTTTATTAGACCCATAGGGGCAATGGGCCCTGTTAAGCGGTCCTACTGAGATACAGGCGATGTAAACATATCATTTTTGATTCCCCAGTATCCATTAAGTCTGCAGTTGCATTTGAATTACTGTTAAAATTCAGACTCTGTGAGATTGAGATTGGTCCAGCTGAAATATGTCAGTGTAGCGTCTTCGTAGATTGTTCTCATCTTCTTTGCCAAGTACATATAGATTCAATACTATCGGCCATTTAATTTTCAACAGTAGACTCGTCAACAATTCGCAGATACAACTGTTGACCTATGCTAAATTTCAACAGAATCTTCGCCAACAACTTACAGATACAAGTTACCATTACCAATGTTAAATGTTCAACGATATTCGTCAACTACAGTCAAGTTACTATTGATACTTTTATTTCAATCAGTATGCAACTGATCTAGCTGTTCTCAACTACCTTTTTCTATATACATCTAGTAGTGTCTGGCAGCCTCTTGACAGGCCTTCAACTGTTGCAAGTAGAAGTCACAGATTTGCATGTTGCCGTTGTTTTCTTCCAAACATCTGGTGAAAGAACGAGCGTCAGCGTCACATCTGACTGGCTCTTGGTTGTTTTGCTGTTGTTGCACTTGTTGCTGCTCAACTGGGGCAGCAGAGGACGAGCCTCCGAACATGGAGGTGATACCAGCACCCAAAGTGTGGCCGATGGTGGAACCAACGGCGACACCAGCGGCAGTGGAGGCCATTTGGCCAAACAAACCTGGTCCTTGGGACTGGGTCTGCACTGGGCGAGCAGCGGTGCTAGGATGTGCTGATGGGTAGTTTGGGGCGTGGGCGGCAGGAGCAGCGGCAGTGTGGGCCGATCTGGTCTGGGCTCTTGGAGCTGGGGCGGATCTTCTTTGTCTAGGCATTGTGTATGGTGGTGGTGATTATAGCTGGCCCATGTGCTTATATATAGAAAATTTTTGAGTGGCGGCGAGCGTGGGGCACGTGTATGCAGGACATTGCCAGCTCTCAACGGTCATACCAGACAGTCATATTAGACATTTCTGCCGTGTGGAGGTCATGTGGCCATTCACAGCGAGATGACTGTGCCGGCGCATTTCGCTGGTGCTCTTCCACGTCTACCTGGAGGCTTTTCGGTAGTGCAAGTGGTCGGTGGCGTTTCCTTCCTCGCCATCATCTACTGCGAATTTGCAGTCAGAGTCATGATGGGTGACTAGCACCTTTGACTCGCCAACGAGCTGGTCGGTCTTCTGGGAGACAGTCCCGACCTGAGCAGCTCAGAGGCGGATTTGTCACCCAATTAACCGTCATTTCTATGTAGTTGTGGTGAAGTACGGTGAGAATTCTAGAACCTTCCAGAAGAATCAGGAGGAAGAAGCTAGCAGGAGTACATCTACAACAGAACAGGGGAATTAATACTCCAAGAGAGGGGGCATTGAAGTAGGTGTGTCACGATAAATGGGTAAAATTCCATTTCAATTAGTCTTTGCAACTTAAGGTGAATGATGAGCAAATTCTAATCTTCAACTCTCTACAGAAGAATACCTGACTCGCGTTGATCGAGCCACTTGCGAGGGTTCTACGTATATGCTGTGAGTACATTTGAAGAGGTGCTGATTCGAACAATAATTCATTCTTCAGGATAGCGTGAAAACGGTGAGTCTATAGTTTTCTACGCTGGATACCTTTGGCTACCTTGTCAACAACTTGTTTATTCTGTAGAATAGCCTGAGTGGTGAAGAATAATATTTCATCATGCTTCTTCTTCTCTGTGACTGCTGGCACTAGCTGCCAGCTTCTAAGCCTATGGAAAACAGAAATGCACCTTTCAGAATAGAACTAATAGAGAGGTGGCAAAGTAGGCAGAAATGTTACTTTTCCAGAGTATTGAGTTAAGGGATTTATGGCTGCAGGCTCAGAAATATAAACAATTATTGGAAACTATTAGTACAGTTTCATAGTCGTACTAGCAATCTCCATTTTCATATGTGTCGGGAGTGCCCTTGTACTGCGGCCGAATTCTTTCAAGTCTTCCACTCTTTTCTTACTTAATAAGTTCCTATGGTAATGGCTCCTCTGGCCTCTCTGGCCTAAAACATTGTTCTCTTTACTTCTCCATGATACAGGATCATCGGCCCTACAGTCACTAAAATTTCACATCAATTCATAAATAATTTCATAATCATAAATATGGTCATATCTAAACTGTTCAATCAGGCATGCTAATGAACAAAGAAGAATGGCTGTTAGCACAACCAGTAGACCTGAACTTACCGGCAGCAATGGAAAGGAACTCCGACTGTTGCAATTCGATTCGCGAGAAGGTTGAATCGAAATTCGCAGCCACGACAATGGTATTCAGGAGGCTTGTTCAAGATCCTCCACAGCCTCCTCCACAGCCCCCTCCCCCTCCTCCTCCACAACCCCCTCCACCACCTCCGCTACCTCCACCATCTCCACCACTGCTGGAACCGCATCCACCACTTGAGCCCCATCCGCCTCCTCCACAACCACCAGTGGCCCAACCACCATCTCCACTTCCGGTTCCAACCCCAGAAGAGCCTCCAGTTCCACCGTCGCCTCCGCGGAATCCTCCAAAGATCCCAGCACCACACAGCGTTGTGGCACAAGCAACGCCAATTCCACAATTCGAACTGCCACATCCACCGGTGCCAGTGCAAGAGCTTCCGTTGTTTTGGGTGCAACATAAACCCGTACCGTAGAACGAGGAGGTTGTATCGGTGAAAGGAATAATAGGAGAAACGATGAACATCCCATTGTGTCTGTTGTACTGGGAGCTGGTCTTGTCTTCCCAAGGCACGCCACGTCTCATTTTCATTATCCGACGTACCAAATATTCTGCTCTGACGCTTGGAAACTTGATCGAATTATGCATGCTGACATGGGTGAAGCCAAAGTCAACGGATCCAGCCCCTTTGAACACCTTCTGTTCGTTTACTTTTCCTGGAGAGCGACTGAACCAACTTCTGGACGAGATTCTAATTCCCAGGCAGTACTGGCAGTAACATAAGGAGTATTCTTCCTTGAAATGGTCGCGGTAAGCCTTGGAGGTTGTTTTGAAACAGTCGTTCAACCGACCCTCTTCAACCTTGTCATTGTGATCAATGACATACCCTTTTTTAGACTGGAGACAATCGGCAAAATAGTTGGCCATGGACAACATGTGGGTGTGCCAGAATAAATCAATGTCTAATGTTGGTACCATCATGGTCTTATAGTTGTAATGGGTCACCAACTTGAAAAATCTCGAGTATCTGAGCTGCGACTCTTTCATGTTTCCCTCAATGAATGGCGAATGCAACCAATCCAAATCCGTCATCTTCTCGATGAATCTTTCTTGTCTCAAAACACATCCCACCAAGTCTTCGCAAATCCTAATTGGCAGTTTGATGAGGGCATGAACTGGATTCATAGACAAATATTCACGCAAGATAATTCTGCTCTTCATACGATTGAAGCTTCGGAGCAAGATGTAGAAGATGCTGGTAGCCAAGGGGACCATCCTCAACGCATTCTGATAATCTTCTGCTGCAAGTGGTGACTTGATTGAATGGCTAATTTCCAAAGGTCTGCTTTTCAATAATTCTTTGGGTGAAATTAGCTTGGAGTAGTACCTGTAAATGCCATGCAAGGGCAAAGAGCTTGAAAGATCGGCAACAAGCAGTCTGCAACGAAGCTGATCGTGGGTGACAACATCAGTAAAACCACATTCGCAGCCATGATTAGCAACATTGATTTCCATGCTGAAATCCTTGTCAGCAAATCCTGTTTTCTCTGCATTGGTATAAGGCACATTTTCCAAGATCTTCAGGGAACACAGAGGGCAATAAACGGACACAGTTGGGTCGGTAGCAGAAAAGCTCAAGGTGTAATCAAGGTCGCCTTCGTCATTGCTATTCTTCAACATAATCTTCTTCCAGGAATCTTTGTACCTCTTTTCAGGCTTGTACTCAAAGGTATCATTGTCAATCAGTTCTTGGATCCGCTTCAAGGGCAAAGGGTAGTTGGCAAAGAGAAGAAAATCTTCCCGAGCAAATGTATCATAGAAGGCCTTGGGGTTGAGCAAGAAGGAATGCCAAACCATCAAAACGTCTAAAGGAGGCAAGAGACTATCAAGAAAATCAATCACTTTCTTTTCTTTCTTGAGTCCTTCACGGTACATCATGTTCTCGTCGATTGGCTTCACACTTGCACCTTTGATTTCGTCTCTGCAACCCATGACGAATAAGATGAATCTCTTGACTGATTGAGTGACAAATACTTGCCAGGTTTTAACGGCCAAATCTTCTTGTTCGGGGTCAGAGAGGTGTTCCAATAGCTTCTTCTTGTACTCAGCGAACGCTCTAAGGAGCTTCAAGTGAGCAACAGCATCAGGCACGGTGGGTATCCGTGTAAGGCCATACCCCTTGGGAACTAGCTTGGGCTTCAAGTTCCTGGTGTATCTAATGTCCTGAAATTCTTGGGGGTGTGCTCCAAGAATATCAATGAAGGGACGAAATCTCTGGTCCGAAAGTTCGGACTTTTCCATGATATCTTCCTTCTTGTCGAGCTTCTTCACATTGGAATAAGCTGGGGGTTTCTCGTTGGAATTGAGGTTGTTGTATCGAGGTGGTAATTTTTCTTTGCCAGTCATTGTGATGGATGAATCAGGTGGTGGAAGGCCCTGAATTTATATTCCGAAATTAGTGGCAGTGATGGATAAAGAACCGAGTAGGAAGCTGATAGATAAGATCATAAGGTCATCAACAACCTCATTTTCAGCTGTAATTGATATCCTGTTCGTGACATATGCAAGTTGCACAAAGATACTCCGAAGGTGGGAAACACGAGGCGATGTATCGCCGAGGTTTCTCAAAGAGGAACTATGTATGCCAACGGATGGTAAGATCCGTGAGCCACGAGGACAAAGCGTCGCTTGCCTCGCCAAAAGAAGTAAGATTCATTGCACAAAATAAACTAAGTTTGGTTTATCAACTTGCCATCAATAGGGCTGTGAGATCACTATGCATCACTTCGCATAATCCAAAAAATAATACAGGAACAGCTGTGTTTGGAATGCTTTCTCAACGGGTTTATGTGAGATACGGTGCAGCAGTGGGTAAGTAAATGCTTAGCCAACGGCCCGAACAAATCCCATCCTATAACAGACTCTCCGAACACGCACAGCAACTGTGGTGGAGACAGTGACGAGTGGTCTCTCGTATCTTTGCACGAACGAAAAGTTAAATCAGAGACGAGCCCACCTGAGGTCTAAAGGCAAGATACACCGACAAACAATACGTCAATTAACGTTCGGGTGTTATCTGGCCAATTAAAAAAAGTATATACCTCCCTGGCTGAACGGTTCCTCGCCTAGAGTACCCTTTAGTGGCAACGTTATCGGTGTATTTGCCAGAAAAGGAAATGCCCGAAAATGAATGATCTGTGGAGGAAATAATGGTTTAATCCGCAGCGTTATGAAGGCGCTGTGCCTCGACTTTGTGGTTTTTCTCGTATTGCACTGGGGGGGGGGAGATCATCAACCTGGCTGAATCTTGCTCCAGTTCGGAGACACCGCGGTGGTCTCCGGTGGTACGTTGCATTGGTTTGGCACGAGTCGCACAACTCCGTTTCGGACCCGGCAATCATCATTATGGTTGTGAGTTGTGAGTTGCTCGCCGAGGTGTACTGCCCCACACGCCAAATTGGCGTTCGGGTAGAGGGCCGACTGCAAAATCGATGACTCGTATTTTGAATATTACGAAGTGGTCCACTCAAGTGAAAAATTGATGACTGGCATGGTCAAGCAAAAGTCTCACCACGGGGAAATGGAAACGTTGTGGCACGTTGACATACCTCCTGTGGCACGTTGACTAACCTCCTGTGGCACGTTGATTAACATGTGTGACAAGACACTGCCATGCTGGGCCGTGAGTCATTGGACAGAGATAAACTCATGGCAGGATGTAGATGAATGCTTGCGGTCCTTTGATTTGTCGAGGTTCCTATGAAGTGTTTAGTACAGTAAAGGAAGTCTACCATGGTGGAAATGAACTGAGAGCACCATAATTACAGGAAGAACCAGTATCACGGAACTCGAGAGAGGTGGCATTTTAAACGGATTTCGTGGAATAACCGATCTGTTGCACAGAGTAAACAATCAAAGATCTGAATAACGTTAACTCTAACAGTTAGCAACAGGATTTGAATGGTAACATTCTAATATCGATTTATTCAGCTGGAAATTTTCACCAATTCAATCAGACACTTCTAATCAGCAAATAATATCATCCCAAATACGATGAATCCGTTCAAGCTGGCCTCGATCCAGGGAGAGAATGGTTTTGTACGGTATAATTCAGCTGTTACACAGATTTAAGTTGGCAATCAAGGTAATTTCTCACCAATGACCGTCTTATCAGTGTGAATGGCACAATCCTTACCACACCCTGATTATCAGTGGGATTCCAGCTTTGAAGTGGAAAATACCTATCAAATCCTGTAGGTGATCTTTACAGAAACTACGAACCGACGCTTGGAGTCCGTCAAGCTAAGCGGCACCATATATTCTGGGGACATCCAGTAGTGAAGAGGGGGTAGACGAGAAATTCCAACTTGGTCTTGCTACCCGATCATAGTTGCCAATTCACGACTCGCAGTCCAGTTATTCTATTGAATATCAAATTGGACTCCGGCCATTCTATTGAGGTACTGATAATTACTCGGCCCAATTCTTGAATTGAATTTCATTTCGGACTACCCATTCTGTTGAATTTCCAAACTCTCCACTTCTTGTATTGATTTTCACTCCAGCCTCTCTATCCATTGAGCCTACATTTCATGGATCCTAAACCGAAACCTGAATATTCCCACACAGATAAATGTATCCCAGGAACTTACGGAGCCAAAAACTATTCCCATGCTGTGACCACTCCCTCCAGCACCGTATACATCACGTGCCCGCCGTCCAATCATACTCGCACTAATGTCACCTCCGCATTTCGTGCTGGCCCCTCCCCCGCCTCTGGCAACTGGTAATCAGTGACGATACTGCGGAACCGGAGACGGGTCACATGACTCAACTTCCAGCACCAACCAGTTCCACGCCGCCACCACGCCAAACTATTGTAGTACGGATCTTTGACAACCCCCAGTCGTCCTCATATCCTCCCTCTACCCTCATCTCTTCCCTCTCTCCATCCTCACTCCCCTTAGCCTCTCTCCTTCCTCTTCTCCCTCTTTTCTTCCTTGCACCTCCCCCTCCTGAGATCCGCAATTCCGCCAGATCTTATCGTCCTGTGCAGTATACGCAACATCCTCCAGCTCAACAATTGTCGTTTCACACACAACATTCGATCCAGGCTTGCTACTGTCTTACCACTGTCTTACTACCAGTACCCATTAGCCTACGCAGACACGTCCCACGACCACCAGCGCTACTGTCACCCGTCGTGCCACGTCTCTGAGCCGCCAACTGTTAACAGACTTACTGCCAACCGCTAACCGCCAACGCGAAAACACACCATGGACTTTGAACAGCAATTGGAAAAGGCCGAAAAGCTTTCGGAGCCATCGCTTGTGGGAGCTTCGTTGCGTTCTGCCGACGATTCCGCCCACAACAACTACATCCACCCGGAAAAGTACAAGAGCAAGAAGCCCAGCAAGCCCAAAAAGGGGTCCAAGAAGTCGATTGCCGCCTCCTTGGACGATCTCATCAGCGAGGGCGCCTTGTTGGGGTCGGAAGAGGACTTCGAGAAGTTTCTCGACGACGAGGGCCACGTCAAGGACAACGCCAAGTACACCCAGCAGGCCAAGCCAGAACTGGACGAGCAGGCCTTAAAAGAAAAGGAATCTTCGGAGCAGGTGTTAGCCACCAAAGACGCCGTCCCAGAGTCGCCCCTCAAGTACGAATCGCACGCTGCTGACCCCGTCGTTGAAGCCAAGCCAAGCTTGGACCCAAACCCTTTGAAGTCCAAGGCCTCTGCATTCTACAAGCAGGAAGATTATTCGACTCCGAACTTGTCGGAGTACCAATTGGAGCACCAGATCAAGGACCACCATGACTTGTTGTCTTCGATCCAGTCGTACGACCCCCACAAGTTGCCCAAGTCCGTGGATGGTCTTTCCATCAACGACTCCAAACAGGCCGAAAAGAGCGCCTCCAGTGTCTCCTCTAAGTCTGTGGATCGTGACGCGTCCGAGCCAGCTGCGACCACTTTGAGCACTTCCGACAGTATCCACACTCCTTACTTTCACACCGAAAGAGCCAGATCGAGATCAAGATCCGCCAACCCATCCCGCAAGGACGAAAGATCCAGATCCAGATCGGCTGTCAAGCCACATTTGGCCCGTGGAGACTCTTACAAAAACACCCACGTCGATGAACCCTCAAAGTATGAGTTGCCTGCCGATTTAGCCAGAGCAACCGACTTCAATGAAGAGGAGGAGGAAGACGACGGTGATAGAAGAACCAGACAATCCAAGCCTACTATGGGTGAGTCTATTGCCAAGGCTGAGGCCGAGGCTGTAGCCAGCGGTCAGTATAAGGAAAAGGCATTCAAGTTGGACGAGAGTTTCGCCAGAGATACTTCTTTGGTCACCACTGGTGACTACACCAATTTCAATGTCGATAACCCTTCCAATGAATTCAAAGCTTCCGACAGATTGTATGCAACTAGATCGGAATCGTCCACCAACTACTTGAGATCGATTTCCAGATCCAGATCAAGAGCCAGACCAATCGACCACAGTCATGAAAATGAAAAGAACGATGCCAACCCTGAGGAATTGGTCAGAGAAGGTGCCCTTGTTACTGATGACCCCTACACTACCATTGATCATTTAGATACCATGGTGGAAGAAGTGTTGCACCCACGCTCTGAAGAACTCAAAAAGTCCACTTCGGAGCAAAAAAAAAACGTCAATTTTGAAACACGTGAACCAATCAAGCTGAATGATAAGGAAGACGCAAGTTCGTCGGAGAAGAAGAGTAAAGCAGTGAAAGAAGACAAAAAAGATGATTCCGACACAAATGCAGAATTGAATGAAATTGAGATCCCAAAAGAGGCAGTTCCAGAAGACAAGAGTGAAGGTTCTGGACCCACTATAACTGCTGCTGATATTAAAGTGAAGTCAGAGGATTTGCCTGAAGAGGAAGATGTTGTATTGAATGAACCCGAAATTGAAGAGGTCAAGAAGGAAGATATTACCGACTTGGCTGCTGAGAAAATCAAGGAATCTGAGGTAGAACCAACTGTTCCATCAGTGACTGCCAAAGATATCAAGGTGGATTCAGAGGAAGTGAAAACTCAATTGGAAGAAGAAAAAAAGATCAAGGACGCCGGTGAAGATGAAACAGAAGCTAAGGATGAAGTTGGAATTGAAGCTAAGAAAAAGATTCAAGATGATGAAGCAGAAGAGAAAGCCAGTACAATCAAAGATGAAGTGAAAGAAGAAACCACTAGTGAAGAAATCCTTGATTCTGAAGACAAGGCCAAATCCGCAATTGCAGTTGACGAAAACTTGACTGAAAATCTTGAAGTTGAGCCCGCTGAAAAGGAGTCTGTAAAGGCAGAAGATGACGAAGAGGCTGAGGAAGTTCAAGACAAGAAGAAATCCGTAAAAGATGATGAAGAAGATTCTGAAAAAGATGCCCATTCAAAGGCTGGACTTGCTGCCTCAGTCGGTGCTGTTGGCGCAATCGGAGCTGCAGTTGCTGCAGCCACTGAAGCTGTCAAGTCAGCCGTTAGTGGTGACTCTGATGAAAAATCTGTTGATGAGAAAGAAGTCAAAGGTTCTGAAGCAGCAACTGCCGCTGCTACTGCAGCCACTGCTTCTGATGACTTCGATGATCTCGATGTCTCGCCAGAGGAGCTTAGAAAACATCTTGAATCTCAGCCAATTTACCTTTACACTTCTTTGGCTGGAGGAATGCAAATTGTGCCAAGAACGAATAGGCTTGTGACCATCTTACAGGCCAATGGCATCAAATTTGAGTACCGTGATTTGGGAACAGATGAGGAGGCAAAGAAGATCTGGAGAAGACAAGCTGCTGGCAAGCCTCTTCCAGGGATTGTCAGAGGAGATGATTTCATTGGAAACTTTAAGGATATCGATGAAGCAAATGAGGAGTATAAGCTTCGGGAGCTACTTTATGAAACTTTGTGAACATGCGTGTTCCGAACAAGACGCTAGATAAAATACGTAACTATTACCAGACTGTAGAGAATCAACTGGATCATTTCTTATAGATCCGTTATATCCATGGGCCTACGGGCACCATGTGATTAGTCACAACAAAATGCCAAGGCAAGCTACATCCTAATATCCCTAAAATAAAGGGAATGCATGTCATGGATATATGTCACGTGGTATATATCACGTGACCGCCGCTACTTCACCGGAACGCCAGCCTCCACTACCACCACTACCGCCCATGCCCCCGAAGCATTGTAATGTCAAATCAATACGATTCAAGACACACACAGCTTTTCTCGCCGCCCCGCACATCACTGCTGCTCCAAAGCGCGCCGTTTTGCGGCCTTCTCCTCCTTTAATACGCTCCATACTGTTGCCTCCATACATCATCCCATTTGCCAGTGCCACCAGGAGCCTCGAGAAGGTGCCACCTGCCAGCTCTCGCGAGCAGAACCGCAAGGCCAACTTGGGATCCACCATTGAGCACATCAAGACGGTTGTTCCCGAATTGCTCACCAAGTCTCTACCCAAAGAGTTGGTATCCCACGAGATCATGTTACGAATATGTCCCAGCCACTTCGACGAAACGTACTTGCCCAGCTTGAAAGGCCGCGTGTCGTATTACGCGACATGCAAGACGATGCAATTGGCCATGACGTCCTTGGTGTTGAGTCCCAAGGTCAAGCTCCATATCCAGTCATTGCGAGTGGCCAATGGACCCGACCAGCAGGCAGTGTATGCCCACAGCACCAAGGTGTACGTGCGGTGGAGCACATGCAACGAGGGATGTGAGCACTTGAGCAACGAATCCAGTGAGTTCCACTCCACCTCCGACGCCAAGTTGGGGTCCCACAAATGGTCCAAGTTGGACACCTTGCGGTTCCTCCACGAGAACGCCGACGTCAATGGCCACAAGTCCAAGACACTTCCGTCCATTAGCACCATGATCAGCCAGATGTCGAGCTCGTTGGTAGGGTTCAGCAAGGACTCCCAGAAGTTGGAGCGGGTGTTGAGCGGCATCTTCATCTTCGAACTCAACGAGGAGAACGACGCCATCATCGTGCACACCATCGAGAACGTAGATCTCATCGAGAAGGGTGAGACTGAGGACGTGGACGGCGAGTTGAGGGTGTGCTAGACATCCATACACATACTACATGGCCATCACACCATGGCCCATATGACCATATCACACCAACCAGCATCAGACCGGGACAGGCTCTCCTATGGCTATCTTGTAAATAGAGGCGGGGCTGGATTTCCACGCAAAGCTATGTATATAATGAATAACGATTCAGGTACTAAGTTAAAACCCCCGTAGGTAATTTACCGACCCCAGAACGGTGAAGCTACGATCTTCACTACAACACACATATCAGTTGCCCTACCTATGAGATGGACACACGATACAAAATCCTGAACAGTACGTAATTACACAGCAGTCTCAAAAGAAACTTAGTTCCAGTAGGATGTTTACACTCAAATCCCTCTGATACTTTCACTCGCCATTACTAGTGTAACCCCTGTTAGTCTATTCGAATCAATTTTCCCTAAATGGTGGAAGAAGATGGCATGCACCTTGTCTGCTCTGATAGGAAACAACCCCAGCTGAAATACTGAGCACATTAATTTTATTAACACCCGTCTTAATTTATACTACATTTGTAATCTCTCGACTCAAACTATCCCTGAATTGTTCACATGCTATCATTGCGGGTCCTCTACCAGTACTTCTGCTGACTATCGGTTCCATCAGTCCAGTGACATGGCTATTGTTTGACCCCGTTGCCCACTCTTCTGACTCCGTCTCCTACCCCCTAGGAGCCGGTTTCCCGGTTTTTCGGTTATGAACCGGGTGACTCATGTGTTGCAGCCATATAAATGAATCATGGCCGCAAATTCGTAGCTGGGCTCCATTTCAGACACTTCCAACTCAACATGTCCCGAAAGCTCAACTGGATGGAACGGTACTACATCAGCCGCAACACCAATGATTACTACACCAATTTTAACATCGTTGCGAAATATAACCATCGTATTACTCCCACCCTCTTGTCGCATGCCTTGCATTCCGTGCTTCAGGAAAACATCTGGTTGACCTACAATGTGTTCAAATCGGACTCGAGAGCCGATGCAGAAACAAATGGCCATAACTGGGAGCTTCGTTCGGTTGACCAGATCGATTTTGAAGAAGTAGTTTCTTTCGAAAAGAAAAGCCAGTTTGGGGAAGCCACCTTCGCGGAATTGAACAGGTACAAATGTCCCATGAACGTTGACAACTTGCCTCTATGGAGAATCATCGTGTATGAATTGCCCAATGACGACCAGTATATCTGTGCCTACTTCGACCACTGCTTGTACGACGGCTTGTCTGGTCTAGAGTTCCAGAAAGACCTCGTCAAAGCATTGTCTGAGGTCAAGGAGGACACCCCTCTAGAATTCATATATGACAAGAATAGAGATTCCCACCCACTGCCAAAATCGCTCATTCCCGCAACCACTGACCAGATCAATATCTACCAACCCACGTATTACCAAATTCTTTCTCATTATTTTAACAAATACCTTCCTTTGGTTTCCAAGACTTGGAACTACCTCATTTCTCTGATCCTCAAAGACCCATGGAAACCAAACTTGAATGTCAACCCCGTATTCACGCCTGGTAGAGAATACCCTAATACTGAAATCAGTACCGGTTTGATAAATTTTAACCCCACGGAAGTTCAGAAAATATACCAGTATTGTAAATCCCAGAATATCACCTTAACCCCATACTTTCACGCCATATGCCTTAAATGTTTGGAGGATACCATTTTTCCAGCAATTGACCCCAGCCACAAATTTTCTTCGACCTCAATAACAGCAATTAATGGAAGAAGATACTTTCCCCAGGGAACCCCATTCAGATACGGTTGTATAATTGCACCAGATTTTCTTTCATTGCCTCCAGTACTCGACCAGACCCGCAGTTTCATGGGAAGGATCCAGACTATATTAAACAGCCAGATCAAGTCAAGACTGTCATTTAGAGAAATGGCCATGCTTCAGTATTTTAATTTCTGGTCTTTCTTTGAAAGATACAAATCTCCACAGGGCAGATGTACTTTGACAGTTTCAAATTTGGGTAGGGTACCAGACTCGGGCAAGAAATTCAAAATAGTAGATGCATATTTTGGTCTGTCGACTGGAATCATGTACAACTTTGTCCTTAATATGATTACTACAGAAGAAGGAGGATTGAATGTGAACTTGAACTATCTCCCCGCGTACGAAGAATTATATGCTGGTGAGAAAAAGGTTATGGATGTATTTATGGCCAGATTTAGAGAGAAATTGTTGAACTTTCCCGAAGAACAAAATTAGACTGCAAGCTTTTTGGATTAGATAAGTTTTGGATGAATGAGATACTGCGTATGAGATATAAATATGAACTTTAGTATATGAAACAATGTAATGCACATAAAGACTGCTTTTTAAATCAAATCAACGATCATGTCTCGTATCTCTTCCACATACAAAGAACCCTGATAATTAAGACCCTCAACCTTTTGCTTAATGTCACCAAAAGTGTCACCTGCTTTCTTGGTAGCTGGTTCATGTACGATCTTTTTTCTTCCTGTCTTTGGTTCCTCTAGCGAAAGTTTATTCAACTGATAACTCAAGAATTGAATTTTTTCTATCCGGCTCATTTTCTTGCCGTATTTTTTGAAAACCCATTCCCAGAATTGGTCTTCATTGTCGTCATAATTGACGCTGCTCTTGGCAAGCGTTTGGATCAAATGGTTGTTCAACACAACTTGACTCTTCGTCAATTCGTTCGTTTCCTTAAGAACCCTTAGAATTCTCAACTGAGAAATTAGCAATAAACCAAGAATTGAAATGAAAAAGTATCCAATGATGTAAAAAGTAATTCTGTTTGAATTGATCCAGTCCTTATCGTGCTTGACTGTAACTGGTTTTTCTTGGACCTTCTTAGGTGGAGTGATTGTGGATTCGGAACTTACCTTCGGTATAGGTTCAACCTGTTTAATCAAAGTTGGGCCATCAACATAGTAGGTGCTAGCTGTTATTTCATTCTTAAGCTCCTTTATCAAATCCTTTGCGACTGCAGTTTGTCCTGCCAAAGACTGTTTTTCAATGACTCCCTTGATCCATGATCTTCCAGTCCATGAAATGAAAAAGGATAATACCAAGTTAGTCTTACCTTCCTCTGCCCATGTTAAAACGTATCTGGTCTTCACCGAAAATGACTGGCCCAGGGGAACATCAGGTGTTGCTGTGCTAGTGAGCAAAGTAATATAATCTGTAAAGTTCTGATGTTCAATGACTTCGCTCACTTCACACTTGGTTGATTTTGGCCCTATAGAGTAGCCCAAAGCTCTTCTGTATGTGTAAGTTCTTTCCAATTTTGTTGGATCTTCTTGCATGGGTAGGAACTCATCGTATTCAGATATTTCGGAGCCATCATGTGTTTCAAGGAACTTTCTATGAAAGGAAGTGTTGGAACTACCGAATAAGATGTCAAACACTATTCCGAGGGGTGCATCGATGATCTCGTTGCATAGCTCCACTTCATTTGGTTCTTTCGTAAACGCATCGGACGCATCCGTAGGTGTATGTATATCAGGCCCGAGATTCTTATACTTAGACTCGGGCTTGAATTTTAACAACTTCGTGGAAACTTCCTCGACCGCCCTTAGTGAGTCCTTTGAACCATCCCTTAGCTCGCCATCTGAAACATCTTCGTTTTCGTCATCGCCATCATCCCCGTCAATTGACATGATATATGACTCTATTTTGGGGGTCTGATTGAGAATATCTTCCTGTTGCTTTTCTCTCTTTTGCTGGACCAATTCTTCTTGAGTTACTCCCAATGTTTCGATGTGCTCTCCACGAGACTTGCTCCAGATGCTGGTCATGAAATCGTAGGTCACGTCCCTAGATAAAAAACTGGCAAAGTTGTGTTTTGAGTCTTTTGTTTCAATCGAGATCCCGTTGGGGAATAATCCTGCAGTGGATTTTCTCTCCAACTTGACTATATCCTCGAATTTTATCACCAAGTTGGTCACCCAACCAAGCAAGTTCGAGTTGAAGCACAAGTAGTGCTCGCTGACATAGATTCTACCTTGTAGCAAGATCTCCCTGCTCAAGGCGCACGAGAAGTCATCCAACAAGCGGTCGGTGAGGTCCAACGTCCTGAAAAGCTGATGGAACTCGGTATTGCGCTTCATGGTGGCGTAGTAGTACGGGGTATCTCTGAAGGTCTCGTCAGTGTAAAGGTTGTAGTCGTGGCCCTTGGGGGTCGAGGGGCTTTCTGGGTACGACTCGCTGATGGACCTGCCCTTGGACTTTCTGTATGCGATGATCTTGGGGGAATTGGGGCCTGTTTGGGCATCTGTCTCGGTCACCGTGTCGTTAGTGCTTGTGGAGTAACTCTTGTTGTGTAGCAAGCTGGATCTGGCCGAATTGTTCGTGCTAAGCGTGGCCTCGAACCCGCTAGCAAGGTTATCCTTTGAGATAATGGACGAAGCGTCCTGCTTGGTTGTGAGCGGATTGGCCGGACTAGCTTTGACCAAGAACGGCGACTGGAGTGATGCGGACGACCGTGATGACGTTCTGGAAATAGGCGCCAATGCCAGGAGCCGATTCTTGCGTAGTTCTGCTGCTGAAAGACCATTTCCAGAAGAAGCTGAAGACGCCTGCGACTGGGCGTCTTCCACGTCGCCCTTCCTGAGCGTTTCGACCTGGCTACCATACGTCTGGGCGGAGCCATTGACGTGTGGGATGGGCTTGGAGTCATCTTGCCTTAGTTTGGAGTCTGGGGTCACTACTGGGAGAGGCTTCGAATTAGCACCCAGGCCCAGACTGGTGTCCTGGGGCAACGGGAGAGACTCGGTGGATGGTGGAAACGAGTAGGACCACGCATCGTCGTCGTCGTCCAGTAGGTGGGGCATATTGATGGTAGGAGTGGTTGGTGTAGCAAGGTCATTACTTAGTGACGACTGCGAAATGCGTGGCGGGAGTGGCTGGTACGAGGTGCGGTACGAGGGCCGGGACCGCACCGGTGCAGCGCGCCCAGATTAGCGGCAATTTCAGGTAGTTCCCGCCAGCGGTCGCGCTGGGGCCGCTAGGTGCTCTCGGTACGCTGGCACCGCTACGCAAATCTAACATACAAGATCATTACATGACTATACGAATAACTAATCACCTGGCATACTGGGTATGCAAATAAAATACACTAGGCCCAGACACTAGACCCAAACAAGAGCAAGTGGTTGGGATTCAGTAACTTAGACGGATTCCAAAACCACATCCTTGAAACCAGAAGACACCTTCTTACCCTTCTCTTCGGTGGAACCTTCACCGTGCAAGGACAACAAAGCACCCAAGTCGAACTTTGGTTGCTTCAAGACCTTGACCTTTCTGACGTGGATGTTTTGCAATGGCAAGATGGTCTGGGTGGACTTTTCGATTTCACGGCCAATGACTTCTGGGATCAACTTGGAAGTTAATTGGGCCAAGGTGACGTTGGAAACTTCTCTTTGCATAATTTCGATCATCTTCTTTCTAACTTCTCTCAACTTGGAAGATTGAGCGTAGGTGGTCTTTCTTACTTGGTTGGATTGTCTCTTGGTGAAGGCAATGGCAAACACTCTCAAGACGTAGTCGTCAGCGGTCTTGACAGTGACGTTGGCTTCAACCAATGATTGCCACTTTCTGACCAAGGATCTTAATTTGTCGGAGGTGAAGTCCAATCCGTGGAAGTTAGTCAATAAGTTCTTACCTTGGACTTCGTCAACTCTCAACTTGACCTTTCTGTAGGAGTGGTCTTCGGAGCCTTGCAAGTCAGCCAAGCACACTTCGACGACACGGCCCTTCAATCCATCGGCAGCGTTCTTCAAACCGGTGGACTTGTTGATCAAAGTCTTACCGACGTTTCTGTTTTCAAAGGTGGATGGAGCCTTGATGTCAAACCATTCCTTCTTGGTGAAAGGGTCGACAACCTTCTTCTTCAAACCCTTCTTTCCCTTGGATAATCTCTTGTTCTTTCCTACAGCCATGTTTGCGGTTTTAGTAGTATTGGATGAAGAAAAGAGAGAATCAGCTATGTGTCGAGGGAAGATATAGGTGAAAACTTTTTTGCGAGTTCCGAGGGTTGCGAAACGGGGGTAAAGTCACGCGTTTCCTAGTTATGTGCTGCCACCGGTAACCCCGTAATTCGCGTGACTATTAGCACGTGAGATCCACGTGTTTGGAGCTAGGGCTTCGTGACTGTGCTAGCCGTCACCAATTTTTCAGGTATCGTTGAGGGCCATACTGATGCAGTACGATTGTGTAAGTCTACAGACTTCTCAGCGTCTTTCTGCATGCACATGCACTAGTAGGGTTCTGGAACTACGAGTAAGATAACTTAGAACATGTTTATTCGACAAACAAGGCTCCTATATGCAAGGTTTATGACCAAAAAATCCAATCAAATAGATACAAAAAGTTAGAATTGAAATAATAGGTGAAATCAACCAGTCATTCTAATGACCATTATGAAGATTTCATATTATAGATATTTTGGGGGTAGCGACGAGCTTATTGGTTTTCAGGACGCAACTTTCTGACTTCCTTACCAACTCTCCAGATTTCCATACCTCTGATGACCTTCAATTCTTCTTCCAACTTTTCACGGTAGTCTGGTTGGGAGTTGAAGTCCAAGGATCTTTGGGTTTCGGAACCGTTCTTGACAGATTCGTACAAGTCTTCGAAGACTGGCTTCAAGGCATCCTTGAATCTTGGGTACCAGTCCAAAGCACCTCTTCTGGCAGTGGTGGAACAAGCATCGTACATGTAGTCCATACCGTACTTACCAATCAATGGGTATAAGGATTGGGTGGCTTCTTCGACGGTTTCGTTGAAAGCTTCAGATGGGGTGTGGCCGTTTTCTCTCAAGACTTCGTATTGAGCCAAGAACATACCGTGGATACCACCCATCAAACAACCTCTTTCACCGTACAAGTCGGAGTTGACTTCTCTTTCGAAGGTGGTTTGGTAGACGTAACCAGAACCAATGGCGACAGCCAAGGCAATGGCCTTTTCTTCAGCCTTACCGGTGACATCGTTCCAGACGGCGTAAGAGGAGTTGATACCTCTGCCTTCCTTGAACAAGGATCTGACAGTTCTACCGGAACCCTTTGGAGCAGCCAAGATAACATCAACGTTTTCTGGGGTTTCGACGTTGGTCAAGCTCTTGAAAACTGGGGAGAAACCGTGGGAGAAGTACAAGGTCTTACCTTCGGTGATCAAAGGCTTGATGGAGGCCCAGGTCTCGGATTGGGCAGCATCAGACAACAAGTTCATGATGTAAGTACCCTTGCCAATGGCTTCGTTGACATCGAACAAGTTCTCACCTGGAACCCAGCCGTCTTCAATGGCGGCCTTCCAGGAAGCACCGTTCTTTCTGACACCGATGATAACGTTCAAACCGTTGTCTCTCAAGTTCAAACCTTGACCGTAACCTTGGGAACCGTAACCAATCAAAGCCAAGGTGTCGTTCTTGAAGTATTCCAACAACTTTTCTCTTGGCCAGTCGGCACGTTCATGGACGATTTCTTCGGTACCACCGAAGTTGATGGTCTTGACACCACGGACAGCAGCAGGGGCCATGGATTGCTTGGAGACAATTGGACGGGCAGCGGCGACCAAGGCGCTCAAGGCTCTCTTGGAGGCGATTTGCTTGCTAGCGCCGGAGGCGGCGATTCTAGCCATACGGATACCGTTGTTTCTGAAAGACATAGTGAATAGATTGATGATTCTGGATTCTGCAAGTTGGGATTTTCCACGCATTATATAGTGTGAAAAGTTCGTCCATGAGTAATAGTTGCATGCAGGCGGGTTGGGGAAGGTTCACGTGTACTTAGGCGCCTCCGGTTGCCGGGCCGCTGCCGGTGCGCCCTGGGCTAGCGGATGCAACTAGGCCTGGGCTGTATGCCGGATGCGGGATGGGCACCTTCCGAGGCACGACAAATTCACGACACCCTCAGAATGGCAGCAGGAGAAGGCAGAAGACGGTGTAGAAGACAGAAGAAGATGGCAACTGAAGCTGGCAACAGACACATACGATAGCTGTAGGCCGTTCAAGGTTCGTACTCGCCAATTACCACGGCTGGAAACCTCCACTTGTGACTTGCCATGGCGGTTCGTTGTGGTCGCACCGACTCCGGCCCTCTATCGCACCGGCGCACCATCGCCGATTCAGCACCGCCAGTGACTAGCAGGGTGAGGTGGCTCCGGCAACGCCATGTCATGACTCAATCTTATCGGTGCCGCGGGGTAAGCTGCGACGTCCACTGGATCTCCAGCCTTGCCATGCGGTTGCGGCCTGTCGATGCCGCATGCCGTAAACAACACTTATCTGGGGCAGTGGCAGGAATGGTTCGTCCATTTCTGGCGGATGGGTGCGATTTTCGAGCCGTTGGTGCCAAGACCAATGGCAGTTCGGTGGAATAGGAAATGAACAGCGGCATTTGGTGGGGCATTTCAGGTGAAATGGCGGCTGGACTGGCAGTAGCTGGAGACCCTGGTGGCCGATGTGAGGTAGTGCGTTTATTGTGGAATAGAGAATGGGCGGACGTCTCTAGTGTTGAGGAATCACACTGGCCCTCGCAGAGGAATTGAGTGGTCATTGTAGAAAATGGGTGGAATTCGACACTAGGCCCTGAAATGGAATTCTAGCGTCTGCAGTAATGAGTGGCTCTAGTCTTTGTGAAATCAATCATTGGTGTTCAGGTGTTAGGCGAAGACTAGTCAGACAGTAAAGAGTGGACTAGTAGTTTCTGGTGACAATGTCTACCCACTTAATTACATAGATATTGCTGCTTCAATTGAATTACTTAGTTATTTCCGGAGTATCTGGCATATTGGTAAGGAAAACTTCAATTGAATTACATAGCTATTTCTGGAGTATGGGTTCCCATGTAATTTTAGATATTCCTGAAGCACCAGTAGTGCTGATGTCTGCCCATATAATCATAGCTCTTCCAATATCTGGAATAGTGGAGATGCCCATCCCATATAGTCTTCCTGGGAATTTCCATTCCATAGCCCAATCACCTAGGAGTTGACATCTCCCCAATCCCATCCTAGTCAGCACCCTTACCTCGCTCTGATCTACACATATTAGCAAAAGTCTCTATTCTTTCTAGCAATTCTACACTAGTTTAGCAATCAAACCAGTTAACTACTCTAGCGTCATTGTTCATGAAGAGTTCGTGCTCGAAAATCCGAATCTCTTCTTCAGGCGATGTAGACTTGACAAATGGAGATCTATCACGTTCAAGCGAAGACTTGGATCCTCCGTCACCCTTGGTGCTGGTGTCCAAGTTCAAGTTATCAAGCACAAGACTAATGTCAGTGTCCAACGCCCAATCGTCTTCATCATCTAGATCACACCACGAAACAGAGGACTTGATCGAGGACTCCACCAAGGATGGAAGTTTCATGCTTGGCTGAGTGCTCTGAGAGGACACCTCCTGTTTCTTGGGAGAAGCAATTGGGATGTTGGAAGAAGCATTGTTGTACTCGACCAATTCATACTCCTCGTCATCGAACTCGTCTTCGTCCTCCACGGACGAGGGCTTGGTATCGATGGAGAAGAATTTTAAGTCATCATGATCCATATCAAACACATCATGATTATGAGGAATAAGAACTCCACTGTCAATTTGCAGCTGCACGTTCTCTTCGTCAAAGTCGTCGTCAACAGTCAAGCCGTGTACCCACTTAGTGTTCAATTCCAGGAGAAACTGGGCAATGTCTCTAGAGTGGGCCTTGGCTGAGAAGTTGTTAGCGTCGTCCTCGTCACTTCCAACCTTCAAAATGTTCATGAAAATGTCGAAGCAGTTGGAGTTCATCGAGGGGTAAATGTCGTACAAGATGTATGGGTTGTTGAACAACACAAAGTTCTTGAAGTTGTAGTCGGACAGGACCGGCTTGGTGTTGGAAGGTTCTTTGAATGGGGACGTGCCGAACACCGCGGTCAACATGGTGATACCGTACGACCAGTAGTCTGCAAACGTGCAGTCGTACTTGCCGTCAGCAGACTTGTCCTTGAGGAGACACTCTGGGGCCATGTACTTCTCGGTGCCGACGTGGAACTCGTCGCAGTACCTGGAGGTGGTGGCCAAGCCCCAGTCGCAGAGCTTGAAGTTGAACTGGTCATCGATCAAGATGTTTTCAGGCTTCAAGTCGCGGTGGTACACCGAGTTGTCGTGGGCAAACTGGATGGCGTTGTTCATCTGGTTGGCCAACTTCAAGATCTCGCTGATCGACAACGACCTCTCGTGGATCAAGTCGTACAAGTCGCCGTTGGAGCAGTACTCGAGCACCAACACGATGAAGTCTTCGGTTTCGAACGAGCTGAGGAGTTTGCAGATGTTGGCGTTGTCGTACTTAGACCCAGCCAGTTGCAGGTTGAGGGTGCGAAGAATGGCGATTTCCAGGTGGGCAATTTCCAGGAGCGTTTTCTCGCCAGGAAGTCGTTTGGCAGGCAGCACTTTGGAGATGGCCTTGATGCTAACGTGGGTATTGGAGACGGTGTCGACGGCAAGCGACACCTTGCCGAAGGCGCCGTTCTGGATGTTGCGCACGAAGCGGTACCGTCCGTTGAGGAGGAGCAGGTGCGATTCGTAGGCAGCGTATTCGTGGGAAGTCATGAGAATGCAATCGTGGGGGAGTCGTTATGTACAAATGGGAAATCAAGCGGATGGAGCCGTTAGTGGATCAGTAGGAAAGTGCGGAGGGAACAGTCAACATAAAGGTGCAATCTAGAGCCAACCTGACAAGATAGCGGGGGAAAATCGAGACCAGAGACCAGCTGTTGGGATGATACGACCAGACGCTATACAACGCGGGTTCAGGGGACGCTAATATATACCGCAGGCACTAACACCGACAAACTTGCTAAGGGTTCTATGGCAGAAACGAGCGATAAGGGATGGCTTTATATGGAACGTGCTGGAAGTGCGAAGAAAGGGGTAGAAGGTGAGTCGTGTGCGCATACCCCGGTCGCATTCCGCGATAGGAAAAGAGGTCTGGCCATGTTGGGCCCCCGCCCAACAGGGTAATAGCGACACGTGACGTACCGGACCAACATTGCCACAGTGGCAGCAACGACCAACAGTGCCAACAGGAAGCCACAATGTAGAGGACAAAGGTGGTTGAGAGGCTGTAGATACGACGGAAAGCTGGAAGAAAAAAGAAGGAAGAAGGAAGAAGGAACACGGAAGACGAAAGACGTAAGAAGGAAGACGGAAGAAGGTAGAAGGAAAGATGATAACGCCAAAGACATAACACTGAAGACTTCAAGCACTAAAGACTCCAAAGCACGAAAGACTAGGCAAGCCCATTCGAGCCGTTAACTCCATTAATTCCAGGCAATTCTGAGTGCCATCCCCACAAAGGAACCTACTTGGCGCATTGACAAGCCACTTTGAGAAACCTGCAGGTGTCATATTTTGGATCATTCTATGGCCTAAAACGGCGCCAATCGCAGCACCCAGAAACCGGTAACCAATTGACCTATTGTTGGCCCAACAGAGGAATGAGCGATCTAGAGTCACGCTGTTCCTATTTCTTCTAGATTGCAGTCTCGCCCTACTGGAGTGCCACGGGTCAGGAAGGAAAGTTGGGCCACTATCCGTCTCAACGTACATGTTATTGTCATTCACTACTAATATTTCTTATAATGTTGCCTAGTATTCACAGCTAATGTTTAATTCTGCAATTCTAATTGACATCGCCTGGTGCTGTTCGCAATTTACAATACTTCCTGGAACCTAAATTGGTTTTGTATTGTTCCCATTAAAGTTTAGTAGAGTATGTCGCTCGACAATAAATTCAACTGCACCAAAAATGCCAAGTTGAAAGCAAGCACCAGTCTAAGGATGGTGACACTGAGGAGCGGAAAGCATTTGATGGAGTCACTGCAAGTGAATCTGGAGTTTTGAGCTAATTTACTTGTAATGAACGATTCTTCCCATACACTTCAAATGAACAACGCTTCCTTCAACATTAAAATAATTGTTCCCATTAACTTCTAATGTTCAATACTTCCATTGATAGCAAAGATCCGTATTTGTTCCTATTCACTTGAAATGTACAATACTATCTACAACCTAAAATGATTTTATTGGCTCTGACTAGTCCAGTGCATATTCATTAATCTCCGCCATTTATTAATGATTTTATTGCCTCTTGCTAGCCCCTGTCTATGCCCCTCACTCCTCAGTTGACAGGTATATGCTTCATGGAACGAGCCCAGCCAAAAGCAATTATGTTCTAGTTGACTGACGAGCCAGACATGATGGTTGGCTTTTAGGAGCGGTGGTGAGGATTTTACAATGGTCCAACTGCTGATCAGCAGATAACAACAAAATCACGGACATCGCCGAATTGGCTGATTAGCGGTATACAATACTGGTCGCTTTGTTGGCTGATTAGCGCTAATACTACACAATGTCATGACGTTGCATCTAATCTCCAGGCTCCGGGCCTGGGTTGAAGTTTGTGTTTAATTTTGCATCAACTTCAGCTTAACGCATTTGAGACTAGATCTTTTCATCCAGCTTATTCCACTAATTGAGCCTACACAACCACTAAGGGCCGTTTACATCATATCAACTGACCTCAGGGGTCACATACTATTAACATTATTATTAATCAAATAGGGAGCTGGGCCACAATCACAGCTACTTCAACAAAGCATCGATCTTTGGGGCAATAGAAGAAGGCTTGGTCAACGAGGAGAATCTCTCCACCACCTTACCGTTCTGGTCAATCAAGAACTTCTCGAAGTTCCACTTGATTCTGTTCATGCCCAAGAGACCGGACTTTTGCGACTTCAAGAACTTGTAGACGGGGTCTTCGTTGGAACCGTTGACTTCGATCTTGCTCAACACGGGGAAGGTGACTCCGTAGTTCAATGAGCAGAAAGAGGCGATTTCATCGGCAGTTCCTGGCTCCTGGCCACCGAACTGGTTGCATGGGAATCCCAAGATTTGCACGTTCTTGCCCTCGTACTTCTTGTTCAACTCCTCCAACTCCTTGTATTGCGAGGTGAATCCACACTTGGAAGCGACGTTGATGATCACCACAACCTTCCCCTTGAGGTCGGCAAATGGGTAGTCGTTGCCCTTGGCATCTTTGGGTGTCAATTCGTAGAAAGTAGACATTTTGGTGATGACCATCGGTGTGAATCGCCTTCCTTTTATATCCCTGGTCCCTGTGCAGGACACCCATATCGGGATCTCGCCATGTGGTGATCATCATGTGGAGATCCGGGGCTGCACCACCTGCTGCCAGCCTACCCCTCCGATCCCTAGACGACCGTCCCCTGGCCGTTAAGTCGCCAATCTTTCATTGCCGTTGCCGGCATTCTCCCTTCTACTTCTACTCCCTGCCCGTATCTCATCTTGTACTGGCATCTCCTCCATCTCTTCCATCTCGTCCACCTCGTCCCTCTCGTCCACCCCTCACCTTTTCTCCATTCACCACACGGCACAGCCGTGGCCACGATTACAAATCCCTGGTCTAGACGGCAGTATCCGAGTGCACATATGTCATCTCATCGGCAATATGTACGAGTCGCATATAGCCGAAATAGACCGACTGGGGTCCCCGAGGCTAGCGAAGGCCGAGGTTATGTACACAGCCAGGTCGAAGATTCCGGCTACAGGTCAAACTACACTGCCAAGGTCCGTCTTGGCTGTGTATTAGTCAGTGAAGTGGCGGTTGACTGGTCTAGTTCTGAGTAATTAGCTGCGAATCTGGCGGGAGGCTGGCTCTACCGAGGATGGCGATCGCAGCTGATATTGGCATTGTCATAGTTCTGGGCAATGGAGTGTGTAGGGGGGTAGTTATTTGCCGCTGTACTATTGGTGTTCTTCCGGTTTTAGGTTCTTCTGGATCCATTACCTTGATCTGTGGAAGTTCATCGATGTTGAAACATTTTTCGCAGTTGCCTTTCTTTGACTGGTAGTGCTACTGAAGCTGTTGTGTTCGGTATTACAAAGACTAAGCCTGTCTCCTGTTTTATCGTCTTCGTGGTCTTCAATTTGAAGTATTCTCTTTATTTGGTGATGAGAAGTATAGTATATTCTGACTAAATAGTAATTCTTCCCTATCTTCAATTCGAGCCTAGAAATGCCAGTCACGCCCATTTGGGACGAACATGGGTCCTCTCCCAGTTTTGGGGCTAATTTCTGCTCATTTGAATCTATTATGGGATAATGACCCATCTCCTGCTTTACTCTCTGCAATAATGAATGTCATGAATAATTTACCAATTTTTGACATTTTTTCAGAATTATTGTCAAGATGACAATTTTTTATCAAGCATAACTGGCAACCTTCACGATGGAAGAACATCATTTCTGCAAGAAAAGTTAAGCTCCACAAGATATCCACACTATTGCTGGAAGTTTAATAACCCTCGAAGTATTATCGATGCAAGAAGTTGCGAAAAACAGAGTTCTGCTAGTATGAACATGGTGATATTTCCTGTAAATCCTTCTCTAACACACCAGACTACTCTTCATGACGTCGAGGTCATTGGGATTTATTCAATAGCACCTTGCAGCTATCGATAATCAATTTTATTGGGTAGATATTCATGTAGAGTAGTTTTTTCGTGGTTGGCTGCAATGCTTTCACAAGCATTAGTCACAGCTCGAACTCGGATCTATTTACAGGAACTGTTCTCTATGTAAAGTGCACCACATGGTACACTTGCTTACCTACCCTTACCAACATCAACTTTCCGTCAAGCAAATGGTTGTCTTTATCGAACAAAACCACATCCTCTGGGTCCTCGAATTGGTCTCTTTCTAAACCCAAGTAGATACCACCCGATTTGATTAAGTTCTTGGTTTCTCTCTTGGATTTGCCTATGATTTGGGACAAAAGTGTGCTCATTTTCAAGTCGTCTGTGTTGAAGTCTTCAAACTTCAAATTGACCAAGATTCCCGATCTTTTGAAATTTTGAAGCAACCTATCCGCGGAAAGCTCATCGTTGAAAGGTTGGTCTGGGGTGGGAAATAAGAAGCCGGTAATGTATGCCATTTCCTCGCCTACGCCATTTCCATGGATCAAGTCCACCACCTCTCTAGCCAAGATTCTTTGAGCCAATCTAAGGCCAGGGTCAGATTCGTGCTTCGATACCACACCTTCAATCTCGCTTAATGGCAACAATGTGAATACTTTCAATAGTCTGGCCACCATCTCGTCCGGGGTGTTGATGAAGTACTGGTACATTTGATAGGGGCTGGTGAGCTGGGTGTCGATGAAAACAGCGTTTCCTGCACTCTTACCAAATTTTTCACCGGTTGGAGTAGTTAACAAGGGAACTGTCATACCATAGGTGGACTCTTCTTTGACCTTGAAATGTTTCTGCAACCTGGAGATCAAATCAGTGCCAGCGGTAATGTTTCCCCACTGGTCGTTTCCGCCGATTTGCATGTTGACTCCGTGGTGCTTGTACAAGTGCCAGAAGTCGTACGCCTGGAGGATCTGGTAGGTGAACTCGTTGAATCCCAAGCCGTGCTGAGACTTCAACCTAGACTGGATGGAGTCTCTTCCCAACATGGACGAGACTCTGATGAACCTGCCGTAATTGGCCAAAAAGTCTAACATCTTTATGGATTCCCACCAGCTGGCGTTGTTGGCGGTGGAGATGTGGCCATCGGGGTTGACGGGGTAGTTACGCGACTTTGCGTACTCCACACCACCGTTGAGAAACGCCACCATCTGGTTCTGGATCTTTTGCACGTTATCGAGCCTTTGCTTGTCCTCAAGTTGGGATCTTTCGGTGGTTCTGCCGCTGGGGTCGCCCACGGCACCCGTTGCGCCTCCCACGAGGCCCACCACGTCGTGGCCCCGCAAGTGGAAGTGTAGCAATACCATCAATGGCAACAAGTTGCCCAAATGCAACGAGGTGGCGGTGGGGTCTGCTCCACAGTACAACTTGAACTTTTTGCCGCTGGTGTTCAGACTGAGCTCGAACAACTCGTCGTTGGTGATGGACTCCACCAAGTAGCGTGACTGCAAATAGCCCACTAATGGCGCCTCGATGTCAGCAGCGTGATGGTCGGGGTTGGTGATGGCGTGGACTGGAGGGATGATGGTGACGGTACTGGTGGAGGTGAACCGCACGCAGCGCCACGACGTGCGCATGGCGTTGAACATTGTGGGATGGTGGAGGAGGTGGAGCTGAGGAAGCAGCCTGGTATCAATAGCCTGGATCGCCTCTGGGATGGATAGCCTGGATCGCTTCTGGTGGATCAATCACTTATCCGTACAGTGGTAATTACTGCAGATATTTGAAGTTGTTTCGCGCCAGACAGGCGTGATTTTCTGGCGAGTAAATTTTGTTACTGGTACTGATCCAACAGACAATTCACCATGGCAGATTCGCTTGCGCCCTCCAATGCCGCAAACATGGCCAACGACTCCACCAGCGCTGGGAGTGCCGCCGGCGCCAAAAAACGGAAGAGAAAGAGGAACAACAACTCGAACAAGCCTGCCATAGCCAGCGATGAGCATCGCCCTTCAGAAGACAAGCAGGAGAAGATCCGCAGCAACAAGAAGATTAGATTCGATGAGGCAGAAGAACAGGCAGTGGAACCAGCTGCTCCAGCTCCTTCTGTCAAGCACGAACAACCAGTCGAAAAAACGGAACCTCCAGTGGTGCAAGCGCCAAAGCACACCCAGCCAAGCCCAGCCAAGCCCTCCACCGTACAAGACTCCCCCACGGCGTCCAAGAAGAGCGAGACGAACAAAAACCCATTCAAGAGATCGTCAGCTACTGCCAAAACGGTCACCTTTGACAGCGACGACGAGGACTACAATACCAACTCCTTCCACACTAAGGTGGTTGACCGGACCCAGCTCGCCAGCAGAGCCCGCGAGCTTCTTGCTATAAGACAGCAGTTGCCTATCTACCACCACAAAGACAAGATTATCGACTACGTTACCCGCAACCAGGTCACGGTGGTTATTGGTGAAACCGGTTCTGGTAAATCCACCCAGATACCCCAGTTCTTGATGCCGTTGAACAGGAAACAAATAGCCGTGACCCAGCCTCGTAGAGTTGCTGCTGCATCGTTGGCAGCCAGAGTCAGTGAAGAGTTCGGGTGCCAGATCGGACACGAGGTCGGTTATCAGGTGAGATTCTCCAACGTCACCCATCCTCACAAAACCAAGCTCAAGTACTTGACCGATGGTATGTTACTCAGAGAGTTGATGATCGACGGAAAATTGTCCAAATACTCTACCATCATTCTAGACGAAGCGCACGAAAGAACGGTCTTGACAGATTTGATCATGGGTTTCTTGAAACAATTATTGGTCTCCAAACAGCGTACCGATCTCAAAGTGATTGTTATGTCTGCCACGTTGAACGCCGAATTATTCAGTAAGTTCTTCAACGACGCCCCAATTTTGTTTGTCGAAGGAAAGATGTATCCCGTTGGCTCATTCTATTTGACCGATTCCAACGAGGATATTGTTGATACTATGATCAGAACGGTTATACAGGTCAACCGTTCTGAGCAGGAGGGTGATGTGTTATGCTTCTTACCGGGTCAAGAAGAAATTGATAACTGTGTGCAAGTCCTCACTCAATTGGCTCCACACCTTCCTAAGGACTCGCCCATCATTGTGCCTTTGCCATTATATGCTCAGTTGTCCCCAAACCAACAAGCCAAGATTTTCGAGAAATTACCAGCCAGAAGAAGAAAGGTGATTTTGGCTACGAACATTGCAGAAACATCCATCACGGTTTCTGGTGTGAAGTACGTGATAGACTCAGGGTTGCGTAAGGTCAAGGTGTGGAAGCACCAGTTGGGCTTATCCACTTTGTTAACCACTCCCATCTCCAAGGCATCTGCCAAGCAAAGAGCTGGTAGAGCTGGTAGAGAAAGTGCCGGTAAGGTGTTTAGACTTTATCTGGAGAAAACCTTCGACCAATTCCCCAAGCAACAAGAATCAGAAATTATCAGAAATGATATCATCTTGCCCATTTTAACCTTGAAAAAGCTCCAGGTCGATGATCTTTTGAACTGGTCCTGGTTGGAGCACCCAGGTCAGGAGGCCATCTTGAGTGCTCTCAACACTCTTTATTCATTAGGAGCCTTGAATGATTCAGGCAAGATCACCTCTTTGGGTTATAAGATGGCCGTGTTGCCTTTGCCTCCACAATTGTCTGTGGTGTTGATCACGGCCATGGAATTTGGGGTGTTAAACCCTGTGATTGATATAGTGGCATGTCTCTCGGTTGACAACTTACTTCTTAACGTCGGTGGTAGCAACGGGGAAGTCAGAGATGAGGTCAACTACAAGAGAAGACAATTCTGCCCACTTGGGTGCAAATTTGGAGATTTAATCGCATTAAAGGAATACTTCAATTATTTCATGGAAACAAACTCAGCAGAAACCAAAGCATGGTGCAAGGAGCTTTTCTTTAGTTACAAAGGGTTCAAAAATGTCATGAAGGTAAGACACCAGTTGCGTGACTACATGATTGCCACTGTCAAGCAGGATGATAGCATGAAGCAACATGAAAGAGATGGATTGCTCAGAAAAGTGAAATTACAGTTGGATGACGAAGAGCAGGGTGAAATGGATATTCCAAAAGTCTTGAAGTCCTTTTTGAAGGGCTACATCACCAATACTGCCATAGGAATGCCCGATAGATCCTACAGAACTTTCAACACCGGGCAGTTGATAAGCATTCATCCGTCTTCGAACCTCTTTGGGAAGGTAAACCTCGATTGTGTCATGTACCTAGAGTATGTTTTCACAGCCAAGGGTTATGGAAGAAATTGCTCAGCTATGGAATTGGGGTGGTTACAAGAAATCGCTCCTCATATTTTAGGTGCATCAAAGATCAGCATCGCCAACTCATGAACGCTCGAGCCGTTACTGTTAATTAATAGAGACTGGATAGAAGTATCTTAAACTGTATAATAAATAGACATCGCATGGAGGACATAATCGTAACAAGTAACGGCATGTAAATGCATTTTCAGTGGACCGGGATACCCTAAAAACTGAACGAAGCATGTGTCAAACTGCTTCTTCTGGACTAATTTCCAATCTTTTCATCCTAAGTCTTCACCTACAAGACCTCTTGAACGCTCTTGATCACTTTGTCAAAAATTGCCTTGCTTCCAGCAATCACTCCCTTACTGTTCAAATATCTACCGTTTCCGAAATTCAATTCTTCGCCATGAATATCTCCAACCTGGCCGCCGCTTTCATAGATCAAGATGTTACCTGCCGCATGGTCCCAGATTTTCTCCCTGTAGGTGTCGCTGATAGGCAACCTGAGGTAAACGTCGGCCTGGCCCTTTGCTAGAATACAGTACTTCACTTGTGAGTCCAAGTTGATTGTCTGCTTTGCGACCGTCTGGTCGTTGAAACCCAATAAGGCTTTGATTCTGGACTGGGTGGAGTGGGAAGAGTGTCCTTTTTCGACACCTTCTGCCACCTTTAACTGATCCACGTCGGTGTTCTGGTTCATTTGAATACGCTGCTGGCTGGACAAGGGAACAAATCCAGGAGTGAACAATTCGGAGTAAAAGGATCCAACCCCCTTAACGGCGGAGTACAAGCCTCCTACGGTTCCGGAGGTCTCGTCGTTGGACACGATGGTTTCGGGCAAGTTGGGGCATCCAATCACCCCCAAGACCACCTTGCCGTCTTCGATCAACGCCAAGCACACGGCAAACTGGTCGCCACGAAGGAACCCCTTGGTGCCATCAATGGGGTCCAAAGCCCAGAACCGGCCCTTGGCGCCTCCCTGGGAGTTGCCCAAGTCAATGCTGGTGTAGATCGTCTGCAAGTCTTTGAGGACGCCGATTTTTGAGCTGGCAGCGTCACCCTCCTGCTGGACGTCCTTGATGATCTCCAAGATCTTTTTGCTCAAACGGGAGGCCTCAGCAGAGTCTTCCTTGAGAGAGTCTGAGTCTTCCTCACCCACGATCTCGTCGTTGGGGAAGTTGAGCTTGATGGCGTGGTTGATAATGGCTTGCGCAGCATAGTCACCCACGGTGACTGGCGACTTGTCGTCCTTGGTCTGGGTGCCGTCGTTTTGGGTGGAGGCAATGGAGTCACTCAATTTCTTGGTGAGGACAGAGGCTCGTTTGACAGCCAAAGTGGCGATTTCGAGTTCACGGGAGTACGGATGGGCCATTGGGCGGATTCGGGAGACTAGTGCCAAAAGTGAGTGGAAACGAGGAATGTTGAACACGATGGCTAGCACAATAAGGACAATTGGTAGGCCTAAACGGATCCTCATGATGATAACGCACGTGAGCTAGCGAGTTGCAGGGACGCTAGCGGTTTGCGGCAATGAGCTGGCGTAGTGGACGGGGGAATGGTGAGTCTGGCAGGGCGGGTCTGGCACGGTGAAGACTGGCGTGGTATGATGAGCGTGGTGGTGTTTGTGGGCCTGGAGGAGTTTTGCTACTGATCTGGCGTTGCGCGACGAGCACATCGGTACCACGAGTGGCCGTTAGCGACTCAAATAGCGACGCACTGGCACTAGTGACACTATTTCCTCGCTACTCCATCACTACTGCGCACTTCTCTCGCTATTTTCTCGCTATTTTCTCGCTACTCACTCCACCATCCCTCCCTATATACTACTCCCTCCGCTCACCAAAGCACCCCACGAATGCCAACGCTCTTCCTCCCATGAACAAAGAGCTCTACGCCCTCGCGGTGCTCAACGCCTTCTGCCTAGTGGTGCAGCTCCTCCCCGTCATCTCGGTGCCCATCACCTCGGCCTCCAGCCGCTTCTACTTGTCACAGTACCAGTCCTACAGCTTTGGCGTGTTTGGCATCTGTGACCTTCAGACCTCAGTATGCTCCCACGCCAAAATCGGCTACCCTCCCGTCAACAGCACGTTCTACGAGTTGGCCAGCGAGCAGGTGCCTGATGTTGGAGGCATTGCCCTTCCTTCCAACGCCACATACGCTATCTCCAAACTTCTCGTGGTGCATGTCATCGCGTTTGGGTTCCTGGCCCTCTTGCTCTTGGTGGTGTTGTTTCTCATATCGCTCGAGTACGTGGACGAGTTGGACAAGAGCTACTTCTTCAAGATGGTGGGCAAGCCCAATATCAAGAACGAGCCAGTCGAAGAGGAGTTCTTGCCCAAGGACCCTACCCCGAAGAAGAAGACCCGCGACATCACCGTGTACATCAACGTGATGTTGTCGTTCTCGTTGCTCTCGTTCATCTGCACTCTCTTGGGCTTGCTCGCAGACATCTTACTCTTCATCCCCAACCTCAGCTACGTGGGCTGGCTCCAGCTCTTTCCCGTCACCGTGCTCACGTTGATCTCAGCCATGCTTTGCTTCGTCAAACGGACCCTCTACTCAAGACGGTACCTCGAGCTCGAGCACAAGTACGAAAACGACGACATGAGACTCCGCAAAAACATCTTGGAGAGACGATGGAGCGACGACGCCAGCGATGATGGCTTCTATGTCTACACCAACGGCTTCTACAGCGCCCATAACGGTGAGGGAACTGTGGGCCCTGCTGGTAGAGCCAACAGCTTGCATAGTGGCTGGATCCACCACACCTACCGAAATGAAAGTGCAGAGGAGATTTCCATCAATTCGTTGAGATCCGAGGCCATCGAATTGGAACCTTTGACCCGGGAGGACGGCGAATCTCCTCCCCGTCCTGCTGGGGGATCATAGTATATGCAAGAATGTTCTGAAAATGGTATTAAGAAGATACTGGATGATTTCCTCAAGAAGGTCTGGTTTCCTTAAGATTTTACTCGCATTTACGAAGAAGACCTGAATGGTATGTCACTGCTTCAAAGCTACCATCTGGCCCTGATTACGCATGGCTCGCTGCCTGGTTCAACCAATACGAACTCTATACTGTTCCTTGTCCGCTAGCTGACTATATACACTAATTTAATGACTTTAACGACTCGACATTACTTTCCTTGAAATACGCCTTCCTGAGCATGCCTAATGCCTTCTCTCCAAATTTGACATTCTCGTCCACCAACAATCTCACCATTTGCGTCAACTGTATATCCTTCTCCAACCCAGTCAATCCTTTTTGAACTTCAACAGTCTTTGCAAGTATCTCGTAGTGGAACTCCTTCACCAATTCACCACTCTTTACTCTCACCAACCGCAATAACTGGTCCAATTCTGTGCGGTCAGTAACTACTCCAAGGAGCACCTTGAAAATTGTGGGAGTCAATCTGGCATGAAAGAATGCTGGTTTGAGTATGTTGAGCTCAGTGACAAATTCACCGTAGCTAAGAGTATCCTTACGGTTCTCTAACTGACTCACGTAGGCATCAAGGGTGTCTTGCGAAGGACACAATTTTTGTTCTTGTATCAAGGTACCTAATATGACCTTTGATTGTTCTGTGTTTCCGTGTTTGCTTAACAAGTATGCTAAGTTATCCAATTGGTCGGGGCTCAACGATGACAAGATGGGTGGGAAGAGACCCACAGCATTGGTATAAAGAGACATCATTAAAGGTCCTTGGGAAGTGGTGCTGTTACTGGACCGTGCTCTGTCGATGAATGCCTTGAGGATCTCAGAGCATCCTTGTAAGGAACAGTTCTCCAACTTGGCTTCGATGTAGCTCAACAATACAGACAATTCTTCTTGCTTGACGTGCTTGATAAGGAACACAGAAGCAGTCTCGAAACTGGGGGCTCCATTTCCACGAACTTCGAAGTATTCCATAGCCCCAGAAGCCACAGTGGCGCCTAAAGACTTGTAAAACTGCTCGAGATCATCTATGTTGAAGGATTCATGGTACTTCTGGCTGATCTGGTCCATGTTAGAAGACAAGTTCAAGTCATCGTTCTTGGCAGTGATATCAGAGAGCTGGATGATCTGTCCATTGAAGATATCTACCCAGTTCTTAGCCATATTGCTATAGTACAAACTGATGCCTTGGCTACTTTCTCCCTTTATGACAAATTTATGGTTGGAACCACCAAACAACGTGGCGTTACGTGACAATGCAGACACCAAATAATCGTTGAACTCGAACTTGGTCACAACGTCGGCCACATCCTCTGGATTTTTCATATCATGATGGTATTTGATGGCTGATTCGATAATCGGCTTGGAGGGTATGGCGGCGTCATTTTGCTCTGGCGTGAGTTTTTCATTTTCAAAAACGTATTTCTCGTTATTGGGCACAAACAGGAAGGCTGGCTTGGAATACCAGCGACACAAGCCTGGTGGAATGTGTCTTGGGAGCTTCATCATGGAGTATATGGTTGAAATGAAAAATTGATGTTCCAGCACGTGAACAAATATGGAGCGAAATGAAGTTGGACTCAAGATAAAGAAATGACTAGGCACACGAAATAAGCGAAGGAAGTTATACTAGAGGTTCGCCCCAAAAGTTGACGTTGTAAACACCAAGTAATATGACTTTGCTGAAGAGTAAAAATTTTAGATAAATAGTTTAAAAAACAATGGACGAGTCCGGAGTCGAACCGGAGACCTTTCGCATGCTAAGCGAACGCGCTACCAACTACGCCACACGCCCGTTGAAGAAGTGGTCCCTAGCAGGATCGAACTGCTGATCTCGGCGTTATTAGCACCGCGCCTTAACCAACTGGGCCAAGGGACCTTTTACTTGAGAGCTTTGTTTGGGACTAAGACTGTTCATCTTTTCATCACTGCATGCAGGATTTCAATACAGGATCTGTAGTATATAATCGTAATCTCACACTATCTAGGTTGGTTTGTTTAGGGGAAAAAAGGGAATGCTAACAGTATATAACTGTTTACTCATCTTTTCCTGGGATTTAGAAATCCTTAGCAGGACCAACTGTAGGGTCGAGTAGAGGGAATGTGTTGTCTCCTTTGTCTGAGTTGGAACGGATGTGGCCCAGATTTAAGTAAGAAGACACTCTTCAGATTTGCCAATTTATTCCACCGATGCTTTGAAGTCAAAGTAAATCAGTAACTACCAAAATAAAGTTTGTAGCCACTGTTTTGTTGTTACTTCACGTATGTTTCAAATATGTTTTAAAGACTCTTTATATTCTACAAATCTGCTCCAATTTTTCGTTAATGCTTTTATTACTACTTTTTATTCAATTAACTATAGCCATAAAGCTACTCGATTCTTCAGTGGCTTCCGTGTGTGTCCAAAAATCACTTCAGCCGATTCTACCTGCTTGTTTATCTCAAGGAATAGAGTCATTGGATCCTAATTTACGCAAGATCCTGGCAATAAAGCTCGCCCTATGTGAGTTTCAGAACGCAGGAATCTTGTACCCATCAGCATGCAACCATCTTGACGAAGAACTAGAGTTGTGTATTGAAAATTTGGAGAAGTCACCCCAGTACTGGACCACATTCAGTGGCTATTATCGAGAAATACAGACAATTTGTTACGAGGAATCCCTACCTTATCAAAAAGATCACGTAATTTCTCTTTTCAACAACATCACTGAACTTTATAGCCAACTCTATGAGAATCTTAAAAGTTCAGATACCTTTAGTAAGAATTCATATGAAAACATTCAGAACCAGTTTTCAGACCTCCAGCACCAGATTCGAGACTTGTTTGACGAGCAATCATCACAGCAAGCCAGAGCCTCGGATGAACTTTCTAAATACAGTGAAAATGTGAAAGAGGTATTAGATTTTACTACAGATTCGCTCAAGAAGTCTGCTCTGGACTATCAGCTCTCTTTTGGGGATCTCAATCTCGATTTGGTATATGCACTGAATCAAGTACACAGAATCACCGATGCAATCGATAAAATAGATTATAAGGAAAGAATGGAGCTCCTACAAAATCAGGTAGAGAATTGGTCTGAAGAAGCAGAATATGCCCTAAGTGGGATACTAGAAAAAATGAATAGTATAGACTTTTTGAGCCTAGAAGAGTCTAGTGCCGAAGTGGCAAGACTGTTGTTAGTTTCCAAGAATTTGGCATCAGAGGTGGAAGAGAAGATAGAAGATAACAACCAAGCTATTGCAGAACAACGGAAAATTATAGGCCAGGGGATCGAATATGTACTAATAGATATGGAGCTAGCACTCAGAAGTCAAACGGAGGTGTTGTTGGATGTGTCTGCCCGGCGCATCGAGTTTTTCGCAGCCACAGTGATGGCGAGTTTTGAACAAAAAGTGAACCAGGTGGAAATGAAGGTACAAGAGTTTGACAATACGGTCCAGAGTGCATTGAAAAGATTCGTCAATGCTACAGAAGTGATTGACAGCGCCGTGATATTTTTTAGAAGCTCGATACTCTACCGAATCGCAAAATTGCCATTGCAACTTCCGGTTGCATTGAAGAAGGCATACATACCCTTATCTGAAGTTTACTCCTCGGTTCTGGCTGGAATACAAAAACTCTTGCTACTTGTACTCCTTATTATTTCTGGTACATTTTTGGCCATTTTTTTGCAGTCTTTAAGGTCATTGAAGTCGGTTTTCAGGGTGTACACAGCTGTAAAGCTCCTAATACTAGTGCTTCTGTTGGTGGTTGGAGTCTGTCTCGGAATCTTGCTGGATCATTTACTAAGAGTTATCCAACAGCTATAGATAGTGGTCAAGAAAGTGCCACATTTAGACTCATGGATAGCAGAGTCGGCTGCATGAAACACATTCATAACATCCAGTAAAGCAATTTATACTTCAATAGCGTAATTTTTCACCCAGAAGATGTATGCACATCTGAAAAAGATGATTATTACCAGTAATAAGTAATAAACTGACCCATTATAGACGATTTCCACCTAAACAGCAGTGCCAAATTTTTTGAGCAGATATGCCCCCCCACCAAGCAGTAAACTCGTAACTATGTCCTGGACCTCAGTGATTCCAGGTTATTATCACACTTCTCATATAATCAGGTCTAAATAGGAAGAGATCTAATTGACCGTGATTTGAAAAATACATAGTCCAATAATCTAACCTAGCAACTATCACCTCATCCCGTGATTGACGCTAAAAGAGAAAGGCCCAATCTATTCTAGATGGTCCCTCAGCCTGCAGTCTAGATCTGGCATCTTATTCAGTTGTCACGCACACGATTTCTCCGCATTTTATACTCATCATCTTATCTGTGCATAACAACACCATGAGGCTCCCCCAGCTCATATTGCGGCTATGGCCCATACTAGGACCATTTCCAGTTCCCAACGACTCGGTAGTTCCCCAGCCTAAAGCTCTACCCGTAGATCCGCAAGTTCATTCCAATCTTTTCACATATGCGCACCTAGCAGACATCGCCTATTGCATCTCCAAAACCAACCACATCACAGAGCCTTTCAAATGCGACTTGAATTGCGAGAAGCGGTTTCCTAACGTCACCTTGGTCCACCAGTGGTACGTGGATGACACAGCTTGCGGTTACGTGGCCGTCACCGACAGCAACGTCTTCGACTACGAGGAGGAGGCATCGCTGCCCAAACGGACAGTCATCGTGTCGTTGAGAGGAACCAGATCCATCTTCGATACCTACACCGATGTCAAGGTCGACATGGTGACCTACACCAATTTGATGTACAACCTCCCTCGCTGCGTGGATTGCAGGGTGCACAAAGGGTTCTATGAGGCGTTTGCAAAGACTTTGAATATCGTACACAATCTCCTAGAAGACCAGATCCGTGGCCAGGACTACGAACTCATATTTGTTGGCCACTCTATGGGAGGAAGCATCGCCTTGTTTCTAGCGTTGTACTACCTCGATTTGGGGTATGAAAATATATCCTTGGTGACGTTTGGCCAACCTCTCACTGGAAATCAGAGGTTTGTCAACTGGGCAGATAACGCTTTGGGAAGTCAATTTCCCGCTAGCCACAACTCGTTTGCTCGCAAGTACCTTCGGGTGGTGCATAAGGATGACGTAGTGGCCACCATACCGAAATCCCGGAATCCACTTGACTCTTACTATCAGTTCGATAACCAGATCTACCTCAATTGCTCAGCCGCCGATGCTACACCATCTCCTGAACAGGTGGTGGACTGTCTCACCGGAGAGAACCCCAATTGTATAAGAGGCGACTTCCAGGATGGAATAGATGGAATATTAGGAGGTGTCAATAAGAACTATTACCGTAGTCATAACACCTACTTGAGATCAATTGGATTGTGTGGAATAATTTAGCCACTATTTGGGAGTCTTGAGTGTGGTTGGGAATAATTATCTTCGCTTTCTTCTGAAGCCAAATTTTGGCTGATCATCATCATCATCATCATCGTCATCATCATCATCATTGTTCAGAGCAGTAATACTTGCAGTGGCGCTGGTATTTTCATTTCTTCCAAACGGAACCGAGCGTCTAACGTAGCTAGGCTCTATCGACTCTCCTGGCTGAGAGTCCTCATCCACAAACAAACTGGGCTGTGGTATGCTAGTTTCAATCGTTTTTATTCCCTGCATGTGTCCCTCAAATTCTTGTTTCAAGTGCTCCTCAACTTCCTCGATTGGATTGTCACCACCTGTGATTCGGATCTCATTATCCACCTCAATTGTATCGAATCCAACATATGATCGTGTCACCCTTGACTTCAAGGAAATATTTTTTGTGAACTTCTTGAAGTTTTTGGTGCTCTTGGTAGGTTCATTAGCGGCGTTTTTTCTGGATGGTGGGATTCTAAGAGGAATGTCAACTTCTTCGACTATTGCAAGATTGGACAAGTTCTGATTGATTTCTTCCAGATCACCGTCATCTATACCGAACTCAAGTTTAGTGGATTTAGTGGCACTTTCCTTGGTTTTGATAATAGCATCCACAAGTGAAACTTTTGCCTTGATTTTTGGTATTTTTCTGGGAACCTCTGTTTCCTGCGGTAATTTCCTCTTAAGAGTATCGTGTATATTGTTGCTAACTTCGGGCGATGCAAGCGACTCTGGGCTTTTTTCTTCTGTAGCCGAATGTATTGGGTCATCTCGTGGGGATAATGTCCCTTGGCGAGATGTTATTTCAGGTTCAACAATTTTGTTTGACTGGACATCATGTTCTAGGGAAGTACCTTTCAAACTTCCTGGGGTATCTGATTCGTTTAACACCGTACTAGTAGCTGGCAGCTGTCGTTCGTGTTCGATATGTTGATCAGGCTTCGCGTCAGTATCTTGAACTTGTGTGGTTTGACTAGGCACTGCATCCTTCACATCTTTTGAAGGAGGAGCTTCTAGATCAGGTGTTTGTGTTTTCAAGTCGAAAAAATGCATCTTGTCCTTTCTTTCATACTTTCTTCTCTTTCTTTGAGTGGATGTAGTTTGAGAAGTGATTTGACTCTGTGATGGTTGGGCGTCAAGTTTTCTTTTAATACCTTTGGGAGTTAGCAAGTGTATACTATCAAGAGAACATTTCTTAACTGCCTCTAGAAGAATATCTTCATCATAAAGATCGGAATTCTGTTCTTGTAGAGTTTTCCTTATAAGATCAAACGAAGACTCTGTCTTACTCAGATTCAACACAAAGAAAGACGATTGACCAACTTCTAGCCTTATATCCTCGAATAAATCTGCATCATCCAAATGTTGGCCGTTTAGATATTTCTCGTACTCTAAGTTTACTAATACTCCTCCCAACGCGTTGATCCATTTCGAGAGTTTGGAAAAGTCGCCGTTGAACGTCACAACAGTCATATCCTTAAGCAAGCTTCTTCTTGCTTTATTAGGCAATAGGTATTGCGCTTGGTTTGGTACAAATTTGGCCAAGTCAACGTCAAGTAGCCATTCCTTCACCTTTTCAGGCAGTTTTTCGACCAATGCATACCATTGGTCATTTACAATGGGTATCCCTCGCAGTAATGCAATTTTGAAAGTCTTGGTAGGTTGCTCCAGGATCGTGTAGTAGTGGGTGGCCAATGCCGAATTATTGGTGATTCTGAGGTCAATACCTAGCTGGTAGAGCTTCTTTAACTTTTCAGGCAAGGGACTCTGCTCGATGCTTCCGTTGACTTCCATGGGTCCAGGGTATGTCAACACGTTGAAAGTGGTCCATCTCAAGCTGGTTGTCACTTCTTCTTGCTTGTCCTTGGAATCGATCCGGAACTTGAATTCGATGCGGTCCTCTTGGGTGAGGTCTAGCTCCAATGGACTGGTGTCTGCTTTCCCCAACTTGTACACTTGGCCATTGATGACAGACCTGGCACGGGAAAGGACCTTGACCTTTAAAGGTGTCCTCGACTCGGGTTCATAAAGAAGCTGCTCACTGGCCTCAGTCACAAGTTCCAACTGATGCCTCGACACAAGAGTGCTGTTGATCACATAGTCACACTGGGAATCACGGCCAAGCAGGGTGGTCGTTCCAGGTCCAAGATGAGCAGTGGCTAGCGTTAGTAAAGCTGGAAATTGATGGCTAACGATCTTGGGCCAGTTGCGCTTGCACAACCGTTAACAGTTCCAAAACGTACTTTCATGGGTGGAGTGCTTGTGGGTGATGATCCACATCGATGCATGCGTAGCAAAGGCACTAAGTCTGTGTATGAGCTAGAAGGGAGTGTAGTAGAGGAGCTCCACAAACCATATAAGAGGTACTGGTGACTGCATAGACGGTGAAGTCGATATCGCGTTCTGCCCAGGACGACCATCCGATACAAATCATGAAATTGGAGCTCCTACCTCTCTTTCACGAGCCTTACTAATGTTATAGGACCATATCAGCATTTGAATTCATGGGATTCGCTTTCTACCGGTTTTTTGTAGGGACTAATCCCCAATGGTCCAGATTTCTCTATTCAAATTTATTAACTATACAGATGGACTATGGCCGTGTTATAACTGCAAAATGCTATCCCATCGAACGAAGCCACATGGCTTACTTTCTGGGCTTTTCAACTCTAAAAGACTTCTTCGACTTCTCCTTTTCCTCGCTGATGATCTTGGCGACCTCTTCAGCCTCACCCAATTCTAACAATCCTCTTTCGAAGACAGAAACTTGCTCGTCCTCCTTAGCGTCTTCCTTGACACTAGCAGCGTCAACAACATCCTCGTCGTCGTATAATTTTTCAGCGTAGTACAATGGCAAAGAAGGAGATTTGACAGTTCTAACCATGACACTCTTCAAGGAATCCTTTTCAAAAGCACTCAAAGCATCCTGCAAGTTTTGCACCAACTGCGAAGTTTCAAACTTGTCGGTTATGGCACCAACCTTGATGGAAATGTTAACACCGGTTGGTGGCAAGTAGATGGTGCTGTTCAAGCATTTTTCCAATTGGTTCTTGAGGGTGGTTATGGAAAGTTCGTTGTGGCTCTTGGTGGAGGTTACTCTGATTGGCAATGGAATCTTTCTGTGTCCAACACCGTAGAAGGTCTTACCAAGCAAGGAAGGCATCAAGTTGAACACGGCATCGTCAACAATGAAAAGATCGTATTCATCGTGCAACTGACGACGCTTCTCGAAACTCTTGTAAGTGGTCTTTAACTCGTTAACTGGGAGGATCTGACTGACGTATGGCAAGTTCTCGCTTTCAAGAGCTTCTAATTGTTCGGTAGTCTTGACAAGTTGATCACGTATAATCAAGCATGCTTTGGTTTCTGATGGGTAGATGGAGTGGGATAATTTGATGAATTTGGGCTTGAATTGTGGTCTAGATGCAGAAAACTTCTTGGTGTTAAGTTGTAAGAACAAGGTCTTCAAGTTGTCATCATCATCATCAAACAATTTTTCTTTGTCAGTGTTTTCGCTTTCACGTTGTAAGTATTTGGTGATCTCATCGATGGCCTTGGTGGCAACCTTTTCTGAGATGAATGAGCTGACTGGCTCCTTCACTTCCGTAGATTCTTTCACTGGCACAGCTTCAGCTTCTGGAGTAGCTTCCTTGGTCTTCTTGGCTGGTTTCTTCTTGTTCTTTTTCACGGATGGTGATGCCAATGGGGACTCGGTAGCCACGGAGCCGACCTTCTTGGCCTTGGCTGAGGTGGGGGTCTTTGGAGAGGTAGCTGGCTTGGATCTGGTTCTAGCCATTTTGGTGGGTGATAGTATAATTTGAGATGGGTATATTTTTCATCATCGCGATGCCATGAAAAAGTGTGTATATAGAGAGGAGTGTATATAACCAGTGGATCAGATGGAGCCAGGAGTTATCGATCGACTGGCCTTCCGGACTAGATGGGCTCTCCAGAGTTCTCTTGTAGCCTGTAAACGTTCTGTCTGTACTAGTCAACGATAATGACGAATATTGGGTGCTTCCACTCTTTTTCTAAATTGATTTGGCAGACGAGCCCACAATGCTGGAGGGACTGGGACCTTATTTGGAAACAAGAGGGCCACTTATCTGACGGTTCTTTCTCGCTGTTGGGGCTCAAAAAGAGATTGTGGTTCGAGAAGCGATAGCCAAGATTATTAAAGAATGCTTTTTTGATACAACTCTTGACTAAATGCACTCACTCGATGGGAGGCATAGCAGTCTTTGCAATGGTCTTTTGCTCACCTTTCCCGGAATGTTTCACGCTATCCAACACTATGGCTGGAGACCCGTTCTCTATATTTTCAAACAAGAGCTCGGATTTACCCTCGATGTCCACCTCTCCAGATTCACTGTCGTCGTCTTCGTTTTCACGGTATGGCCGCACCTTTGAGCTGTCGAAGCCTCCTAACCTTTCCCACAATAAATGTGAGAGTTCTTGTGGCGAATACACAGCCTTCTGATTGGGACCGTCCTCTACTTTATCCCAAAGGTCCCATTCTGCTGGTGGTGACAACGGCGGAGAAATGACGAATCTCCGTGTATGTGCATCTTGTGGCAATTCCAAGTACCCTGTAGATGGAAACAGCATGCTTTCGAGTTGTGGCAAGGTGTTCTTTTTGGAGTCACCAAGCCACGAATCACCAAGTTCGTTGTTCTTGATGCTGTAAGTACTGCGCATGGCCCCCCACTGTGGAGACAGACGAAGGAGATCCTTTACTTGTGTGGCTACCTCAGAAGTCTCGCATATGATGATGATTCTTTCAAGCTTGTTGAGAGCAACTAGCTCAATGGGGTGATTAGCTTCCGCCAAAAAACCTGCGAGCTGACTTGGGTCAGCAAGTATTTCAGGAGGCACATTGGTGACGATGAGGGAGTTAGTCGGTGACCTCGGACGCATTTCTATGGTTAAGTTGAAGCTGCCGTCTTGGTGAATCTATACGGTGCACTATAGCCACTGATCACGTGACCAGGAATTGTCATAGGACCCTTACATATGTCACTATAAATCGGGTAGATTGTAGAACCTGTTGGGTTACCAAAAAGCAACATTCTGCGCAGTTATTTTAGGACAATTAATTCATAATTGCCAAGAGTCACTACAATATTTCTTCTACTGGAATGAAATGTCTATTGATCTATACCTGTACGATTATCGTATATGCATCATCTTTTTGATACTCTTGGTATCATCATTACTTATTAAGTTGCTTTCGTCATCGTAATCATCATTAAGTCTATCGCCATCTCTTCTGCTACCTTTGTACAAGTCGAACAACGACCAGAATTTCAAGTTTTCGTCTCCTGCAACTGTGGCCAACGTCAAATTGTCAGGACTCAAACACCCACTCAATATTCTCGAATCGTGAGCACCTGAAATCTCGCCGGTTTTTTGCAATGTGGGGTAGTTGAATAAGGAAATGTTGTTTGTTGGAAAGCCGTGGGTTGCCACGATTTCCATGCCTGTACCTGAGGCGTAGCCCCAGTTCAATGAACTGATTTGAGACCCAGTTTCAATTGTGTTGATTCTTGTACCAGTGGTAGTGTTCCAGAAATTGATGGTCTTGTCCGACGACCCACCACCAGTAGCCAAAAGAGATGGTTGATAGGGACACCATGACAACGCCTTGACGGCTGCCTTGTGGTTCGATCTGGTGAATAGCGGAGAGGTGGTGCTGTTGTTACTATGGCTTTGTCTGACATCCCAGATGCACACGAGATTATCATTACCACCACTGACAAATTGCTGGCCGTCTGGCTTGTATTCAATTCCACAGATTTCGGCGTTGTGGGAGTTCTCGAGCTTGTTGATGACATGGGAAGCTATTCTGACGTCTGAATGGTAGATGTTTCCAATTCTTGAACCACTAGTCAATACATGTTGATGCCATGATTGTGAGGCAATTCTGGTTTGATGGTTATCGCAATTGAGGGTACGCAACTTGGTGTTGGTTTCGATATCCCAAATTTCCAACAACCCATCATCCTTACCAATGGAAATGTAGGAACCATCCTCGGACCACCTCAAGGAGGTGACCAAGGTTTTTTGCGGTAATTCACAAAGAAGCCCCACCGACCCCGTGGATGCATTCCACACATAGACGGAGTCTTCCAAGCCAATGGCAAGTAGATTGGTCGAGGACCAGGCTAATAAATTAAGGTAAAAATCGTCAACCAAGCCCGGAGCGTCAAGAACCCGCTCTGGAGCAGTGGGGATTTTTTTTGCTCTTGCTGAAGCCACGGCTGGTCTCAAGGACGATTTGGAGAGTCTTTTGGGAACGGTGGAGCTGGAGAGCTGGCTGAATAAATTAATGGGCTTTTTGCGTTCTGGTGGTAATGGCTGATAAAGTAACACTCTCAGGTTTACGTCCAACCCACAGGCTTCAGCCACATGATGCTGGTAGATTTTGGAGGTTTGGGCTCGGATGTGGGTCTCTGGAGATGCATTGGGGTGGGGATTGGTTGAGGACGTTTGGAGCTTGCCTGAGGTAGAATTGTGACGAGAAGGGATGAACCTATCGAAAGAGGTGGTGGCCGACTGGAACTGATTATCTGAGGACGAGGACGAGCCACCCTGGCTGATTAATGAATTAGTTCTTCTCAATTTATGCTTGGGGGAAGTGGACCTGGAAGGTAGAAGAATTGAAGATTTTGATCTGGGGTTGGAGAGAGGAGGCTTCAACATTGGTGGACGCTTGAGCTCGGAGGCAGCCTCCCTCTTCATATGACTGAAAGTATGCTCTAAGTTTCTGGATGACTGGCTGGTCGATGACGGAATGTGGTGGTTCAAATAGATGGTCTTTCGAGACACGTTGGGGCTCATGCTATGCAAATACAACCTCTTGGTGGGCGAGGCCGGGTCGGGAGCGGGAGAGCTCGTGTAGGACCTCTTCTTGGTGGTGGAGGACTTCATGAGGTCGGGAAGGAGGTTGGTGCGAATGCCATCGTTCTCCGTCGAGCCTTTGACAGGCGACTTTTTGGAGGTGGGCGATTCGAAGAAGAGCGAAGACATGTTCAGATCTGGGGATGGCGATCTGTGTCTGGATGAGGCCGTGGAGGCGGAGGAGGTCGAGGAAGGAAGAATCGATTGAGGCAGAGTGGTGACTGGAATCTGCTACTAGTGATTGCTCCTTGGACTGGGATGACACAAAAATTAAACGAAGGTGTTTTGTTTGTTTACGATCCTAATGGGTGTGGTAATGAACCGAATGGTGCTTAAATGAAGTCGCTAGACACTTTTTCCCGTAACGGTGGTAATGGTAATGGGATTTTTTGTTTACAAGATGGCCCGATCGGGCATAATTGAGATGCGGACTGCACCGAGGAGAGTGAATTGCGGGCACGTGACCGGTCACTGTCGGACTTAGCAGTGCCAGCAAGTGGGGGAAGTTTCAGATTCGATCTGGGTATTGTAGCACGTTACGAGCTAGACTGGGGTATTGTGGTATGGGTGTTTGTTGAATAGACTGCCGTTTGCATTCTCACATATTTGTGTATACTACAGCGATTGTATTGTTTGGACCCCACAAGATGGAGTAGACTCCACACTTGTGGAGTCGGTATATGCAGTGAAGGGCCAATACCAGCGGGATCAGAAGGGCCAGCAAGCATGTGGATCCAGCCGGTCTATTGATCCAGCCGGCCTGTTGATCCAGTAAGGTGATTGTGCCAGTTGGAGCCACTCCCTGTAAATCCGAGTGCATTCGCGGAATTCTCCACGGTTATCCTAGAGTAGATGGTTAAATGTAGCAGAATCCCGATATGGCACATATAGCCTCTACACAACTATTCCATCCAAACCATGGTGAGCCAGATTCCTGGACCCACGCCAGCCTACTCAGTCAGCCCACCTCTACTGTATAGTAAGCATATTGTCCTCTCGCTACTCTCACGTCCCGTCCCATGTCTCGTAGTGTTCTACCCCCAGTCGCACCTTATCACGAATCACTCACACTATTTTACCATTCGGGTTATCTCGCAACGCCAACTACACCATGGGCCAGCAACCATCTGCGCCCAAGATTACCGCCCAGGACAAGGCCATCTTTCAGCTCAAGCAGCAGCGCGACAAGCTCAAGCAGTACCAGAAACGGCTCAGTCTGGTCATAGACAGACAATCGCAGCTCGCCAGAGACGCCATCAGAAACAAGCAGCCAGAACGAGCCAAGTTCTATCTCAAGGCCAAGAAGCAGCAGCAGGCCACCATCAGCAAGACATATGGCCAGCTCGACAACTTGGAGGGCTTGATCGGCACCATCGAGTTCAAGTTGATCGAAAAAGACGTGATCTATGGCTTACAGCAAGGTAACGAGGTGTTGAAGTTATTGAACTCCAAGATGAGTGTGGACAAGATCGACAAGGTGCTTGACGACTTGGAGGACGAGCGCTTACGCGTCGACGAGGTCAGCGATGCCCTTGGCATGGGCTCTGGCTTGACCACGGGCGAGGAGAACGAGGTGGACGAGGAGTTCGAGAGATTACAGCGAGAACTCGATCCTCAGGCAGCTTCCAAGGAGCACTCACAAGACAAGACCAAGGATCCAGTGTTACCAGAGGTGCCCAAAGACCAAATCTTGCCGGAAGTGCCAAAGAAAACACCCCAGCAACTCGAGCCCGAGAGGAAGGCGTACGAGCCATTGGCAGAATAGTAACATCGTCCATGATCCCAACAAGACACATACACGAATATCACCACCACAGAGGTCCAATTGCCCTAGAGCGCCCCTGGGCAGGCAATTGATAACTGTCCTACATCTTATAGAATAATACAGTCCTCGTTCGTAATCATTATACTAATACACATTGATACACCCTGATTACACTCTAGTAATCACCATTTGATACAGGTATCATGTTGTAACCATGAGACGAGTATTCTTGTAAGAGATTTATTTTCAGTCATAGCAGAAATGTCCTAGCAGAACCACTATTGTTCCAACCACTCCAAGAACTCGGGAGTGAAGTAACTGATAATCAATCTGGCACCAGCTCTCAAGAACCCTTGGTGCGATTCGAATGCAACCCCTTTCAAGTCCACAATGCCCTTTTCAGCTGCTGCGTGCAACATGGCATATTCACCACTGACATGGTAGGCACAGATGGGATAGTCCTTGCAGAGTTTGGAAGCGTCGCTGATGATATCCAAGTAGAAGGTGGAGGGCTTGACAATCACCGCATCGGCACCTTCTTCCATGTCTCTAACGAGAGCTCTGCGGGCCAAACCAGCACCGCCCGAGGGCAACTGGTACCGCTTTCTGTCCCCATGGCTGGGGGCACTACCAGCAGCGTCTCTGAAGGGTCCATACAAGTTTCCGCTGAACTTGGCCGAGTACGCCATCACCATACACTTGTGGGCCAAGCCGGCATCGATCAACCCTCTCTTGATGTCCTTGATACGCCCGTCCATCATGTCGGAAGGCGCCACGCAGTCAGCTCCTGCAGCCGCGTAGTTTACAGCGATCTTGCCGATTCTCAACACCGACTGTTCACGGTTCAAGGTGCCATCTTCGTACAACACCCCGCAGTGGCCATGGTCGGTGTACTCACACATGCAGACGTCACACATGATGTACAAGTCTGGGAATGCCTTTTTTAATGCTTTGATGCTCTGGATCACCGGACCCTCGGGGTCGTCGGCAGCGGTGGCCTGGGCATCTTTCACGCCAGGCTTCAAGGGCACCCCAAAAAGAATTACAGAGCGGAGGCCCTTGGCCACCAAGGTCGCGACGTAGGGCACGAGCTTGTTGAGTCCGTACCGCTTGATGTTGGGCAACGAGGGGATGGCCGTCTCCTCCTCAGGGTCGTCCGACACAAAGAGTGGGAAGATGAACATGTTCTTGGCCAACTGTCTCTCCTGTTGCCACTCACGGGACAAAGCGTGGGCATAGCCTCCTTGCAAGACCGAGGAGATGTCTGTGCCGGTTGGTGGGAGGTACTCTGCTTGGTGGACCATTGTCTGAAGCGGCGGTAGTGGGGTGCAATAGTGGGCACAATAGGCGGCAACTGCTCCAACTTATAGTGACTGATCGCGTCACGTGCGGGCTGCCAAAAAGTAAGTCAGACCCCGTAAGACAAGAGAGGGCCACCACCGATAAGCCCAGGGCGGGTCCAGAGAGCCAGAGTCAGGCTCCAGGTGGTGTAGGTGCTGCTGGTACCGCCTTCCGTTGCAGGGACCCGTTTCCAGGCGTCACGCCGAAACGTTGTAGTGTTGTGTAGTGACAGTTGAGGTGACAATTGGATCTGACGCCCCGATCTGGGTTACGTAATGCGACCGGTGTGTTTGGGAGTGGAATGGTTTGTATGGGGTAATTGTTGCAGTGGGATTACCTGAGGTAGTCGAGGTATTCTGCAGTGTTTTTCTAGGATAGAAAACATCTGGCTAGAAATGTAATTGCTGATTATTTGGACAAGAGACGGTAAAAAGTTCGAGTGATTTAGGGTCTTATTTTGTTCTCAATGGAATCTGCATTTATACGGTAAACACACTTGCCATGTCTTAAATCCTGACTAGGAGCTGTAATTCAGTGATAAACCGGTCATGATTTTCTTCTGAATAGGAGCTATTTAATGATTGTACCCAAAATTAAGTCCTTACTAGGATCTGTAATAATGTTGAGTCAAGGCCCAAAAATTCAATTCCAACAGGATTTGGAACTTACATGACCAAGGAGTGGGAGGAAGAAAGAAACAGAATATTGAGTCTGATGACCAAGACCCCGGTGGACCAGCTTGCTGAAAACACGGCCAAGAACATCTTGAGAAAGTATGTCTTGGATGTCAGAAACGAGGTGCACCAAATACAGTCCCAATACGATCTGTATCTTCGTTTGCATCTTTCTATAATTTTTAACACTATTACTATCAAATTACATTTATTGCACTAGTATATAATTCACGAGCCCTTAATTGAACTTACATGCATCATATACTCTGGCTATAATTGCTTTGCACTTCAAAATCTAGTCCACCATTGTGGCACCCAGGATATACTGTGTTCATCAAGAAATCTATATAAACCGGTAGCAGTAAACCTATTCAAGAAGTCAATTGCACGGACATTCAGGTCGCTTTTTCAACTATCAGTCCTTCTTCTCCTCGGTCTCCTCACTCTTGCGGTTCTTGTACACCACCGACTGGCCCACCAAGATCGAGTTCATAGCCAAGCTCGCCGTGTAACCGGCAACCAAAACCTTGTCGTTGACCGTGTTCTTCTTGCGGCGGGCCTTGGTGTTGTAGTCCTGGACTGAGGTGAACACCCTCAACGCAGAACCCAAAAGATTGGCTCTGATGGTAATGTTACTCAAGCTCAGAGTGGACTTGAGCGCGTGATTGCGCTGGATCTGGGGGATCTTGGACACGATGGAGATGGGGATTCCCACCACCTGCAACGCCAGCACCAAGCCTGTTGGTGCGATCTTGGTGAAGAAGATCGAGGTTCCTGCAATGGCTGCGATGGCAGGCAACAACTTGGTGCCCACAAAGCCCACTCTCTCCAGGAGGGTGAAGTGCTGGAGATTGTCGATCTCGCCAGCATGCACCAAGCGGTAGTACTTGATGAGGAGAATGATCACAACGTTTTGCAACCCAAGTAACAAGCTCTCGCCGTAGCTTGTGAAGGCACTATTGTTCTGCTTGTTGAACACCACATGCACCAATTGGTTGAAGGTCTCCAAGCCAAGAGACTCCAACGATAATCCGTTGGCCACCTTGATCCTGTCGTCAAGCTGGCGGGGGGTGATGATCTTGCGGATCTGGGGCACTCTGATGAACGATGAAACTCCCACAATTGCGCCTCCCGCAAGTGCTGAGAGTACCTTGGCGAGCCCAATCACCTTGAGCTGGCCGTACGCTGCCTGAAGCACGATCTTGTTGTTGACGTTGGGATCCAAGAGAAGCTTGAATACGAGGAAAATGGGCGAAGGCATCGACAATTACACGAAATAAAGTGGAGCTGGTGGTAAGGATAGGAAGTATGGATGTTGAACGGTCTTCACTGGTCTTGGAGAATGGAAGTATATGAAAAGTGTTGAACTGTGGCTAATCACAGGCCACCAATTCCGCGCGCCAAAAAGGTGGGGCAGGATTATGGACTAATCATAATTTCTTCCGCTTGCTAGCGTGATTCTACTAGGCCAGCAATTCTCTCTCCACATCACGCATGGACAGGCCACAGCTACAAGCTAATGCTAGAATAGTATGTTACATTGAAAAGGAGGATACCAGCACGAAATCGCTGACAAGTGAGGCCCTCATGCCTCGGTCTCGCACCGAAACTCCCAAAACAGGCACCAGGTCCTGGTCGGTTATTTAAGCACATGCTTATTTTTTGATAGCAGCCAACTTCTGCTTCAACTTCTCTTCGGAGTTTTCGATGTACTTCAAGTTTTCCAAGTGCAAGTTCAATAACTTGAGGATTTCCTCCACGGGGTTCTCGGTGGGCTTGTCCTTGGAATCCTTGCCATCGGAAGCGTCTCCTTGTGCAAAATCGTTGATAAGGTTCTTGTTAAATACATTGCTCACGGAATTGATCTCACTGATCAAGGTACTCAAATTATCTCCCAAGGTGTCCAATCTCTCGTCCAATAATTCGGCATTATGGTAGGCCTTCTCACGTAATTTGTCGGTTACACTCAAAGTGTTGTTTGCAACCGAGCCTCCACTGGTATCGTTGCTTCCGTCCCCGGAAGTTATGCTCTTGTTCGAAAGTTCAATGTTGTTAAGAAGAATGTCAGCTTGTTGCTCGTAATTATCCAACAATTGCTCCAACTCTTCTTGTTGACTTTCAACAAACACCAAGTGTTGATCAATTCGTGACTGCAATGCTTCGGCTTCGAGTGTGTCTTGGTTCAATTTTAAAATCTCGTCTCCACTCTTCCCAAGCTGTTGGTCCCATTCGTTAACTTTGTTGGTGTAACCTCCAAACACCTTGCTTGTAGTGGTCAATTGTTTGGACCATTTCATTACAAGATCATCCAATGTCTTGTTGTCAATTGAAACACTCTTTGGTTCGATTTGAGTAGGCTTCAAGTTAGGTTGTACCGTTGTAGTAGCTTTAGTAGTGACGCTGTCGTCCTTGGAACCATCCTTCTTTTCCTCAGGCTTGGCTCCAAGGCTAAAGCCACCACTTGGCTTGTCATCTTTCTTCTCTTCGGTCTTTGCACCGAAACTAAAAGCAGCATTGGTATCCTTCTTTTCATCAGTCTTTGCACCAAGAGAAAATCCAGCTGGTTTATCATCTTTCTTAGCACCGAATAATCCACCAGTTGCTGGAGCATCGTCCTTCTTTGCACCAAACGTAATACCTCCAGTTGTCGACTTATCGTCTTTCTTGTCTCCTATGTTAGCGCCAAAAGAGAGTCCACTAGCCGGTTTATCGTCCTTCTTAGCACCAAATAAACCACCCGCAGCTGGGGCCTTATCATTATTGGCTCCGAATAAACCACCGGCTGGTTTGTCATCCTTTTTAGCACCAAATAAACCACCAGCAGCAGGGGCGCTAGCATTACTGGCTCCGAATAATCCACCAGCTGGCTTGTCGTCCTTCTTCTCNGCAGGGGCGCTAGCATTACTGGCTCCGAATAATCCACCAGCTGGCTTGTCGTCCTTCTTCTCTTCTGGCTTTGAGCCAAATAATCCACCGGTAGCTGGGGCGCTAGTATTACTGGCCCCGAATAAACCACCAGCAGGCTTGTCATCCTTTTTAGCACCAAATAAACCACCAGCAGCAGGGGCGCTAGCATTACTGGCCCCGAATAATCCACCAGCTGGCTTGTCATCCTTCTTATCGTCTGGCTTTGAGCCGAATAATCCACCGGCAGCTGGGGTGGATTCTTTGCTGGCTGCTCCGAATAATCCACCAGCAGCTGGAGCATTGTCCTTCTTGGCTCCGAATAATCCACCAGAGGAAGGAGTGGCCTCTTTACTGGCTCCACCAAATAAACCACCAGATGGTGCACTGGTATTGTTTCCAGAGGCAGCTGGTTTGCTTGCTGCGCCTGTATTCAGGGAGCCAAACAAGCCACCTGTAGAAGGAGCGTTGGAAGTAGCAGAGCTTTCTGAAGGCTTTGGTTGTCCAAAAGGAGTTGAAGTACCCGAATTTGATGCTGAAGCTTGTTGCAGGCCTCCAAACAACCCTCCAGAGCTACTGGTGTTGTTACCACCAAAGAGATTACCGGATGGTTGTGCAGTGGTACTGTTAGAGCCAAAAAGACCGCCAGAGGCTGGCTTGGCTGCTTGAGTCGAAGCTGCCCCACTGCTGGCTCCGGATGCTGGGGCTGCTTGAGAAGAGCCTGCTCCGAAGTTGAAGTTGGCAGGTGCCGACCCTCCAGAGTTGCCAAAGAGACCAGAGCCCTGGGAGTTGTTGGCCGCTCCAGTGGATGCTGAGTTGGCTCCGAAGGTCAAGCCGCCACTGGCGTTGTTGCCTGCGTTGTTGCCTGCATTGTTGCTGTTGCCGAACAAACCACTAGAGCTAGTGTTTGTGTTTGAATTGGCTCCGAAGTTCAAACCACCACTGGCGTTGTTGCCGCTGTTGTTGTTGTTGAACAAGCCACCAGAGCTGGAGTTGGTATTTGAATTGGCTCCAAAAGAGAATGCGGAGGTTGAACCGCCGTTTCCTGTACTAGCCATCTTGTCCAAGGTTCACAATAGATTCACTTGTGGTAAAGAAGGGCTATGACTTGAGTGGTTTGCGAGAACCTGATTGAGGATTGTTAGTTGTGCAACTCTTCGCCAGATTTTCGTGCGATTTTGTGTCGCTGACTTACCAGTGGCCCCTGGGTGGATTTGGAAGGGAAATGGGAATTGTGGAGAAGGCAAAGGGTTAGGAACTAAACAGACATAGACCAAGATTAGGAGCGATTCTGATCTCATGTCAATGAAGTTTCGTTGAAACATAATTGTACTGTTAGCGGCAATTCTCTGGGTGCTGGATGGACTTGGTGCGAATAGTCACTTGATGAACGCAGCCAAAATTAATTACTGCTATAGCGCAATCTGTTGCATTCACGTAGAAGTGGCGGGGGGATTGACATGTATTGATTTCTTGATAATTGGGGCAAATACCCAAAATTTTAATGCAATTGGCGTCGAGTTCTGGCGAGTAATGCTGCTTCCACCGCAGTAATCCCGACAATTATTGAGCTAGAAAATTCAACAATGTGCCAATTGCACTATCTACAACAACGACATCTGTAGCGAGAATAGTAATTCTCTCATAGAATTTATCGATACAGATATTTATATAATTAATGCTTTAAGATATCAATTAGCTAATGCTAAAGGCTTACAAAATTTAAAATCTCAAGACCTTCTAGGCACGTATATGTCAATATCTAGTCTAATTACTTCTTAGAACCTTGAGCAGCAACGGCAGCAGCACCGGCAGCAGCAGCTTCTGGGTCCAAGTAGTAGGCAGGCTTGGTTGGTTGCAACTTCTCGTCCAATTCGTAGACCAATGGAATACCAGTTGGGATGTTCAAACCAGCAATTTCCTCGTCGGAAATCTTGTCCAAGTGCTTGACCAAAGCTCTCAAGGAGTTACCGTGGGCAGCAACCAAAACGGTCTTTCCGGCCAACAAGTCAGCGGAAATCTCGTCTTGCCAGTATGGCAACAATCTGTCAATGACCAACTTCAAGGATTCGGTCTTTGGCAACACAGCTGGGTCGACATCGCTGTATCTGACGTCACCGACCTGGGAGAACTCAGAGTCGTCCTCAATGGTTGGAGGTGGAACATCGAAAGATCTTCTCCAGATTTGGAACTTTTCTTGACCGTAAGTTTCCAAGGTTTGGGCCTTGTCCTTACCTTGCAAAGCACCGTAGTGTCTTTCGTTCAATCTCCAGGATCTCTTGACTGGAACGAACAATTGGTCGGCGTGGTCCAAGGCGATGTTGGCGGTTTGGATGGCTCTGGACAACTTGGAGGTGTACAAAATGTCGGCCTTGATTCCAGCTTCCTTGAGCAATTCACCGGCTCTGGCAGCTTCCTTCTTACCGACGTCGGACAAACGACAGTCGACCCAACCGGTGAACAAGTTCTTTTCATTCCATTCGGATTGACCGTGTCTAACTAAAACTAACTTAACCATTTTTGATGTAATTGAGGTGTGTAAAGTAAGGGAGAATCGGGAGACTTGAGTTGTCGATTTTTCGGTGGTTCGGAGCTGTCTGGGCCGCACGTGGAGAACCTCACGTGCACCACTCAAGCCACCGTTTCACAGGTACCCGAGGCCGGGGTGGCCCGGAGATAGGGGAGTTGGGGCTCTAGCCATGGGGAGCTTGTGATGTGGAACCGAGGCTGTTTAATGTTTTCAGCATGTAACTGGTTTATAGAATTCAGTGATGTTGATACCTACTGGTGACTAAATTTTAATTACTAGGGCATGTAACATATTTATCATACTATGAACCGTCTTAATCATTCTTCGGCAGTATCTGAGATTCATGATTGTCAGAAGAGTTCGACTTACTGAAAGTCGACAAACTAAAAAGTAAGTGGTCTTGAAATACTTTTTCTACGCATTCCATTCATATGTCTTTAAGAACTATGTTCCTCGCCTCTTTTTGCACCCAACGAGTAGTCACCAGCAATCCAGCGGTTGAGCATATGGAGCGATTCCTTTGGCTTGTCGTAAGGGACCAAATGTCCGGCATTGTAGAGTCGCAAAAAGGTAAAGATGCCATAGTTCTTCACTTCTCCCGCGACTGCCTCATCCACGTACCAAGGCAGTAAAGACTCGCGTGCAAACTGCTCATGAGCCGAGTAGGCTAATTTATCGGTCCATTTGTGGTTCCCGTACCAATTGCATCTGAAGTCCTTGTCTCCTGCGTATATCAACACGGGAACTCCATTGTCCAATAATTCCCCGACATATTGCTGATGTGGAAGAGTTTTGTCAGCATTCAAGTAGAAGGCCAAACCAACATCGTCGTTGCATCCAACGAATTTTCCACTCCTTGGAGAAGCTCCAATAGCCTTTCTAACTGCATCATTGTTTAGGTACTCATCCACATAGTCCAACCCAGGGTAACAATTACTTCCGGGAGAAACACAGTCCTCCCTGATATCATAAGGATTCTTTTTCGTCTTCTTAAGGGCCTCAAACATCTTGGATTCACAATAGTAATGAGCTGGGAGACACGTGAAAACGCTGGGGTTTTGGTAGCATATTTCCAAGAGTGAACCGCATTTTGGGTAGTACTCTTGTTCCATCAAACGACAATCTTCATCAGTAACGAACTGGGGGTAACCAGCCCCGCCACAGGCCATTGGGATAAATGACTTATACTGGATCAAAGCATCGGTGAAACCGTTTCCAATTAGCACGGAACTCAAGTTGAAAGACCGGTTTGGTCTTTTTATTATATCGCTGGCGAACTTGGGAATATAATGTCCCGCGTATGACTCTCCAGCAATATGGAATTTGTTCTTCTGAAGATGATCGAACTTGGTGAAAAATAATTCCAAGAAGGCAAACACATCAGGTGAAGCAGCTGCAGTGGTGTTTGGTGCCTGGTGAGGATCTTCAGTGTAGGAAAGGCCAACGTTGACAGGCTGGTCCAAAAAGATTACCGAGGCATTTGAATTCCAAGAATATGGATTGTACTCTGGCTGTACCGAGCCATTGATAAACGAGGGCCCCAACTCGAAGAAGAGTCCTGTGGTTGATGAACATCCAGGCCCCCCATTCAACCAGAGCACCACAGGGTCGTTGGCTGGATCATTTCGGGATTCGAAAAACCAAAAGAAAAGATGTTTGCTTTCGTCAATGTCTAGGTACCCAGTGTACTGGGCTACAGTATCCAATCCCAAGGAGCTGGGATCGTTGATTTTGACTTTCAACTTTTGGCTGAACTGTGGGGTAGAGACTGTTTCGAAGACTTCGAAGTTCTCAGCAGAGACTGGTGTTTTAGGCTCTTCGAAGGACAGCTCATCGATACCGGCCCATTGACTGATGAGCTTCTGTGCTTTTGAGACTCCCACTTCATCTAGCATCGTTTGCCATGCTTCGGATACTATGGAAGAGTGCGATGGAGAGACGTCTCCCCAAAGCTTACTTTGTTCATTGAGAAAGTGGACTGAGGATGGGCTTCTGAAGATGTGTTGAGGCACACTTGCTAAGGCCACTGCTAGGGTTGCTAGAGGTATTGGTGAGTATTTCATGGCTCAATGGTTTCAATTCAGAACTGGGTGCCATCAAGTATACGGCACGATAAGCCACAATGCCAGGTACGGAGATAAGGGCGCGAGCCTAGTAACATTTTTGATCTAAGCAAAACTGGTAAGTCATCGATTGCTAGCCTGGGCGCCATTGGACTTACGTGTGTACATCCAGTGGTGGTACATAGAGTAAGACTCAATACACAGACGTTGAGTTAGGCACACAAACTAGATCTTTCGGGTAATCTGGAACTGTGAAATTCACTCCCCGAATTTTGGCCACTTCGGGCCTAGTTCATCTGGTAGTTCATTGACTCCTCCATCATCAAATTCTTGTGGTCGGCAGGATTGGCAGCACTCTCGTAAATGGTCACTACCGGGTCCCTGGACAATTCTGTGAATTCTCCCCTCAACTCTATATACAAAAGGTGGGACTCTCCATCTTCGTCCCCTTCGCCCTCTTCGTCGTACACGTCTTTGACGAAGACCGTCAACTGTTGGACCCCGGTGAATACGTGTCTGGGGAGAAAGTGTTCGACAAAGCTGTCCTCCTCCTCTAATGACTCTGGAACATCGTCGTCTTCGTACCGGGCGCCAACGTGGGGATGATGAAGCTCAAAAGTGGCTTTTTTGCTCTCGACGTTGTCAAAGTCCACCAGGTTGTCATTCTTGAACAACTTGATGGTTTTGGGGCAGTGGTCCTCCCCATTGGTTCTTAGGATGATTGAGAATAGCTTGATGGAAGCATTGAGGAACGGGATGTTGAGGATCAATTGCGAGTCACAGTCCGACTTGACGATCGGCTTGATGACATACTTGGATTCTGGTTTACGGAAGATCTGGCTAATCTCGTCTGGTGGATTGGCAGCATTTAGGGCAGTGATGTGAGGAAGGTCTATTTTGCCCAAAAGCGATTGAGCAGCGGAAGTTGGAATGGGGGCAACATGCGAGTGGTCGCTGTCATCATGACCATGGCCGTGGCCGTGGCTGTGTGTGTGTTCGTGTTCACAAGACATGATAGTGTTGACTGATTAGTGACTGGGGCTATATAGAAGGGGCGTGTACGCTTCAATTGTGGAGAGATGGGTTTTCAGTAGTGTACTGGAAGGGGTTGAATTAAATCATGGATGCAGCAAGAGGCCGCTTAACAGGTTTACATTATGTTTGAGAGGCTTGTGATATTTTCCAACTGTAGTTGAATAGGTGAAATGGCTGACTACCTTTGTTTTCATTAAAGTGTCAATCCAATAGCTTTGAATTTGTGCAATTGTTCGATTTTTTAGAATAATTGCAAGCTGAGTATTAATTCTGGCAATTAATGTATTCTAAGTTTCGATATAATTTGACTAATTATTTCAAATAACTTTATTCAATAATTGATTTATTGCTAAATTGAGAGTGCTTAAAACCATTTCTAATTGTAGAGACAACCCACACATTAGGTATTGGTGTTATAAAGGCGCAAACAGTTCAGCGTCCAGCAGCCCCAGTCAACTGAATACTAATACGCCGTTTCGTCATAGAGCTAATTATGACTCAAAGGACACCCAAATATTCTCAGTTTGATAATGTCAGGACCATTGGTATCTCTAGCTATTTTTCCGAGATGATAGTAGACAATATTCAATCAGTTGAATTTTGAAGTAGCACAGAAAATGGACTCATTTAACAGAAGGGGAAGAACTTTTCCAGAAACGAACAAAAGTGTATTCAGCTGTAACAATCGAGAACCATAGGACTAAATTACCACCCAATATATCTGTACGAGAGGTATAATCGTTTTAGTAAAGATGATGTCACCAGAAAGCCCACAGTCGCATTCACATTAGTCTATCCTACAGTAATTACATAGTATATTCTATTAAATCTAGCTTAATCAAGTCTAAACCCCAGTGATGGTGGTGTACAAACACAACACCATGACTACAAAACCCCAAATAGTTAATCCCAACGAGAGGTTCTTGAAGATTGTTTCCAACACCGAAGGGTCGTCCAGCTCGGAACCGATCAACTTGTAGCCGAACAAACCAGGCAAGATGAAAGAAATCGCGGTGGAACCGGTGGCTCCAACAATAGCCAACACGAAGGCAAAGGAAGTGACGGAGATGGCAAGGACGTATGCCACAATCAAAAGAATCAGAGTAATGATGACAAAGGTTCTGTCTGGGAAAGGAACGACAAGACCACGGGGCTTGGGGGCTTGCAGTTCTTGTGCATCTCCAAGCAATGCGGTCGATTCGGTGGACTCGGAGAAGGTGGTGGATTGTTCCTCTGGTTGAGACTTGCCGACGTTAGTCTGGACCCAGAACACAATGTTGTTGACTGAGATTCTGGCCGGATGGAACATCAAAGGGAAGGAGAAGATGACCATGAAAACGATAGAGAACCGGCCCAAAGTGGTGGTCCACCCTGCTGGGTACAGCAAAATGACATTTCCCGAGACCAAGTCCCCGAAGGTGAGATAGCCCGAAACACCGACAAGGAGGAACAAGGCGGAGGAAACCACGACCGCAAGGCTGATCACCCGGGTCAAGTTGGAGAGCGAGCGGTCGTTGGACTCGTTGACGATGGAAAACATGTTCTGGTGGCCTGTGTAGGCGAACACGATGATGGAGAAGGTGGAGAACACGCCGGAGGCGGACTCAGGAAACAAGCCGATAGTGCCCCTGAGGTCCTGGGGCACGTCGCCGGCCACAAAGTGGAAGATCACCAACAACACCATGTAGGCGATGGCCACAAGGCCAAGGATGGAGGTGTACTTAAGGGAGTCCAAGTTCTTCAAGAACGAGAGCGGCACGCAGATGAGGCCTGAGGCAAGCACCCAGAAGGTACGGTAGTGCTCAGGAGCGATCAACGGGATGTGGTGGACGATGGTGGGCATGATCTCGCCAATCAACACCAAGTACGACAACGCAGACCCAAAGCATTGGATGGCGATGGCAAAGTCAAACACCACTGACAACGCAGGGTAGGTGATGGAGCACAAGTTGAAGAACGTGGCGTTCTTGGAAGGCACGTAGCGGGACACGTATGCCTGGAGGAAGAGTCCGTAGCCAGAGGTGGAGGCAGCCAAAAGGATGATGAACACTCCAAACACAAGTCCGTCGGTGGAGAACGCCAACGGCATGGAGAGGAGGCCCGCGCCCACAATGGTCTTGGTCAAGCTGATGGACGACGACGCCGTGCTGGCGCCCTGGACGATGGTAGGCATGGTGAAGAATGGCTGGCGGCTACGGAGGTTGTGCGGATAGCTGTCTAGTCGTCTCGGGTCACGTGGNGGGGGGAGAGCTGGCGGTGGCGAGGGTGCCCCTTGCGGAAGAACGGAGGGAGGGGGTAGGGGTAGGGGTAGGGAAGGCCAGGGAGCCAGAGAGTGCCTACTGGTGGTGGCAAGGAGGTTCAATATCTCCCGCGGTACACCTCCTGGCTGCCTACACTACCCCATCCCGTGGACTTGTTTTGCTGGCACCGTGGATGCCCCAACGCTCGCCCAACGGCCAGATCCCGCACAGCAACCTTCCCTAGCGCATCTCGCTTCTGCGCGCCTCTAGGGAAGATCTCCTCGCACCCTCTCCCCATTCCACCAGCTTTGCAGTGCGCACTGTCCCCAGCATTCTCCACCATATACAGGGAGCTGGTCATTTGTTGTAGTTTTTTCCCACCGTCTTCTTTGCTTCTTCACCACACCAGCATCGTTCAGCGGATCCGGCCCATCCATCTCCGTCCAAACCCGTCTCCTCATGTCCTCCGACGGCGAATTCACCAGAACCCAGATCTTTGGCACCGTTTTCGAGGTCACCAACAGGTATACCGAGCTCAATCCCGTGGGAATGGGCGCCTTCGGGTTGGTGTGCTCGGCGGTTGACAAGCTCACCGGCCAGGTCGTGGCCGTCAAGAAGGTCATGAAGCCGTTCCTGACCCCCGTGTTGGCCAAGAGAACTTACCGTGAACTCAAGCTCTTGAAGCACTTGAAGCACGAAAACTTGATCACATTGGACGACATCTTCTTGTCCCCCTTGGAGGACATTTACTTCGTCAACGAGTTGCAGGGTACCGATCTCCACCGGTTGTTGACGTCGCGCCCCTTGGAGAAGCAGTTCATCCAGTACTTCACCTACCAAATGTTGAGAGGTTTGAAGTACATCCACTCGGCCGGTGTCATCCATCGTGACTTGAAGCCCTCCAACATCTTGATCAACGAGAACTGCGACTTGAAGATCTGTGACTTTGGTTTGGCTAGAATAAGAGACCCCCAGATGACGGGCTACGTCTCCACTAGATACTATAGAGCCCCGGAAATCATGTTGACCTGGCAGAAGTACGACACCGAGGTCGACTTGTGGTCCGTCGGGTGTATTTTGGCGGAAATAATCGAGGGAAAGCCCTTGTTCCCCGGAAGAGACCATGTGCATCAATTTTCCATCATCACCGAGTTGCTCGGCTCCCCTCCTGCCGATGTCATTGACACCATTCTCTCCGAGAACACCTTGAGATTTGTCCAGTCGTTGCCTCATAGAGACCCAATACCTTTCGGCGAAAGGTTTGCCCAATGTACACACGTGGAACCCGAGGCAATCGACCTTTTGGAAAAGATGTTGATATTCGATCCAAAGAAGAGAATCACAGCTGCAGAAGCCTTGGAGCATCCGTACATGGAACCTTTCCACGATCCAACCGATGAACCTGTCTGTGAGACCAAGTTCGACTGGAGTTTCAATGATGCGGACTTGCCAGTGGATACCTGGAGAGTCATGATTTACAGTGAGATTTTAGATTTCCATCAATTGGTTGGTGTCAATGGTTCGACAAACCAGCCTATTTCCCAAGAAGAGCAATTAGCCCATATCCAACAAGAGGGCATCCAGGGCCCCATAGAGAGCACCACCCAGTTGCCAGGACAAAAGGTGGAGTAAGCGTTCAGGAGAATGTTGGTTTACTCGATCCGGTATCCCCTTGTTCCGACATGCTGTAGCCTGATACTGATTTTTTGACCACTGATCGGATTTTTGACTTCCTACAAGCTAACCATCCATTTTTATTCAATCTACCCTAATATTTCATCCAGATCGTTAAACTACATTCTGCTTATCGTTGCTTGGCGTGTGTGTTATTAGATCATATCGTCACGCTAATGGGACGTTCTCTGGACGATACGTTCGCATCTCTGTTAATATGGACTAATACAAAATAGTGAAATCAGTAATTCCAGTAGCCGTCTAGGATTATATTGTCACGTGCCGCACTATCTCGTGAGTATACTTCACAGGTATCACGGTCTGGTCAGTAGTTGCCACGAATGTCACTTCCTCAGTATACGAAGCAGATCAACCAGCATCTCCACATCTCAATCGAATATGTGCTGCACTCACAGACCCCTTCGGATCAGTCCGAATGTATCATCAGTCTTCACAATGTGCTGAACGAACCGGTAGTGGTCAATCCCAGTCTAGAGCCTACAGAATCCAAACCTGCTAGTGGATGGTTCGGATCCATCTTTGGAGGAAACGAGCCAGAGAAAAGCTCGCTTATAGAGAGTGCTTCCACGGAAGTACACGTTTTCCTCGGGTATGTCCAGCTTCTAGGCTACGTTGTTTTGAATTACAACTTCGATTTGGCAAATGCCTCCAATCCCATGGATATGGGGTCCAAAAACCCCCAATGGTGGGAAAACAGCGATTATGTGCACCAGTATGAAAATGACGGGACAGAAGAAGGAGATGACCACGAAGAAGAAGCGGTCAAGGAGCTCAAAGTCAGCCAAGTACCGTTCATCCAGCAGAACTCCAAAAAACCATTGGTGCTAGGGGACAAGTTGGGAGGTGTTAATGATCTTACCATCGACAAACAAGAGCATTTCGTTACTGTGAACAAGAAATATTTCCTTCATGATCTTCTTTATACTTTCAATTCTCATAGACCACCCAAAAAATTCAGTTCATTAGGTACACCCGAGAACGAGGAAACAAAGCTCCCATTAAGTGATCTCACTGAATCCATTCTCCCGTTCTATACCACATCACAGGCTTTATTGTTTTCCGATGTGTCTATTCCGCCTGCTTCAAGCAAATCGTTCTCGGTGAAGTTCCACCCTAACTCAGAACTACCTCCATCATACAATGCCAGGCTGACTGGTCCAGTTAAGGATCATGGGTGGATTAGCATAAAGTACTCGTTGATCGTGGGATTTCTGCAGAGTGAAGGAGACCATAAGTTGGTGCCCTACAGCGTGTACTTTCCATACGTGGTCCGAGGAGAGCGGGTGGGGAACCACGACCGTTGGCTTCAGATGGACTACTTGCAACGATGTATAATTGACAAGGCATGGCAGCTGGGCCCAGTGGAATCTCCAGAAGAACCCCAGGCTGAACGGCAGCCTGAATACGGACGAAGCTCGTTTCTTGATGATTTATCGGTGCTTATTGATTCTGACCTCTACAACATGCCCAAGATTACTTCGCATGAGCGGAGGAAGAGTATAATCAACGGGACTGACGAGAATGAAGAGATAGCACCAGGGTTAATTGCCCAATTGCCCTCACACTTGAAGACCCAGTATCAATTGAGAGTCAACAATGCTCAGTTGTGCCTCATCAGTGTTTCTCGTCCTTATTACCACATTGGGGACGACATAAAGTTCACGGTCAACCTCAACCCCGAAGACCACAGCAAATTCACCAAGATCACAGGCTTTGTGACGTATATCGAGGCCCACGAAATGTTCCATTCTGAAACCGAGACCTCCAAAAAGGACATAACCAATGTCTACACATGCACACCAAGAATCAAGTTTAACACATTTGGGTCTGCCATAATGGATTTTGAAGGGGACTCTGCTTCCAGTACGTTGGTGAATGGGACCTTACATATTCCCCGTTATTTGACCCAGCAGTTCCAGGCAAGCACGTTGATGAGCTTGAAGTACTACATGGTGTTCAAGTTCAATCTTTTGGAGATGGAAGCCTCGGAAGATGGCCAACCCAGCCATGTGGCTGCGGAGAACTCAGAGCCCCTTTTGCAGGAGACAGAACAGCCAGAATCCTACAGTTTTGACCAATTGAAGCCATACAAATTCAACAATAATGGCACCGAATTAAGGTTCAGGCTCCCGCTAGTGCTACTTCCATAACCGACCTCTTCTGTCTATCCACACGGAGATACCTGATGCATACCGTCACGTGCCGCGTTAGTCTGTTCTGCATATTCTCGTTCTCGAGCCCGATTAGGAAGTGAGTGGTACTTCCCGATTAGGCAATTTAAATGATCTATGCTTGCAAATGCCGAGACTATACCAAATGTAGTTATTAGTTATACGAAACTGTTTTGGCTCTCCATGCTAGAATGCCAAATCCAGCAACTAGGGGGGAGTGTTTGAGAACCAGCAGGAGAAAATTAAGGGACATTGCATCTATAAATGCTGGGGTCCCCCCCCTGACTGGTAATCAAAATTTGCATCCTATTTCCAGTCCTTCGTTACTCACCAAACCATGAAAGTTTCCATCTTGGCCACAACAGTCTTGTCTGCTAGCATAGTGTCTGCAGCTGCCACCCCAAAAATCGTGGCCACTCCATCCTCGGAAGAGTACCACGTCGACCTTGCTGAAAGAGGCATAGTAGACTCCCTCATTTCTGGAGTGGTCGCTGAAATTCCAACCATCATAGGAAGCATTGACTTCGAGGGCATCGCTGGCTTTGCCAACAGATTGTTGACTGAAGATGACAACGTCAAGTACTTGGATAACGTCTTGGTTGGTTTAAAGAACACCAACTTGCTTCCACAAGCCGCAGTCTTCATCGTATCCCACGACTACACTAGACAAATTGCTGGCACCGTATTGAACGAAGGGTTGGCCATTGCTGGTAAAGTCAACTCCACCAACCTTTTCGTTGCCTTGGACAAGTCTGGCTTGGCTTATGGCTTGGTCGCATCCACCTTGGAAGACCCTAACCTTTTCCCATTCACTTTGAACGTGGTCAAGAAATTAATTGCTTCAGGGGCTATTAATTTCGGTTCTATCCTTGATGCTGCCAAGGGAATTCTCTTTAGCAAGAGAGATATTTTGGAGATGGCCCCAAAGAATGACTTCGCTGCCAAGTTTGAAAAGAGAGACAACATCGAAGACTTGTTGACCACCGTCTTCTCTTCGGTTGAAAGATCTAAATTGGTCGAAGAAACCGTTTCTCAATTGCTTGCCGACCCACAATTCGAAGATGCTGCTGCCGTCATCCTCGAGGGAGTTTTCAGCAACTTGAGTGCTACCATTTCCGGTCTTGATTTCGCAGCCTTGCAACCACTCTTGACCTCCCTCATCCAATCTGGCTTGTTGGAAGACGTCATTTCTCAAGCCTTGCACGACCAACAGCTCTTGAGCGCCGTTATTTCCAACATTGGCCACTTGTTGGCCGGCGGACAAATCTCTGCTAGAGATTTAGTTTCTGATGAAGTCGCTGCTTCTTACGGTATTTACACCAGAGATGTCGCCAACACCACCAACGCCACCACCCCAGTCGTTTTGGAGAACGGTGCTGCTTCCTTTGGTGCCTCTACCCTTTTGGGTGCCTCTGCCTTTGCCGCAGCTTTGCTTATCTAATGTTAGAATGCAACCATATACCTCTTTATTTCTGCCTCCCTATTAATATATACTTTTGACGAGAAAATAGACATTATAAAATGTGTGATAAATTTATAACCCACTGTAAGCATAAATTCGCTGTAAAATTGGGAGTGAATAGTAAATTAATCAGACCATATTCAATTGAATGATTAAGACGATTTTCAGTTTTAGGTAGCTTCCAGGAAAAAACCATACTAAATCCTCACAGGATACCAGTGTTCCTATATTTCATATATGTGTTGTGCAAGGCAAGTGATTGAGCAAGATAGTTTATATTTATGCGGAATATTATTGTAATGCATTATGACAGTATGTGATACTTTTCACGGCCTTATAGCTCATCCTCGAGGTTATTTAATTCGATATTACTATTTCTTCGGAGTAGTGACTGCCTACAATATATCCCTGGGCTACTGACGGAATGATTACGAACAGCTTAAAGGACAAAAATCACCCAGAACAAGTTATTGCTTAATAGGATTAGTACTACCTGAAGAGCTACACCTCATTATGGATTTAGGAACTCACTCCCGAACACTACGGCTCGGTCCGGTATAACTCCTGGGAGCGCATCGGAGCTCCACGGGGCTCCGCTTTTACGGGCAATTAACTCGGATCTCATATCTTGCAATCGGGTTATATCAGAAATCATGGGATACTTGTAGAAAAGAGCTGAAAACGCTCAAATGCCTTATTAGAAATGTTCCAGTAAGACGATCAAAATCCTGACATAGAAACTGATATTTCACGCTTGGTGGCGGTGGGGTTGTTGCTGAGCCAAATGACCGGAATTCAATTTATGACTCCGAGGTCACGTGCCCGCATACCCATCGCGGTTTCAGACTCCCACTTGAAATCCTTCCCCACGAACTGTCCTCTTTCGTACTCTCTCCGTATCAAGATGGCACCATTCAACCTCGAAATGACTGACGAAAAGCTCCTCAATTCTGCTATTGACGACTCCACCGATTTTGAAGCCGATGGAGAGTACGAGGCTCATCACTTCAATCAGGACAGTGACGACGAATTGTTATCCAAGTCTTACAACTCGACCCATTACTCTACCACAGAGGATAGATTCATCAAAGACCAGGATTTAAAGGTTAAGGCGTTTGAAGCGCTTCATAACTCCCTGGATCTCGGTTTGAAGAGCAATGTCTCCAGCCCTTCTCAACTCCGTAGAAGGTCTTCCATCATTGATTTGCCCAACCACAACCTTACCAATGGTTTGCACTACCATCCCAACCCATCTCATGCTGCCCACAATAACAACCATACCCAAAACAGCACTGCTAGTGCCAATGCCTTACCAGAAGAGTATCCTTCTGAAGAGTTGATCGAGTTATTCCAAAACGTCAAGACCTGTATTGAGCTTAGACACAAGTACTTGGATTTGTCGTTGCAATCCAAAGAATGTGACAATCCCAAAAATAAGGACGGCTGGGTGATTTACCCCCCACCACCAAAGCCAACTTACAAGTCCAAGAACAGATTTAATCAGATCCCCAGTGTGATCAGCGAAAATGAAGAAGAATTTAACTTCTCAAACTGCGAAGTTCCTTCAGCAGCAGAAGGATTCACCTGGAGTTTGAACGACGACCACTTGTATCAAGTTTTGGACAAAGATGGAAAATCAATTGTAGAGGTTCCAACCTTGAAGGATTATTTCACCGATCTTAATTTGATCACTAAAATCTCTTCTGATGGCCCTTCCAAATCATTTGCTTTTAAGAGATTGCAATATTTAGAAGCCAAGTGGAACTTGTACTACTTGTTGAACGAGTTTGAGGAAACCAAACAGTCAAAGAAGAATCCACACAGGGACTTCTACAATGTGCGTAAAGTGGATACTCACATCCATCACTCAGCTTGTATGAATCAAAAGCACTTGTTGAGATTCATCAAGTACAAGTTGAAAACTCAACCAGATGAACAGGTAATTTTCAGAGATGGCAAGATTTTAACTTTGAAACAGGTCTTTGAATCCTTGAAATTAACTGCTTATGATTTGTCTATTGATACTTTGGATATGCATGCGCATACCGATACATTCCATAGATTTGACAAGTTCAACTTGAAGTATAATCCTATTGGCGAGTCAAGATTGAGAGAAATATTCTTGAAGACAGACAATTTTATCAACGGAAGGTACTTGGCAGAGTTAACCAAGCAGGTTTTTGAAGATCTTGAGAGTTCAAAGTACCAGATGACAGAACTAAGAATATCCATTTATGGTAGATCTATCAGTGAATGGGACAATTTATCGGCCTGGATTGTGGACAACAAGTTATTTAGTCATAATGTCAGATGGTTGATCCAAGTTCCAAGATTGTACGACTTGTACAAGAGAAATGGCAACGTGGAAACCTTCCAGGATATCTTGAGAAACTTGTTTCAACCATTATACGAGGTTTCTCTCGATCCAAAATCGCATCCAAAGTTGCACATTTTCTTGCAAAGAGTTATTGGTTTTGACTCTGTGGATGACGAGTCCAAGAGCGAAAAATCTTCACAATCAAAGAGATTCCCCCCTGCTCACCAATGGGACATTCCAACCAATCCTCCATATTCTTACTGGTTATACTATTTGTTTGCCAACTTGACCCCATTGAATAAAATTAGACAAAAATTGGGCTACAATACTTTTGTGCTCAGACCACATTGTGGTGAGGCTGGAGACCCAGAGCATTTGATCAGTGCTTTCTTGACCTCGCATTCCATTTCTCATGGTATTTTGTTGAGAAAAATACCATTCATTCAGTACTTGTACTACTTGGATCAAATTGGTCTTGCCATGTCACCACTTTCCAATAATGCTTTGTTCTTGACATATGATAAGAATCCTTTCCACAATTTCTTCCAGAAAGGTTTGAACGTCTCGCTTTCTACTGATGATCCTTTACAATTTTCTTACACCAAAGAACCATTGATTGAGGAGTACTCTGTGGCTGCCCAAATATACAAATTGTCCAGCGTCGATATGTGTGAGTTGGCATCTAACTCTGTCAGGCAGTCAGGATGGGAAACTTCCATTAAGAAACACTGGTTGGGAAAGAACTTCGGCTTAGGAGGTGTTGCAGGCAATGATATTGAAAAGACCAACGTCCCTACTATTAGAGTTGGTTATAGAGAGGAGACCTTGAAGAGTGAGCACGAGTTGATCGAGTACTACACCAAGCTTGGCACCGCAAAGAAGTAAATGGGGGAGGTATATAATTTGTAGTAGATATTTGATAGGCAAATTTTACCCGATTATCTCAACCATTGTCATAAACGATTACGAATACATAACACGACATAAATACCTACGGCACCCATGGTGTAAGTTAGCCCTAAACTAGAGAAATACATTCCAAGTGTTTTAATTTAATTCGAAAATGTATTTTGGAATAGTTTTTATGAGGCTATGATTGTATAATTACTAGCCTGGTGCATCTTATATTGAGCTGGAAATTAGTAACCACAAGATAGTAACATCTTTGTATTGAGGGTGAGAAGAGTGGTTCCCCAATGTATTTGACAAGTCTTATTCGAGCAGTGATCTTGTGTGACCGCACTATTAATTCTAACTTCTAGTCATGGAGGAACCAAGTTCTTGGGCGTGGGTCAAGTTTGACCAGCTAGGCTAGCATTGAATAATCGAGCTTCCTTATGAATACATCCACTTTAAATCCCAAACTGCAATACTTACAGTACTATTGCTTCGAGTGTTAATTGTAATTGGGTTGTAGCATCATCATAGCTTCACCCTTTTATGCGCATTTTGGTATGCGCATAGAAGTCCACGGTGGATAACAGTCCATATATTAGAGGACAATTACCATGTTGTCGATCTACAGTAATGACGAAACAAAGTACAGTCAAGTTAAAAACACCCAGAACAGACCCAGTGGAATTGCCCGCGGTGTTGACGATTGCTGGCTCAGATAGTTCAGGAGGAGCAGGAATCGAGGCTGATCTCAAGACACTCTCTGCCCACAATGTGTATGGGTTGACTTGTATAGCAGCATTGACAGCTCAAAACACCCAGAAAGTCAAGACGTTCGAGAAGACTTCAGAAGAGCTTGTTGCTGCCATTTTGGAGATGAACTTCAACGATTTTCTCTATGGATACGAAGAAGGAAAGGCACCTTTAAAGGTGATCAAGACAGGAATGTTGACAGAAGAAGCAATCAGAGTTTTGAGTGGTTACACCAATGATTTAAACAAATACGACGTGAAGGTTGTCATCGACCCTGTGATGATTAGTACTTCCGGATCGCAACTATTTGATGACAGAGGATTGAAATTGTGCATGGATAGCTTGATAGGAAAATCGTACCTTGTCACTCCCAACTTTGGCGAAGCACATGCCTTGTATGAAATCGCCAATGGTCGAAAATACGACTTGGACATCAAGTCGAAGGAGGATTTAATCAATTTTGTCAAAGATGTGCAGAGGAGTCTCGGATGCGCCAACCTCTTGGTCAAAGGGGGGCATCTTCCTTGGGACTTGGAATCAGATAGCCCAGCCCAGGGTATCACGTCTTCCACAATTATCTTTGACATTCTATACCGTTCGAAAGAAGACTCAATCACAATATTCCAATCAGCCTTTATTGACTCCCAAGACTCACATGGAACTGGCTGCACTTTATCTTCAGCGATAGCCGCAAATTTGGCCAACGGAAAATCCTTGGACCAGTCTGTTCCACTAGCAATTGATTTTATCCATAGAGGAATGACAAGTTTGAAGAGAAAGTTGGGTTTTGGGAATGGGCCCTTGAACCACAACGTCAAACCAGAGCAGCATATCGACTCAATCATCGATTTTCAATTGGAATCTTCCTTCCCAAAAAATACCAACGCATTGGACTTCTTGAAAAATCATCCCAAGGTAGCTGCAAATTGGAAAAAATATACCGAACACCCATTTGTTAAACTTTTGGCGGAGAACAAGTTGCCCTTCGAGAAGTTTCTCTATTTCTTGAAGCAGGACTATTACTACCTTATTAACTACGCGCAAATACATGGTTTGGCGGCCTCTGCAGCACCAACATACAAGCAAACACATTCGGAAGCCTTGATAATTGGAAACATCGTGGAAGAGATAGAAAGGCACAAGATCAAGTTGTGTAACAAGTATAATATTGACTACGAGAGGGACATTGATCTTGATATCGAGCTCAGTCCAGGCAAGGCATGTACTGAGTATTGCGATTTTCTTCTCAAAACCGGCAAGGAGGAGGACTACTTTGGTATCAAGATCGCTCTAGCCCCATGTCTTTTTGGATACTTTGAGGCAGGCCAATATGGCAGTAGGATCAGGACTGGTGCCACCAACAATGCCGAGGTGACACCAGAACAATCTGAGGTGTACCAATCGTGGCTCAATGATTATACCTCAGATTGGTATTCCAATGCATACAATGAAGGAAATGATGCATTACAGGAGCTCTTCAACACCATTCCTTTGACTCAGGAAAGGTTGGATCAGTTTGCTGAGGTGTTCAACAAGGTCACTTGCTTGGAGGTGGCATTCTGGGACGAATGTATGCCCGAAGGAGAATGGACCGAGTCGTAGTGAGGGGGAGCTGTTCGCAAAGTGTATGAAAAGGTCTCAGGAGATGATGGCATAGTTAAATGACTCTTGCTGCAAATTTGTCAGATACGATATAGTTATGTATTACTTATAAATGCATTGTACTGGATTGTCAGGGAAATACTAGTGGTAAAAATTGATTTCTGAACGATGCAAAATGGATAGAGACAGCATTGCCAAAGTATCTATGTAAATCTAGGATAGATCCACTATGAATAATTAAGGTCCCAATCATTCACATTACACTGGTCATAGAAAGTAGCACTTCTCGATGCTTTGATTTTTCCATATTGTATAATCGCAGGTTCATCATCTACTATTATTTGGAACATGTTAAGGAGGTACTCCAACAAATCCACCAATTGAAGTACTTTGATCATTTTCGCTTATACCGTTTCTTCTTCGTATATTCCGTTCTTCTATATATTTCAATAAGTAGAAAAGTTACTGTTTCTTGATATAAGTTTGTACAGTACCTAAAAGTACTGAAATACCATTAATGGTTTTTCATTCTATTAATTCTTGCCTGAATAACGAAACACCAAATACCACCTAAGAAACAGCTCCACCATCAAGGATACTTGAAACCGTCCCGTAGAGAACGTTCTCAGCCAGTCTCGTTGGCATCAGCTTTCGCAGCCGCCAGTGGGGAAAGTGCAGGTTACCCCAGCGACAACCCTCGCACTCTTGCAGGTTGGCGTCGACTCCCGTGCCTCCCTTTAACTGACAATCTCCAACTCTCAAGTACCCCCACATGTACAATCAGTATCAACAACAGCAACCTCTGCAGGGGTTCAATCCCCAGCAGACGGGCTTTGGTGGCGGCTACCCTAACCAGCAACAGCAATATGGGCAGCAGCCACAGGCTGGTGGATTCTTCCAGCAGCCTCAACTCCAAGGCCAAGCCACTGGATTCTATCAGTCCCCACAGCAAACCAACTTCTACTCGAACCAAGGATACCAGGCCCAGGCCCAGACACAGGCAACTGGATTTGGACAGCCTCCTCAATTGCAGCCCCAGCAAACGGGCTACATCCAGACCCAGCCCACTGGGTTTGGCCTGGTTGGAGTGCCAACCGTGATTGAGAACAGCGAACTAAAGATTCCCACCATCCGGTTGTCGTTTATCTCAGTAGACGAGCAAAAGAAGTACGAGCACTTGTTTAGAACCGCAGTTCCCAAGGGCGAACAGGCAATTGGTGGCGATTCTGCCAGTACCATTTTGTTGAGATCTGGATTGCCTCCGGTGACTTTGGCCGAGATCTGGGGCTTGTCTGACACCAACAAGACTGGGTCGTTGTTATTCCCCGAGTTTGCCTTGAGTTTGCACTTGTGCAGCATGGCAAAGAAGGGCGAGGCCCTTCCCTCCATTCTTCCTGAAAGGTGGCAAAACGAGGTCAAAAGTTTCGTGGACGCAATTAACTTCACCGTTCCTGAAGACCCAAACAAAATCTTGGCCAACACCCCATTCGCTCCCAAAAACACAGAAAATGACTGGTTGCAGCCTCAAGGAACTGGGTACTATGCCCCTCCTACCACTTCCTTTCAACCTCAACAGACTGGTTTTGGTGGCCCTGCATTGTCCAACCAAGGAACCTCGTTTCAATTGCTGCAACAGCGCACTGGCGGTGGGTCGTTGGTCCCATTGCAACCGCAACAAACTGCTGGTTTGATCCCAGCTCAAAAAACTGGTCCATTGCAGCCTCAATCTACTGGCTTCCAATCTCAACCATTGCAGGCCCAAGGAACTGGATACCAGCCCCAATTGGCCGCTCAAAGAACCGGAAACCAGCTTCAAGCCCAAACAACTGGTCACCAGAACCAAGGCTCTTTCCAACCTCCAGTTACCAGCTTTCAACCCCAGCAAACCGGTTTCCAACCTCAGCAAACTGGGTTTCAACCACAGCAAACTGGGTTCCAGCCACAACAGACTGGGTTTCAACCTCAACCTACAGGTTTGCTTCAATCGCAACCAACAGGAAAACCCGGAGAATGGGGATTTGTTCACACTCCAACAGGTGGAATCCCTGGCTTGAATGCTATGCAGCAACATTTCTTGCCTAATGCTCAACTACCAACCAACAACTTGCAAAATGTTATGGGTGGATCTTTGAAGTCTAATGTTACGTGGGCCATCACTAAGCAAGAAAAGCAAATTTACGATGGTATCTTCGGTGCTTGGGATACTACCAAGAGAGGATACGTAGACGGCGATGTTGCATTGAATATTTTTGGTAAGTCTGGTTTAAGTAGACCAGACTTAGAATCTATCTGGAATTTGGCAGATACAAGCGATAGAGGTAAGTTGAACAAAGATGAATTTGCAGTTGCCATGCATCTTGTTTACAGAAGATTAAATGGATTAGAATTGCCACTTAGATTGCCCCCAGAATTGATCCCTCCATCGAACAAGTACTTGCAAGATTCGATGGATTCGTTGAAAAACTCCCTTAGAGGTGGCTCTAACGGCTCTAAAGGCAGCGTCAGCAACAAGTCAGCAACCAAGCCTGATGGTAAGAGATTCAAAAATGATGATGAAAACTTTGGCTATGTTTCTGGAGCTCGTCATAGAAGAAAGAGCGAGGTGGCGGATGAGAATGCGGATGACAACAGAGCTATTTCCTCAGCTGATCCAAATTTGAGTATTGATCAATTAAAGAGATTGATCCGTCAAAAGAAAATTTTGTTGGATGCTCTGGATGCAGAGGATCAGGATTTGGCCCTCTCCAAGAAGAGATCTGATTTGAAGCATAGTGAAGATGTGCAATACTTGAAGCAAAAGATTCAGGATGTTCAAAACAAATTGAACCAATCTGGATTATCCTCTGGATCATTTGATGAAAGAAAGCAATTACTTGACAAGTTCAACCATCTCACTCGTGATAGAGTCCCCTCATTGATTTCTAGAATTCATACTGTCAACCAAGACATTGGGAAGAGTAAGGTTGAATTGTTCAAGGTCAAGCTTCTTAAGGAAAATCCTAACTGGAAACCAAATGATGCTGATTCTGAAATTGTTGGCACTGGTCCAAATGGCACAATCACTGATCTTGACAGAAGAAAGTGGGAATCCAAGCAAAAATTGAAGCAGCGTATGGCAGCATTGACAGGTAGATCATCTAGCTCTGGTACAAACTCTGATTTGGACTTTAAATTGAAGCAAGAGTCCGATAATGCCCAAAAGGAAAGTCAAAATCAATCACAAGCTATTAATGATATTGAAACTAGTATCAAGGAATTAGAAGATGGGGTTGTAACTAACCTCCAATCTACCAACAGAGAAGAGGTTGGAGATGACAAGTGGGAGAAAGGAAATGGTGTAACTGAAGAAGTTGGACAATTCATTCAAGAATTGAAGAGATTTGCTGCTAACAATTCTCATGCCACCTCCAATGCTGCTCAGGTTGCTCCTCAAGCCCAACCATCTGTCTCGCGGACAAACTCAAGCTCTCAAGCTCCTGCTTCAAGCATTGAAACTCAATCTGAGAGATACAAGACTCCAGAAGAAAGAACTGCTTACATTAAGGCCCAAGCACAAAAGAGAATGAATGAGAGATTAGCAAAATTAGGTATTTCTAGATCTAGAACTGGTTCTGAGGCATCAGAACAAAAGCCAGCCCCAGCACCTACGCCACAGGAACCTATCAAGTCTGTCCAACCCGTCCAACCCGTCCAGCCTGCCCAGCCTGCCCAACCTGTCGAGCCTGTTCAGTCAGAACCAGTTAAACTGCAACAGCAGCCCGAAAAAGCTGATGAAGACTCATCTTCTGAAGATGACGATGAAGAATATGCAGCTTTGATGAAGCAAAAGCAAGAAATTGAAGCCCGTGAACGCGAGCGTAAGTTGAAGAAGCAAAAGCAGAAAGAAGAAAGGTTAGCCAGGCTCAAGAAAGAAATGGAGGATTTGAAAAACAAACCAAATGATGACTCCGAGGATGACGAACCAGTTGCTAGTGTTCCAACTTATGGACCTAGCTCTGTGAAGAAGGAGGCAGCTCCAATCGCTCCATCAGTTAGCTCACCAGCTGTATCATCTCCAGCAGTCCCAGTTTCTACCCCTGCGAAGGAAGTTACTCCAGCGCAGCCTGCAAGTGTTGAGTCGAAACCCCATGATAGTAATCCTTTTGCCAAAATGGGTCAACAGCAACCATCGTCAACTGCCGTCCCTCGTGCCAACACTAACCCATTCTTCAAGTCAACACCTAAGGACTCGGGTATTGATGCTAAGAAGGCAGCAGCGCAGCGTGCCTCTCAAAGAGGATTGGCTGATGACAACGATTGGAGTGATGCAGAAGAGAACAACTCCAGCGATGAAGATGAACCAAACAGAGCCGGCGCTGCTCAATTAGCTAGTCTTTTGTTTGGTGGAATGCCACAACCACCATCTAAAACTCCTACCTTGGAGAAGCAGGATCCAATTCAGGCTTCGCCTTCTCAAAGGACCTTAGCTCAAGATGCTCGCGAACCATCTACCGATGCTGAATCCTTCAAATCTGCTAACAACACCCCACCACCAGTGGCACCTCCTGTTGAGGCACCTCCTGTTGAGGCACCTCCTGCACCAGAAGCACCACCTGCACCAGAAGTACCAGCTGCTGCACCCCCTCCACCTCCACCACCCGCAATCGAGCCAACTCTGGAGGGCTTCTCATTTCCACCACCACCACCTCCTCCTGCTCCTCCAATTCCTTCCCAGGGTGTTCCAGATGCACCACCACCTCCCCCACCAGTACCAAGCAATGTTCCACCACCACCACCACCTTTGCCACCTCAGGGTGTTCCTGGTGGTCCACCACCACCTCCACCACCTCCACCAGTATCATCTGGCGCACCACCTTCTGGCGGGGCTCCCGATATTGGAGCTTTATTGGGGCAAATCACTGGTGGTAAATCATTGAGAAAAGTTGATGATAGCGAGAAGCGTGTTGCTGACGGTGCAGTCGTGGGAAGAGTTTTATAACTTCTATAGACTTAAAATTACATGATTTCTTGTTTTAGCTACTATTCATTACTATTGCAAAATTTATAACTGGCATCCTATTTAGTACTACCGTTATATTTCTATTCCATATACCATCCATTAAACTATGTACAAAAACTCCTTCGTATTTACAAAATCTTCATTCACTTGACTTCCTCATGATTGGGAGCAACATAAATTTGATTGTTCTTAACAACAATGTTTACCGTCTCTGTTTCCTTGATTTGTCCCTTGATCAACAACATTGCCAAAGGATTCAAGATCTTCTTTTGTAATACCCTGTTTAAGGGTCTGGCACCGTAAATTGGATCGTAACCCAAATCGCAAATCAAGTTCTTAGCATCATTTGTCAAATTTAAAGTGATTCTCTTGTCCTTTAACCTGTCACCTATTTCGGATAAACGAATTTCTAAGATGCTCTTCAAGGATTCTTTGGATAATCTGTTGAAGATCAAGACTTCGTCAAGACGATTGAGAAATTCTGGAGGATAATAGTGTTTTAAAACTTCAACCACTTCCTTCTTGGTACTCTCATTAATGTGTCCATCGTCATGGGCATCTTTGTCTGCCAATAAGATTTCTTGTCCAATGTTCGAAGTCATAACAATAATAGTATTTCTGAAATCAATATGCTTACCATGCGAATCGGTCAAGGAGCCTTCGTCAAGCACTTGTAGTAACAATTTGGATATATCACTGTGTGCCTTTTCAAATTCATCAAATAATACAACTGAATAAGGCTTACGTCTGATGGCCTCAGTTAATTCACCACTTTCATCGTATCCAACATATCCTGGAGGAGAGCCTATCAATCTTGACAAACTGTGCTTCTCTTGGAATTCAGACATGTCAAATCTGATCACTGCTCCCTGGTCGTTGAATAAAAACTCAGCCAAAGACTTTGTCAATTCTGTCTTACCAGTACCAGTAGGACCCAAGAACATGAATGAAGCAATTGGTCTATGATCACTCGTCAAGCCTGCTCTCTGTAATCTTACCGCATCAGCAATGGAATGGATGGCCTCGTCTTGTCCAACAACTTTTTTCCTCAAAGTACTTTCCATGTCCAACAATTTATCAATTTCATTCTTCATAAGATTAGAAACTGGGATACTTGTCATCTTGGAAATCACATTGGCAATATCATCCGAGGTTACAGAATCATGTAACAAGTTGGTAGCCACTGACTCTATCTCTGTCATTTCCTTCAACTTCAATTCAAGATGTGGAATGGTCGAGTACTGTAACTCAGAAGCCAACCCGTAGTTTCCTTCTCGTTGATGTTGTTCCAAATCAAATCTTGCCTGTTCCAATTCAGCTTTGGCTTGCTTAATATTGTCAATCAGTTGCTTCTCGGACTCCCACTGCTCTGTAAATTCCTCCAACTCTGCTTTAATCACTTTTAGCTCATCTTCCAACTTGTTCCTGCGATCAACAGACAATTGGTCCTCTTCCTTTCTTAAGGACTCAAGTTCAATCTCGATCGTCATAATTTGACGGTCCAATTGAGCGATAGCATCTGGTTTGGATTCGTGTTGTAATCGTAAAGTTGAACAGGCCTCATCAACTAAATCAATGGCTTTGTCCGGTAAGTGACGGTCTCTGATGTAACGGTTTGAGTAAAGTGCAGCACTCACCAAGGCACCATCAGCGATCCGCACACCATGATGTACCTCGTATTTTTCTTTAAGTCCACGTAAGATAGATATGGTATCTTGGACAGTTGGTTCGTTAACTTGAACGGGGGAGAATCTTCTAGCCAACGCAGCGTCTTTCTCAACGTACTTACGATATTCATCGATAGTAGTTGCACCACAGAGGGAAAGTTTTCCTCTAGCTAGAGCTGGTTTCAACATATTAGATGCGTCTATCGAGCCTTCAGCCTTCCCTAAGCCCATCAAAATGTGCAATTCATCAATGAACAAAATAACCTTACCTTCTTTTTCTTCCACTTCCTGCAAAATTTGTTTCAATTTTTCTTCAAAGTCACCTCTAAATTTGGCTCCCGATATGATTGCGGCCAAATCAAGGGTGATTATTTCCTTATCCTTCATGGAATCAGGAACTTCGCCTCTCAAAATTCGCTGGGCTAAACCTTCCATGATGGCAGTCTTTCCGGTACCTGCATTACCGATCAAAACAGGGTTGTTTTTGGTTCTTCTCGATAAGATTTGAATGGTCCGGCGTATCTCTTCATCTCTCCCGATAACAGGATCTAGTTTACCGTCCTTCGCCAAATCAGTCAAACTAGAACCATACTTCTCTAAAGCAGGACGGTTGTCGTCTTTGTTCATTTGCATTTGAAGGTTCTTTGGAATGCTAGAGTGGAACGATCTAATCGAACCTTTTGCTGGAATCCCAAGCTGGACTATATTGCTTGAGTTTAAATGCCTTGCAACATGTATAGGTCCTGGAGATTGCCATGGTTGTAAAAGAGAGCTTTTGATTCGGGAGGAGCTCAACGCTGCTCTTGCTTCAATGGTTCTGGTAAGAGTCCTTGTAGGGATTTTCCGTAACATCGTGTGCTTATGCGAGGATAATCATCCAAAGTGGGCAATATATATGAATAAAGGCACCTGAGGTCACAGGTTCCAGTTGATTCTAGAATCTTCTCCCATATGCAGGAGTATGATAAGGTGCAATTGGCAAAAGTAACATTTGGCGAGAAAAAGAACAGACAAGGGCTGAAAAAGCCGTACGTTCGATCGAGTGGTGTGCAGTCGTGTGGTGTCTGCGGCATGTGCTTCTACAGTCGTTAGTCCTTGCTAGGCTCCGCTAGCCAATTTTATTAATCTATCCTAATTTTTCCGTGAAGGCCAGTAGTCCCCAGAATTAAACCCGGGATGGGGCTCGAACGGTGGTGGCTGCTGTGACTGGTGCAGCAGATGGTCGTCGTCGTCCCAGATTTCATAGTTGTCCACTATCTCCTCGTCGTAGCTGCCAGCGCTAGGAGAAGGAGGATGGTCCATGTTAGTATCTTGGCCATCATGATTCACCATCATTTCAGGTTCTAACTCGTCGTCCTCATAGATGATTAATGCAGGTGGATGGTCACCATACTGGTTTTCGTGAACGGGAAGCAGGGTATCTGGGTCATGAATTGAAAGAGTCCTGCTCGTATGTATTTGTAGGTTGGAGCTATTCGAGTCCTCGTAGGTTTCGTCCTTCGTGCGGGTAGAACCAGAGTCATACTTGGTCACTGAGAGGGACGATTTATTGAAGAAATCCAAAAAGCCTTTTCTTTTGGATTTTTCTTTATTTTCTTGACTCAGATGAATGCTCAAAACATCGTCCATGCTGATTTTTCTGCCCAAAACCCCAACCAATTCCGATCTCTTCTCCAAGTACCAGATATTGTAAACCCACTCCCACACCGTGGTGATCAAAATGATTTCCACCAAGTATGGAAGAAGTTCCAACCAGGTTTTCACGAGCCAGTCTTCCTTGAAGGCACTGAGGGAAAGGATATTGAATGCGATACAAGCACCGATCAAGAACCAGTTGAAAAGCGCCAAAGGTAAGAGCTTTCGGGAATAGCAGATTCGCCGAGGATTCTTGATGCAAATGGTGTAGTAGAGAATGGTTCCGGCAAACCAAAAGAGAAGGCCCAATTTGAGCACAATCCGCACAATCCGCCACTCCTGGTAATCGGAGCTCACAGTCGAGCTGAAGATCGAGCTGGTGTCATTGAAAGCTATCTCGTAGTAGGTGCATATGATGAAGTAAGCCAAGATAAATGTGCCTCCAAACACCGAAGTCATCCACTTGAAGCGGTCCTTGGTGAGCCGCACCACTATCTGCAACCAGGCAACGTGTGTCAGTACCTGTGAGATGACGATGATGACTCGAAACACGTTATTGATGTAGAGCATATCGTGCAATCGCACGATATCGAGGGTGTCCATGTAGTACTCTGTTTGCGAGCCCTCGGTGATTCGTGAAAGGAGGAAGGTGGTGACCACCGCATAAAAGATGGTGGCAAGCTGGGCCAGGATGGGTTTTCGCTTGTGAGCGGGACATAGGTATAGGAGGAGTATGAGCATCCAGCATGATACACACGAGGCACAGAGGGTGAACAAGAGCGCCACGAACATGTCTCCGTTGTCCCGCTGGTTGTAGGGAGATTGGTAAATGTTGGTATCGTTTCGATGCAGCAGCACCACCAACTCGATCAACGATGAGATCAGGCAGTTGGTCACATAGTATGCTGGCAAGAAGTTGGGGTCGATTTGGGTGGTGGTGGTGGTGGTGTCGTTGAACAAGTTCATGCTCAAGGAGCCTGACGGCAACGAGTACACCGAGCAGTTGATCGGTATGGAGTGCTCTTGCAAGTACAGGAGCAGCTGATCGCCCATAGCTACCAAGTCTGACATATTTTCATCACGATATTGCTTTCTTTATATAGTGCCACTGCCCAGGCCGAGGAATTTCTTGACTATTTCTTGTCATTGTAGATAAATCTGCGACATGCGCCCTGGCCACCGTTGCGACATCGCTCTCACCCACGCGACACTGTTGATCTGTTTGGGTGAATTTTTACTGCCAACCACAACCACCATGTCCTTCCAGCCCCCGCCCCCTCCAGGCATTGGGTTCTACGGCTCAGCTTCGGCACACAGCAGCCGAGATGATCTTGCTTCGGCTGTGCAAAATCTTGGCTTGGGCAGTCCCTCCAGGTCCAAAAAGAAGAGAGCCGCCAGGGCGTTCCATACCGAGTTCAATTCCCCGGTTGCTAGCGGAACCGTGACCCCCAATCCATTGCAGGCACCTTTTGCTGGCTCCCACCAGCCGTTTTCGCCTCAGGCTCCGTTTTCTCCCCAGGCCCCCCATGCATTTCCCCAAGCTGGCTCGCTTCCACAATCGCCCCAAACATATCCCCAGGCTTCTCCCCAGCAGGCCCCGGCACTTGCCCAAGGTCTTGGTCTTACCGCTCATCCTCCTATCCCCCAGGATATGAACCGAGCTGCAAGTGGAAACCAAGAGCTTTCGTTACCCGAGTATCGTCACTACACTAACCACGAGTACGTTACTCCCGTGGACGGCCAATTCAAGTCATTTTTAACCTTCAACAACGTGATGCCTCCAGACGCCACTGCCCAGTTCCACGCGGTTGACCAGGGCACAGCCTCATCCAAGTTCATCAGATCTTCCATGTACTACGTCCCTGAAACCGAACAGTTGAGACTGGCAACCAAATTGCCGGTTTCGGTCACCATTAGACCGTTTGCACCCTTGCTCAGTACCGAGGATCCTGTTCCAGTGGTGGATATGAGACGGCTCGAGTTCCCCAGTGACGATCCCTTAGACAACGGCCCCATCAGGTGTCGCCGGTGTAGAACCTACATCAACCCATCAATGCAGTTCACCCAGTACGGGCGGTTTGTGTGCAACATCTGTCAGTTTCCAAACAATGTGGTTCCTAACGATTATGCTTCCTTGTTGGATAACCAGAGTCAAAGAGTGGACAAGTTCATTCGTCCAGAATTGCATAAAGGAGTTTATGATTTAATCGTTCCCAAAGAATATAATTTCGAAGGATCGGAATCCAATCCTAAGCCCTTGCATCATTTGTTTTTGATCGATATCAGTGAACAGAGCAGAAAGCAAAACATCCCTGTCTTGCTTGCCGATGCAATCAGAGCAAGTTTATACAACTATGATTCTGACGTGGATGCCCCAAGCCCCAAAATCTCGATAATTGCATTTGACAAGAAAATTCACTTCTTCAACTTGTCCTCAACTTTGGATAGTACCCAAATAGTGATATCTGCAGATCTCGAAGATCCATTCGTTCCATTTAGTGAGGGTCTCTTTGCCGATGCTGAAGAAAGCAGGCATGTCATCGAGGACGCCCTTAACCACATTGAATCATTATGCTCTACGAAGGGTATTGCAGACTCCGAACCAAGTTTCTCAGCAGCCTGTAGGATTGCAATGATGTGTCTTGAAACCGTTGGTGGTGGTAAGATCACTTCCGTGTTGTCTGTTTTGCCTTCATGGGGACCGGGGAGTTTGAAATATAAGGATAATAAGGCAATAGGTAGAAGCCCAGCACCAGAAGTCGAGAAAGCCATCTTCCTTCCTGATAATGAGTACTACAAGTTGTTGGCAAAAGATTTTATTTCAAAGAGTGTCGGTTTGGATGTTCATGTGGTTTCACCTACTGCAGTTGATCTCTCGAATATTGGTTGGCTTTCATCTATTAGTGGTGGTAACATCAGTAGATGGACTAACTTTGATTTTGAGAGAGACAGTAGGGCTTTTACTGCGACGTTCGTTAACTCCTTAAAAAAATCAAGGGGATATCAGGGTCAGCTTAAATTGCGTTGCTCAAATGGTTTGCAGGTCAGTCAGTATTATGGCACTTCATCTTCAGGAACGGAAACTACAGTTGGGGGTACTATTACTGATCCAATTGTGCCTATTCTTGGAGAAGATCAAACATTTACAATCTTGCTTGAGTATGATGGCAAGTTGAGTACGAAGTACGACTGTCATTTCCAAGCTGCTTTATTGTACACCGATCCTCAAGGATTGAGAAAAGTTAGAGTTATCAACTTGGTATTAGCAGTCAGTGAAAGGCTCGAAGATGTCTTCAATTTTGCGGACGAGAATGCGATAGTCACTGCTATTGCCAGAGATACCCTCTCATTCCTTGGTAAGCAGCCTTTAAATGAATTGCGTGATTCTGTGAACCAAAAGTTAGTGGACATTTTCACCCAGTATAGAGCTATGAGTGAATTGGGTCATAATAGAAACAGAACTTTGACAAACCAGTTGCTATTCCCAGACTCACTCAAGCACTTACCACTTTACATCTTGGCCCTTGTCAAAAGCAAGGCACTTCGGAACTCAACGGGTCTTTCTGCAGATGCAAGATTAGCTGACTGTTTCCAAATGCTTAATATGCCTATTGAGAGATTGGTATATCACTTATACCCAGCATTGGCAGAGCTCCATTCCATCCAAGAAGACGAAGCATTTTTTGAAGATTTCCATGGATTCATTGATTTGCCCAGGTTCAATGAATTGTCATTCAAGAAAATGGAACATGGTGTTTACATCCTTTGTGACGGATTAAACATTTTCGTTTGGGTTGATCCCGAAGCCAATATCTTGCTTCTCAAAGATTTGTTTGGAGAAGAAATAGAATCCGCCTCTCAAATTCTGCCACTCATTGACGAATTACCTGAATTACCAACTCAGATATCTGAGCAAGCTAGAAATATTATCAAGTATTTCCAGTCATTTATTGTCGGAATCCCAACAGTTGAATGCGCGGGAATTAGAATTGTTAGACCAGGCATCGATGGCTCTGTCAGTGAGTTCAAGGATGCTTTGGTGGAAGATGGGTTGCAGGGATCGGTTATATCTAGTAGTGGTTCTAGTTACCCTGAATTCTTGTCAAACTTGCATAAAGCTATTAGAGTTCAATTGGACAACGACAAATCTTCCAATAAGGTCAAAAAGTCTGTCACTGCTGCAGAACACCACCAGGAAGGATTTGCTAAAAGGTTGATTAACTTTTAGTCTCTACACAGTTCATGAGAAGTATTTTGTTTTCAGTGAAAAGCTTTTCTCGTCGAACAAAACTCTTAGTTGGTTTCTCTTCATTGGATACTTATGAACTATATTAATAAAATACATTATTAACTCTATATTCCAGTATTCTGCAGTGCCTACTTGATCATCTTGAGAACATCTATCAATACCTCCAATATATCTCTCCTTTTATTTTGCCTGATAACGGTGGTAACTGCAACTTTAAGTTTTTCATTTGCAACGAACCACAGCAACTCATCAGTTTCCATATCACTCACAGAAAATACTAAATTCATCAAAATATAGCTGGATCTCAATATTAAATCGTCTCTTGTAGTTTGATTGATAAATATATCAGAGATGATTGCAACCAATTCGTTTTTTATCATTTCGTTCTTGACTAAAATTTGAGGAATTGGTTCAAATTCAGAGGTTGCGTTTGCCAACAATCCTGCAATTACTATTTGAAAAGATTCATCCTCAGAATTCAATAACTTGATTAATAGGGTTAACCTGCTTAAGTTCTCTTGGTTAACTTTGCCATCAGAACCAGCCTCAATATTGAAGAATTTAACTAGCAAACTAGGTTCCACAATTAAATTTGTGATTAGTTCCCAACTTGCCTGTTGAATTTTGAAATTGTCGGAATCAATAATAAAGTTATTCAAGTAACTATCAAATGACTTTACGATTATCAATTTCCTGAGCTCAGAGTTCTTCTCATCGGAAGAAAGGTTCGTGAGGGCCAAGAGGGATTCATACTTATCAAGATCTGTCATCTCATGGAGGTATTGTTCTGGTGATTGGGTGTTGTTCAATGCTCCAGTGTATTTGGTGATATCTGGGCCTAACAATTCTATCAAAAATGGCACTGCTGTTCTGACATCATATTTTGTGAATGCTACGCTAGGGTTCACTGAGATGAGAATCTTTGATAGCGAACGCAAGGCGCATAATCTTGTTTCAATCAAATTAGAATTTGAATTTATTGGTCTAGTTTCACCATTTCCATTTTTCTGGATAGCTGTGTGCTTTATCAAGAAGCTTAAAATGAAACTTAGTCCACCTTGTTTAACCAACTCACTTCTAACTTCTCTTTCTTGACCTTTTGCTATGGAATAAATTATGAATACAACTTGGTTAACGAGGTTATTTGGCGTGACGTCTGATGCATTCGAAACTGCTTCCTCTTTGTAGGATTTGATTTGGGTAAGGACTTCAACAATTTTATAGTTGAGAAGAATCGACTTATTAAAAAGCTGTATTTCTTGTCGATTCTCTTGTTCGGAATCTTTTGAGCCTGGGGTAGCGACAGATTTCAAGTAATTGATTGTTCTCCTGTTCGTTTGGTTGGCCTCTTTCAATTTAGACAAGTTGGCAAGCACAGTAACTAAGCCGTATACTAAAGAGTTATTGGTTCCAATTGATGCTGCATCAGTAGAATTGACATCTGATTTTTTCTTTATCAACAGAATGATTTCACCTAATAAGTCCTCGTCACTTCTCAATATCGCCTTCACAGTAGCATTTAATGACAAATATGCCAATCCCTCCACAGCATACTCCAAAAAGACTTCGTTAGGGTCCTTGTTGTAAGCTTTTATGTAATCCAAGAAATTATTAGTGAAATCGGCGATTCCAATTACCTGCTCCTCCTGCTTCTTTTTATCCATTTGGACGAAACTCCATACTTTCACAAGTGCCAAAGAAGAAAGTAATTTAACCTCTTCGTTGGTCTTGACTTTTGCACCAACCTGGAGCAAGTCAAAGTATTCCTTGGAATTGTAGGTTCTACTCTCTTCTGTGATGCAGGATGTCGACACGAGCTTAAGTATTTCAGTGGCAACTAACACATGATTTGGATACTCCAAAGTAAGCTTATTGTTGACCACAATACGGGATATTTGGCTCAATATATGTTCTTTTGTCTTTTCGGACGTGTAAATCGGAGTTGTTACTTCTGGAACTATGGGGAACAATGTGCTAAGAATATTAATGAAAGTCAAAAACTGGGAGATCTCAAGATGTGAGTCATCCAAATAAAGTTCTAGCACTTCTGAGATGGTCTTGGTGGACAGAGCGCGGTTTTGGCTTAAATTTCTGATGACAATTAGGAGAATCAAAGACGAAACGTCTCTATAATTTTCCTTCAAGGGGTTCAACAACGTAAGAAATAGTCCTAGATGCTGGAAATTGATGTGGTTGAAATTAGATATCACCGCAACGTAGATAGACAAGTAGAATTTCGTATCCACATTCTTGTTGGCTATCACCACCTTGATAGTGTTCAATAGGTTATTAATCAATGCGTCATTGGTGGACCTGGAGCTGCCAAGTGTATTGATAAGTACCAAGCCTCTTGAATCCCCAACACGGTAGAGGCCCTTCAAGAACGTCTCTGCGTCATCTAACAACACTTCACGTAGATCACCAGAAGTTTCTTGCTTCTGCGAGGCCTTGACTAAATCACTCAACGATTGTGCCTGTTGTTCGGGAGACAACGGGGTGCTCTGACGAAAAACATTTTCTATCGAGGACTCAAGTGAAAGAGACTTCAATTGTTCTTCCACCGCGGTGTCGTGGGGTGAAGATTCAGCCATTATGGAAGGATCAGCCTTGACTAAGTTATACTTTCATACTTTGATTGTGTGCAGGTCATGAAAACGTTTCTAAGCAGAAGTCGAGCATACCAAACAAAGCAGCCCCATAACGTGAACGGACAACACGATCCATCATGGACACTTCAACGGTACTAGAGAAGTACACTCAGGACTTGTCCAACCTCCCGTTGGAGGTCAAGCATCTTCTCGAAGAGATGCGTAGCAAGGACATCCAGTTGTTGGAGGCTCGAAAGAGATACCAAACCAAAGATAACCAGATACACAAGTTTATACGAGCTAATGGCACGTTGACCAAACACCCCAAGGAGCAGCAGCTCTACGTCAAGATCGAGGAAGACATGAAAAAAGTCCAGAAATTACAGCAGGAGAAGATCTTATTGGCAAACACTGCGTTGTTCTTGATGTCCAAGCACTTGTTTAACTTCGAAACAGATATCGCCAAGTTAGAACGAGATGAGATGCTTCCTCCAATAGAAAGCGTGTGGGACGATGAAAATGGCAGAGGCGATTTGAACAGCGCATTAAACGGGCTTTCAGACACCTTGCTGGGGACCACCACTCCCAGAAACGGTTCCAGCAGTGACATCAAGCGCTTGACAAAGAGAAAACAGGGCCTTGGTATGAGGAACTCCACTACTGGGTTGTCAAGACCCACTAAGAGAATGAGATCAGAAGAGGCCGACGATAGGTCACTTCTGCGCACCCCTGGTCCCGAAAACGTGGGATCGTTATCTTTTGGCACAAGCGACCTCGGAGCACCTCTTGGAATGGTGCATATTGATGGGCCTTCTGGAAACGGTGAAGATGCTGACAATAATTTGTACTGTTTCTGTCAAAGAGTGTCGTTTGGCGAAATGATTGGATGTGACAATGACGACTGTAAGTTCGAGTGGTTTCACTGGAGCTGTGTGGGGATCACCTCTCCTCCAAAGGACGATGAGATATGGTATTGTCCAGATTGTGCTCCAAAAATGGAGAAAGGTAAAAAGAAAAAGAAGGTATAAGAGGGAATTAATTCAACACACTGGGTTCGATAGATGGATTACATGGCTACTCTATCGATTACGGATCTTTCTATCCACACAAATATGCATGATTCGAAAAATTAGCGAGAATAGTTAGCCATGGTGGCACGGAGAGACACCGGACGCAAAAGCATGCGGAAATGATTCAGACATCCTTTCTACGTTGTGCGACCAGACTTGGGAGCAGTCATCAAGCTATAGGGGTACTAGCGGCTGAGTCTGCTCGAAACAATCGAAACTACCACAGTACAAGTTTTGCAGAAGCACAGACTTCGGATCCATGGGCCAAAATATTCAGAGGCACTCTTATAGCCTACCAACCACAGCAATTCCCATGTGAGCCACTGATCCATGCTTCACTGCTCCATGCATGCAATTTCTGGAATCACCAGGAACAAGGAGTGCTGGAACACAGCCCAGTGACTCCCACGGTGCCACACTGAAGACTGGACTTGACTGAGCCTCTGCACCAGGGACTACTGGCTCTCTGAGTTGCGAGTGGAATGTCTCCTCGAGTGCCAGGGCAGACCGAATGTCTCCTGGGCCAGTTTCGCATTACCCTAATAGGAACTATGCCCCTAGGACCATATAATGTAATATCCCCAACGCACACAACCGTAGCCCGCCCACCCACCATGCCAGTGCTCTAGTCTGTAGCGATCCTGCATCCACCGCAGACCTAACCTGGTAGTCTCACCACCAGCAAACGTCAATAGCACGCGACCGCGACCATTCTACGAGTAGTCCCCACGGGGCTCCGTTGTATCAGTACCTGTCCAATAGCCAAACGACCTAATGAACCCCCTCCTCTCGCCGTTCCGTCCTGTAGCCCTTGCAACACCATCCCAGCCGCAACTCTGGCCCATCGGTCCCAATGGCCCCACTCACCACTTGCACCCGCCTCATCCTGGAATTACTCTGCCCCTTTCACGTGACGGACCCAAACATGCACTTCAAACTTTGAACCAAATTCATCCCACAACAGATCCGTACACTCGTTCATCTCTCTGCTCCACCACATCTTTCCCAGCGCAGCTATCCAGAGAGCTATCCAGAGATCCCGTTGATCACACTACCAGAGCCGTCACAAAATGAAGTACTCGATGTTAATGTTGGCCTTGGCTGTGGGAGTCTTGGCTGCTGATCCCCCAGCCCCTGTCCCAGAGGGTGCAGCCCCAGCGGGTGCTGCTCCGGCAGGTGCTGCTGGTGCTGGCGCTAACACCACTCCTGCTGCTGGCGCTGCCACTACTCCCGCTGCTGGTGCTGCGACTCCCGCTGCTGGTGCCACCACTGGCACAACCACCAGAGCGGGTGCTGCCACTCCTGCCGCAGGTGCTACCACTGGCGCCACTACAGGCACCACTACCAGAGCCGGCGCTGCCACTGGCCCCGCAACCGGTACTGGAACTGGTACTGGTACTGGTACTGCCACTGGTACTGCCACTGGTACTGCCACTGGTACCGGAACTGGAACTGGCACTGGCACAGGCACCACTGGAACGGGAACCGTGACCACTCCAGCTGACCCTGCTGCTGCCAAACCTCCAGGTGCCGCTGCCGCCGCTGCTGCTACTACTACCACCCCAGCTGCCCCAGGCGGTGCGGCTGTCCCAGGAGGCGTTGCTCCACCACCAAAACCTCCTGTGGTCTCCGACAACACTCCTGTCCCCACAGACAACGGCAGTGACGACCCTACCACCAAGTCCTTGACGTTCGTTACCTCCTATGTCCGTCCTTCCGCCCCTCCCGCCAACAACAATGCCAACAACGCCAACTCCGCCAAATCCGCCAACTCTGCCAACACCGCTCAGGGAGACAGTTCGTCCAGGGCCCCAAGACCATCAGGCCAATCCTCATCCAACGCGGGTGCTATGCAACAAGCGAACTATCCGCTCCTTGCGTTAGGCTCGTTCATGGCCTGCTACGCCGGGTTGTTCTAGATCACAACTCTCGTAACATTCCATTGGTAATACCTGAGGTCGCTTGTTCAATGCCACCCAATAAAAACGATGGTGGCCAACGCCAGCTCACGATCACCTCCCAATCGGGTAGGCCTGGCTATCAAGCTTCCACTGCTCGGATCTCCCGTTTCAGGTAGGACTTCCCGCTGGTTTCTTATGCTTTAATTCCTTCGGACGTTTTGTTCTATTATACCCTTCTGTTCTATTACCTCTTCTTTCTACAGGCTCTTATCTTCTTGTTCATATTTAGTTGCAATGTATCTGATTTGTACACGCCGCGGCCAAAAATTTCACTGCGATTCCGTAGAATTATACCTCAATTATTTGATGCTAAAGGATTAGTTAGTACCATGATCTTAGCCAGCATACGAAGAGAGGTTCTCACAGTGAAGGCCCGTGCCCCCTTTGGCCGTGTTGTGTGCGCCCGCTTATCATCATCTGCATTTCCATACATTTCAGACTTTACTAGTCTCGTAAAGAAGGTCCATCAGGAGCTCCCTGAAGCAACACAAGACGCCACCAAGTTCGACCAGCTTGTATTAAATGCTTTGTCCACATGCCAGCTGATCCAAACCCACGCATATGCTCCCAACGAGCAAATCAACGAATCGTCCAAGTCCATTGTCGAGACGAAACTGGTCATAGATGAGATCTTCACCAAATCCGAGAATGTGGCATTCAACCAAGATCTTCTTCGCCAAATCTTCTTGTTGAAGTTGCCCACACTTGTGAACTTGCATATAATCAATCATTACTACGCCAAAAACCCATCCGAGGCAACCATCATCCCAAAGGATTTGGCATTGATTCCCTTCCGCTCGTCGTTGTTCAACGGCGACTTCAAGCACGCCATAAAACTTGCCGATGTCACTGTTGGCCACCCCAACTACATTCTGAACAACAACCAGATCTTGAAGAAGGGCTTGTTCAAGTTGTTGGGATCCACAGTGTTGATCACTTTGCTGACCAAATTCGGGGTCAACCAAATCATAGAATGGGGTGGTCTCAGTGATGGCTGGAGACATCTCGGCTCTATCAACTCGATGTTGTTAACATACCTCATCAACTCCAGTTTTTTCATCACCATCGTGAGATTGGGAAGGCAGTCCATCCTGGCCGGTGGAGACATTGTCACCTGGCAAAAGGGAACCTTCTACACCAACATGTTTAGGCACGCGGATGAAATGATGTTTGCCTCTAAGATCATCGAGGCGGACAGACAATTGAATGGTGGAGAATCCAATCCAGAAATCACCAACGAGTTGTGCAGAACCAATGAGGATTTATACACTGACCAGCATACCTTACAGCCTGGTTACAACAGGGAAGGAGANAAAATCAGATTGTTACAGGTCAAGGACGATTTGGAGGACTTGAAACTTCAAGCCTATTGGATGAGTGGAGGCGACGGTTTTGAATGGGTGGAGCCGGACCAAGATCCTGCCGAGTTACTTTGGAAAAAGCACTTGAGCAAGTTGGACCAGCCATTATTGAGGAATACTGGCGGGAGAGGTTTGAAATGGGCCGACGACTTGATTGAAGAAGGTAAGACCAACTAAGATTTATGATAAAGCGATAACTTCCATTTCGCCACCAAATCTGAGCTACGTATACTGCAATAAAGGGCGACCTATGGCAGATTTCATTATCTTGACCAAATATACTGTAAATATTTGTACATATAGAATACACCTAATGTGATGACATTCAAATGCTTGCTGTATGGAGAGATTGGCATTCACGTGACACGCTTCGCGTGATCATACCATCACACATTTACAAGTTTACTACTACATTATCAACAGTAACCATGTCTCGGTTAACCATTAAGAGGCTCATCTCCCATAAAGCTCATCCAGAGAACGTCATCCTTGCCGATGCGCTCAATCTCCTTTCTCCATCGGAAATTCCCAAAGCAGCATCTAGTTTTAAACCTTCTTTGTTAACTAATTTCGCAAAGGGGTCAGCAAATGAAAGATTCAACTCCGATGACTTGATCAAAGTCAAGCTACCAGCATCAGGCGTCCATGAAAGTGCGGAAGTATACCTCAATAACTTGTTGATGGGGCTTCAGTCTTCTAGAATAATGAGTGCCAAACCCAACTATCAAATTCTCGAGATGAGTCCTAAAGAGCTAGCTACGTACATAAAGTCAACTTCATCTGAACAGAGATTGTTCGAACTCATGGAGCTCTTCTATTATCAAAACAAGCTTACTCCTCGTATCATGACAGACATCATTCTAAACAAACATTTTGTCAATGTGCATCAAAGCCCCCTCAAGTTAACTAACCTCGAAGCCCTCAACCTCTCCTGGAGACCCATCAACTACACGCAAATCGATATCCTCCTAATGAAGAAGTACCACGACTTGAAAAAGCCCCTCTTGATATTGAAAAACTTGAAGGAAAACTTCGTGACCAAGTACTACCCCTTAGTGGAAGCAAACAAACTATCGCCATTCTATGAGCGAATTGTTTGGAAGTTCAACTTTGAGTATATCAAGAACCTCGATGAATTCTACTACATTCGCAAGTTGAACTCGCTTAAGTCGAGTTTCATCATCTGGGAGTCATCGCTTGAAAACAACCACCGCATCAGCCAGTACATCCTCGAGAACATCAGCGATCTCTCGGAGATCCAAAAACTCTTCTTGAGGGTCTGCTGTAATGACGTTGTCCAGACCAAGGTTAACGAACAACTACAAGTGCATCAAAACTCAAAACTATTATCGGACTTGAAAAAGCTCTCGATCAAGTACAAGGTGAACGGGCTTTCAGATGCCCCTAGTAGTGAGGTCAGGATGAACTACTACTCGTTGATCAAGGCACTTGAAGAGATATTGGCGGAAGCCGGCGACGAAAATGGCCTAGCCATTCGCGATGATTTGAAGAGGTATAAAGAGATGGTGGTGATGAAATTGGGCGTAGAGGACCAGGAAATCAAATGGCTCAACGACCAGTTCTTGTCGTTGGTTCCTAAATCCAACTAATGGCGCCACGACTTGGCACCAGACATTTCCCAATATGCACACCGTCCAAACGCGAATTCATACAACACTGTTTCTACCATGAAGGTTCTTCGTGACAAAGATATCAAAAGCTACTTGGACTCGGCCCTTTCGCAAGAGTCAATTCTCACCCAGTTCCAGCCTGCCCTCATCAAGGGCTTGCAAGCATGTCTGGTAGACCCAGACAAGATCATCCCACCCCGGATCGTGCAACCTTCCAACAAGCCAGGAGTGGACACCACCCACTTGTTCATGCCATGTATATCTCCCGATGAGGTCGGAATCAAGATGATCAGTGGTGGTCCCTCCAACAATGCCCAAGGATTGGGGTTCCAGGGAACCGTTCTTCTTCTCGATGAAAACACAGGGGCCACCAAGGCCATTCTCAACGCGGCAACCTTGACAGCGTTCAGGACTGCTTTGGCCAGTACAGCAGGTCTTACTAAGGTTATCCCTGTGGATTCCACCATTCTTCCTGAGCTCACGGTATATGGAGTGGGTGCCCAAGCCTACTGGCACGTCAAGTTGGCGTTGAACCTCTACGGATCCAAGATTTCCACCGTGAACATTGTGAACAGAACCTTGGCGAATGCCGAAAAGTTGGCTCTGACTATGGGAGCCGAGTTTCCTTCGGTGAACTTCAATACGTTTCTGTATCAGGACCAGGACCTGGGCATGGTGCAACACGTCCAGAACAGTTCCATCCTTTTCGGATGTCTTCCAACCACCCTGGCCAACATCAAGGGCGAGCACATCAATTCCGATCCCCAGTACCCCAAGTTTGTGTCGTTGATCGGCTCTTACAAACCGGAAATGGTGGAGTTGGAGGTGGAGTACCTCAAGGCCGAGTTCAAGGGCAAAGTCCAGGTGGTGGTGNATTCCAAGGAACACACCCTTCATGAGGCTGGCGAGTTGATCCAGTCAGGGATTGGGCAGGACGGGCTTGTTGACTTGGCGGAATTGTACGCTCACGACATCAGCCGTGCTAGCTACACCACCAAGACCGGAGTGACAGTCCAGAAATTGGTGGGGTTGGCCATCATGGATATTGCCATCGGGACATTTGTGTGCGACCATATTGAGGGAGGAATCGACGTGGACGAATTCTAGGAAGAGTGAGACGCTAGGCTGGAAGTTACAACTACAATTTACTATGCTCTTGCATCATTAACCTTGGCTCCACCATAGTCGCTCCTATTGGCTCAGCACTTATCTGTCAGGCATTCTTCTCCATCCACAATTACCATTCTTCAGATTTGGTGCTTACCATCGAACACTCCCAATTGGCCCAACACTTCCATTTCCGCGCGAAGTCCACGCTCATGACTAGATTCTCCACATATAGAATATATAATTAGAGAATCCAATAATTAACTACACCTCACACTCGTAGCTCCGAGATGCCCTAAACATCCCACTACCTCTAGGATGGCCCCTTTGGCCACCACCGTAACTGCCATTGACACTGTACTCAAACTGGCTTGCGCTGACCATTTTGATGCTCCACTACCTTGGCGCGATAAGACGGATTTTCTGCGGAAACCCATTACACGCTACAAGCATCCATCCTCTCTAGCAATGGCATCCGAGAACCAAGCCCTCTTGGGCGGCGACTTGTCTGTATACAACACCAAGAAGCCAAGGTACCCTAACTTGATCTGGCGAGCCTTGAACGTGGTGATGTTTGTGGTTTTGGTATTCCTTCTCCTCCCATCCACCAAAACCAACACCGTTCCCGAAGTCGACAGCTCCAAGAAGAAGAACGTCATCTTCATGGTCACCGATGGCATGGGCCCTGCATCGTTGTCATTGGCCAGGTCCTTCAGACAGCACAGAGATAACTTGGCCATCGACGACGTGTTGGAGTTGGACCACTACTTGGTGGGCTCCTCCAGAACCAGGTCCAGCAGCTCGTTGGTCACCGACTCCGCTGCCGGAGCCACCGCTTTTTCGTGTGCCTTGAAGTCCTACAACGGTGCAATTGGTGTGGATCCCCACAAGCAGCCCTGCGGAACCATCTTGGAAGGCTTGAAGTTGCAAGGGTACTTGACAGGCTTGGTGGTCACCACCAGGATCACCGACGCCACCCCTGCCGCCTTCAGCTCCCACGTCGACTACCGTTTCCAAGAAGACTTGATTGCTGAGCACCAATTGGGTGAGTACCCATTGGGCAGAGCCGTTGACTTGATTATCGGTGGTGGCAGATGCCACTTCTACCCAACCTCTGATGCCGAGGGCCATGGATGCCGTGCAGACTCCAGAAACTTGATTGAAGATGCCCAGAAGAATGGCTGGCAATATGTTGGTGACAGAGCCCAATTCGATGCCTTGCAAGGAGGAAAGAACATTTCCTTGCCCTTGTTGGGATTGTTGGCTGACGGTGACATTCCTTATGATATTGACCGTGACTCGAAGGTCCACCCTAGTTTGGCTGAACAAGTCAAGGTTGCATTGACTGCTTTGTCTGAGGCCACCAAAGACTCGGACAAGGGTTTCTTCTTGTTAATCGAAGGAAGCAGAATCGACCACGCTGGTCACCACAACGACCCTGCTGCCCAAGTTAGAGAAGTCTTGGCTTACGACAAGGCATTCCAAGAAGTTATCAAGTTCATCGACGAAAGTGACGTTGAAACTGTCGCTATTTCCACTTCTGATCACGAAACCGGTGGTTTGGTCACTGCTAGACAAATCTCTCCATCTTACCCTGACTACTTGTGGCGTCCAGAAGTTTTGTTGAACAGTACCCACTCAGGCGAATACGTCGCAAGAAAAGTCTTCAACTACAAGCACAAGGATGACCTCAAGAAGTTCAAGAAGTTCATTGCCGAGGAAATCATCGAAAAGGATCTTGGTGTTACCAATTACACCAGTGAGGAAATCGAGTTAGTTGTTGAGAATGCTGCCAGCGTCAACGACGTTTTGTATGTTTTCAACAATATTATTTCCGTCAGATCCCAAACCGGATGGACCACCCATGGACATTCAGCAGTTGATGTTAACATCTACGCCCATACCAACTCCGAATCCATTAAAGCAAAGTTGTTGTCTAACAAGGCTCACCATGGCTTGTTGGGCAACCATGAAAACATTGAAATCGGTGAATTCATGGCCTCCATCACTGGCGTTGATCTTGAAGAAGTCACCACCTCTATTCAAGGTACCAAGCACTCTCCATAAACTTGCGGCTCGGGGCTTTGATTTCTTTGACTTTGTCGAATACAACATCTAGAGTAGATCCGTTCTAGACTAAAATTAAAGCATAAAGAAATTTCTCAATAATATCTATTGTAAGCTTATTTCTGTATTATTATGATATCTATATCTATATCTATTATCAAATTAATTGGAATTTAAAGTATAATCCTCTTTGCACAACTTCGCTCTCAAGGAAGCTCCGTATTTGTAGAAACTGAAGGGAATGGCAATCATTGCCAAAGAAATAAATGCTAGTAACCAACTAGCCCACTGTAATCCTAATCTATGGTACATCTGGGTAACAAATAATGGGAATGCAGCTCCACCCGAACTTCTTAAAAAGACTTTGGTGGCTAATGCAGAAGCAGCATATTTGGCATAGGTGTCAATGATATAATTGTTCAATGAATAGTAGATGAGAACCATACCATATCCAAAAGCAATTCCACTGGAGGCAGGGCCAACCCAGATGATGTGCTTGTAAGAAGTTGCACCCAAAATGAACAAAGCAATACAAGGGAAGGGGCTGCCAATCATAGCACCAATAAGTCTATCCTCTGGGGTAGGGGTTCTTCTCTTGCACAACTCGGCATATTTCTTTTCGATAATTGGAGTGGTTGTAAGTGCCAACAATGCTCCGATCAAAATTGGAATGAACATGAGGCCAATGATGTTATCTTTGTAGCCATACAACTCGTTGAAAATAACTGGGTAAGCGAAGAAAAAGGCATACAACAACGAGTAAATCAAGGCAACGAAAGCGCACATTAAGTCCAACACTGGCTCCTCAATGATAAACCTGAGTGGCCTAATTAAATTGTCGTTGATCAATTGCTTCAACGTCAATGGATGGGCTTCCTGTTCTGTCATGATGTTTTGGTTACCTGTCTCCTTTCTCAACTTCTTTGCTCTCTTCTTGAGAATAGCTGGTGCATAGGTTTCGGGGAGAATGATGATGATAATCCACATCACACCAGCAAATGCCATATTGACCCAGATGATTATATCAAATCTACCTGTTCCCACACTAATGAAGCCGTTGACCACACCTCCCAACACAGGGCCAGAGTAAGGAGCAAAAGAGAAGAACGCAATTGCCAAGGAACGGGTTTCGGAATGAATGTCAACGATACTGGCACCGATGTTGGTCAACGCACTGGAAGCAAACACTCCGCACAAGAAACGGCAGGCCAAGAGAGCACCAATATTGGGGGCCAAAGCACAAGGAATGTTGAAGATCACGTACAACCCAAACGAGATCACGTAGACTGGTTTCCTGCCTATTTGCTCAGACATGGGGGCCCAGATCAAGGGTCCAACGCAAAAGCCTAGCACCATTAATGACACGGTAAGGGTTGAGACCTCGGTGCTGACGCCAAACTTCTTGTTAATTGTTGGGAGGCCAGTGGCAAGACACGAGGACCCGTAGGCGGCACAGATCACAAATATGGCGTAGATGACGGTGTAGAACCAACGCAAACGAATATCCCAGTTGAGGGGGTTTTCGGGGTCGTCCACCACGAAAGTGACAAATTCGGCCTCAGAGGGTACTGAGCTAGAGGAATCAGTGTCTTTTTCTTCCTTGGTGACGGTTCTTCCCAACGACTGCAATTGGTGAATGGGCACTAACCCGGTGGCAGTTTCCAAGGTGTACTCTTCTGGGAAAATGGGGTGTTCTGTGCCTGTGGGGTTGTTGATAGCCCGCGAGGGGATATCTCGCGATACTCCCAACGTCTGCAACGACCTGGCAGTTTCTGTTCTGACGAGACTAAGGCGATGTTGTTCGGGCTGGCCCTCGAAAGGTTGTGTGTAGTCGTCTTCTTGGGACATTTTAGAGGCGATTGAAGAAGCTGATGAGTTGCTCATTGTTGCTGGTGGAAAACAGGTGGTGGTAATGGGTTTAAATACCGTGGTTGCTCCGGTGGGAACCCGAACACACCACCAGTTTTGCACCCAAGATTATCCGAGATTCCGGCACGCAGGGCTGCGCAGCCAACCACGGGACGGAATGGCCAGGACTCCACGTGACAAACGCCCTCTAGGGGCGGCTGGAACCAGGCTTAGGGTGCCTATGTGCCGGATACCCGTTCCGGCGACGTCTGGTCGTCATAGTTAAGAATTTTTCGGAGTATTGAGTTTAGGGGGCATGGCTGGGTTAGCCGTTTCCCGGCAATGGCACCGCACGTGAGCACGGTTCCGGCGTCCTGCAGGCGCGCTTCCGTGGATCTGGGTCCGGTCCGGACCCGATGGAGATCTTCTAGATAACTGCTCCTCTCCTTTCCAGCAATGATCTTGGCCAACTACACCCCTGTCAACCTCGTGGCGTTCTGCCTTGCCGGCTTCGCCTGCGTATCCGTGGTGGTGTTCCTTGCATCCACCCAGCCGTTCTACATCACCGAGGTCATTGGCCTTCAGCAAGACAACATCGGAAGCGTGATCGGAACCTTGGGAGCCGTGGACGAGTTGACACTGATCGTAACAGCACCGTTACTTGGGGCTCTTGCTGACAAGCTCAATGGTTTGTGGTGGTTCCACATGAGCGGATCCAAGTTCGTCCAGAGCTCCAGTTTGCTTGTGGTAGCCATAGCCCTCGTGGGGTATGGCCAGTGGTGCACCAGTATCGTACCGGATCTCGTCTTTTTCAGAGCCGTGTTTGCAATTGGAGTCACTGCATGCATGAGCATGATCACAGTGACGTTGAACGAGTTGTCAAACTCCGACTTCGACTTTGCCAAGTTCTGGCGTAGGTCTGACCAGTACCAGGTGGTGGAAAATGGCGAGCTCGCCACCAGCCCCAAGTCCAAAAACGGCAAGTACGCAGCCATGGTGGGTATGGCCACGGGAATGGGAGCCATTTTTGCGGTTTCGTTCTTCCTTACCCTCCCACCCAAGTTGGTAGACAGATACCCCAACCTTGACATCAAGGGTGCCCTCAAGCTTTCGTACGACCTTATCGCGGCATATGCGGTGCTCATGGGATTGTTGTTGTTCCTCTTCCTCTACGACTTCAAGAAGTCCGTTCCCGAAGTGGTGCAGGTCCCAGACGGCACTGTGGAGGAGGAACATACGGCTGCGACTCCTCGCAATGAGGCATATTTTGCCCTCATCTACAATGCGTTGGTGGAATCGAAAAAAGACAGGCAAATCCAGTTGGCGTATGTGGGGGCTTTTGTCGCCCGGTCAACCACAGTCACTACGTCGGTGTTCATCCCGCTTTTGGTATACAACTACTACTACAATACCGGAAAATGCGGAAACTCTGCAACCGATAATTCCCCCGACTTTCCCTCTAAAGCTACCTGCCACGATGGATACATCTTCTCGGCAATTTTGACGGGGGTGGCACAATCCGTTGCCTTGGTGTCTTCTCCTTTGTGGGGCTGGTTAATAGACCTCAGAAAGGTTGGCAAACAGAAAACAATTTTAATGGCATCAATAACGGGAATCTTGGGAAACTTTGGCCTTTGCTTGTTGAGCACCTATACCCCTGATGGCGTCTATGACCCCCGCACCAGCGTATGCTTTGTCATGGTGAGCTTTATCGGACTTTCGCAGATCGGTATAATTATTACAAGCATGAGTATTCTTAGCGGGGTCAATAAAGCACCCCACATGGGAAGTCTCAGTGGCCTCTACAGTTTATGTGGAGGCTTGGGTATATTAGTGATCTCCAAGGTTGGGGGAGTTTGGAGTGACTCTTGGATTTTGGCTCCTTTTTTCCTACTAGGGACATTCAACCTTGTTTTGATGGTAGTCAGCATTGCAAGCATTAAAAGTTCATTGACCGATCGCATTCAAATTGCACGGGACAGAAGCTCTATTGATAGAGTCTAAAGGTAATTATTGGTATAAAATAGTATATGGTTTAGGAACCCCGAGTAGAATGAGGCACTTCTTTCCCTGGAGGATTGAACTCGTCTTGCATCCTTCAAGCAAAAGTTAACTCAACGCAGGAATGGAACCTACCCGGATCTTATTGTTGGGTTCAGTCATTATTACGTAAGAACTTAGTAAGAACAAAACAAGCATCTCTAGTAAGCCCAATACTATAAAACAAAATAGATGATCACGGGTATTTCCCTTCGAGGATCATAGTAATTTCTAAGAAATTTCCATCCATCTTTCATCGTAAGACATCCTACCCAGTTGGTCATCTGCAAAACATTTTCGTGCGAGAACCAAAATCACCGAAACCGCAAAAAGAAGTTTTATTGTACAATCAAAGGTATCATAGATCATCCCAATAAAGGAACACTTGCGGTTGGCTATCGGTCGCTGATCAACTCCATTGCATATTTGGTCACCCCTTGTCTTAGCTCTCCAAACTGGGCCCACCATGATTGAAACACTACTTACATTAGTGCCTTCAATATGTTGGATCTTGTATCGATGTTTCATGATCTTGAAGACGCCCGTTAATGAACTTATCGAGGATCTTAATATAGAGATCCCCCACTCACCAAACATTTGCATTGACTCGATTACCAAAAACTCTGCTATTATTCACTGGGATATCGAAATAAAGCTCGATGAGAATCTATACTACATATTGATGATCAATAACCAAGAAGTGGCAACTATAACATCCAAGTCTTGCAAGTTGAATAATTTAGATCCCAACCACCTATACCAAATACAAATCATTGCTGTCAACTCCTTGACCAATTTCAGATCCCAGAGTTCCGCAGTTTACATCCAACCAATTAAACAAGAAGAAAGCGATTCATTTGGAGTGGAAATGGGCGGCATCGAAATTGAGAATGAAAAACAGAATTCTAAAGGCATTGACCATGAGCCAATCGCCAAGTTCGATGTTGACTCCATCACCGTTGATATTGTGAAAACTGCTACCAGTTCCGAACTATTGAATGATTATCTAGTTGCATTTCAGAACGAAACCATAAAATTGAATCTAGAATACAAGAACTTCCAGAGTCGTATCGGGAAAGAGTCTTCGGCTTTACAAGAACAACTCAAGTTTTATAAACAAGAATATGACGAAGAAACGGACAACAAACTCAAGAAGGATAACGACGTAAAAACGTTGGAAAGGAACAAAGACAAACTAAATTACCAAAAATTGAAGTTGACCAATCAACTCAATGCATTAAAAGCTAGCATCGAACTATTCCACACTAAGATAGACGAATCCAAACTAAAAATAAAGAAATTGAACGAGAAGAATGCACAAATACTCAGTGGTGAAGTGCATGAGAAAGAGAAAATCCACCAAGAGGTGGCTGCAATTAGGCTCAAGAGTGAAAAGGTGAAGAGAGAAAACGAGAAGATCGAGGAACATTTGAAGCTGTTGTTAGCGGAAAAGAAAGAGCTCAGCAACATTTTACAACAAATTGAGCCGTTGATTGACGAATTAAATGGACCAGCCAGCGTTCCTGGTATTGCCATCAACTCGGGGCCCGTTTCTGGATCCATAAACGGAGCTACAGGAGAAGTACCTTCGACTATTTTCACGAAAGAGGGCAACATCAATCCCAAGGTGTTTGACACCTTGGGTAAGATCTTTGGTATCGTGCCCTCGTGGGAAGAAGAAATCATGCACGAGATAAACACCTACCAGGAGACCGAGTTGCAGTGGAAGGAGGCGTTCCGAGCAGAAATCAAGAAATATGTGACGCTTCACCAGTCGTTGGAGTTGGCCAAGCTGAATCGCGACAAGAGCTACCAGCCCATCAAGCTCACCGAGTACCAGGCGTCCATTGATTTCGGTGGGTTCAGCAACGCGTTGCCCAAGCCACGGTACATCAGTGGCTCCAACAGCAACAGACCCAACAGAAGTTTTTCGCCTAGCATTGAGGATAATGGAGCCAACCCAGGCTTCTTCAACCACTACTCACTGGTCTACTCCAACGAGGACCTCAGTCACTTGGACCAGATCAACACTCAGCCCATTGGAATGGATGGGGTGATGAATGGCTCAGGGATAAATGGAGGTCTTCCGGCAAACATGCATGGAACCATTGGGGCGCAGACGGGGGTCAACTCACCAGCGGTGTCGATCCTCTCACCAGAGACCGAGCGGGTGCTGTTGCTTCCAATGAACTCGCAGTTGAACTCTCAGTTGAATTCCCAGCCTTTGAATTCCCAGCCATTGAATTCCCAGCCTTTGAATTCCCAGCCATTGAATTCCCAGCCATTAAATTCCCAGCCATTGAATTCTCAGCCATTGAATTCTCAGCCATTGAATTCTCAGCCATTGAGTTCTCAGCCATTAAATTCTCAGTTGAACTCCCAGCCATTAAGCACTCAACCATTGAACCAGCTCCTGGGCTTCCCCTACGACGACCAGATCTACACCGCTAGCTTGAACTCGCCCATCCAAGAAACCCCATCGCTCTACGGCTACGAGCTCAACTCGTCCTGGTACTCTCCTCGGCTCAATGCCAGTGCCATGATGGGAACCCCCAGCGGAGGGTCGGTTCCGGGTGCAGGCGGGGCCCAGCGACCCTCCGGAGTTTGGAACCCGACTGCCCTTACCCGCAACGATCTTTTTGTGGGCAATGACAGTTTGACGAGTCTCCACAACGATGGGGTCTATGGAGTTAGCCCCGTGGCAGGAGTCACTCCCGCGGGAGTCAGCTCAGGCGGAGTCACCCCAGGCGGCATGGCGGCCCCGGCAGGAGTCAGTGACCCCGGGTACTTGATGGCACCCACCCTCTGGAACGGGGGAGAAGTTGCTCCGTCAGGACCCGTGCCCAGCGACCGCCAGCCCACCCCCACCACTCATGGGCGCAGTGTGTCCAACAGCCAGATCTGGCGCGACAATCCCAACACCAGCACCCACAATTTCCACTTGGGGATGGCCGAGTTCCAGCCGTTTGGGGCCAGTGTCAACGTTAACCTGCCGCTTGCTACCACCAATGAACCCAAGGACCCTTACGGCCAGTACCAGTTTGACCTCGACAACAGGTTTGACCAGTATGGGTAAATGGGTCCGTTGCGTATATACTATTAATAGTTAATAATGGTTTCATCGAGCGAAGATGATGTCGTAAATCTACCCCTTGATCAAATGTGTAGACCTTTAGAATGCTAGCAACACAATAGATTGATTAAGCAATAGACACCAAAGGTGGCTCCGGGAACATCCATGCTACCGCCTGGATCCACCACTGTGACTCCGTGCTCCCGGTACGGTAACAATAGTGGCCGCAAACGGTGCGACTGCCGGTAAAATAGTGCGACGCAGTGAGTGCCCGCCCACTAATCCCTATGGTTACTCTGCCACCTATTCCACTACGGCAATTGCTGTTGGACCATCCCTCCCCCTATGTAGCAAGTGTGGCACTTGCTGCTGAACCTCCTTGTCTCTGGTCTAGTCTTTGGTCTGCTGGCCTCTTCTAGACCGTTGCTGCTCCGCACCCGTCATGTCCCGGCTGACTCATCCCGTCATCTTCGCGTCGGGTACTGGCGGCAGCCCTGCGTCAACGGTTATAGGAAGCGAGTTCCCGACCGCACCACCCCCTCCATATCTTCCGTTTCTCAACAATGTAGACTCCCCGCCCGGGTGGCTTCCGTACTGCCACACCGTGACAATCTCCCTGCTGGGTCTCCGTCTCCCCGCCACCTCCAGTGCCCCCACGCTGGTGGACCCCAAGGCATTCCGATGAGGTGAATTTCTTTTGTGCCCCAAAGAAGAATCCCAACGCGATGTGTCAGTAAGACGGGCTCCGACCGAGAGCATATAAAAGCACTGGCAGACCAAACTCCGTAGACACCCCAAATTCTTCCATTCGGTACATGCCACCTGTCGCCATGACTGTCGACCAGTACGCCACCCACAACGAGTTCCGCAGTGACACCTTCACGGTCCCCACCAAGTCCATGCTCGAGGCCAGTTTGCAGGCCACTTATGGTGACTCCGTGTACCAGGAGGACGCCACCACCCTCCTGTTGGAACAGAAAATGTGCCAGTTGACCGGTAAGGACGCCGCCTTGTTCTGTGTAAGCGGAACGTTGTCCAACCAGATCGGCTTAAGAGCAAACTTGTACCAACCTCCATACAGCATCTTGTGTGACCACCGTGCCCATGTGTTCTTGCACGAGGCTGGAGGGTTGGCCACCTTGTCGCAGGCCATGGTCCATCCCGTGATTCCTGCCAACGGCAACTACTTGACCTTGGAAGACATCCGTGACAACGTCACTGCCGACGACGGCGACATCCACGCAGCTCCCACCAAGATCATCTCGTTGGAAAACACCCTTCACGGAATCGTGACCCCCATCGACGAAATCGCCAGAATCGCCCTGTTCGCCCGGGCCAACAACATCATCATGCATTTGGACGGTGCCCGTTTGTGGAACGCCCTGGCTGCCACAGGAGTCTCCATAAAGGAGTATTGCTCCCACTTTGACTCGGTGTCGCTCTGTCTCTCCAAGTCCTTGGGAGCCCCCATGGGATCCATCTTGGTGGGACCCGCCAAGTTCATCGCCAAGGCCAACCACTTCAAGAAGCAGAACGGTGGTGGTATCAGACAGGCAGGTATCATGGCAGCCATGGCCATCCATGCCGTGGAGCACAACTTCTCCAAGCTAGCATACTCACACGCGCTTGCCAAACAGGTTGGCGACTTTTGCATCTCCCACGGTATCAAGTTGGAAAGTCCAGTGGATTCCAGCTTCGTGTTCCTTGACCTCAAGGCCAACAAGTTGGACGACGCTAGGTTGGTCCGCATTGCCCGCGAGAAGTACAACTTGAAGCTCATGGGAGGGAGATTGGCGTTCCACTTCCAGCTTTCCCAACACAGCGTGGACGCGTTGAAACAGTGCCTTTTGGAGTGTTTCGAGTATAACCAGGAACATCCCCATGTGCCCTCGATGAAGAACAACAAGAAGATGTACAACTTTGATGCCATGAAGGGGGCGGTTGAAGTTTAATGATACCATGATTGTATACTAGGAAGGAGCCTGCGATAATAGTTGGAGAAGCGGGTATAATATAGGAATAGCATATAGCACAACTGTAGCGAGGCGGTGGCTTGTATATGCCGCCAATGGGCGGGAAGTTGTCGTTGATAAGTGGTTGAAAGTGGTAAATCGAGCTTGATCTCTTTCCTGCACCCAGCACTGATAAGAGGATGGATTCAATTGGAGATTCCGCCATGCTACACCCATTATAGTCCGATTATGGCGGAAATGTCCAATAATGGCTATCGAAAACTCTGCGTGTATCGCTAACAGGCTCGTCTCATAAGTGAGTTTCTCCCAATTTCCCCAATTTCTGATATACCACTATTATCATTGATTAATGAGCATGGGGAAATTTCCAGTTCCCACAAAGACTAGCACATATTCAGCATGATCTGGAGCATTTGGGATAACCTAAGGCTATCTATTATAATTCCATAAATGTCTTGTAAGACTCATGAGTCTCATCTTCCAAAAAGCTGAGATTTGACATAAGATGAATGACAGTACAAGTAGAACAAGTTAATAATTGGCCGATTTGAGTTGTTAATCCAGGAGTGTTGAAACATTGACGTACGGATGTAATTATATAAATTTCCAAAACGATATTAATTTGTTTGCGTTTATTATTGACGTAATAATGTCATCAATTTGTGTCAGTCTGAATCGAATTTGAATAGTTTTTGATTTTTTTAGAATTAATTCGCTGCCATGATGTCAACTCGATGATCACAAATTACTTAAGTTACAAACTTTCATTTAATATTTCTTAAATCCATAGTTATTGGCAATCTTGAATTTTATAGAACTAATAGTAACAAATAACAAACACTATAATATCTTCCAAATGCTCGCTGTTGGTACAATCCCCACAAAATATTTTAGTGTAACTGTCCTACACAATTTTGGAACGCTACAGCCACTTCCACATTAACTCCACATCCTAGTGATCACAACACACCACTTGGTTACCCTCCGCCACCGTCGATCCTGCCTTATCTATTGGAGTTACTTCCCACTCTCATCTTCTGTCACGTGCGCATTGGGGTCATTGCAGCAAAACCTCGAAACTACACGTGGTGACGATAAGGACTGATTGCCCCAACAGTGCTAATTGACTTGATTTATCTGGACCAAACTGCCAATCGTTGCGTCCAGCCAGTGCTGAGTTTCTCCATAAGACTCTCCATTATTCAATCTTGCTCCCAAATACCACTCCTGACCTCCTTTTGTACACAACAACACCGAACATCTGACCCATGTCATCAACAAAAGCAAAGAGCACGGGAAGCCTCCCGTCGGCAGCAGAAATTGATGCCCAGAGCTCCTTGAGTGGGCTGAAACGAGACTCTGAAGTCTTTGAATCCGATGAGGAATTGACCACTTCTTCGGCTTCGTCAATATACGCACCCACATTGAGAAGGAGCGACTCCAGTCTGTCTGTGTCGTTCATTGACTTGTCCAAGCTACTCTTTGTCAATGACTTTGACTTTGGCTTGAATTTGGATAGCGTCAGTGGCTCCACGAAGAAGAGGTTCCAAGATATGAAGTTGAAGACCAAGCAGAAATTCAGCAAGTACAACAAGAGACCCATGAGGGACATTGAGCTTAACAATCTACAGGAGAAAATCAATAAGCAGTTACAGAAGTTCGACCAAAGACTCCAGAAGAATTTGCAAAGCTCCTCCACGGAGAAGTTATTCTATGCTTTGGCAGTCTTTTCAATCGCTACCTCGGGGTTTGTCATTGGGAAGTATCCAACATACTTCCCTCTTTACCATACCATTCTTTTAGCATTGTTAATGCCAATCAGATTCTACACCTACTTCAAGCAATCCTTCCAGTACTTTTTGGCTGATTTGTGCTACTACGTGAACCTCTTGCTTATGGCGTTTATCTGGGTATTCCCCGATTCCACGTCATTGTTTGTGTCTACCTTCGCATTATCCATGGGTACTTTGTCGTTTGCGGTAATTACATGGAGAAATTCTCTTGTTCTTCATTCCATTGAGAAGACCACCAGTTCTTTTATTCACGTTATGCCTCCGGTAACTATGTTTGTTATCGTTCACGAATTACCAGAAGATTTTATCAAGGTTAGGTACCCGGCAGTGGCCAGTATTGATAGCTGGAACTTTGTCAACGGTATTCTTTGGACTTCGTTCTACTATACTCTTTGGCAAGTTTGCTACCACTACTTCATCACCATCCGCAAGAAGAAGGAAATTCTGAACGGTAGAGTCACGTCGTTTACATTCTTGAAAAAGAAGAACAGTAAGAGTACCTTGGGAAGGTGGGTCAATTCTCTCCCTTATCTTTGGATGCAAACAGCTGCGTTCACGTTGATTCAATTCGGATACCAAATCTTGACCATGAGTTTCTGTCCAATCTGGTTCAAGTACAAGCACTTATGTGGAGCTTTTGTGTCCACAATCTTCATTTGGGCAAGTTACAACGGAGCAACATACTACATCGATGTTTTCGGCAAGAGATTAGAGAAGGAGGCTGCAAGATTAAAGGAAGAAGTACTTCATCTCCAGCAAGAGAACGAGAAATTACAGTACTCGCCAGTAGCAGGTGCTGAGACCATTTCTGACGAAAACATCAAACCACTAGATGTTGATGCCGAAGCGCCAAAAGAACAATAAGTGGACTTTTTGCGGATGGGACCCTTACTTCTCCATATATGGATCTTCAACTATCCATGTACTTGTGCCTATATTTATTACGATACCCTCAACTTGGTACCATTTATATTCCTCGTTGTTTCATGATCACCCCTAATACATGTTTACTAGATTTGGAGCTGTAGAACGGTATGTGAGTATCCTACAGTGAAAACATACTTCAACATACTCAAAAAAATGTTACTTAGAAGATCTTGTGGAGTGTTCCCAGAATATATGGTAGCGCAAGACCATTACCTTCGATAATTATACAAAGAGTATGCCAACAAGTAGCAAACTGGCCTCAGAGTGGTATTAAGATACTAGAACTTTTGTTCCCGCGGATCTGCTGTTCATTCTTAGATCATACGCTCATTGTCGTAGTGTTCAATGGTTTACACCGATCAGTCTCACGAGTCCAGTCGTGCACACAACGTTAAAATTTTGTGAAAAATTCAGCACTCTTCTTCAACACCACCACCATGTTCAGGTCCAAGCTCCCTATAACGGCCTCCAAAGTGGGCCACGGGCTCTACCAGCGGCTCTTCTCCACATCCAGAATTGGTTTCCAAGAATCCAACAAAAAAGTAAAGGAGCATGTTGACTTTTTATCCAAATACTACTCGCCAGAGTTGTTACAAAGTATCAAGATCACTGAATCCTTGGTGGACCCACAAGAGATCCTTGACTTGAAAAAGAAAGGCTTCAGAGCTTTCTCCAAGGTGGCTCCAACTCAAGAGTCTTCCGACTACGCATTGACCGACGCCAAATGGGAAGAACCGGTTGTTTTCCCTAACCAAGCAAAGCAAAGCTCTCCATATCCTGAAATTCCTCAAATAGCTAGTGCTGATAGAAGTGATTTGAAGATAAGATTCAAAGAAGGAGGCCCAGGCAAAAGAGTGTTCCAAAGAGACAACTTGGCTGGAGACATCGCCAAGTTGACCGGTTTGGAAGAAAACTACATCAAGTCATTATACGTTCGTCCTATCATTATGAAGAGAGTGTCTAACAAGACCTCCAAGGGTAACATTCCAAGTTTCTTTGTCATGACCATTGTGGGTGACAAGAAGGGTACTATTGGTTTGGGTATCGGTAAGTCCAGAGATGGTGTCAGAGTGGCTGCACGTAAAGCCCACTGGAATGCCATCAAGAACCTTACCCCCATCCCAAGATACGAAGAAAGAACCGTGTTGGGTGATGTCGAGTACAAATACCATGCTGTGAAGTTGTTCATCAAGTCCGCCCCTGCCGGGTTCGGATTGAGAGTGAACAGAAACATCTTCGAGGTTTGCCAGGCCGCAGGGATCAAGGATCTTAGAGGAAAGGTCTACAAGTCTAGAAACCCAGTCTTGGTGGTCAAGGGATTCGTGGAAGCCTTGACCAAGCAAAGATCCATTGAGGACTTGGCTGCTGGTAGAGGTAAGAAGATTGTGGATTTGAGAAAGGTTTATTATTCCAATTAGTTCGTGATAGCATCTTGTATATAATTAGTGTACTATAAGTCACATAGAACTATTGTAGTTAGGGAGGCTTGGGAATGATTGCTCGCTTCAGGGAGAAGATAAAGAGCAAGCGCGTAGGTGCTAGAGGGAGAGCCTCGCACGAGCTCTCGCTAGCTCCCGAAATTACTGTCCCCATTTCTCGCTAGAACCCATGCTAGCGACACTTTTTACCTCGCCACGAACTCCCAAACACCACTAGCCGCTCGCCACACAATTTTTCTCGTGATGCTTCATGTGACAGTTATATCATAACTCCTTATCCATCCCATCATGGTTGTAGACACCACATACTACGACCTCCTCAGTCTTCAGCCTACGGCAACCTCCTTGGAGATCAAGAAAGCTTACAGAAAAGCAGCCATCAAATTGCATCCCGATAAGAACCCAGATGATCCCCAAGCAGCCGCCAGGTTCCAAGAAGTGGGTGAAGCCTACCAAGTCTTAAGTGACGAAACGTTAAGAGCCAAGTACGACAAGTTCGGAAAGCAAGAGTCAATTCCTCAGGCAGGATTTGAGGACCCTAGCGAGTTCTTTTCCATGATCTTTGGAGGGGAGGCCTTCAAGGACTGGATCGGTGAATTGTCGTTGTTGCAAGAATTATCCAAGTCTGCTGAGTTGTCAGGTTATAATGATGAAGATGAAGGAAAGAAGGGTGATAGTGAGGCCACTTCACAAGGAACTGGTACTTCGGCTCCACAAGAGCCTGGTTCCAACGATAAGAGCACTCTTTACTTGGAAGGTGCTCAAGATACGAATAATACCACTTCTACTGCGGTGGAGAAGCGGAAACTCACCAAAGAGGAAGAACTCGAATTGAAGAGGAAAGAGGAGTTGGAGAAGTTCGAAGAAGAGTGCAGGTTGAAGAAGATCGAGACCAGAAAGGAGTTGGCCAAGAAGTTGGTGGACAAATTATCCTTGTACACAGAAACAGACATGAAGGATGATGTGGCTCGTTCGTTCAAGGAGAAGATACAATACGAGGCCGAGTCCTTAAAGATGGAGAGTTTCGGGTTGGAAATTTTGCACACTATAGGAAGCATTTACAAGAATAAATCGAGGATTTTCTTGAAGAACCAAACATTTTTCGGATGGGGTGGCTTCTGGTACTCCGTTAAAGAAAAGGGTGGAGTGGTCAAGGATACCTTCAACACAGTTTCCAGCGCCTTGGACGCCCAGAAGACCATGCAAGAATACACCAAGATGCAGGAAGACAACGAATATCATGCAAAACAAGAAGCTGAAGCCGACAAGGAAGATGACCCAGAAGCCAAACAAAGAGCTGCTGAAGAGGCCAAAGAGGAGAGAATCGAGGAGGCAGCCAAGGAAGGTGCCGAGGCGGAAGCCACGAAGGCCGAGAAGAAGGTGGAAGAGATGAAGAAGGTTCCCGAGAAACATACCCCTGAAGAGATTGCTGAAATGGAGAAGTACTTGATGGGGAAAGTGTTGGCAGCGGCATGGTCGGGTTCTAAATTTGAAATTCAGGGTACTGTCAGAGCAGTGTGTGACAACATTTTGGACGACAAGGAGGTACCACTTGAGACTCGTGTTTCCCGAGCAAAGGCGTTAAGACTCATCGGTGATGTGTTCATCGGTGTCACCAGAACCGAGGCTGAAGATGAAGAGGCTAGAATTTTCGAAGAATTGGTTGCTGAGGCCAGCAAGAAGAGAGAGAAAAAGCCCAAGGAGCCTGAAGCCCCTGTGGACAAGCCCACTGCTGACGCCTAGTCTGACCTCGCCTCCTTATGTATATGACCCTATATAGACAGTAATTATTAGAAGTAGTAGATTCGCCGGGTGTATGACTCAATATTACTAGCAGAACTACAAGCATAATTATGGCTAGCAACAGCAACTACAAGAACCTCCATCTCATTACATGCTACACTCCTAGCATATACTATAGCAGGTATCCTCGGGCCTACCACCATGTATATTTCACTGGTTGACCTGATCAACGCTCGTAACTAGTCCAATCTCGATAGCCATAGTTTTAGCCCCACAGTTGTGCATATGCCCCAGCAATGAATCGGAACGATTGTATATCACCAAGACGCTAAACCATCGTAAAACCTGGCCCTTATTCACCTCAACTCCCTAAGCACTTATCAACAAGCAGGCACTTGATTCCCTTGGCAGCTTAAGAACCACTATTGCCATGACAGACGAAAACACTCGTCTCCTCAGGACTCCAAAACGAGACGGGCCCCGTCCTCGTCCAACCCTCTACACCGTTCCGTCAAGCCAGTCGTTGAGGAGCCTCAAGACCCTCAATGACCCCACCATCAACAGCTATCTTGACACCATAGACGATGAACCGTTGGGATGGAACGCTATAAACAGAGTCAAGAACTTGGCCTCTGGCAGGCCCAAGGACGGATTCGATACCTACGCATACTGTGCCTACTACTTACCCATTCTCAACTGGTTGCCCAACTACAACTACCGGGAGTCCTTGGCTGGGGACTTCTTGGCTGGACTTTCGCTTGCCTCCTTCCAGATCCCGTTAGTGATGTCGTTTGCAACCTCTTTGGCCCACTTGCCTCCTATCACCGGTTTATACTCTATAATCATCGGATCCACGGTGTATTCCATATTTGGCTGTGTTCCTGTTCTTGTGGTGGGTGCCTCTCCATCGACTGCCATTATGTATGGACAGACCATCGAGTACATCAGGCACGAGAAGTCGTTTCTGCACTTCACTGAATTGGAGATTTCCTCAGCAATCTCAGCTACTTTAAGTGGGATTCTCCTAGCTAGTGGCTTATTGAGGTTTGGCTTCTTGGACAACGTATTGAGTCGTGCTTTGCTTAAGGGCTTCATTGGGGCCATGGGCTTCATCATGATCATCAACGAGCTTAGCACAGAAATGGGTTTGGAAAAGTTGGCCCTTGAGCAGCCCCACCTCACAGTTGTTGACAAGATACTCTTTGCTTTCCGAAACTTCCCCAAGTCGCATAGGCTCACGTTGACGATTTCTTTGGTTACTCTCATTATTGTGGTTAGTATCAAGACATACAAGGAAATACTCATCCACAAGTACAAAATCAAGAAGGCGGTGTTCATTCCAGAAATTCTTCTGATGGTGATAGTGGCCACATTCTTGAGTTGGTATTTCGAGTGGAACAGCAAGGGGGTAGAAATTGTCGGAGATATTACCTCCTCAAACCACTCCTTCAAGATTGTCAATCCATTTCAATGGAAAAAATTAGCATTGTATGAACGAACATTCACTATTGCATTTGTTAGCACTCTTTTGGGGTTTTTCGACTCCACTACAGCAACAAAATCTTTGGGCACTCAGTACAATTTCAACGTATCTTCCAACAGAGAGTTAATTGCCTTAGGATCCACTAATTTTGTGGTAAGTTTGGTGAGTGGTTTGCCTGCCTTTGGAGCTTTCGGAAGATCAAAGCTCAACATCTTGTCTGGTGCAACCACACCAATGGCAGGAATTTTTGTTGCGATTTGCACTTTTTTTTCAATCATCTACTTACTACCATTGTTGCATTTCTTGCCTGAATGTGTTTTGGCATTAACTACTACTGTTATTGGAATAACAGTGATACAAGAGGTACCTTCGGACTTGAAGTTTTTCTATAATATTGGTGGATACGACGAAATTATCACATTTTTAATTATTTTTTTTGCCACCATCCTTTGGGGCACCCCAGCAGGGATCTCAATGGGCGTTTTGGTTGCTGTCATTCGCGTTATCAAGCACAGTTCAAGGTCCAGGATTCATATTTTGGGAAGAGTTCCCAATACTTCTATTTTCAGAAATGCGGATGAGTTGATTGAAGAGAGCTTTGCTACGTTTGAACAAGAAAATGAGGCCCAGAGTTTTGAAACTCTATCTCCTTCAAATAATGTTGACAAGCTTTCCAGTTTGATTTCTGAGATTGAAGAAATTGAAGGTGTACTTATTATTAAAATCCCAGAACCCTTGAACTTTGCAAATGTGGGCGACTTGAAAAGCAAGCTTAATCGTATCGAAAAGTATGGCTCATTGTTGATCCATCCATCGCAACCCAACTCTAGGGCATTCAACAATGACACCGTGAAATCTATCATCTTTGATTGTAAAGGAATGACCAAGATAGATTCATCAGCTACGCAGGTCTTGTACGAGATTGTTAAGAAGTATACTGAGTCGGACTGCATCAGGGTTTGCTTTTCTAGATTGCCTGTGGATGGAACTATCAGGGATAAGTTCAATATGGCTGGCATTACCTCGCTCGTAAACAATAACTTCAAGGCGAGCAATTCATCCAGCTCTACGCCGGACCCTACTTCCTCTGTTGGAATGGGTGACGGCTTCTTTTTAAGCATAGAGAAGGCACTAGGTTCAGTAGACCAGGTCAACGTTTAGAATGGGCACCTTAGTGACCATCATATAGATCATTTATGCCTATAGCTGTAGAAATACCCATTATAGCTAATATATACCAAATTTTGGGCATTATTTACCTGCTTCTTATCGATGCATGGGGGGCGTGTAATTCTAGCTGGTTCTGGAGTAAAAAGTTCGATATTTTCGTTATTGGGTACTCTCTATTGTCTCATATTACGTAATATCTGACTACGCTCAACCAGTCACTACTCACATTTAGTCACACATCTCGGGGTACATAAGCAAGCTTGAGTCTTCATCCTAGAAGTATACACCTACAATGCAGAGATACACATCCAGACTTTTATCGTCTAATATACCAAGAAATTTCCCTCGTCCGCCCAAACCGGTGAGGAACGTCAAGCCTGTCCGTATTGGCGATGTCAAGTATGACTACTACGACCTAGTTCTTAGAACACCAACCCATCCTGCACATCCAATAGAGGCAAGTTTGATGACTCCTAGTGAGCTTACAACGTTGAAGAAGCATACGAAAACCAGATTTGAAGGAAACTATCACATTGATACTACCCTTACCCCAGAGCAGAGAATTGAAAAGGTTTTTGGTGGACGGATCAAGGGAGAAGCACCAAAATCATCGAGTAGAATCTTACGAGGCAAGCCCAGGGTGATTGCGGGTGTTACGGTGCCTGCTAGACCAGATGAGCCTGACAACTGTTGCATGAGTGGATGTATAAACTGTGTGTGGGAGTTATTTGAGGAGGACCTCAAAGATTGGAACGAGAAGAGAACCATTGCAGCAAAAGCATTGGTCGAAAAAGGTGGCCGTTGGCCCGAAGATTTCTATGCCCCAGTTCAAAAGTTGCCTCGTGATAATCTACCCTTGTCGTTGGCCAAAAAAGATGATGCCGAGCTCTATGGAGACTCTTCTGATAAGGCAGCTGAAGATGAGTCTTGGGGAAATGTGCCAATGAGTTTCAGAGTATTTGCTGAGTTGGAAAAGAAGATGAAGGCCAAGAAGTTGCAGCAAGCCGCAGCAAAATAGGAAGTCCTCACTCCAGCAGCATCCACGACCCAGAATCAACTATATCTGGTTGGGGAAGTTCCGTAACCAGTACGAGGTCCCAAAAACCCGAATCTCATTCGGACAAAAGTTGCATCTAGGTGCTGAACTACAATTTTCAGTCCTTATTATTTATTAGTATACACATAGAATAGACGATTCATGATCAAAACCCAAACTTCATTAAGATGTGAGACAATCGTGAGTTGCTTTTCATGACTCTAATGGTCAAATCCAGCTCAATAATGCATGCACACGTTTCAGATTTTAGATGATTCAACGTTTAATCTAATTTGATTCCTTTAGCCTTGTAAAACTCTTTAGCTTCATCAATTTGAACCAACAATTCCTTGTACTTGTCTTCCTTGTCCTTGAATGTGATGATGCCCCATCCCAAGGTACCCAACGCATAAGCACCAAAAGTCACCAATCCCCACCATGGCAAAAATGGCAAGATTTCATCGTGGAAAGTCTTAGGGGTTGGAAAGACTCCTGAGTATAAAGCAAAGTATACAGCAGAGAGTGCAAAAACAGTCAAAACAGCTTCAGTAGCTTTCGTCATTGTGAGTTATGGTAGGGTCTGATAAACATATAACCGTGTCTTTTTTGGTGACGAGACTGTCACGTGCTCTTAATCATGTGATATATACATATACATTACATATAATACATACTTTTAGTCATCGATTGAATCCTGTTTGATAAACCCTACCAAATTTTCTAAATGCTTCGAAATAGTGGGATTGAATTGGCGGATCCGTTTCATTGTTCCTTCTAAATCGGTAGAGACGTTCTCGTTATCGTCGCCACCATTCTCAGCATCAGCCATTGTAATGTCCTCTTCATCCACGTCATTACCATTCAATTCATCTTCAGCTTCTGCATCATCTTCGTCAATATCTTCTTCTACTTCTTCGGCTTCTTCATGCTCTTTTTTCTCGTTTTCGTCGTTTTCGGTATAGTCTGCCTCTATAATCTTATAGATTTTAGTTTGGTCTATAGGCTCCTCCTTCACTATCCTATTGAGCTTGTATCTCACTATTCGTCTGATAACCTCCATAGTTTGTTTGTTGATCCATCCATCTTGGAATTCGGGTTTATCGCGTAGGAATTGACCCCCCATCTGATTTTGATTATCTTGAATAATTGTGGTGATATCTGAATCTATGATATCACCAATCTGGTAGGTAACAGTTGATGGCAACGAGACTCCATTGAAAAACAAGAACTCTGAAACTGCAATTGGGCCAAGGCCAACACTTTCGGCACTTGCCAGCTGAGCCACAGTATTTGGTACAATTCTTTGAGTAGTACTGTTAGGTAGTACGAACCTCAATCCTGCAATCCTGAAGTATTCACTTTGGTATATCCAGTACTTGCTATCGCTTTTGGGATCCACTCCAAACTTAACATTGCAAAATCTCCATGGGCCACTCTTGTAAATGTATGAAACGTATGGTAATGATTGCTTGATGAACTTCTTGAGATCGACAGGCACGATATCCTCTAATTGTTTTCTCAACCAAATAGGCTTGATCTCAAAAAGTTTGGTTAAGTAATCCATGCATTGCAATAATTGAAAATCAAGAGAGTTTACGGCAGGCCTGGTTTCACGTAGCGATTTCAATTTTTCCACCAATTCTTGTGCAGGTGCTGTGGGTACATTATTCGTGTTGTAATCGATCATTTTGGTGTGAAGCTTGAGAGTGTTCTTAGTCGAAACGACCTTGATTTCTCCACTTTCCAAGTCCTTAATAGCAGTGGTAAATGGATTTTTTTGGTACTTGTAGTCAAAAGGAAATCGAATTGGCGAAAGTACCGGTGGAGGTGGTAGCTTATGGTCGACATTCTTGTAATAGTCCAAGTTCTTGTAATCAGGGATGCCCATCAACTGTTCATTCTTATCAAAATAATTTTGTACGTCCTCGTAGTTCTTAAAATTTAGGATTGATTTATTGAAGTCCTGAACGGTATCGTTGTTCTTGGTGCTGATCTGGAAATCTGCTATTGACTTGAACAGGTACGTCTTATCGATGATGGCTACTGGCTTAACTCTATGTCTCGCAGTTTCTTTATTCTTATCGTTCAATTGAATCAAGTCTCGAATTGAATACTTGCTTGGATTCTTGATATAGTCTTCAGGTATACTTTTGGAAGGTATTGACACTTTAATGAGCACTTTTTCGCTAGTATTATAACTGGATTGAATCGGATGATGGAATGGATCGGACCGAAGTCTCAACTCTAACGTGTTTTCAACGGAGGTATGGCTGTAGGAGTTACCTGCCTTATTGTTTGAGTTTACTACCTGCTTGATTTTGTCTTTACCACCAAGCATTTTCACTGCTTTATCTGTGTTTTTGACAATTAATGGCAACTCCACCGCAGTGACATGGGGAATATCCATAGAATGATGGGGAGCAATTGGCTTGGACATGATGACTCGATGTACGTGGGACTAGCGGATATGCTTGAATGTATATGGGCTGTGTGTCGACAAGGCGTCCCGGTTCTGGGATGTATTGATCGATAGTAGAAGTGTTGTTGTAGATAATGGAGGCTCATGTGCAGTCCGCCAGTGTGGTGATGGTTCTTGTCACGTGCAAGAAGCTTGATCAGTAGTTGCAGAAACTGGCACGAGCAGGTGCTGCAGCATAAATGCTCATCGTGGGTGACATTTGATGGTACTATTATCCGATTCCATGCCCCCAGACTGTACATTACATGTCATGATTAGGTTTTACCCACAACTCTAACATGTAGAAATCAGTCTGGGCAATAAATCACGCTCTGGAATGCTCCACGTCAAAAATCCCAGACACTAAACAATTGCTTCAATGTAATTACATCCATACTACATTTCATTCCTACAGCCCAACCACTGGCGGCTGCCGCGGACAGACATTTCCCACGTAGACAATTGAGCCTCGCGGTGGGCGCCACTCCCGCTAAGCCAGAGCCAATCGGCATCCCCTGCTCGGTCGTAGCACGGGCGGCTCCGATCACAGTCAGCTCCACGTGATATGAGGATCAATCTGGGGTCGCTCCAGGATTTGTTCGGAGTGGTCGGCGAAAAGGACGCAATATGATTGGTCGGCTCGGCATTACTACCACGGTGATTACGGGCTTGCTGGCCCCCCAGCACCCCAATCGAGCCCCCTGTAGGTGCAGCGAGGTCCAGGTGAGCGCCAACCGACGGCAAATTGCCGCTTCCGGTTCTCCGCGCCTATTGTGTGGATCCCCTGACCCACGCCATAGCGTGAAAATTTCAATATAATTGGAGCACTCCCGACAAAAGTTTTATTCCTGTCCAACTTTCTTTTTACCCCCAATTAAGATGTTGTCTAAAGTCGCTACCAGATCCTTCTCCTCCTCTGCTGCCAATGCCTACAAGGTCGCCGTTTTAGGTGCCGCCGGTGGAATTGGTCAACCATTGTCCTTATTATTGAAGTTGAACCACAAGGTCACCGACTTGGCCCTTTACGATTTGAGAGGTGCTCCAGGTGTTGCTGCTGACGTTTCCCACGTCCCAACCAACTCCACCGTCAAGGGTTACAACCCAGACCAAATCGAAGCTGCATTGACCAACTCCGATGTCATTGTCATTCCAGCCGGTGTCCCAAGAAAGCCAGGTATGACCAGAGACGACTTGTTCAACACCAACGCCTCTATTGTCAGAGACTTGGCCAAGGCTGCTGCTGACTACGCTCCAAACGCCGCCGTTTTGGTTATCTCCAACCCAGTCAACTCCACTGTCCCAATTGTTGCTGAGGTCTTCAAGTCCAAGGGTGTCTACAACCCAAAGAAGTTGTTCGGTGTCACCACCTTGGATGTGTTGAGAGCCTCCAGATTCGTCTCTGAAGTTGCCGGTACCAACCCAGTCCACGAAAAGGTCACCGTCGTCGGTGGTCACTCTGGTATCACCATTGTCCCATTGTTGTCTCAAACCGAACACAAGTCCTTGGACACTGAAACCAGAGATGCTTTGATCCACAGAATCCAATTCGGTGGTGACGAAGTCGTCCAAGCCAAGGATGGTGCTGGTTCCGCCACCTTGTCCATGGCTCAGGCTGGTGCTAGATTCGCTGGTTCCGTTTTGGACGGTTTGGCCGGTGAGAAGGACGTTGTTGAGCCAACTTTCGTTGACTCTCCATTGTTCAAGAGCGAAGGTGTTGAATTCTTCTCCTCCAAGGTCACCTTGGGTGCTGAGGGTGTCAAGACCATCCACAACTTGGGTGAATTGTCTGACCACGAAGAAGAATTGGTCAAGGGTGCCAAGGACACTTTGATCTCCAACATCAAGAAGGGTGTTGAATTCGTCAAGCAAAACCCATAGATGTATATATAGGGCCCTGGCCCAGTAATGTATGGATAAGAAGCAACAAGTGTAGAGAAGCATGAACCGGATGCCTTGCGAAAAAAGGTGCAACGGACTAATGGTTCATCAGTTCTACCTGGCAACGGGCAATAGTCCAAGTAGCAAGTTAACAACCATTTAAGGTATACGGGCACAATGTTTCAAATCGTCCAATTATGCCAGTTAACGTCAACGCGATGTTTCACATTGTAGATATGCAACCATGAAAAAGGCTCAAGTTTCAAATCATCCCAAGTTAGGAATGGTTCACGAGCTCCTGCTAACCATTTATGGTGAACGAGAGCAACAAGTGGGCACCGAGCTGACGACTCAAGAATTTCAAGATCCCACCGATGCAACCATCGATGGTGGATCAATCATCCATGCGACACACACCCTCAATTTGTTTCACGAAAGTATGCTGAAGCATGATCTGATTCAGCTCAGTGCTGCGGCCCAAGGGAACAAACCGTGCTAGCTTCCAGGCGTCCACCACCACCCGTTGCAGGGCGGCTAGGGATCGTTCCATGCTGCATGCCTGCGTGTCCTCAGGCCAGTGAAGTTAACCTGAAATGGGCCCGAAACCCGGCGCTGTCCAGAACCTTCGGGATTCTGGCACCAGGGGCGTTTGTGCCAAGTAAACCTAAATTGATCGGTAACTACATCCACCAGGGCATGGTTGCTTCATGTGCTGGTCTACAGCTCACGACGGGACTCCTGATCTGACAGACAAAAAGCGTTGGGTAGCACTGGGCAGCATAGATGCGCCAGTGACAATAAGTTGGGGAGTACGGGGAGTACGGGGGAGCACGGGGAGTACGAGAGAGTACGGGGCGTACGAGAGAGTACGGGGAGTACGAGAGAGTACGAGGGTCGTAATCTGGTTCCTAGTAGCCCATCAGGTCTGGCACTGTCTACGTGTCACTGAGGGTGGACACAGGAACTAGAGGGGTTTTGTAAGCATGGCGTGTTGCTCCAGCAGCTCCGTCAGTGTTTCACAGGATGCGCCCACCAGTAAACTATTGCCCGACACAGACATCGAGGGCGGAACTATCACATGACACGGGTGACACAAAGGACCTGGTTGCGAAATCAAAAACAGAATTTTGCGACCGTTGACGCGACACTGATTTGTCATCACGCCACCAGATCTGAGGCTGGTGACAGCGGAAGAGCCAGGCTAACGGGCGCAAACGGCGAGGCAGCACGCGGCCACAGGCCTGCGGCGTGCTGCGGCGGTCTGGCCCCTCCGACTGCAAATCTGACCCATGCCATTGCATGGGCAACCCCACGCCGTTATTGTTGTGCCTCTCGTTTAAAACATTCCTATTGTCGAGGACGCCTCACGCGCCGAGAATGCGACTTTCTGCGACAGCAAAGTCGGACGCGTCTGGCAAATTATTCGCCCACACACAGCCAACGGCCGGCGTTGTGCGAATCCTCACCGAGCCCGCCAATAGGGGCGTTTCTGGGTCCGCAGTGGAAACTGTCGTAGTGGCTGGGTGGTCTCCGCCTACCACGACTGCCACCACTGCTACTGCCACTAGGACACCGTACTACCACTACCCACACTACGACTGCTACTGCGACGACTACCACTACGACGATGCTGCCCACCACCACGGCACAGCCCCGGTCCTCCACCACCTCCTCTACCTCCTCTGCCTCTACCACTACCTCCTCCTTCTCTGCCTCCCTACCCTCCACCGCGGGCTCTGCCGCGGTCCCACTGCCGCCTCCCTCCTCCGCCCATGTAGCTCCCCTCCTCCACCGTCCTACGTGCGCGCGCTCCCCGGCCTCTCCAAGCCCCATCTTCCATCGCTGATTTTTACTACTGTAGGCAGAATCCTCCCATTAGCTGTAACCACGCGCTGCCAATCTGGCACAAACCACTTCTTCAACTTTATCACTCGACACCTTTATCTTCACCACCAACGTCCCGTGAAGCCCCGTGAAGCCTTCCATCCGCTGCCTCGCCCCCATCGCCGTCCACCACCCTGCTGTCTGATTGAGGCTTGGCCAACTCAGCGTTAGACTCTAACCACCACTTGAAATTCCCGTTAGCGCCAGAACATCCACCACCACTACCTCTCTCGCTGACAGTCCCCCTCCTCTTGCCCTAACCCTGGTACCGTTTCCGCCATGGACAAGTACCTCATGAGCTCGCCCACCCAGCTATCCCAACCGTTCGAAGCCTCCAACGACTCGTTCCACTTGGGGTTGGACCTCGCCGACTACGAGTCCTCCTCCAACGACAAGCACTACAACGCAGAGGTGGTCCCGGTCTCCAACAACTCCAAGTCGTTCATCGGCACCGACTACGACGCCATGAACCTCATGGCCTACCCCAACGCCAACGGCTCCATGGCTGAAGATGCCACTTTGAACGGTGACCCCTCCGACTCGACCTACATGGACGACGCTGGCTTCGGGTCGGCCTCCACCAAGTTCAGCCACTCCAAGAATGTCTCCCTTGACGACGGCATATACTCGTCCCAGCTCCTCTCTAACCAGTTCTCCTCCCACAAGGCCTCCCACCAGTCCAACTTGTCCACCTCGTCCATGATATCCATGTCACAGGACCCGCCCATGTACTTGGACTACTCCAAATCCACGGGCACGTCGGATTTCAACAACATACACAGTTCATTTTCCAACAACACTATTTATTCCATGGAGTCCATTCCACAGTTGTCCTCTTCAGTGTCGAACCACTCGTTGTCGGACTCTCCATCCTCCCAGCAGACTTTCAACAAGCCTTCGCTGGCCCAACAAATTCACCTCCACCAACCGGTAGTGGCCACGCCCCGGAGAATCGGAAGAAACAAGTCATTATCCGTTTCGTCGATGAACAACCTGTTCAATACCCCTATGAGGGGCCACTCATCTGCCGCTCTCTCCCCCGTGAACTTGGCCGGAAACCCTTCATCGAAGGTTACTAAAACTCCTCATTCAAAGCCAAAGGGTCATTCAAGATCTAGGTCGAAGATGTCTCTTGATACACCAGTAGTATTGGGAGCTACCAAGTCTTCATCGTTCCAGAACTTGGCTGGAAACGCTAACTTGAACCCTTTTTACACCCCATCTACATTTGTCTCCCCAAGAGTGGATCAAACTTCGGGTGATATAGACGACATAGGAACTCCTTTGCCCACCCCAAGTTCCAATAGGAATACCGCAGTTTCTGCTGTTGGTTCTTTCCTTTCCCCATCAAATAATTGGACCAATCCTTCTACTACAAACTTCGGGACCCCATTTCCTTTGAAAAGAACAGAAACGCTTGAATCAATCAAAATTGAGGATCAAGATGATGATGCATTAAAACAATTGAAGAAGGCCAAATCTCTTTCGAGTTTCCCACAACCAGGTTTAAAAATGAAGAAAGACTCTTTTCCTCATACTGATCTCACTCAGTTGGCTACAAAGCTTTCGTCAACTACTACAATTCAAGATCTGGAAGATATTGTATCCTCAAATTCAACTCCTGGTGTATACTATTCTAGCACCTCACCATCGCATACCTTCGGAAAACCACTTACTTATTCCGATGCCAAGTCATATTCTGTGCCAACAACGAGCACAGAATACGCGGACCAAATCAATGGCAAGCCGGGCATTGATTTGATGCTGGCGCAATTTGCAACAGAAGGTGCTAATAAGATGAATAGAAGGCCCATGGTTGCTGCATTCACTAAATCATATCCAGCATCTATTGATTTGGCTTCAATTGCCACCTCTCCAATGGATGCCAGTCTCTCAGCTCCCACCACCTTATCTCAACAATATCAACAGTCAATGAGAAATCCAACTCCACTTTCTGCACCAAATTCAGGCAATGGTTCCGTGCCAAACGGTGCTGCCTTATTGCCACCAATGGCAACGTTTTCAACGCAAGCGGAATTTCTTAATGATCAATATCAAGGTACCCCACCATCAATGGATTTATTGCAATTAGATTCGAAATCACAAGTATCTGTCCCAAGTTCATCGATCACCCAGTTGAGAAATATGTCTAAGATAGATATTCCAATTGTCAAGAATAACCGTGCCGACAAGGACGACAAGAAGGAAGCAAAAAAGAAACACAAGTGTCCCATTTGTGAAGCTAGGTTCCAGAGACCTGAACATGTAAAAAGACACATGAAGAGTCATTCTTCTGAGAAACCATATCAATGTGATCAACCTGCTTGTGGGAAAAGATTTAACAGAAAAGATAACTTGAAGGCACATTTGAAGAAGATTCACCAGAGACAAGTCTAGTCCGTCAACACGTGTTGCACCCACCATCATCATTATCGTGGCACTCATCGCCCTCCATCATACAGTCATTCCTTTGCATCACCACTTGGTAACACCCCACATGATACTTTATTTCTCCTGCTTAAGCAGCCTGCCACGCAGACTTTACTACTACTAAGGGTATTTCAATCTCCATATTCTAGCGTAATGTACTACTAAAGTTGTTACAAGAGACGAGTCAATTCACATAGATTCTTTCATAAACGTTGTATTTCAATTTAATCTAGTTAGCACTTCCTCTGACAACGGTATCGACAGCCCTACAGAAGTAGTCGATATTGGCATCGTTCAAACCAGAGACGTTGATTCTACCGTAGGTTGTAGCGTAAACGTGGTGGTGGACTGCCAATTGTTCGATGTGGTCTTCAGTCAAACCGGAGTACCAGAATAATCCGGTTTGTACGAGGACTGGGCTCCAGTCACCCGGGGTCTTCAATTCCACGAACTTTTGGTGGACCTTTTCTCTGATGGTCCTCAATCTCTTGGTGACATCAGCAACGTTTTGGTCCCATTCCTTGGTCAATTCTTCCGACTTGAAGACTTCGGCAGCAATTCTGGCACCCCAGGCTGGGGCAAAAGAACAGATTTTTCTGAATAAAGCCAACAAAGTACTGGTAACGTTTGGAAGGAGGTTACGGTCTTGGACAACCACATGCAAAGCACCGGTTCTTTCACCGTACAAACCCAAGTTCTTGGAGAATGACTGACACACGAGGAAATCGATGTTCAACTCGTAGAAATATCTGACTGGCCAGGCATCCTCATACTTGTCACCAGTGGCAAAGCCTTGGTAGGCGGTGTCGAGAATTGGGATCAACTTGTTCTTCTTCATCAACTCACCAATGGTCTTCCACTGGTCCTTGGAGAAATCGGCACCAGTAGGGTTGTGGCAACAAGTCTGCAATAAGAAGATCGAGTTGGCTGGTGCGGTGTTCAAAGCCTCCAACAACGAGTCGAAGTCGATCTTCTGGGCCTTTTCGTCGTAGTGGGTGTAGGTGTGAGCCTTTCCACCAGCAAAGTCAATGGTCTGGTAGTAGTTGGACCAGGCTGGGTTTCCCACGTAGTAGTCCTTCCATCCAGCTTCGGTCAAGAAGTTGGTGGCCATGTAGATGGCTCCGGTACCGGAAATGGTCTGGATGGTGACGATGTTGTCGTTCTTTCCGTACTCTCCGAAAACCACATCTCTGGCACCCTTGTTGAACTCGGGAATACCCTGCATGGTAGTGTAGCTGTGGCCAGGGTCGTTGGTGTGCAAGATCTCCTTTGCCTTCTTGACCACAGGGAAGGTCAACGAAGAACCATCCTCGTCCTTGTAGACTCCAATGGTGACATCCACCTTGTCAGGACTGGAGTCCTGGGCGGATCTGACCATCACTTTGATGATGGGGTCGGCAGGTTCGATTTGTAACTTGGAGTAGATGGACATGTTGGCGGTGGTGGATTTTCAACAGATCTTCCAGCGTCTTTAAATGTAGTTATGACTAAGTCGGTTGAGATCGGTTATATGCGCTACAATGAAAAATGAGCCGCAGTCCCAAAATGGAACTTTTAGTGGGGCCGTTTCGAGCAAAATGATCTGCACCGTTACTGGCGTTGACAGCACCATGAGTGTGCTGTCGACGGACTATTGGAGGGGCTGAAGTGGTGGTGTCTAGAGTCTAAACGATGGGTTGCTCGGCGCTCGCTGCTAACGCCGCAATGATGTAGGATTGAAAGAGGTCTACCCTCACGGATCTATTTACTGGCAATGTTGGTGCAGATCTGCACTAATTCGTCAGCGTCGTTGTAATCGCTCCAGAATGTAATACTGGTGGCACAAACAAACTTGGAATTGTTCTTCAATATCTCGTGCTGCAGAGTCTGCGGTTGTGCCAATTGTTCCCTCAACTGCACAAGGAACTCCTTGTAGGGATCCACGAGCTGGGCCTTGAGGGTCTGTTTGTCCAGGTACAAGTACTCAATCAAGTCTTGGGGCCCCACCTTGTGCGAGGTCAAGTTGTGGTACATCATGCCTAGCGTCTTCAACTTCTCCAAGAACCCATCGAGCTGGCTCGCTTTCGGGGGTACAGATACCGCGGTGGTAATGAGCTTCTTGATGAACTGGGTGTTGTCGGGGGTGTTTGCGGTGGTGATGGGCGAGTCCTTGAAAACACTGACGTAGGCCTGGAGCAAGAGGTACTGGGTGTCTGCACTCTCATCAGAGCCATCTATGATGTAGTTCCACAAATCCTTGAAGTCTAGAATGTTATCTTGGTTGGTTATGAACGCTAACCTGATCAATTTGTTGACGAACTTCTGGAAGATTTGGTAAACATCCTGGTAGTACTTCCCATTATCGACGATGATCTTCACGAACCTGCTGAACAAACACTCGTAGTTTGCTAGCACATATGGCGCATTGGATGACGTCAAAAGGTTGTTGAGTAAATGCAAAGATTGGATCTGAATCACATCGTTTACATGCATGTCGAAAAATGCCCTGTAAAAAGCCTCAAGGGAAAGCTCGTCCTCTATCATATCCACCACTTCCTTCAACCTGTCCTTGTTGGTAATATAGTTACCCAAGTTGATAGCGCTTGCAGCCAACACATAGGGGTCCACCGTTACTTGGGTGAAGTATTCTATCGAAGCCTTGATGTCTTTCGTGCTGTCAAAACTCTTCATTGACGAGATACACCCGCTGACAGCAAAAAGCTTTCTCTTTATGTGAGTCTTGTTAGGAAAGTTGTCAGGGATCTTGCCAATAAGCTTCAAACTGCGTTGATTTGCGTCTATTGAGGAGAAGTCCAAATCCTCGAAAGTAGTGAGGAAAGACACGGTGCCAGCTATGTTGAGAATGATCTCGTCTAGGTCGAATAGGTCCAGCTCCTCGTCGTCCTCGGTCTCCTCGTTGTCTTCTATCAAGTTGAACTTTTGCAATGAATCGAGTATGGTGGAGGCGATGCTAAGCAAATAATCCACCAATTTGACCGCTATTGGTCCGTATTCGTCGGGCTTGCTTGGAATGGTGGTGGCATTGACATCCACCAACTCTTTCAAGAACTCGAACGCGTGCTGGAAGTTGAATACCTCGGAGATCTTCGTGGGTGGAAGGTTGTGATTGAGGTACAGGTAGAGGGGCTCCAAGAGGTGGTGTTCCAAGAGCCACAGCAAGTACTTCTGCTTGTAGGTGTCGCTGTGGATGAACTGGCCGAGTATGATGACGATGCGCTTGTTGATGGACGGGTCGGCGCCAGGGTCGTTCAAACAGTGTTTGATCTGGATCCAGAACTGGGGAACATGGTGGTTAGCACCCTGAAAAAAGAGCCTGTTGTCGTCGCTGTCGGCCAACAAGTTGACGATGCATCGGGTGACCTCGAGGATCAACGGCACCTGGTGCTGGTGCTTGTGGAGAAGGTAGCTGGCGAGGTTGGCACTGGAGGTCTCCACAATAAGCGGCAAGCTGTCGGTGACCTCGCAGCTGGTACGGATGTGCTCCTCACGGAGGTGGTTTCCCAACGCCTGGAAGTGCTCCGTGTTGTGGGGATGCTGGCGGATCGAGCTGAGGACCTCCGTTATCGACATTGGTGGTGGTATGGCCATTGCAAATCAACTATGGTTTGCATACGGACCTCGATTGGTGCGACGGCAGCATTGGGCGTTGGACGGCGCCTGGTGCGAGTGGTACAAACCCACCAGGGAGAATGTAGCATCGCGCAATGGCTGGCGGTGATTGTATGCCACACAGGTGGGCTGGGGGACCCTGAGCGACGGCACGTAGACAACAAGGCATTGTCGGGGTTTCCGTTTTGGCGGACAATAGCCAGACGAGCGGCGGTGGTGGGAGTTGCTGGAGGGCTTGGTGCGGAATATATCGGTGGCTTGGTGCGGAATATATGGTAGCACAGGATGATATTTTACAACCAGCCAGGGCATGAATTTGGTTCCCGCAGCTCAGGAAGGAAGTCATTGTTTGCGGGACTGCTAAAGTTGAATTAAATGTTAAAAACTCAGTGGAGTCACTGAGATTTTCAACACCTGAATGTATCTGGTGGTAAAATTACAGTGGTATACCTAGTAAAGTCACTAGTATGAGTACGAAAATCGTAGCTATAAAATTCCAAGAAAATCATTGGGCATCGAAGCAATCGCGCCAGAAATAAAGAAGTAATATCCAATAATCGCTCAATTATCAAGGTGGAACCAATTGGCCAGGTAATTATATTAAGCAAATTTTTCAACCAGTTTCCCAGTCTTTTTGATCGAGTAAGAATATGTAAGGCATCACTTTCTTTGTTTGTCATACACTCTCCAGCTTCATTTCTTACTTATCGTGTATTATCATAACATAACGTCTAACTTTTATATGTGGGCCGAAGAAGGAACCAGTCTATCTTCTTGACCTTCTAGGCCTCAAACACCTTCTCGCCGCTCCGCAACCCCAAGATGTATCTGACATCGATGCACAAGCTCAAGCTATGGAGCATGGGCAACAAGTTGAGGAGGTCGCGGTCGCTCTGGTCGTTGATCCACCCTTCGATCATTACCGCGTTGTCTTCGTGCAAAGCGTAGCTCACAGGCGAGTTGTCCAAGATGATGACGTTTTTGAGCTCGTCTTCTTTGGGGTAGAATCGAGAGAGATCCTTGATGTATCCAACCCCCTCTCTATAAGTGCAATCGGATCTATAATAACGTTTGGTGAATATTTTAGGGGCCAGCGAAGTGTCGCCGCGGGGTCCCGACTTTTGCTGCTCGTGAGCCTTTCGGTGGTCTATGATGTCATTTTCGAGCCAGTCTATGATTGGGTCCGCATACTCCTTGACGCTGGCAGTGAAGATCTGTAGTTCGAACCACTTGGAGATTTCCTTGAGGAAGTAGTCGCAAAACGGACGCTTGTGGACGTAGTAGAGCGAGGCCATGTTGTGAAGCTTGACCTCGATCACCTTGGGAGCCGAGGCGGACGACGAGTTGAACGAGCGAGGCGAGCCTCGCGACAACGAGTGGATAAGCGTCTCATCCAAGTCCAAGATCAACGTCTTGCGGCGTTTTTTGTGGGGGTTTCGGGAAAGTGGGTACAATCGTTGTGGTGGGGGAATGATGTATTTGGATGATGCGGTGGGGGACTTGATGGTATTGGCAATGATGTTTTCCTGCTTCAAGAGCTCGGTCTTTTCGTCGATGCCTGACACGTTGGTTCGGATCTTGCGAGGCGACTCGGCAAAGCTGAGGGTTTTGGGGGTGGGGGTGTCAATGGAGGTCCGCACAAGGGTATCCATGAGGGCCTTGTCATCGTCGATCTTTTCATCGTCCTCGTAGAGGATGACGTCCACCTGGCTGGCGTCCGGGTACGACTTGGTCAACCCCAACTGCTCGAAAAAGTATGCAAATGGGTAGGTCACTAGAAGCCATATAAACAACACTGGCTTGAGAATAAGGTGGTTGGGAAGGAATAAAAAGGCGTCCACGAGGCTGTTGAGGTAGGAAGGTGCTGTCGTGGCTGGCAGCGCTTTCTGGAGGAGTTCGGGTTCAGGAGCCTCTTCGTTTGCGGTGTACTCCTCGGGCAAGTCATCCTCGATGGGAGGCATCGAGTACGACTTGGGGTAGAGGTTGTCCAAGGACTTTGCTAGTAACTTGATGGAGTTCATGGTGTCATGCTACGGATGCTGGGAGTGGGGGATGCTGAAGCGAACTCTGGGTCGGGGTCAATGGATGATGATTGCACTGACCTTAAATCACGATCATCCCCATAAGCATATGCTCCAGATGGAGGCGCGACAATGTCGCGCCTCATGCAACCGCAAACTGCCCGGTATTTTGGGCACCAACAATTATATTTGCCAGAATGTTGTGACTACATGTTGGGTGGGGATGCGAGCATGGATGATTTCTGCGGGGCACCTGGAACGGCGCCAGAAACTGTCATCCACAGTCGCAGACATGGCGGATCTGACAGCGACACTGACGTTGCCAGCCTGGCCACGTTGCCTCGTGATTGCTACTGTCCCCGTGGTGCGAGATGAGAAGCGTGAGGGCAGGTGTGCGTGTAGTTTGTTGGTGGTTAATGCGGACCAAAACGGAATGTTCCGGCGCAGGGGACGGACATCTCGTTGGGTCACTGGAACGAGTTTGGGTCTGTCTGGGCGCAACGTCCTGCTAGATCCGTGCCGGGTTGGTTGCAGGACATGGCTGGTTCCGGAAAACTCGCCCAAATTGTAGAAAACTCGCAAAATCCCGCCAAATTACCTGTTTCAGAATGACTACTGATGACTAGGGATGACTATCTGTATTTTTTGGCATACTGGGAGTACTATAGAAATATGGGAAAGTCCAGAAACGGGAGCGTACATTTAACTACAAGAGACTAAATATGGAGATTTTTTGCCATTTCGTAAAGCTAGACCAGTAAGGAGGTTATTAGGCTATTTACCATTCAATAGTAAAATAGAGGCGTATAGGCATATAGTATTAGCCATTTTATGATACTACCGTTTTAATGGCCAACGGCTCGTCTCCACTATTTTAGAGCTGATCATAGGATTATGGGTCATACAGTGGTTAACTACGAGTTTGCAAAGGTGTAAGCTACGTTGAGTATGAACTCGTATCATATCGTAATTATTAGTTGGCTGTGCCATGCTATAAATGGTCCCAATATCGGTAGTATTAGTTTGGGACCACCGTGCTAATAGTCTGCACGGTATTATCAGTTTGGGCTCTCATGGTGCTGTCCAGTTAGCTCACAGTATTATTAATGAAATTCTGGAACACCAGTCTGATATACGAGAGATTCGACTGGTCCGATTGGGTCAACTTGCGGAGATCGATGATATCGTCGTCGTTACCTTCGTCGTCGTCGTCATCGTCGTCGTCTCGCTCCACATCTCCATAGTTCTCCTCGTCCTCGTCGTGCTGGTCGTCGATGTGGAAATTGTTCAGCAAATTCGTCTGGGCTAGTCTCATCAAGTGCATGTCGAAGCCTGCCTGCTCAATCTCGGGTGCCGCAGGGGTATTTTCGTCATCCTCCTCCTCGGGCTTAATTAATCTGAGCTGGTTGGTGTTGTAACTCTTGCAGTACTTACACTTCAACCCGAGCACATGATACCCCACGTTCGACTTTCCCTTACAGTCGTTGCATCCCACGATGCACCGCCAGTTGCTGTAGGGAGCAGGTAACGGTGACTGCAAAATCTCCTGGTCCAAGATCCGGAACTGAGTCTCCGCGTTCACCACTGTTTTCTTACAGAGCGGACACTTGTAGGAATGCTTGATCAATTCGTCGTAGCAGTGCTGGTGGATGGAGTGTCCGCATTTCATGAATACCACCTTGTGCACCGAGGTGAAGAGATACTCGTTGCAGATGGGACAGTCACAGTGTGTGGTGTTGGTCAAGCATTTGTGGTTTTCCCGCAAATCAATTGAGAGACAGTTGTTGCATTCGTCGCAATGGAAGTAGTCCTTGTCGAGCCCAAGCCCCAATCGACAGATCCCACACTTGTCACAGTGGTAGATATCCTTGGTGGTGTCATTATCATACAACACGCACTTGGAGCAGAAGTAGTTGGCCAACTCTTGCTCACAGTTGATACAATAGGGCGAGTCGGGAACCTGTGGCGTGTTACACTTCATGCAAAGAATATGTTTAACATCTGACCGGACCAACTTGTGGGACTCAACAGCATCATGGCAGAACCGACAAGGATACCACTTGAGACAGGTAGGACACTCCAATTTGCAATTTCTCTGGTAGTGCTGGCAGCCGAGGATAGTCTGCTCCAGATCGTGGTACGAGGGTACAGTATCCTGCTCCGTGAGCATAACTTCGTCCTCGTCGGACTCATTTTCTGATGCCACTAAGGGCTCGAACTCTATTTCCTCTTCTCTCTCTATTTCCTCCCCACGCTCTTCCCTGGGATCACTTTTTAGCACCAATTTTTGATGCTTTAGCGTAGACGGTAATGGCAACTCGCCGTTATTGTTCTGTAACAACTTTTCGTTGACGTATCTGTAATAATTTCCCATCATGAGTCTTGTGACCAACTTGTTCTTAGACAGCTGTTGCAAGTTGGTCAATCCTTGAATCTTTTGGATTTTCTGTCTTAAGAGATCTTCCTTTATGAAGTCATCTAAAGAATTAAGATCTGTCAATGCTTTCACTTCTTCAGGGGTTAATCCATCAACGTTGTCCAAATCACTCGTGGCAGTTCCACTTTCGTCATTATTGCTATTCAAGTAGATTTCTTGTATTCTGCCTTTTCTTCTTTTATACTTGCCAACGCTTTTAGCTTCAGGTTTGACAATTTCATTAATTAATGGTTGTTCACTATTGACGATTTTTCGTACCACGCCAGGTTCTGTTTGTTCCTCACTAGAATTATTTTCTGTCTGGTCATAGTCATCGTCGTAGTCACTCGTGTCCTCGACTGGCAAAGATATCGTTTCATTGATGATATCAGTAAGTGGTTGGAGTCTTTCTACAGCAGCAGTAATACTAAGACCTAGATCCAAATCATTCAAGAAATTATTCATCTGGATCCTCGTAGAAATTGAAGTCTTAATAGAACTGATCAAACGCTGATAATCCCCTTCTGGATTCTCATTATCTTCTTTGGGTTTCGCAGCTCGAATGTAGCTGGTCACATAGGTTGAGAATTCCTTAGAAAATTCCTGGATCCTACCCAACTCGAATGTGGGCAAGTTAGGTAGGTTTGGCATATCTGGTATTGTGGTTAAGAATGCTTCCCTGTTGAGGTATGAACCAAGATTCAAGTTTAAATAATTGAGGTTCAACCTACCAATTTTATCCAAATCTTCGGTCAAGGAGTTTTCACTGGCATCTGAATCCAGATCCCTCGCATCCTTATGAGGATGATGCAGCATATTTGATGTGGTGGGTAGGGCTGCTCCTTTGTTAAGATATGATGCGAGATTCAAGTTGAAATAGTTGAGGTTCAATTTGCCTATTTGATCCAAATCTTCAGTCAAAGAGTTGTCACTGCCATCTGAATCCAGGGCACCTGCATTCGTATGGTTTCGATGCTTTCTTTTGCGGCCATGCTTCTTGGATCCTGACCAAGATGGCTGCTGTGAAGGACTCTGAGAATCCACGGCACTTGTTGCCATTTTCTTGCGAGAAACAAGTCTGAAACAATCAAAGGCTCAACAAAGTTGTGTTCAATGCTGTTTTGAGTAGCGACACCAACCGAGTCGTAGGTTTCGGGGATTTCTAATTTGGGCCACCATCTATTTTGGGAGTCATGTGATTGTAGATCTCCAACGTTCGAAATCAACGCTCACGTGATGACTCCTCTCAATCGGATGCAGATGAGGTAAGGCACAACCGCCTCAGATTTGACCGTACTATCAGGCCCTTCACAACTTCAGGTGCCCCATACTTGCCATTTGACAGCTTAATTCACATTCTGCTTGTTTAGTCAATGAGTGTACCAGCCAACATTACTCTACCCAGCGATGAGGCACGGATTACCATAGACAAGACCGTTGGGTATATACTAAAAAATGGAACAGGGTTTGAACAAAGACTTAAAGACAACAACAAGGACCACAAATTTGACTTTTTGGAGGAGGGAAACCAGTTTAACGAATACTTTAAGTGGAAAATCGGGAGGCATGAGCAGTCACAACAAAAAGCACCAACTGCATCATCATCGGAAGACACGCCTATAATAGCGGCTGCCCCATTACAGTTCAAGACAAAGTTCCCTCGTGCAGTATCGAACCTCGACTGTGACATTATCAAGCTTACTGCCATGTTCGTAGCTAGAAACGGCGAAGGATACTTGACTAAATTAATTCATCATCAACACAAGCTAGGCAACAAGGCCCAGTTTGAATTCACCAAGAGCTCACACTCCTTGTACCAGTTATTTAGGCAGTATGTGACCCAATACAGAGCTATTCTTAGGTACTTGAGCGAAGAGGAGGCCTTGAGCATTGATGAAGATGTGATTCTGAATGCGTATAAAAGAGCTCAGTACATCGGCCTTCATACCGAGAAGAAAAAGAAAGAACGCAAGAATAAGGAAGACATACAAAAGCATTATGCTTCCATAGACTGGCAGGATTTTGCTTTGGTGGCAAAGGTAGAATTTGATGCTATTGATGAAGTACAAGAGTTAGCTGTTCCCCTCTCTCGACAAGACTTGGTCAATAGATCCTTGGAGGCAAAGAGGAAAGAGGTAGAGATGTTCATGGCAGCACCAATAAAGGAACAAGAACCTCCAATAGAGCCGGAAACTGAGCTACAAGACCAACCAAGTATTCCCAAGGCCGAAACAACTCAACATATGCCAGTAATAAAGGGTATGAAGATTAGAGCTGCGGGTGAGTCCAGATTGAGAAAAGCAGTACCAGGCACCAGCGAAAATACTATTAAGTGTCCAATCACTGGTAATGATATTCCCGAGCTGCAATTCGATACGCACTTGAAGGTGTTATTACGGAATCCAAGATATAAAGAAGAACAAGACAACTTTATGCGGAAGAATTTTAAGTACGAGTCGAATCTCACCACAGACCAAGTATATGAGAATATCAAAAGATTTGTGAGGAAGAGACAAGTTCCTGAGGACGCTGATGAGAAAATCGAGAAACGACTCAAGATTGGGCCGAATTTAGACTAGCTAACTAAATCAACTTTGACTGAGCGACATTTGATGGCAGTGCCAACAAAAGTGATGCTTGCGAACCTCGGCAGATAATTTAGTAATTCAACAATGTACATTTGTCTTAAGGAACACTCCCAACAGACATTCAGAAATTAGATTGTCAGTAATATTCCTAACAACAGAACTACGACTTAATAACCGATAGATTTATTAAATACACAAACGAAGAGACAGATTCAAGCCGAAGTATCTAAACTACAAAATATGACAACAGTATGTTTAGTATTAGGGTTCTTAGTTATGGGTGATGAAAATATACTGAAACCCGAAAATATACAGGACAGCTATAATCTAGAATCTTATAACTTAAGCCTTCAAGGAAGAGGCTCTCTTCTTCTTGATTTCAGCCTTCTCAGACTTACGTTCTTGCAATCTTTGGGCCAACAATTGAGCGTATTCAGCAGCAGCGTCTCTTTGTTGTTGAGCGTTCTTGATCTTTTGGGCCTTCAAAGCTCTCTTTCTTTGCAAGGTTTGTGGAGTAACCAAACGTTGGATCTTTGGAGCCTTGGTGTAGGTCTTGTCACCCTTGGTAACTTCACGTCTAACAACGAATTGTCTAACGTCATCTTCCTTGGTCAAACCGAAGAACTTTCTGATGTGGTTGGCTCTCTTTGGACCCAATCTCTTTGGAGTGGTGGAGTCAGTCAAACCAGCAATGTCTTGTTCACCTTGCTTGACAATGGAAAGAGCGAGGACAGACAAGTCTTGGCCGACGATACAACCTCTGACGGACTTTCTCTTTCTTTCACCGGTTCTTCTTGGTCTGTAACAAGAGTGACCCTTGGCCAACAACAACTTGACTCTGGTAGGGTGCATGACACCTTGCTTCATTGGGAAACCTTGCTTGTCGTTACCACCAGTGATCTTGAAGATGTAACCCTTGAATTCATCACCAACAGAGTCACCTTCGACTTCTTGGCCCATACGCTTTTCGTAGAAAACACGTAATTTGTGTTCGTCATCGATGTCGATAGACTTTTGGGTACCGTTAGCTGGGTAAGAAATGTTTAACTAAATGTTAGTATATGCTGACTGGGACTAACTCAACTGGCTAAAGACTAAGGGATTTCGATCGAGTATTAGAATGGCAATGGATGAAACGAAGGGGAGTATCATTGTTGTGGTCTTCGTGTGGTGTTGTCTATGATAGTCTTGTACTGATAGCCTCATGGTTTCGTGGGACATACCTTCATCTTGGACTTGGTCTACCTATGCTATCCTTTTCAAAAGTAAAAAAGTTTGTAGAAAAATTTTATATGAGTAGATGGTGAAATTTTCTTTGTGTTGCCTAAGTGAAAATTTCGTCGTTGGACAGTATTTTGCGACACGTGACCGATTCTGGCGCGCACTGAGGAATAGCGGCCATACGGGGTGGGTAGTGCGGAGAAAAGGGATAGGCCCTCGCACCAGTGCGTAGACACGTGAGATTTCTAACCTGGGGCTTCAGCCCTAGTTTCCTGCACCCAACCCAAGCACAATCTGTTCCATATCAATTACTGCAAAATAGGGCGCTAGGATGGGCCAACACACTGGCCAATCTTTCATAAAATCTTCATGATTAGTATATGTAGTTGATCGATACACTCGAGGCATAATAGGCTTTCCAATACGTGCGATATTCTGCGTTTGAACTACTCACCATTGCTTCCTAGGAAAAGAATCTACTACAATACTCCTTTCTGATCTACAAATCACTTTCTCTATGATACTTATACATCGTTCATTCAAAATAATCTCTATCTTTGCTGATCTCCTATAGCATAAATTGATACATGGTCATAACCCTAATAATATACAAACGAGAAATGAAAATCACAGACTCCCTATCTCTTCTGGTTAGGAGTGCCGGGGTTGGAATTGTTGGATTGGTTGTGTTGGTTGGCATTGCTAAAGGATGCGTTGGACATGAAGTGGAGTGGCGATGGCAAATTTTCACTTCGAGAACCCATGGGGGCCCGGTTCTGATTACCCACTTTTTTGCTGTTTGGGTCTGCCAAAGTCTGGTGTATACCGGGCCCAGTTGGACCTGCGGAAGGTAGCATATTCATAAAATATAAGGAGTTGTTGTTCAGTGGAGTCATCCCTGGAGGATTGGGCCAGTCTTGAGGGGCATAGAAATTAGACGGTGAAGGGAACATATCGTTGACGTACCTCGATGGAAGTCCTGACATTGGCGTCTGCTCTCCGTTGCTGTGAGAGTTTCCGTTGGGACCATTGTTGGCATTGTTGGTGGGAACCGAGTACTGCATTCCTCCTTGCTGGTTGATTAACGACGATCGTAGCTTATTTGCTGCATTGGAGTTGTTTGCGGCATTCTGATCATTGTTGTTCTGAGTATACACTTGGTTCATGACAGGAGTCGGAAGAATTGATCCTGGGTAAGCAGAGGAGGGCGAAGTCTGGGGAAGAGAGGTGTAGAACATATTGTTGATATTATTGGAGTTGGTGGTGTTCATTGACAAAGGGAGCGGAGGAGCAGTGGCACTGGAGGGGGACGAGCTTTGGGATTTGGGTTGTATGATCAATGGAAGCGTTGGCTTGCGAGTTCCATCTGGCGATCTGAAAGACGAAAACGTAGACCCCCTACTGGTGATTGGAGGTATATTAGATACTCCTAAACCATGTTGGGTGGAAGTGCCACGAGGTGGAGCATGCGTTGGTCCATTGGAGGACTCATTGTTGATTGAAGTGTTATGCATGGAGGCTTCCAGCGTCACGCTACTGTTGATTCTACCAGAACTGTGTCCGTTGGAAGAAGAATGCAAGCCGGTGTCAACAGCACTGATTGTGAGGGCGCTATCCGAAATAGCACTTTTATTCTTATTGCCCTTCTTAGAGTCTGAAGGTATTTGGACTCTAAGAACCGGACGCAAGGACTGCGAGCTGTTTGAATTGATGGAGTCCTCTCTCTTGTGCGATATGCTGTGGCCATGGCCATTTCCCTGGCCTAGTTCGTCCTTGTTTCTGTAATTGGGCTGGTTGAATGTAGGTACATTTGTCATAGAAATATGGGGCGGAGGAGGGGGATGAGGTTTTGGTCCACTCAACTTGGGAGACGTACGCTGGGTCTTGATCTCGGAAAAGCTTCTCTTGGCCCTCTTTGGCTCAGGCGGATCGCTATCGTAATCAGAGTCACCTTCCTCGCCTCCGTCATCCTCTTCCATATCGACACCACCATTGGATTTTTTGGTCAACTTCTCGTGGAGATAGCTCTTTTTCTTGTAGTTGCCGTAGTTTTCTGGGGATTTCGATTCCTGTGGCTTGAGATTGACACTGGTGTTGTGCTGGTAGAGCTTGATGAGCTCGTTGGTATCGACAGACGAAAACTCGTAGACCTTGTTGTTATTGCCGACGATGACCACGGCTAAGTCGACTTGGCACAACACGGCTAACTCGTGTGCCTTTTTGAAAAGCCCTGCTTTCCGCTTGACAAAGGTGACCGTTCTGTTACGGTCATCAGTAAGCGGTTGGATCTCAATCTTTCTCCTTCCCATGATAGAAAGCTTGGTTCTCCATATATATCAGCAGGATGTATGTCGTTATTGACAATCAGTAAACTTGTTGATGGATTCACTCCGAAGAGATATTAATAACTCTTCTCCTAAATATAGATTGATAAAAATAGCTGGGAGAAGAGTGCGGCACGTGAGCAGCCGTGGTGGTGTTCCATGGGGGGCAACGGCTGGGCTTGCAGGCTTAGTAGGGACCAGCCTCAGGAGCCAGGGCTGACTAAGCAGGCAACTAGTCGTGTGCCCGTGCAGGTTGTGGCGGCTTGCGTTGGCGAATGGTACTGGTGGAGATCGCCAGCCCTGAGATCAATCCCCGCGACATTGCCGCGACACCTCCTCCTCATTCCTGTTTGCCCGCAAGACATTTGCTACGCGCAATTGCGCCCGGTGCCACGCTCCTCCTGGCACGTGACTCCACCCGACACAACTTTTCGTGGTGTCCTCATACAGATCTATCAACACCTACAAGAGATCAGTCCTCGCTTGAGCTGGCGATTTCCATTTCTACTGCAACACGCCTCCCATTGATGTCTCATCAGTCATGAGCACTCAACCCCCACAACGCAAGAACAAAAAGAGGCTGAACAAGAAGAGAGCGGTCCACTACGCCGCTCCCGAGTCTGTCGATTCAGTCTCGAATCAATCGCAATTGGCGGATGCTGAGGAGAGCTCGACCCAGCCTTCCCAGAACATGGACTCCGACTCATCCGGCTCGTTGCAGCCGTTGAACGAGAACAAGTCCAACACCACCCGTGCCAGTATGTTGCATAGAGACAATGACGATTTGTTGGCGTCAGCCAACGTCGATGACGGCCACCAGAACAGAAGAGCCTCGATTGCGGACACCATCACCTCAATTGCCAGGCAGTCTGCAATTCATACCGACGACACGATCTTGAGGAGAGACCTGTTGGTTGGAGCCAGTACAGAAGCAACCACCACCGAAAATGCGGCGCATGAATCTGAGGTCAACACCCACGAGGAGAAGCCAGAGCTCGAAGACCAGCAACAGCAAAAGAACGAAATCAGGGAGGAGTCTGACGAGAGTCCACAAGATCCGTCCAAGTTCGAGCAATCTATCATCGACAACAAATTGACTATCGACGACCCAAATCCGCCACGTACCACCAGAGAAACCGAACCTGTGGTATCACCTTTCTCTAAGGAAGAACCTTCGGTACCTGAAACCACCGAATCTAAGGGAGGCGAGTCACTTGGTGGCCATATGCCTTCTATCGACCACAAATTAGACGACTTGTCTCAGGATCATCGCGATTCTGAATTTTCGGAATCTAAGGCTGATCCTATGACTTTGATTGAGGATAAGCGCAAAAGTGAGTTACAAGAATATGTTCCAGAAATAGATAACAATGGCGAGAAGTTAGAATTATCAGAGTTCGAACCTCATAATGATCAATTGAAGCCTTTGGATACTGCAGAATTGGAGGAATATGCAAGTGAAGGAATCGAGTCTGATCAGCATTTGGGTGAAGCTATTTCAAATGCAGAAGCAACCACTCATGCAATCGAAAATGAACAACCTGAAAAACAAAATGAGGTGGCCTTACCTTGGGGTGATGTAGCTAACAGTGAACCCTTACCCTGGGAAGCCCCAAATGTTCCATCAATGCCTCAACTTCATGATTCGCGTGAATCTCTCCCCTTGAGCTCAAGAGAGAATGTTTTTGAGGACGAACCCGAATCTAGTCAGGAAGAAACGCAGCATAACAATTTTATCGAGAGCCATGAAAGTGAGAAAAATCACCAGAATCAGATTTCGAACCCAGATGAAGACTTTTTCAAAAATCTCCAATCAGAAAATCCTGAACAAACCTTGGATAGTCAATCAAAAGAAGCATTACCATGGGAATCGAATGAAAAGGAAGTCGAGCCAACGGCTAACCCTAGCGATTTATTTGGAGAGGAGGCGGAAGATGATTTCTTCGCCCAAGTTCAAAATGGTCAATTATCGGAGGCTCCTGGCGTAGAATCCTCATCGAACCTTGTTGAACAGAGTGAACTGGCACACATAGAAACACCGGATAATTTGTTTGAAGATGACGATGACGATTTCTTGAATGAGATAGGAGCAAACAATGAGCCACAAAGTATCATAAACCAGAATGAGGGTTCCGAGTCAAAAACCGTGCTTGATCTTGATGACAAGTTTGCAGCTTTGGATTTGGACGATGACTTGCTTTTGGATGATGACTTCTTGGATGAAGCTCCATCTGCTCCACAAACAGAAGTCACACCCTTACATGCTGCGCCAAGGCTGTATGTCCCTCAACCTAGCTCCCAAAATCAATATCAGGCACCTCACTCGGCTGCTCCAAGCATTCACAATAACTTGGATACAGTTAAGAAGAAGAGTGACTTTTATGATTTTCCTGAGAATTTGATTGTGAAGAAGGTTAGACCAGCCAGCAGGACACCAAGCAACAAGTATTCAGCGCCGCAGCCTAACGCAAATACTCCTCCATCACTTCCACCTAAGCCAAATCAAAATGAGCAAGCACAAGGGGCCAGCTCGCCTTATGTCGCACCCACTCCAACAGCTCTGAAGCCAAGTACTTCATCTCAAAGTTCCTTTTTTGGTGAATTGCCTGTTCCAACAAAAGCAAAGGCTAAACCAGCAAGAGCAGCAGCAGCAGCAACTATCCAGAAGCCAATAAAACCAGCTCAGGCACCAGCTAGCCAGTCTCCATCCGTGCCTCCTCAACCAATCAGCAAAGCACCTCCAGTTAATCCTTACATGCCAAGCAAGCCACTTGGATCTAATCCAAATGTTTCCCTGTATGCTCCTACTGCGGGCCCTCAGCGTCCATTGGCCCCAAGCAGTAATCAAGGTTATACTCCTCCTGCAAGTGGTAGTCAAGGCTATGCTCCTCCTCCAAGTGGAAATCAAGGCTATGCTCCTCCTCCGAGCGGAAATCAAGGGTACGCTCCACCTCCAAGTGGAAATCAAGGTTACGCTCCACCTCCTAGTGGAAATCAAGGTTACGCTCCACCTTCAAATGGAAATCAAGGTTACGCTCCTCCTCCAAGTGGACAGGGGTATGTTCCAGGGCCCAATCAACCATCGGGGCAGCCTCAAGATAGAAACCAATACTTCCCTCCTCCCCAATCAATGCCTCCACCAAACTCAAAGAGCTTACCATCCACACAAGGTCATCTCCAACCTTTTCCAAGCATTCCCCTCCAAGGTGGTCAATCTAATGGGCGTAGGATGTCAAACGCTTCCCCTATAAACACCAACGTTCCAAAGGTGCAAGGTAGTAACTCCGCTAATAGCCCATATGTTCCCAATGCCGGTCCTTATGCACCAAGTCTGTACCAGAAGACCCATTCAAGAGCTAGTTCTCTAGTCGGCGTCAAAGGTAAGGACTTGAACCCGTATGCTCCAGCTCTTCCAACCGTTGAATCCGCTCAAAATATCAAAGATAGTTACCCAGGGCCACAAAATTCAGCACTTCCACCTGTTGGTAGAGCTCGTGGGTTCTCAAATACAAGAGGGAATATTTACTCTAAATCGCAGCCAGCACCAAAGATTTTGAATCCAAATTCTTTGAACCAAAGGCAATTTCCAATTTTCAACTGGAGCAACTCGGGGAAAGTGGTTTATTTGACACCAACTGTTCCAGTTAACTCTTATAATCCTGATGTTGGAGCAGTTAATGTGAAACCGGCTAGTGATGTTTTCGCTGATAAGGGTATCTATTCGAACTTCCCAGGCCCCTTAAATAAATTGAAGACGAAAAAGAAAGACGTTGAGAAGTGGTTGGAAGATAATATTCATTTGTACTCAAACGACCCCACTAAGTTGAATGAGTTATTGCTCAATCAAGTCTTTTTACACCTCTTGAGAAATGATGGAAATGTGAGGGCCACGGAGTTCTTGAAAGCAATTTGCTCAGTTTTGAATCCAACCATCGATTACTATTCTGAATCTATTCCTGAAGCACCTGGATCTCTTAGTGTTGGTGCCAACGCTTATAGGTTAGACAATTCGGGTATTTCTCACGTCTTTTCATTAATACAATCTGGTCGCATTGAAGAAGCATTGCAATTTTCTCTTTCCAGGGGTGACTGGGCTATTTCGTTGGTGATAGCCAACTTCTCGGGACCCGAAAAGTTCGCGAAAATTGCTTCTGATTATGCAAGAAGCACATTTCCATTCCAAAAATCTAACAACAAAGTTCATCATTTGATGCCTCTTATCTTGAAGGTCTTCGCTGGTAATGTTCAAAGCGTGATCAGTGATTTAAATGCTGTTCAAGCGGAAGGTGATTATGCTAATGCTCATTGGCGAGAAATTATCTCCTCTATTCTCATTGGTGAATCAGTCCATTCTTCGCAGTTCCTTGTGGAGTTCGGAAACTTTTTGAAGAGCCGTTTGAATTCAAGTTCTGCTGAAATTTGTTTTGCATTATCTGGTCTTTCGTTAACTCATGGACCTCAAGCGAATGGTGTCACCTTTTCAATGATTGGCTCAGACATGCATACTGAAGTCTATGAGTACATTTTGAGCTTGAACCCTACCTCAATTATCCCACCTACAGGTTATGCTCATCTCTTGCCATTGAAGCTTAGACATGCTTCGATTTTGGCTGACTACGGATACTTCAATGAGGCCCAAAGGTATTTGGATAGTATTAACAATTCCATCAAGACTCTGGGCAGCAAATCTCCATTTGTGAACCAAAAAATGATTCAGGAGTTACATAACTTATATGTGAGGATTACTGAGTCGAATTCTAATGAGCTGGGCTGGTTTAGTGGAAAAATCAGTAAGGTTAATCTTGATAAAGTTTGGGGACAACTTGACAAGTTCATCGGTGGAGAAGAGCCTAAACCAAAGTCTGGCGAAAATGGTGTGTTCAGCAAATTTAGCCCTTCGGTATCTAGAAATGCTTCAACCTTGGACTTTACTGCTCTTAGCCATGGACACAACTTAACTGCTACTGCTCCTGTTCATTCAGCATATGGGGCTTCCAACTCTGCCAATTTACCAGTCTCTGATTTGTCGGTGTTGAGTGCCAGTGGTGCTGCACAAGCAAGAGCAGATGCTAGAAGCTCGGCTGTTCATCCACCGCCATTGATGTCATTGAATTCTACTAGTACCATCCCCAAGTATGCCCCTGTGCAATCTGTTCAAGCTAGACCACATGCATCCCCATCGCCAATGCCGGCTGACAGATCATTTGATTTTCCAAGCACTGCTAAGTATGCACCTTCCAATGCTTCATCGCTGAATCTTGCTTTGGACAGTAATGAAGGTCCATTAGTGCCACCTAAGAAAGCAGCATCTAAATATGCGCCAATAGCAAACAATTCAAACAACACAGGTTATAGTTATGCTAATCCTGCTGCACAATTGTCTTCATCATCTGTTAACTCGCCGGCTCCTCCAACAACATCATCTTTTGGCAATGTTCTGAATTTTGCTAAGCGGCCCTCGGTTGCTAGTGTGATGACGACTGAGAGTTTTGTCAATCCCGATGCTTTGCGTGTCCATAATCACTCTCCTTCTGCACACAGTGATATTAGTATGGACTTTCCCCTGGAATTTAAATCGAGCCCTAGAAAGCCGTTCAATGACTTTGGTAATGAATCGGCAGTTCATTCGCCAGAATTGAAACAACATGAGCAAGTCCCACAGCCTAATTTCACCAAGTCGCCAGAACTTGAGAGCAAGCCGCTCAGTAATGAAACTGTTCTCCAGACAGATGACACCCCAGTTGTTAAGAATACTGATGCAAGCGAGCCTGCCATTGAAGAGTCAACGTCTGCACCACCACCTCCTCCACCTCCTATCATTTCTCGGAAGTCGACAGCTACTAGAGTGAATCCTTACGCACCAGGCGGCACTGTTTCCAAGGCATCTTCAAGAAAGAACAGATATGGTCCTCCAGCAGGTAGTACTATCAATAAGTACGTGGTTCCTGAAAATTTAAGCAAGGAAGCTGTTGATGTAACTCCTCAAACCAAAGATATAGATATGTTTAGCATTGGTGGATATTCAGGTCTTACTTCTGTTGCCGACCCTGTGAAGGCCGATACTGAAGAAAAGAATCAGGTTTTGAATTCAACTTCTGACAATGTTCAATTAGAGTCATCAACTCCAGCTCCAGTCCATGCCCAAATCAATCAGAGCATCCCTCCAGCAATTGAAGAATCTGATGAATCTAAAAATGGCATTGAGGATCAGGGGCAATCCATTAAGCTCCCTCAATCTGCTTCAAATTTCACACCTTCTCCACCAAAAATGAAGAAGCATATCCCTCATCTTGATGACAGTTTTGAGATTGGTGATGTATCGAGTTCGTCGGACTTGAACATCACCAAGCCAACTCAATTATTTGGGGGAATGGCACCACCACAACTGTTTTCTCCAAACCCAAGGGAATCAATGATCAACCCCTATCAAGAAAAGAATACTTCGATGGGTGGCTTCAGTGAATTTCCCATTCCTGGTTCGCCGGACTCTACAACCCGGGCTAACTCTGTTGTTGGAGGTCCAACAGGGTTGTTCAGCTCAAGACTTTCTCAGTCGCATCAATCAGCTTTGTATCAACAGTATGAAGTTGAAGATGATACTGTGAGAGATTATGTTCCGGTGGTTGAAGAAGAAGATGAAGATGATGATGCAGAATCGAGCAAGGAGAAGAAAGAAAAGGAGGAACAAGAACGGAAAGCTAGGATCGCAGCAGACAAGGCGAGACAGAAGACAATTGATGCTAACAAGAAGGCATCCAATCCAAGTAGATTTCTTGGTTGGCTTGGACGGAACGATGGAAAGCCTAAACCTATCAGGGCCAAGTTGGGAGAAAAGGTGAATCCCTTCTACTACGATGAAAAGCACAAGAGATGGTTGGATAGAACTAAGCCAATTGAAGAACAATTGAAAGCTGCTGCCCCTCCACCACCTCCCACGATGAAAAAGAAGCCAACGGCTCCTAATGCCCCTGGCACAACACCAACTCCACCGGGTCCACCAGGTGGTTCAAACGCACCAAGTACTACTCCACCAAGCTTGGCCAACTCTACTCCTAGTGTGCCAGGAAGTAGTACTCCATCAGGAGCTCCGCCTGCTGGTGCACCACCTCCTAGTGCGCCTGGTAAAAACCTCGCCACTGCTGGATTGGACGACCTTTTGTCTCTCAGTGGTAGCTCTGTGGGAGCCAGAGCAAAGGGTAAAAGAAATGCCCGTCGTGGGTATGTCAATGTCATGGACCAGAAATGATCGAATGATCGAACTGGCAAAAATCATTTTACAAAACGTAATTAAGAATCACGTTAGGTGCTCCTGATTCAGATTAGTACAACGATGATTGTTTTTAGTTTCTATATTGCATTCTATACATATAACCATTTTAACAAGTAGTAATCCGGTTTCACGATTTTTCCCGACCGCAACTTACGATCCCTAGGCGAATCCAGGGTGTATTGGTATCCCATTCGGATGTACCATTCGAAGGCACGGACGTTATCAGAAAACACCGTCAATCCCGTTCCCTCAATGTCTTGAAGATGGGGGTGTTCGCATTGGTGCAAGATGGGGATGAGGGCATGGAAACTGGTCAAGAGATGGGTTCCGATGCTTTGGTTGTGCACCTCGGGATTGACGTGGATCTCGTAGAGGTATAGCACTATCATGTCGTCGTTTTCGCAGACCTTGAACAGGACGAATCCCAAGAGTCCCTTGGCACTGGTGTACCACACGTAGACCAAACCCGGCTCCAACATCTCCTCTTGCTTGTCCTCCATCCAGTTGGGTCCATGGTGGGCCACGTAGAAGTCGTTGAGGTTTAATCGGAGTAAGCCAAGGAACAATGCGATGTCAACTGTCCGCAACTGCTCCACTGGGGCCCAGTTGAGTTTGGCTTCCTCCAACGGCTTGAACGCAGCAGGCACTTGTTCGCTGATGGTGCGCGCTAGCGACTGCATTAGCGACACGTCGTCTTCGTCGATCATTTGCTGGTAGATAGTGCTGGTGGGTATAGGATGTGTGATAACATCACACACATGCGATAACGAAAAGTTCGTACTCACTCCGTGGAGAGATTCGTCGTGTAATAAGCATCACTGTGCCGCCTACTACAAGCACCACTCCTGCTTCTGCTACAAGCCATTGCTACGTTTGCTACTCCATTGGCCATCCATCAACGTGAGCCCGCGCCGCCAGCTTCTAGTGATGGATTTCGGACTCCAGTCCTGCCCCGAACTCCACGTCTCACCCATCACACGACCGCGTTACGCGTATTTTTATCATCTACCAGTTAGCATGGTATTGGTAACCCCCAGAGAATACCAGATCGAAGCCCACGAGTTCCCGGTAGATACGTTCCACGTCATGTCAGTCCCCAGCTCGCCCATAGGCCCGTCGTCGGAGCCGCTGTTCCATGCCCCGAATGTGTTGGATGACATGCACCGCAAGCAGCAAGAACGCTCCAGCAAGCACACGCTTCCATGGTCTTCATCGCCAATCCGAAGAGACGAGCCCACGATCCACAGCGCCTCGCTCTCGTCGCCACGAAGTCGCAGCTACCACCACCATTCGTCCCCCAGCCGCAACGGCCATACCAGTGCAGGCAATATGCGCAACAAGCACAACAAGGTCAGACAGTTCAGAAACCAGCACAGGCAAGAGAAATTGGAGGGAAGGCGACACATCCTCCATGACGCGCAGGTGTACTCGGAGTTCTCGCAGTCCCAGTTGCGGCAGTTCGAGGAGGTGGAACTGCACCTCGATTTGGACCAGCTAATCGAGGAGGAGCGCCAGGCCGAGGCTGAGTACGAAGAGGAGCAGGAGGACTACGAGGCGTATATACGACAATATGAGAACGATCTCGAGGACTTCGAGCTCCAGGAAGAGTTGGAAATGGCAGAGTTGATCTCCCGAATGGACATTGGAGACAAGAGCTAGAGTGGATGAGCCACCGGTCTAGCTGCGGCTGGCCCGCAAGTGGAGCATTCTATCCAGCTGTGTGCGCTTCAGTAGTCTCTGCCAGAAACTAATGTCCCAATGAAGGAAACACTAGGGGAGAGTGCTACGCAGAGGGAAGACCCACAAATCCCGTCCCAGCGAGTCCTTTTTCGCTCGAGAGCTATTAACCAGCTTGGCCTCCTACCTCGATAGCACTTCTTCCAGCTTCTGGGCCGTGAGTGCTTGAAATCCTGCTGACCTAATTGTTCTTGTTACATCCAGACCGTTTGAGAGTGATCGTAGGCGATGCTATGCACGTCAAGGATCTAGTGTTCTGAAAACCGATTTACTGCTTTGAAACCTCACTGCTGGAGGGGCAGAGGAATAGCAAATAATCCATATATCGAGGTGGCCCATCCATTAATAATACAGATATCAAAACTCTAGGTAATTTATATAACCCATAATAGAAAGCATTTCCTAAGTACAGTCCTTGGAAGAAATCTCCGTTAGCATGAACATAAATATTACAAAATAATCCAAGCTAATCGGCTTGGGAATAATGTTAACATCGCTGATCTCCACTTGTAGCTGTCGCTATTGTCGTGTTCCCCAGCCACCAGGTGGCTTGCCCAGGAAAATGAAACGCACGTGACAAAGCGCGGCTGGTGAGTTCTATGCCTGGAACAGGACCCCATTAGCATCAGCAGGACCTGAAGCAGCACCCCTTCTACGGCCCTGTCAGTGGTGTGGGAGCCACCACCAACCCTCCACGCGGGTTCAGAACGCTCCACCGGACCCCATCACGAGCCTTGTATTTAGTAGTGCACAGGGTTGATCCCATGTATGCATGCCATTTAGTTTCAGCCTGAAACTAGCCATCGCGCAACCGCCAGTTTCATCATTTCTTTCTTCATCGTTGGATAGAACCGGTTTCAGCACAACGGTTTTCGTCGTAAGACTTGCCTCCTCGTCAGCTCGCTAAATTCACTCCCCGTCCACCATGTCTGAAAAGCCTCAACTCACCTTGGACCATCCGGAAGAGTCGGCCCCTACCTATAAACAACACGCCAAGAGTGCCGAATACAACGATGACACTATTTCCAACGAACCAAAGCCCAACCCCGGCATGAGCCTCCATCCCAACAGAGACTCCTCCTCCAGCGACGAGGGCTCCAGCTACATGGACATGGCCTCTGGGTACGACCAGAACCTGAACGAGTGCACCGAGTTCTGTATTGAGCTTTCCACCTGTTTTGGATTGTTGGAGACCTGTTGTCCCGCCAATGGTGAGGGTTGCTTGACCACCTCCGCCGTGTTCTGTGGTAACATTTTGGTTGGTTGTTGCAGCAAGTGCAAGTGATCAGCCACACACTTCGAAGTCACGAAGCCGGGAACGTCATTACAGACACATCTGTCAAGTCAAAGACATACAAAGTACACATATACAAACATACAGCTAGACACATGTCAAAAATAATATAAAAAGTTTAGTCCCTGTAGGTCGATCCAACTAGTAGTAACCGTTGTGGTGCCAGGTATGGCCCTACGCTGACTACTATTTTAAAACAGTATTGAACGTTTCGACAGTTTCGTTTACACTGCTAACTCCTACCATCAGTCTATGTTTGGTCCACAGTTTTCATGGGACCCCCTTGGAACCACACAAGCCACCAACGCCAGAAGCACCACTTTTTCGCATTTTTCGTTGTTTCTGCAGAGTCGATCGGGCCCTCCTGCAGGCTTTTGCTCCCAACCGCGCATGCCTCTCTGATACACCCTGCGAATTTGCAATTTGCGACCACTCGATCTGGCGCTAATCCATACCATTGACATGGACGAGTCCGACTTGGAGTTTCCTCTTGCTGGAGAAAACGCTGAAGCGAGTGGCCCTACTTCCACGGTAAGCTTGCCAGCAGTCCATCTTATGCTTGGTCTGAAGTATTTGCCGCTTGCCCCAGAGAAGTTGGCTAAGGCGAGCTCTGTGGACTGCCTTCAGGAACCTAAGGAAAAGCTGAATGCCGAAACTCTGTGTTTCAAAACTTTGGTTACCCCTGTTGCTCCCCACACGCTGCGTGTAGCCACGGAACAGTCTCAGAATGCCCTTCATACTCGCATCACAGCTGCCTCCAGTGAGCACTCGAATGGACCCGTGAACCAGAGAAGCACGCTTCCGGGCGAAGAATTGCCATCTGGGATTCCTCTAACCTCCAAATACACGGTTTGTCACAACCTTGCAGGAGCTAGATTGGCTGAGCCCGTCCTCACTGAGCCCGTGCAAGCCAAAGCACTGGTAGGGACAGATCCAACTCCATCTGGAGCCAATTCAGCTATTTTCAAGCACTCATCCAATTCCAAAAATGTCCTAGCTAAACCAGAAGAGCGAGTTACAGAAGCTGATTCAATGAAGTTGTATTCAAGCAACGAAAGTATTGACTCCGCTGCTCTCGTTAGCACAGCGGGCCAGTTCCAGCCCTCAATGAGTAATGAAAGTGAAGACTTGAACCCTAGTACCATTGGCCAAAGATCAAGGATGAAATACAAGATACCTACAATTTTCCTTACCATTATGTTGGTTTTGATGTTAGCTTGTTTTATTCCTAGCATAGTGATACTTTCACTAGGTACTAGAAAATCAGTTATCAATTATTTTGCTAGAAACAGAGACCAGTCCAGCTTCTTGCAAGACTTAGTAAGCCTATACTCAAACGAATCTACATATTCCAGGCCTAGTCAAGTCAATGATAGCAACGTTTCCTGGTCACTACTCTCAATGAATGATACACTAGGGGATTTGTTAAGCGAGCCACAGCTCGATTTATTCTATGGGCTTGCTTACTCCCCGAGAAATGCAATGGAGCCCAACTGTGGACTAACACGAGAAGAAACTTTATTGGATATCGCTAAGATCTCACGAGTCACCACCAGGGTGAGAAATTACGGAATGCAATGCAATCAAACTGAGTTTATTCTTGATGCAATTCAAACCTTGAATTTGAACATGACGCTAGCAATGGGTGTCTGGATTGGAAGTAATTGGACAGTAAACAACTTACAGTTACTGATGATGAATAAGTTATTAAAAAGGTATCCTGAAAAGATGTTTGAAAGTGTTTTCATTGGGAATGAGGTACTCTTTAGAGAGGATATACTGAGTAATGAATTAATTCTTACCATAAACACGACAAGGAAATATTTGCATTCATTGGGGTACACAATTCCAGTTGGAACGTCTGATCTTGGCTCCTTGATAAGTGCTGATTTGATACAAGCTTGCGATATTATAGGGGCCAATATTCATCCATTTTTTGGTGGCGGTCATGTTGATAATGCAGTTGATTGGGCTCTCAACTTTTTGAAGTATCAATTAGAACCAATGAATCTCGGAAATACCAAGATTGCAATAACTGAAGTTGGTTGGCCTACTTCAGGCGGTAATCACCAATCAGCAGTTGCAAATTTAGATAACTTTAGGCGTTTCGTAGGAGATTTTATTTGCAAATCCAAAAATATTCAAAATCCCTATTATTTTTTCGAAGCTTTCGATGAACCATGGAAGAAAATATTCTATGAACAAAGCAACAAATGGGAGACTGAATGGGGTATTTTTCATACATCGAGGAAGAACAAGATTGATTGGTCTACTTTAGAAAAATGTTAATGATCATTACGAATCGTTTTTGTTGAAAAAACTGAAAAATCAAAAGATTGCGAAAAATTATTAAAAATTTTTAGAAATAGATTTTTCATTGAAAAAAATTGCTAAAAGAATATGACTATACAATTTGGCTTTTAAATTAATGGATATGTTATGGGATAGAGGTTCTAAAGAAAAAAGAAAAAAAATAATTATATAATGTGTTGATAGAATTTCAAATTCTGCAGAAAATGGCAACTTGTCCGAGTGGTTAAGGAGAAAGATTAGAAATCTTTTGGGCTTTGCCCGCGCAGGTTCGAATCCTGCAGTTGTCGTCATTTTTTCGATCTTTCACATTAGGGCTGGGATTCAGATCGAAAGTTACTGTATGACTATTCAGTTACCAAGTAGGTCGTTATTTCACAAATCTCAATTGATGAGTAGAATAATTCTTTCGTCATTTGTAATCTATACAATTTAATACAACGAATCTACGCTGCGGCTGAATTATTTCATGGAAACTGACCTTTCCTTAACCCAATGTAACCATCCGGAGCATCTTTAGCTTTGAGCCATGTTCCCAGTGCACCCTCATATCCCATATCAATAATTGTATTTCCCCACCAGTCTATCTTGTGCTGATGGTATTGGACAGTGAAGAAGATGACCAATGCACTGAATGCAACACCTGCAGAAAGACCACTGGTCAAGATATAGTTATACTTTTCCCACCATAAAATATAATTCTTCTTGACATAATACATGAAGAAGTATGAGAAATACAACCCAACTGTAAAGTACAGAATGTTGTATGGAGCATAGAACAAAAAGCCTCCGAGAATGATAGTTGGTTGGAAATAACGGGTGAGTTTTGGGGGACCATTCTTTTTGAACCAAGCACATGGAATTACCAAAAGTGCACCTAATAGGAAGCACCACTTCAATACGGGATATAATCCACTGAATACTTTAGCAGGTCCAATTTCTCCGTACTGGATACTGGAGAAGAAAAACGTGTTGGCCCCAGGACACTTGAGTTTATCTTTTTGATGTGAATCACAAATGTCAGGAACATTCTCTAGTTGCCAATTTGCAATGGCCAAGGCAACAACCACGCTTATCATCGTTGAAAATAACTGGCCCTTGAAAATGGCCTTCGGTGGAATCTTTGAATAATGGGCAAGTTTTTGATCGGTGATGTAGTTACTTGCTTGACTATCAATATTATATCCGTATCCTTTCAAAGTAATCAAAGCAATTCCAGAATTCGGTATAGCATACCCAACTATCAATTCTACCAACACATTAAGTCCAAAAGAATATCCAGTCACAGAAGCAATGGATGTGATAGGGATCAAAAAAATGAAGTTAATCAAAATGGTGAAGAAGACTCCCCAAATTGGTGTTTCTGTTGGATAGAACAGTACACAAATTACCGCAAATAATGTACTAGTAAGCAATATCAGAAGAAACCACCAATCAGGCACATCTTCATACTTTGACATCATCTTACAGTGTGGATCCTCCGAATATCTTCCATAGGTGCTGTGCTTTTCCAGGGCTGGCTTGAAGGAGTCTGTAATACTAGTCCAGATATTCACGAAACTTGTTTTCATGGAATCCCATTCTGTAGCGAAATTATACAATATAGCAAATGGATATAATGCAAAGTAAGCCCCATAGAGAACCAAATTAGCTGCACTGAAATAAGGTGGCCCCACCTCCAAATACTTCTTATTGTCAAACGCATTATTCTCATCCAAAATTTCATGAACCTTGTAGATTTCTCCTTTATTATTGAACAATTTGTTGGAATTAATAGGAAAATAAGCCGTCCATTTGTTATTTGAATAGTAAACTATCAATATGACAAAGAATCCCATAACCATGCCGACGTATTGATTAACATAGGTATAAAATGGGATGGTAAGACAACTACTTGTATCAATTACATTCCAATCGAATGTTGGTAAAGGATTGAGTCCTAATCCACTTTGGGAGCCAGTGATATTATTGAGATGAATCAGGTCAGGATTGAACCAGGTTGGCCAGTTGAATGTGGAAAGAGCTTTGAAGAAGAATGAAGGGATCCAATTGTAAATGAAACTTCCAATGAACACCAAATAGAAGAAGGAGTACCTTGATATTTTCCAGCCATATATGGAGTTATTTGAAGTATCTTCTTTCATTAACGCCCGGTTCAAAGCAATGGTTGGTAAAGTTGTTGGCCACAATGCCTTACTTGGATATATACAGACCTTTTTCATGAGTAAGGCAAAACCAAAACCCAAAAATTGAGTGGATACCATCAACAAGATTTGATATGTCAATGTCACCCATTTCAACCCATAAAATCTGTCTAATTTCATGACGAAAATATTATAGACCAGATAAGGTGTTCCCGCTGAACACAGATAGATAATTGTACTCAACATCATTTCTTTATACGTCCATGGACCAGGATTGAGGTCGAATGAGTAGCCCCAAAATTCAATGATTTTTTCTGGAACATATTTTTCCCATATTTTACCACTGGGTAAGAGTAGAATTTGAATAGTATGTGCTCCTAAGAAAATGGAAGGCATTCTGTGCACAAAGAAATTGTTGACGATTGAACCTATGAATGTCCAGGCAAATCCAATGGTATATGCTCTGATTGTATCAACTGGAGTATGTGGATCATCGTAGGGGTCTGTAATTGACCTTACTTCAGGGTACGGGGAATGGAAATGAATCAAAGCTGCCTCAAGACGGACCTGAAGGTTCCAGTCCACGATATTGAGATATGTTCTATTCTTTATATGTTCTTCTGACTGAACTTCTGGAATCTTTTCATGGACTTTCGCTTCCAAATCACTGGGAATCAATTTGACAAGTTGTTCTATGAGTCTGTAGTCTTCCAGCAAGAAATTCACGTCACCTCTATGCTCTACCAATGCCTCTCTAAGGATGGTTATGGCATCTTTGATATTCAATTGGTCAATCCTATCTAGCATGTATTCGGCTTGGCGAGTGATAAACACATCATCTATTGGTCTTGCCGAGTTGTAATCGTCGTCACTTATGAGTCCAATTCTCAATAAAATTAACCTGACTTGAGACTCGCTCAAATTTCTATCTTCGTACCCTTGTGAAGTGGATGGAGTTCCATCGTTGGAAAGGGTTGAAAGTTCAATATAGCCCTCACTTTCTCGTACCATGCCTGATCTATAGACCTATGTATCGTTGTTCCCATATTTGATTCCAAGTTTATATACAGGAAGTGCATATGTTTTACCCGAAGTGGGTGCAAATGTGGGGGAGATAATGGATGAGGGCAGTAGAATCGGGCAAGCGATTTGAGGAAGTCTAGTTAGTGGAAGCTGTTCAAGCAGAATACTACAATAATATAATGGGTAATACTGATAAAAATTGTGAACTAATTTTTCCACGAGCGTATGAAGATTCTGGGAAAACAATAAATAAGAATTCAGGAACAATAATCGGCTCGCTAAGGCAACGGTTTAATGATTACAAGACTGAGTTGATTCAATAAAGCTCTCCATGAAGTCTAGAAGTCGCATTTAAAAAAAATTATCATTCCGGAAAAGCATTCTGTCACTACCAAACTAGTATTTGTTTGAAGAACCAGGGCTGGCTCACTATTCGTAATCTTGTGCTTATTTGATTGATCATGAATGATCCATTAAACTGAAAGAGTCATTCTAGATGAATTTCAGAAGGTTTCTTGAGCTATAGATGGAGGAAATAAATCTATAGTTACTCGAGTTTGGATATACTTGGGCAAGAAACTCGAGTTATCACAAATAAAGAGCTAAAACAAATGAAGGAATCTACTTATGATTAAATATGTTTGAGCAAGTGACAAATCAACGGATTAGTTATCTTTTGACAATTCTACTTCATTAGCAAGTCGAGAGCAAACCGGGATCCAGTAGGAAAGAACAGCTTATCAATCTCGTCCACCTTCACCCGCCTTCCACTTCACAACAGATTCTGCTGAAAGAACTATCCCAAGGTTTTCTTATTTAAAAGAGTTTAAAGATTCTATCCTATGACCACAACAAACGATAGAATGTCAAATTTTGCCTTCGTACTTAGATTTACTGTTAGTAGGCAACTACGCCTCATTTTTGCTTGTAAGATCAGATTCTCAACAATGCAACCCTTTACGCCCTCCGACAGATTGGGCAGCTTCGCACTCCAATTGTAAGACTCATCAACGGTTCGGCCGACATTCTTTGGGCCGAAATCGAACACTAGTCGGAGTCATTGCATTGTAACTTCTTACCCAGACGGAGGTATCTTGAGTAGAATCTTGTGAATCATTCGGTGATAAAGCTCGGTCAACGACTCCCACCTCCTATTTGGGCATGGCCTACGAGGTGACACACCGAAATTTAAAATAAGATACTTGCTTACGGAATAATTTTAGGTAACATGAGGCACGGCTCAACCTAGCGAATTCCGCTTTTAGCTGGTAAGAGGGGGTGGCAACAGGTTCTCCTTTAATCTGGCAACAGGTGGACTATAAATATAGATCTAGATTGCCTCGCTACTTGTTTTGTTTTCATCCAACAATATGAGACTTTCAACTTCCTTAATAACTGCCTTGGGCTTTTCAGCCATGGCACAAGCCATTACAGACCAACAACAACTCTTTAAAATAGATTTAATGCCGCCTGCTGATTCGAACCCAAATGCTGTTGGAAGACCCCAAATTTCGGAAGCCGATAGTCAACCATTTACTACCATTAGGGCGAAGACGACTACCAGTACTGGTGACTCGTTTCTGCACACGTTCTCTTCATTTTATTCTTCCCTTCCAAATGTTGACCCTAGTTCTACTTCGAAGGGGGAAAATGGTGGCCAACTCTTAAAACCAGTACCTGCAGTGGTGGCGTTGATTTCGTTTGCAAATGTGATTTTGCTATAGTTCTGGTAGAGTCAACAAAAAACGATTTATTCATCATTACAGAATATAAATATGACATTATAAATAAACGTATGATCCTTACTTGAACAGTATTCATTCTTTGAAAGCTGATAACACAGCGAAGTGGTTGTGAAAGCCAAGAATTTCGATTTATTGTAGAGTCTCACGAAGAAACAAACTGCTAATCATATATTAGCCCAACATTCCATTATATGCACTGCTTTGATACTAGCTTGAAGAGGAGACCGTCTGAGGGAGGGTATACAGTCAATCGCTCTCGTTACAATCATGCATTACTATAAAAACTATTAAGTCATCTTGAGGGAGGGAAAAACGGAAAAGTTTCCTATGAGAGATTCTATTTTTAAGAAGCTTAGTTTTTTTTAAATCTAGCTCAAAGATCCGCGTAACTTCCCTCCACAGGTAAGGTAACTGCGCCTCTAACATCGAAGTACAGTGGGTCCTATTGTGTACATTAATCTGTTCATCACCAGGCCAGCACTGTACGGTATACAAAGTCCAGCCAGGGCTCACAAAGCGCTACATAATACTATAGGCCAGCATGGGGCATCGAGAGGCAAGACGTGTTATGGGACGTACCCCAATATCTGGGCAGCCAATCTAAGCCATTTCCATTCGTCTGATTACACATGGCCTGAACCGGCCCGTGTTCCTTAGGACCGTAAATGTCGGCGAGTCGCACAATGTCGTATCACGATGAATCATCAACTTGGGCGACCATTGAAATTTCCAGCTTACCCCAAGTTTACTTCTAAACAACCACACATATATCACCATGTTGAGAAGTGCTGGCTTAGCACGCGCTGTCCAAAGTGCTGCCCCAAGACAGGCCATCAGAACCAAGGTCTCCAGCTCCACCTCCGCTTTGGCTTATAAGCACTTGCACCGTAACCAAAAGAGACCTCCATTGCCCACGTTGGAAACCCCCAACTGGTCAGCCGACGCTGCTGTTTCCTCCATCTTATACGAGACACCAGTCCCATCCAAGGCGCCCAGAAAGCAACACGTGTTGAACTGTTTGGTCCAAAACGAGCCGGGTGTGTTGAGTTCGGTTTCCGGTACCTTGGCAGCCAGAGGGTTCAACATCGACTCTTTGGTGGTTTGCAACACCGAGGTCAAGGACTTGTCGCGTATGACTATTGTGTTGAAGGGCCAGGACGCCGTGATCGAGCAGGCCAGAAGACAGATTGAGGACTTGGTGCCTGTGTACGCCGTGTTGGACTACACCAACGCCGAGATCATCAAGAGAGAGTTGTTGTTGGCTCGTGTTTCGTTGTTGGGCCCTGAGTACTTCCAGGAGTTGATCCACACCCACAAGTTGCACACCGACGACGGAGCCTCCATTCCCGACTTGGAAGCCCACGAGTCTGCGTACCACCCCAACAACTTGGCCCCCTCAGAAGCGTTGAGACAGAAGCATGTTCATTTGGACCACATATCCACCATCACTGAGAAGTTTGGCGGCAAGATTGTCGATATTTCCGACAGAAATGTCATCATCGAGTTGAGTGCCAAGCCCTCGAGAATCTCGTCCTACATCCAGTTGTTGCAGCCCTTCGGTATTTTGGAGATTGCTCGTTCCGGTATGATGGCCTTGCCTAGAACCCCCTTGAACAACTTCTTGGAGGAGGACGAGGACGCCCTCGACGCAGCCGATATTGTCGATGCCTCCCAATTGCCTCCAGGTTAATGCGTGCGCACAACTCCGGCCTCACTGTATAGATTATTATGCACCACAAAATCTCGCCCACTGTGTAGAACCCCTCTTAGTAGCGCACTAGCGTTTTTGGAAACAAGCCGCATGAATTGTTGCCTAGATCTCTCGCACAATAGTAACCGTGATGATATTCTGCAGACCTCAACCTACAAAAATTTTCCCACCACCACCACTACCTCCACACTAACATGGACCAGAAGGGCGAGCAACCCGACCACAGCCATGGCCTGAACAGCTCGTCGACGGGCTCCAACACCTCGGCTCCTCCTGGCCAGTACGTGTATGGTGTCAATTACTATGGCCCCAATATTCCTCCAGGCGCCCAGTACTACGGCTTCGACCCCCATTCCGACCAGCGCCCAGCACAGCCACCAGTGATGGTCCACCAGGGCCAGTTGGGCCAGCCACCCACCCACCGTATGCTCCAGACTCCAATACCGCCAGCTGGTCCTCCCATGGGAGCTATGCCTGAGTACCCACCAGCACACGGCATTCCCGCCCAGCCGCCATCGTTCCAGAGAGTCCAGCCGCCGGTGGTGGTGGACCAGCAGTTCACCCCCCGCAAGCCTGCCCCCCCAGCTGCTCGTGGCGTGACGAACCAGCCTCGAAAACGTGCATTGACTGCTTGCGACACTTGTCGGGTCAGAAAGATCAAATGTGACAATGGCCGTCCACGGTGCGGCTCGTGTGTCAAGACAGGCAACTTGAACTGCCATTTCAGGACCGACGATCAGAAGGACTCGGCCTCGCCCGATACTTCCTCGGTCGATATCCTCAACAAGCTTAACGTGCTTTTGAAGGACGTTCAGGAAATCAAGCGAGCCCAGGGCCTCGACGAGGGCGACGCTGTAGCCGAAAACGACGTGAAACGCAGGAAAAAAGATGAACACCACTATCACTTCGATAACTGCGTGTGGGACATGTCATTGACCTCGATTTTGCGGTGGGGCTACTTTAGAAAATGCCTAAATGAACTGGAGTCCAACGTGAACAAAGTTATAGGGAAGTTGGTGAACTCATACAAAAATCCCAATGCACTTCCCTCGGCGAATGAATCGTTTGAGAGAAAATTGGAAATCGCAAGTGCTCTCGAGGACCTCTTAAACAATTACTTCTCCAACTTCATTAATTCCTTTTTCATCAACTGCCACACTAAAGTTCCGGTTTTGGACGTCTTGGATTTAATCGAGTCAATTGAAATCTACAAGATCTTGAAGAAGTACGACCCAAAATTGACATTCATTACTATACTTGATTCATACACTGCAAATGGGAATGCCGATGAACTTCCTCAAATGTATCACGAAGCCCTAAAAGCGGCAAACATTGAAAATACCACATATCGTCAGGAAGCATACAAGTCTTTGTGCAAGTCAGTACCCATCGTCATCATGGCCTGTGCTTTGGGTGCAATAGCGACACCCATCCAGTTGGATAACTTATCAAAATTTCCAAGCTCCACTGAAGAAAGGAAGAGCTTCGATATAGGTTCAATTTCAGATGCCCATACTCCAAATCAAATACCCAAGAATCTTCCTCAAACAAGAATTGGAATTGCGAATTCTTTAGTAAGTTTCGCAAACATGATTACTTCAGCATATCCATTTACGACAAAGTCAAGTTCAATACGTGAGGTAGTTTTCAAGTTACTATTGAGTCAGTTCTACTTGTATTGCTTGTCCCCATTACCTGCGTACCGCGCCATTTCTTCTGCATGTCAGAGTATGATGTACTACTTGGAGAGCAAGAAAAACAGAGATCCCTACTCAGTTGCCCATCATGAAATTAAGGAAAGTAAGAAGGAAATAGTCGATAGATTGTTTTGGACATGTTTGAAATTGGAATGTGAATTGAGAGTCGAACTATCACCGTATGTTCCTATTTCTGGAATAACTCAAGTTATTCCACCTTCTCCATTTCCTAAAATTGCAGATCCGGTAACTGTTGAAATGCGCTCTGACCATAGTGAAGCATCCCAATTATTAGCCAACAAATATTATGATGAGCATTCTTGGTATTACTTTTTAACTGAGATAGCTGTCAGAAAGGTTGATAACAAGATGTTTGACGAATTGCATTCACTTGAGTCTGTGTTACAAAAAACATGGGATCAAGAATCTTTTTATGATGATTCAATTTGGGTTAGTTTTATCAAATATTTGAACCAGTACAATGGTATCATTAATTCATTGAGTCCAAGCATAAGAAACTTTGTTTTACAAGAGATTGATGTTGATCAGATTTATAAGAGGATGAAGAAAAGGAAAGAAAGTAAAGTAAGAAGTCCATCACCTACTGACTTTGATATTTTGGATAATTTGGATGATTTTTTGGTTGATGATGACTTGTTGTTGAGGGCACAATCAGAGTCCATCATGTACATAAAGACTAGAATCATAAGTTCAAAGCTTTTACTTTTCCGTCCTATCATTTATCTTATTTTGGAGGATCGTATATCGTTCATGGAATTGTTGGGTGCAGCAATGGCAGTTATGAAATCTAACCCTCCTCAAAGTTCAGTGTCATTTGGGTCACTTGACGGATCTGGAACAGTGATTTACTCGAGCACAAGTCACAGTGATTCCAACGCCAGTGATATAGATGGGGGCCTTGACTTCTACAATTTATTGCATGCCCCATATCACTACCAGAAACAACATCCGGACGAAGATTTTACGGAAGACATCGAGTACCAAACTCAGGACACCGACTATGACGATACACAATCTATTGCCCAAAATGAGTTTAAACTTAAAAACCCACCATTAACAAAATCTAGAATTCTTAGAATTTTTGTACAGCATCTCATATCCATCCCCAAATTATTGATACCAAAGATTGGTGCGCATAGACATCCTGGTCTGTGGTACTACTTACGAAATCAATTTGTTGGTAATGTGTATCAATTTATGTTATACATGAAAATTCAGGAAATGGTTAGAGGTGCCATGTTGGACCCAAATTTCCAACATTTCATTAGTTTATCATCGGAGGTTTCAAGTATCAACGATATTGGTGCCATGATCGAAATGCTTATGCCAAAACAAGGGATGATTGCCATGTTTGAACATTCACTAATGTTATTTTCCTACTGGAAGGAGGAGAGCAAAGACTGTGAGATTTATTATGACTACATCAAGAAATGCCTTTCTAAATTATGATCAAAATTACTACATGACAAATAATATGCTATGCCTCACCAAGTTCTACGACAGCAATCAGAGAACTTTTGTACCCGACACATTAAAGTATATTGGTACTCCAAAAAACTAGATTGTAATTAGATTCAACAACAGACATTCAAGGAGTACCTTTCCGGGACCGGTCGAAAAGAGGTCGACATTTTTAGTATATGTACAACAATATAGGACACACGACAACATCAAGTCTTCTACAACAGATGGACTACGTTTTCTGCTACACGTAACAATGCCAAATAGCCAGGTCTGCAACACAGCGTTGCTACCTGACATTATATGAAGGTATGCTCAGCCGTTGCAGCTCTGCACCTCATTTGGGTTACGCATTCGAGGCTGAAAATAGCCGGATCTGATAACTCGAGGCATAATCTCCGATGTCGCAAATACAGAAGAACTGGCCAAAACAATTATTATCCAAACCCATCATTCTTGTAGATAGACCCCCAGACCATGAGTATCCACAAGAATTTGGCAGACAGCGGCTGGCACAATTGTGACTATGAAATCAAGGAGCAAGACCGGTTTTTACCTATTGCAAATGGTGAGTGAGACTTTCTTGGGCCCCAGACAGGTATACTAACACCCAGTTGGACGAGTGATGAAAAAGGCACTTCCAGAATACGCAAAGCTCTCCCGAGAGTCCAAGGAATGTATCCAGGAGTGCGTGAGCGAGTTCATCTCCTTCATCACCAGTCAGGCTGTTGACAAGTGCAAATTAGAGAAGCGCAAGACCCTCAATGGTGAGGATATTTTATGGGCCATGTATACGCTAGGATTTGAGAACTATGCCGAGACGTTGAAGATCTACTTGGCAAAGTACAGAGAAGTATGTATGACTTTAGGGTGCACAAATCTATACTAACTTTCAGTTTGAGCAGTTGGAAGCAGAGAGAAAGCCCCCCAAGAGGAAGAACTATAAATCCAAATTGGGGCGAGACGAATATGAAGGGAACACCTACAGTGAAAGCGAGGAGAGTGGAGGGTCGGGATACTCACGGTCGCCTGAGGAAGGGGAGGAGGAAAAGGAGGATGAGTTTGAGCGATTACGAGACTATGCCTTCCATGAAGACAAGAGGTTTCTCGGAACGGTAGACGAAATAGAGGGAATAGATATGGAGTTTGTGATGCCCGAGCAGCGCTGAACCACACAGGGTGCACAAGCAGCCTCGTGTGATGAAACTTTCGAGCATTATGAATAGTCCACTCATTAACTACTGCCTGGTCGAACAGGGCCAAACGCGAGAATAAGGGCAGCCAAAGTGGTCAAAGACTCAAGTGATTAGGCATGGGACCACGAAGCTGGTAGAGAAGCTGGTCGAGAAGCTGGTCGAGAAGCTGGTCGAGAAGCTGGTCGAGAAACTGGCAAAGCAACTGACAAAGCAACTGGCAAAGCAACTGCAGAACAAACTGGTCGAAGAAGCAACTGACACATTTACTGACACTTTGCTGACACATTAGTGCCACCTGACAGTACTGCAGACCAAATCTGCCCCTCGTAGATATCGCTGCCCCAAAAGGCATCCTGGTATTACATCACCACTAGCTGATATTTTTCAGATCATAGCAGGCACAATTTCAGGCCGTTGGCACAAAATAACCAAAAAATACGACTGTCAGGCTTATTGTGTAGAGCGCCGAGCGCCGAGGCTGAGAACGCACCCCTGGCCGGCCTTCCAAGCACTGGTTGACATCACCCATGCCCCTGCCCGCCAGGAAGTTTTTCCTAATTGAGCCCCAGCATCGATTTATTTCTGTAACGCGTCTAACGTGGGCGCATGAGCCCAGCACAATAGACTAAAGGAGGTGGATACGATCGAGGCGATGCGTCACCAACGTTAAACCTCCTAGATGTGCGGGCTCGGTGGTCTGGCCCGCGGTGGTCGCAGCCAGCACCGTTCCACCAGCCCTCAGTGTTTCCATGGAAAATGTGAGCATTGTGGAGGTGGCCACAGCTCCGCGCGTGCTGGGGCTGGGCCTTCCGGCTCGAGACTCCTATTTGGCGATTGACGGGGATGGTGGCTGAGGGGCACCGCGGGGAGTCTCAATATTACCTGGTGTAGAGTATGTGCATCGTATTTTAATAATTTGTACGATACCACTAGGAATACTCAGGCACGGTTGGTGAAAACCTCCACTGCAATACTCCGCTAAGTGGATGTATCACACCGACACCCACATCTTCCCGTAGCCAGGACGTAGGCGGAGCTGTCTCCCGGTGGCCGAAGTCCACCAGGCCCCAGCCATCCCTCCGAGCCCCTTCTGGTCTCCTTAGGTGAAAACTGACCGCGCGCACGCCTTTTCGTCTGGCCTCGAAGTGTGAATGGAAGCGTACTGCAATCCACCGTAACCCTGTTGGTCTGAGACACCGAGGACAATCGTATCACCCTATCGTTCGCCCAGACAGAATAGGCCGCCTCCACGCTCGCCACAACGCTACCACCCTCTCTTTCGTTGCTGCTGGCCGTATCACCACCGCCACCGCCCAAAGCCCTATTAGCTAATACGGGATAACCACAATGATCAAGTCGTTCAGAAGAAGCAAAAGACTGTCGAACTCGTCGGGGTCGCCCAAGCATTCCATATCCCGCGTGGGATCCTCACAGTCTAATCCGGGAATCGATCTCGATCCCGTTCTCCAGTCCCCCAAGAAAGTCATCAAGGCATTGTACGATTACGAACCCCAAGGCCCTGGCGAGTTGAAGTTCGCCAAGGGCGACTTCTTCCATGTGCTCACCGAGGACAATGACACCAACTCTTCCGACAACTCCAACGGCTGGTACGAAGCCACCAACCCCATGACCCATGCCAGAGGCATGGTTCCCATCAGCTACTTCGAGGTGTTCAACAGGTCCCGCCCTGCCACCCAAGACAACCAGCCCTCTGCACCCACAGCTACCACTTCCCACGGACACGCAAACAGAAACTCCAACCAGACTCTCTACGCCGTGACCTTATTCGAATTCAGAGCTGAACGTGAGGACGAATTGGATATTTCACCAGGAGAAAACTTGATCATATGCGCACACCACGACTACGAGTGGTTTATTGCCAAGCCTATCAACCGCTTGGGAGGCCCAGGCTTGGTCCCAGTCTCCTACGTCAAGATCGTGGACTTACTCAATCCCGGATCCAGCCAAAATTTGAATAATCCGCATACTCAAGATGAAATCGTAAGAGCCATAAATAACTTCAAGATTCCAACTGTGGAACAGTGGAAAGACCAGACAGCAAAATACCAGGCATCTACCATACCTCTTGGTTCTATCACGAATAACCAAACGCCACCGGTTTCATCAAACACCCAGTTTTTCGAGGGCAACTCCAATTCTAACCGTTCTTCGTTGAGCTCATCCAACACTACCATTTTGGAAGCAGGAGTGGACTCGTACCAATTGGATCACGGACGGTATCAATATTTGGTTATAGCCAGGTTGTCCAACGGAAAGATCAGATATTTGTACAGGTACTACCAGGATTTCTATGATTTGCAAGTAAGATTATTGGAATTATTCCCGTATGAGGCTGGCAAAATAGAAAACTCCAGAAGAATCATTCCATCAATACCAGGACCGTTGATCAACGTCAATGACAGTATTTCAAAGTTAAGAAGAGAGAAGTTGGACTACTATTTGAGAAATTTGATAGCATTGCCCCTTCACATATCTAGATCTGAAGAAGTATTAAAATTGTTTGAAGTCTTGGAGAATGGATTTGATAAGGAATTTTCGGATGATGGAGCTAACATCAAGCGCTCTTCCAAACCTATTAGCCAACAATCGAACTACCAACAAGACAGAATGTCCCAGTATTCTACTTTCCACAACCATCCTGCCAATGGACCAAGCAGAAACTCAAATACGCCAACATCCACAGAGTCCATTGGACGTTCCAGATCATCTTCTAGCAGCAACGTGCTCAACGGACCAACCGGGGGGGATTCCAAGCCATCCAAGGTCAAGGTGAAATTCTACTACCAAGATGACATTTTTGTCTTACTCCTTCCGTCCAACTTGAGATTGCAGGACTTGAAGACCAAATTACATAAACGGTTGAATTTGGAAGGGGACGAGCATGAAGCTCAACTGGGCAATCTGATCCAGTTGTTCTTGAAGAATGACTACGAAGACTTCATCAGTGAAAATGACATAGTTAACGACGATTTCAGCGAGATTCACCGGGACAAATTGAAAGAGTTCGAGGTGGATGACGACTCGAAATTCCATGAAGTGTTGTTTGAAAAGTGCAAGTTGGTCATTCTAGTTTAGTCCACCTTTAGTACGAACACGACATCTCCCGGGACTCACAGGACTCCAGAGACCTCAAATGCAACATGGCTTAGTTTGCGTAGCAGTGTCCCTAGTGTCTGGTTAGTGCCCAACCTGTATCTTACGACATTTTCTATAAGTCTTGTATTATAAACGATCTATTCCAAAAGTAGACTGCACCCTACAAAGATGCGCATAATAATCACACAGGACATCTCCTTAGATGACTCCTCCAGGTAATGGAACCTCTACTATGCTGGAAGGCTCGATATTCCTGAGACTCTACTGGAGGCTACGAGACAGTAGCTTTCTTACGTGGGGAAGGGGATCCGCAGACTCGCAGACGGACACTTCAAACCAGATCCACCAAATCTCAAAACACCCAGAATCCAATGTTATCCTGGGGGCTACAACAGCCAGCAAGAGGGATTCAGCCAGTCCAGCTCCCAAACTTCCACTGTCAACTGCCAAGCTTCGCTCGAACTCGGGCAGCCCCATAACTCATCGCACAGTCCCACAGAACTCTACTCTTGTTGTTCGATATCCTAGCCAAAAAGGCTCCTCGTTCACTCCAAGAAGGCCAAACAACGCATCCCCAGAGAAGAGTGCATTTGCATTAAAAATAGAAGAAATCGTCAAGAGAGAACAACTTGCAGCTTCGCTCAAAAGTTCCAAAGAAGCTGACAAACAGGCCCCTACAAAACATCGCAGTACCCCATTGGCATTGCACAACGGCCCAAGAGTGAAACCTGGTCCACGAGTTTCCGAGAAATTCCTTGGTGATGTTCTAAATCAACCAGTACCAGCTCCAAATGTGTCAAATATATCTCGGCCCCGTCAGGAGGTGATCTCATCGAGAAACGAGAGTGAACCACTTTATAAGAGGCCACCTCCCCAAGACTCTATGATAAGTGTACCAGATCCTAAGCGTTTCAAGCCGACAGAGATGGCTGTATCGACAGTTGGTAAAAACAAAATTGCAATGTCTAACATGGCCCTTAGAATTTACCCATCTCAATCCCCCGAAACTTCAGAAGACGACGAACCTGGTACGCATTCCCGTCCTGTTGGTTTGGACGAGTCTACTAATAGTAGCCCAGGTTCTGATGGAAGTGGAAATCCTTCTAATACCGTTTCCACAGAAATAGATCACCCCACAGGTGTTACAGGGAGTACTGAGTTGGCATCAACTCCAAAGCCAAAGGCCAGAAAGTATGTGGTTCCGAACATTGACACCTTCTATCCATCTGTTACATCAGGAGTTCAATCAAACCATATGGCAAAACTGCATAACGAAGAAACGGTTGTGAGCGAGACGGTGACGATCATGAAAGACTTCGTAAGCGAACCCGTTGAGTATGATGAAGAACCTATATCCAAGGTATCGAAGAAACGAGCTTCCAAAAAATACCGCTGGGTATCTGAGGCCAAGCAGTTCAGCAGCATGTCAAGTTCAAAGAAGGAAACTCCCGTGAAATCTAAAGTACTAGAGATCTCTCCGTCAAAAGAAGTGGAAATGCGTGGTACCCCTGGCAGAAAAGTACAGTCGCTTGAAAGACAGGAGGTTTCATTCGATAAGAGTCTTGGAGAAAGTACGAAGCAACCAACACCTTCTAAGGGGTCCATCAAACCCAAAGATGTGCCTACAATCCCAGGCAGATTGACTCGATCGAAAACCCAACAAGCAATTATTCAAGAGAGTAATCCTGTTTTTAACCTGAGTGAGGATCCCGTGGAAGACACAGTCAAACCGCCGAAATTTATTGAAGCGGTAGAAATAGCCAGTAGAATGGATATTCGCTCTATCATGAATGATAATATTGCTGTTCGAAATACTACAATTCTGGAAACCGAAGACAACGTCACACAAACCACACAGCCAATGGAGAGGGAAAGTGTGCAGAATGGTGGGGATGGCGAATCAACAGAGGTTAGAACCACAAAGAACCTTTCTAGGAAGAGGAAGAGCAACAAAAAACGCAAAAATGGGGAGAATAGAAAAAGTGGGAGATTGAAAAGATCTAGACGGACAATAGACCAGAAGCCTTCAGTGGTGGATCCTGCGGCTGAATCCGAGGTTCCCCAAGTTCTGGAAAACAAGGGTAAGGATAAGTTTGGCATTGACCCGAAGGATTACGATATATCGGATACTCTGACTGTCCCATCAGTCCACTCGTCCCCCGTAAGTACTCCTTCCAAGGCAAGAAAGCGGTGAAATGGGATTTTTCTATATAGGTGTGATGTTGAGCATACCCTCACTAAATAAGAATTTCAAGGTTCAAACCACATTTTCACTGTTCAAATGCACGTTGATGCTCTTTAATTGCTGATGAAGTATGATCGACTAATCCAGAGGATTTTTCGCAATTATCGGATTTTCGATCTGCAAAGATGTGTAAGCCGGCTGTGGTTACGTAAGCCAGCTTGTCTTATAAATACCCCTGATAGCCACACTTGAGCTAGGATCTGCAATTGAGATGATTTCCCCAAAGTATTACACCCACTACTACTACGCCTTCAAGCAATTGAGTGCCAAGTCCGCTGCTGACGCCCCCCATGTGATCAACTTGTACCTTGACTACACCTGTCCTTTCAGTGCCAAGTTGTTTGGAAAGTTGTACAACTCTGTGATCCCCAAACTTCATGAAAAACATCCCAACAAGTTCCAGTTCGTGTTTGTTAACGTGATCCAACCATGGCATCCAAATGCTACCCTTGCTTTTGAATTTGCATTGGTTGCAGCTGGATTGTTGGCTGAAAAGACCCCAGAAGAAGCCAACAAGACTTACTGGGCTCTTTCCTCCACTCTTTTCAAGAATGCACTTCAATTCCAAGACAGTTATAACGTTGACTTGAACAGAAACGAGATCTACGAACAACTCTATGAAATAGTTGCCAAGGAATTGGAGTTACCATTCTCCAAGAGTGAGATTTTGGATAAGTTGCAAATAAAGCCAAATAAGGTAGATGTAACCAACGCTGGTAATGGTGCCACTGCTGCTGGCAAATACTTCACCAAGTATTTGAGAGGTGTCGGAGTTCACGTAACCCCAACTGTCTCTGTTGATGGTATCGTCGACAACTCAGTTTCGAGTGGCAGTGAAATTGATGAATTGGTCAAGGTTTTCGAAGCACACTTATAAGTTCGTGAAAGTCCATCTTATGATCTAACGAAGAATAATCGAATCTACTGATTTTACCTATTTACACTTAAATTGTGTCAACTGTACATTTCTATAAATTGTAGACTTTCCTACACGCTAGCCTTGCTAGTTCAACTGCCGCTTTAAGCGGCTCATCAATCTACTCCTCATCATCTTCAATTTGATTGTCTTCACCATCGGAATCAGAATCATCCTCGAAGCCACCTGCTTCAACTGTCATGATAGATTCACCATGAGCACCGTTATACTTTCTGGCGATTCTAGAAGCACGGCCATTTTGCTTAGCTTGTGTTCTGGCATCGATTTGTAATTGCTTCAATTCTTCACGGAAAGAATTTCTGACAGATGAGTTTGAAAAGACATCCCACAACTTCAATGCTCCGCTAACACCACCAACAGTCAAGTTACCAGCAACTTCAATATCACCAGCAAATGAAGAACTGAGAACATTACCAACACCGAAGTCACGAGATAACACCATGGTTGGACCAGAAGAGTTATCAGTTGGGCATTTCCAGAGCTTAACAGTCTTCTCACCCATGGCACTAGTGATTAACATACCTGGAATATGAGAGTTAACATCCAATGATGAAATACCAGCATCGTGTGCATGTAAAGTCCAGAGCGGTTTGTCTGTGTTTCTAACATCGAAACAGTAAATGTTACCATTGTCAGTACCAGCATAGAAAATCTCTGGAACTGAAGGATGGCCCCAACGGACATTTTCGACTTCTTCACCTTGGCCTACCTTGAAGTTTCTAGTCATTTGGGATTCATCTGAAATTCTCACATCAGTGACGGCAGCAGTACCATCGTAACCACCAGTTAACAAGATGGAAGGCTCACTGGAATGCCAATGTGAAGAAGAGACGGTCTTGTTATTGTGCACATTAATCAATGATCTGACGGCAGTGCCTGTGTTAAGATCCCACAATTTTATAGTGTGGTCAGCAGAAGTTGATGCAAGAACGGATCTGTGTACCTTGTTGTGGGCTATGGATAAAACAGCATCGGTATGATGGGTGGTGACATGTCCTTTGTTCTTCTTCTTCTTCTTGTTCTTCTTCTTTAAGCTGGGCAACGAGTTTTGTTGTGGTTCTCCGAGAATCATGTCTGGGAATGCTTTGTCAACACAGTCAAGGTTCCATATTTCGATTTGAGGATCAAAAGTACCAACAGCGGCGAAGTTACCAATGTTCAACTCATCTGGGTTAGCCTGTCCTGGTTTGTAATTTATCCACTCGACGGTCAATGGGAATGCAGGTAACATGATATCGTGATGCACGTATAAAGTGGACTCTCTGACCAATCCCTTGGCAACATCGGCATCAAGCTTGTCTTCCTCTTCTTCTTCGGCGCCGTCTGGGGCACCAGCACCGTCGTCGTAAACGTATATGTCCAAGTAGGACACTTCATCTTCAGTTCTGGTGGCCAAGACAAGGTTGTCAGTTGGGTAAATTTGAGATTCTTGCTTTTCTTCTTGGATGTCCACTTCTGTAGGTAACGTCAAGTATGGGTCGCTTCCATCGGTTTCTTGGTGGAATTTGGCATCACTGTTGGACAATCCTGGAAACATGGTCACTTCCTCACCATCCTCATTGACATCATTGTCGTAGTTTTCCAAGTCGTACTCTTTCAAGTCATCATCAACTTCAATTTGGTCTTTAAGTGGGTTTTCAGATTGTTCTTCTTCCTCTTCATCTTCTGGAGCATCGTTTAATTCGAGCTTGGCCATGGCGTTGATTCTTTCCATTTCTTCGTCATTAAGTTCATACTTCTCAGGGAACTCTGAGGCATAGCCTCTTGGAACCCATGTACTGGAGGAGATCATTGTCGAGAAGAGTGGGTTGTATGAGATGGGATGGTTTTTCAAAAAATTTATAAAGTGCAATGAGACACCTTGGTCCCAACCTGCAAAATTCGATGCCCATCTCCTACATATAAAATGCGATATAACTATTCATTACTACAGTATTAACATCTTTACTCTATTCACCTAAACCCCTCATGTGTCTATAACATCACCACACCAACACCACTAGTTTGGTCATCGACAACTTCCTTGGATTGCTTGTCGATACCACCGTGAACTGGCCATGTCTTGTAGTTAAACAAGTAGTAGTTAAGGAATCCGTCACCGCTCCCAAACTTGGCATCCTTGATAAAGTAAGTGTTATCCTGGGAAGTGACACAGTTGAAAACATCCACATTGAACTGTTTAGAAGTGATCAAGGCATCGTTAATCAAGCTGTTCAATCTCAGTTTGTATTGGTCGCTTCCAGAAGTGTCTGATGCATAGTAGTACAAGTAAGCGATGCCCAACTCGCTGTGGTCGGGATTGTCCAACACGGTGAATGGAAGCAAGTAGTACGAGAAGAAATCGGTGATCTTGCCATCTTCGTTCTCCACAACGTATGTCTTGATAACCTTGGATGCAACATCACTAGATTGACCACCCAACAACCAATGTTCAAACTCTTCCAACTCGAATATCTGGACTATGTCAAACTTTTCTTGAAACTTGTTGAATAAGTCAAATGTCTGCTGGACATCTCTCTTTTCCATAGGCCTCAAACCCTTGGTAGAAGTGGAGTTGGGCAAGGCGTAGTGAGCAGCCATGGACGACTTGGTCTTGTCAGGGGGCAAGTGGGAAAAGCCCACATCGTGGAGCTTGGACCAGTTGATGGGACGATGTGTGTAACGACAGGTGGACACTGGAGATGGCAAAATGATTCCTGCGGTGTACAATGCTTGCCAGATATCGACCTTATTCACTCTTCTGGTGATTTCCTTGATCAAAACCGGGGTGAGTCTCTTGGATCTTAATTTCTTGTGGATACACAAGAAATTGATTTCCACACTGGGGATAAGTTTGCCCGATTTGTTTAATTTCAAGGTGATGGGGATTGCTCCGATGAAGGCCACCAACTTTCCGGTTTCCTTGATACGGACACCCACGTGCCATTCCTTTCTCCAGCCAGGAGGCTTCAAGCCCCACTTGAAAAATTCGTGGGAGTATTTGAATCTGAAAGTGGCATCACGGTCTTCGACGTAGTGCTCGTACAAGAGCTGGTAGAGCTCCTCGACCTCGGCTTCAGAGTCCAAGTCCACATCGCTCCACTCGAAGCTATCGAGCAACGGCAAAGGCTCGTCTGGGATATCGGCAGGGGTCAAGGTGCCGTTGATGGGTCCTTCGGAATCGATAGCTTCGTCTAAACGAGGAACTGGCTGGGTCTTCCAGAACTTGTAATCGTTCATTTGTTTCTGTTGGGTCTCAGTGAGAGTCTCGCCCCTGGCGATGAGCTTCAAGATCTCCTCAATGGACTTTGGCGTTGGCTTATCCTTTTCTTCCGACATGGTGGTGTTGAAGTGGTGACAATTGATTCAATTTTTGGTGGTGGCGCGCGCCTTTTCGGACCATAATTTTACAGTACCAGACACCACAACGGTAAATAGACGTTGAATTCATCTTAGTGGGCTATCTTTGCTACGCTCCCGCCACCTGTGCCAGCACAAAACCGTCAGCATCTCAATTGCTACCGCAAACTCATCCTTTCTCCACTAAAAAGACATCTTCAAGCGAGTGCCATGGTGTTGAAGAATTCGAAATGGGACAAGAAGGCAAAGTACCTGTACATGAAAAAGCATGGGATCAGCGCCCCTAAGAAGGACAATACCCCCAAGCCCAAATGGACCTCCAAGACGGCAGATGGATCCAAGCGTCCCGAACGCATTACTCTAGAAGACTCAGACAGTGAATGGGATTCGGATGCAGACGATGCATTGCTTAATCACTTCTACCCTCAGTTAGGAGAGACCGAGTTGTCCAAGGATCAGAAGCTCAAAATCAAACAACAGATCATGGCCCAGATCGAAAAGGAAGAGCAGGACCAGGACACCCCAGTGCCCCAACAATTGGAGGAGAGAGATGGTATCTACTTGGGGTCCAAAGAAAACCAAGAACTGGAAGAGAAGGCGAAGGAGTCCACTCAGACTATTAATCTCCGCGAAATATTGGCCAAGGCATCCAATCCAACCAAGACCAGAAAGGCGTTGAAGGCCAAGATATCTGATAATTTTTTGGAGGAGTACGGCTTGGATAGTTATCAATCCATAACGAGACACAAAGACGACTATAACGATCTCTATGAGAAGAGCCACCCCGTGAACGTCATGGAATTATCCTCGAGCCAGTTAGACGGGTTTATGATAGGCTCGAGTGTGCCAACAAACCAAAAGCCCGAATCGAGGGTATTGACACAGGAAGAAATCGACGAAGATAGAAAAAGAGAGGAGAAAGCTAAAGAAAGTCGGTTGTATGATGAAATCAGAACTAAATTCAACTCCAAACCACCTACAGTAAAATCAAAAGTCCTTGACCTTAACAACTATGATTCAAAGAATGAGAGTCATGTGTCCGCGTTGAATGCGAGAATCACAGCAAACTCCAGTCAGGCTGTGGAATCTAGTCTAGACGACGATTTGGACTTGTTACTAGGAACTAATTCTAAGATCTCTGAAGGGGAAAAACTTGAGCCGGTGGTTCCTGCTCCCTCAATAGAGGATTTGTTGGAGAAGCTTGAGGTAGGCAAACCCAAGAAGAAAGAAGAGAATGTGCCAAAAAGTCGACAGCTACCTACCAACGTGGACTTCTTAGACGATCTCTTGGGGATGTAGTTGTTCTAGAGCTACTGGCGGGGTTTGTCTCCGATTTGTTACGTTTAATGACACGAAAAACCAATGGTAGCATTCGCTGCTTACCATCGGAACTATCTACCAAGACCCACAATAGTCTACTATGTACTGCTGGAATGTTGTATCGTTCTATCACGTAATTGATCTTCCTGATGTCTCTCCAGGATTTGCGCTACCACTTGCGCTCCACAATCTCATAACTAGAATTCGCATTAATAATCGATAAGGCCATGAGTGGTGGAACCTCGATATTGGGCAATGCTGAGCCCCTCTCAGATAAGGATCAGGAGGCCATCACCTGGTTCCGGAAGGCCATCGACAAGGAAAGCCATGGGATGATGTCCGATGCGGTGGAATACTACCGTAAGGCATTCAAAATCAACGAACAAGTGGATGCATTATACCGGGCCAAAGATGTTCCCCACACCGCCAAGAAGCTAGAGGCTGAAGGGGGAAAGAACACACTCAAGAAGGTAGATGAGGAATTGGTCAAGCGAATCAACGTTGACACACTTCTCCTGAGTTTCCGCGATATTGAGGCCAAAGCACCCAACCCATTGGAGGATGAAAGCTCGGATCTTACCATCAAATTTGCCAACCTTGGCGTCGACGGTCACGAAGAGGTCGCAGATGTGAAGCCAGTTTCGCCTTTGGTGCATCTTCCCAATGATATCTGGATCCATATCCTTGAAATTCTATTGATCACATCTCCAGAATCGTGGTTCAGCTTTGCTATCACCTGCAAAAAACATGCTTACCTCGGTCTAGGTACCTCTGATTTGTGGAGAAAACTATGCTATCTTGTCTACCCTTCCCAAGTATATGAGGAGAATAAAATGATCACCGATCGATTGGGGGTGGGCGAGGAGTTGGACGAATCAGCGTTGCCAGTCCCACTCAACCAGCTCGAAATTTTGCCACAATACAACAATTCGTGGAAGTTTATGTTGAATAACCGTCCGTTTGTCAAATTCCTTGGGTGTTACATAAGTGTGGTCAATTACTACAGTGAAGGAGGTAAGGCGGAATTCTCAAATAGTTGGAGCAATCCGGTACGAACCATCACTTATTACAGGTACCTCCGTTTCTATCCAGACGGGACGTGTGTGAAGGTACTTTCGGCTTCGGAACCAAACAAAGTCATCCCCCATTTACTGAAGCACAGCAAGAGTATTGCCCCAACAATAGATCTCACAGGCGTACCTCAAATTAAAGAAAGTCAAAGGATTTATCATGGAAGATGGACAGTCTCGTCCGATGGCGAGGTACATGTGGTCATAGAGAATGGCTCTGCAGCATATTACGTATTCCATTACCACTTTCAGGTCAAGTCTTTGGCCATTTTCAAACACAGTAAGCTTTCGTGGGTAAAATACTATGCAGTAAAAAAAGAGGGCCATGATGACGAGGGGGAAGAAAATCCATTTGCAATCAGAAACGAAAAGCCCTTTAAATTCCTGCGCGTTAGAAGCTATACTACTACCAATTAAATAAATCGTCATTCCATTAAGTACAGTAAATAGCATAACTTTCCAGTTGCTGGTTTTTAGATTTAGGCTTGATCAATGGCATTCTTTGAACGCGGTTTATCAAGGATCAGTCCTTCGCAGGTCAGAGCTGTTAAGGACTCCTCAAGAGTGAAAAATCATGTAAATAATTAATTAGCAAACCATTGGGAATAATGATAGCATTGAGCGCATTTGACTTTGTTACGTAGACTATCTACCTACGCGTATAGGCATTTGAGCTCGTATCTCACCACAATTTTTCGCAACTGTTAGGCTCATCTACTACGTTCTCTACTGAGGCCACCACATCTGGGAGGGTGATAAATATGCAAAAATTGCTAAGATGGAACATTGTAGAATTCTGATACTAATTAGTCTCCCACTATCTTAATTTCGTGCCTTTAAATCTCGTTAGTGTCTTTCGCAGCTATAATTGTGACAGGCACCACACAACTGACAAGCACACATCTCAGCACGCCAGCGTAAATCTTCGCACCATAGAAATTTTTTCACATCGTTGAAAATTTATACCAGACCAAAGGGAGTTAACACTATTAACCAAGATGTCACGTTTCTTCGTATCTGGGTACAATTCCGAGTCGTCCTCTGAAGAAGAGGATTTATTGAGTTCTTCTGAGGAAGAGCTCCTTTCTGAAGAATCCACCGACTCCGAATTCGGTAATGATTCTGATTCTGATGATTCCGATTCCGATTCTGATGGAGCACCATCAGGTCCTTCCTATTTCTTAAAGAAGAGCTTCATGAAGGGCTCTGGTGGAGACAGTGACAGTGACAGCGAAGATGAGGGCAGAAAGGTTGTCAAGTCCGCCAAAGAAAAGTTAATGGACGATATCCGTGATTCTATTGAAGCCATCAATGTCGCCAAGCGTACCAACTCTTGGTCCACCGTTGTGACTGAATTCGACAAATTGAACCGTTTCTTGCTCAAGTCTAGCCAACAAGGCTTCGGCACACCAAACGTTTACATTAAGTGTTTGGGAGGATTGGATGACTATATCAACGCTACCCTTGAGAACGAAAAGTCTGAGAAGACCTTGAACGCTATCGAAGCCAGAGCTATCAATACTGCTAGACAAAGATTGAAGAAGCAGATCAAGGAAAACCAAGTTTTCTATGATCTTTTCAGAGAACAACCAGAATTATTCGATACCGAAGAACCATTGAATCTCCCAAGCTCCACCAAGCAACAAGACGACGAAGCTAACAACAGATTGTTGAACCCAGTTTTCGCCACCTTGAAACAAATCGCCGAAACCCGTGGTAAGAAGAACATTGACAAATACGAACAAATTCAAACCTTGGAAGAATTATTGCAGTCCTCCAACAAGAACAACACTTTTGAATTGATTTCAATTTATCAAACTTTATTGTCCATCAGATTTGACGCTTCTTCTAACCAAGCTTTCATGCCATTGGACTTATGGAAACAACAAGAATCAGACCTTAATGCTTTGTTAGACTTGTTAGAATCTAAATTCAAGTCTTACCAATTTTCTGAGTACGGTAAAACCACTGATGAAATTGATATCGAACCAGAAGCTAATGCTGATGGTGTCAAGGTCATCTTTGGTTCCATTACCTCTTTGGTTGATAGATTAGATGATGAATTCACTAGATCTTTACAAAACACCGATCCTCACTCCATCGAATACGTTGAAAGATTGAAGGACGAAGGTATAATCTACAAGTTGATCGTCAGAGGTCAAACATATGTTGAAAGAGTTACCTCAGAAGATGTGAGGACAAAGACTGAACAGTTACCAAGAGTTGTTTTAAGAAGATTAGAGCATGTATACTACAAGCCAGATCAATTGATTAAGGCTAACGAAGCTGAGGCTTGGAAGGGAGTTGACACTGACTCATCTCTTGTTTCCAAGACTGCTACCCCAGCTGAATTGATTGAAGGATTGTGTCAATACTTGTCTAGCCACACCAACAAGATCTACGGTAAACACGCCTTGTTACTTTCCATCTATTACTATGCTGTCAATGGTAACTACGCAAGAGCTAGAGACTTGTTCTTAAACTCCCAAATTTACAACGGCATCAACCATTTCGATTCCACCTTACAAGTTCAATACAACAGAGCCTTGGTTCAATTAGGTTTGAGTGCATTCAGATCTGGTGCCATTGAAGAATCCAACCGTGTCTTGAACGAAATCGTCAACTCTCAAAGATCCAAGGAACTTCTTGGACAAGGTTTCAACTCCAAATATCCAAACCAGGCTACCGTTGTTGAAAAGCAAAAATTATTACCTTTCCATCAACACATAAATTTGGAATTGTTGGAATGTGTTCACATGACTTGTTCTTTATTGCTAGAAATCCCAGCATTGGCTGCATCTTCTAACTCTACCAAGGAGAATAAGCGTAAGGCTAACATTAAATCCTTCAAGAGTAAGTTGGAATTCCACGATAGACAATTCTTCACTGGTCCACCAGAAAGTATCAAAGATCACATCGTTCATGCTTCTATCGCTTTACAAAAGGGTGACTGGTCTAAGGCTTACAACTTGTTATCCTCCATTAAGATTTGGAAGTTGTTCCCAGGCACTGAAGAATTATTGACCATGATGAAGAACCAATTACAAGTTGAAGGTTTAAGAACTTACATCTTCACCTACAGAAGCATTTTCACTAAATTATCAATTGCCAAGTTATCTAAGGTTTTCGATCTTCCAACTGAAAAGGTTGTCGAAATTTTGGATGCTATGCTCGAAGGTCCTGAAGTTAGTGGTGCATTCGATGACAACAAGACTTTCATCAACTTCACCAGCAGTGAACCTCAAAGATCCAGATTGCAAGAGTTGGCTATTGTGATGAACGAAAAGGTTGGTTTGTTGACCGAGAAGAACGAAAAGACTTCTTCCAACGGTTTTGGTAAGAAGCAACCTGCACAACAACAGCAACAACAACAACAGCAACAAAGAGAACAAAAGGACTCTCTTCAAGAAGAGAACAACAAGTTCAGATATGCTAATGTTAACTCTAATAATGATGAGTTTCAAGCTGCTGCTTAATTGAGCTCATGGAGAGAAATTAGGAACGCCCGTTGGTAACTAGATTCATTCATGATGGCTTAGTGCCCCCAATTTCATTGTAAATTATTGCATGGCTAGTCTTATTGCATTGGAATAAAGCTTATGCTTTGTTCTGAGTTGATAGCTTAATATAAATTCGATTAGGAGATAAGTTGTAGTTGTAACAGCGATAATCTAATTAGTGTGGTAATGAATTTGCTAGTCTTACTAGTCAGTGGTTTCATGGAGAATCAATTGCAAAATTTCAACATAATCACACATTTAGTCTGTGCTGACACGCCAATACAATAGTCAGTATCCACCTGAGCTACAATCAATCCCAAAATAGGTGGTAGAAAATGCAAAGGTTTGCCAGATGGTACTTAGCTGGTTTTGTTAACTTAAGGGCCGATGACGAACCATAAAACATGGTAGCGCCAAATATCTCTACACGTGATCTAACATAAAAATTTATCTTGCAAGTCATCTACAACCCCATCATGCCAGAACCAAAGAAAATAAAGGTACTGGCTCTCTGTGAGCTCTGCCATGGCCGTAAGGCAGTAATGAAGAGACCCAAGAACCTTCAAAAATTATGCAAAGAGTGCTTCTATAAGGTGTTTGAGACGGAAATCCACAACACCATTACGGATGCCCAACTCTTCCAAAAAGGAGACAAAGTAGCCATAGGGGCCTCTGGTGGTAAGGATTCCACCGTTTTAGCTTCTGTGTTGAAGTTGTTGAACGAAAGATACGAATACGGCCTTGAGTTGGTCTTGTTGTCCATCGATGAGGGCATCAAAGGCTACAGAGATGATTCCCTTGCTACCGTCAAGCGAAACCAGGTCCAATACCAGATGCCACTCGAGATTATCTCTTACAAGGACTTGTACAACTGGTCCATGGATGAAATTGTTTCCTGTGCCGGTATCAGATCATCGTGCACTTACTGTGGTGTGCTAAGAAGACAAGCTCTCGACAGAGGTGCAGCAAAATTGGGCATTAATCATGTTGTAACTGGGCATAATGCCGATGATATTGCGGAGACGGTTTTAATGAACATTCTTCGTGGTGACACAGCCAGGTTGGAAAAGTCCACTGCCATTTTGACTCAGTCTTCTGGCTCGCCCATTAAGAGATCCAAACCGTTCAAGTACTCCTACCAGAAGGAAATAGTCTTATATGCCCACTACAAGAAGTTGGACTACTTTTCTACCGAGTGCACTTATGCACCAGAGGCATTCAGAGGAACTGCCCGAGAACTTTTAAAATCATTAGAGTCTATTAGGCCCTCGTGCATCATGGATATCATTTATAGTGGAGAACTCTTGGTTTTGGCACCAAAGAAAAAGAAGACCACCAGATCCTACAAGAATAACAAGAAAATCAGCACTGGAGAAACCGAAGTCAACGCCGACGGGTCTGTTAGCTTGAAGAGAAACGAATTCAAAGACGGGAATACCTGTGAAAAATGTGGATATTTATCCTCCAACAAGATTTGTAAGGCTTGTGTATTGTTGGCCGGTTTAGAAATGAACAGGGCAAAGGTTTCTATTGAAGGTAACGCTGCGGTTGATGGTGCTGCCAAACTAGGGAAGACTTTGGAGCAACTTAGTTTTTGAGGAATATTATAGAGCTATCTAGTAGAGCTAGCAAGCACTCAGAGCAAAACTTATCGGATGTATATAATTAACAGGGCCTAGAAATAATGAGAATTTATTGTTCTAAAAGCTGATCTAAAAGTTGTATTATTTCCAAAACGAAAATTACAATTTCTTTCTGTAGAGATGGGAGGCACTGGCTTGGCCGGAGGCAAACACCAAGGTTTCGGCGATGACAGCATTTTCCCTTCTGGTAATACCGAACACAATGATCTCTGCGATATCGTCGGCAAGCAATGGCTCAGTACCTTCGTAGACAGCCTTGGCCTTGTCGGAATCATTCTTGTACCTAACAAGACTGAAGTCCGTTTCGACATTTCCGGGGTCCACTTCCAAAACTCTGATTCTGGTGTCGATCAATTCCTTTCTCAAAGCATGGGAGAAGAACTTGACACTGGCCTTAGTGGCACAGTAGATGGAACCACCAGGGTAAGGGTCTCTACCAGCAATGGAGCCCAAGTTGACAATGTCACCGGAATTCTTCTTCTTGAAGATTGGAAGCACAGTTTGGGTCAAGGTGATCAATCCCAACACGTTAGTGTTGAACATTTGAGAGATGTCTTCCTCAGCAATTTGACCTACTGGGTCCCTGCCCAAGGCCAAACCAGCATTGTTAATCAAGACGTCAATGTCGGCAAAGTCGCTGGGCAAGTTGGAAATGAATGGTTTGATGGTTTCAATCTTGGAGACGTCGAATTGAGCGGCGTGGGTTTGGATTGAAGGATATTTGGCGGACAAGTCCTTAGCCAAGGCATCCAACTTTTCCTTTCTTCTAGCAGTCAAGATCAACTTGACGTTACCGTTAGCGGCACCGGCAATTTCTCTTGCAGTAGCTTCACCAATACCTCCAGAGGCACCGGTGATTAAGATGATCTTGTTAGCCAATCTTTGGGCAGCTTTCGATCCGTAAGACATGATAGCGATAATTGCGATAGCAAATGAGCAAGCTCAATTTATAGTGGGGGGAGGCGCCACACGCACGAGTCACGTTCTTGGTGAGTACATATTACGACAGCACTTTTAAATGTAGACTTTTGGTTATTAATAATTCATTTATATATATATAAATCAATGTATTCAAATTTACACAATGAACGCTAACCCGCGAAGGATTCTAGGGAAAACGCTTAGTAGAAGGTGGTTGGTTGTTGAGCAGTGAACAACTTCTTGGACTTTTGGACTCTGTGAGGCAATGGGAATTTCAAGTCTTTGGTCAAGAATTGCTTGACGTATTGTCTCTTGACGTCGTCGGTCTTTTCCAATTCGACAACCTTCAAGATGTGGATAGATCTAAATCTAGCTCTGTGTCTGGCAGCTAAATCTTGGTACATGGTTTCAACAGCACCGACTCTGGTAACATCTCTGTATTCCTTGTACATGTTGTGGATACCAGATCTGGAGTCGTATCTGATCCAGATACCGAAGGTCTTGACCTTGGTTGGACGGGCTTCGTGGATGATGTTAACGGAGACAACTTCACCAGAGGCCTTCTTGACCTTGTGCAACTTTTGTAAGAAGTACCAGTAACGGGACTTGGCAACAACGGTGTTTGGAGCAAAGATTCTCATTCTGTACAACTTTGGCTCTGGAACAGAGTCAGTTGGAAGACGACGACCGATGACTTGATATTCGTTTAATCTAGACATCTAAAGAGTTAGTATGGGTACTAGGAACTATGACGGTGTTGTGTTGGATGCTTGTGCTACACCATTCTTCCATTTCAGTATGAACCTTTCTTCAATATGATCATGGTGGTTGGTTCACTCAATCTTTCAATTCTTGGTCGCTAAACTATCAAACGTTCTGATTATTCCAACGTGGCATTCACATCAACCTTACTCGTCATTCACACCGTAGTGTATGTCTGGTTTATTATCACTTACATTAACTGATGATATCAAAATAGCAAAAGGGTAAATTTTTTTGGCTATAGTTTTTTCATTTCGTTCGGGCACTAGGTGGGACGAGCGTTTGTGTCACTGGGGCCATCGGGTCTGTGCAGGCTGGGGATGAAATTTTTGCGGTGAATGCACGTGATCCAAAACTCTTTGATTGAGAGTGCGCACGTGGGTTTTGCCTGGTTAGGTCTCAAGCCCTAGGGTATGGCGATATTGTGCTTACAACCAACCCATGTTTGTTCACAGGCTGTTTAGTTAGATTTGGTTCTTGGAATAATATGGAGCCATGTGCTAGCATGTGTGGAGATTTTTAGTTAGTTTGTTTGTGAAGTTTGTGAACTTTTTCTAGCTCTACATGTATATGTGAAGCTGGCGATCCTTACAAGTCAAGACTATTATTGGGCAAGAGTATTATTATGACTTTAAATACACGAGTAATACGGTTGATTAAATGGAGTTAAGAGCGAATTAACAGAAACCTTTAAATAGTATCATGGTCTTAATTAGTGAAATGTTTTTGCCTTAAGATTAATGAATCAAAGGTCGATCTGCTCCAACTATACATGTGAGCCGTAGTCGATCCACTTCACAGTTCTACATCGTTTTTTAGCCTCATTATTTATCGTTTCTATTCGGTGGTAGCTTGCCTCAAGACTTACCTTCACGCAGGTGGAGCCAAATTTGTCTATATATTCTTCTTTTCTGCCTTGGACTTCATTTTATTCTCTCTGTTGCTTTTTGCACCCGGTCCGCTTTCGGTATCCAAGATATAGTCCATGTAGCTGAAGGAACTGGCGTAATTTCCAATGAAGTAATGGTGGTGGAGATCGTGGTGTGCTGATCCTGCCCAGAGGGGAAAGTAGTAATGCAAGGACCATGGGAAATCGTAGCCTGAGTGTGAATCCACTGCTTGTAATAATCTCAAGCAAACCCACAAAGTGACGGTAAACAAGTGCAAACTAGGAAGCAGAGTATACTTGGTGGCCACCCAAGCATACAAGATAGGGAATCCCACAGTGCCAGTGCCCAAAGCCATGACTTCGACCGGGTGGGCGTATTCGGCAGCAAGCCCAAATGGGGCCGCATAACGATGATGTTGCTTGTGGATGTTCTTGTAGAACCAGCCGATGTGGAACAAGCGATGGAACCAGTAGTGCCACTGGTCTTCACAGATGAAGAAAAACATTACCTGGAGGGTCATGACCTTGTACGAAGGGAATGGAATATCCACCGAGATCTGGAGCTTAGAGCAGAGGGGATGGAAGGCCCAGATTGGAAGCGCCTCCACCAACAAATGCAGCTTGAATACCGATTTCAAGCATTCCCATTGCTCTCTGTTACTGGGAATCTTGGTGGGCTGGATCTTCCACTTGTCAAAGTAGGGAATTTGTTGAATGATGAACCAGGGAAGGCATCTTCCGAAGTAGAAAATTTCGTGGGTCAAGAAGAAAAGAAGTCCGGTAGCAAAGGTGTCGTTGCCGATGTACAAGTACCAGGATGCCCAGAGCTTTTCCATCCACGACAACTGGGTCACAAATGGGTCCAGAGATGCCTGAAGGCTCAGCAATGTGTGAAAGTAGCCCGAGGTGGTGGAGTTAGCCTGGTGTAGCGTGGATGATAAGATATCCATGGCTGGTATGGGATGGTATTCAAGAACTGCTGAGGATGTCGGTATGCTCTGCTGCCTTTATATAACATTATGCAGCCTCATCTCGTATAGTCGTATAGAGTGGTTCGATGATTTTGCACCCAGTCGCGTAGTGGTCTGATGTTGTCGTACTCCTGTCACCTGATTGGGACCAGTGCCACACCGGTCTACGACACCTTGAGAGGGCCCAGCCAGGTTCTGAGACCTAAACGAGCTCTACCAGTTTCCTGTACACCTTTTAAGTCCTCGTTTAGTTCGTGAAAAGTTATTCATTCTTGGGTAGTGAAAAAGGGCTTTGGCGGGGTTTGCCGGTCCAGAAAACATACAATTCTGCAACTGCCCACCAACGATGCTCCACCGCCAACGGGTGCGGGCTTTGCTGAGGGCCGAAGGTTTTCCGAGTTCGGCTGGAATGGCTTTTTGGTGCTGGAGTTGGATCTTATAGGATTCATTTGTCCAGTTCCTACAGTGGTAATTATTTCCAGTCATGATCAATATTTCTAGTAGCCGGTAATAGAACCTTTAATTTTCTATGAATACTATTTCTATCTAGGGTCATAACACTAACTCAAACATTCAGGATACGACAGTATCTGCTCTATCACTGCTGACTAAATTAATGACTAGTGATGAGCTTCATTTCTCTATTTACTTTCAATTGCCCTTTCTATGATTATCAATTACTTTTAGTATTTTTAAAGTTTATCGCATCTAACCATTTTAACGATCATTCCATTTAACTATTATCATGATCTCATCTACCTAATTCAACAGTGCAATACTCTAAATTCCTGACTCGAGTCTAGAGACCAGAAATGTCTTACTGGATATTTATTTCATCTTCGTTTACGATGTCTACACTCCCACCAATTACATCTTTTACTATGATCTCTATTACTACTTATCTAATTACCGTACCTCTAAATCACTCTCTCCTTGGGCAAGATATCAACCAACAAACTGTTGTCGATGGCACCCAAGTTCAACCCATTGGTGGCCTTGTACACTTCGATGTTCTTGAAGAACTTGTCAAACAAGAAGGCGGTATCCAATGGGCCACCCTTGGCCTCAGGATGGAATTGTGTAGAGAAAATAGGCTTGTGCTTGTGGATCATACCTTCGTTACTCAAGTCATTCAAGTTGGTGAAAAATGGCTCCCAGTCACTGTTCAAACTGGTCTCATCCACGGCGTATCCGTGGTTCTGGGATGTGATGTGGCACTTACCTGATTTCAAGTCAAGGGCTGGGATGTTGTGGGCTCTGTTACCGTACTTCATCTTGACGGTCTTTCCTCCACTGGCCAAGGCCAACAACTGGTGACCCAAACAGATACCAAAGATTGGCAACTCGTGGTGTTGGTCCATGGTGGCCTTCAAGTTTTCGGTGGTTGCAGAACAGTGGGTTGGGTCTCCAGGACCGTTGGAGATGAACAAACCATCGAACTTGTTGGCTATCTTGTGAATAGGATAGTTGTATGGGAAGACGGTCAAAGAGGCACCTCTTTCAACCAAACATCTCAAGATGTTTTCCTTGGCTCCACAGTCCAACACGGCAATATGGATACCCTTGGAGTGCTCTGGAGGACATGCGATGTGGAAAGGAGCCTTGGTGGTTACCTTGTGGACCAAGTTGACGGAGCCAGGATCTTCGAAGGCAGCATCCTCATCAGCATCGTATTCCTCACCAATGGTGATCTTGGCCAAAGAAGAACCCTTGTCTCTGAGGTATGAGACCAACTGTCTGGTGTCAACTCCGGATATGGCAGCAACTCCGGATCTTTGACACCATTGTTGCAAAGACTCGACAGCAGTCCAGTGGGAGTACTCCAATGCAGCGTCAGCGACAACAATACCAATACATTGCACGGTTGGGCTCTCCATGTACTTCAACAAGTTGAACTCGTCCTTCTTAGTAGAAGAAGGCACACCGTAGTTACCGATCAATGGTTGAGTGAAGCACAAGATCTGTCCCTTGTAAGAGGGATCAGTCATGGACTCAGGGTATCCTACCAAAGAGGTGGTGAAAACAGCCTCACCACTGACATTTTTGTCGGCACCAAAAGAATAACCGTTGAACACAGGACCGTTTTTGATGGTCAAAGTGGCCCGATCTAACTGTGAGGTTTTGTTAGTGAAGCCCTTGGAAGCAGTAGCCAAGAAACGCTTGCTAAGCTGTGGAAGACGTAACGACAACATGGTTTGCTGGTCTAGAAAGTGGAAAAAGAAGAATATATAGGGATGAAAATTGTGACTGATAGCGAATCGCGGCTAACGAAAATTTTCGAACAATTACCTATTTGGGAATGACTCATCACCGCGGGAGCGTGCAACGGGCACCAACCTCGTTATTGTGGCAGTCCAATCAGAGCTCTGACCGAGGGATCTGACCCCGGATCGAGTTGGTCTATTGTCGTATATAGTGTGGAACGACTCAATTCTACGGCACTGTTGTGGTCTATATGAGTATTATTAGTTCGATACGAAATGCCACTGCAGGCCTATGCTCACTTTCGCTCTCTCTAGTTGGTTCTATGTATGATTGCTAGTCTATCCAGCAGACAGGCAAAGCGATGGTTTGTATGGCAGAAAATTCTGCAAGATCAACAAAGTGCCCTGGCCTAACCCACCAAAACAGGAATATCCACCTTGACAACATTATCCGCAAACTCGTTCTGCTCTCCACCGGCTCCCTTGTACTTCACAACTACCTGGATATAGTAAAGTCTTCCCACCAAGCATGTTTGGAAACTTGGGATCAAACTGATGTTATTCTTATTAATAGCATCCAACGGAATTGTAAAGTCTTTGGTCCATCTAAATCCTCCCTTCTTCTGGGTGGCCTTCCATCCAGTTTCATTATTCAAAAGTTGAGGATGGGACTGTGATGTTAAAGTCTTATAGTAGTCTTTGAGTGTATCCTTTTTGACTCCCAAAGACTTAACAGCCTTGAGATACAAGTAAGCTTCCTTGGAAAGGTGAGCTTCGTTAGCCCTAAGATATTCAATATAGGTGAAAACTTGGTCCTTCAATCTTTGTAAATTATCTCTAGTAATTGACACATCATCCTCGTGCTTATCTTCGTCTCCCTTAGGATTAGTGTAGAAAAAATCGTATCCTAATTCAAATGGCAAGGGGTATTCTGTATTGTACGACCATAAGACAAGATTGGCTTCAATACTGCTTATGAGAGGTGGTTTGTTCGCAGCTTCATCAGACTCGAACACAAGAGACAAATCCACCGATTGTACAGTATTGCGAACATCTCTGTTATACAATCCATTGATATGTGTGGACTCGATTGAGCTAACAGGCCTCAAAGACAAATCGCTATTGGATGTCACAGAAGTGATATTATTTTCATTCTTGTTTGACGTTACCAGGCTAAGGTTATCCTGCAAAGTCCCGTTATTGTACTTCGTAATCAATCTGGGGGAAGCATAAGCTATCACTTGACTTGGTACCCTCACAAAAAGCCTCAGTTCACCAACCTTGACCAAAGAGGACAAAATCTTCTTCTTCTTCTTACCATACACCGTAGTTGGTCTTGAGCCAATCATGTTTTCCAGGTGATAACGAATTTCGTGCTCGTCTGTCAACTTGGCTGGTTCGGAAATTTCGAAGTGCTGTTCATCCCAATTGAGTAAATTTTTACTCTTCAATTCTTCAACAGTGAGATTATCTCTATCCAAACGTTCGTCAATTTCTCTATCGATCCTGTGGCTTAACTTGTTTATATGTTTCCAGGTAGTTTTGGAGTAATAATCTTGAAACAATTTTCCATCAATGCCGAGAGAGGTGTATGATTCCCACCCATACTGGTGCCACTCGTTAAAAAATCCTAACTGCTCGCTCAAATCAGGAATGAATCTCAAGAAGTATTTACTACTTTGGGAGATAACATACTCAGAGCTGGAATTTGGATCATTGATTTCATTCTCGGAAAATGCATGCTTTTGATTCGATGCATTGAGCTTATCAATGAATTTTGCCTCAATAGTATAACTTATACTCACATCTTCAAAGCTGTAATCTTTGGTCAAGATTGGTGTGCCTCTCATATTCAAGAACCCATACCCTAAGGCTTTATTCAACTGAATAGTTTCTCCACGGTTGTGAAAACATGTTCTATCAAGTCCCAACGTTGGTGGTGGGACCAAATGACTAAACAATGAATTGAAACAACTGTTGTCTAGTAATTTGTTTGGAAACTTGAAGGTAAAAAACTTCTTGTACTTGGAATTAGGTTTGAGGATTCTTTCAGGTGGTAATCCAATTTGGCACTCATCCGTTGGATCTATCGTGTAAGCTTCATATTCAACACCAGCGGAGCTTGGAACCTGAGTGTATCCGTAAGAAGCGTTCAAGTCGTACATTTTCAAGAACTTCTTCACGATGATCTTGTTGTACTTGTGGGCATCCAAAGGACCCGAATTAAGATTCTTGTCCGTGGATTTGATAGTCCCTTCCAAAGAAACAGTAAATAGTCCAAAGTCTACTGGCTTGTCTGACTTATTTGTTATGACAACATAACCATTCACCACATCTCCACTGGTGTATTCCTTCAATCTAGTTTCGAGCTCGTTCTGGCTGTTGGGCAAAGGCACTCTTTTTGTAACAAAAATCTTAATGTCTATCGGAGAATTGGGGGCTTTTGCCAACATATCGATATTGTCCAAAGGAGAGTGGCCCGATTCATGGACAGTGACTGCAATATTATGATTGTGGGCCTGTTCGTTTCTGGGAGACACCGCATGGCCCTCGTTTTCGTCATCAAACACGTAATCTTGGGACCCGTCCGAATCGTTGTGGAGCTCCGTTTCGTTCAACCGGTCAGAGATACCGTCGAGAACGTTATCGTTGGAGGTCACAGGAGATAAGCCACTGGGAGGGGTAGCGGACGAGTTCTGAGTGTCGCCATACACCGGTGGCTTGACAGACAAGTTTTCGTTGAATTGGCTATCGTCTCTTCTCAAGATCGACTGGAACATCTGGAACGAAGGGAGAATGTCAAAGTACTCGGTTTGGGTGTTGGAGGACGTGGCTGAAAGAGGGCCTTTGCTGAGATTATCGATGTGCTTCTTCTGTTCCCCAGATGGTGTGTATGGTGGGTTGGCCCTGGGGACTCGGGACTGGCTGGAGCGCTTGCTCAACGACGGAGAGAGGGTGGGTGCACTTCCCGTTCTTGAAGAGACTGGTGTCAACGATGAGCTGACCATGGGCACTAGCGGGTTTGATCTCGATGGGGTGAGGGTGGGACCCTGGAGGGGTGATGCCAGGGGCAGGCCTCGCATGTTCTTCCTGTCCTTGTCACCCCTGGACGACTTGAGCAAGTTCAAAGGCATTGTTGTAGCACAAGAAAACGATACAAATGTTGGTTTGGTTTTAGATGGTGGTGGTGCCAGAGGTGATGGAGTAAATTTTGAGGTGACTTGCACTGTACGGCGCTGCCAGCGTGATGAGGCGGCATCTGCGAATGCTGGGCAGAATTAGATATAACTCCATTTGGCAGGCGAAGGAAGGGGAAGACTACCTGTGCTGGGCCAAAACGGGATGGGACCCGCTCGGGGTTACACTTTACGCCAGACATCGCCTTGTGTAGCCGCTAAGATCGAGCTCCCCACACTGGGGACCCTAGCCAGAGCCCTGGGCCTGCAGGCATCAGCGAACATCCCCACTGTGGAACAATTGACGCCAGCGCGAGCGCGAAACTAGGGGATTTTTTCACCAGAAACTACTAGAATGCTGAAGGAGAGTACTTGCGTACAACCTGTATTATGCTACTTACGCGACAGTATTGTTCAAATTCAGGGCCACGGCCGGTCAAGGCCTAATCTATCATCAAAGTAAAGGGATTAACAGTCCCGATACACAGTAGACCGTCGTGATAAATGTGGTAAGTCATCATTAACTGAACAATATTGTCGTATGACTTGCTTTAATAGCCAAACCCAATTACCTAATTGAGCTCGCTATTAAAACAAGGTTTTGGCATAAACTTCAATTTGTTCGCCAATGATATCAGACATGAAAAATTTCTCTTCTTTAAGATCAGACATATGCTTGTCTTTTTTTCAACTCATCTTTTATCATTGCATCCCAGATCGAAGTGATGCTAAAACCTTGAGTCGTATGACAGTAAACTGGTTGTTAGTATTGGCCTCAAGTTAAGAATTGATCAGAAAGGCATGAATGGTATTAAAAAGGTTTTGTCGTCAACGGGAATCCCGATTCTGACTCGTCATCTAGGAGATCATCATCTAATTCTCAGGTATACATACTGTCACCAAGCTGGCAAAGCTAACCAACATCTAGGGGCGGTATTCTGTACAGTTAGTACTGTTCATATGTGTATCGATCAGTTTAAGTGGGTTTCTGAGGCCCACAAATATGCGTTGTCACTCATATGAATTCAGTGCCCAGTGCAATAATTCCTCCTTTGATACATTAGTCAAAACATACCATTTCTAATAGTTAGTATTGTACAATTTAAAAGGTTTGCTGATAGTATTGTCAGAGGCGTATTGCAAAAACTTATCAATCATTGTTATCAGCCAGTAATTCCAGCTTTGTTTTTGTTAAATCATCATGTAATACTACCAGCTCTCAAAAGCTCCAAAATCACTTACGTTTCAAATGTATAAAATCCTTTCTATACATGACAAACCACTCACTTCAACCCCTGGTAAATTGTTAGTATTGAAGTCAAATCATTTCCGACAAGTAACAAGAGTCAGGTAGTAATAACGTTGTGATCATTCTGAATAGTCACAAACTCTAGTTTGAAATGTTTATTTGGTTCATCCTTCGATGTAATGTCGGCTTCAATGAATAAACATACTATTACCAGGGTTGTAAGTGCCCTTTTGCGTTTATAGAAAAGTGGATTTTGGGAAACTTAAGTAGTGCGGCCAGGAACGAAAAATTTTTGTGTCCGGGTAATCTTAGGGTTCGTGAGGTGGACAAGAGCGAGAAGCACGAATGAGCCTCGTTGAAGAACGAGTTGAGGGAATGGTACACATTGGTAGCTGGCCAGCATAAAAACCAAGGCTAGTATATCCACTATATACTCAGCTCCACGGCCACGGGCAAATTGCTACAGGCATATGTTGTAGTATTACGTAATATATTACTAATGGTATATGTACATAGTCGTTGGATACTGTCATTAGGATACTGGAATGTTAATGGGCACTGGTCTTCAGTTTGTCCCGTTGCTTTCCCCGTTTCCATTCTGTGGAGGCATTGGTACAGGTGGCATAAACATAGGGACCCCATTTGGGTAAGGAATGCCAGGCATCCCAGGCATTGGCATTCCAGGCATAAATGGAGCCATTCCTGGGGGTCCAAACATATCGGGCCTGATAGGCAAGTCAGTTCTTTGACGCTTGGAATCTGGATCATCCCCATCTTCTTCTGCGGCTCTCTTCAATGATGCTTCAGGGTCCTCAATACCCAACTCAGTTTGCTTTTGCTTTATGTATTCGTGTAACTCCTCCTCCAATTCCTGGTTGCTGATGAACGAATCAATGTAGATATCTTCTTTTCCGCAATTTGGACAATGGAAATCATTTTCAATCAACGTTTGTTCCAATTCCGCCTGGTTGTAGTTGAAATTTGTAAGTTTACGAAGGCTTGCTTTATCACGACAACAAGGAGTCATGACAATTGGAGACTTCAAAAGGTGTCTAGTGCTCGATAATGGGTTTAAAAATTCAAGACGGTTTTCCCCCACTGCACACTCGACTATCTTTTGTTCAAACTCTTGCTTTGCCTTCAATGCAGCGTTTTGTTGTTTTTCTTGATAAGAAAGCCATGTCTTCGAATCGGCCATAGCAATGGCGTAACCACCGTCCTCAGTAACAAGAATGGCATTACCATCTTTATCAACCATGTCACCATTCTCATTAGTAGTAAGACCTTCGGTTTCCACTCTTCTGTCGAGTTCTTCCTTCGAGATGGTCTTCAAGTAGGACTTAGGAATACCCGTGGTTCTCAATATCTTCTTACCTTCGAACGTAGGATCGGTGTTAGTTGAACAATTCTTAATCCAATGGTCTTTCTTACCGCATCTGTAACAGATATAGCCTGGTGGGGGCAAATCTTCTGCTTTAGCCTGTCCTGGCTTGTTGTACACCATTTTATGCGTGGCCAATTCATCTTGTGCTTGGGCCCACACGTTGTCCTGACTTTCGAACATCATCTTGATTCTATCCTCCTCTGACATGTTTTCATCCAATGGTGCCTGCTCTGTCCGTACTGCTTGTGAACCTGCTGATGCTGTGGCATTATTAATCACTTTTCTATTCACTCTTGGCTTACCACTGATATAACGAGAAGCATTGCCAAAACGACCTCCTTTGAAGTTACATGGCGATCTCTTGGCCAACACAAATGAAGATCTCGGTATCACATCCTGGTCTAGCTCATATTCAAGGTCTGGCTGTTCTGAATGAAACAAACGAAGTATGAAGTCATTACCAGCACCAAGCTGATTTTGCAAAATGATTTCACGTTTTAAGTCAAACACGTTGATGGCAGTACCATCGAAGTGAATGACTGACTTGTTCTTTTGATGCAAGAACTTGTAGTATACGACAGATGACATTGTTGGTGTACAGATGTAGGAGTCTCGCTAGTGATATTGTAGCTATAGAAATTTGGCACGTGACTGTATTTTGAGAAAAACTTCACATAAACCAAAACAAGCTAAGGCTCCCAGTCAATCGACAATGGACGTTTCGTATTCTAGTTCGAGTCTCCAAGGGTATAAACTGCACTTGTACTCGAGAGAGGTCACATTACCTCTCAAGTACTCGCCAGTTCCCAAAGCGGCGACTCCAAATGATCTATTCCATCGGAAATTGGCCACGAGTGGTGATGTGATAGAACTAGACAATTCACTCATCAATGCGGTGGCATACGAAGTATTAGGGGATTTGAGAACCGTCACAATCACACCCATCAATACCGGCCCAAATAATTTATCATTGAACTTCCAAAGTTTGAAATTCCTCTTGCCTCATCCTTTGATCTCAACTAGTTGCATCAATGTTCAGTATGACAAAGATAATGGAGATGAAGGTGCCATTATTATAGATATCATTGACACCGATCACTTATTCATCACATTCAAAATCGAATTATCCGACTTTATCAAAACCAAGTCTAATAGATTGACAATCAGCAATTTCAGTCAATGGGGTAACATATCTGTCCCTTACTCGTTTGAATTGAGATCCTCGCCATATTTGTTGAAAAGCTTGGACTCCCTAAACTTGGTTGTATCTTTGAAGGATGGAGGCTTATTGCATTTCCAAAGATCTACAGTGCTCAGCGACTTCGATGTATTCAATTTCAATGAAGCACCTGCATTGTTGCCATTAAACTTCATCAGTGGACTTTTCAAGAAAAATGCTCAACTGGAAGTTGTATTAGAAGGCATTTCATCGAACTCGGTTGTGGATGCCATTGCTTTGGGAAAGGACAATTTTGTTACCCTCTCGGTAAGTAAGGTCCTTAAAGTTTGGAGTTTGAAAGATCATATTCCGGTTCTGAATCCAATTTTCATAAATCAGAAGATTGATACTGAATCGTGGTTGACAACCGTTCCAACTAGGCATTTGCTGATCTACACGGATGGAGCCAAGGAGTATTTGACTTTACATGTTAGCATCAACTCTACAGACTCAAACTTGGACAAAAGTGGATTTCAATTTAAAACTTGGGAAGTTTTGGATTCAACTAGCCTTTCAGAGATTTCTAGTCTTAGCTTTGAACCCGAGTTGCCCAACATTTTATTGGTCACATTGAGTAGTTCTAAGCAAGAAGCTGATTTCAGAAATAGATTGTGGTTCATTCAAGATTATCGGACTCAAAACCATGGGGATTTCGTCAAGTATCATATCTTATGGAAATCCAATACCTCATCGGTCTTGGTGGTTTACGCTTGCAACATTCAAACTGGTGCAGTCGTATCAATCAACTGGTCACATATAAACAATCATGAACTTGTGGAAACTGCTCCCCATCAGGAAATATCACATTACGCTAACGACATATTGAATTGTGGAAAGTATGACGATTTAATTGTCAGAACTTCCTTGAACGTCCTTAGAGAAAATTTGGGAGCTGAAAGTATTGGCAGTAAACCAATAAGAACTGAAATAGATGAAACCCTTCTGATTTGGACCAATTCTTTTGGTGACTCCGTGGGGCAAGATCCCGAACTCTCCACGATGGTAGACTATTCAATAAGTGAATTAGACCCATCCAGTAATGGTGATTCGAGCAAATCTTTTTGGTTCAAACTTTATTCACTTTGTGCAGAGTATAAGAAGTTGAGCGAAGAGACATTGGCTATTGGTATATTGTCACAAGCTTCATTGCTTTTGTCTTTGGAATCAAATGGGTTGGGGATATTCAGACCATCTCATTTCTACGAATCTTTCTTGTACAAGAAGAGAAACTCTCCTGAAGGGAAATTAGCAGGAATATTGTCTAGATTCCCAAGTCTACTTTCTACAAAGTCTAACCAAAAGCTTTATAAATTTATCAAACAGAGTGTCAGCTTGACTACAGAACAAACAAACGATATTTTTGATACATACTTAAGACCCAAAATCCCAAATGAAATTATCGAAGAAATATTGTTGGAGGTCGAGTCCATCCCAATGGATGTCATTAATTCTCTCATCGACTCTTTAAACGAATTTGAGATGATTGATATTGATAGAATGGATGATGGACTGGAACTTGGCTCCCTTAACAAGCTCAACACAATAGAGACTTTTAGAGAGATCAAGGGTGCTCATGAAAACTTGCTTTTTAATTTACTCATTTTGATCCTTCTTTGTGAAGGCGAAGATCAAACCACTTTTCTCATCAATAAGATTCTTACAAAGTTGAATGCTTACGATGTTCTTGAATTGATAATTGATACAAGTTTCAAGTCTCTAGAGGTAACATCTCCCATCGAAAATTCTGGACTCAGTAATGTTGAGAATTCTCTCTTTTGGTCCAGTATTGTTTCCAGGCATCACAGTCTAAAGGATTTAATTGTCAAGTCAAGACTCAATGAAGCATTCGATTATTTGCATGGGAGAGTGCTCTCAAATTATGATAACTTTATTACTGATGTTGCAATTGAGTTGATTGATCGAAACGAGGGAAGTTTTATAAGAAAGAAGTTTTTCGACAAATTGAATGTTTCTAGAAGCATTGACAAATTCTTGATTGGATTGGTCTACTTAATTGACAACGAGGCAAAGTATTTCTTTGAAGCTTTTGAAGAATACAACATATTAGATCAGAGAGATCAGATTGACAAAATCAGAAATGAGTTAAGCAGCAATGAACCAATTAAAAATTTCTTGGATTCAATTTTTGATGAAAATTTAAGTGGAGATTTAAGAAAAGCACAATACTATCACTCTTTGTCAGAACTTGCTAAATTGCAAGCTAGCACAGCTCAAAAATCCAGGCATTCCTTAATTCTCACGGATGACAAAGCAGCCTTAACAATTGTTGATGATTCGAACTCTGTTGTTCCAACCAAGACTACATCTGCTTTCTTGGACGTTGAAGTAAGCTTCAATCAGACTGCATTAAAATTCGAACAAAAGGCGATTGAAATTTTGAAAAGCACTGAAGCTACTGATTCCACTACCAGCTTGATCACTCAATACTACTTAAATGTCTTTGAATTAGCCATGGCTTTGACTGATTATGATCTCATTTATGAATCTTTACTAAACTTGGACACCTCATATAATGATTCAGATTCTTACAAGGAACTTTTCACCAGATTCCTCAAGAAGTTAATTTTCAATCATTCTATTGCTATCATTTTCCCTCCAAACAAGAACACCTTATACCAAAAGAAGTATATTTTGATTGACAGCGTTCTATTACAGTTGGCTAATGATGAGCTTGCATTATCCAAATCTTTAAGATACTATGAGTACCTTTATTCATGGAGATTGTTTGGAGCATCCAATGAGCTTGGCTCAGATCAATTGGCTGACAAGAGAGGTGCCATCGAAGCATTGTACTTATTCATCACTAGATTCAGATTCGAACACTCACATTTGTTGCAATCAGAACCAAGCACCGATGATGTTAAGCAATACAAATTGAAAATCCTTGAGTTGTACATGATCATATTGAACTGTTTGAGAAGTTTCAAGGATGACGAAGATAAGTGGATCTTGAAGTCCAAGGACAGTAATCACTTGAAGATCATTCGTTTGGACGAGTTGAAGATTGAATACTATGACTGGTTGAAGGAGTTGGAAGGAGACTTAAGAGAGGACTAGTCCTAGTAAGTAATGTACATTAGCTTTCTGTAATAGATAATTGAACTATATAACGATGCGAATAACGAATATTATTCAAAAGTCATTATACACCTTAGTCTGGCGTGATGAAATCATTTTAAATGCCCTATCTTTCGTAGTGAATAATTTATTGTGGACGATAGCTCAACCAATGTTAGCCTTCATGTTTCCTGCTCCCTTCGGATTCTCGTCTTTCCAATCGTCCCAGTGCCTCTTCTCCAATTCATCTTCACTATCATCCGTGTCACTTTCATTAGTATCCTTCACTTCTTCCTTCATCATCTTACCATTGGCCAATTCATAGTCAAGGTACTCCTCGACAGTCATCGAAGGTAGAACTTGACCTGTTCCGAATACCTTTTCCTTTAATTGTTGTCTATTGCTGGTAATGGTAAAAGGTCTTAAAATCTTCCCTTGTTTGGAGAGAAGATCTGACACACTCGTCTTATTGAAAGGCAATTCTTCTAGCCTTGGGGTATAACCATAGTCGTTTTCTGCTGAAATATCCTTTGCCCTTGCATCATTGGGTAATTCTTGAATTTTCTTTAATTTCGGCCTATTCGCTATCACTTGAATTTCCATAGTGATTGTCTCAAGGGTGTTGAACGAATCAATTGAGAACAATCGAAGCTGATCGACAAAAATTTGCCCAATTATTTCTTCATCAAACCTGTCAAAAATTGATTCTTCATTTTCTTCTTCTTCTGACTTGGAATAGTGTTCATCCAAAATAGATAATTTGTTGTTCAATTCCTTTTCAAGCTTGTAGTTTTCGATTTTATCTTGTCTTTTCTGGGCAGGGTTATTGGAGTAAGACACAATCTCATCTAATGAAGGATTAGCGAAATGCTTGAAGGTGTCGAGTCTTGCACCCTGGCTTTTGGAGAGAATTCCATAGTTCTGTAAATCGATTAAGTAGTGAAGAAGCAATGATTTTGCCTGTTTTAAGTTATACACTTTGGCATCCAATGGGTCCTTCTGTTTGTCTTCAGATTCTGTGGAATTAATAAGTAAACTGGCCAAGTAATAGGAAGTGTTCAAGAACGGGATATAGTTGGTGTTGACCTCTTTCAAACTCTCATTGTCACTGAACAAATGGAGATCATCGACTATACTCTTGATGAGGGTGAACTCCCGGATCAATTGGTGCAAATTTTGTTGGAACAGCGGGGAATCCCGGCGCTCTCCAGAATTCTTCTGGTCTCTGAATTGCTTGATAGCATGTCTGTATCGTTGAGAGATGGTGAGATCTTGTGACATGGCTAATGTGGTGGCCAACTGGAAAACCATCAGAATTCCAATAGGGTAGTGTGCATATCTGGTCACGTGATTTGCCGCTGAACAAAACCATTTCTCTTCCCAAAGGATGACACATCGACTTACTGGCTTCAACAGTAATCATTCAAAGGAATCCCTCTGCCTGAACCCCCTACCAGGTGTGAAAACTCTACCAGTCAACCTGTCCATTCTGAATACCCGCAATGAGTACTCCAGCATATTACGAACTTTATCGTAGATCCACTATTGGGATCGCATTGACAGATGCTTTGGACACATTGATATCGGATCAGAAGATCCAGCCTCAGCTTGCCATGACTATATTGAATAACTTCGACCGTATAATCTCGGACAACTTGAAATCGGAGGCAGGCACTGCCAAGAGTAGATTAACGTTCAAGGGAGATTTGAACACCTACCGGTTCTGTGATGATGTCTGGACCTTCATCATTAAGAACGTTATGATCAAGATGAGTGATGTCAGCGCTGGCGAAGGAACAAGCTCTTCGAGTACTGTTGAAAGTGAAGTTACGGTGGATAAGTTCAAGATTGTTGCTTGTAACGCTAGAAGAGCGGCTGACATGTAAAATGAGAACTACGGTTGACTAAAATTCATACCATTGACTCAAAAGATTTGCTTTGATGGTATGTGACGAGAATCAAAAGAATCATTAACCCAAGAAATACGTTTTAATGGTATGTAACGATCTAATTAAAAGATATCACTAATGTAGAACAATAGTGCGGTGCTAGACAGATTGGCCACTTACTTAATTTCTACCGTTAGAAAATGAAATAACTGCCCACTTTCCGGAAGAGCTCCAGAATTCACCAACCTCATTACCCATGCTCTTGTACTTCTCTATCAACTTTTCGTTAGTACCCTCGGGTAATCCAACCACCACATCGGCCTTACATGTTCTCAAACTCAACACTGGAAGCTTGGAGGTGGCCAATTGTTGAATGGCGTTCTTGAAAGGGTGTGTCTTTTCCCATTGCAAATCGCCAGTCAACTTCCTATAATTCAAGTCACCCTTGAAGATAATTAAATCTGAGTTGAGTAAATTCTCGTACAAATCCTTGATGGTTGGGATTTCCCAGAAGTTGAGGTTCAAGGTCCAGAAAGGATGGGATTCAACCACGATTTGGTTTGACTTGCGATATTGAACCAATTTGGAGTGAAGGAACTTGATGGCCTGGGAGTCTTTGTCGTTGGCATGGATTTCTTGGTAGAAGTCCTTCGAATCCAATTGCTCAAGCAAGTTTTCAAAGTCCTTTGGCATGGTGTCACTCACGAACCATGGGATCTCCTTGCAGTGGATATGCACCTCGTGGACCAATTTGGAATCAAGCACGAAGAGAGCCAAGTTGAGATCGGCAAACAATTCGAATCCAGAATTGTCGAGAATAATATCAATTCTTCTGTTGCCCTTTTTGGACACCAACTGGTCCCATGCCTGAGGCAAGTCGTTGACTAAGATATTTTCTTCGTTCTTCTTTCTGACAGCAGCACCTTGAACTGACTTGATATCCTCGAGGGTGACGTTACCTGCCAAAAGGGACAAATCAGTGGCATTTCCCCAGAGAGAAATATCTATGAATTCGTGGAACAACAATTTGAGGGCCTCGTCATCAGCATCCTGTAATTGGCCCTCTAACGCTTCATAACGCTTGCAGAGTTCAAGCACACCATGTTCAGACTGCTTGAAGGTGGAATCCTTCAAGTATTCGAAAATATCAAAGGTGTGCCAGAACTTCTCTTTCGAAGAAATGAACAAGTTGTTGATAGCGTGGTAGATGTAGCATTCCAAGTAAAGCCATGGGCCCGTTTGCCAGGTGACCTTCTTCTGTTGGTTGAATTGGTCGAGGGCGTGGTTGTACACCTTCAAATCGGCGTTGAGGGCGATTTCCGACTCTTCAAAGGGTCTGACCACCGAATCGTTCTTCAATGACTGGAGGATATGTTGCAAGCCCTCGAGAATCACGTCTCCCGATTGCTTGAGGTTGGCATTGCTGGCAATAGCGGTGGTGACATCCTTAAGGCCACCTTCCAAAATGAGAGGCCATCTCTTGTGGACGGTGGAGTAAGCAAAGGACTTCTTGTCGTCGTTGTAGTATGGCAATGGCAAAGACATCGTCGATGAAGAGCCAGATAGTGGTGGTTGGAGACCGGTTTACGTAAGCGGGAGAGGTGAGGGTGGCCAGGAGGAGTCCGCAGCACGTGCCGGCATACAATCAGTCTAGATAGATGAACAATATATTCTTATATATGGTACAACAAAGTTATAACTAATAAAACACGGGCTAGATAGCAATATGAAATAAAAAGGACAAAAATAATACAGAGTCTTTCTCCACACAGAGGATATCTCGTCAACGTCAACATTTAAGTTTAATTGCCATTTCTCTTGACATATTCGGCCTTTTCTTTCTCGTATCTCTTCTTGTCAGCATCAGCCTTGGTTTCGTAAGGAACCTTTTCGTCGGCAGTCAACTTCTTCCATCTTTCACCCAACAACTTACCGACTTGGCCAAAGGAGACACCTGGGTTCTCGGCTCTGACAATGTCTCTGGTTTCATTGGCAAAGAACATGTAAGCAGAGAGGGATCTCTTTGGGGCATCTGGGTCCTTCTTCTTTCTGGTGGTCTTTCTCTTTTCGGTGGTAGACATCTTGGTTGTTAGTATAAAACGAGCAAAAACAGGCAGGCCTGCAATTATATAGCTGGCGCCGCCATCAACGTAAACAAACGCGTAATTTGAGGCGATCGCGCCGGGCATGGCAAGCTCCCCAGCCAGTGCGGGTTTGGGTGGGCGCATGGGCAATCGTGTGCGCACCCCAATTCCATTTGGGGTGGATCCTGCACACAGTCCGGGCATCTTCCACGGTGCGCTTGCCCTTGCGTGCAATTTGGTGGTGGTGATGATTTTTCGTATACCCAGGCATATCCCCCCCAAATTGATTTTCCATCAATTCACCTGGGAGTGGCCTCTGGGGGGTTCACCACCTCCGCCTGTCATTGGCGCCACCATGTGTCCTCGGCGCGGCCCCATGCCACCCCCCAGCCGTGGCGCGAACCTTGGCTGGGTTTTTGCAGCACACCACCAGCCCAACTTCAATCGGTGCTGGCGTCTCCCAACAGGCCCCTGGGGGCATCAACAGCCTGTCACAAGGGTGTAGGCACCTATGACATGGTGGGAGTGTGTCCTGGCGATGGTGGCTAGTGGCTGGGTCGGGGGTGCCATACTTGGTGCAATCTCACTGTGCGTCACTCCAATACTGATAACATACTATAGGGAAAATTTATATGTGGTCTGGTAGTTAAGAATTAACTAAGAAAAGAGGATTTAGTGTGCCCAGCGTTAGTACAATATATATAGATAATTGAGCGGGCCGCGCACTTGCTGTACTGACAATTGTTAGTGCCTCGATTTACCCGCGCGCTCGCCTCTTATGCGGGGCTCCCGTGAACAAATTTACCAACAGCACCACTACCCCACTGGGGAAGCTGCCACAACTAGACCATATTGGAGGACATAATGGACTAATTGGGGGTGGGGGGTACTGCTGGCACATCTCGGCTGCTCTGGTACTTTTTCTGATCCCCATTAAGAGGCATAGTAGTGAGAGTAGCCGGTTGGTGCCATACTGATCTTAGATAGGGGTTGGAGAATATGCCAGGATGTGCGATTTTGTAGAATTTCAACACATTTGCAACTTTTCCAAAAGAGTAAAAGAAATCAGTAGGGAAAAGTGGGAGAGCCAACACAGTTATAACAGTCCAACGGTAGAGATTACCAGGCACGAGCCGATTGTTTTGAAGTCTTGTTGGCGAGAGGAGAATTTCCGGACTGCATATACCGCCCAGACCAACTTGGATCAGTCCGATTATCTGATCGAATTATAAGAGTTGACTTGTTTAGATACTGTAAAATTTGGGACTAGAGAATTGATCCATCTCTATCTACTCACTGAGCTATTCCTGCTTTGTGGTCCATTGGCTATTTCTCCCACCGTGTCACTGCGCTGATGTAGCCCCTCCCCATTCATTTGTTCGCTTTCCCTCCGCAGTTCGAACAGACGCATGAAATATCAAAGATAAGCCGTTTGAACATAACATATCAAAATGATGAGAAAATCGTGTGTTTCCTATTGCAATAGTTATGTATTTCGATTTGCAATATCCTTCCCAAAAAGGACCGGTGATTGTTGGTGAATAAAACTCGTGCCATCCAACTGAAGAACACGCAAACTTGGATTAAATTAGTGGTACTACTGTTGCGGAATTACAATTGAAGTAATTCATTCAGTATTCGTTGTTGGTAGCTACAATCCCAAAAGTACAGCACCACCTACGTATCTACGCTATGACTACTCAAACATAATTATTACCAGTACACTAGTTTATACAGACTAATACCATCCACGGTATTGGGCGTTATCTTGGTAACCGTATTGTGGGTACTGTTGATAAGCACCGTATTGCATAGGTTGGATAACTGGGTTCTGTGGGGCTTGTTGGCCAGCTTGACCAGTCAGACCATTTCTGGAATCGGCAGAGGCATCACCTTGACCGTTAGAAGCTCCTTGGTTGGCAGAGCCAGAAGCACCAGCTTGGCTAGAGCCGGATTGTCCTTGCTGCTGTTGCTGTTGCTGTTGCTGTTGTGGTTGAGGTGGGTACGAGTAACCAGGATATCTATTGTTGAATTGGTTTGGTTGACCGTAGTACTGAGATGGAGCGTTTCCACCAGCAAAGCCACCGTTGGCACCAGCAGTAGCAGAGCTACCAGAAACCTGGTTGGATTGACCAGAGGTAGCAGAAGCACCAGTTTGAGCACCGTTAAGAGATCCACTGATTGGAGAAGCAACGTTGGCGAAGGTGTTTTGAGCACCTCCTAAACCACCGGCTCCAGTACCGTAGAATGGGGTGGAGTAGTAGTTGTAGTAGTATGGGTAACCAAAGTGAGCAGGCATTTGTTGTTGCAAGTTGTTTGGGTTCACAATTGGAGACTGGGTGGAGTCTTGGCTAGCACCAGAGGATGCTGGGGCTGGCTGAGAAGCACCATATTGACCATAGGCAGTGTTAGCGTGAGAAGCAGCTGGGGAAGCAATGCCACCGAGAGCAGCGGCTTGGTTGCCGTAAGAGCTGTAGTCAATACCAGGGTATCCACCAAATTGAACACCTGGTAAGGATTGAGCAGCTTGTTGTGGGTACTGTTGCTGTTGGTATTGATTGTAGTAGTCGTATTGTTGTTGAGCTTGTTGGGCTTGTTGACCTTGTTGACCTTGTTGACCTTGTTGACCTTGTTGACCTTGTTGAGCCTGTTGACCTTGTTGGTTTGCTTGCTTGTTGTTGTATTGTTGGTTGTAAGAATTTTGGTTGTAACGGTTGTTTTGTTGTTGTTGTTGTTGCTGTTGTTGTTGGTTACCGTACAATCCGTAACGTTGGGATTGCTGAGATTGCGATTGAGAAGCTTGGGCATCAACTGATTGAGAAATTTCTTCCTTTGGTTCCGATTGAGCTTGAACTTCTTGCTCTTCTTCACCCAAAGACAAAGAACCGAAAGAGACACCGATAGAGTTGACTTGTTGGGAACCAGCTGGTAAAACCACTTGTGGTTGGATTTCAGCTGCAGGAGCAGAAACTGGTTCGGCGGTGACGGACTCGTAGGCGACGGTTTCGGCAGCTGGAGCACCAGTAGATTCTTGGTTGGTAGCAGATTCGACGGTTTCTTCGACTGAGACAGGTTCTTCAGCAACCACAGGCACATTCTCTTGTTCAACAGGGGCAGCAGCCTTAGGCTTTGGAGCTGGCTTGGCAGATTGAGCAATGGCAGACACCCAGGAGCCTTGCTGTGGTTGAGGAACGGTGGCTTGCTTTAATGGGGCCTTTTCGGAGGTGGTTTGTTGAGGAGCAGGTTCTTCCTTTTCGGATGGGGTAGCTTCATTATGGTCTTGGTCGTTAACATCGTCATTTGGTTGTGGTTCAGATTGAGGTTGTATTTCATGCTTTTCTTCAACAGCCTTTGGTTGAGGTACGTTTTCAGACAAAGCAGCAGCCCAACTGTTGGCGGGAACAGCCGGAGGAGCATTGGCAGCAGCCGCGGTGGCAGCAGTAAGAGCACCGGTGGCGGTTGATGATGGCAAACCAGTCGATGGATTAGCTGATTGGGAGTTGTCCGATTTCTTCTTATATGGGGTACCCGAGAATTGCTTCTTGTAGGTGCCCTTGGCGCTGGAATCGTGCTTGCCCGCTCTAGACTTTTTTATGTTGGACGTGGATGTCGATGATGCTATGTTGTTGTTTGTGTGGTGTGAAGAAGAGTTGCCGCTGGCGGAAGTGTCATCCTGTGAATCTTTTTCCTTCTTTTTCTTGTCCTTCTTGATGGGTTCCCACTTGGAGACCTTATTATTGACAATCAAGTCCAACACGACTTCCAAGTCGTTGTTGTGTTCTGATAACAAGCTCTGCAATTCTTCCACTTCCCAGTCCGGGAACATTTCTGCCAAACTGGTCAACTCGACCGTTGTGCTATTTGTGGATTTCTTCTGATGACTCTTGTATGGTTTTCGTTGTTGTGTCGACATTTTTATGATTCAATCTATGTTAACTTGTGCTAGTTTTACTAGTGCACGTCACTTGGCGCCTCTCTCTAACTATACTCAAGATATGATTATGGTGTATGAAATTCGGTGGCCGTTTTTTTTTGCGTAGGGCGTAGGGGCTGGTGATCGAAGGTCGTCGAAGCTTGGTGCGCGCACTACCCGGTCGTTTCTGGAGGGTCAGGATTCTTGTTAGAGGTGGCTACGGGGGCGATATTGGACGATTTCTGGCAGACCGTATTACTGGCCAGTGGCCAGCCAGTGACTAGCGACTTTGGGCGGTGGCAACGGCCCTGGCCCATTTGCCACTGGCGAAATGGACGGGACCACCTCGAATGACCAGCCAGTGGAGTGAAATTTGCCCACAGTGCGCAAGCAAGGAATTTTTCACCCACCAGAGCCCGTTGGTGGGGGATGGTAGCGCATACTGGGTTCCTTTGGGGGACGGGAGCCATCCAGGCAAAGTCGCAGCCAAAGTGGCAGGCTCCCCTTTAAATCATAAGGTTGCTCTGCTTGGTGTGGGGGACTAACAGGGCCATTTTCTGGATGGATTGCCACCAATAGCGCTTCCGTTTTGGGGAATATCTGTGGGCGCGACTTACAATAGCGGGGCCAGAATGGGAAGATTGGCACCAGCCGTGGCGAAAAGGGGCAAGTTCCCTGGAGAACAGTGTCACCAAACCGGGTGGTGCGAGTGGAACTGTGCCCATCGGTACAGTCAAAACTAGCCAGTTTCGGTATCGTAGTCTAGATCCTTCCAGATCTGGTATTGTCTACAATAGGCAGCCACACTGGAGTCTTGCGATCGTACCACCAATTAGGAAATGATATTGCCTGCAACTAAGCTTCTTTCCCCTAGAAGTATTTTTATGCAGACCACTAAAATACCCGTCACACGTCCTAAAGATCCCTGCCAGGGTAGGCTCCCTAGATTGGCAATGTGGGTAAGATACCACCCCCAACGGGGTAATATGTGTCAAGGGTATTTCCCAAACCATCACCAATCGTTTTTCGCTTGCTGTCAATTTACCTGTTCAGTAGCTCAACTGTCGGTCTTTCCTGATTCAACAATACCCTGTTAGTCAATTTAATCCTAGTTGCAACTCATCGAAGCAACCTTAATGCTAAAATCACTGCATTCAGCAAAGTGCACTTACTGTTTGCAATAACGGGTCAGCTCTCATCGAGAATAACATGACCTGCGACCTAATATGGTGATGATACGCATTCTTTTGCAAACACTTCTTCCAATATGGAAACCTCTTTCTACCTGTACTTGGTAACTTGAATAGTTCGTTTCAACCGTATGGGGAAATAGCAAAGGTCTGATTGCAAAAATGGCAACTTTGTAATTTGTTTTCTCAAATAGTCAAGGGAGGTATTACTGTACTGGTAGGTATTCTCATACAGTTTACCCGACCCAGTAACGCTAGCCACTCAACCAAGATAGCTCTCTGTAAAAGGAAAACCTACAATTAAACCAATAATGGAATCATTTCACGTTACGTCTGTAAACAGTAATAGCATTCTACTCTATTCTACTTGAGTGTTAATTTGCACCCAAAACCGGAACCAAGTTTGAACTGGAATTGCTTGATTCAGTACCCTGGACCAATGGGGCAACAATCTGGTCAACCACCTCGTCAAAAAGACGATATATAAGGCCCTTCAATTCGTCACCAGTTTGTTTGAAATCAGGATATGAGTTGACTTCAAGTAGGGTTACACTAAGGTCGTCGTTCACCAAGTAGTCTATTCCAAATAATTCAATGGCGTTGTCCATGGGTTGGAAGTTTATCTTGTCGACACTGGAAGCAGCCTTGAAAGTCTCACCCGTAATGGAGCACACCTGCTCGAAAACTCTTTGCTTTTGGTCTTCAGTGAGCTTATCGTCTTTGAGGTCCCACCAAGGAACCACCAATGGGGAGTCTTCTTCTTGCAAACAGGTGTTTGTCAAGTGTCCTGCCATATCGATTTCACCGTCCTTGTCTTCTGGCTCCACATACGCGGACCCGGCGAATAAAGTCAAGATGTTCTTGTAAACGTATACCTTTAAGTCACCACTGGCAACTACGTAGGTCCTCAAATGGAATTTCTTGTTATCATAAGCTGGTAACAACAAGGGATTGGATCTGTACTCTTGTACGATGAAGTGACGTAATTGGGAAACAATCACTCCATTATTGTCATCACCTTCATCATCTTCATCTTCAGCATCACTGTCTTCTTCTTCAAATGAATCAAAAATTGCTTGTAATTGTTCAACGGTCTTGAAGATCCTGATACCTTGGCCCTTGTCACTCATACTGGGTTTCAAAATCCAGGTTTTAGTACCGGAATTAATTTCGTCTCTCAATTCGTAGGCTTCATCCAAAGAGTCATCCAAAAACTCAGCATAGTCCACTTCCAATTGGTAAGATTCTGGTGCTGCTGATATTAATACCGAATCAGGGTTTTTGACGGTATAATGATGGATGGTGTTGGCCAAGAAGTGCTTTCTAATTAAGGCCTTTCTATAAATATATGATGGAATAAAGTACTGATTAGGATATTCACCAATCAAATCAAGATCCAAATCTTCGTACTCACCATAATGGAATACTCTTATTTTGGAATTTTCCTTCAACTCAGCCAATACTCTCTTATCGGAGGTGATTTGGAAGCGGCCACTTTTTTTGGCCGCTTCAACCCAAGGTTCATAAATGTATGAGTCCTTGGGAACTGTTATCAAAAAATAGTCGATTGTGGGGGACTCTGTTGTGGGCTCATCAGCATCTAAGACGATTTCTCCTCCCAAAGGCTCGACAAATTTGAAGGCGGCCTTCAATGGTGTGACGCTGATTTCTTCTTCCAACAAAACCCTGCTGTCGGTGTGCTTGAAATCAACCAAGCCATTTTTGTGGACCACCTTGAAGTCTGGAGCCCAGTGGAATTGCATCTGGCCATGTTCGTTGAGTTCCTCACTGGGAGCGTAGATGGACTTCCAGTAGTTTTCCAAAATGGGAGCGTATCTGATCTTGGTCTGGCCCAATTTCAACGACTTGACCAAAGGCACGTTGACTGAGAAGATGTCGATGTCTTTCAGCTCTTTGAGCTGGTTGTACAACTTGGTGACCAACTTGACGGAGATGTGTGCAGCTTCCTTCAACACCTGGTGGTCGTGGTGGGGGCTGTTGAACGAGTAGCTCAAGGCAATGGCCTTCTTTCCGTGGGTGACAGCCTCCATGGCTGCTCCGACAGTGCCGCTGGTCAAAACATACAAGTTGCCTGCGTTCTTGCCGAAGTTGGGGCCACTCAACACCAAGTCGATCTCTTTCTCTTTGGTCTGCGAGTAGAGGTGGTGGATTCCGATGTCAGCACACGCAGCTGGGGTGCTGTCGACAAGGCACCATTCCTGCCACTCGGGGCCACGGTGCTGAGGGGTGTTAAACGGCCCGTCAAACTTGTTGACGCCGTCAGCCGAGGACCCGCTGGTGGACTCTTGGGTGTAGATGTAGCTGGTGGTTAAGGTCTTGCCGGCAAAATGGGCCTTTCCAATCCACGATCTCTGCTGGTTGGGCACTACGATGGACAAGTCCCAATTGGTGTTGGTGTTGATCTCATCGACCAAGTACTTCATGTAGGGACAGGCGCGGTCGTCCAAGGGCCCGTCGTCATTGGTGAGAAGGACATGCATGGCGTGGCTGTTGGTGGTGGTGTGGAGTCAGGAGGAGGTGGTGATATTAGCGCTGGATATTAGCAGTGATATTAGCGCTGGGCCTGGATCTTGTTTGCAGGAAAAAATTGCGGGACACCAAGAAAAGGTGAAGACAACCATAAGAACAGTGGCAGACTCACAGCGTCCAGCCCAGCCAACAGCCAACAGCCAAAAGCCAATAGCCACCCAGTCCAGCCAACAGCCGTCCAGAATCGAGCATTCGAGGCCTCACTAGCATATATCATCACCAGTAGACACTATCTACCACAACCACCACCACAACCTCACAATGTCTATGTTCATTGGCAGCTCGTCACAGTACTCCCAGGCGTCTGTGGATCCCGAGAAGATCAAGTTGTCCCAGATCCAGTTCGACGCCACGGCAGCGACCTTCAATAAGGTGTTGTCGACGTGTGCCTCCAAGTGCTTGGGTGGGGAGTACGGCGAGAGCGACTTGGTGACTGGAGAGGCCAGCTGCATCGACCGTTGTGTGGCCAAGTACGTCAAGGCCAACATGGTGATCGGCCAGCATCTCCAGGAGCAGCACATCGAGCCCTATGGCAGTATGCCCGAGTACAGAAAGGTCCAGCAGATGTTGGAGAAGGGCCGCGATGCCTAGGCCACCAGCACGCTAGACAGTGCCGTAACACTTGTATATACGAATAGATGGGTCAAACGATGGATTTGGAGTGTAACAGAGCTTGTAATTGGGAATAATTGAAAAAAGCATCAACTTTCGATAACCAATGGGAGAGGTAGTAGAAGTAATTTACACCTACCAGTGGGAGAGGTGATAGAAAGAAATTTACAACGATTACCTCCAGCTAAGTACTGGAAAATTAATTTACACCCACGAGAGCGAAGAGGAGAAGTAAATTAGTTACAATAACCTTGTCCAGCAGGGTCAGTAGTAGAATAGCAATTAGCTCCCGATGATCTCCAGCTAATTACCTACGGATAAATAACGTGCAACTAGTACAAGCCTACATGGAAACTATCAAACTGTCGAAACGGCAAACCTACTAAACAAGAATAAGGCTCTGGAATGTAATTTACCACGACCTGTCTTCAGGGAAGTACTAGAAACGAAAAGAAATCAGCAGGGATAAGGCGCCAATATGGAAAATAAACTTCGTCTAGCCCTCTAGTATCGATTCAGGTGTACGGTTGAATTATACCATAAATTATTGCCCAGTGTGGCACATTCTTTCATTTCCAGCCACCGTCATAATAAATACTTCACCATAATTAGAAGCTTGTTCCATTCTCTATCAGAGTATGCATAGTAAATGTGCCATCAAAAAACGTTAATGATAGAAATATGGATTTTTGGAAGGAAAAGCACTGTAAGGACTTAACATATAATGTATCGGCCGAACGTACGTTCGGCGCTCGATCTGGCAACTTAGATCTATAATCAAATTAGAACTAAGTTAAGCCTGTATATGGTCTGATAATTGCTTGTCACACATGGGGTGATGGCTCGAATAGCCGTCATAACCGAAAGCAATGGCTTAGTTTTAGCAACCGATTGTTGCAGGCCAGAGTTGATCTCCAGTGATATCCACAGAACTTTTAGAATCAATTCAGAATTCCAATCGATAATAGATGGCGTACTGCTAGTAGTGAATCTATCAGAATATCCAGGTACCTGGCTACGTTTCTCTCAATATCTAGTTCATTAGACATAACTATTTATACCTCATTGCAATTACAATTGACCCTTGGTGTGGAAAATTTCCAAGGCTTCGGAGATTCTGGCAGACATGGTCTTTTCACCTTCTCTAACCCAGACTCTTGGGTCAAAGTACTTCTTGTTTGGCTTGTCTTCACCTTCTGGGTTACCGACTTGGGAGAGCAAGTAGTCCTTCTTGTTCAAGACGTAGTCTCTGATACCCTTCAAGTAGGCGTATTGACAGTCAGTGTCCAAGTTGACCTTGACAACACCGTTCTTGATGGCGATGTCGAATTCTTCTTGGGAAGAACCGGAACCACCGTGGAAGACCAAGAACAATGGGTGGTCAGAGGAGGAACCGGATTGTTCCTTGGCGTACTTTTGGTGGTCACCCAAGATTTCTGGCTTCAATTGCACGTTACCTGGCTTGTAGACACCGTGGACGTTACCGAAAGCAGCGGCGATAGAGAAGCCTGGGCCAATTGGGGACAAAGCTTCGTAGACCTTGTAGACGGTTTCTGGCAAGGTGTATAAGGATTCCTTTTGGACGTGTTCGTTGTTGACACCGTCTTCTTCACCACCGGTGATACCGATTTCCATTTCCAAGAATTGGCCAATGGCGTGCATTTCCTTGAAGTACTTGACACAGGTGGCGATGTTTTCTTCGTCGGATTCTTCCGACAAGTCCAACATGTGGGAGGAGAACAAAGGTTCACCGGTCTTTTCGAAGAATTCCTTGTCGGCCTTCAACATACCATCGAACCATGGCAACAACTTCTTGGCACAGTGGTCGGTGTGCAAGATAACTGGGATACCGTAAGCTGGGGCAACGGCTCTGATGTAGTGGGCGGCAGCGATGGAACCAGCAATGGAAGCTTCTTGGTTCTTGTTGTCGACACCCTTACCGGCGAAGTAGGCGGCACCACCTTGGGAGGTTTGCAAGATGATAGGACTCTTGTTGTCTCTGGCGGCTTCCAAGGCAGCAACGACGGTGGAGGAGGAAGTGACGTTGATGGCAGGGATAGCGAAGCCCTTTTCTTGGGCGTACAAGAACAATTGACGGACGTCGTCACCGTAGATAACTCCGGATTTCTTTAAGACAGCAGCACACATTATGGGATTATGATTGATTCGGTTGTACCTCGAATTGGTGGCTGCCCACCCTCTTTATATACTGTGAGACCTGGCGCCAGTGCACAAAAAAAACTGAAAACTCCGAAGGATCACAATCATCCGGGGCCGACGGCAACCATTGGGCCGGCGTAGGGGCGCGTAGGCGACCGCGCCCGCTACGCACCGCCGTGGCGAGATCACAACCGCGCTGACGTCGCCAGCTACATCATCGTACGTTGGGGCCAGGTGGTGGAAATGTCGGACGCTGATTGGTGGAGAGAGGGGTACTGGCCAGCGCGACGTGTGGAGGGGATTGCTGGTGGGGCGTGGGGGCCCTGAGCAGTTGCCTGATTTGCTTTAGGAAGCATGGGGCCCCGGGCAGTGCCGGGCGGGATGGTTGCGGGCGTCACATGAGAGCCGGCTGTCCGGAGTCACGTGGGTGCAAGCCCACCATGGGTGGTGCCAAGCAGCAGGAACTGTGTACAGCCAGCGAAGTAGGTGCTTGGATGGAATTTGGCTGTCTAGAGCTCGCCACCAAAACTGGCCAGTAATCCTCGCTGCGACCTCCAGAACTTGCTAACCAGCAGATTGGTGGCAGCAACTTGATGGCTGCTGGCCCAGGCCATTTTCATAACCAGCAATCGGTGGTTGGTCCTGGCTTGCCTGGCCCGCACACGACCAGCCTACCACCCTCCACTCCACGTGACCCGTCCCACAAAAGGTTTCCTGCCCACACCAACTAGACGCCATGCTGCTCACCACCATCGACGGCTTGTCGTACAACACGTTCGATGTCCAGGACCAGGACGAGTTCAAGCAGATCTCACGCTTGATCTCGGGCCACCTCTCAGAGCCCTACTCCATTTATGTCTACTGGTTCTTTCTCAATACCTGGCCTCAGTACTGCTACACTGTCAAGGTCGATGGCCTGATAATAGGCGTGATCATCTCCAAGGTTGAGCCTCACCGTAACGTCCGTGTCCGTGGCTACATCGGCATGTTGGTCATCGACCCCCAGTATCGAAACAGGGGCATTGCCTCCCACTTGGTCCATCTCACCATAAAGAACATGGTGCAGTGGGAAAATGTGGACGAAATCATGTTGGAGACCGAGGTCATCAATAAGGGGGCGCTTCGGTTGTACGAGAGCTTGGGGTTCTTGCGGACCAAACGCCTCTACCGCTACTACTTGAACACCCACGATGCATACCGGTTGATCTTGCCATTGACCGCAAAGGCCACCACCAGGATAGCCTTTCTCGAGCAGCTTGAAAAGCTGCCGCTGGTGTAGCGGGAGAAACTTGGTACTGGGTGCTGCTACTCCTTGAAGAAGGTTACTTCACAATCGCACCACACTTGGTTATGGTTCTTGGTTATGGTTACACTAAGTAAGGTGGAAGGGAATTGAGAACTTCTGACCTGCCGGAACATCCTTACTTCTCTCCTCTGGAATATCATGCTCTTTTCTCGAGAAAAGCCTCTACCCAAACCTTGTGCCGCAATACCACCTTGGGTTTGACCCTACTACTCTGGCGGACCATGCAAGAAAAGTTTTATAGACCCCGCCTCCCCATCTCGCCACCTCATCAGCTGACGCCCGGCAACAGTATATAGTCCCCTGCCCCACGGGCCAACAGCTCAATCATAACGACGATACGTATCCTAGACCCGCGACATCGTGCTGGCACTGCGACATCTTGCTGGCACCGCGACATCCCCGCCACGCGTGGGACGCGTCGGTATATATTCTCCTGATGCCTCCAAATCTTTTCACCATATCTCTTCCACACACACAATGCTTGAAGGTAAATTTGACGAATCCACCCTCTTAAAGAAGATTGTCGACTCCATCAAGGACGTTGTCAAGTTATGTAACTTCAACTGTACCGAACACGGTATCACCGTTCAAGCCGTGGACGACTCCAGAGTGTTGTTGGTGTCGTTATTGGTTGGCCAAACTGCCTTCAGCGACTACAGATGTGACAGAGACGTGACGTTGGGAATTGACTTGGACAGTTTCTCCAAGATCATCAAGAGTGCCAACAACGAGGACTACTTGACCTTGTTGGCTGAGGACTCCCCCGACAGCGTGATGACCATTTTCGAAGACAAGAAGAAGGAAAGAGTCAGTGAGTACTCGTTGAAGTTGATGAACATCGACTCCGAGTTCTTGAAGATCGACGACATGGAATACGACACCGTCATAACAATGCCTTCTGCCGAATTCGCCAAGATTGTTCGTGACCTCAAGAACTTGAGTGAATCGTTGAACATCATCGTCACCAAGGACTCGGTCAAGTTCTCTTCCGATGGTGAGGTTGGATCTGGATCCATCGTCTTGAAGCCATACACCGACATGGACAGACCGGAAGAAAGCATCAACGTCCACTTGGACAACCCTGTCGACTTGACCTTCGGGTTGAAGTACTTGAGTGACATCATCAAGGCTACCGGGTTAGCTGGTACTATCACCATCAAATTGGCCGACAAGACTCCAGCCTTGTTCGAGTACAAGTTGGACGTGGGTGGCTACTTGAGATTCTACTTGGCTCCAAAATTCGACGAAGACGAATAGATGTATTTTAGTAATAATATGGATAAACGAAGAAGTGTAGGAGGGGAATAACAGAGGAGGGTGGGATGCGAATGGGCATTGACCCAGGCGAAAATAGTATGTGTGGGTAATTTCGATATCCCTGTAGGAAATAAAACATCTGATAGACCAGATGTGTGGGCCAGCATAATCCCAGTTTGTGCACAAATATATACTCAAGCACCCGAGAAGTGACGTATACACCAAGAAATCGAATAAAATGCTGAAATACCAAGTCTATTTGTATTAATGTCGAGTGCAAAGTTTCCATTCGGTGACATCTTCCATGTCAGGACGGATAGACTATGTACCGAAGATCTAAATTGCTAGGTTTGACTTGTTCCAATCTAAATATAATGCTTTCACCAACCTACAGTTGAGAGCATTTTAGCAAATGGACTTCTCGTGTAGCTGGCAGATTTTTGAGTAATACGCCAGGCTCGTCAAAGTACCATCATTATACGTTTGGAGCTGTACATGATTAACTAGTGGGCTAAATATTGTGGTCATGAATTTTAATATTCTAAGCAATGGATGGTTATACGGCGAGCTTTGAAGCCGGACTCGACATTTTTGACAATGTACTGATAATATGGAGTAGTAATACAGACGCTAGAAAGAAAGGGCACCGGGCCTGGACTAACTGCTCTTGCGATCATACATCTCCTTGCCCCACTTGTAGAGGTCCTTTTTCAACCGGTCGGCCCTCACAATTCCGTTCCGCAAGTATGTCAAGTTCTTGATATATTCGTGCTGTCTTTGGATGCTGACTTGGAGGTAGTTCACGAGCTCGTCGTGCAAGGTGGCAAGCTCGTCGTTGGACTCCTGCTGGAGCTGATGGGCCTCGTAACGCTTCAATGTTTCCGGAAGTGCAAAGAATGGGTCAGTGACGCCATCAGCGTCCTCAGGCTTGACGGCGTCGGCTGGGGCAACCCCCTTGTCTTCGTCCAAACCGTGGTCATATTTCTGGAGCCCCAAGTTCTCCTCTAACAAGTAGAACCAGTCCTCGCCGTTCAACACCTGGAGCAACTTGTTGAGCCAGTTGAGGTTCTTCTGCTCCACCTCTATTATGTCGATGAACTCGCTGGCGATTTTGTGGAATATGGGCAGCTTGTAGGTTTTCAGGATGGCGGGATGGGAGACTACCTCCAGTGGATGGCCCAACGGCGCCAAGATGTCGGCGATCTTGATCTTTTTGAACGGGTGTTCGTCGTCGGAGTCCGAGGAGGCGTCCTCATCGTCGTCGTCATCGTGGTCGTTGTCGTTTTCGTCGGAGTCCTCGGAGTCTGAAGTTCCGTAGAACTCCTTCCACTTGCGCTTATTGCGGTAGTTACTCTTCTCGATGCTCTCGTTTGTCAAGATCAAGTGGTTGACTCCGTCGTACTCGGCTACCTTTGTCTGAAGCAGGTCTAGCGACGATGCTGGCATGTCTGCTTTGATGCCTCTGTTGGGGTGGAGGCGCTCTGCTGTCAGCGAGGGCACCTTTTTGGCCAACACAGCCTGCTTGAAGCGGGAGATCACGTCGAGGGAGTGGTTGTCCAACATGGTGGGGAGGAGATGGTGATGGTGGAAATCTGTTTGGATAGGCTGCTGCGATTGGTCCTGCAGATGGACCGAAAGGAATGTGTAGCATTGAGCTTGTGAGAATGGGAGAAATGAAGGGTCAATTTTGGAGTGGGAGAAATGTAGAGAGGGAGAAATGTTCAGCTATCTATAGCTACTAGCGTGGGAGAGATCGCTTAAGTTGGATATCGATGATAATCTATTTTACTGAGGTCGTTAGAGACTGGAAATCCATTGCGAGATGAATAATCGTCAGAAATAGAAGGAATGGCCAAACGGACCTTGGGCCGTATTGCTTGACACTGGAGCGTACGGGGAAATAGAGCGTAGCTAGAACGAGATAGCACACCACCATGGGTGAATTAAGCTCCCCAGTTCTTGAGTATTGCTTCAAAGTACATGTGTAGATTGCAATATGTTAAGTCACGGTATTGATATCTGAGAATTTATGCCATGAAAGTTCTTCGGGTATTTCTTACGGTATGTGCAGACGAGTCACAAGTGGAGCACATTCTCCAGACTGTTGTAGTATGGAACATGAATGATAAATACCAATTGAAACAATGTCGTACGAAGTGTTCAAAAGTCAAAAACATGACAAAAAGGCTAATTGTCCATGAGAAGGTAATTTACTACCAGTAGAATCAACTGGGAGAGGCAAAGTCAGCCTCATGCGCTAACAGCAATCCTTTGGTCAACCTCTCGGATGTTATCTGGAAACTGGTGCAACTTCTCCTACTGACTACATGCAGTTCTCGATACTCAGGAGTCACACACTGTATATAACACAGCAACGCCTGCAACCATAACCTCCAGCCTTCCACGTGATAGAACCGCCACCCATCCCTCGATTTCTGCCACACCACCGTCTCCTCCTGTGAACCCCCACCGCTTTGATCCGTGAACCCCACCACCCATGGATATAACCTACTTGGTGGTATACCACGCCCATAGTGGCCACAGCACCCGAATCCCAAAGCCAGTGCGATACCACTCCTTGGCCGAGTTTAAGGCGTTTTTGCAACAATCCTTCGACATCGACAACACCGACAATTTGTTCTTGTTGACGTCGTTCGGCATCAAGCTCAACTACAATCTCATCAACGAATTGGCCGATGTGTTCATCTACGACAAACGCCTCTTTGCCAATGATCTCCAACTCCACCATCCCGGAGACGGGGGCGAAGCCGGGATCACCGCCCCCAGAATGCCTGCCATAGACGACGACGGAGCTACCAGCATCTCGGTCAAGAAGATGTCTTCGAACCTCAAGGTGGTCCAGGCGTGGGCCAAGGCCCTCTTGCAAGACTGTCTTGCTGCCGAAGAGGAGGCCCGCATATTGACCAAGAGGATTAATGTCATGTTCCGAGCCCTCAACTTGATTTTCCAGTTCGGCACCAACTTCACCAACGACATCGAGAAAACCTTCAACAATTACCTCAACCACATCAAACTTATCAACTACAAATCATTGCACCAGAACTGGAACGAACATTACGATAAATTGAAAAAGTTTCCCGTGGTACAAATCAAGCACCATTCCGTCAGTTTGCCATCGCTTTTGGATGAACGGCGCTTGAGGACTTCCTCCGAGTATATTGAGAGTAATCTTCCCAAAGTGATATTGAAGTTCAACTCCATGAGCAGTATCATCAACTCGGTCAATCAGGACAAAATTGGCATCGACAAAAGCATAGAGGCTTCTAGAAATGAGTCTGTCAACACATTCAAGCATATAAACCCACAATCACATTTGGATGCAATCCAAAAGCTCTGCAATCAACTATCCACTGACCTCGAGGACCTTGCATTAAACAATATCGCCAACCTTAAGTCAATCTACTACTTACATGTACGTGAAAACACAAAGGAAATATATGATAATGCAAGCAGATTGGTCGCCCACTTGACTAACTTGCAACAATTCCGGAACAAGCTATCGCAGGATAGTTTGAGTATTTTCAACAGAATCGCCAATCTTCAGATGCGAATGGTTAATATCAAGACCGATTTAAAAACACTTACAAGTCCATCCGAGACCAAGGAATCAATGTCATTCCAAACAATCAACACAATAAGAGAACTTGAGGATTATTTATCACTAACTATTGATCTTCCCCTACTATTCGGATTCATGTTAATTGAAAAGAGAAGACAGTTCGAGTGGTACGATTTTTATTCCAAAGGAATAGTAAGTAATGTTTCAGAACAACTTTCCACAATTATTGAGCATGAAAAACTATTCAGAAACATATGGTTAAAAAAGATTGGAAACTTCTTAAACTTACTAAAAGATGAACGCATAGTTTCCACATTACCAAGTATTGATGTTACTTTAGTTGGAAATAAGAATGAGAATTTCAGTGTGTTGTACGACATCGAAATAGAGAGATCAGATATTGAAAGCTATTTGGATACCTTGGAAGCCTCTTCTGCTCCAAAGAACTTTGGAGAATTATTGCGAAAGAATTTCAAGGATTTGATCAAATCAACAAATAATTTGAAGAAAGTTACGGCTCTAATTAGCTCATTGAGTACATACACTTCTATTTCAAATGAAGAAAAACTGAAGATCATACAGAAAGGCGATGGAGAGGAACCAGATGTTGATTTTGGGCTTGTCAAAGAACTTAAACTCCGTATCAAAAAATTGGAGAATTTATTACATCAGCAGCAATACAAGAATATCACAAACTGGCCAGTTACCAGGAATAATTTGTCCAGCACAGACAATCGAATTAGTTTGATATTGGATCCTAAGAAGCCCGTGGTTCCCACACCACCTAAGACAGACCCCACCCTGTTGCTTCAAAGAAGAAACACAACAGGAGATTCCCTAGGTCAATCTAGGGCATTGGATACTTCAGGCATAGACAAGCATTTAGACAACATTAGACTCCGAAAGGAGAATGGAGAGTTGGATCGAGAAATTAAGAGAGTTGGGGAGGAAAACAAACGAATTTCTCGAGAGAATGAACGGATACTCGTTGAAAACAAGCGGGTTTTGACAGATTTGCAAAGTTTGCTGGATACAAAGAATGAACTCCAGACTCATCATAGAAACTTATTGGATGAGAACGAGAAAGTGACTTCTGAAGTTCAAGTATTAACTAAAAGCAATGCTGATTTGATTGAAGCAAACAAATCATTGAGAGAGGAAAATGAAAGATTGTCTGGCGGTGCTAAAGCAAATGAAAAATTAATCGACGAGCTTCGTAAACAGGTATCTTCTATGGAAAGCAGCCACCAAGATAAAATCAGAGAATACGAAGACAAGCTCAAGAAGAAAGAAGAAGAGATCACTGCCAAAAAATTCGACACAAGGTTGGAAAGTAAGAATTTGGAAAGTTTGAACAAGAAACTCGAGTCCAGAGATACGAAGATTATGGAACTACAGAATCATCTTGCAAAGTTTACTGAGCTTCATACCAATTCTTCTTATGAGATTAACGAGCTTAATAAGAACCTTAATCAATTGAGGTCTGAGCTAAAGGATTCGGTTGACATGAAGAATGATTTATTGTCAAACTTATCTTCCAAAGAAACTGAGTTTACAAAAGAACGAAATAACTTTGAGAGCGAGATAAAAAACCTTCAGTCTAAGCTCGAAGAAAAGATAGAGGATTATGAGAATTTGATGGAACTTACTCAGACCAAGCATAAAGTAAACGAGAATTTGATCAATGATCTTAATAAGTTAGTTGCAAACTTATTCAAGAATGTTCACCAGTTGGTTGAAAACAATTTCGAGTTTTTCCTCGAATTTTGCTTTATGCTTGAATCGATGGGATTACTATTGGTTAAAGAGAATCAAGAATACAAGATCACTAGAGTCAAGGGATTGAGATCCAAAAAGGGCGGAGAAGACAATGAATCTCGAATTTTAAACTCAGATAAACCTAATTCAAAGGTTATTGAGGAAATTGAGAAGAGTAAAGAATGGGCCAGTAAATTAGCAGAATTACCAGAGCCTCCAATATCAGGATCATCTGATGTAGTTGGTATCGATCATGAAGACGATAAGTTAAGTGAGCATTCCGCTGCACTTTTATCTTTATATGATGAGATTTTCAACTCAGAACCTTCCAAACTTGAAGAATTCCTCAAAGTTATTGCATTTAAGGAGAATGTAGTAATGCAGGAAGATAGTATCACTTCAAAATTCTTCTTGAATGCCGTTTCGAAGAGATTCAGAGACGTGGAAGGTTTTGCAAAGAGACAAACCAAGGAAAACAAGGCTAAGGATCAAGAGATTCATAAATTAATTAACCGTCTCAATTCAAAGATTTCGATGAACGACTTCCACGTCAACGATTTGGTATTGTTTTTACCCACTAGAATTGACGTTGAGGGCGAGGAGTCGAATCCATCGTCCCAGCCATGGGCAGCATTTAATATTGGAGCTCCCCATTACTTCTTAAACATGGAAAGCAGCAAAGAAATGGAGAAAGATTGGATGGTAGGGAGGATCAAAAGGATTAACGACCACAAGGTGACGGAGGAGAATTTTGAAAGCGAAGTTGATAATCCATTCAAACTAAGCGTTGGTGTGGTGTGGTACTTGGTGGAAGCTACGGAGGTCTAGTCGAACCTACCCACAGTTTTATTTATTCCCTGAAAAGCAACATATATAGAATCAAAACTTACTGGACAGTCTTGACATCGTAATTGTATACTTATGAATGAACACCAATACAGCACTTACTTTTCTGCATCCTATTCAAAATGATAACGTCCAGAGTCCATCCAGATATTTAAAATTGTACTCGCTTTCATCTGGGTGTAAGAAGAAAACCGTATGATTAATATTTCATATTGGCTTATGACACTATAGTCCTTGTATACTAACGTTTAATTCATTGATGTGCTATAAAACTTACTCTGGGGCATTATTGAATAAGTAACTAACACTCTCACCATTGTGTAGTCTTCTGATGGCTTCCGCTAATGTGGCACTGATGTCAATAGTCTCAAGTCTAGGACATCTGGCTAACTTATCCTCCAAAGGCATCGAATTTGTGCAAACAATCTTATCCAATTTGGAGTTGTTGAGTTTTTCAATAGCATTAGATGAAAAAATACCGTGAGTGATAATGGCCACCACCTTCTTGGCACCGTTATCCAACAACACGTCAGCTGCCTTGCACAAGGTTCCACAGGTGTCAGCCATATCGTCTATCAACAAGCATACCTTGTCGGCGACATCTCCCACCAACACCATTCTGGAGACCTCGTTGGCCTTTTGTCTTTCTTTATGGATCAATGCAAAGTTGACGTCGAATTTGTCGGCAATAGAGGCGACTCTTTTTGCACCTCCGGCATCTGGAGAAACGATAATCAAATCATTGAGAGAATAGTTCTCCTTGATGTATCTCAACACTGAAGGTTCGGCGTAGAGATTATCCACGGGTACACGGAAAAATCCCTGGATCTGTGATGCGTGTAGGTCCATCGTTATGACGTGATTACATCCTGCGGTTTGGAGCAAGTTGGCTATCAACTTGGCCGTAATTGGTGCTCTGGACTTATCTTTCTTATCTTGTCTAGCGTAGGGGAAGTTGGGTATGACGGCAGTGATTCTTCTGGCACTGGCAATTTTGCACGTATTGATGGTGATCAAAAGTTCCATCAAGAAGTCGTTGATACTAGTCTCTCCACATCCTGTTTGAAGTATGTATACGTCTTCATCTCTGACCGATTCACCCACTGCCACAGCAGTCTCCTTATTTGTGTACTGGAAAGCGCCAACTTTGGCAAGCTCGATGCCGAGCTTTTTGGACACTTGTTCCGCAAGCTTGGGGTGTGAGTTACCCGAGATTAACTTGATCGAGTTCTGTGAAGAAGGCATTCGTGGGGTTAATTGTAGGCTTATCTCCAATAAAATTTCGACACGATGGGCCATCACGTGGGGTGTGTATACAGGACCACTTTAGTGCCAGGGAAATAGCTACCTTACAATCATTATACGTTTGGAAGTTGTATATTTTAGCATTAGAAAGCTTGTATCGAGCATTTCTAGAGCTTAGATTTTAGGTTAGACTTCAACTTGTCTATGATGAACGCAGCTTCCCTCTGGCCACTAAACCATCCCCCGTGAGCACAGCCATTGGCACTATCACCCACGGTTTCAGCACCAGCAAACCGGATCCTGCCGTCCACCCCTTTGCCAAAAGCTTCGATGATTTCTTCTGGATTGATACACCCAACTGGTACTGTCGCATACGATCCTCTGGCAAACTTGTCATTGCTCCATGGTGTGTGGATGATTTTCTTGGGTTGAGGAATATCCTTGAGTTGCGACACTTGTTGGAGGAGGGGCTTATAAAGCGCCCATATTTTGGCGTCCTTGTCCTTGGGGTCCAAATTCTCGATGTACCTCGAGACTGGGTCCTGGATAATGGTGGCCAAAGCTGGGAAGTTTGCAGCCGCCTGTAGGTTGACGAAAATGGCAGAGTAATCCCATGGCTTGATGGTTTCTGTTGAAGTGATGTCACTTTCAGAGATTGCGTAGAATCTGTCCACGTCCTTGGGCCAAAAAGCTTCGTCAAACTCGAAGAATACCTTCCCAAGCGAACCGAAATAGACACTTGGGAGAACAGAGGTGATGTGGGCAGGCAACTTTGGGGTCCATTCGATCCTGCCAGAATCACTAGGGTCGGTGATAGTAAGTAGAGACTGCGGAATTGTGGATATCAAGTACTGGCACGAATGTTTTTTGCCGTTAGTATCGGTCACGGTGATATTTTTGGGGTTGGAGTAGTCTATGGCTTTGATTTGGGTGTTTAGCTTGATGTTGTTTTCCCTGAAACTAGGCGAGAGCTCGTTAAGCTCGTTGTTGAAGACACTGACGTAGCCGTTCAACACAAATACGTTTCTTCCCAAGTGATCGGAGCCATGGAATGCGTATCTTCCAGAGAGACGGTCCCAGGACTCACCGTGCCAGAGCTCGGCCCACATTCTCACCACACCCGTGGCATATTGCAACTGGACCTCATCCAATTGGGAGGCGTGCTGGGCAATGTACTCGTGACACAACTCCTTCAACGATACGTCTGGCCGCGAGGGATCCCGCGAATAGACCAACTGGGTGTAGGTCATGATTTCTGCCACCACAGGCTCGAGTCTCGAGGTGTCGATGTGGGGATTGCCTTTGCCGTACAAGATCTGAGACCCGTCGTCGTAGTAGTACTTGATATTGCCCTTGGCGATGGCCTTGTCATACAAGGGGTTGTTCAACGAGTCGTGGAACCACAGAGCGCCCATGTCATACTTGATGTCGGGGTTGGCGGTGTCGATCGATAATAACCGACCACCCAACCTGTCTCTTGCCTCCAAGATCACACAGTCGATGCCAGCCTTCTGGAGGTCAATGGCGGCCTTGATGCCGGAAATGCCTGCTCCGATGATGATTACAGGGCTATGGGTCATTGTGGAGCATTGTCTGGTTGCGAAAGGGCGAGTTGTCTCTTTTATGTCAGCTAGCTGGCTTTGGCTGTCCCGCGATAGTAGCCGCCAGCACGCCCTGGGACAGTGCGATACCGCTGCACTTACCCGATAGGGACCGGTGCGGGAAGACAGCACCGCGAGAAGTGACAGGGCTCGAGAATGTACGGAAGGGAGTAATGTGGGGACGCCACCTTTGGGCTGGAGCTGAGCCACGTCAGTAGGGGTCGGAACGGGATGGAAGTAATGGTAGGCTACCGTAGGGATGGGATTTCGCAGCTAGTGGGGCGAACCTAGTAGTCCCAATGGAGTGTAATAGTCTGATTCGAAGTATAAGAGGATTTCCGAATAATACACCGAGTCTACTTTTTCCGTAGCTACCTTGAAAGCACTACTTGTATGATAGCTGTAATTAGCCAAATACACTAGATTGTCCACCTCCCTCCAGCTCCATACTCCACTCTGTAACAGCCAACAACGAATAGTTCAAGTTCGGTACTCTCCACCATTGGGTACACTGTAAGAAACGTCAGCAATCGCGATCTGTAACTAAGAATAGAAACCAGCTAGCTAACTTCTACTGATATTTGGCTAAAAGCGAATAAGTGGTTAATGCTCCTATTTGGCTGGGAAATGATCATGAAGTTGACTGACCGATGAGGAACAAGTCTATTGGTTAATATTATGAAGTCATCCCAATTATTTGGAATAGGTTCATGATAGTGATCTTAGTGCGAGTGCTTTAATAATACCCCAAAATCATCAGAGAAAATATGCACCTGGGAAATCTCACAGAGCATACCATACCATAGGAGGGATCGGGATGGAGAAAGGGCCTTGTGTCCAGAGTGCACAACAAACCAAGTGGTGGAGGTTATGTGCCAATTCAATAGATATTATCAGGTGAGCGACAATAAAGGGTAGCACCAGCCGAGATTACGCCCAGATGTGGCACCATAAGGACTAGTCGAGAATATCTCTAAAAAACCCACTCACCACAGGAGCGCTGTTTAGTGTATAAATAGGTTTCTTGTATAGTGCGAGGTGATCCAATATGAGGTGCCATGTAGCCTTGCGGGCTGACTGTAGTGAAAACTACTTGACATTACTGAGTTGTCTCACCCTTACTAGCTTCTTATCGCAACTTGTCACCAGTGCTAGGATCGGAAGTCCTGTAAATAGTAAATCCGAATTATGATGGAATTGAGCATTCATCTGATAATAAAGTACAGGCTAATTATACCAATCCCTTGTAATAGGAGATACGGTGCCTAATATGCCTACAAGTAGTAATGGTCTCTCTCCATAAGATCAGTGATCGGCCAAAAATATTAAATTACATACATTATTTTTTTCGTGGCCCCTGCGATAACAGCGAGGTGCATAGTAGTGAGACACTGTAGGGGATGATTCTGGGATCAGTGGAGAGGTGCATGAGAATTCGTCCGGTTGGCGAGAGGATGCGTTTCAGGTGGAATAGCACCATGGTGGTAAAACCCTTAACTCAATACTCCGGAAAACCCTCAGCACCTCAGCACCTCAGCACCTCTCCAGGGCCATTTGGTTTTACAGTTGAGGCTAGTCATGGCAACGTGGAGTAAACTTCGGGGTGGGTGGCTGCACAGTGATTATTATGGCAGTCCTGTCATAATAATCAAGACATACCACCCGCAACTACCACTCCATTCCGGTCGGACACACCAGTTTCATGGCTGAAATACGGCTCACGTGACAACTATTGCCTATTGTGGGTGACAGGCAACTACAACGTTACATCCACAGACCTCTGGGGCAGCTGGCCCGTGAGCCACCCATACAGGTGGTCTCCTCGGGCACCTCGAGCCTAGGCCCCCGTGCCGGAAGTATGTGTGGCCAGCAGCGCCCACTGGCAGTGCGATCTCGTCAAATCCTCGAAGCACTCCGATCACCACCAGATCAGACCCGATCACGCACACCCGATCCAGCCCCGCCAGCCGTACGCCTGGCTGCGAAGGTCCCAATCCAGAAGTGTGATGAAGGGGCAGCCACCGGCATGTTCCAAGCCCAGGGGAACACCCACCTGCCGCATTCGATACCCATAATACGCCCCGAAGTGCCGGAAAAGCAATGCCCAAGAAATATCGGGAGTGTGCTTACGTAATCGCTATTGTTCCCAGCCACTCGAGCAAATCACTGGGGACCACACAGTGGGCCACCCAGGCACTCTGGTGGGGGCGGCCCCTCCTGCCTCCCACCAGGCGTCCCTGTGGTGTGGCCCAGTCCAGGGTGTCGCCAGATCACATCTCCCCCCGCGTCCCGATCGGGTAACCGGGGCGTTTGTACCACCCTCGTCTGCAGTCACATCGTCAAATAGACGAGACGGAGGTAAACACAATCGGCGGCTCCAGTGTCAGGCCCCGTGCAGGCATGGGCAATTGTGTCCCCGGCAGCAGTGTGGCTATTGGGAATGTCCCGTAGGCTTCGCCCGGATTCGCTCGGTATCCCCCCGTTTGAGACGGCAATCTTGTCTGGAATATTATCGGCATGTAGCCCAGCTGGGGCCTTTCTTATTGTTTAAATAACTCCCGATTTCTAGTAACCACCTGGAAGCTCTAATTTGTCCTATCAACCCTGTCTGGACCCATTTAGTCTCTGAGCCTTGTGTCACCCCCCTCCTGGTTCTGCCTGACAACGCCGTCACGTATCCAATCACGGGGCTCTGCTAACACGGGCCACACAATCACGGGAAGACGTCTACACGGTCGTAGGTTTGCGTTTGTTTGTTTTGCATCGCCACCCACCGCCACCGTCACCTCCACCACCGCCAGTCACCACCACCAAACCTCCCAGGCCTGTCTCACCTTCTCCCCCTCCACCACCACTCCTTCTCCAGCCACCGTGGGTCCATCCCAGCTCCGCCAGCTACTACTCCCATTGCCCCTCGGACTTTTCGGGGTTTAATTCGCCTCGAGACTCCAATCGATCCTCTACTGTCTTTGGCACGGACCATCTCACTATCTTGCTCGCCCTTATAGATCCTCCCATTCCTCATTCATGATTCAATCACTAATACCTGCCCCATTATGCCCAATCGACCCCCACATTACCAGTCTCACAAACGGCAGAAATCGTCCTTACTGAGCGTGGGTTACTATTTCCCACAAGACCAGCAGAATCAGCAGAACCAGCAGAACCAGCAGAATCCCAATCCTCCCTACGAGCCTGATCCATACTCCCTCAATTACCATTTTCCCCAGAAGGACACCCACAACCCTGAGAACGACAAGGACCATGACGACGCCACCACCGCCAGCCATTCGCTCCAAAACTCACCCTTGAAGCGCTCGGCCTCCATCGACGACGTCTCTAATACGAACTCAGGAGCCCACATTACCCACGGCTCCCTCCCGACCTCGTCTTCCGCATCCAACATCACTGCCCCTTCGTTCTTCCATTACCCTTCCCATTTTCTGAATGTTTACGGCTCCCACATGGATTCTGCTCCAATATACCCCCCCAACTATCATACCTCGCCTCCTCAAACCACCTCAACTTCTTTCGCATTCCCCCCGCATCCTCCTTTAATTCCTTCTACTAATTCTGGGTTCACTTCAAGCTTCGAAGGCTCTGGCTTATATTCAGGTTCTTTTACATTCCCCAAGATCCCGGAAGACTCCACTATTCCTATGAACACCCAAAAACAGCTTCCGCCAACTAATCTTAAACACAAGACTAATTTATCTATTTCTTCCCATTTCAATTTATTCAACCTTGACGATTCCAAGAAACAACTACAACCATCTCAGTCTCAATCGCGGCCCCAAATCGGTTCTCAATCGCTACAGCAAGTTTCTCAATCGTTACCTGCTACGGAAAGTGTGACTAATGATTTATTAATCAATTTGATATCGGTAGATGGTTCAAACATTAATAACTACTTATTGACTATTTTGTACAAGCTCAATTTTCAGATTCCGCTTGACGATTTCTACAATATGCTTTACAATAATGATAAACTAGCCTCTTTACTTCAAATGAATTATCAAACTAAAATAGATAAAACATTTCTCAATACCAATAATGAGCTGTCGATGGAAACAATACACCTGCTTTTGAATGTGTTTAAGACACCAGAACTTTTAGGAGAGTATTTTCCTAGCATGGAAAACAAGGATCTCAAATTGGCCAATATTAATTATCATGAATTGTTGAGGACTTTCTTGGCAATTAAAATTCTCTTTGATGTTTTGATTCAAATGCCTCTGAATTCAAATGAAGAACCCCAAAATTACACTATTCCAAGATTATCTATCTATAAAACTTATTATATTATTTGCCAAAAATTGATTATGAAATATCCCTCATCCTCCAATACTACCAATGAGCAGCAGAAACTCATCTTGGGGCAATCCAAGCTAGGTAAATTAATTAAATTGGTTTATCCAAATCTTCTCATCAAAAGATTGGGGAGTCGAGGTGAATCAAAGTATAATTACCTAGGTGTGATATGGAATGAGAATATAATTGATAATGAAATCAAGGAATTGTGTGACAAGTATGAATTAATTGATTTGAACGACATATTTAATGATGAAAGAAAGGGAAGAGCAATGAGTAGCTCAACTCCTAAGAAGGGTCACAAAAAATCAAGCAGTAAAGGGAAAATCAAGCTCGAATCTATACCTATCAGCTTAAATGCTCCAGAAACTCGTAATATTGGTCCAGCACCAATAGCTACTGAGTTCTCGGACCCAATTTCTTCACCAAATTTGTCATTTATAAAACCTTTCTTGAAATATCCCTCAGATGATCATTTCACCATTCTCAATGACGAGGAAAATTGGTTCAATGACGTTAGAATCAGAATATATTCTAATTTTCCACAGCTTTCAAGGTCGGTAATTCATAAAATTTTCTTGACAAATGATAATTTATTAACGAGCTCTAGCTTGTTGTCAAACTTGATTGAACAGCTTGTGATTCCTCTTGGCTCGTCGATTGATCAAGAAGCTACTGATTTGAATTTATACCTCATCATTGTCATAGAGATTTTACCTTATTTGTTACTTATCAAGTCTTCAAGCAACATGAACTTTTTAAAGAATTTGAGATTGAACCTTCTACATTTGATTAACAACCTTAATAATGAGTTGAAGAGGTTGGGATTCACGAAGTTTGGCATAAATAATTCAACTATCTTTTTGATTCTATTGAAAAAATTGATCAACTTGAATGATCTTTTGATTACTTTCATAAAGTTGATCATTAAAGACGATAGTAAATCTATGATGTCGGTTGATATTGAAAATTTCTTGAAGGTCAGCAACAGTATTGGTTCACAACCAGGTGGAGCCGCGCCTGAAGGTTCAGTCAAACTCGAAGAGAGTCAGGAGGAAGACTTTTTCCTCAATCTCAACTCCAACCTTACTTCTAATTCGTTGAATGAACTCAACTTTAGTTTCAAGAATGACATTTTGTCCAATGATTTAATTTACACGTTGATTGGATATAATTTCGATCCATTGGTCAGCGATGAATTGAAATCTTCTATTTCAATGAATTTTATTAACCAAGAAATCAACATAATCGACGAGTTTTTCAAGAAGGACTTATTATCATTTTTGAGTGAGAGTGATCATACCAGAAGTTCATCATCTTCATCCGTTTCTAATGTTATTGAGTCGTCTGACCAAGAGGAGAAATCACCTGTAGGAGGTGACTCATTATTGTCTATCAAGGAATTAAACAAGTTATACTCCTTGATTAGATTAATTGATAAAAGGCTTCTTTCCACTCATTTCAAATCAAAGTACCCAATTTTGATCTACAATAACTTTATCAATTTTATTTTGAATGATATCTTGAAGTTTATATTTTTGAAACAACAACAATTTCAGTTACAAGGACACTCGCTGGGTGGCTCCAATGATGGAGAGTCTGATGGGAATCAAAATAGCTTTGGAAATTGGTGGGTTTTCAACTCTTTTATTCAAGAATATTTGAGTTTGATGGGTGAGATCGTAGGGTTAGAGGACTCACTCTAGATTCGTTGTCCCCCCTTCCCCGTCCATTTACTTTTCTACTTTGAATCCCTTACGTCGTACAAGAGTGCAGTTCCAGATGACTGGTTCAGGAATGCATTACAGACATCTTCTATCTTCAACGGTCATTTTATCGCTTGCCAACATTGCACATGCCCCAATCTATAGTGTTCTTTATATAGTTAATACATTAATTAAGCCAACAATTTAGAAAAGTATTCCTGGGTATTCGATACTACTTTTATCGAGTCTTTCACGAACAACACCAGTACAATCTATTAGTCGTAGTTGACTGCAATCCATACCAACCCTCTACATATTTCATCATACGGTAATACGTATATCTAATCGTAAACAGAATAAATAATAGACCAATGAGCTTACAACTTGGCTTGTGGTTCCAACAATCCCTTGGACAAAATCTCCTTCATTTCGTTGGCAGATTCAATCAAGTATGCCTTCAAGTGTCCTGAGCTTAACCCGTTGCCCTTCTTGGAAGCGATGTGGATATGGAGCCAGTCATTGTTAATCAAGTAAGCTAAACCGAAACCTTGGTCAATGACTTGAGACCAACCCCAGGATTGGAAATATTCAGAAGGAACTTGAGAAGACGAAATGTACCAAGATTGAGAGTAACTGAAGATAGGATCCTTGAAGATTTCTGGAACTGGTTCTCCAGTACGAAGCATTTGCTTCAAACCAAACAAGTGACGGTCGACACCTCTACCATCGGCAGCTTCACTCAAGTACTTAACGTGTTGCTTACAAGCGTTTTGGAAAGTGGCAACTTTTTCTTCAATGGTGGCATCGTAGTTGGTCCAAGTTTCAACAAACTGCTTGGATTCAGGGGAAACGGTTCTACCGGCTTCAGTTCTACCGTTCAAGAACTTTCTAGTGGCAGCACTTTCGTAGGTTGGTCTGATCTTGCCAGTCAACTTGAAGTAGGCCAATTGGATCAACATTTGGACGTAAGCATCAGGAGAAACCTTGAACTTCTTGATCAAGCCCTTACCGTAGGCATAGTGTTGGAAGAGTTCTTCGTCGTGGGTGGAAATGGTTTCATCGAACTTGGCAATGGCAGTGGCAATGTTCTTTCTGGCGACAGGGTTGAGATCAAACTCCAAGATTTGGGGCTTTGGAGCAGAGAAATCGAAGTTGCTGGAGGATAATTGCTGCAAGAACTTCTTTGGATCGTGGCTGGCAATCTTGCTCAAGACGTAGTTGTTCAATTGCACGGTTGGAGTGGCGTCCATTTTGGAGTGCTCACCCAAGAAACCCGAGTTACCGTTTTCAGAGACAAAGTATTCCAAAGGCTTGTCGAAGTAACGGTTCTGGCCGTCTCCGTGCCAACTGTTGGCGGACTTTTCTTCGATGGTGATAGGCTTGTTTGAGTCCAAGCAGATCACAAACGAGGAGGCAAAGATGGTTTCGAAGGACTGCTCGTTGATAGGGGTGGCTACCAAGTTGTTGTAGGCGCTGACGAACTCGTCTCTGTTGAGGGAAGTCAAGGCACCAATACCCTCACCCTTGTCTGCATTGCTGTTCTTGATGGCCTGGAGCTGCTGGTAGATCTCGGGGATGGAGATGGGCTTGCCATCCTTGTGGTGGTTGACCTTGTAGAAGTTGTTGTTGTAGATCACCACGAAGTACTGGTGCTGTTCGCCATCGTAGAGCTTGGTGATGTCGGTGCCCTCCTTGGGGACTCTCGAGTTGTTGAACATGTATCTGAACGCGTTCATACAGTAGGGGTTGCCCTTGATGATCTCAGGGTCCAAGTTCTCGGTCTGGACCTCGGCCATGAACTCGATAGTGTAATGGGCAAGTAAGGTAGCCTTGAACAACTGGTCCTTACCGATGGCGTTGTTGACGTCCTTGTGGGAGAAGAAGTAAGACACGAATGGAACCACTGGGTCTCTGTACGACATGTAGGCATAGTCGTCCCACCAGGTGGCCAACCAGTTGTCCTTGTCCTGGGCGTATTCCTGAAGACGGGACTGCAACTGGACTCCCTCGCCACCCACGAAGGCCTTGACCTTGGCAGCGGTTTCCGAATACTGCTCCTTGCTCAAAAAGGGTTGCACCGACTTGAGATACCTTCCAGCGGTTTCATCCAAGGTGGGAACGGGCAACTTGGGCAATTGCGATTGGTATTTGAAGAGGTCGCCCTTAGCGGCACTACTGGACAAGTTTTGCTTGATGGCAGGCATTCTTTTGATGAGTCTGTGAGATGCTCTAAACATTGATGACTAGAAGAAATGGCTGGTGGTGGTTGTGGGGGCGAGCGGGTGGCTTTATATGTATGGGGAAATGCGGGAGGGCGTGGTCTGGGGTCGTCCAGGACCCGAGCCGAGGAACGGGTGCGGGACATTCACATGAGGGCCCAAGCAGGCCCCGGTTCGTATATGACAGATAACGGTGGGTGCAGGGGCTGGCGAGGATGATCAAGGTGTGGCCGTGGGGCTGCTTGCTATTGTCATGTTCGTATTGTGGTGAATAAAGTACGAAAAATGAGAGTTGTGGGGCAAGGTGTTGGTAGAAGCCCGAGAATGGTTTCGGCCAATAATGGCCAATAAAAGCCAATAATGACGTAGGAGGCGCTGGGGGCTCGTATTGGCCCGTCTACATCTTCAGCTGGTGTCTTTAGCCGGCAATTAATTCGAATAGGGGCCTGAATATTGCCTGGAGTGAAAAATCTCAATCTCAATAATATCGTAGATCACCGGGCTCCGCCGAGCCGTCCACACCGAAAAGTAGCAAATATTACTTTACGTGTCGTAGAGTAGCAAAATGCACGAATTCCAACTGGACTTTCGTGGAGGCAGCGCAGCGAGGCCACTGGTTAAATCTACTAGTACTTCACTGGAAATTCACTCTTTAAGTTCGTAGAGGCAGAGCACACCGAAATTACTCTAGCTGGCTAGAATTCTCACTTTCCGATGAATAAATTGAATTCAACAGCCAAATTCAACAACCACTTGGGCCCCTTGTACAGTCCACTCTGATCCGTCATTCCAGTATCGTAAAGGCAGCGCATGTCTTCACTGCTCCCTGTGGCCCGGCAACAGTTTTATTAAGTAATTCTTCATTATCAAAGAATATCTTCATTAGGCCAGTAACTTCATTTCTATGATCTTCATTACCTCCTAACGAACCTCGGCTTACCATCTTGACCTACAGACTGTAACTATGTAGACTACCCACTCCAGATCGCCCATGTCGGCACCTGCCTCGGAGCCTCGCTACGTCATACCTCATAACCGTTCCGCTGGTTCCAGACACGAAAAACATCACCAATATTCTACTACTGCCATAATGGACCTCTCGTATTGGCGACTAGCCTCGGCAGTGTTTTCCGGCACTTGGTACGTGGTCATCCTCGTGGTGGCCTACAACGGGTTCGTGGAGATTGTGGTGCGGTACCGCCGCCGTCCCGTGGACCAGCCAGCAGCCATCGAGCCTGTCACCATCATCCGTCCCATCAAAGGTATCGATCCAGAGTTAGTAACGTGTCTCGAGTCCTCATTCCAGCAGAACTACCCCAAAGATAGCCTCCAGATCTTGCTCTGTGTGGACAGTCCACACGATCCGTCGATGCCGCTTCTCCAGCGCTTGTTGGCTAAGTACCCCCACGTCGACGCCTCCATCTTGACCAGCACCGGGTTCGACCCGGTGCTCAACGTGTCGGAGGACCACTATGGACCCAACCCTAAGGTCAACAACTTGGCCAAGGGATTTTTGGCCGCTAAGCACGATATCCTCTGGATCATGGACTCCAACGTGTGGGCCAGCCCCAATATCTTGAACAACTCGGTGCGGGCGTTGAACGGTAACTACAATAACGGCAGGAAGCTCTCGGACGCCGTGCTGGCCCGCAAGGTCCGGTTAGTGCACCATGTGCCGTTGGCGTTGAGTATCAACCCTGCGGACGACGCTGCATCCGACTCGGAGTACGTGCTTAGCCCTGTTCCCTCGCAGGACTCGGGGCTGTCTTCGTCGTCGTCACGAGGGACACTGGCCACTGGTGTAGTGGCCCAGCGGGCCTCTGCCAGTCCTCCACCTGCGCTGGTGAGACGGCGGTCGCTCCGCAAGTTGGGAGCCCAGTTGGACGAGATGTTCTTGTTCACCTCCCACTGCAAGTTCTACATCTCGTTGAACAACCTCGCCATCGCCCCCTGCGTCAACGGCAAGTCCAACATCTACCGCAAGTCCGACTTGGACTACTCGGTGCGCAGCATTGCCAGCCCTGAAAACAAGCTGGAGTTCTTCAACACGCCAGGTGTTAAACGCGACGCCGCCTACTACTCTTCGTTGCCTGGCTTAGGCCACGCTATCAAGTTCTTTGCACGCTACATTGGTGAAGACAATATGATTGGAATCGCGCTCTGGGAAAACGTTGGTGCCAAAACGGGCCTCACTGGAGACGTGGTGATTCAGCCGTTGAGTGGCGTTGACAATGGGGTGGCCGACTACATGGCCAGGCGAGTACGGTGGTTGCGGGTCCGCAAGTACATGGTGTTGATGGCCACGTTGGTGGAGCCAACCACCGAGTCGATCATCTGTGGAGTGTTTGGCACCTACGCAGTGTCGACTCTCCTCATGAACTGCTGGTTCTACTGGCCGTTCTTCGCAATGCACATGTTGGTGTGGATGGCTACAGATTACGTCCAGTACCACACCTTGGTGCGGAACATCACCCAGCCGGCCCAGGGAGTGCCGCAGTGGTTGCGGCGCATCCCACCGGTGGAGAGACCATTCTGGGGGTGGTTGCGGATCTGGGCCATGCGCGAGGTGTTGGCGTTGCCCATCTGGGTGACTGCCATGATGGGGCACGAGATCGACTGGCGGGGCAAGCCGTTCAAGATCAAGCAAGATTTGACGGCCGAGGAGTTGTAGGGAACGTGAGATCCAAAGCCTCGAATTACGGCAGGAGCAGACAGGAATTCTAGAGGAAATTCCAGAAGGAACAGCATCCAGCGAGAATTACCGGTGTCTCTTCTAGGTGATTCCTAGACTATTTCCAGACGATTTCTTGATAGGATTACCAACTCCAGGCGGAATTTCCTGAGAGGATTTCCAGACGGGATTCCCAGAAAGTTTCCAACTGCATTATCCTCCAGGCATGATTCAGACAGCCACCAACTGAATTACCCCCCAGGCATGACCTCCGGCAGCTGAAACACCAGTGTCTCCGCATCGGGACATGTTACACCATCAAACAATGTTACCATAACTGGTGATGGCACAACCGTCTCAGTTCCGCACTGCCCAGAAGTATTCAATTGATCATAGAAGGCAATTTCATGGCTAGGAACACCAGGTCGGATCCACCCACTGAAGGATGGTTTCCGGGGTAGGTTGAAGCAGCACGGCTTTCGACGGAACACACCCTGATATATAGTTCCGATTCCTGCTCAGGGCATTCCCCCACTGTATTATAGAGGCTGTTAAGCGCATAAAAATAGATCGATAGACATAAAGGCACAACAAACAGAACAGGCCATGTACAGTCTACAGTGGCAAGCATCGCGTACTTTTTCACAACTCTCCATTCATTCTCTATCTCCATACATTCTCGTTCTCTTCTCGTTCTCATTCTCTTTTCACTCCCCATTCACCATTCTCACTCTCTATTCACTATTATCACTCTCCATTCATCTCCATTACTTTTTCCGCACCCCTGGGATTTTTACCCCATTGGACAAATTATAGCCCGTTCGCGTCACATTCTGGACCAACACGTCTGGACCCAGAATGTTTCACCAGACTGTCCGGCTAGGACGTGGTGCCTGGCGGGCACAGGACGCTAGTCTAATCTCGTATGCATGCGCGACCTACATTATCACCGGTGACACACCGCGTGCTACAGCACCAGTAGAAGTCTTGGTAGTAGCAGTGGTGGTGGTGGTGGTGGTGGTGGGGCAGTAGGAGTCCCTGGTGGCGCTGTTGGCCCAGTACGTCACCACCTCACTAGCACCACCCACGCGCTGGCTGCCCCGCGATGGCACTACGCTAGCGAGCGCAGCCCTCTGGCCCACGCCCCAGCCTCTTTGTGTACCGTGCCTGCCATACCTGCTCACTGCTGTCACACCTCAGAGTAATTCCACCCCGTCACCGGTTATTTTTCGCCCCGAATTCGCCCACCACCACCACCATCACTACATGGACTGAACGTCGCCCCGTCCTTTCCTCCCCTCCTCCCCCCTCCCAGCCGTGTCCCTCCCTACCACCCCGTGTCCCCCGCTAATTCTCTCCCGCCAAGAGCCAGTGATTTGTCGTTCTCGCGCGACGCCGAAATCAATCGATTCCACAACTTCTCCCTCTACACCACCACCTCCTCCAGCTGTCCCCCCAGCTGCCAGAACGCCCTTCCCTCCCTCGTTCCCGGTCCCCCTGCCTGGCCCTCCCGGTGGACCTGACTAGCGCCCTCCGCCTACCCTCCCAGGCCCCCCATACCCGTTCGTCTGTCCACGACACCCGTCCCTTCGTTTATGGCAGAAGTCACCATGACCCAAGAGTTGGCTCTGCTCGACACCCACCACCATCACCAGCACAGCTCCAGCATCAACTCGGCCCACTCAATTGCCATTCCTGGCGGCATTCCCCCTCACGACCTCCAGACATGCAAAAAGTGTAACTTGCCCATCCTTGAAGGCCACGCCTACGAGTTGGGCGACGACAGGTGGCACATCCACTGCTTCAAGTGCTCCAAGTGCGCCAAGTCGTTGGGGTGCAACTCCAACTTCTTGGTGTTGGGAAACGGCAACCTCATCTGCTCGGACTGCTCCTACAACTGCAAGCAGTGTGGCAAGAAAATCGACGACTTGGCCATTCTCACGGGCGACCAGGCGTACTGCTCCAACTGCTTCAAGTGCCGATCGTGTAAGAACAAGATCGAGGACTTGCGCTACGCCCGAACCTCCAAGGGGCTCTTCTGCATGGACTGCCATGAGAAGCTCATGGCCAAGAAGAAGAAGTACGACGCTAAAAAGAAGCAGTTGGCCATGGTCAAGAAACTCGAGGACGACAAGCGTGCTGCTCGTGAACGCGAACGTGAACGTGAACGTGAAGAACAGGCACTTGCTGACGCGGCTAATCACGAACAGACCCGTCTCCGTGAATCACTCGAAAACGCCCCTCTCAAAGCGAAACACCTCGAGGACCTTTCCACTATCAACTCATCGGGCGACAGCATCTTCTTGAACTACATGTCTGCCAGTAACAGCACCACAAACGTTGCGGACACCGGCGCTGCAGACACCCTCTTCTCGCTCACAAACCCATCGCTCACCAGTGTGGTCTCCAAGAACAAGGTCCTTCCCCCACCTCCCCAATCATCCACCAGAACGCTCGCCCCTGCACCCACCACGGCCTCCGCTCCCCCAATCGCTCCATACTCCCAGATGGTGGCCCGAGAATCGTTCCAGTCGAACAAAACCGAATCCTCCATTACTTCCGTCACCACTTCCCAGTTTTCAGCCGACTCAAACGCCAGAAACTCAACTGCCGGTGCAGGCAAGTTGCCCAGCATAGACAACGACTTCTCGATTGAAGAAGTAAACAGCTATAGCGATGGTGATGAAGAAGAAAGCTTGCTCCAACGTAACGCGTCCTTGAGACCCCAGAAGTCTCATTCCCATCCTCTTCAGAGAAAGACACTTTCCCCTAGATCATCAACGCAGGGCCCTCAATCGCTTCAGCTGTCATTACCTGCAAACCAGTCCCCCAAACCCCCCTCGCTCTATTCAACACCACCTATCAGTGCTGAACCAAGACAGGAAAGCATATCCACAGACTCTCGTGATACCCAAAATCCATCAACACCAGGTACGGCTGAAAATACCAAGTTACAGCCTGCTCCAGAGATCACACCAAAAACTACATCTGAACAAATACAGCACACACCATCTTCGGAATCCTCAAAGTTCAAGGGTAATAATCTCATGATCTTATCCCCTAATCAATTCAACGACCACGAGTTCCACAATTCGAATGCCATCAGAACCTCACCTACAAAATCGCTCAAATCAAACAACTCACCAGCACTTGCTATTGGTATCGAAACTCCAAATGAGAATGAAATATCATCGTCCTCGCAAGACTTGAGAGGGAACTCGCTTTCAACTCATTTGGACGAACCAAAGACTAGGTCTGCCTGCCCCTCTCCTTTTGCTAAGGCAAACAGGCAGGCCAGGGTGGTTGAGACAAATGACTTCATATCCACAGAAAATCTCGACGAAATCCCAAGAGAATCTAATACGACAAATTCTACTCCCAAAAAGACTCCAGGTAGTGTTTTGAGTGCAGGGATGTCATCACCACCACCAAGATTACCCTTGCCTAGCACCCCTAATAAGAAGAATTTCAAGGTTGAAGAAGTAACGCCTAGAGGTTTGGGGTTGGAAGGAGTTGAGTATGAACAGTCTGAGGAATATAGGAGATATTCTGGTAGCATCCATGAGAAGAAACCAAGGCGTGAAGATGGAAACTACACCCCCAGAGAGCAGCACCAACAGAATTACTACAATCCTCAATCCACCCCCACAGCTAGAGAGAGAGTTATTGGGAATACAACTCCTTCGGTTACCAATCTTGAGGAAGATGCAGCATCAATCTCCGATCAGAACACCGTGAGTTCCCTTTCCAGAATGAATACACTTATTAGAACCCCCAAGTTGAGCAGCTTGAAGCACAAGAGATCTATTTCCGGTGGGAGCAGTAATATCGCTAACAAGTTCAACTTTTTCAAGTCGAACAAGGATGACTCCAGTGTTAAGGGCCATTCTAGACATGTATCAGAGGGCTCCATAAGCAACGGAGGTTCTGCATTTACTACCCCTCCATTACCGGTATCTTCCCCAGCTATGCAAAATCTCAATGGATTAGTGAATTACAACAGGGAACACCAAAGATCAACATCAGACACTCCATTCTTAACAAACCTTGATCCAAACAATAAAAGAACACTGTTTGATATGAAGTCATTGAACAATGAATTGAATCACTTGATGTCTCAAAGGCAAACACTTTCTAATGATGTCAAAAAGCTTTCGTCTGAAAAACTCAAGTTAAATGATCAATTAAAGGCTATGCACAGCAAGTTGACAAGTGAATCTGCCAAGTACGAAAGTTTGGTAAGAGATATGGCAGAGTTGGAGAAGAATAAGAAGAAGTTACTTGAGATCAACCAAGCCTTATCTGAAGAAAACCACCAATTGCAATTGAATCGTAATTCAGGAACAAATACTTATGCGGAAGGTAGTACACTCTACAGCGACTCTAACAGCACGCTAAACTTTGGTGGCAACTCTAAGAGTACTTCTAATGGCCTTTCGCTGACATCTTCGTCTTCGTTGGTTGGAACTCCATACAATGATACGTCAGTCCTGGAAGAACCTTCCACTGATCCACAAAAGGCCACTAGATTGAAGTTTTGGAGAAGACCAAAAATGGGCTTCAACACAGCAAATTTGGTCCTGACAAACTCTCAGCCCCTGTCGCAACAACCCCAAAACCAAGCACAGAAGGCTCCACAGCAGCCTCAACCACCTCAATTACAACAAAACCCATCACAATCCTCACAATCTTCCCAAAAGCCTCTGTTACAACAGCCTGGCTCAAGCAACAAAATTAGTCAAAGTTATGCCTCCAATGCGATACAATTACCCCAACAGAGTCCCAAGAATGTCGGTGGTCTGACGTTCAACAATGGCAATGCCAACAACAGTGGTCAGAACGGACAATCTGGAAACTTATTAGTTGGAGAGAAGAAAGGTAAATTCATTAAGTCTAAGTCATCCAACATCTTAGATACGTTCCTCACAAACACTGTTTCGATGGTGTCTACTAATGATTCGTCCAACGGTGACAATTGTCCCGTTCCACTTCTCACTTCCACCATCCAAAACCGTGCAGACTACGAGCATCAAAAGGTTCCATTGATTGTAACCAAGTGTCTTGCAGAAGTCGAGAAACGAGGATTGGATATGGAGGGAATCTACAGAATTTCTGGAGGTAATTCGGCAATTGTTGCCATCGAGAATGCCTTCTCCAATTTGGGTCAAAACTACGAAGACAAGCAGATGAGCAAGCTTGAAGACACAATAAGTGGAGATATCAATGCGGTTACATCTGCATTGAAGAGATACTTGAGAAAACTTCCCGATCCATTGATCCCTTACGCAGTTTATGATGAGTTCATCAAAGTAAGTTCGGCCAACCCACCCAATAAAGTGGACAAACGGATACATGAAATGAAGACAAAGGTGATCAACAAGCTTCCAAGTGCTAATAAGCATACCTTGTACCTTTTGTGCAAGCACTTGTCGTTGGTCAGCTCGTACTCTTCGGTAAACAGAATGGGATTCAAGAACTTGTCGGTGGTGTTTGCCCCCACGATTGCCAGAGATGAGACTGGACAGAGAGAAATGAGTGATATGGGATACAGAAACGACGTTACCGAGTTGATCTTGACCCACTCTGAAGCGATATTTAGTGATTATTCCGGATAGTCAATGACTTAATATATTTCGTATATACATGAAGAAAGTAGCATGCTGTAGCGCAAATACGCAATCAGTCAGGAGATCACATCGCAATCGCCAACCAGGATCTATACATTTAATAGCATTTCAATTTGGTTTGTGCAATCCGATACGGATCTGGAGAAAAGCAATATTGAGCCATGCAAAAGTGGTGGTGAAGTATTGTCTTTCATCAACCAATCAAGATAACGTCTGTTGGCTAGTGAATGTCCTTGATGTGAGGACTCAGGTACAACTCGAACCGTCTGTGGCCCACTCGGATCAAGTGCTCAATCACACTGAACAGTTTCTTGGGGATGTTTCTATTCTTGGTGAACTCGTCCCGGACGTATTTTCTCCAATGGGCTCTGTTTTCCACGGGCTTGGTATGAACCGAGCGAATGCACGCACGGTAGAGCTTGAGGACCTCTCTCTGCAATCCTGAAAGACGAGCCATGATGGGTGGCACATCAAATGTGAGGATTTATGTCGTGGTCTGGATGTCGGATGTCGCGGCCCTGGCAATGATGAGACATTTGTGATTACTACGAAGAATACTCAATAAAGTAAATATACTAGTAGAGGAATAAGATAAGGAGACCATGAAATACTAATGTGACAGGGCGAGAGCAACACCATTTCAGTTAGATGGCAGGGTGATATCCTTGAGCAGTGTCATCGTTAGGATGTAAACTCGCCAACTCACCCACTGGAACTCTACAGTGTTCAAACGAAATCGATACATTATGCGAAACTATATGCTATTTTGGGGCCACGGTGTTTGATCATGAAAACACCACACACGACACTAGTGTACAAGAAGTGGAATATTTTTTTGGTTTACTTGAGGTTGGTGAAGTCGACCTCGCCTTCTCTGGAACCATCACAAACAGCGTGGGCGCCACAGTTGCAGTTGGCTTTGGTTCTCTTGCCACAAGCACATGCGGCTGAAGCAGCAGGGACGGCATTTTCAACAGCGGCCTTGGAACAGACACATTCCAAAGCAGGCTTCTTGCCACAAGAACAAGTGGACTTTTGAGCACAGACACAGACAGAAGCAGAACAGGCCATTGTAGATATAGTTGGAGTAATTGAAGGTTGGTGGATAATGTGGAACACTGGTGGGAATTCAAGGTGTATTTATAGTTCCTCTGGATTTGGTAAGGTGATTTTGCAGCTCAGCAGGCGCGTCACGTGTGACCAGTGACTCTTTTGCGCGACCAATCACAGGGCGCGCGAATGTCAGCAGGCCTTAGCGCGTGACTAATGGTGCCACTGCCATTGGTGTGCTGACCACATGCCAGCTGCGCATGGCCATCTTATCTAATCTCATCAGTTCCTTCCACCTTCCCAAAAAGGACTAGTTGCAGGGTCCTTCATTACGTAACGGTCTCCGTCAGCCTCCATACTATTAATTACATTGTTATCTCTATCTACCTGTGGGGAAAGCCCTGCCGGTGATATCGGATCCGGCAACCTAAATATGATATTAATCTATGGATCAAATATTGTAGTGGGGATTCTCAGATTGCGCCCCCAATCGGGGTCTAATCGCCCTGTTTGCGCCCATAGTTGGTCAAATTGTTGAACCGCTCCCGCAACATCGACCCGAGCTCACTGGTGGAGTTTTCGGTGTTATCCAATTGACTATTCTCCAAGAGGCTTCCTGAAACATCGCTGAATATGTCCTTGATTTCTGTGGATGTGATACCCTTCCGCTGCACTCCTCGTGTTCCAGACTGGTTCTGTGGGGCCTTGTTGAGTATATCATCGAAGATTTGCGAGATCGACTTGGACTGTGTCTGGTTGTCGGTGTTGTCTGCGGACGGACGTTCGTGCTTGTTCAGCATTGAGTGGTACACCGTGGACCCGGCCGAGGCATTATTTGGGGTGTTGCGGCTGCCGGTCTCCAAGAACACGTTGTCGTTGTCGTCATTGGGCTTGGCCCTTTTTGCCGAGCTGAGTGCCTGGTCCGAATTACGTTTGCTGGCCAGTCCCTCGTGCAAATCTATGTTTTGGAGCTCTGGCGGTTGCAAGTCGCTGTCTTCGTCCCCATACTTTATTTGGAGCCCTAGTGGGGTTTTCATAATATCAAGCTTTCCTCCGTCACTCAACCGTTCCGAAAATTTGGGGGTGGATGGAAACCGCTGTATGGTGTTCCGCTGTATGGTGTTCTCCTTGGAGTGTGACGATAGAGCAACGCTCTTGGTGGGAGATAATTCGGGTGGTAGTAATACTGGCGAGAATTGTTCTACCTCGCTCAATTGGCGTTCCTCCTTGGTGGGAGACGACAGCTCGCTCACGTTCGCAAGCTCTGACCGTAGTATAGGAGGCTCGGGTAGCGTGGGAGATGAGTTGATGAGGTTTTGAATCAAGGACGATCTCCTTCGGGCATCTTCCACCAATGCATTGCGAGTGGCTGTTCTTGCTTTTCTCGGTGAGATGGACAACTTGTGATAGGTGTCCAATGACTGCCTTACTGTTTGCGTCTTTACGGGCGACTGGTCCTTCTCTGGGGACTTCTGGCTCTCTGTGCTGGAAATCGAGGTGGTGAGAAGCGGTGGTGGTTGGGTGCCAATGCTGTCGTTGGAGTCGTAGGCTGTGGGGTGTCTGTTATATCCAGGTAGCAACGACGGTCTCTTGTGGAGCTGGGGAGTGGACGATTGGATCTGTTTCTTGGACTGCTCTACAGACCATGTAGGGGTGGACTCCTCTAGCTGGGGCTTGAGCGTCGGTTTCTTGAACACGTCCAAGTGCGGTGTGTCGTGGGCAGGGTCTTCTGGGGCTTCCTGGTGCAACTCTTCGTCCTCATCCTCGTCCTCGTTGAAGAGCATGTTGCTCCTGGAGTTGGCGATGGTATTGACATCGGTAGTGGAGATGGGGTCTTCGTAGCTGTTCAACTCCACGTTGGCCGACTGCTCGAAGAAAAACTTCCAGAAACCAGCGTTGCTCCACACGTTCTTGCTTGCGTTGGAGTAATCCTTGATGATGGGGATCAACCGGTCGTTGATGATGCCGTTGGCACGCGAGATGTTCTTGTCTATTTCTTGCAACACCAAGGTGGTTTCCTGCTCCAATTTCTCCAACTCCTCACGGGCAGCGGCGGTGTCTTCACTGACAGTAGTACTGAGCGTAGACTTCCTCCTGGAGGACGTGGGCGCCACGGAGTACCTCTTCATGGTGGTTGTGGAGAATTGGTTGTTGTGATACGCGTGATAAGTTTGTGTCCTGCACAGAGGGTGATGAATCCTGGAGTTGGTCAGGGAAGGGCAGCTCAAGTATCTAGTATAAAAAAACTATTATCGATAGTAAGTGTATTCCTAGATACGTCTACAGTAGGTGGAGGTCCCACAAAGTGTCGGTCGTGCCAAAGTTTTTCAAGTCACCATAATCGCAATTTGTGGGAAATGTCTTGGATGGAGGTTTCTAGCGGTTACATGCCAGTAGGGTGCGTGTTTTTACAGGTATTATTGGATTTTCCAAGCGTTTTGCTACTAATATTGGAGGTTTCCAGAAGTTTTACTACCTAGAGAAAAAGTGTAGTTTCCAAGCTGATTCAGACCAGATTCTTAACACTTGCGGAAGTATAGCCGTAATTCCTAGTAGTCTCAGGAGAATAATGAGGAAATTGCGAGGTATACGGTAGTATCATACTTATAGCTCAGGCCATTGGACTGGACATTGGATTGGTAGTTCCAGAAGACACGAAGTTGGTCCAACCCAGTGTCTCAGAAAATCAATGACTGAAGTATGGGCCGGATATCAGAAATAACGCCAATGAATCTGGAGCCCTTACATAGCAGGGGTGGTTTTCATCTCATCTTCGTGTCCCATGGCATACTAATTCTAACAGAAAGTTTACCACAGCTGGATCGCATCGCCTGGACCAAATAACCTGCCCAAATGCTGGCCATTTCTTTTACTAAACGATTTAATAACCTTCCACGATGTTATCAACTAGGCATGTAGAGTTATTTCAGTCCTTTGGCAGTGATGTAGCCGTGGCCATTCATCACCGAGACTCCCCAATCATCGCATTCCCTCTTGTCCAGCTTACTTAACATCCGTTGCGTTGCGTCCGCGAAAACGAGGTGAAAATATCACTCCATCACCGGTATGGGTAACATCATGTCAGTATCGTTTGCGCCTGAGTGTACTGAGGCCAAGAACAAGTACGACGACTGCTTCAACACATGGTACACTGAAAAGTTCCTCAAGGGAAAGTCGTTGGAGAACGAATGCACCGAGTTCTGGGACACCTATATCACCTGTGTTAACAGTGCGTTGGCCAAGCAAAAGATTAAGCCCATGTTGGACAAGGCCAGGGAGGACCAGCCGTTCACCAGCGAGGAGATCAGACAGAGTGCTGGAACCGAGGGCAAATAGACTGTAAATAGAATACACGATTGATGAAGCGAGTGTAGATGGAGAAGAGCATTGCAGATGGCGAGATGGCGAGAGACTGAAGTGGCAAGAGACTGATAGATAGTGAAAGACAGGAGCGTTCACAGTAGTTGGCCATCATTAGACATGCACACCTAGCTTGTTTGCCATCTTCCCTACCCAGTGTAGTAGTTTGGGTGTTGTTGAAGTAGCATTCTTAGATCAAAGAGGTCGACAAGAGAAGACACTTCATAAGTGGCTCTCGTCCCGACAGTAACACTTTGTCGCTACACGATGCCGCTACCTTCAGACTGGCTCTCTAACAGCCGTCCCTACCTCCTGGCGCTGAGTCTGCGAGCCGCGAATTGACAGCCAAATTGACTCCAAAACAGTGTACTGATTGCCATTCCATCTACACACCATGCTTGTTGAGGAAATCCCCAAGTCAACCAACCCCAACAGCTCCACCGTCTACTTCTCGTCGTCAGTCAACCTCACCGCCCGGCCCAGCTCATCCCGCCATGCCCAGTCCAACGAGTCCAACGATGGCGCCAGCAACAAGAAGGGACGCCAAAAGGTCAACTATAATGTCAACCAGCTCATGCATGCCCAGATCCAGGTGGCAGACCCCCAGGCGGGCTCGGGACCCTTGAAGTCCACCCAGCAGTTGCAGCTCGAAAGAATTGTGTCCAAGCGATTGGTGGACCTCACCCGAGAGGGCTCTTCGGCTCTGTTCGAGCTCCCCAAAAACTTCGCCTACAACAGCATCCACGCCAGCTTGGACAAGAACAGCAAGTCTGCCAGGCTCGGCAACACCCCCACCACAAAGAGAATCTTGTCTGCCAGACGTAACTTGAACCTGTATTTCGAAGAAGAGAGGAACTTGATCTCCATCAATAGCATCTTAGGACAGAACTACCAGTTCATCACCGACTCCGAATGGGAACAGGCCAAGTCCAAGGTGCGGAAACCCGTGGCCCGCCGCTTGAGACCTCGGTTGAAATTGTGCTGTATCTGTGGTTCCAACTCCAGTTACTCCAGATGCCATACCTGCGGTCTCTTTTCTTGCAGTGTACGCTGCAATAACTTACACAACGAGCTGAGATGTGTATGATTGTGGTATTCCGCTTAGCTCTGCTCTAATTTCTAGTCTCACCGGACTCTGCTATGCTTGGACCAGTGTGTGAGGCAGGCCGTGCACCATATAAAGCAGGCAGTTTGCCCCGACATGGCTTTCAGAGTTGATTATTTGCAACCATGCACTTCCTCAGATACATCATGATCGTTGGCTACTGCCTCCGCCTTTCAACTTCTGTGCCTGTCAAAGAATCTGTTCCTGAGTACTACGAGAAACTAGTAAGTTACGCCAAATTGGCCTCTGTTGCATACTGTCTTGATTTCGGGCTTTCTGAAGGTGAGCTAGGCACCGAAAGCAGCGGTTGTACTCTACCCATCTGCCTGGAGCCAGAGTTCGAAAGCATTAAAATCTTGAAATTGTTCGACTCAAACAAATGGGGCCAAATTGGTTCCGGTTTCTATGCCGTTGACCATGATACCAAAAGGATTTTGCTTGTGTTTAGAGGCACATACACTAGAAGAGACTATGTGAGTGATCTTGATTTCAAGCCCGTCGCATACACTCCGTTGGAAGTAATCTCAAAAAAAGATGACCGTGATTGTGAAGGGTGCAAAGTACACAGAGGGTTCTACAAATATTTGAAACGGAATTGCGAGAAGATCATAGAAAATTTGGAGATCTTGATGGATGAACATGAAGATTACCAGTTGGTGATTGTGGGCCACTCCTTGGGGGCTGCACTAGCCATATTGACCGGAATCGAGTTTCAGTTGATGGGGCACGATCCGTTGATCATTAGCTATGCTGGTCCCAAAATTGGAAATCAGAAATATGTTGATTACGTCAACTCTTTATTTGATATTGAGAGCGTTACTGAAAGAATCGAGAACGAGAATTTCATTGAAAGTGGCATAATCAGAGTGGTTCATAAAGGGGACTTCGTTCCAGCATTGCCTCCATCGCCATTGTTTCAAACTGACGGTTACGAATTTACCATTGAGAAGAAAGAGCTTCCCCATTTGCCCACAGATGTGATGTTGAAAGGGCCTCATTTTGAAGGTATAAGTCCTAGCTTTAGGGAAAGTAGGTCCCCCAACGAATTGTGGTCTTCATTAATCAGAAGCTACGAACACGCACACTATTTTGTGAGAATCACTGGATGTGGCGAATCTTATTGACAGTTTACCTAGGCTATAATTTAATAGACAGCTAATAAAAATTCAGACAATATTATCTAGACTATTTACAAGTTGATTATTCGTGGCTCATTACCTGTCAATGTGATGCGATCCATTGTCGTTGAATATGTTCCTTGAACTAAATCATCGCGATGTCTATATTTCCTGCTATAATTGAGCATATTCTATCAATATTAATTCTATTTACGATGTGATAAAGTAGATCACTAATTATACCTTTTTGCACCATATCTTATATCTATAATGGCCTAGCTCTCGGCTATCTCGAGCATCTCTTGTTTATTGCAAATTTTGAGCCTTGTTTTGCCTAGTTCACCACCTTTTTCTAACTCGTACTTATCCAACTTTTCCCACTGGTTCCAGTTAACTGCTTCTTTCAACTTTCCCCCATCGATGCCATCATTGGTGGGCTCCAAGTGTATTCCATTGGACAAGTCCTCTAAGATCTTGTCGGCTGTGTCAAACGAGTCCATCATGGTTGTAGCAATTACCCCCGAAGGTCCATTTTTGATCCAGCCAGAGGTGTACCAGCCTTTCTTGTACACTGCGTTCGGGTCGTTCTCGTTGGTGGTGGACAATATGCGGCCCTCTTTGTTCAAAAGCCTGTTTCTATCGAACAGAACCCCCATTTCCTCGAAATCGTCCAAGGGAGAGCCCTTGTAGCCGATGGACAAAATGACCAAATCGGTCTTGATGGTTTCAGTCTCGTTGGTGCTGATTACTTTGGTCTGGTTGGTTAACTCGTCATGTACCAACTGGTTCTTTGCGAAGGTGATGGACTCCAACAACTGGTCGTTACGTGCACTCTGTGTGAATTCCACGGGGCTCTTCAAGTACTGCAAGCTCCACACCTTGGAGTCGCTGCTTTCGAGTGGAACGGAGTACTTTTCGATGATCGACACCTTTCGCTTGTCCACCCGTCCCAAGGATTTCTTGTCGATGGACTCCAACAATCCGGAGTCGACTGGAGCAAACTGGACGTTGGAACCGTTCTTGGGCAACTCAAACAATTCCCGGATCTCCTTGTTGGAGAACGCCGACTCCAACACTCCTCTACGGGCCACGATGTTCACGTTCTTGACTGTGCTCGATTTCAATGCTTGCAACGCCTCTGTCGATATATCTGTTGGAGCCCAGTGGGCAGGATCTGCCAACAAGATCCGTGCCACGTCCACAGCGACGTTTCCGTTGCCGATGATGGACACAGACTCAATCTGGTCCAAGGGAGGTGGCACGAACGTGGAGTCGGTGGCGTAGAAGTCGGGATGACCATTGTACCAGTTGACGAACTGACGAGCTGATATCACACCTGGCAACTGGGCTCCAGGCACTTCCATGTGGTTGTCGGCTGTGGTGCAACCGTACGCCAACACCAACGAGTGGTACGACTGGTGGAGCTCCTGGAGCGACACGTCGTGGCCCACCAGGACGTTTCCAAAGAACCTGACCCTGTGGGAGTCGTCACGAGAATTGGATCCGTACTTGCTCATGATGTTGTTCAAGTAGTCCTCGCAGTTCTTGACCTCAGGGTGGTCTGGCGCCACTCCATACCTGCTCAACCCATAAGGAGCAGGAAGACGTTCGAAGAAATCTATGTTGAAGAAGGTGGAAGGAGACGATTTGGTGAGGAGATGGTGGGCAGTGTAGAAGCCAGCAGGCCCTGCGCCCACAATAGCGACATTGAAGCGCTGGGCAGAGGCAGATGAGGTGGCCAAGCGACGGAGGGCCACTCGGGAGGGAAGCATGGCGTGGAGTGGTGTTTTGGAGATCGAATGTTGAGATGCGAACGCGATGTTGGGAAATGTGGGGGTATCTGGAAAGTGAGAACGGGATGGTAGGGAATTGATGGGTGAAGGCAAGGTGCCTGCCTTAGCTGGCGCTGTTGGTTATGCCATGCTCTGAGTATAGTTCAGAGCATTGAAAAACGTTTTTTCTACATTGATATTAAACTGTTGGTTTTGACTTACAATTTAGATAAGTATGTTACTATGATGACAATTTGGAAAGCGAGAATTAGCTGGCGTTCTGATACTTAGTAAATAGCCAGTTGTTCTAGCTCAAAGGGTGAGTATAATTGCATAGCTCTCGCTCACAGTTGCATGACCCTTGTTTTTAGCTCTCAGAATGATCATTCCACTTATTCGCTACATTTCATTGTAGGAGCTGTCTAATATGCTATCACTTGATTAGTGGATAAATATCTTTTTATTCTTTTGCTTACGCATCGTATACCTTATTTCAATACTCACCTATATGGACAAGTTAAAGTATTAACTTGTGGTAGGAGCTTGCGGTACTCTGGCCATTATTTATTTTGCTCAAGGTAATTTAATGGCGGATCTACAGTTGGAGATTTCTTATAATAGAAAACTGATAAATCGATGATTTCTAATAGTAGAAAAATCCTGTCTCAGATAGATATCTTCCGGTACAAGGACATCTTGATCTAAGCAGGTACTGGCAGCTTAAAATAGAGCTTGAAGCTATTAGTCAGTACGGGATGATTCTAACTATGATGGAAATTTGGTGTTATGAGAAATGATGGATGCTCTGTATGTAATACAGCGGAAGGTGCGTTAATTAACATCTTGGAAGGGACGGGCAGAATTGAGGAAAATCCTCAATACTGGACATGAACCCTCATTAGCATCTGGTGAGCCTCGAAATCCGTGGAAATGATTCAGTAATATCCAATCACCTCACTAGACTTCGATTGATATGATAAATCACTCTCGTATTCAGCTTCCTACTGGGGCACCTTTTGCCTGTGAAGATTTGTCGTATCTTAAAAAAGTCTAAAATAGGCAAAATATTGCATATTTTCAATAAATTACAATCTTTTTATTAAACCCAATCTGGGGACAGAATTAGCTTTAGTCTTCATACAGTGTATCAGGACCAGATGCAGATGACCACGCCTCGCGGGACCTGCAGTCTAAGCTTTGACCCTGACCAACGGGGAGGGAGAAGACGGTACTTACATAATCACCTTCTGTAGCTTACGTAATCACACACACACGACCGCAGCCTCCCCGCCCGTTTTCCATCATCGAAAATCCGTGATAGTTTAGTGGCTAGAATTACCGCTTGTCGCGTGGTAGACCGGGGTTCAATTCCCCGTCGCGGAGTCTTTTTTTAGTTTCTCATGACCACCAAGAATTTCCTCGGGCCAGACCGTCGTCCCTGTTCCGGCTCCGAGTGCAGCGCCGAGTATTTTTGGCGCTAGTCCGCGGTGTCAAAGACTTTTATCCGCTGTTCTGCGAAGCTTCGGCACATTCATCCATCTCCCTCTGCTTCGCATCCTATGCCTTGTTACAGCAAAGCCTCCCACCCAACTGTCCTCGCCTGGACGCTGCACTCACCCACTTACGAGTGGAGGCGCAAGAGATACGAAGAAGGTGTTCATAATCCCACGCACACGCCAAGCCGGTTGCGAACATTGCTATCTGGACTAAGGATGGTTAGAGTTCGCACCAAAACAGACGGAATTATTTGCCGTACGACCCTGAATTTTGAGCACCAGCCGGTTGTGGTGATGGGGGTTCGCCAATCAAGGGCAGGGCTTCGTGAAACGCCTGAGGGGACCACGTATAAGCCTTGGATACCAGGCGGATCGTCATGCTCTAGTGATGGGCGGGAGACATGGCCCCCAAGCAATAGGATTGTCCCAGTGTGAATGGGTCCCCTGGGCACAGCAATAATGACTGCAGGATCGGCAGCGGCACCTGCATACACACGCAGCCCTCGGACGCACGCTACGTCATATCGTAGCGACTGCCTAGGCCCCGCTGCCAGATGCAAATTTCAACCGAAAAAGACTAGACACCCCACCGTTTAAATAGCAGTGATTTCCCCAACTCTTTTCCCATCACATACCCCAGATTCACGGCCCATAATGTCGAAAGTCTTGGATCCCCTCAAGGGCCCCTTAAAGGGCGACACAACCTCCTCCAACTCGCTCACCCCCAAGTCGTCTTCGCCCCAACCCCAGAGCGTTCACCGTAAGTTGTACAACAGACACGTTCAGTTGATCGCCATCGGTGGCTCCATCGGAACTGGTTTGTTTGTCACTATCGGAACCACTGGTCTCGTGCGTGCTGGCCCTCTCGGCTTGCTTTTGGCGTACGGAATATGGACCGTGGTGATTTTGCTTTTGACCACTGCTGTCGGAGAAATGGTGTCTTTCTTGCCTGTGAGTTCGCCATTCTTGACCATGGCAGGCAGAGTGGTGGACCCTGCGTTTGAATGCGCAGCATCCGTTAACTTCTGGATCATGCAGAGTTTGTACATTCCGTTTGAAATCACGGCTGTCAACGGTATGATCCACTTCTGGAGAGAAGACTACTCGCCAGCCATCCCGTTATGTGTGCAGATTGCCATCTACGCCTGCATCAACTTGTTTGCGGTCAGATTATACGGAGAGTGTGAGTTCTGGTTGTCGATAGCAAAATTGATCTTGTGTATCGCATTGCTCTTTTTCACCTTGATCACCATGTGTGGTGGTAACCCTCAAGGTGATGCTTTTGGCTTCAGAAACTGGCACGCTGCTGGAGGCCCCATTGCCGAGTACCTCAGCAAGGGCAATATCGGACGATTTGAAGGTTTCTTGGGCTGTTTGCGTGGTTCCGCAGCATTCACGGTGGTTGGACCCGAGTACATGTCCATGGTGGCTGGTGAGGCCATAAACCCCAGAAAGACTATGCCCACTGCCTTCAAGACGGTGTTGTACCGTTTGGCATTGTTCTACATCGGAGGTGCCTTGTCTGTGTCGATTTTGATCGCTTACAACGACCCAAACTACTTGAAATTGACCTCGGATGCCTCCAACGCTGCCTCCTCCCCATATGTGGTGGCCATGCAGAACTTACAGATCAAGGTGTTGCCTGACATCATCAACGTGGTCATCATCACTTCGGCCTTTTCCGCTGGTAATTCCTACACTTATTGTTCGTCCAGAGCCCTCTATGGGTTGGCCCAGAGAGGATTTGTGCCTCGTTTCTTCAAGATCTGTACCAAGCTGGGTGTGCCTATCTTCTGTGTTGCAGTATCCATCTGCTTCTCGTTATTGTCGTTGATGCAGTTGGGCTCGTCTGGTAACAAGGTGTTGAACTACATGGTCAGTTTGTGTACCGGGTCTCAGGTGTTGAACTACGGGTTCATGTCCATCATCTACATCAGATTTTACCACGCATGCAAGGCCCAAGGCATCGACAGATCCACCTTCCCATACAGGGCCTGGTTCCAACCATACTCGATCTACATTGCCGCATCTTTGATCTGGTGCTTGATTGGAATTTTGGGCTACCATGTCTTCAAGCCTGGAATGTGGTCTGTGGATGACTTCTTGTTCAACTATGTGATGATCTTCGTTGCCATCGCCGTGTTCTCGTTCTGGAAGCTCCTCAAGAGAACCAAGGTGGTCAAGTTGAGCGAGGCTGACTTGTACACCGGAATCGAGGAGATCGAAGAGCATGAATACGAGATCTATGCCAAGAGAGAGGCCAACGGAGAAGAGGACGACGACAAGAAGAATGGTAACTTCCTTAAGAACGCATTGAATTGGGTCTTTTAAGAAGCAGCACATATAAAATTGTACCATAGAAACTACAATCATCGGTTAAGGGCATATTTATTTCATCTGTTGGACTCGCATCGCGTACATAGATTGTAAGATACTATTATAGGTTTGGTTCAAATATATTTTACTATTAGTTAATGGGATTGTAGTCACTGTTTTGAGGTATTAATTTCTCCGATTAGATTAACCAACCTATAAGCTTCGGATGCAAAAAGGATCTGGTTGGCAAAAAATATTCTTCGGTATCTCCTCCTCGGACATCTTCGAATAGTTAGTGTATTGGAAATCGTAACAGGGACGCCAAGCAGTGAAGACCAACTTGTATCGCGATCTATCGGTATAATTGACTATTTGGGACGGTTCCAAAAATTTCCGTAACTGGAAGCACTCCCGTTAGATACTAAAACAAAACCGTTGATTAAATATACACCTAAAGCAAATAGGAACCGGAAGAAACAGCCCTTGAGGATGCTCCAGTCAAAGACGCAGCATTGCTCGAGGCGGCTTGTGCCAATTTCGAAACTCCAGCCAAGAAACGGGCGAAGATAGGGGAACGGGCAGAGATAGAACTAGAGGGCTCACTAGCAGGAGCAGAGGCGTTAGCAGGAGCAGAGGCGTTAGCAGCTGTCCAAGAAAGGTCAGTACCGTTGGAACGAGCAGGGGAGCCAGGAACAGAGCTCGAGGTCGAGTTATTGACTGAGGTAGTGTTGCGGGAACTGTACACCGGGGTCAAGGTGGTGGGGATAGCATTGGAGCTGCTGGTAGGATTGCTGCCGGAGGTAGCGATGGTTTGCGTGATGGTGACCGTGATATCATCAGAAGCAGGGGCATTCTGAGAATTAACAGGAGCGTTCTGACCAGGTGAAACAGGAGAGTTCTGGTTAGAATTGTTGGGGGTATTTTGATTCGCATTAGCAGCTTTCTGATCAGAGCCAGGAGATTTCAGACCAGGTTGAGTGCCAGTCTTCTGGCTAGGTGTACTAGCCTTTTGATCAGGTGTGTTAGCATTCTGATTCTGCGAACCAGTTTGCTGGGCCGTCAGCGGAGTCTGGGTGCCGGCTTTGACAGTGGTGACAGGCGAAGCTGAGACCACATTTGCATCCAGGGCTGGAGTTGCACCTGCACTAACCGTGGTGTACTTGGTGACAGTGATGGAGTTGGTAACCACGAGAATCTGGTATACGGCCGAGGAGTTGCCAGAACTAGCCCCAGAGGAAGCAGCGGCAGGGCTGCTAGAGTTCCAGTTCTCAGGGAACTGGTTCCAGACTCGACGAGAGAGCTTGTGCAGCTTACTCATATCAGTGAGCCAGTTGCTCCCAAAAAGAGGGGCAGCTTGTGCAAGAGGGGCAACAGCCATGGCACACGAGAGGAGTGAGAGTGGATTCATGTTGGACTCGAGGAAAGGAGCGTACTAGTTGGGAATATATGTGATGGATATCCAACACTGATGGAAGGAGCCAGCCCTTTTATACTTGATCTCGAGGGAATTGTTTGCCTGCCTACACATTCCAGAACATCGACCACCAACGCAGGGATGTAATGTTTCAATAAGGAAGGCCAGGCTCGTTTGCTGGGGCGGTGTGGTGCAAGTGACGGGACTAGGCTGGGAATACCACGATGGTGCAACCATTCGCGTCCCACACGAGGCGGGAACTATCCCTCAATCGCGGTGCACGGCGCACCACATGGCCCACCGTCCAGTGGTCTGGGAATGTGGTGGCTTTGGCAGTGGCCATCGCCTTTCTCGGGGTTGTTCTCGGACGTCCATGGTACCTGCGTCGGTGCAGCTGGCGTTGTTGTTGTTACCGGCTCCCGCAGCTCGCAACATACCGCGTCAGCGGTGGCTGCGAATAAATGCGTGTCGCAGGGTTGTGCGAGGGGCAGGGGAGGGCCAGGCGCGCCGGTTCAGGCTAGATCAATACCGGTGGGGGTGGGGGTGGGGGCTGTATGTGGCTGCTGGTGTTGATGGTTCAATCTACGTGTATATGGTTCATCTACAACCAGCCATGAAGCGTGGAAGGAATTGATGGCGCTTGTTCCCGGACCTGCGTTAACGACTGCGACCAGCACAAACATGGCTACTCGTGCCGATGTGCGACAAGTGCAGCTGTATAAATCTATTAACGAATAAAACTCATCTCAATTCCAAACTCACAGGATAGTCAGTAACTATACAGATGCGAATGCATCAGAGGGCACTTCAACAGTACGCATCCCTTGTGGGTCTGGTATTGGAGCTGGAGGCCCCCTCCTGTCACTTTTATTTATCCCAAAGTAGGCATATCCACCTAGAACTATTGGGCCAAACGCTCAAACTTCAGCCGTTGCCAGAATTTGCGTTTCGTGTCAACCTGTCATTTCCTGCCTAGACTTCTGCCCCTACCGGTGGCACCGTTGGCTGGAATTAAAATCCCCGAGGCGTTGTATCGGGCAGGAACTTCGCTTAGAGCCCAAGGTTGATTCTAGAATCGCTACGCAGTTGGAAAATGCCTCCAACATGGGTGACATCAGCCCACTCCAATAAATATACTAGACGTTGGAGATGAATATGGACCATGGATAGTAAGTAGCAGATTTTAATCCATAGTCTTGGGGGCAATTTATTGTTGTCAAGTATGCTGATATTAAGTAATTTTCAAGCACAGGGAATGATAGTCCGCCTCTGTAACACCACAGACAATACTCTGGATGCTTAAAATACCAGGCCCAAAACTGATCTAGTTCATTGAAGTACTGAACCGTCACCATACTTTGGATGTTGAAAATACCAAGCCTGAAGTAAGGACGCTTTACCGCATGCCCTACTGCATCTACAGTATTCGATTCTAAAATGCATGCCTACACTCGCAAAGATATAACATTTATTGACCGACCCTCGGTCGAACCCATGTTGAAATCATCTAGCTTCCAGCAGACGATAACCAACGGCCTCACGGCCTCTTCGGAGTAAAAAGTAGAGAAGAGATAAGGGCGTTTATTGTACCCACAAGAGAGAGAAATATAGAGGAAGAAAGAAGAACAAGAAATTTTAGTAGGCAAGTTAGCCATTCACCCGGTAGAGGTGAGCCAAAGTATTGAAGGTGATTGACACACTACGATATACTCGGAGCTTAGGGCTTAGTTGACCCATTTCCAGTCGATCTTGATTCTGCCCAAATCCTTGTCAGCAATGTCGGAAAAGGCAGAGGGAGAAAGGTCCAAGTCATCAGGAGCACAGCCAGGGCACGAGTCAACCACGGTCACGATGGTGGACTTGCCTTCGTAGGAAACCTCGATTTGCTTGCCACACAATGTGTTCTTGTTGGGGTTGTTGTTGACGTTGTATTGGTTGAACACCTTTTGGGAGATGGCCACGATTCTGTCGGAGTCCTTGCTGACGCCTCCGCAGGCACCCATTCCGGTGTCGTAGTAGGTACCTTCACCGTGGTGTTCTTCGCCAGAGCCAGAGGGAGAGGAGGAGGCAGAAGAGGTAGGGGCAGGAGCAGAGGAAGCCTCAGTGGTGGCAGGTGCAGCCTCAGTGGTGGCAGGTGCCTCAGTGGTGGAAGGTGCAGCCTCGGTGGTGGAAGGTGCAGGGGTATCAGTAGTTGGTGCAGCAGAAGCTGGCTCGGAAACTGCCAAGGCAGCCACCTGCGAAGGTGCGACCACGTCATTTGCAGCAGACGACGCAGGTGCCTCAGCTGGAGTGCTTTGGGTGGTTGCAACCTCAGTTGGGGAGGCAGCAGCCGTGGTGGTCTGGAGCGATTCGCTCGACTCAGTTTCTGCCTCAGTAGCAGTAGGAACAGGCTCCACTGTCTCAATGGTGGCAGTGGCGGTGGTCTCAGGCTCGAGAGTTCTGATTCTGCCAGCGCCCTCGTAGACTACGGTGTGGTAGATGGTGGTGACCTGGGTGGTCCACACCGTTTCGACGGGGACGGGAGCAGCAGACACAAGCGTGGACGCTAACAACGAAAGGAGAGTGGCAGTGGAATACTTCATGGTATAGTAAGGAGTGACTAGGGAGGAAAGGAGTGACTATAGTCGGAGACGGGGGAACTGAGTAGAAACTGAGTCTGAAAGGAGTGGCAGTGACGAGGTCAAAGAAAGCGGATGGTGGTCAAATGGCAGGAATGGTTTTCAGTTATATATGGAATTTCGCCGAATGGGGCATCACCACTTGATGATCTGGAACGTGCAGGGAGAAGCCCCTTGAGTAGGTCGTGCGCGGACCATGTTCCCAACCAGCAGTGTCGCCTGGCCTATCGGAGGACGAGTCGGGTTAATTGGGTGCATAATGCGCATTACTGGGATTGTTGGTGCCGCATGCCATGCATGAGCGGCGCGTGCAGGTGAGGGCCTAGGCGCGCGCTGGGCCAGTTCGCGGCCACCACTGGGCACGTGACCAGATCTCTAAGGGCTACACCACCAATGGACTATGTTTGTATTTACTAGACACCGGTGCCTGCGCAGGAGAATGCAGACCGCGGCACTATGATGCAAGGTTTCAATAGGCCGATCCTCGACTAAACCTAATCTATGCACTTGTAGGGAAAAACGCTCTCCAACTGGGTGAAGAGCCACTTGCTCTGGAAACTGGTCAACCCAATAGTCTTGGCCCGGAGTCGCATGTTCCGGTCGTCAGTGATGAGTACGCAATACCGGAACATTCTGGCCGTCACATGGTTCAACACTGTCACCGGCGCACGCGAATCCCCTTTGCTGACCCCTGACAACTTGGCGTTGAGCCCCTTCAACATTTTCTTGCCAATTTCATCGTGCTCATTGACTGCATTCAAGATGGTTTCATCCACGCACGATCTCCAATTCGAATTATTCTCAAACTCGAGCGTTTCATTGATGTCTGACGCTACTGAGCCGTCGTACCTCAACGGGAGAATCTCCCCCGTCAAGTACAACTCACGCACAATGATCACCGACCGGGTGGCAGCATCCGAGATTGTGGCCTCGACCGATTTTCGTAACGCCCGCAATTCTTGGAACACTATCAATGGTATCAGAATTTTGAACACTCCGTTACGAACACATTTGTAGATCCTACCACAGTGCTTGAGCCAGATGTTGGTATCCAAGGTAATATGGGTCAAGCTGTTATCCATGCGATCACCAAGGTTACCCTCAATACTAATCTTATTCTTGTTTACTCCGGCGTCCCCACTTTCAATGAAAATCTCGTTGTAGAAACCTTCTCCTCCAGCAATCTGCTGGGCTTGTTGCAATGCTTGTTGGTGTTGTTGCTGATGATACAAGTGATGATTGTGAAGGCTCTGCTGGTGTTGAGAGTCTATGCCAGCCTCTTCATCTTCATATTGCGGCACTCCATACTGGCCGCCTCCTTCTTGGTCCTGTACCATATCATCACCTAATTGATTCTCCTCATCATAACCTCCGTTAGATCTAAACCACATATTATCTTTTTGAGCAGTGGTAAGATGATAGCTGACATTGGACAAGTTTTCTCTGGAAATAGGCTGTAAAAAGTTATTCTGTACAAATCTACCATCACTCAACAAAAACTCTTCCATGTAGGCATACGGGTCATTTTGAGTAGAGTTCGATGAAGGAACGGACGAATCAGTAGTGTTGTAAATGGTCTCATCATACTTGAATTCATAATCCGATCTTACCAAACCAAAAGAATGCTTGTCTGCAATAATTCTGGCCAATAAAATAATACGGACAATTCTTTCATCATTATCATTTTCCATCTGGTTCCTTGACTTGTGATCAGATTCGCTAGCCAAATTGACTGCAGAATACGATCCACACACCGGTAAGTCAAATAAATTATTGTTCTTGACTCCTGCAGATTCCAAATCAGTGTAGTCACCCTTTTCAACGATGGAGTCAAACCACAAAGTACCCCAACACTTCCAAACTTCAGGAAGAAATTCATTTTCGTTGAAGTACTGAATATAGTCGCCTTGTTGAAGGTAGTGGGCACATAGCTTTGATAATTTGGGACTATTTCTAACAAATGAAAGCAATGAATTAAGATAGTTGATAAGAGACTCCCATGGGAAAAGCTTCTTGAATAACCAGTCTACCATTGTCTTGCTGTTGGAGTATTTCTTCGATGAGTCTCCAACGGCTATCAAAAAGTATAACCAGACAATCACATGACTTGTAGATGCTTGCTTTGGCCCCACTAGGTAGTGGTTCAAGATACGAATGGACAATTCCAACACTGATTTGTTGATGAATTGCAAGCAATAGAACCAATCATTAACGGATAAATCCGATACAGATACAGTTTGACCATCAACACCCCCAGTTATGGAGTTATTGCTGTCATCAATGTGAGCCTGAGAAGATGCACGAGATTTCCGCTTTCTATCCTTTTTGTCCTTTCTTTCCTTGAGAGCTTCTGGAAGTAAGAATATTTTAGCGAAGGGATTTTTAGCATCTCCAAAACCGATCAAATGATTGATATTTGCAATGGCAAAGAGGGAACCTTTATTCAACCAGAAGTTGATTTTTTCCATACTATTGGCTGCATTTGGAGTTTGTTGTTGCTGCTGCTGCTGTAAGTAGTAAGGATGATGAGGGTCATTAATAGACGTTACGCCATTTGCAGTGTATAATTCCCTAGTAAAGAAATTGTATCCACTAGAGTCAGACCCAAATGTTAAACCATACCGAGTGACCAAATCGATACCATATTGGACTTGTGAATCATGAATGCCTTCAACGGAATTTGAAATACCGTCATTCGTGCGGTTAAAAATGCTGAGCAAAACTTTATGGATCTTGATGAAGTCAATTATAGGCAATTCCAACAAGGACAAGATATTTCTTTGGGTACAAATATTCTCAACAACCAATCTCAAGTAGTGCTGGGTAGGAACGAACGGGTCACGACAAACAACCGATTTACCAATATTAACCAAAGCATCCAAATTATCTTGCTGAACGGTACACATGTGGTAGTAAATTTTTCCATGGCCATAAAGGGTCCTCATAGCAACTGAATACCAGTATTCGGCACTAATTTTCCAGTCTATAAATTTTGATGCATAAAGGGCAATTGCCATACGAGACAAATCACCAAGTTTTTCCAGCCACCACCCTTCCATTTCAAGAATGGGGTCTGTTAAGTTAGAAATGATGTTGAAGCAGTATGAGATGAAGCACAGGCAAATTTCATGATCTTGGTAAATGCTCATGATGTTCTTCAACACCTCGAGAAAACCCACAATGCCGTAAACCCACATACGTCTGGGAATCTTGTAGAGCTCCACGATATTTTTACCTGTTTTGAACTGGGTTTGATTAGATGAAGGCTTGAGAGCGGTTACCAAGAAGTCGTAGTAGTTGTCTAATAGCGTAATGTTGTGATGATAGACCGTCCACAAGTCGTTCAGCAATTCCGAGGTCCTGGTGGTAGTGGACGTTAATGAGGTGTTTGAGTTAACCGAAGACGAGAGCTGCTGATTAATAAGAGGCGAGTTACCGTACACCAAGCTGCTATTATGATTGTTGCTGGTCAACTGGTTGATCTTTATCGTGATATCAATGCAATTTTTTTGGACAATCTCCTCAAAGTTGACCACGTTCTTGTAGGTTTCCTTCAATTTCGATGCCAACTGCTGCTCCTCATCTGACATGGTTCTGGGCGGCGCCTGGGTCAGCTGGGGCTGGGCCAGGTCTGGCTGCTGCAGCGGGTGTCTGGGGTGCGAGCTCGAGTTCATGGGGGTCGATACAGTCAGATCTTTGGCTGTAGGCAAGAGATCATTCTGGTTCGCATCCATCTGGTGCTCCAACACTGCGTTGGAGTCGGACAGGTCCGAGTGGTTCTGCACCGACACGTTCGACATCGGGTTGACGTTGGGGCTGGAAGGCACCTCGTAAGGGGAGTGGGTGGGGGTCTTCAAGTTGCCCATGGATGGCTGCTGTTGAATCATGCTGCGTCTGGCTCCCGATCTCACCGAGGGATAGCGTGGCGACGATACCGCTGGGGTGCCTGGCGCCTGGGCCACCTGGCTGGCGTTGAACGTGGAGTTGAACGTGGAGTTGTTGGATGCATTGTAGAAGTCCTGCGAGCCCTGCATGCTGGAGGGTAATGGGTTTTGGCTTCTTTTGTTGGAGTTGGCGATCATGTAGTTGGACAAGCTGTTCTGGCGCTTCTGTTGTTGGCTGCCAGCGTGAGGGAGCTGATCGGAGCCGGAGGGATGCTGGCCACTATTTACCACCAGATCAGGGTAAAACTTGGGGTCGTTATTGTTCATAGCGGCCCGTCTCGTGGCAAAGAGGGAGTGGGGGTGATGGGAGGAAAGAGGAGGAGGAGGAGGTTGGGCTCAGGCAATAGGCGTGGAAATCAACAAGAGGTGGATGGAGCGCGCACGACTTTTAGCGAGGATGGGTGGGGGAGGTAGGGGATGGTGGAGATGGGCAGTGGTGTTGGTGGTAGCGTAAGGAGATGGTGGTGATGTTGCTGACGAAGATGACGTTGGTGGGAGCGGTGGCGCTGTGGCTACTGGCAACTGGGGGCTGGGTGGTGGCGACTGATTAGTGAGATTTGTGAGATTTGTGAGAATAGTGAGCTTAGCAGCCAGTGCGGCCTGGCAAATGCCGCTGGGATCCGCAGGTCGGCACGAGAGGGCTCTAGGGGTTCTAAGGGGGAGTATAAAGAGGCTCCAGAGAGGTTACAGTGGGATGTCAGCTTGAGAAATCCAGCTGGAGTACCGCTAGAGTCTCGCTACAACTCTCGCAATGGGCGAGATCTCCTCTCATGACTCAGTTTGCCTTCGCTCAATGCGACGATTTGGCAACGACGCATCGCATGACAAATATGGACCCCCAAAGCCTTCGATCTACGGATAGCAACGGGATCACGGAGTACGGAGCGATCTACGGACAGACGGCTGGATGGCGGTTGAGTCAGCACCGCACGTGACATCCAGTTCCGGGATCTGAAGCAACCTCGATGTAACTGTGTGGAGGTCTCCAGACCCCGGAAACGACCGCCACGATGGCAATTTCCACTTGGGGGCCCCAGCAGCTACTCTGGGCTAGCATTTATCTACGAATTGAAAGTAATGTTAGAGGGTTTTAAATGTGATTTATTCTGAATACTTTTGCTGAAAAACGAGGTCCATATGAATCAGCTGTTACAGAAGAGAAAACAGACAGTGCTGAAGTACGGAAGTTTCACTCACAGCCACTGCTGGCATGGTTTTGCCCATACCACTCCTGTCGGCAGGATGGTGCGGCACACGCTCAAACATCCCCCTGATTTGCAATCACACGAGTATGAGTGGGCCACAGGCCTGGTGTTAGTTTAGGCGTTGGGGCCACCCAGCCATTTAAGGCATTTTATAGCACAATTTGTGACGAATAATTATCAAGGATCATTACATTTGGTGAACCAGACGAACTACTGATTTGCAGATTGTGTCGCCCAAATATTCTGGACATAATGGTGAATCGCATTATTTGTAATCATCCCTTACCCCACAGTTTGAACAATTTCTACCTGGTATAGGTCATCCCTACAGTACGGTCAATTGGACAGCAATGATATCCCTTATGGATCTGTCTGACTCAGCACTTCTACACTAATAATTTAATTCGGTGGCCTATTAGGCTCTAGGGTCGTTCTTTCATTTATGTGTGAGGGTTTTGTATGGTTTCTGGCCATTTCTGTGGCCCGATTCAGCTATCAATCCACCACACACTTCCACAATGTGCTGAAAACAGACAAGTCCAGCTTTTGATGTGAAAGTCCTCTTTCTCCCATTGGTCTAAACTACTTTTACTACGGACTATCGGGCGGTCACATTATCGTTTTTACGAGTCCTTTTAATGCGAGAACCATGGTGATTTGTGGATTGGAATCTTGTTTAAATGACAACTTCAATGACTTCAAATATTCGAGCCGTAATGTGTTAGTCAAAGGCAATAATTGTTTATCGTAATCTTGATGCCCGTCTATTTCCTGTTTATTTTCGTTTCTTCCATAATTTGAACAGTGGGCAAAGGCTTTACAAATAGCGGGGAGGTAGTGTCATAGTTGGGAACTTTTGTGCCGTGAAGCTTAGCATGACAAGAAGTTCAATTTAGTAAATCCAGCATTGGAGTAGCCTGAAATAGTCTTGCATGCACCAGAAAATTGGGTGCAAATTGATACCTAGGAAGTCCGATGAAATATATTCGACTCTTCCAAGCTCAAGGTGACAAGTTGCCATGGTACTTTTGAGAAGATTACAATCCAGACCCTCCTTTTGTTCTTTGATGACATCTAGTTATTTAGCAATTAATGCATCGATGTGCTTGGGAGTGACCTTGTACTGCAATGGGAACAGCAGCGAATGCACTAAAAGACCAAATGTGGTTGGTGGTCTACTGATCTTTTTATCAATTCTTTTACATAAAGTTGATAATAGAATTAGATGGCAGATTCGAAGTTCAGGAAATTGTGAGCCAGGCAACTGTTGACTGAGGTAATGACCCCAAGGGCTCGTGTTTGTTCAAGAATAAATTCAATGGATATGACCAAATCATGATCTAGGTCACGAGCATAATGCCGAAACGGGATTAGATTTTCTGCTCCATAAGCTTCAACCAGTCTTCGCTAGGAAATCGGTGTATTCTGGACGAGGGATTGCCTATTGTACTACCCATGCAGATAGTATCAATTAGTTAGTTGTTCTACTACCCATTCAGATAGTGTCAATTAGTTAGTTGTTCTACACAACGGTCCAATGAATACTGTATCTCTCCTCTCCATCATGGATCCACCTATGGTTAACCTCATCTCCTGCCCTTTTCAATTCTCCAATCCACTTCACCTCTGCTCCTCTCACTCTCATATATCCTACACCTGGCCTGGCCAGCTACACTCTCCTTTAACGTAAGATTTTATTAGCTAAACACAGCACTATACCTTTCCCAAGCCGTATTATGTATATGTAGGGAATATCCAGGACCTGGACATGGAAACCAAGGTGTGTATGATGCAACGAATAGTTTACTTCAACTTCTTCTTTGGTCTCAATTGGTTGGTGTGTCCACACTTTCTCTTACGACAGTTGGTAGCTCTTGGTGGCAATCTGGCGTAACATTTACGGCAGATGGACTTTTCACAGTTGTACTTGGAAGCTAAAGCCTTTAAGGATGGTTCAATCATCTTAACTTGCTGGATTAACTATAGGAAAAAGGATTTGAATGAAGATTGAAAAATTTGTTTTGTCTGGTGGATTGCAGGTACCGAGTGAGTTACGTAAGCGGGCATGGTGTGCGCGGACTGCAGGAAGCTACCAAGCCCGGCGTGCGCATGATTTGGAGGCACGTGTCAAGCCCAAGTTAAAAGGGCACCAGCCCTAGCACTACTCGCGGGCCACAGTGGATACGTCGCAAATGTGTCGCAAATGTGTCGCGACAGGTTTGGGGCGACATTTGGTGACTCCCATGTCGCACCACCATGTCTCCAATCTCACCCACAATAACAACCGCCATCACCACCTAACCGGTACCTATCACTTGATCTGGTTGTTCGATACGTATCTAAATAGGCGGTATGACTGACCCGTTGGAGAACTCCAACCAGCCTGATAGCGCCATGCCTAACACCAGCGACCCCGCCGGTGGCAATGCCAATTCCAATGTTGCAGCTCTGGTTGAAGCGCCATTGGCAAGTGGCTCTGAAATCGATGCCATTGAACCAGAAAAGCCTCCAGCAGTTGCAATTGAGCCTACGAATATACAGACTCCGTTTGTGACACTCGAAGAGGTGCCAAATACGGAACACATCCCACAAGAGTCTGACTTTCAAGTGCCAGTTCCATCCACCAAAGACGAGGCCTCCATCGTCGAGGCTTCTGGCACTGGTGAAGTCCAAGAAAACCCTACAGAGCATGTGGTGAGTGATCCAGCCTCGATTGATAACGAAAATATGGACGAGGACCCCAACACTTCGATCTTGCAACTTCCATCCCAGAACCAAACATTTGCTACTCCCCTGAAGTCATTGCCTCCGTTGAAGGACATAGACAAAATCAGTACCCCCAAGGCATTTAACGTTGCGAGAGACCCCGAGGACCACTCACATATTATAAGCAGCCCCATTGCTTCAAAAAACGCTACCCGCGAGAACTTGGCCGCTGTTGAACCTTTTGGTTCAGCCATAGGCTTCGAGGACTCAATCAAAGTGTGTTCTGGATTTTTGGGAGTTGACGAAAACTTGCTTACTTCCCTCGACGGATCCACGCTTGATGCGTTGTTAGCTAAGTCCGCAGAATTTAGCGAGGTCACATCCCAAAATTCCTTTCTACAACTCAAACTTGAACAAAGCGTTCAAGGTTCATCCAAGGTTATAGACGAGCTTAAGTCCAAGCTCAGAGAGTCCGAAAACGAGGCAAATGAACTCAAGAACCAAGGAGAATCATACTCGTCAACTAAATCATACCAAGACCAACGAATCCACGAATTGGAAGAAGCCAATAAGATATTAAATGATAGAATAGTTAGACTCAAAGAGTCGGAGGAAAAGGCTAATAATGAAGGTAAATCTTTAGAAGAAACTTATGAAAGGAAGATCACCAGACTCAATGAATCGATTAATCAATTGACTGCCTCCAATATTGATCAAAGTACTAAATTTAATCAAATAACCAAGGAAATCAATGACACGAAGAATCAAAACTTTACATTAAAATTGGATTTAACAAAAGTTACTAATGAAGTGGCATACTTGAAGAGTCAAAAGAAATGGTACGAAGAGGAATTAGATTCGATTCAATCAAGATACACCGATTTGATCAAGAAGCATGAGTCTGAATACGTGCTCACATCAAATAAAGTTACCACTTTGGCATCCAAGAATGATTCCCTCGAACAGGTAAATAAGTCTCACCAAAAAACTATATATGATTTGAGAAAGACTGTGGATGAGCAAGCATCACAATTATCAAGTCTAAAGTCAGAATTTGCTAATGAGAAGTCAAGCTTGGTTCAACAAGTTCAAAATCAAGAGGATTTAATCAAACTTACCAAGACTCAAGGAGATCAAAGAATAGAGCGCATTCAACAACTCGAGTCCTACATTGAAGAAATAAAACAAAAACTAGGTGATTCTATTCGTTCGCTTGAGAACTCGTTGGCCTCGAAGACAGAGCAATTGATTGAAGTTCAAGAGAAATTGAGAAGAACCGAAGAAGTTTTGGATTCTGAATTACAAAAGGAGGGTGAATTACCAAAATTGACTAATTCTTCTTCACTCATCGCATCCCAAGGTATCTCTTTATCTACCTTATATTCAGAGTTCAACCATTTGAAGAAACAATTGGTATTAGAAAGATCTCAAAAGGAGAAATTGGCCATCCAATTAGAGTCATTTGTCGCCGAATTAGAATCCAAGAAGCCAGCAATTGCAAACTATCGTGATCAAGTCAAGTTTTACGAGAATTCCTTGCAAGAAATGATTGGAAAGGTGGAAAGTATTCGTATTGAGAAGGTGAATATTGAGAAAGACTGTAATAGGTTGAGAGCTAGACTTCAAGAAAATGAAAGTGAAATAATATCCATCAAGAATTTACTGAAGGATTTGGGTAGACAATTGTGTTACTATTTGATCCACTCTAAGGTTAGAGATAATAATGAAGATCCATTAACGTTGAGTGAAAAACAAGCCATCGAGAATATTCTTCAAAAGAGTGGAAATTTTGACTCTGAGTTGGAGAATGAATCTGACAAGCTCATCTCTGAAAGAATGGTTGAATTTACAAGTATTGTGGAATTGAGACAAAAGAATGAAGAACTCTTGAGAGCTATTAGAATCTTATCCAAGAAATTAGAGAATAAGGAAGAAGAAAATAACAACATTGAATCTATTGCCATTGAAGAGGCTAAAGATGCTATTGTCACATTAGAAGGCGAGTTAGAAAGCATCAGCATCAAGCTCAAGGCAGTTACCAAGGAAAGAGACATACTCAAGGCCTCATCCGATAATGGATTCAGCGGTCAATCCCGTAATTCTGATGGCAAGTACTTGAGTGAAATCAACGAAGATCTCAGAACAAAACTTAAAGAAAGTGATAAGATCTTGAAAGACTTGCAGAATCAAAGTGCAGAGGCAACCAATGAATTAAACAGGAAATTGCGTGCTCTCACCAATGATAAGAGTGAGCTTTCTATTCAATTAGCATCGAGTAAGCATGCTACAGAATTGGCTGAAAGTAGATTCTCGAATGCTCAAAGTACTATTGACGAATTGCGCAAAGAGATTGAACAAACTAGCACGAATCTCAAGTTCTGGCAAGAACAGGCATCTAAACAAGAAAATCTCTTAATCAACAAATCGAATGAGCTCAGAGATGCAGAATCCTTGATATCTAAGAACCAACTCACAATTAATAATCTCGAGACCGAGAAGAAATACAAAGAATCACTTTTTGTGTCATTGAGAAGTGAAATAGAACAGCTTAAATCCGATAAGAGCAACCTTAATGAATTTGTCATTAATTTACAGGCATTATTAAAGGAACGGGGTGACTCAAGCAAGGAATTATCGGAGAGACTTAACAGATCCATTGAGAATTATCAATCGTTACATGAAAAGCTCAGTGAGAAGGATGAAAGAATATCTATTTTGACTAGCCAAGCTGAGTTAGCTTTGAAGTCTCAAAACAGCAAGTTAGAACAAGTAGGTGAAATCAGTCAAGCTCTTTTAGAGAATAAGGCGAAATTAAATGAAAAAGAAGGTTTGATTGAACGGTTGAAGGATAAGATTCATGAGCTCAACTCAGCATTGACCAAGCGTTCAAGCGCAGTTCAGATCGAGACCACTGGTGGATCGGCATCTGATGATTCTGAGAAGCAGGGTTTGAGAATTGAAATTGGTCAACTCAAGGAAGACTTGAAGATTGCGGAAAGCCAGGTGGAAGAATTGTCTAATTTGGCTAAGGCTGGTGAGGATGCCTTAATAAATGCTACAAACAGCTTTGAGCAATATAAAATAGATGCTGAGCACAGATACCAGTCTGCAATGAAGGAGCAAGAAACATTGAAGGATGAAATCAACAGTCTCAATGTTGCAGTTCAAGAGGCAAAGAACGAGTTGGCCAATGCTAATGACAAGCACAGAGACGAGGAGAACAACTTAAGAACCAAACTTGACGAATACTCGAACAAGGCCGAAGCTTACGATATTTTACAAAGAGATTATGATAGCAGATTGTCCGGTCTTAGAAAAGATTTAGAAATTCAAGTTCAGTTGTCATCTTCCAATCAATCGAAGTATCAAGAGGAATTGGAAAAGAACAATGAGTTGGCCCAGCAAATTGTATCGCATAAGGACGAAGTGGAAGGATACAAGGGTGAAATTCAAGTTTTGAATGAGAAGTTGAATGGTATTATTGGTAAGGAAGATTCTTTAAGCTTGGAAAGATCTGCAATTGAAGATGAATTGAGAGATTCAAGGTCAAAGCTCGAGGAATTGAAACAGCAAAACAGTATCATTATGAACCAATTAGAATTATCTAAGAATGGAACATTTTCTACTGAAGATTCCAGTATGGGTGATGAAAGCTTGAAGGAAGTTGTCGGTTACTTGCGCCGTGAAAAGGAGGCTGCCGAACTTAAGTTAAATCTCAAAAATGATGAATTTGACACCATTTCAAAAAATGTTGCTAAACTTCAAGACGAATTGACACGCGCTAAGGCTGAATTGGCTTCTGCACAAAACGCCAGCGTATCCACTAACAATGGATTCAGTATAAGTGAATCGTTCAAAGAAACGGAACGAATTGAGGAACAATTGCAGCAACTCAATATCTTGCGTGAAAGCAATACTACTTTGCGTAACGAGAACGCTTCCAAATTACAAAGAATCCAAGAATTGCAAACTCAATTGGCTACTGCCTCTAGCGAGTTGGAACCATTGAAGGAAAGAATTAGTTCGCAAGTCACAGAGGCCGAGGTCAGCAACCAAAGAGTGAAGTTATTGGAAGAAGAAAGCGAGAGATTGAAGGGCAGATTGGCCCAAGCTAGCCAACCGGGTTCTGCATCACCGGTTGCAGCAACAACTACTGGCACCACCACTGAAGCTGAAAATGAGATCATTCAGAACATGAAGGACAAGTATAATGATCTTCGTAATAAGGCCAATACTCGTATTCAATCGCAAAACGACAAGATCAAAGAGTTGCAGGATTCAATTACTTCTCTCAACGAAGAGATTGCCAAGTTGCAATCAAGTGCCCAAGAGCAAGCCAACAAGATCAAAGAGGAGAGTACAGGCCAAATTGAAGAGCTCAACAGTAAACTTAAAACATTAAGAGACGAGCATGCAAAGACCGTGAATGCGTTGAAGCAAGAGAAGAACAACTTGACCAACCAGGTCAACCAATTGAAGCAAAAGGCACAAACCACGCCCCAAAGCTCAGAGGAGGAGTTGAAGAAATTGAGGGAGGGTTTCGAGAACGACAAGCAGAGCTTGCAAAAACAGTTACAAGAACAATTCGATCAGCGTTTGAAGGAGGAGCTTGGTAAAATATCTGATACCGATGGAACCAAGAAGCAGTTAGAGGAAGACTTCCAGAAGAAGTATGAAGATTTGGAGCGCAGTGTCAATGCCAGAAAGGCTGCGTTGGAAAAGGAGGTTGAAGCTAGAATAGACAGCAAGGTGGCTGAAGTGGTTGCTTCCAAGGCTGGAGCTGGCGACAATGGCCAGCACCAGGAAGAAATAGCTAAGTTGAAGGCTGACTTCACCAAGCAAATAGAAGAGGAAAAGAAGAAGACCAAACAGCAGGTTGAAAAATTATTTGAGATGAAACTCAAGATGTTGACCAAGAAAGTCGAAAGGCTCGAGAAGGAAAATGGTGCCACGGGTACGGGCCCCACCACTGGAGGTGGTGCCAGCGGATTTGGAGTCGGAGCCGGGGGCGCATTTGGATCTGCTAGCGGGGCAAGCACTGCTGCCCCTCGAGCATCTACCAACCCGCAGACAGGCAATTTTGGGGCCAATAAGCCAAAGGCGTTGGGCCTTCCACACACCGAAACAACGTTGACTGTGCATCGGCCCGCGATCGACAGAGGGGAAAGCAAGAAAGAAACTCCGGGGCAAGCAGATAATAACGATAAGAAGAGAACACTTCAGCCACAGGGAGGGGTTATCAAAAAGCACAAGGAAGAAGGCAAGTAGGGGCCGGAAGTGGTTGTATAGTCTTATTTTTGTAAAATATTATGTCATCGCTAACAACAGTAAGTGGGGACAATTAGAGTTTCCATGCGCAGGCGGGATAAAACGCATGCCCCCCACGATTTCCGGCTGAGGAATTTCGGTTCGTCTGTTTTGGGAATGGCTCATCGCAACAGAATATTCCCGGTTGGTCGGTGAAACTGGATGAAACTGAGTGGGGCTGAACCCGGTGTACAGCCAAAGTGGCAGGAAGTCGGACTACTTCACGTTCCAGCGTCAGCTAGATGTTGCATGCGTCGGAATAGCTGCACATATTCCGCGTTGATCTGCATTGAACCCCATCTTCCGCGCTTAAACTGCTCAGCACACCTCCGTTCGCTAATCGATGGCCCTCAGCGGTGCGGGGCTTGGCAGTCCGTCCAAGCCACTCCGAGGCTGGTGGTGGCTGCCAGTTCCAGCTGGACCAGCTGGCTTCGGCGATACTGGTTGTTCCGTGGCCGTTGTGCTGGTGTAGCTCCAACACCCATCGCGAATTGCTGACGCCATCCACCAACATGACGTATCCTGTGGCAGCCGATCCATGCACTAAACGGTGCGTCAACAATTCTGGGCATCGCACGGTGCGCAGAAGAAAATGACGGATTTTCAGTCAAGTAACTCCGGTTTTTGGTGTCTGTCCGAGGAGGGGGGCCACACCAGCTTGTAGCAAAGAGACACCGGCACCACAGTGGACGTGTCCGGTACCCCTCCAGGCCCAACACACCGGCACTGGTCCGTGGACACACCGGCAAACAGCCCTCGCGACTCTCAACTTCCGGTCCGGTTGCGTCTGTCGTGTTACCCCAGTGAGCACGTACGACATTGCTGTGTGCAGACAAACACCCCATTTCGCGCGGTAGGACCCTTTTGGGTGGCATGCCACTTAGCTAAACTTAGATACGGGGGCGCTAACTAATCAGCCACTGTGATTGGCCGCAAGCTGCGGGGTATATCAACTAAAAAAAACGAGACAACACGGTTGCACCGAGCCCCGACCACAAGCTGCTCAGGCTTGGAAAGGATCCCTGGGACATACCTGTAGATCGGGTGTTTTGCCGATTTCGCCGCAAATCTCTGGATCATGAAACCTCCTCGGAGCGAATTGTCCAAGAAAAAAAACAGAGATATTATCTGCTGATGCAAAAGTTTTTTCTTGGTATGGGGGAACGAGGGGAAGTCCGTGGGGCGCTAACCTAATTGAAAATCGCAAATGCCGTCTCCCACTACAATTCTCCGGGGCTGCATGAACCTCGCTGGCCACCGTAGACTTGAACTCTTCAGCCAGTACGAGCAAACTGTCGCTGGAACGGACGGGTGGCTGAAATCCATTCCAGAGCAACGCCTGTTTTTAGCCATCGCCACCAGGGACCCTCGCCAAGGAGCCAAGCACCAAGCCAAGGCTTCGGCAGGCACTAACGAATTAAACTGTCAAAAGTGAAGCCTGCCAGGTCTGGGCAACTGCCTGGAGGGGGAGGGGCACGGTTGGAGAAGGGTTCCCGGACTTTCTCTGGTTTTAATAATCAGACAAATAGTGCGCACAGGTTGGACGTGCCCGGAGATGGATACCGACCGTGCTCAATATTTCAGCAAGCGTGATTACGCCGCCTTTGTGGCCCAAACCGTCGGGGTATGGCCAGTTCCGGTCATTTCGGCCCTCCCATCGGGGTGCCCCCACCACTCCGGCAGGATTTGCAGTTTATTAGCCCCACATTTGACAGTGGGGTCCGTATTCTTCCCCGTTGCAAAATGTCTGATGCCCCCATCCTATAAAGCTGGTCGATTTCCCATCCTGTAGTCCTTATCTATCACCATGGGCTCCGACAAAAAAGACAACCGCTCGATCATCTCTCGGAACTCGGTTCACGACGAAGAAAAACAGGTCCCCACCACTGTGGCCTCCAAGTACAGATGGAAAGTCAACGCCGACTCCTCGCCCCCAGAAATCTATAACAGAACCCTCTACCTTTGTATCTTTGTGTTTGGTATCTTGGGTGCTGCCAGAGGTTTTGATGAAGGTAACATTTCCGGAGCCATGGCGCTTCCTTCCTTCAAGAAGTACTTCGGATTGGCTGACAAGCACAAGACCAAGGACGAGCTTGCTAACTTGAAGTCCAACATCGCCTCCATGGTCCAGCTTGGTGCTATCGGAGGTGCCATGATCGCCATGTACTCTGTCGACAAGTTGGGCAGAGTTCGTGCTCTTCAAGCTGTGTGTATTATCTGGATCATTGGTGCTATTTTGCAAGTGTTTGCCCAGTCTGTGGGTATGTTGTACGCTGGTAGACTTATCGAGGGTTTGGCCATCGGACAAACCACCACCATCGGACCTTCTTTCACATCGGAAGTCGCTCCAAAGGCCATCAGAGGTATGGCTGTGTCCATCTTCTCCGGTGCTGTCTACTTGGGTATTATGTGCGGTTACTTCGTTTCCTACGGTGCCGTCTTGCACATCTCCAACGATTCTAGAAAGCAATGGGTTGTGGGTGTGTCGTTGAAGATTGTTTTGGCAGGTTTGATTTTCATTCTCTCCATGTTGTTCTGCTACGAAAGTCCTAGATGGTTATTGAAGGTCGGCCAGCCCGACAAGGCCATTGAGAACTTGTCCAAGCTCAGACACTTGCCACCAGACCACCCTTACATCATCGGTGAAATCAGTGACATTAACGAACAAGTGCTCTCCGAAAAGGAAGCCAAGGCCAACAGAAACCTCCTTCACCAATTCAAGGAAATCGTCACTGTCAAGTCCATCAGATACAGATTCTTTGCCGTTTGTGCCCTGGCCCAGCTCTTGGGTCAATGGTCCGGTGCCAACGCTGTCACCATCTACGCCTCCGAACTCTTCAGTCTTGCTGGTATTAAAGGTACTGATGTGTTGAAGATGTCTGCCGTTCTTGGTGTTGTCAAGTTCATTTCTGCCTACTTGTGTGCATTCTTTATCATTGATTTCCTCGGAAGAAGAAGAGCCTTGTACATTGGTGTCACCATTCAGTTTATCACCATTCTTTACTTCGCTATTTTCTTGCACGTGGTTCCACAAGCTGCTGACGATGGTGCAGTCTTGACTGCTTCTCAAAAGAGAGCCTCCCTCGGTGCCCTTGCTGCTCTTTTCCTCAGTGGTACTGGTTGGACCATGGGTTTCAACTCTATCCAATACTTGTTGGGTTCTGAGATTTTCCCATTGAAGATCAGATCTTTCGCCCAATCCCTCACCATGATCTTGCATTTCGCCAACCAATATGGTAATTCCAAGGCTTTGCCAAAAATGTTGTTAGCCATGAACAACTTCGGTGCCTTCTACTTCTTCTGTGGTGTCATGCTCATCGGTTTGTTCTGGTGTTGGTTCTTCGTTCCAGAAGTTGCTGGCAGATCTTTAGAATCTATGGAAGATATCTTCAACTTGCCATGGTACTTGATTGGTAGAAAGGGTCCAGAATTGTGTCCTGACTACTCTGAAATCAACAAGATCACCTACACCACCCTGGGTGCCACCAACACCTACGAAAGTCACATCAACTACTTGGAGAAAGACAAGGCTTCTCAAGAATTCGTTGAGAACGCCGATGAGGCCAAGGAGAACCGCGATTCTTTGGACAAGTTCCAAGAGAAGGTTTAGATTCCTAATGCAGTTCAGTTCTTCGTTTATGTATGTATCTTAATATAATGTGTCACGTGAAATATAATTTGCAACCATTTTTTAGACTCGTGCGTTGAGTTGATTATGCACGACGCAAAGCCTCATTGGGAAATGACATATTCGGTTAAGAGTTGTCAGGTATCGTATAAAGTAGTAAGATGGCCCAACTATGGTTAATAAGTATAGTGAGGTCAAGGATAGATCATCTAGCAACGGTCCTAATTCTTTTGCGAGTGAATATGGCTCTTGTGTTCTCTCTAATTGAAAGAAGATTCGACGTCACTTAAAGTTTAATCTTAATTTAACCTGATGTAATTCAGTCGGGATCTTAGATGTAATTTAAGATTCCTTCGATTATTATTAATTATTAATCCGCTTGATATACTAAATATTTAGAGAACTCTAAACAGTTTACCCCAGGTAAACTTCTAATCAATTGGTAAGCCTTATTCCTTTTCAGCAACATCAGAATCGCTTCTTTCTTCTTTATCCGCAGGAATAAAGTCTGGGTCTAATGCAGAGTTGTAAATAACAATTCCATTTTCTCTGGCATAAAGTCTTTCTTCCTTCTTGTAGAAGTACAATACCACAAACGTCCATAAGATCAAAGCGAAAGCACTGCATGCAGTGAAAGTGAAACCCTTGAGATATCTTGGAGCTTCGACAGTCTTCCATACCAACACTGCGATCCAAGCTGTAGATTGCTGTGCCAAAATGTTCATGGTAACCAACACAACTTGACGTTCACGAATATCCCTACGACAAATGTCACCTTGCCACGAATACAACGTGGGGGCCATTGCCCATCCGAAATATTGCAAACAGAAAGCAAACCATTTGGCACGCTCTGGAACGTGCCACACCGCCAAAATGACGTTACCTATGATATTAAACACTTGGGAAATGACAATCGCAGCCCAACGAGACTCAAACAAGTCTGCAAAACTACTGATGATGGCCAACCATAAGATACCCAAACCAGGAGTCAAAGCTGTGTAGTCCTGAAGGTCACCCCTGTTAAATCTTTTGGTACCATCGCTGTTCTTCAAGGATTGCAACCATAAAGCATAAGCACCAGAGGTACCGTTGTTGTTGTTCCAGCAGAAAATGTTCCACAAGGAAAGAACGTAGATGTGCCACGAGGAGAAGATCGATTTCCAGATGTCGGGTTTGAAGAAGTGCTTGACAGGGTTTTCTCTTGGCTTGGCATCCTTTTGATCAGCTCTCATTCTTCTTCTGGCAATTCTAATATCGTCATCAGACAAGAAGATACTGTAACAATCCTGAGGAGTACCAGGAATCATATAGAAACCAATAATACCCACGATAACCGAGATGATACCGTCCATGATAAAAATCCATTGCCAAGCCTCATGACCGTTCTTGCCTCCCATATGTCTCTCGATGGCACCCGAGAGCAAACCAGAGGTCAAAATACCCAAGTACTGGCCAAAGTAGTAGAAACCAGCTCTTCTGGTGATCTCACCAGTGGAACCCTTGAACCACGAAGCGAACAACGCGTGGTAGGCAATGTAGGAGGGAGCCTCGAAGGCACCAATGAAGAAACGAAGCACCTTGAGCTGGCCCACGGACGTCACACGGTAGAGACAAACGGTCAAGATCGACCAGCAGATGTCCAAGGTAGGCAAAACGTAGTTCAATGGCAATGCGTACAAGATGTACATGAAGGGAAGCTGGAACACGATGTTACCCACACTGAACATGACCTGGGTGTTGACCAAGTCGTTACCCTTCATGCCAATGGACTCTTTGAGGCCTCCGATGTAGGCATTGTTGAGGTTAGTCTGGTCGAGGTACTTGACCCAGTAGGCTGCAAGCGAATAGAGGGTCAAGAGAAGATCGATCTTCAAGATGACTCTTCTCTCCTCGGGGGTGTCGCTGTCATGGAACCACTTGTACCACTTGCGGTTCTTCTTGGTCTTGGCGTCCACTCTGTACTCGTACTCGTCGAAGAACTTCCACCACTTGCGGTCCTTTTCGTCTCTGTACTCGAGGGTGTCGATGGAGGCTGCATCTTGAACCTCTTGGTTGGCGGAGTGTTCCTTTTCCAACGAGTCGTTGGACTTGGCTGGCTTGATTTCTGGTTCATCGAGGATGTTGCCGTACTCGTCCTCATCCACAATTCTCCTGACCGGGAGAAATCCCCATTTCAACCGCTTGAACGGACTAATGACTGCACTCATTTGGAATCGGATGACAATCGCAGAAACTAGCCTCCAGCAGATCAGCGGATGGCTATTCTTTTATATGCCCATCGCAGGACAAAATGTGGCTCCGTCCAATGTATTGCATGCACCAAGAATATTAACTACATTATCATACAGACAGTGCGGCTATTATCTATGCACCTCAACCTTAATAATCGCACCGTTTGCGCGAGTCAATAATGTAGCGCCACAGCGTTGGGCTACTAGCGAGATTCCACCGGCTTTGGTGGGTGTTAGAAGCCAATGAATGTTGTCTGTTACGGGAAATGGCCCCGGCCCTTTCCGTGGGGGCACCACCATCCGCCCGGTCGATTAGGTTGCAGCAAAATGGAGCGGAATTGCATTCGCGAACTCACGTGACTAGGTTCCGGATTCACACCGAAAGCGGCCTAGTTTTCCCAAAAAAGACGGCCTCCAATAGTGGTTTCAACGTTCCCAGGCACGACTGTTGGCACCAGGGTCCATCAGGTGTCCGACTGTGGCTGTGGCTTTTGGTAGACATTCTACCCGGCAGAATTACTGTTTGTCCCGCCCGCTTGGCATTGCTGGTCCGCCTGCAGACGATCAGAGCAGTGTGAGTCAGGTTTTGCGGGCCGGTGAGATCGGGACTTGGGATGTGTTGTGAAAATCTAACAACCCCATAAACCCCACGTTGTTCTATCGACGCATATTTGCAACATAGTTCAGCACAAGAGACTGTCGGGATTGGGTCTACTAAATAACCTGGTTAGATACTGGAAGTGTATTGTACGGTCTTCTTCTTGTAAAAGTACTGGGTGAGGTTTTCTGCCTGGAACTGATCTGCACGTGAGTGTTTGTGCCATGTGATTGAACTTTAATTTTGGACCCATCCTGGGCTGCCTGCCCATTCGGGATTGGGCAATTGCCCGCTCTATTCTCCTGATGGGGTATCTGGCGCTGTGTAAGCCCTATTTTGTAATTGTTCCTGCACTTTAGTTAAGATACCACCGGGATTAACGAGCTATTTAGGTTTCGCTTAGATAATTCGGCTATGACTTCACTACGTCCGGATCTAATTCCAAGTAGGCTAGTGGGTCGCTTCTTAGAGTCTGTAAAATCAAATCGGCTACGCTGGATATTGATGCAGTAGTAGAGAGATCGGACTTGTGTTTTCTGGATCAGTATTTCCTGTGTAAATCAGTCCAATTTGCTGAAACCGAAAGAGTATTCTGCAGCTGGTTCTTCTGCGACTAGCGGAAAGATATGGAGATACTCTGACAAGATTGAAATCGTCCAGAAACTGTATTCCATTCAATTATCTTGGACTTTGTTCTATTATACCATCATGATAAGAATAACCCACCCATAAGTTAGTAAATCCTTCTTCAGGATGACTATGCCTTAATCTCTATTAAAAGAAAAACAGATTTTAGCATAACATGTAACACAGTATGCCGGGGGTTCAAGTCTTCCCAACCTGATATCTCTATTTAGGTGTTTCCATACCATTAGCACTTATCCCTTTCTCTTCTCTATTAAACTTACCGAATTTCGTCAGTTGTAGGTATTATGGACGTTGATAGTGGTGAAATCATACAAGTGAAACCATACATAATTTACCCTTTTTTTGAACTCCTGTCGCTGCTCTCACACTCTTCGCAACTTCCTTCCTCCATCAAACCATTTGCACCCGCTCCTGCACACAGCCCCACTACTTGAACTCATCGACATTTTCTTTCACCACCAAGTCATCCCAACTATCCATTATGGGTGTCCCCGCTTTGTTCAGATGGCTTTCCCGCAAGTACCCCAAGATCATCTCGCCGGTGGTCGAAGAAGACACAGATGAGGCCATCGGAGGCGCGTTATATAGCGATCCAAATCCCAATGGAGAAATCGATAACCTCTACTTGGATATGAATGGTATCGTCCATCCATGCTCACATCCAGAACATAAGCCAGCCCCAGCCACCGAGGATGAGATGTTTTTGGATGTCTTCACCTATACTGATCGTGTGTTGATGATGGCTAGGCCCCGGAAAGTGTTGATGATTGCTGTGGACGGAGTGGCCCCAAGAGCTAAGATGAACCAGCAAAGAGCCAGAAGATTCAGATCAGCCCAGGAAGCCAAGATCAAAGACGAAGAGAAGGACAGAGAGCTCACGCAAAGAGAGTTGAGAGGTGAGATCATCGACAACTCCATCAAACAGCAGAAGTCATGGGACTCCAACGCAATTACTCCCGGTACCCCGTTCATGGACGGCTTGGCAGCTGCCTTGCGGTACTGGGTTGCCTACAAGCTCTCCACAGACCCCGGCTGGGCCAATTTGCAGGTGATTATCAGCGATGCCACCGTTCCGGGAGAAGGAGAACATAAGCTCATGAGTTTCATCAGATCGCAGAGGCTGGACCCCCAATACAATCCAAACACCAAGCATTGTATCTACGGATTGGATGCCGATTTGATTTTCTTGGGTCTTGCCACCCACGAGCCCCATTTCCGTGTTCTCAGAGAAGATGTGTTTGCCAACCAGGACAACAGAATCACTGTTTCCCAGCAGTTGATGATGACGCAAGAACAGCGGGACAACATTGCCAAGCGGGACAAGAAGAAGCCTTTCTTGTGGCTTCATGTCAATGTTTTGAGAGAGTACTTGGAAATAGAATTAAACATTCCAAGAATGTCTTTCCCGTTTGACTTGGAAAGAGCTATTGATGACTGGGTTTTTATGTGTTTCTTCGTGGGTAACGATTTCTTGCCCCACTTGCCAAGTTTGGATGTTCGTGACAATGGTATCGACATTTTGGTGAACTGTTGGAAAAGACTTCTTCCACACGTCAGAGAATATATTACGTGTGATGGTAAGTTGAACCTCGCCTTGGTTGAGAAGTTGATGTCCAACTTGGCCTACAAGGAGAATGAGATCTTCAGAAAGAGACACGAAAATGAAGCCAGGAGAGAAGAAAATAACAAGAGAAGAAAAACTATGCAACTGGAAGATAAGGCCATTAAGGATATGTACTTACCCCAAGTCACCAAGGGTAAAGACAAAGCGCCTATCGTTGCTGATGTAAACATGCCACTCATGACCACCAAGGGTGAAACCGTCGAAGGTTATGCCAATTTGTCGAACAAAGATATTGTTCAGAACAGAGATATCATTACCAAGGCGAATTTGGCCAATAACGAAGCTGCTTTAGCTTTGAAAAAATTGATCGAATCGAAGGGCAAACTCCCTGAAGTCAAAACTGAAGACCCAGCTGTCGAGACAAATGGCGAACCAGAACAAAGTAGCGAAGTTAAAACTGAGGCTGAGGTAAAAATCGAACCTGAAGTCAAAATTGAAGACAAGAAGAGAGCAGCTCAAACTGAAGAAGAAGATGACGACGACGACAACGAAGACAGAGTCAGATTGTGGGAACCCGGATTCCGTGAGCGTTATTACAAAACCAAATTCCATCTTAGAACTGCAGAAGAAGTCGACCAAACCCGTCGTCAGGTTGTTCGCTCTTATTTGGAAGGTATTTCTTGGGTATTGCTTTACTATTACCAAGGCTGTCCTTCGTGGCAATGGTATTACCCTTACCATTACGCTCCTTTTGCTGCTGATTTCACGGACTTCACAGAAATTGTCTCGGAAGAAGGGATTACTTTCAACCAAGGACAACCTTTCAGACCTTATGAGCAGTTGATGTCGGTCTTGCCAGCCGCCTCCGGCCATAACTTACCAGCGGTCTTTAGAGACTTGATGTCAAACCCCGATAGTGAAATCATTGACTTTTACCCTGAGGACTTCAAGATCGATATGAATGGTGCTAAGATGAGCTGGCAAGGTATTGCGTTGTTGCCCTTCATCGACGAGACCCGTCTATTGGAAGCGGTGCAAGCCAAGTACGAGCTTTTGACCCCCAAGGAAATGGATAGAAACACTAACAAACAGGAGGTGTTGTTCATTTCCAACCAAAACAAGAACTTTAACCGGTTTCTTGAAGAGTTGTATGAAAAAAACACCAAGGAGATTCCCTTCAAGTTTGCCAAGAGTAGCTTGTCTGGAGTTGCCCTGAAGGTCGATGTTTACAACATCAAGAAGAAAATGGAATTCCCGTTGGTCGAAGGTGACATGCCCGATATTCTGAGTAGTGACTACTTACAAGTTCATTATGCCATGCCCCCCAAAATCCCAGGAAAGTCCATGTTATTGAATGGGTACATTCCTCATGTCAAGGCATTGACCTTTGAAGACATTAATGCCCTCCAGCAGCCCCATTATCAGAGGAATCGTGGTGGTGGTAGATTTAATGCTCTTCCTGATAACAGTGAATATGTGAACCGGGGACCCAAAGGAAAGGATTTGAACTTGGGGTACACTCTCCGTAGGGGAGGATATAGGGCCTTGATGGATGCGCTGGCCAACAAGACCGACTCTTACGAACAACAGATGAGTCAGCATAGGCGAATCGCAGGAAATTATGGAAGCGGATTCAATAATAATTTTAGAAACAATAATCAGTACGGTGGACACAACCAAAATGGTCAAGGCCACCAAGGCTACAACCAAGGCTACAATCAGGGCAATCAGGGATATAGCCAAGGAAACCACGGCTACAACCAAAACTACAACCAAAACTACAATCAAAACCACAACCAAGGTAGTCACCACGGCTACGATGGAGGAAACCAGTACAACAGCTACAACAGAGGCCATCAAAACCAGTACCAAAACGACTATTCCAACCAGCAGTTCCACCAGGCCAACCAATACCAAGGCGACAACAGTGGCCGTTCTGGTTACATCCCGCCTTCAAACAGAGGAGGCCGTGGTGGCCGCAATGGGTACAGGTAATAGTCATGGAATGATGTGATAGCAATTGGTAGACGCCAATGGCTGCGATCGCAAGCCCGACTGACACGTTTTCAGCCATTCGCAGGATGTGTGGATTCTTAGCTGAGTCGGAATCGGACCGTATATCCCAATTGGGAATGGTTTGAGGAGGTATTTGTCAGATATGATTTCAAGGCTGTACCTTGGAGCCAATTGCCGTCCACGGACTGGTTAACAGTGGAAGAGTCTCCTGTTGGCTCTCCTGTTGGCTCTCCTGTTGGCTCTGCTCTGTTCGATGAACTCGTATCATATGCATCATATGTACATATCCTAGCAGAAGTGTGCAGTATAGCTGCAGATCACGCGTTGACTGTTATGCAGAAAGGGTCTGAGCCGTGTGCGTACGGCTACAAAAATGTATGAGTGTGACTAATCACCACAATTGAATATAGACTTTTAGTAGGCTCGTAAGTCTAACATGTTAGTAATTCAGTCATGGTAGTTTTATGACACCCTCATGTAGCCACAATTGCCAAATGGTATAAAACCAGACGGTTTCCAGTAATTATCCATCATCACTACAATTGTAACAATCACTACAATGACTTTCAATCCGCTCAAAAAATTCACTTCCGCGTCTTCTGATACGAAGTCCGTTGCTGCTACCGTTGAGACTGCCTCAACCCATACCGTTGATAAAAAGGCTCCTATAAGTAAGAAGTCCTCTCCTACCAAGAAGACCACTTCTGAAGGGAAAGGAAATTATAGGGCTGCTGCTGAGTACTTGGCCTTAAGATAGATAGCTACTTCTGTGTTAAAAATCAGCTGCTGCATGTTTGTTCTTAGATAGAAAAGGTGCTTCTGTGTTGCTACCTTGTGCATCAATGATATACGAATAATTAATTTTTTTTGAAATCCATTTTACTGTAGTAACGTAATCCATAATAGTTTGGGGTCAGCTGGTGAGTTGGTGCATTATCCCCACTCTGACTAATCATCTTATCCCATTAGAGTTTTAGAACAACGTTACAGATGCACATTTAAGCGCATCCAGAGTGGGGCTGTGCGGCTATTACTCATCGATATGCCCCAAAGTGTAGGGTCTAGAAAATGATCTGGTGGCGACAAATTGAGTCATCGTCTCTCCTATATTTTAGTAAATGAATTCATAGTATCACTTGTATCGCCCCAACAAGTTATGTCTTGATAGACTTTTTCACCTCAATTGCAGTGTCTTCTCTACAAAAAATGTTCAATTCTAATACTTTGGAGAACGGTCCTGTGAACACCGATTAAATACAGCACTTTTAGGTGTATCGCAATCCAAGTGGCCACCGGGACTGAAAATTTTAACGGTGAAGAAAAGATACGAATTGATGCTAGATTACTAACACTAAAACCTACGTTATATGTTTCACTTGTGTGGACCAAGAAATTTAATCATAGAGAAAGAAGTGATAATTCGGAGCTAGTGGACGTATTTTAATAATTCACCACCTGAAGAAGATAGAACCTTTGAACCTTTAGTGTAAACAGCACACAAGTACATGACTATTTATTCATGTAAACAGGAAAGAAAATTATATCAAGCATATTCTGGTGAATTTGAACAACTAGTGAAGTTCAGCGTTACAATGTAGTGGATTTCCTCTTGTAACTTCTTCTGGTCCACATTTCTTCATGTTGATACTCAAGTAGCATTATTCCCAGTTTTATTTCCCACAAGATTGAACCGTCCCATCAAATATTCCATCACATCTAATTTAATATCATATATTCATTGTTTATCATACGTTTAAATAACCAGTTGATTAATATAATCACTAAAAACGGGTTCTGCTATTAAGGACAAATATACTAGGAAAATCCCCATACTACTGGATATTGATGGCATTATTTGTCTGCACTATTCCCAAAATGTATCAGTGAACGACGTAGAGACTCCATCCATTGTGCTTATTCCCTGTTGCCCTGATGGCAATTTCGTGCTCATCGGTCTCTGGCAACGCAACTATGCTGCCATCCACACAGAATCGTCTCTGCTGTTTGTTCTTCGAGTTCAATGTGTGCAAAAGCACTCTATCTCCGTTGGAAATCTTCTGGTAAGAAACCTTAGGGTTATGGACATGGCTTCCTTTGTCGTATACCTGCTTCATGATGTCCATGATGTAGCTAGACGATTCTTCCGTCTTGAACGATATTAAGTACAAATTATCGTCGAATATATTCCCTTCAGGCAGGATCTCGAAGGTAGGCTCGAACTTCTTGGAAGAAGTAAGTACCCAGTATGCAAAGGGGCCCTCAATGCGGTGGCCATTGACGGAAACCAGGCCCTCGTACTTCTGTTCTCTCTGTAAATTGGCAAACGCTGCCAATTTGAACCGTTCTATGCCGTTCTTTCTCAATTCAGGAGTGTCACTATCGGCAACCAACGCAGCATGAAATCCCCACGAAACCACCACGGTAAACTTCAATGGCTGGGTGATCTGAGGGCCAATTGCGTCTTGAATAAGGAAGTACGAGCCCTCGGGGAACTGCACGTCGTACAAATTCAAAGGTGCCGGTTTTTCGACAGCCTGAAGAAGTCTCTGGATAGCCCTCAACTCGTCCACAAACCCCAACGACAATGCTAAGCTATTCCCGGTTCCCGAGGGGATGGGGAAGATGGTAATGTTACCGGAACTGACACCACTGAGTCCGTTGACAAACTCGGAGATCGACGTGTCACCACTGATGAACACCACAGTGGCGTTCTGGCCCTCCGGCAAGGTACTGGCGAACTGGCGGATTGAGTCTGCTGACGTGGTGGCCACGTACTGGTGGTCCACTGCCAATGCGGTAAGGATGGGCTCCAACACGATGTTATAGAGGTCTGTCTTGGAGTCCCTTCCCTTGCCACTCTTGACGGAGTCCACCACGTAGACCTTGTCTTTCAAGTAGTCGGGAATGGAAGCCCTGGCTACCGCAGGTGTAGTGTCGTTCAACGCCGACTGCTCGGAGATCTCGTGGGAAACGAGCTCGATGTAGTCGTAGCCATGGCGGACCTGGAGCTTCTGGTGGGTATCCTTCACTATCAAAAGGTCGCTAACTGTAGGCGGCAGTACCATCTTCAACCACTTACGGATAACGCCCTGGAGGTATAAAATGTAGGCAACGATAGTGACTCGGACAGACATCGCCAGTTAATTGGGTGTGGCGCTAAGCGAGATAGGAGATCGCCGGTGGCAGCGGGTGTTTTGGCGGGGGGTACAGGCAGGAGGAACAGCGTGGTACAGCCTAGTAAGAACAGGCTGGAGGACGATGAAGAATGGCCCTGAAGATGGAGTTGTTGCACTAGTGATAGCCATCGAATTCGTCTGCCAGGGGCCCCTACCAAGCCCTGATTCCACAACAATTACTGTGGAGATTACTAATTATGCGAGCGGATCAGTGGGGCCGTTCTGGAGGGGCTGGGAGTTAGCGAGCGAGGCGCCCGAGCGGCGAGGCTCCTTCCTAGGGGTTCTCGCTAGCCGTTATCGGTAACGAGAGCCAGTGCTCAAAGCCGAACAGTTATCGGAGGTTGGATGTGACAGTCGTCCAGAACACACCCATAGCGGTATGGAAAGTCCGGTTATTGGTGCTCTGTAACTGACACCAAGGCTAGTGCCCATCTAGTGGGCCATTGAGGCTCAAAAAGCTGCTCCTCACGCTGGACTCTGGACCCAGCGAAATTAATTTTCAGCAGGTTTGGGGCCTCAGGAGCCTCGCACCAGGAACTACCGGTAGCTTCGTGAGGCTCTCTGGGTAGCCCCAGCGTAAGGAATGGCTCGATGGTGTTCTCTAGAATTACTACTGTTCCGCTGCATACGTGGAACCCACCTGCGTCAATAGGGCCGAAGATCTGCGGTCACGCGATGCTTCTGGCACCTTTGAAGGACTCGTACCTAGGAGACCGAGTCATGAGAAAAATATCGATTGGGCCTGATAGTTAGCTCAATTGGGCTCTTCGTGCTTATTGGATTCAATCGTAAGTAATAGTCTCCTGCTTTCATTGTTTCAAAGTAGAAAAGCCACCTATTTATCGTAATTCACCAACAGAGTACGCTCGGACTAAGCTTAACTTGGATTGTAGCTACAAATTCTGTAGAATTCTTTGACCCTCACGTTGGAAGCTTATCCATCTATACTTCGCCCGATTGCAACTCTTGGAACAGTAAAGTACCGCATCTGATAAACAGTATTTCTCTCGTTCTTGTAGATGTCTGCTGAGACTACTTTTTTGCGGTTACTGTACAGTCGTAAGCTCTAAATCTAAATTTCATCATTCTCCGCCTGTAATTGAGTCCGTTTGGCTCCGTTCGAAGACATACTCAAGGTTAGAAATAGTCAAAGTGTGGATTTAATAGCTTCATCGTTAACTTTTTGTTCGTTTTTTCAGAATTTTGGAAATTATTATCATAATGCTATAAAAATCTAGAAGGCGTTAACAAAGAGAATAAGAGAGACAGCAGATCAGGACCAGACGATATGTGCTGCCCTGATTGGCTAAAATAGTTGAACCAATATTCCAAGGCTCTCTAATTTGATTTACTTGGTGATCAAACTACTGCGAAATATTACATAATCATACCATGGCTTCCTTGCAGAGGCGGACAATGCAGAGATCTAGGAAGATACTTAAGATACTGTCGTTTGTATAAGGTTGCTTCAGCACATTTATACGACATTTATGAGGATTTGTTCATTTGGTGATACTTGTCATTTTTGACAACTAGTGCAAGATAAACACGAGTAGCAACGTAAGAAGTCCCATTACAGTGGACGTAGACTGGGATTGCAATAATGATGCTATACAGTATGGGAGGTGTTGAATAATACTATTTTATGGAAACCACTCTTGCCGGCAGTACCGGCTAAGATAGAAGGTTGCTAATCGAGCAGTGCGAATGAAGGGAACTATTATGCAACAAGAATTTCTAGTGGAGCACATGTAGCAAATTTCTGAAACTTAAGAAACTCAATTGCACTTTACAAATCGACAGTTTTTTGACTTCTGCTTCGAGTCCGTCTAGTATACTAAATTCTCCAAATTATAGTTTATCCTCATCACAAATATGAAACACACAAGGCTTTCATTCGAATGCGCCCACACTAATAACGTCACATTAGAATTCTAAATTTTGATAGCAGTAGTTCCGTAGTTGTATGATGTCCTTACAGGTCTGCCTTATCACAATAATTCTATTGCCTCAACGAAAGTGGGTAATCGGAATTCGTGCACAGGCTTTTCAATTGGAAGAATGCTGCATTGTGCCATCCAAGAGCATTTAGACTGCAGAACAAACGGGGCTAACACGATTAACGCGAATCCCCGCATTTCCGCTGGATTAAGCTTGCATCCCCTTTCTGGGCCATTTTGTTACAGCGACGGGCACAAAGGCGAAGGCGGCGAGTTTCGCGGGACGGGCAAATCGGCTACTATTCCAAAATTCCGGCACCGCATCCCATAAATGGCAATGAAGCCTGAAAATGTCCGGCCTAATCATATGCATTTTATTACGGAGAACCAGCTAAAAGCCCAGCCTTGTGCCTTTGCCAGAACCTCGCAATTAGTAGTGGAATGGGCCCACTGCAAATCGTAATGCGAGTTTCGATGTTTGCATGTAATTTCAGAAGCAATATAATGTGCGATATTTTGAGAAGATTGTGAATTCACAAACAAGCTTCGATTGCTGAAGGTTGGGATGCCGTGACGTAGCATGAAAACAGAGGTTATGCAGGAAACATACAATAACACAAAAAGCCCCCAGTGACCCTGTTGGTTGTGCATGCTGGTAGTATTCGCTGACGAAAAATAGCAATTTGCTCGAAACCAGGAACCCTCCACTATGAAACAATAATTGCGCACCTATTGGGGGATAGTTTACATGTTTTTGCGATAAACGGCGAACTACACGTGATCTGTATACGTCATCTCGAGGCGTCTGGCCGAGGCGCACGTCAGCTCATGCGTGATGGACGTCAGTTAACTGTGCTGGTTGACGCTGGCTGACGCTGGCTGACGAAAGCTGACGCCAGTTGACGTTGTCTTACAACTCCTGATGCTGGACGTATCGTAAAGAGCTCGACGCAAGCACAGGCTGGTTGTTCGATTGCAGCGAAGCTTTCCCCTGACTCGGGTAGCTCATGACCGGCTTTCCGTTGCCGGCGTCTTTAACGGGAAAGTTGCATCAAAACGAGAACAGGGTTCAGAATAACCAACCAGAGACTCCAAATGCGACACGGTGCGATCGCACTCGCAACTACTACTGGCTGAGCGTGTACCAAAACACACAGGCGGCTAAATAAAACCAGACTCTGTAGTGATGGGAAACAAATGCTTGTGCCGAACAGACCAGGAGGCATGCCAACATCATCTCGATTGTTCTACTGTTCCGATGGTGGCTGGCATAGCGAAGGTACCCCGCGGAAAATACCACCGCCAGTTAGCCCCATCGAGGAACTGCGCGTGACGGCGCTTGTGTTTGTTGGTGCATTTGTCTCTGCAGGGTTACACTGCATAAAAATATGTCGGGACATACACCGGACATTGCCCAATTGGGACGTAACCCCCACGTAATGGGTGAAATTCGAGAATTTCTTGGAACAATACTAGGGACGAAAGGTGGAGTAGAGGTAAACAAGCTATTTATAATCAGATGGCGAGGTTTTTAAGCATCCGTCAAAAAACTATATAAAGCCAAGCCGATATTCCATTTTTCAGAACATCATCAACACATTCGTTAACAATGCAATTCCTCAACACTTTAGCTCTTGCCACCTTAGCCGCCTTCGTCGCCGCTGACCAATCCTTCACCTTGGTTGCCAACGGTGACGGTATCTCCAACTCTCCAGTCACCTCCGACGGCCAACAATTGACTTTGGACAACGGTAACACCGCTCAAATTGACTTGCAAGAACCATCTGGTTTCGCTCAAACCGGCGGTAAGTTCCTTACCATCGACTCCAACGGTATCTCCTTCACCGACGACAACAGTAAGGCCTCCAAGGACTGGGGTTTCGTTGACGGTAAGTTCAGATCTGGTCCAAGCATTGACCAAGCTGACTTCTTCGCCTGTAAGGCCGACAAGGGTTACACCTTGATCAACTACCAAAAGGACGGATGTGTCGCTGTCAGCTTGTCTCAAGGTGGTGCTCCAGCTCCATCTTCTGCTGCCCCATCTTCTGCCGCTCCATCTTCCTCCGAAGCTCCATCTTCTGCTGCTCCATCTTCTGAAGCTCCATCTTCCGCTGCTCCATCTTCTGACGCTGAAGTCACCAAGACTGCTGAATCCCACACCCTCGTCACTGTGACTGACTGTGCTTCTACTGTCACTGACTGCCCAGCCCGTCAATCCAGCTCTGCCCCAGCTGCCCCAACCGTTCCAACCGCTAACGGTGCTGCTGCTGTCGGTGCTGGTGCCGGTGCCGTCATGGTTGCTGCCGCTGCCTTGATGCTCTAATTTATTTCTTCGACGTATTATACCTGGTAATTCAATAAAACAAAAATATTATATCAATCATGTAGAGTTGAGAATTTCACTGCTGCATCTTCTCACGAAACATATTTTCGAGTAAATCTTTGAAATACTGCTTGCAGAGATCTTCCTGGTCTCACATGCCGAGACTACAGCCAGACTAGTTCCGAGAATCGGAATAGTCCGATATTCAGCTATTTCAGGGGTAGAACCCGAATTTGAAAACGTGCGAAACAACGTGTAGGGAGTCCCTCAGAACTATTTTCAAACGAATTCCAGCAACCCCCGCAAATTGACCCAAAGAATAGGATTTGCTTGATTGTGCGTATTTTATTTTGGCTTGTTGTTAGTGTTTCTAACGGATTCCAGAAAAAATAGCCATAAGATGTCAAGTAAGCGCAAATTCACACTGCAAGGGAATTTCAACAGATGAATGTTGAACAATTATTGTTCCTGTCTATGTACATAAGAATAGGATTGCCCAGATGTGTTTTAGAGACAATGTTTCTTACCTGCCACGCTGAGCGTGTTAAGTTACGTCGCAACCATTGCAGCCTGGGCGGGGTCCCAGATCCGCAATGCCGGCAATGACACCGAGAATCAAACCCCAGCATTGTCAGTTATTGAATTATAGACGTCAAGCTTCCATGGATACTTACACTACCCAGACCAGCACCACGAGCGGTGTTCATGCGAATTGCAGACCAGCTGACCAATCACAATAGCCACGACTGCTTGCAAAGGCCGGCATTGTTCTTTCTGACGCTGTCCATGCCCTGCACGGCCGGCGAACATTCTGGAGCCATGCAAGTGAAGATCGACGTTTCTGGAGGCCAGGTTTCCCAGATGGGAGGCTGGTTATGCGCACTACTTTCGCTATTGTTGGCCAGATCCACCGGGATTATTCACCGGGATTGTGCCTGGAAAAGCCATCAGGAGAAGAGGGGCACCACACGACTCAGTCAGTCAGGGGCACCGGCCCTATTGGCGAGCCAGCTACTTACAATGCTAATGGGTGTTTACCCTCGTCTGTCACAGCAGCACTGCAGAAGCTCCCGCGCGATTAGCGGCGTAGTGCCAGATCTTCTGCGCCAGGCCGCCTTGCGGGACATACGCGACGGGATTTGTCGCCAGCACTAGGGAAACCACAGGGGTGCGTGGTGGTGGAAGGGCCCTCGGCGCTGGTAGCGTAGGAAGTGTAGGCTGCTTCAGGATGCACCGCTCTGGGCCTTTCTGGGAGCCATTCGGTGGTTGGAACGGTACTCCCAGTGCAAGAGACTGCCGCTACTCACTCCGACCAGCCCTTCGGTGCTGAACTCGTGCCCCTGCGAGCTCGCACCATCATCTCTCGTTAAGAGGTTCTTGCGCGCGCGCACGCAAGCTGCCTGCCTCACCGATCAGCGCGCTTTTCCGCCGTGCTCGCTATATCGTCGCTGCGACCGCGACGACTGTTACCATCACCACCATCACCACCTACGGCATACCTCTTCACCTCTACTCCCAGCAAGTCCGAGCGACCCAAGTACCTACCAGGCCTCACCAGACCTCCCTCAGGATCCACTAGCACTCAGTTCCCTCCCTAACTCCTTCTCTTTCTCTACCTGGCCTCCTCGCGCGCCCTGCGCCTACCGTCATCACCACCACCTCGCTCCCGCGCTGCGGTGCCCCTTCGTTCCGTTAATTATCAAAATTTTCCCACGCCAGTTCCAACTCCTATCACTCTTCCACATAAACCCAACTCCAGGGAACCCTGCCTCCAGCCCTCTCAGCGACAGGGCCGTTATCTCCACACCCTAGTGAACTCCGCTCCTCCCTCCCGTCCCGCCGCCAGCGCAGTCCCTCCTCGCCAGCCATGGGCTCCCCCGACTCCATGGCGCTAACTGCAGCGTCGCCACTATCTCTCGACTCAACGTCGTCAATGGTGTTCACAGCCATGGAATTCATCAAACGAGCCAGCATGCACAATCAGGTCGACGACTTCACCCACCATCAGGCGCTTGTCCAGCGTATCCTCGCCACCTCCTCCTCGTGCGCCTCCATCGCCCTGTGCTTGGCTGGCATGTACATGTTCCTAGCCATCGACCCTCGAAGACTCATCTTCCGCCACCAGCTCATCTTCTTCCTCCTATTTTTCGACCTCATGAAGGCCATCATCCTCCTATTGTATCCCACGCGAGTGTTGACCCACTCCACCTCCTACTACAACGAGCGGTTCTGCCAGGTGGTGGGATTCTTCACTGCCACCGCCGTGCAGGGAGCCGACATTGCCATCCTTGTCTTCGCCATCCATACCTATTTATTGATTTTCTCGCCCCAGTTGAATACCAAGGTCAAAAACTCCTTCCGGGTCGAGGGCGGGTTATACAAGTACAGAAACTACGTGTATGCGCTCTCGTTCTTCATCCCCATCGTGTTCGCCAGCTTGGGCTTCATCAACAACGGCTACACCTCCTTGGTGTGCTGGTGCTACCTCCCCCAACGTCCGGTGTGGTACCGGTTGGTGTTGAGCTGGGTGCCGCGCTGGTGCATCATCGTGGTCATTTTCACGATCTACGGCTTGATCTACTTCCACGTCATCAGCGAGTTCAAGACCTTGGGCGGTGTGTTCACCACCTTCCACAAGAACCACCAGCCGTTGTACCCCAAACACAGCCACAACGACAAGCCATCATTTTACTCAGCATTGAAGTACTTCTTGGATAGAATCACCCCCAAGTGGATCATCCCCGACCAGGAGGAACTTAAGGTCATCAGCACCACTCACACCAGAACTCACCACAATTCAGCAGTAACGGCAGACACCAGAGGCACTTCCAACACGGTGGTGCCGAACACCAACCAGATCAAGGAGGAAGATCCCGAGGCGGAAGAAGAGGACTCGGACTTGTCCTCCACCCCTGTCCATGTAGACACAGAGAACATCATCTACGACCCCGAATTCCACGCCGCCAATTTGGAGAAGTTCCGCAAACGTCAGAAAATCATAGAAAAGCAAATGAAGTCCATTTTCATCTACCCTTTCGCCTACTGTTTTGTATGGCTTTTCCCCTTCATGCTTTATGTCACTCAAATCAACTACGAGGAGCGCCACGGCCCCATCTACTGGTTGAACTGCATGGGAGCATTCATGCAGCCCTTAAACGGCTTCGTGGACACCTTGGTGTTCTTACACCGCGAACAGCCGTGGAAATATACCATTATGAAGAACTTTGAAAAGGACCGCATGTCTAAGATGGACAACTTGATCTTTCAAGGTATGAGTGGTGGTTCAGGCCCTCATGGAAGCGTGGGCAACAAGGACCACGACAGTGAATCGGTGGCTACGAGTGCTCGGTTGACGAAGAATTCGTTGAGTGCAAGCACGGGGTTGATTGACATCAAAGAGTATCCTGAATGGAGACGGTGGTTGAGCTGGGCCCGTCTTCCGTTTTTCAGGTTGCCTACCGACGAAACCGCCTTTAAATTTCAAACCAAGTATATCAACGAGAAGTTGAACTCGGCGAACGAGCGTTCGCAGTCACAAACCCAGACCCATGGTGCAGGCACCGGGAACCAAAACAGCGGGCTCAACAACGGTGGACACGATTTTTCTAACATCTTGAGCGGTGACTTGGCCGAGTCCAACTTCCGCACCAACTTGGAGAACTTCTCGTTTTTCAACAACAAGCAGGGCCACAAGGATGCCCATTTAAACACGAAGAGATCTTCGCTTCCTGGGGCACCTTCACGCAAGAACAGTGTAATTTCCTCGACTCGGTCGACCCGATCGCGCCAGGTGTCCATCGTGGAGAGCACTGACCCAACCATTGTCGAGGGACGCAAGACGTCGTACTCGAATAATTACTTAAACACATTCGAGCCCAAGCCTATAGGCAAGCGGGCCAACAGTGGGCCTGTGATCACTTCCACCAAAAAACCGGCCCGAAACTCGTACTCGGGATCCACCAGTGCACCGGCTGCCGCAGACAACGAAGATATGGACTTCTTGGAGTTCCTCCGTAATGGGCCATAAACCCCAGGGCTAGTGCAACGGCTCTAAAACCTAATATAGTAATTACTAGACACGAATATTGTAGGCGATTTGTGAGCACAAGGGAGGTAATTGTACCATGACACCCTATTAGAAGTCAATCACAAGAAAAGTACAATTATGGGCATGGTATAAAGACTGCGAAAATGGTCCATCATGAGTGGATTATCACTGGAAAGGAAAGAAAAATGGTACGTGTGGGTTTTACTATGGGGAGCCACGAATACGACATCAACTTGTTCTTACTAGTTCCTGTTAGATAATAACAATATCAGTGAATTTCTCGAGCTAATCAGCTTGGAAATTCAAATTAATAGGGGTATATTTTTAGTTGCTTAAGTATACAAGTTTTTATTTCTTACATCTCAAGATATATCTTAATCCATAAGCAACCTGACGTGAGTTGAACTAGGGCTTGTAGTGGACCTGGTCCGCATTTATTAAATTCAATAATATTTATTAAATTCAATAGTAATATCACCACTGCTGGACTCGATGAGTATCGATCAATTCCCGTTACTCATCTCAATTTAACACTTCAAAAAGACGATTGTCACTATAGCTCACCGTTGTCTGGTTCTGGACGGAGCTCCCACTCCTGGAGCCCGAAAAAGATTACTGCAAATCTCGTGTGACTGCAATCGCTGTGGTAGAAGATACTATCTTGATCTGATCAGCCATCACGCTGTTCCGGCAATTCCGGCCATTCCGGGTTAGCAAGCCAACAAACAGCTCCGAAGCCGCCAACACCAACGACCAGCTTATAAACGGACCCTCACAGCTCTACACTCATACAGCTCTACCCTCATACACTTCTACCTCCATACACCTACGCTGCCCTTCCCATCTTCCCATCCACCCCATCTTCCCACTTTACCATCGTCCCTTCCACCCCACCATTCCCATCGCTTCCCCAGAGTGCGAAATCCGACCAGATCTCATTCCGCAGCCGCAAAAGTAGCCAACTCCAAAAGTTAGCTAAATTACATAAAAGGATCGGCTTTCTACCAAAAGCTAGCATGTCGGAGGCTCCCAAGCAGAAGTACTACGAGAGCAACGCCGGAGACGGCTCCCGCGCCACCGACCAGCACCATAGCGGTCTTCCGTTAGCGCTCACGCTCATCTCATGTGTGGCGTCGCTCTTCATCGTGGCGCTTGACCAGACTATTGGCTCCATCATCATCACCGAAGTGGGTGAGCGGTTCCACTCGTTCGAGAAGGTGGGATGGTTGACCACGGCATTCATACTTCCGCTAGCCACACTCTATCCATCCTACGGCAAACTCTCCATCGCCTTGGGCCGCAAGGTGTTGGTGATGATAGGCATTGTGGTGTTCATGGTGGGACTGTTGGTGTGTGGCATGGCTTCGTCCATGAATATGTTGATAGGCGGACGTGCCGTGCAGGGTGTGGGCGCCGGAGCCGTGCAGTCCATGGTGGGAGTCATCATGACGGAATCGGTGCCCATTTCCAAGCGGGCTTTGGCCTACACGCTCATTGGTGTCACTTTCTCGGTGGCAAGTGTGTTGGGACCATTTGTGGGTGGCGCCTTGGCCTCCAAAGTGTCCTGGAGGTGGTGTTTCTACATCAATTTGCCTATTGGAGGACTGGCATTGACGCTCTTCTTCTTTGGCTTCAATCCTCCCAAGCCAGTGGGAAGCGTTCGGGAAAAGTTAGCCAAAATCGACTACGTGGGCACCTTCTTCCTCACTGCAGGCTTAGTGTTGTTCCTCTTGGGACTCAGCTTTGGTGGTGTGGAGTTTCCTTGGAAGTCTGCTGCTGTGATCTGCTGCTTGGTGTTGGGACCAGTTTTGATGGCTATTTTTATGGTGTGGAACTTCCGTTTCGCCAAGAACCCCATTATTTTGACGGAGTTGCTTGTCATCCCCCAGATCATCGCTGCCTGCATTAGTGCCTCATTCAACTTCGCCTTCTTCATGGTCTACATCGTGTTCTTGTCGATCTATTTCCAGGTCATCTTCAACGCATCAGCCTACCAATCGGGTATCGACATGTTGCCGCTTGTCATCGTGGTGTCCGTGTCGTCTATGCTCAACGGGGTGTATATCAAGTTCACCCGTGACGTCAAGAGCACGATGGTGTTTTCTGGAATATTGGCTCCGATCGGAGGTGGTTTGTTGCTCTTGTTGAGCGACCACTCTCCTGTCCGCGACAGAATCGGCCTCTTGATCATCAGTGGCTTTTCGGTGGGGTTGCAGTTCCAGAGTTCGATGTTGGCAGCTCAGTTGATGGCGCCTCCTGACGTCGAAGGCTCGTTGATCTTGGTAACCATTCTCCTCAACTTTCTCAAGTCTACTCTCTCGACAATTGCCATTTCGGTTGCCCAGCTCCTCTTCCAGAATACTGGTGCCACTTACTTGGCAGATACCATCAACAGCCTCGATCCCAGCTCGCTAGACTATCAAATTTTGAGCAAAATCCCTCCCAAGGCCATTCTTTCTTCACCAAGATTAATCAACCTGTTCCCCCCCTCGACCCGCCAGTTGGTGATCCGCCAGTTCATGAGAGCATTGAAAAACACCTTCTATTTCGGGCTTGGGCTTGCGTGTGTCTCATTCGTTGCCTCAGTGTTTTGCACCAATAGAAGAATACCCAAAGATGAAGATGTCTTGAAGAAGGAAGACCACGAGAAGAAAGAAATGGAGGACGAAAGGATGACCCCCGAAACGGTGGACACCTCTAAAGATTCAGAAACCTCACAACATGACAGGGTGATCTAAACACCCCCTAAGAGAAACGATTAATGGACTACCCCACAACTTATAGAATAACGATGAGATACATCTCTACATGCATATTACGATCCACAGTGGTGAAGCATTAATTTTAAGATCAAAAATTCCATTCATATAATCTACATTTTAATTGAAATTCTTAATGTCATCCCGATAGAGCACTTAATTGACTGATCATAAGCATTAATCCAGGGAATTATTCTTTATGTTTGAAATGATATTTTCCCTATACCTGTATCTATATACTCTTGCAATAAACAAACATCGGAAGATAAGCTGCAGTAAGATAGCAGTAAAAGCCAAGCTGTAGTCAGAGTTCATATAGGCATTATTTATCTATTATAGTACATAATTTAACACTAATATACACGTATTGTCTGCTCAAATCAATTGAGAACTTTTTTACCAACTTCTTCCAAGTATAATCTAATTTGAGCATTCAATCTGGTAACCTTGAGCTCAGTATTTCTTACTTCCATCTGGTATTCCAACTTCTTTTTGCTTATGCTACTTTCGATTTCGCTAATGAGCTCTTTCTTCTTGGTGTACTCTTCTTCTTTGAGGTTTCTTTCTTCGACCAACTTTGTATAGTCATTTCTGTAGCTTGCCAATTGTTGCTGGCTTTTCGATATTCTTTCATCTGCTTGGACTTTCAACTTAGTGGTCTTCTCTTGCATGTTGGTAAGCTGCCTTTGAATTTGCTGTATCTGCCGAGCTAGATCATTACTTTGAAGCTTCAATTGTTCGAGGTACTCTTGGCTATCGTTCAAGCGAGATAATGCATCCCTTTCCTTGCTGATGTCATGCGAAATTTCCTCCAAAATCCGAAATAAGTTTTTCAACTCGTTTTCTATCGATTGAATGGAGTCGATTGTTATCGATATATTTGAATCTCTGGAGGTAAGGGTGTTATAGGTGGCCTGGAGGTCATTCGATTGGGATTTGAGATCGTTTATGATTTTTTGAAGCACTATAACATCCGTTTGCGAGTACAGTTTCAATCTGTCCAACTCTTTGGTAGATTCAAACACCAAGTACTGAATGTCATCTAGTTTCTCTATCAACCTAGCCTTTTCCTCCTTGTATTGGGTGTGCTCCAAAGTCACTATTTCTTGAGCTTTCTTGAGCTTTTTCAATTCTGCCTCGAGCTTCAGGTTGTACGACGTAACTTGCTTCAACGTGGCTTTCTTTTGATTTCCATCTGACTCGATTTTAGTTTTGAGTTGATTCAATTGGTTGGCTATGTTTGCGTTATCCGCTTGTACCTTGCGGACATTCTCCAAGCTGGACTCGCTTTCCAAGACCAATGCTTCACATTCTGCTGAGTGCTCTTCTCGGAACCTGGCAAAGTTGACCACGGCACTTAATATTCTTCGGGTTTTGTAGGGGTCTGGCCGCATGATATCCATCAACGTCAAGTCGTATATGCCGCAACCTTGAAGGAATTTGTATGCTGCACGATGCAATCCGATTAACGACAACGCAGACGTGGTATCCTCTTCCTCGTCTTCCTCATCTTGATCTTTTTCTCCATTCACGACGTTTTCGTGACCATTCAGAGCATCATCGTTGTTTTTGGCCTTGTTTTGGATCGACTCGGCTGATACTCCCATGAAAGTATCCAAGAACTGCTCAAACAACGATCTTATGAATTGGCTGGTGGGTTTGGATACAAGCTCTTCAGTTGCAATAAAGTCACAGCTTTGCAAACAGATGGTGATCTCTTTCGAATCCAAAAGGGGAAAGGCATCCTGCTGAGTTAGCTGGAGATGCCGACGACTGGACACGTTGCCCGGCCTGTAGATGGTGCTGAGACGGGACATGTGCGGATAGTTTCTTGTAGTGTTATCAATTGTAAACAATAAATGGTGGGTGTGGCGCACGTGACCTATACCGCGACCACGCCAAACACTTTTAGCACCATGGTGGGCTTGTCATTCTACGTCGATTACACTGACCATGGATGGCAGCGTCACGCGAGAGCATCTTCCATCTCTTCGTGGCGATCTCGGGCAACTAGCCTTGGCGTTTCTCACATAAATGTATTAGCATCATTCACGACATTATCTTTGTATGTACATCCCACTATGAAGTGGGTCACTAGACTCTCTCGGCAGTCCAGATGGCTCCTTTGCAGGCCAACTTAATAAGTTCGGTTAAGAGCAAGTATGGAACTGCTTTTTCAGCATCATGCTCGAGCGCAGTGTCCAAGTGCTCCAATTCCTCATCTCTAAAGGTACTGATGGTGTCCTTCAACAGGGCCAACTCCGGCGACGTTTCAATATGACGATTAATTTCCTTCTCAGTCAACTTTCTTCCAGTCTCCTTATCATAAATCGGGATGTTGTACTGGTTCATCAAAACTCTTAATTGCTGGTTGTAGTGCCCTCCAATAACAGTCTCGACCGCCACGGTACATGCCATAGCAGCTTCTTTGCTGATGAGGGCAGTGCCCGCACCCATACCAAATGCTCCTACCTTCCACAATGGCGTGAGTAAGGAAGGTCTCACTCTTCTGTCCGATTGAAGGTTGTTGAAAGTGTTGTGATGATGTATTTCCTGTTCCCACATGTGTTGTAGCACTGGCTTCAAGTGGGGATATTTACTTGCCAACACAGCATACTGGCCCTTGTAAATGTAATTGGCACCTAATTCACCTGCTTGGTCCACTCTAATCACTCTATCAAGGAATGCCTTCTGTGCCTGGGATAATGAACCGTATTCAACATCTTCTCCATAGTATTTTTTGGTTATAGTTTCCTTGGATTCTTGAAGGCGAAGAGTGCTTGAAGAGAGGTTTCTACTCAAGTTTATTTGGCTAGCTCTTATTGATCTCAGTATCATTCTTGTTCGTTTGGAGAATGGTTCGATATGGATTTTTTCATTGCTTAGCGAAAACTGAATTGCGGATGCGAAAACTAAGGCGATTGCAAATTAACACTTAAAGTGCAAGTTAGGCTTGGCCAATGATTCCTACCCCATTTCAGAGGTGAAGGCTTCACTTGAAGGAGCTCATGATCTTCAACATGGAGGTCCCAATATTTGAGGGTATTTCTTGTGTGTCTCTCGAATTGGTCACTGGCTTGTTCTCGTTGGCCGGAACTTTAAGGTGGTAAAAAAACTTATTTGGTACGTCTTTTATCAAACGCCATTCCACCGGGAAAATACCTTTCCACCTTGTCTGCTCGACCCAAATATCGCTTGAGCTTTGATAGTCAATTTCATTTGTCATTTCTGCAACTCCACAAAACTTGCCGCTAGCATTGACCAGAAACAAAAGTATTATTTTCCCTCCCAGGGCCAGTGTCTCCTTAAATGCCCTGTTCAACTTTTTATTGCCCAATTCGGTTGATGTCCAGATATTGTGTGTAAACGAGGAGTTCACATCAAGTATGCTGTACGACTTGATTACAAAAAACCTAGACCCATGGGGGATGGTGAACACGTTGCCGCGAAAATCAACGAAAGTGATGATGGGATACTGTTGAATAGGCTTGTACCTAATCCTGGGCTGTGGGTAAATTTCAGAAGATGGTATGAAAGGATGGGTTTTTTCATTGGAATTCTGCAAGCTTGAACCGCTTGAACCGCTTCGGTACGAATAGCTTCCAGCATCCTGGCGCCCGTTTTCCGAAAGCAACCTTTTGCCGGTGTAGGACACTGACCAGATGTTGGTGCACTTCAGAGGAAGATTGTTACTGTCAATACTGGTCCCATAGAATTCTTCAAGGAGGGACAATGATCTGGGGGTACAGTACTTGGATATGGAGCTAGCTTCCGAGCCCATACTTAACAATTCAAACTCAACAGATAGGGGAAGGGAGGAGGTGTTTGACGAACCAATGGTAGAGTGGGATAAATTAAACAGACTGTAATTCATTCTGCAGTGATGTGGAATAATAAAGGGGATAGCGGTAGCTTTATATAGTGGGAGGGTAGAATTTGCAGCACCCCAAAGTGCAACCCACTTTGGATGGTTCAAACTGTAAACCCCGCTAGGACAACCTGCAATAAGTGCTGGGTATGAGAACAGATGCAACAACTCCAATACTCATCTGACACAGCATGTCCTACCGAGTCCACCAGATAGATGATGACTACTTGGAACGACAGCGCAAAAAGGACAAGGCCGCAGTGAAGTACCCCAAATGTTTCAAAACTGCGGTGGATATCTCCAAAGTCAACCTTCCAGTGGTGAAAGAATGGATCACCGATAAGATCAATGAGCAATTGCCAGACGACGACATAGTGATCGACTATCTTTACGAGCTTCTCCAGGCCAACGGAGACCAGCCCGACATCCGTGGAATACAGGTCCAATTGAACGACTTTTTGGGGCAAGACGAGGCCAGGCAGTTCTGCGAAAAGTTATGGAAGCTCATGATTTCTGCTCAAGACGACCCCGACGGTATTCCCGCAGAGATTCTAGAGAAGAGGAAGAAAGAATACGAAGAGCTCGAGAAGAAGGAGCAAGTTCCCGCTAAGAAGGAGCAAGTTCCCGAGAAAAGAAAGACAAACTATAATAGAAGCACATCCAAGGACGGCGAGTCCAAGGGGTCAACTGGCAAGCAAACCAGTGATCGAAGACCTAGAAATAGGTACCCCGATGATAGGAGTGGCAGAGGCTTTCGCTCGAGGTACTCCACAGATATTGGAGACCCGAAAGATGCGGTCAACAATAGAAAGAGGGAACACAGTCCGCGTCGAGACTGATAAATACGGCACCAGTTCGAAGAATTATACCGCTGTTTTGCATCTACTCTTGAGGCGAATTCACTCTTCGAAATAGCATTAACGGTAAAACTCACAGAAAATGCTCCAATGATGCTGAAAAAGGGATAATTCTTCTATGATACTGAAAAAGTTTGCATCAACTTGTACTCGACGATGGAATCCTCACGGAATACAAGACTTAGCAGCAAGGAGAGTCACTGATCTAGACATACCCACTGACCAACAAAGAATGCTAGTGCCCTTTAATATACTTCCAACACCATCTACATTTATTTGGACCGAAAAAGTTGTTTTGATGATAGAGCCATGAAGTTGCAGAAGATACAGCAAACGAATGTGGCACCGACCATCAATTGGTACTGACAAGTCGTCTTATCTACTCATATCTATGACTAAGGGTGCTTTTCACATAACGAGGCAAAATAAATACCAATTCATGAATGAAGCTGCCAATCGCTTGTAATCCACAATACATTTAATTTCCTTGTACTTATCATATGCTGTCATTTTCAAACCAATAACACACGGATGGAAACTCCAATTTGCCAATTGCCCCAAAAAACACAGTCTCCAGGTATCCAGAGCCAGGAAATTGCAATACTATTTAATTAATACCATAAAGAGCCCCTGAAGGTATACTAAATACCTGCAATATTTACAATAGATAAGACTCTCCGTACAGTCAACAAAGCCAATCTAATTTTAACAGACGTAGAGTAGAAGGTCAATAAGAACCAGTTTTTAGTAACTCTATCCACGACTATGACACACTGATTAAAATGACCGCCCGGTGGGGCGTGCGCACACCAGATACTGGTCCTCAAATCCGGGCGCCAACGCATCAGTCACCATCCATAGCATAGCACAATCAACGCCAGACCTTATCAAATCCGTCTTTATCAGCCGTCATAACCACCAAAGTGTCACTGTTACCGAAGTTCCCGTTTCATCTAATTAATTACCGCCTGTCAACGTGAATACACCTGCTCTGATGTCGGACAACAAGGAACACCACCACCGCCATCACCACCACCACCACAGTGAGTCACAACAACCGCAAATACCCATAGATCCCAATGCCAACCCCGCCAATAGAATAGGGAAGTACCAGGTCATCAAGACCTTGGGTGAAGGGTCCTTTGGTAAGGTCAAGTTGGCTCAGCATTTAACCACTGGCCAGAAGGTTGCTTTGAAAATCATCAACAGAAAGACGTTGGCCAAGTCCGACATGCAAGGCAGAGTGGAAAGAGAAATTTCTTACTTGCGTTTGTTGAGACACCCCCATATCATCAAGCTCTATGACGTGATCAAGTCGAAGGACGAGATTATTATGGTGATTGAGTATGCTGGCAAAGAGTTGTTCGACTACATTGTCCAGAGAGGCAAGATGCCAGAGGACGAAGCTAGACGTTTCTTTCAACAGATCATTGCTGCCGTTGAGTACTGTCATAGACATAAGATTGTCCACCGTGACTTAAAGCCAGAAAACTTGTTATTGGACGATCAGTTGAACGTCAAGATTGCCGATTTTGGGTTGTCCAATATCATGACTGATGGTAACTTTTTGAAGACCAGTTGCGGGTCTCCCAACTACGCTGCCCCTGAGGTTATCAGTGGAAAGTTGTACGCCGGTCCCGAGGTGGATGTGTGGTCGTCGGGAGTCATCTTATACGTGATGTTGTGTGGTAGATTACCGTTCGACGACGAGTTCATTCCAGCCTTGTTCAAGAAGATCAGTAACGGTGTGTACACCTTGCCAAACTACTTGAGTGCCGGTGCTAAGCATTTATTGACCAGAATGTTGGTTGTCAATCCTTTGAACCGTATTACCATCCACGAGATCATGGAGGACGAATGGTTCAAGCAAGGAATGGAAGACTATTTGTTACCTCCAGACCTTTCCAAGACCAAGCACAAGAAGATCGAGATCGATGAAGACGTTATACTGGCGTTGACAATGGCCATGGGATACGACCGTGATGAGATCATCAATGTCATCGAGAAGAGCAACAAACACTCCTCGCCTCAGAACCAGTCTAATGAACTCTTGGATGCGTACTTGTTGATGAAGGAAAACCACTCGTTGGTCCGGGACTTGAAGAAGAGCAAAGCCGACAAGGTGGACTCTTTCTTGTCGCTGTCGCCACCTCCTTCCTACACCAATAGCTCAACTAGCTCGGCACCTGGCGTCCAGCAGTCGTTGACATACCAGACCTTGGCCACGGTGCCGGACTTGTCGACGTTGCCCAACTCCACCATAGCGATTCTTCCTTCCTCTTTGCCCACCATCCACAGGGCATACATGATGGAGAACAATAACCAGGCTGCGATCAACCCGGTTTCCACCAAGAAGCTGAAGACCAGATGGCACTTTGGAATTCGGTCCAGATCGTATCCGTTGGACGTGATGGGAGAAATTTATCGTGCGCTCAAGAACTTGGGAGCCGAGTGGGCCAAGCCTACCGAAGAGGAGTTGTGGACCATCCGTGTGCGCTGGAAGTATGACAGCACCGATGTGACCAATGCCCCCAACTTGATGAAGATGCAGATCCAATTGTTCCAGTTGGAGCCCAACAACTACTTAGTGGACTTTAAGTTCGACGGATGGGAGACTCCTGCAGTGGAGCCCAAGCAGGATGTGGACGAGATGTCGTCCTTTTCGGCGTACCCGTTCTTGCATTTGGCCACTCGGTTGATCATGGAATTGGCAGTGAACTCGCAAAGCGGATAGGGTGAGAAGTTAGGGGAGAGAAGGAGAAGGAGAGCAAGAGAACAGGAGATAAGGAGGAGGAAGCACAGTATCGAAGGGTAGGAGGGTAAGATCAGAATTAATTTTATTTCCCATTTCTTCGATTATTTCATGGAAGATCAGAAAGGGAAGAGCAGAATTTATACTCAATTATTCTTTCTTGAAGTTCAGGAGAGTAAGAGCAGAAGATGTAAGGGAATTAATTCTAATTATTATGGAAGATCAGGGGGAAAATCCGGCGACGATCGCAGTGGACCTGCCTGGATTCCACACAATCCTCCAGTGAAACCACTCATGAAACGAGCCTGTGCCCAGTCGCACCGGAAAACCGATTGTCTGGGAGAGCCACCACGGCTCATCCCAGCAATTGAACTGCCTGACTCCCTTAGCAACATCCACACTGCACCCATTGCTGAAACTCCACTCACCCAATCCGACCCCCTCCACTCACCTACCCACCTACCCATCTGCTCTCCCACCTTCAGACTTCCTACCGCTCCCACCTGCCTCACCGTCCATGCGCACATCTCTGTTTACCGTGTTTCGCCCAAATAGGAAAAAATTGATAGTAAACACCAACCATCCTCATGCAGGTGGCCAACCCGTAGCTTTCGCCCGGCAGGCCCATAAACACCATCGCACCTCGCAGCCACCGTTCTTTCTTCTTTCTTCTTTCTCCTTTCTCTTCATTGCCCAGCTGACCCTTCCAACCAGCACTTCTCACCAGCTCATCCTCGCATTCAGACTGCACTCGCAAACCGCAAAAAACGATCGCGAAACAGCAAGGAGCTCCATTCAAATCAGCCTAAACCACCACCATTCTCCTCCAATCGATCAGGGCGCTTCACACCCACCATGATCTCGATAGACCTCCAAGCTGCCGCGCCAGATAGTGACGCGGCCATCGCCCTCCACGAGGTCATCAAGCACATCTTCAAGGCCAAGAAGGCTGCGGTATTGACGGGAGCAGGAATCTCGTGCAACGCTGGCATTCCCGACTTCAGGTCCTCAGATGGGCTCTATAACTTGGTCAAGGAGAAGTATCCCAAGACCATGGTCAAAGGCCAGGATCTCTTCGACATCTCGTTGTTCCGGGACCAGCTGTCGTTGGCAGTGTTCTGCACATTCATGGAATCGCTCTACACACTGACGTTGAACGCCAAAGCCACCGAGACCCACAAGTTCATCAAAATCCTCAAGGAGAAGAACAAGCTTCTCCGGTGCTACACCCAGAATATCGACTCGCTCGAGAAGTCCGTCAACTTGAACCTCGGCATCAACCTCAACCAGTTCGACGACTCGAAGAACTTTGCCCAGAACTGGAAGTGCTTGGACGTGGTCCAGCTCCACGGCAACTTGCACAAGTTGTCGTGCACCCACTGCTTCTCCAACTTCGACTGGACCGAAAAGTACCAGGCCCAGTTGGCCAGCGGCTTGAACCCCCAGTGCTCCCGCTGCTACGAAAAGTACGAAGAGCGCCTCTACTCCGGCAAGCGCTTGACCGGCAACATCGGCTTGTTGCGTCCCGACATCGTGTTGTACGGCGAAAACCACCCCCAGGCCGAGATATTGGCCCAGGGCCTCAACGTGGACTTGAAGGCCAAGCCTGACCTCCTCATCGTCATGGGAACCTCGTTGAAGGTGGACGGTGTCAAGAAACTCATTAAATCCTTGAGCTCCTCTGTTCATGCCAAAGGCGGCAAAGTGATCTTCATCAACAAAACGCCGTTGGCCAAGCACTGGGAATCATGCTTCGACTACGAGATCTTGAGCGACTGCGATGCCTTCGTTAAGATCCTCAAGAAGGAGATCCCCGACTTGTTTTTGACCCAGGAGCAGCTCGACTCCAAGAAGTTGAAGAACAACTCGTCGCTCGCCAAGGAGCCTGCTATTAAACGCGAGAAGATCAAGAAGGAGGGCCAGAATACCGTAAAGCACATAAAGAAGGAAGGCCAGAATTCAGTCCACCAGATCAAACAGGAAAGCCAAAATGCCCACAACGAAAAATTCCTTACTCCTCCCACCACCCCCACAAAAAGAAAGAGGCCAGCCTTAAAGAGAAAAAATCCCTCCAGTGCCGCCTCTTCCTCCAGTGCCACTCCTGAGCCCAGCGTGAAGCGCGAGTATGACTTGCCGTCGCCCATGACCTCTTTCGACGACACTTCCGAGGGCCCTGTCAAGAAGGAGATGTTTGAGCCTGCGCCCAAAAGGGTCAAGGCTTAGTGTAATATAGATGTATAATAGAAGCCGTTCGGCCAGCAATAGATACCCGCTACGAAATATCCGAGGCAAACAGTCTCATGTCGTCTACCATCTACTAGCAATGGTCTCCTTCGCGTAGAACATTGTGACTCTGAAGGGGGTTATCTTTTAATGATACTAATATTCAATGTGCCGAACGACTACCGACAAATTAGCAATTTACAGGGTAGAGAAATTTCTAGCACAATTTACAGGCTTATCAGCTAATTTGTGACTCGCCGAACTGCCGTTTTCCGCCATCTCTAAGGAGAACGCTTGGTAAATCTAATGAATGTCTGGCTGCGCCTGACTCAATGTCTCAATGTCGCATTGGCATATGCTCCAACTAGACCCATCACGTGCATGCGTCTACCGTCTTCTAGCAATCGTGTCTCTCCACCAGTACCCCCTCCACGCCTCCAAACGCCCCGCAAAAACCTCAATCCACCATGGACCAGGTCTCAAGTTTCCTTGAGGGGATATTGACGGTGGACGCCAGCGCCCCCGTGTCCAATCCCATCGCTGGCTCCAAATCTGACAGTATAGTCAATACTGCCATCTCCGACAGAACCTCCAAGCACTTGTCGTCGGACAAGTGGACAGGTGAGCTCGACTTCTCATCGTTGTGGAACTACGGCAAGAACTCCGAAAGCTCCTCCAAGACCGCTGGCGCAGCCTCGGGAGCTGCAGGCTCGTCTGCCTCCAACAGACCCTCCACCAACTCGTCCATGTTGACCGACAAGCTCATAGAGAAGATGATCCTGATGATAATACCGATGAACGTGGAGGGCGAGCAGTCGTCCCGCATCCTCAGCGAAAGAATCGAGATGCAGAAGTTCAGGCCCCAGTTGTCCATGAACATCATGTCCATTAACTCGGTCCAGTTCAACCAGAGATTGTCGGCAGTGTTCTACATGATCGACAACGTCATCATGCTCATGAACTGGACCAGTCCTGCCTATACAATTGGCATGTTGCTCGTGGCGACCCACCTCATCTTGAACCCCTATTTGGTGAGTGTGCTCCCGGTGGTACTCCTCATGAAAAACTTCTTGGTGCCCTACTACTTGTTGATCTATACCCCCGACAACTCTTTGGTGCCAGATCTCCTTGATTACAACCCCATTCCAGCGGCCGCGGCACTCAACACCTACAAGACCCCGGGTCCAGTTCCCCAGCTATCAAGAGAATTCATCCTCAACTTGACAGACTTGCAAAACCACATGGTGCCTTACATCATAGCCTACGACTACTTCGTGTGGCTCACAGAAGACTACCTTTATTACAAGAACGAGAACATCACGTCCGTCATATACTTAGCGTTATTGGCTTTGGGCATTAATAACGTGGTGTTTTTCCCAAAGATATTTCCCTATCTTATACGAAACGTGTTGGTTTTAAAGCTTCTTGGAATAGCCACTGTTTGGGGCTCGGTGATAATGTTCCACCCACAAGTTAGAGGCAGAATTTTGGAGTGGGTTTATAACGAAGATACGAGATTGAACCTTTTGCATATTACAGATAAGATAGAGCAGAAGTTGGTGAGGGCCCTTGTTGATTTAGAAAACAGCTCCAAACAAGGGGAATCGTCCAAGGAAGATCAGTTCGAAGATGAACGTGAGGTGGAAATATTTGAATTGCAGAAATTCAATAAGAAAGCCAAAATGTGGGAACTGGTGGGATTCACCGATAACTTCTACACCATAAACGTGGCTTCACGCAAGTATAACCTGTTGGTGAAGTCCAAAGTGAGCGAATCGGAAGATAATGAAATTACGAACGAAAATGAAATATTAGGCGAGCTTATCAAAGTTAATAAGAAAAAAGCCCTAAAGGATATCTTGCCTCCAAAGAACTGGAAATTCTTGGGTAATAAGTGGATTATGGACCTTGACACTAAGGGATGGGTGCAACAGAACCTCATTGAAGATTTGGTGATGATAGATGACGATGAAAAGTGGGTTTATGATTTTCAGGAGCCGGAGGTCCTCAATGAGAAGACTGAAGACAAAGCTGCCGATGATAAGACTAAAACCAACCTGTCAGATTTCTACAGAAGGAGGAGATGGATACGAGTGTGTTGCAGGGAGAAGCTCCAGGATAAGAAAAGAGACAGTCAGTAGGCTGTGGTCACGTTTTTATGATCTATGATGTATTCTATAAATGGTTGATATATGACACGATATGCAGTTTTTGCGAGTTCAAGGAGTTTGAAGGGTTAGGCTCTTCGCTACTGCCTTAAAAAATATAATGAAGATTCTCCCGCCAGTGGACTGACTGCGGAGTTATTTCATGAACTCCATCAAGTTCAATGAGTTAAGACCGCCCTTTGCTGCTGCTTGTTGCTTTTTCTTCTCTTCAAGGAGGCTTCCAAGGGTATTCTTTTTGCGCTTTTTAGTTCTTTCTCTAGACTTGGAGTTTTCTTTCTTAGGACCGGCCTCGCCCACTTTGTTTTCATCCACGTCCAAATCCACGCTTTTTGCATTTGACTGTATCAACGATGTGTCAAAATCCTTATACTTACACTGTAAGCATTTATGTTGTAGACGTCTTCCAGGCAAGAATTTGTTGGACGAAGCCGAAGTTTTCTTCCCCACAATGTTCTTGCGAGCCTTGGACTTGTGCCTGTAGATTATGCGAATGCTGACGGTGATGCCAGGAATCCATAGTACTCCACAGTTTTTGCAGAACTTATGGGATAGCACTGGAGGTAAGTTTATGACGTTCTCTGCATTGTGCTGGACAAGTTTGGAGGAGTAGTGCTGGTTGAGAGGCCCGAGGGGGACGGCGTGCACGAGGTTGTAGCGGTGCAAGCTTGTGATTTGGGAGGGGTGGAGGTCCAGCATGGTGGAGCTGGAGAAGGGGAAGCGATGGTGAAGTAGTGGTGCTTGGTCAGCGCTTACGTAATCACACTCTGGGGCGATAGCCCCGTTACTACATTTCTCCACCTTTCCTTCGACTGCCTGCCTCCACGACTGCGGGCTGTTCGCTCCATGCCCCCAGCAGGCCCTGGCCACTGCTCCGGGCGATTCCCAACACTTCTGTCATTTTCGTCCCCTCCCCGCCACACCTCCCCCAGGCGTCAGGCCACGAGCCATCCCGGCCTCGCCCCACGCTACCCCTTTCTGTCCCCCTCCCGCCGCGGCTGGCGAATTAAATCATGTTTCCTTCTCGGGCACAACTCACCTGGACCAGTTTTCAGGTCCATTCCGAAATTCGGAGTGCGATGCGCAGCCAATCACCGCTCCCAGGAATAAGCTGACGTAACGCGACTGTGACCGATAAGCGGATTGCCTGCCTCCAGATTTCACAACCAAATCTTCACAGCCAATTACAGCCGGTAAGAAATCGATTACTGTTCCAACTTCCGTGCGTGTGGGTGGGGTTATATATACTGAACTCCAGGCTGGAGCGCCAAACACCCCATAGACTAACTCTCGTGGATACCTCTAAATCGATACAACGTTATCACAATAGTCAAACTTGGATAAACTCGTGGATACTCTACATCCGTCGTTATCTGCTCTGTCGTTATCTGCCCCAAGCCATACCCTCGTGGATACCCTCGTGGATATCTCTACATCTGTCGTATCCCTTCAGCACTTCCCAGCCACTCCATTCTCTGCCATGATCATGCCTGTCACCCCACATCGAATAAAATTGGTGGTCCCCAAGGTCAAAGGGGGGAAGATACTCAAAACTTGCATCCGGTGTCGCCAGCACAAGACCAAGTGTGACGCCTTGATCACCAACCCTGAGCCATGCTCCCACTGTGCCAAAAAGAGCCTCACCTGTACTCTCGACATCATCACCAGCATCAAGAAAAGAGACGGCTTTGACGTGGTGGAAAAGCTCGCCAGCGAAGTCACCGACTTGAACCATACCTTGGACGCATTGATCCTCCGCCGTAGTGCCATGGTCCTGGCGTTGGTCAAGAGAAGTCAGGGCATCATCAAAAGCTCGGGCATCAGAACCAAAATTGCCCGTACTCCTCCAGTCAGCCAGATCCAAACATGCTTGGACTCTCCAGAACCAACACAGCCACCAATGGTATTGCCTTTGCCTGCATCTCAATCCATGTACACAATCGAAACCTCAGGCATCGCTCCTTTCTCCATCTCGATGGAACAGGCCTACGAACTTTTCACCAACTACGAGGTTAATTTCAACCAATTTCTCCCCATATTTCCAGACGATTTCTTCTCCACCATCAATCTCGCCCAGTTCAAACAAGAAAATGAGCTCTTGTTCTGGTGCATTGTCATTACTTCATACTTGAATTACCCTGACGTACATTCCTCGTCGAACTACAGGCTCTTGGTGGACCACATAAAGGCCTTGGTAGTGAAAACCTGTTGGGTGGAAACTCCCAGGTCGGTCTACGTCATTTCTTCTTTGTTGATATTGACTACCTGGTCCTTACCTCAGACTACTCAATTAACCAACAATATCTCCCTCAAGTTCCTCTCATTGATGAAGAATTTATCTTTACAATTTGGTTTGCACAAACTGGAGTTCTTGAACGAATTCAGTCACAAGACAAGAATGAGCATTTCCAATGAAAAGAGTGTCGATAGCATAATAAGAGAGAGAATTTACAAATTCATCAACATCAACTCAAATTATTGGTACATTTATCTTGGATTGTCATCCAATAATGCCCCAAATGGCTCAGACCAAGACTATATTATCAATAAGGCATCCAACATAGATATTTTTGACAAGAGCGTTAATACTAACGACCATTACATAAATTCATTGCTCAGAGTCTCAGTTATTCAAACTAAGATGAGTGCTAATATGATGGATTTGATTGATAATACCAACGAGTCTATTTTGACTTTACCAAATCAAATCAATACCTCAAAGGTTCTTAATCTTAAAATGTTTGATGTTATTTTGGAAGATCTCAAGAAGGTGTTGACACACGAAAACCAGGTAATTACTAATTTGATCGAGATCTCGATAACATACTCGAAGTTGCAGTTGTACATCTACTCCTTATCTCATCTCAGCGTTGAAATCGGGGAGTACAAGCAGTTCATCTCAAAAATATGTTCTTGTTGTTTCAATCTTTTATCATTATATCAAAATCAATTCAAGGACATCTCCTCATTCAACCAATTGCCCATCCATTATAAGTTTCCAGTCGAGTTGGCTTCATTCATCTTACTAAAGATCTACAAATCTCCATTATTGAACACAGTTGAAGATTATCATTTAATCAAACAGAAATTCAATGAATTCTATGACAATATTGTTAAAAAGGGCATCAGTGGTAATGATTGGAGTTTTGTTAATGAAAAGTTCTTGAAGATCCTCTCAAAATTTGACAGCATAGAAAACTCTTTTGTTATCAATAGGATGGTGGTCGAAACCCAAGATGATGATGAAGATGCTCCCCTGTTCTTGTTGGTGAAGCAAATGAAGAACTACTTGGTATCGAGTATGAGTTATGAATTAGTGTGGTGTATTTACGAACGGGAGAAGAAAAAGATTGATGAGAAAGATGTTGATTGGGAAAAATTTGGGCTTGATAAAGCTAAGGATAAGGCGGTTATTGACTTCTTATTGAAGAACGAAACTATATTAAATTAATATACGGAAGCAGGTTTAAAACACAGTAATAGGTTATCATTGTATCGGACAATTAATCCCAAATGTAGCTTGTGTCTTCGGACTCTTTGAATTATGCCCCCAAATCTTTTTAGTGACACGAAGTTATACTTTACATGTTTAAATATTGATATTCTACATGGTCCATGTTTCAAAGTCGTATATCTATTACATCCATAATTAAGTCCATCAAGAGTATCATCTCTTATCGACCCAGTGATCACTTAACTTCCTTCTGGTCACTATTGGTTTTGATATCAAATGTATAGCCAATAATACTGCGATGGTTCCAATAAGTTTTACTTTTGCGAAGCCCTTACTCAAAAAGTCAAATGATAATGATGGTTGGACATATGAGCAGAATTGATTGTACTTGTTGTAGTAACAGACTACTGAAGTAGACTCAAAGTCAGTGGGTCTTACCAAAATAGCTCCCTCTTTGTCAGCAACAAGCTTGTGCTTATGATTTAAAACTGCTTTATCATCACGTTGGATGACTGGTGCATAGGGGATCATTCCGTAGTCATTCTGATAGTCTTCAGCAGTCAATGGTCTATCGTCAATTCTTCTACTATTCAAGATATTCTTTGGGATTTCGACCAAAGCACCCAGCTCGGTAACTGCCAAAATTGATTTCAAGGTAATTCCATGAGACGATTGAGTGGAACCTAACTTGACGATACGTTCAGGGTAAATGAATGATTTTCTAGAAATAGAACCAACGGTTGTGTTAAATCCGAATGAAGATTTGATATCGTCGTTTTGTTTAATTGACTTGTCCGTATCGAATAAATCAATCACCTGGATTCTTTGTTCCACTTGGGGTGACTTAATAAAGTAAGAGTAGATAACCCAATTGTCATCCATGATGATATTGATAGAAGAGTCGTCCACAACTTCATTACTATCGTGTTCGTGTGTGAATAGCAAATTGCCAGTAATTCCATCTAAAATGTATAGCTTCAAATTGTCCAGTTCTTGGTTTCTGGTAATTATGGATACGAGGTTAGGATACAAGTACTTGTACAATACCGACTTGTCTGCCAACGAAATACCAATTGATGATGTCTTCGTATCCTGGGGTCTAGTGATAGCCTCCAAAATAAGTTCATGTGTTCTCTTGAACTCCCAAGTCTTGATCGATTGGGATCCTCCCGAGATCTTCTCACCATTCACTTTGAAGTGGTTAGATCTAATCAAGTAAATATCTTCGGTTGCTGGATACGAATGATGCACCTCAAATTGGAGATTTGATTTAAGAATCAAAGTAGAGTTCGTCTTGGACAATCCAGTAAAGTCATGCTTTAACTCTTCGATCGAGAGAATATTACCATCAGCAAGTGCTACTGTAAATAATTGGTGCTCTTGAAGGACTAACAAGTTTCCATCGATTTCCACCAAGTCAGTGAACTGCCCAGGAATTGGAGAGATCCAAGCAGGGATTCCGGATTGGGAGTCAATGGCAACCAATTCAGACTTACTGTCATCAAAAAACACGATCAATTTGTCAAGCCCATCATTGCTCTCAACGAAATTCAGCTCCTTGCTCGAAGACGTGACATATCTTCCAAACTCCGACAAATGTCTCACATATCTTTTAATAATCTCCACAAACACGAATGATCTCTTGTCTTCCAAAATATGATGTGCCTTGTTTTGGAAGACTTTAGATGCTGGTTTGTCGAACATGTAATACTTAGACAGTCCAGATACAAATTGAGATGGTGGGGCAAACGATTGTAAAAGGGCTCCGTTGCTCAAGTCAAACTTCGAACCAGTTGCAGCAGTCAAAGAGACGAGAAGCAAGTTTCCGCTGTCGTCAGAGGTGATATAATCGGATTCAAACTTGGTTCTGGAAGCGGTTCTAACGTGCTTGATGCTTTGGGGATCGTTGATCAACAAAAAGTCAGTCAAATCATAAACCTCCTTGGTGTAGTCCATTTTATTGACTACCAAGAAATCACCAAGGGAGTATTGCTTGAGCTCAGCGTTCAAGAACGAGGGAGTATCGAGCTTGTAAGACAACTTTACATTTCCGTCATCGTCGATGTTGTAGAACTCAATGTAAGCAGAAACTGGGGTCTTGATAAAATAATTTGCGTTGATGATTGACACGTCAGTGGCTGAGCCATCGATTTTGACGAGCTTATCGTTTTGCAAGCGGTACAATTCATTAGAAGTACTCAATAAAAGGTCATCCTTGAATTCCTTGATGTCGGAGAACGGCAATGGAATCTCGGAGTGGACATCCAACTGAGGTGATAATTTGAACAATTTGTGGGCCGCCACGTAGCCGTAACCGTCGATTTGCTGGAAGTGGAAACTGGACAACTTGGAGGAAATGTCCACAGACACCACGTCTCCATTGGAGTTGTCGATGTACTGCAAAGCACCCGAATGGTCCACTACCAACACTCCTCTGTTGAAGAAGTTCTCGAGCTGCACAGGAGAGGCCTCGAGTTTGACGGAACGCCTCAACACTCCAGTCTGAGTGTGGAACACGTACAACACGTTAGACAGATGCGAGTAAAGATATACCAAGGACTTGTCGTTCGTCAAGTGGTAGTTCTCGAACCCTGTCCCCTGCAAGTCATGCAACAGCACGGCCCATTGAACAGCCGTGGTGTCGGACAATCTGATATTCAACAATTGATCATTGGCAAACCCAACCAACGAATTATGGTCAATGACGTCAACCTGGTCCAAATGGGGATACAAATAGTTCAATCTCTCCTTCAGAAAGGTGGATTCGAGCGATAACGCCCACGCTACCGAGACAAGCGCCAACACCCTTCCTATGATACCTAATTGCATGATGGATACGGATAGGCGATTGACTGGAATTGAAATCTAGACTGAATATTTCCAGTGCGATTTTGTGGTGAGGACCAAATTTATGGGGTTGGTGCAAGAATGTAGTGTAGAGAGGACGAGGAGAGACTTGGGGATATTGGGATGGCTGTAGAACTTAGGGCCAGCCATACATGAGCTCTTGATATAGACAAAAGCTTAGTAGGTGGTACAAAAAAGGTATTTAACCACCTAGAAAATCGAAATAAAAAATTGTGAGTTTGAGTACCCTACCTATGGATCGAGATTTGGAGATAGTAATGCTGTACGTGTGCTTCTGATCTGAAACATTTTATCTAGGTATAAAGTGTATCCAGTGTAAGTTTCAGCTGGAAACAGCTTCAAAAATATCTCCGAGTCTACTGACTGTGAATAGCATCAAATAATTGCAGCTACAAAGAGTGCTTCAATTAACCCATAGCAAAAGGGGTGCCCTAGCAATATTTTACAATTTTTCTGTGCTTTTGCAATATTTGTCTATAATTCCAATTTAGCAGGCTATAGTTTAAACATCTCCTCCAAGCACTTAAAGTCAAAGCGGACTCCCTCACAAAATCGCCACCAATGATATTTACCCTGTTGGTAGAGAAGCTAGCCATTGGCACTTCAAACGGGCATTAATAAGTTTAATTGAAAGAAGCTGCAGGGTCGAAAAAAGAGGCAAACAAAGATCACTACCTTTCACACGACAACGGCCTCGCCCCACCAGCCGTGTCGACGATACCAGAAACGGTCTATGCCTGACCATTCCAGTAAATATATCTCGCAACCTCCTTATCTTCCTGCATACACCACGATTGCTAATATGACTATATAAGGGCCATGGATCCCCAGATTTAGTCCACATCAACAATGCAAGCTCGTGATTGGTTTTTAGTCCTCATCGGCTTCTTCTGTAAGTTCGACGTCCCCAGCAGCCCCATGCACATCGTCCATACTAACCGCAGTGCCTCCCGTTCCAGTCCTCATTAAGAGAGGCTTCTTTTCAGCTGACTTCTGGATTAACATTCTTTTGTGTGTGTTAGGATTCATCCCTGGTTTGATCCACTCCTACTACATCATCTCGTTATACCCATACAGCGAGACCTACGCTGCCTTGGGTGGCGATGGCCACAACCACCGGACTAACGACTATGGGTCGGTCTGAGTTACCCGGACACCGCTTGAGAATATAAAAGGCATCGCTGCCGCAGTAAATTGTCACTGGCTATGGATTAATAAACGTACCTAACTGATATTGATGTAGGCCACGCATAAACTTAAGTTGGCCGGTATAGTCTCCTATGGAACTTATCTTGAATGATCCATCGGTTCAATGTGTCAATATGCGAAGAGAAACGGGAATATCGTGAGTTATTCATCTGCACTTGTGGATGTAATTATGAAGGTTGGTGCTCTGATTTCCAGCAACTTTTGGAGCAGTTTTTGCTCTGTGAGGCGCTGGAGTTTTGTCAGTGTGCTGCCTTCATTCCCTGGTGGCTCAAACTGCGGGTTCATGAAGTGGTGATCGAGATGGCTTCGTCTTGAAGTTTGTCAAAATTGTCACTGATAAGCTCGCAGTTCACTAGGTTGTTCTTTCAAGTCGAATAGCGCTTCTAGGAAAATGTCTTTTCACCTTTTCTTATGACTTGATATCTACATTTAATTTGAGACGTAGTTATTCTGACACCAAGCTTGATGTTTCATTTACATTAAATTTGAGACATCTACCTATTCGAACATGACGATTGATTTTCATCTATATTTAGAGGAAGCTCGTGTAGTTAGTCACTGATGTGCTTAGGTTGTGCAATCTTGGGTATTTTGCATAGAAAGTGTTTTTGCACCTTAATTTTGCAATGCCTTCGAAATGGCTTCTTCTTCTGATTCAAGCTCTCCCCGTTTCCCCCCTCCCTGCTTCCACAACCAAAGGGCCTCGATCGCATAGTTCCTGACCGAAAGGTTCCTAGTTTTCTTCTCATCGGCAGCCTCCGTTATCGAGTCGATAATTCTCAACTGTTCTATTAAATTCCACATTAAGTTCTCGAAATTCGTGACCAACTCCTTCATGTTCTCATTGAACGCGGTGTCCTCCGGGTTACTATCATCCACAGGAAGAATACTGTACTTGTGGAGCCCCAACTTGTGCAAAATACGTCCAAGCATTTGGATACTCAAACACCTCTGACCGGGAAGAACCGATCTGGACAAGTGGGCCAACTCCGCCAACGTATATCCTGCCAAGTGGGGATTGTCGGAGTGGTGATGCAAGCCCATGTAGGTTGGGGTTTCTGGCTGTTCTGATTTTGTCTCATCATTGAGTTCCACCAAGTCACCCTTGAAGTCAAACCTCATATCTGAAATGGACTCGTAGGTGGTGGATACTTGCTTGGGCAACGGTTTCGTCATCCATGACAATTTTTCTGTTTCTTTGGGCAAGTCAGGGTAGTATTTTTCGTGTAATTTGTCGTAAAAGTCGGGGTCATTGAGGTCCAAGTCTTGGTGCTTGTCCTTGGGCTTGGTGAAGTGCACACCGAGTTTATTGTCATTTGCTTCGTCCTCCTCGCTCACCAATTGGTATCCTTCTGGGGCAATTTCATCTTCTTCTGCGCCTTCTGCTCCTGGAATCAAGTCATTCAAATCGTCCACATCTTCCCACCCTTCTCCAGCCAGCTCCGTTCCTCCGTGCATGTCGTCATACTTGATTGTGGCCACAGTGTTGAATTTGACCGACTTTTTTGATTTTCCCGAAGAGCTGAGAGAGCTGGAGCTGGAAGTAGCCGACAAGTTTTCTGGATTTCTCTCGGAAGGAGCCTCGAAATCTCGATTCTCAGTCTCCTGGGCGATGTCTTGCTTGAGTTCTGTGAGTCCAGGGCCAGACAATCCCAACGCCTTGTTGACGTCGGCCTCGTCCAAATGGGAGAGGTCAGACATGCCCTCGGCAGTCCTCACGCCTCCGATCCACCCGTTATAGCCCTCTGCATGAGAGTGGCCGTCATGCAGGTGGCTGTCGTGCAGACTGTGGTTGTTTTTGGTGATTCTGGACTCGGTTCTTTTCAACAAGCTCTGGATCAACTTGGGGTCGAGTCCACTGAGCAACTCCTGCTGTTCCCGCGAGATTTCCTCCTCCGACATCAGTCCCAATCTGGCCATATTCTCGCGGTGGATCTTCTCGGCCTCCGACAAGTTCTCGTCCTTGGGAGCCGCCACTTTGGACGGGAGCTGTGTGGAGTTCTTGGTGTTGCGGGACTTCCATCTGGACTCTCTCTTGAGCTTCAACTTGCCTGGATCCGGAAATCCAGACGCAGGGCCTGTAGGCGCCACTGGCGGCATTGGCACCTCAGTCTCGTGTTCGACGATCTCTCCAACGAAGTCCATGGTGGTGGTGTTATTGGCTAGAAGATGGTTAGTAATTAGCAACGTGCGCGATGGCTGCGGGCCTAATCGGGCGTGAGCGTCCTGCACAATCACCGAAGGATGTGTAGACGCCAAGATGGCAGGGTGTCAAATTGTACCTGCAACAGTGATGACGAAGGAGGAGGTGGAGGTTGTGGAGAGGTAGTGGTGGATGAGGAGAGCTACAAGCATGGTGGTGGCGGTTTGGGAGTTTCTAAAGTTAGGCGCCACCACACGGCCCGTGGCCAATTGGTTCATCGGGCGTTGGAGCACGGCTGTGGTGGGGGTCCAGTCAGTTCGTCTGGTAGTCTATGTAGCATGCACGCAGTCAACACGCCCTGATGCACACGCCAGCGACAAGCACTAAAAGCGAAATATTTTGCAACTAAAACCTTCGGTCCATGCATGTGGTGGCGTTATCCAGCTTTCAGAGGGGCCAAGCCCACATGAATCCGCAGGTTTTGCCAGCACTTGGAAATAGTCTCAAAATATTTGCAATAGGGTTTAATATTATGCCATGCTAGTGGCTAGACGTCATGGAAAATCGTCTAAATAAAACCTAAAATGATGAATCTCTTGGATTATACCTCGTATTTCACGCTCAAGGGCGTCCCACAGCATTTCCGTCCTTATCCGCAACCTGTGCACTGGTGCTGGACTCGGACACATCGCTCTCCGTGCGTTCTTCTGGCTTCATGTAGATCGGCACCTGACATTCGTTTCTATCTATTTTCTCATTTAACAATTTTACGAATTCGGGACTGAACCTGCTGCTAAAACTTTCAAATTCCATTCTTCTCCTTTCTGCCTCATTGCCCATTTCTGCCCCGATAATGGGCCTGTGTCTGCATTTGAGCACAAACGGAATATCCACAAAAGGTATGGCAAATATGATCAAGGCCGCAATGAAGCGAGAAGTGGTATACTGGTACTTGCCTCCGTGATTTCTATTACCATTGAATATTAAATTGATCCAGTTTGCCTGCATCCCCATAGTGTATGGTCTTTCATTAACGTCATATTCCACCACATACCTGTTGTCGTCTCTTTTGATGTTAACGTACCGTTTTCCGTGCTCCACTCGAGGAAAATTCCTGCGTCCCCGGTTGGTATTCTTCCTTGACTCCCACCTCAGGTATGCCTTCCTTTGGGATATGGTGATTTCGTCCAAGGTAGTAATGTTAAGACAGACATAACGGAGGTGTGAAACTAGTAAGATAGTGATCATCAAGATCCAGAACCCGCAGAGGACGAAGAGTATAATGAAGTTATGGTTTATTTCACCTCTGTGGGTGTTGGAGGGCACAAACTTGATGAGGTGGCCCAAGACAATAACGAATATAGACAAGAGACACACCAAAAATTTCAAAAAGAACACATAGTTGGTCTCGCCGATGACACAGCCGATCCAAACACAGTAGTGATCGAATTTCAACACGTTGTAGTTGGTGTCCTTCAGGTAAAACGTCCGGTTGATGGCAATGGAGTTGGTTTGCGAGTTGAAGAACGGGAATCCCAACTCGTCTGACACGAACACCTCAGGTGTCGTGGATAGCGTGGGGTCATCGATGTTGTAGAGATTGAAGGGCACGAAGGTGGGTGACTTGCCCGGCCCCACCGTAAGTATGGCTGCCCAATACACGAAAATGGCTATCTGGAAGAACACTAGAAGCGTCCAGAGCGCAATGGCGTTTCCCTTGGAGTGGTACTTCCATATCTCCTGGTAGCCCAAGGAGTAAAATGCTGCAAAGTCACCATAGCCGAGTAGTAGAATGACGCAAAACGGAACCAATAGTTTGACTCGGGGATGTCGAAGAATTGCGACATCGAGGATCATTTGAGCAGCTGGCAGCTATCAGCAAGGGTAGCGGTGGAGGACGTGGTGGTGGGTGGTGGCAGTGTTGGTTGTGGTTGAAACGAGCCTGATCATTGCTTATATCAGCGCCTGCACAGAGCCGTCCTGCACACGACCAACCAGATATAGCCATCTACAACTACTCCATACAGTGATTCATTAGTCATACAATGATAGGTTTAGAAGGTACGAATAGACACCACCTCCCCCATGTCGACACTGCTACTAACATACCAGATGAGCGTACGAAGGACATGTGTCCGATCTGTAAAACAGACAAGTACCTTTCGCCCAACATGACGTTTCTAATCAACCCCGAGTGTTACCACAAGATCTGCGAGTCCTGTGTGGATAGAATCTTCTCGTTGGGCCCAGCCCCATGCCCATACCCCAAGTGTGGCAAGATCTTGCGGAAGAACAAGTTCAAGAAGCAGATCTTCGATGATATCTTGATTGAACGAGAGATCGATATCCGGAAGCGAATCAGCAATATATTCAACAAGACAGAGGAAGACTTCCCCAGTTTGGACGAGTACAACCAGTACTTGGAGAAGGTAGAAAACGTGATCTTCAACCTCAACAATGGTGTGGACAAGGAGAAGACAGAGGAAGAGGTCAACAAGTATGAAGCAGAAAACAAGATAGAGATCTTGGAGAAGAGCATGAGAGAGAGTCAAAAGAACTCAGACTTCACCAAATACCAGGAGGCTGTCGAGAGGTTGAAGCAGGAGAAGTTGAGGATTCAGAAGCAAATGGAAATCGAAGACATCCAATACCAAAAGCAACAGCAGCAAGAATTGCTCGACAAATTGTCTTCGTCCAACACTGCAAACTCCGACGAGATTATCAAGCAACAACAGTCCAATATGCAGAAGAGGTCGCAGTTCAGAAAGAGACAGTTGCAGCAGTTGACATCCCAGCTTGACCAAAACTTCTCCAAGAACAACCCATTAACAAAGAAGGAGGTTGACAACGAGCCAAAGGCTCCATTCACTCCATTCCAAGGCGACCGTGAATTGAAGAAGCGTTACGAATTGTTACCAATACCGCGTGACGTCGATGACTTGTTGGATATCGACAACCATGCCGATGAGACGTACCAAGATCCATACGTTAACAAGTTGGCCAAGAACAAGGAATATTTGGGCGCAGGCTGGAGATTGCATACCGTATTTGAAAGGGCCTTGGACGAAGCATTCATGGGTTTGGGGTGTTTTATTGAGAAGGAAAAGATGGTGAGTTGAGCTATGCTAAAGAAGAAATTAATATATCAAAAGGGTCCAGCACATTCAGACTCAACCATACACAATTTGAAAATGCTACGATGATTGATCAACCAAGAATAAGAATGCTAATAAGCATTCCAGACGATTGCATGCTACACTTGGAATACCGGGTAGTAGAGTCTATGTATCTATTCTATATACGCCAATACATAAGACAGGATGAAAATACATTGTATGCTGTAGCGGAATCAATACGGTTTATGGTCCTCTGGCTAGAACGACACACAATGTGGTTGATTACACATCAATAAACCGAGCCTCGGGATGGTAATAAACCGGACATGACCAGTAGGATCTTTTGATGTCGTCCCACACACTCTTGGAGTCTTCAGAGCCCACCTTCTCTTCCAAGGTGGACTTTGGAACCTCGATCTCGGTGAACTTGCATTCCAAACCATAGTTGGACAAGTCGATTTCGACCAATTGCTTGTAAACTTCGTAGATGACTTGTCTATCTGCGCCCAAACCATTGAAGAACGAGAAGACACCATGGGGCTTCAAGAGACCCACCACAAAGTCAAAGAGCTCCAACATGTCCAGGTAGTGTTCTGAGTAGGTATCGTAGTAGATACCGTTGAAGAAGGTGTTGCCACTGGATAAAAGAGTGTCCAACTGGTCTTGCCACCTTCCTTCGAGAATCACTACGTTGGGCTTTTCGTACCATCCGTCGTCACGCAACTTTTTCAACACGTCTGGATGGGCCTCGCAGATGTAGTGCTTGGTGGGGTTCTTTTCGTTGATCATGGTGTCGATGATCCCCATTCCGAACCCGATGTTCAACACGTTAATGTCGGAGTCCACTTCTCCGTCGACCACCGAGCCCTTAAAAAGGGAGTCGCATCCGAGACGCATCAAGTCTGTTTCCCACGACATCATCACTCCGTCCTGGCGGTCCTTGGTGACCAACGCATTGTCTCTGTACTCCAACTTCGTCTGGAGGTATGATTCTTGGTTCTGGGAAGGAGCGTCTGGAGCGTCGTCCTTCTCGATTTTGGGGGCAGCTGTGACCAAAGGCTCAGGATGTTCCACACTGGGTTGTTCCTGGCTCTCTTGCTGGTCTTCCTTGTTCTCTTTCTCGTTCACTTCCTTGTCTTCCACGAGTTGGGGCACCTCGTCCCCAAACCGCTCGTGGTCCACTTCTTCAGTATCGCTGATGACCTCCATGTCGTACTCACTGACCTTTCTCAACAACAACTCGGCTCTTATTCCGGCTGCTACAATCTGGTTGTAGATAGGCAACCTCTTCAAGCCTCTGCGGATCAAAATACATCCCGGAGTCTCGTTGTTGACGTCTGTCAAGCACCAGCCGGCTCCATATTCGAGAAGCATCTCTACCATGGACTCAACCACTTTGGACTCGGCCTCGTCGATATCCTGGGGCACATGGGTGCATATTAAGTGCAATGGCGTGGTGGTGGTGAGAGGCTCATCTTCGATATTGTGGGTGTAGTTGTATGCCTCCTCGATAGTGTAGGTGGCGGGAATGCCACTCTTCAAGTAGAACTGGAGCTCTTCCACTGCCTTGGCGGCGACTGGGCGCTGGGCAAACTTGCACAAGTCATGGAGGTCCGACATGATGGTGTGGTGGAAGGAAATTTTGTCGCGATGATCAGAGGTAATGTCGCCGGAAGTGTAGGTGCGCAGGGCCGCCAGGGGCGAAAGGAAGCTCGATGTCGCCTAGCAAGTGATAAGCTGGCCAATTGGTCGGCGGCTGTATCAAGCAGGGCAGCCTCAGGGCCCAGGCTTCGACGGAAGTGGAATTCGGGCGGAAAGGGGTCCCGAAAGGTTGCATTTAGTCCTGGCAGCACACCTATCAAAGGCGGCAGGACACCGTAACGCACGGAATTTATTTGCTAACGGTGTCGTTATGCAACAATGTGTCTGTAAAAATGGAGGCCCAAGCGAGGAAGCGCTCAGGTGAGGGTGTTTCGCATGGGATGATGCGGTGGCAGTGGTGAGTGGCGGCAGCATGGGGGGTGTAGGCACGGCTTGGCTGAGAGGGCAGAGCTGGGGGTGCTGTTGAAACCGCCTAGCACATAACCCCGGTGACCCGGTGCCTAGCCAATCTGCCGCCAGCGACTCTGTCAGGCATGCACGGTGTTTTCCATACGTGTGGGTGGATGCAAAACGCAGCCACAAAGCCGTATGCACGCCATGAAAGAAATCATACGATGTTGAGATGGAACCAGAAATTGTTCACGTCACGGTGGCTCTCCCAACAAGCGAAAACGCTGGGCCCCAGGGTGCACGTCATGCATGCAGACGTTGTCCAGGATAGCCTTTCGCTCGAACCGAGCCCTTACCCTGATCCGTCCCGCTAGGGCGAAGATTAGCTTTTAGGTGGGATGATGCTGCGATTCAGGATTATTATTTTGTGGGGCACATGTAGATGGGGCTGATATAACTGTGAGTTGGATCCGGTTTTTTGCCTCGTGCACCCGACATGACTTTCAGAATCGACGACTACAATGCCTACCCCTCGCTGACGTCCAAACGGGACCCCCAGCTCGGCTCCTCCTCCTCCCACAACCGCAATTCCAACCCGGACCCGATTCCGGGTCCGCCTCCCTCTCAGGGCCCATTCCCTCAGCCTATTGGATACCCCTACGACTATGGAGTGCAGTATCCGTCCCACACGGCCTCCAACAACTCGCTCCAGTCGTCGTCACTCAATTACGGTCCCAGTAGCGATTTTCCCACCCCCGTTGGTACTGGCTACGTGCAACCAGAGTTCATGGGTGACATGTGCCGAACAGTATCAGCCAACCCCGAGTTTGAGTCTGGCAGCAGCTTTGTGTCTCCCATCCCTCCAGGCATGTTTGACATGCCTGCGCCGTTTCCTCCTCCGCACTCCAACCCCATCAAGATAGAGCCGAGCCCAACACAGTCAATATCGTCTAGCCAAGAGAGGATAGTCAAGCAGCGAATCAAGTCCGAGCCCACTATCAGTGTGTCTCGACCTCAGCAGCTGCCACCCAAGAACAGAACTCGTTCGGCTCACAACATCATCGAGCAGAGGTACAGAAACAAAATCAACGCCAAGTTCGACACCTTGCTGAACACCGTTCCCTCGCTCCGGGTGGTGGTGCGGACCAAGAAGAAGCTGAAGACCGACAACGACTTCGAGTCTAGTGGCGACGACCTGGACTGCGCAGGCTCTGACGACGACGACCCCAACCATCCAGTGGACTTGGAGGGGTTGAAGCCGGCTCGCAAGTTGAACAAGGGCACCATCTTGACCAAGTCGATCGAGTACATCAAGTTCTTGGAACTCAAGAACCAGCGCATGAAGCTGGAGAACGAGGAGTTGATCATGAAGGTAAGGATGCTCGGGTTGCATCCAGACACTCCCTACCGCAGGTAGTGGCTGCGAAATCGCAGCCACGCCAGCACCACTAGAATATATTCCACGCAAGGGAAAGGCCCAGCTAGTGCCCCTCTGCTGCCAGGGACAGGCTTGCCCAGCAGGATCGATGGCACGAGATGCGGCCACCCCACCTCCAATGTACAGTAGTATTGGTGCTTGTAGTGCCCGAGAGGCAACCGGACGTCCAGTCGCGAGAACGCGTTCTGGTGCACTGTGGTGCTCCAGGGTGGTACTGTGGCGCCCCAGGAGTGTTCCAGGAGTGCCCAGGAGTGCCCCAGAAGTATCCCAGCGCCTGCCAGGTGGTTAAGGCGTCTTCCAACCACAGGGTCAAGTCTCTGAACCAAGCTGTACTGAGAAGTACGTATATGTACTGTTAACTACTGAGGGGATTTTCTGCGCGCTCCCAGGCAGCTGCACCCAGGCAGCTGCACCCAGATATGGACGTATCACGAGCGCGCCATAACTAAGGGCCTGGTGGTCTGTTGTCGCATGTCGCGCATTACGCGGCCCATCGATCTGCATGTCGCGCCCTCTTCGTTCCTCGTATACAATAAAACGAGCGACGGAACGACGAATTTTTCTACCACCACTAACAAGTCTGTTTCAACAGTAAGTACCTTTGGTGGCGGGAACTACATCGAGCCACGATCGCTTCCGTGCACGACACCCTCTTTTCCCCGTGCAAATGGCTCCCACAGTCCGTCATGTTGGTGGTAAGTCGCCCATCCGCGTCTCATCAGCACACTCTCAGACGATTGTTTCCCCTCTGGTTGATCTCGTACTAACGTCTAGATGGCTCTCGTGGATTTGGCGGTGTCCGCATACACCTACTTTGCTGCGCTTTCGCTCAGTCAGCAATTATCCATCTTGTTTTTGGGTCCCTTCATCTACAATGTGCTCTGGCAATTGTTGTACTCGTTGAGAAAGGACAGGGTGCCAATGGCCTTCCACTGGGTTCCGTGGTTGGGTAATGCCGTGGCCTACGGTAAGGACCCCTATGGCTTCTTCAACGAATGCCGTGACAAGTATGGAGACGTGTTCTCATTTGTTTTGGTGGGTAAGGTTATGACCGTCTACTTGGGTCCTCGTGGCCAGGAATTCGTGCTCAACGCCAAGGCTAACGATGTGTCGGCCGAAGACGCCTACCAGCACTTGACCACCCCCGTGTTCGGCGAGGGAGTCATTTACGACTGCCCAAACCACCGTCTTATGGAACAGAAGAAGTTCGTCAAGATCGCCTTGACCTCCGACGCGTTCAGATCCTACGTGCCCAAGTTCAGGGAAGAAGTCTTGGACTACTTCACCACCTCCGAAAACTACAAGATGAAGGAAAACAACTCCGGTGTTGTGGACGTCTTGAAGGCCCAACCTGAATTAACCATCTTCACTTCTTCCAGAACCTTGTTCGGTGACGAAATGAGAAAGAAGTTCGACCACAGTTTCGCTCAGTTGTACGCCGATTTGGACAAGGGTTTTGCTCCTATTAACTTTGCCCTTCCTCACTTGCCATTGCCCAGTCACAGAAAGAGAGACGAAGCTCAACGTAAAATTTCCCGTACCTACATGTCCTTAATTAACCACAGAAGAGAGTCTGGCGATATCGTACAGAACCGTGACTTGGTTGACTCCTTGATGCTTAACTCTACCTACAAGGATGGTGTGAAGATGACTGATCAACAAATCGCCAATCTTATGATTGGTATCTTGATGGGTGGTCAACACTCCTCTTCTTCCACTTCGTCTTGGTACTTGTTACATTTGGCTGAGCACCCTGAAATTCAAGAAGAATTGTACAAGGAGCTCACCACTCTTCTTAACGAGAAGAATGGTGACATCTTTGATTTGACTTACGATGACATGCAAAAATTGACCTTGCACAACCACGTCATCAGAGAAACCTTGAGATTACACATGCCATTGCACTCGATTTTCAGAAAGGTTTCCAAGCCATTGCTTGTTCCAAACACCAAGTACGTTGTTCCAAAGGGACACCACGTTTTGACTTCTCCTGGTTACGCCATGATTGACGATAAAATTTATCCAAATGCTGACAAGTTCAACCCCCACAGATGGGACAAGCCTATTGTTCCAGAGAACAGCCAAACCGAGTCCGTGGATTACGGTTTTGGTGCGATTTCCAAGGGTGTTTCTTCACCTTACTTGCCATTTGGTGGTGGTAGACATCGTTGTATTGGTGAGCAATTTGCTTTCCTCCAACTTGGAATGATTTTGGCTACCCATGTCTACAACATCAAATGGAAGTTTGTGGAGGGCCAAAAAATGCCCGATGTTGACCACGAATCCATGGTGACCCAGCCTCATGGCCCAGCCAAGATCCAATGGGAAAAGAGACAAACCTGTGTGTTATAGAAATAGATCTGATAGTATCAGTAGTCGGCACAATTAATGTTTATTGTTCAAGTAGTGGCAGACTGTAGTTTGGCACATGTTATAATTGAAGAATGAAATAGCTTGATTGAAATAAATAACTGAGCTAAAGTAAAAAATGGGTGCCAGTACAATCCTCAGCAAGGATCAGGATCACTTCTAAACGATACTCGAGCTATGAAGTTTTTCAATATCATGTATCAGTGTGCTCATTATTATTTCCGTTTTTGTCGACTTCCTTAACATCACATACGAGTATAAATTCAGAATAATAATTCAAGCCAGAGAATAAGGGTGTAAGATGTAAGGCTCATCAACTGTCGAAATTCTTCCGTGCTCAAGAGTGAATTTCAACATCCCTTTGTAGTTGCTTCCCAAAGATGTTTGATATGCATTCTACTCATGGCAGGGCTCCGGTTCTGGTAATCCGGTAGCCCTAGACGGGTGCAATTAATATTGGCTTAAGCTAGTGCGCATGAAGCTCCATGATGGTGTATGCGACAGAAGCAACAGGAGCTACCAGCGATAAGGGCCTGTAATTCCAGTTGTTTCTGTAATAGCAGTGGGTTGGAGAACCACCAAAATGGATTTATTCACAAATAGGTTGGCTGGGTACATTCTGAGAATTACTGCTGAATTATGCCGAGGTCTTGGTTCAAAGATAACTTCTGATCAGAGTTCTCGTAGTATCATACGAGCCCCAGAATGTATACTGAAAGTACTACAACTGCAACAATACAGTTAGTTGACCAGACCCACCATCGTAATTCATATCAACCACATAATTTCTACTGAAATTACTACCAACGATAGACTGCAACTGCTTATATTTGCCACAATTATTGGGTGATTTTTCCTCATTTACCAACACTGTAAATCGCAGATGAAGCCAAGCCTGAAACTCGCAGGAATGAAAAATCGAAAACTGAAAAGTTTGGGCAAGACAACTTTTCACCGGCAAGAATTTGTAGCAAGAGTGATACCAGCCAACCCCAGTGCTCAGCACATCTGTAGACACCTATCTCATCTGCCATGTATCACGTCAAATCCAACTATATCTCCTTCATTCGTTACCTCCATCGTGCCAGGAATGATTCCATGGCTGGCGTATCTGCAGGCGCTATCTTTCCGTGGGTGCGAAACAAATGATTCATCTTCGAAAAAAAGACATTCATCGACACCACCAGTTAGCACTAGCCATTCCTTGCAGCATGTCCAAGTCGTTCCAGTTGAAAGTGCCCGCATCATCCGCCAACATTGGCCCAGGCTTCGATGTTTTGGGAATCGGGTTGAACTTGTTCTTGGAGATCAGCGTCAATGTCGACCCATCCATAGACACTTCCAGCGACCCATACAACGTCAAGCTCTCCTACGAGGGTGACCTTGCTGAAAACGTGCCCTTGAGCTCCGACAGAAACTTGGTGACCCAGACTGCGTTGTACGTGATGAGATGCAACGGCGTGGCCAGCTTCCCCAACGGGACCCACATACACGTCATAAACCCCATTCCCTTGGGTCGAGGCTTGGGGTCCTCGGGAGCCGCTATTGTCGGAGGAATCATGTTGGGTAACGAGATCGGTGGATTCAAGCTTTCCAAGGTCAGAATGTTGGACTACTGCTTGTTGATCGAGAGACACCCCGACAACATAGCTGCTGCCATGTTGGGGGGTTTCGTGGGATCGTACTTGAACGAGCTCTCTTCCGAGGAAACCGAGGCCAAGAACTTGCCTTTGGAGTACGTGTTGCCCAAGGCCTCCACCCCCAAGGACAAGTACTTGTCCACACCTCCTCCTCAAAACATTGGCCAGTACGTGCAGTACGGGTTCAGTACCAAGATTAAGTGTGTGGCAGTGATTCCTAACTTCGAGGTCAGCACTGATGACTCCCGTGCGGTGTTGCCGGAGTCCTACAACAGACAGGACATTGTGTACAACCTCCAGAGAATCGCGGTATTGACTACTGCTTTGACCCACGAGACCCCCAATAACAGACTCATTTACGAGGCCATGAAGGACAAGATCCACCAGCCCTACCGGTCCACCTTGATTCCAGGCTTGGTCGAGGTGTTGTCCAGCATCACCCCAGACACCCACCCTGGCTTGTGTGGCATTTGCTTGTCGGGAGCAGGCCCCACTATCTTGTGCTTGGCCACTGAAGGTTTTGAGGAAATCGCATCTAGTGTCATGAAGCTCCTTGCTGGCGCAGGCGTGGAGTCTAGCTGGAAGTTGCTCACCTTGGCCTACGATGGTGCTACCGTGGAGTATCAATAAAATAGAGTGTATAGATACAAAATAGACCTGGTAGGAGTGGGCATGATCTGCTAGAAATGGCAGAGGCTCTATTCTGCAAATTGCAGACAGTAGAGCATCAAATTGGATCACAAGTAGCATTCTTTTCAGTTCGAGTTGGCCATTCGTGATTATTGCATGAAAAATTCACGAAATGACCCCACAAGAATAATTCCCACACTTTCCCGAGCTCCCACACCCTAGGTTCTGGAACTGGAAACTGGTACTAGCTTGTAGGAATAGCTCAGTTAACTTGTCTTCGCACTTTGTCTCTTCTACCTGGATATTTCAACTGAATATTTCACCTGGATACCCCTCTGGATTTTTAAGATCTTGAATCCCGAATGATTCGGCACTACTATTTTGTCTGAACCGGCTGCTCAACCCTATCAACGTTATTCCCCGGCTCATCCTACTTCTCTCCTATTCTTTTGCAGACACTGGCTTTTGCAACTGAGGCGCGCACGACGGTTCCACCCAATTATCACAACCAGAATCAACGCTTTCACAAACTTATACACCAAAATGGGTTCCACCACAACCAAGGATCTTCTGAGCCAGCTCCTCACCCAGGACATCTTGGAGAGATCGGCCTCGCAGCCCATCTACTTGTCTTCCGTCGAAGTCAATGGGGGTGAGACCTTCACCACCGACTTCTTCAAGAAGCTCTTATCACCATTGGTGGAGCACAGCGACTACACCTTGAGCCAGTTGATCGACACGATTGGAGTGTCTCATGACAAGCTCCTCAAGACAAATGTGTTCAAGAACATCGACATTAGCTTGCATTCCGACTACAGCGCCTTGTTGCCCCAAAACATCAAGAACTATAACAAAGACAAGCCGGTGGCCACCAAGGTCATCTTCGACTTGCTGTCCATCAACTTGAATATCGGCGAGGGCTTCTTTAACGTGAACAACGAGGAGTACTTGAACATGAAATTGAACTACTTGAACAACAACTTCAATGAAAATGCCGAGTTGGTCAACATCGGGGTCGACTACAACCCCTACAAGCCCACGGACCACTTGATCACCAACGCCAAGCTCTTGGCCAACTTGAACAACCCGTCCATCAAGTTCTTGGTGGACGTCTTCCATTCACAGCAAAACAACCAGACGTGGCAACAGTGCTCGGAGGGTGCCACTGGCGGGATCATTGGGTTGCAGTATAACAAGGGCAAGTCCTTGAGCTTGTTGTCAGGATTGTCGATAGCCAGACGTTCCATCCACAACATCGACGACGCTGCGCCCGACGAGTTGAAGTTCTTTGCGGGCGACTACTTGAAGTCGTCCATTGTCAACCAGTTGGCGTACTCCAAGGTGGGCTACTTGAACCACATCACCAAGAACTTTGGCGTACGTGGGTTTGATGCCGCGGTGTCCAACGAGATCTCCTCCAACCAGGAGCAGGACAACGTCAAGAACCAGACAGTATTTATTAAGACCTCGGTGGCCCTCAACTACTACCAGTCTGTTTTCAACAATTTCTTCACCACTCACTTGTCAGGCCAGGCTGGCGCTATCTACACCCCAACTGTCAACGCTCCCGTGCACATTTCCGACCGTTTCTACTTGGGAGGCGTCCATTCGTTCAAGGGCTTCACCCGCAACTCGCTCAACCCCAACGGTGGCTTGCAGTTCTACAACCTCTCGGCTACCGTGTACTCCAAGTTGCCGTCATTTATCTATCAGCCACGCCACGCCAACCCAACTCTCCTCGAGGATGGCTCGTCCAACGAGGCCAACCCCTTGAGGTTGTACTCCACTGTGGCCGTGGGCAATGTTGACAACGACATCTTGGGCAATCCCAACACTGGCGCCACCACTGCTGGCTTCGGCTTGCGCTACTTCAACCATTGGGCCAACTTCGATATCGGGTACTACTTCGCCAGCCGGTTTGGGGTGCAATCGCAGGCGGGTGTTAGCGACGGGCTCCAATTCGCGGTGTCGATTGGTGGCTCCAACCGTACCATCTAGCACGACGCGGACTCCCATCTACCGCGGTGGGCCTAGCTTTACGCGTCGAAATCCTCAATAAACAAACCACCGCGTCGCACTGCGATTCTCTGTATAAGTACTGTATATCCCGCAATACCAGCACTACACTGGCATTTCCTCCTTAGCCACCAACGTTACCACTCCTGATTCTTCACCATGGGCATCACCGGACTTCTCCCCCACCTCAAGGAGATCCAAGAGCTGACGTCGTTGGAGCGTTTCAGAGGAAAGACCCTCGCCATCGATACCTACGGTTGGCTCCACCGCGGGTTGATTTCGTGTGCCCAGGAGCTCTGCCAGGGCCAGCCCACCCGCAAGTACATCAACTCGATCTTGAAGAAGGTGGAGATGTTGCGGTACTTTGGTGTGGAGCCCTACTTCGTGTTCGATGGCGCCTCATTGCCCACCAAGGCTGAGACTGCAAAAGACCGGCGCTTGAAGCGAGAAGAGGCCCAGAAGAAGGCTGACGAGCTTACCCGCACAGGCAACCACAAGCTAGCATGGAAGGAGTTCATGAAGGCCGCCTGCGTGACCCACGAGATGGCCAAGTCCATTATGGTCGAGTTGGACGCTCTCCACATCCGCTACGTGGTGGCTCCCTACGAGGCCGACCCACAGATGGTGTATTTGGAGAAGATTGGCGTGGTCGACGGCATCCTCTCGGAAGATTCTGACTTGTTGATCTTCGGCTGCAACCGCCTCATTACCAAGTTGAAGGATGACTCCAGCTGTGTGGAGATCTGCAGAGATCGCTTTGGCGACGTCAAGCTGGTGCCTCACTTGGCCACCTTCTCTGACGACCAGTTGCGCATGGTGGCATTGTTGTCAGGGTGTGACTACACCAAGGGAATTCCCGGTGTGGGAATCAAATCTGCCTTCAACTTGATCAAAAAATTCAACACCTTGGACAAGATTGTGCTTGCATTGAAGTCGGACGGCAAAACCGTTCCAGACGACTATTTTGAAGAGGTTAACCGGGCAAACTTGGCTTTCCAGTTCCAAAAGGTGTTTGACCCCCGTGACCAAACCCTCAAAACCTTGAACGAATACCCTGCAGATGCAGAGTTCAACATGGAGGTGGTGGAGTTATGTTGTGGTCTTACTCTCAATAACGAATTGTACAGAAAGATTTGTAATGGATTAGTCCATCCAAATAACCACACCCAATTAGTCTCAAGAGAGCAGAACTTGACTTTTCTTAAAAGTAAGTCAATCAACCTTGGTATTAAGCCCCAAGCTACCAAAACCGTTCAATCCGCACAAAGAACCAGGTCAGCAATCATAAAGCCGTCCGAATCAAAAATGAAGTCTGTTCTCGACCTTTTAAAGACATCAAAAGTAAAGAAAGAAGAGATACGAGAGCCCCAAACTCCCGCAAGGGGAATTAAGAGAGTCATCTCCCTCATTTCCCCAACCTCCAAGAAGTTGGCTAGAATAAGTGGTGACCCTGCATCGCCAACCAAAAAGGCCAGCAAATTCTTTGGCAATAAAACTCCTCCATCACAAGACTTGCCTACCCCTGTATCTGGAAAGCAGACTGCGTGGGATTCTAGCATGGTGTCAGGTGATTCTGACTTTACAGAGGAATTCTCTTCACCTGTCGCTCACCGCATAACTCAAACCGTTATTGAAAATTTGACAGACAATGATGATGACGATATCGATGGTGCAGCCCAAAGAAATTTGTCAGTTGATTCAGTCGAAGACTCTGTTCCGAGGGAAACCACCGTTGCAAACCCCTCTAAGTTTATTGAGTTGGATGAAGAGTTTGGAATTGAGGATGATGAGATCGAGGAATCACCTCAGAAACCGGCCCCTAAGTCCGATAACCTATCCAAATTTTGCATTTCCTTGAGACAAAGTTATCTGTATCAAGAATCAGTGAAAGTGGAAACTACTAACATTTTTAGCAATACCTTGCTTCCCAAGCGAGCAAAACCAATGGAGAAACTACCTACTCCCACCAACTCTGACGAAATTCAAGAGGATGACTTTGAGATTAGCGAAGACGAGTCTCAGGCTGATCGCAAGCCCGTGCTCACTGCTGTGAATATCAACACGGACTCCAGAATATCCAAGATCGCCTCAAGTTACACCAAAAAGATAGAGGCTATGCCCACCGCACCCGCACGTCAGTCGGTCAATTTGAGACAATTTGCATTCAGAGGATAGTCATTGTCCCCCAGCATCTACATTCATTTCTCTATCATTTTATCATTATTAATTACCGCGAAGAATACACGCGCCTATAGCCAACCTCGTAAGCAGCTGCTGTAAGTGTTGCTCGTCCAACTTGGCATCGTTGAGCTTGTAGATCTTCTTGACCTTCGGGACATTGATCAAGCCCTCGAGCACCCGGTCGTTTATTTCCACTGCTTCGGCTCCCACAATCTTACGCAAATGCTTGTATACCTCTTCGAAGGGTTCGTCTGTCACCTTGATAGCGATCACATCGGGGCACTCTGGATCCACGCCAAAACGTCTCAAGGCGTCCATGATGTTATTAATGGGGGAGAGATTGAATATGATCTCGGTGTGCAACGTCTTGGCTCTCATGGTGCCATTCTTATGGTTGAGCACAGACTTGTACAAGCTGTGGTAGAGGTGCTCGAGCGAGATGACGTGGTTGGTGTTGAGGAAGCAGAAGTCGTAGTCCTTGTTGGCGGCGACCAACTCGGTCTTGATAGTGTTGAGGGTGTCTTCGGAAACTCCGGTGAAAAGCGACACAAACACAGGTGTTTCCGGAAATTGCGGGAGCTTGACTTCTTGGTACGTCATGGGAGTGTAGTGGTGTGGCTACTGGATGGAAATACCGCTGGAATAGGCTGTAGACGGCGGCAGTAGATGTTGGCTGGTGGAGTGGATGTCGCGATGGAGCCGGTGTCGCACCGGTGTCGCGCACCAGATCTTCTCCACGTGACGCGTACCATAATATGCTCCCACTACACGAACTCCACCACCATGTCCAATACAGACGACTCCGAGGCGCTCGAGCCGATAACCCAGCTCGACCAGTACCAGCTTACTCAGAAGATTTTCCAGGACGTGCAATTCCCGGACGAGACCTACCATTTGACCACCCGGTACCCCGAAGCACTCCTCCAAGAGTCCGCCAATGCAAACAAGTACTACGGGTCTTTCCAGCGTTACACCCACCAGTTCATCAACCAGAATACTCCTGGAGGCTTGGTGCGATGGTCTAACTCCTCCATAGAAAGCAATCAGAGGCAAATTGTCGGTTCCTGGCTCGGGGCAGATATCAAAGATTCCAAGATTCAACCCGCCAAGGGCCACCGTAAACCCACCAGTGCACCCAGTGGTTTGTTCACGTGGTCCTCGGGAGACTCGTACATCAAGGCCAGGAAGCTTGAGTTGCAGATAAAAAGAGGAGAATTGTTACAGGATACATCACAACCAGTGACTACTGCAGCCCAGGAGGAAGATCCACAAGGCAATCCTAGAAGCATTGTCAAGATAAACAGATCCAAGGAGTCCATATCCAACAAACTCAACAGGGTGGTGGAAATCGAAAGCAACAAGTTCATACATGCCAGAATCCAGGTGATAAAGGCCCACCACAGCGAGGAGATATCCAAGCAAATCCACGAGAGGAAACGCAGAGACCACGAGGTACATTTGCTGAAGTTGAAGTTGAAGGAAGAGGAGTACGAGAAAGAATTGAAGGCTGCCACCATCGAGCAAAATAAGCAAGGTGGGTTTTTCAACACCCTCTTTGGGTTCAATGCCGCCAACACCAACGGAGATGCGGCCCCGCCTGCGGCTGAAAACCTTCCATCCACTCCCACCAATGCAATTCCACCCAAGAGTTCCAAAGGCTCCAAGTCTAAGAGGTTTTCGTTCCTTCCCGGAACAAAATGGAGTAATGATGGCAAGAAGAAAGACAAAGACACCGACGGAGGAGTTGCGTCAGAGACGGATCATGAATCCAAGAAGCCTCCAGTGGATCGAGCTGAGGCAGAACAGGAACCACAGCCAGAGGAAGAAGATGACGACAGTGATTTCGAAGACTTCACTTCCTCTGAGCCCACTAGTAATCCAGTCACCTCTGATATTGCAACTCCAGAGCAACCACCAGCATCCTCCACCAGAGCAGAACAGTCACCTCCAGCCTCTAGAGTACCCCCTTCAAGCATACAGTTGCCCCAGGCCAAGCCTTCAACTCCAATCACTACAGGATTTCCACTTCACTCCCCTACACTTCCATTGACTCCCACAACAAAGGCTCGCCCACCAATAAGCAACCTATCTGTGCTGTCATCACATGCATTGTCACCTGCTCTGGCAGCCATGAACTCGGCGATCTTGACCCCCAAGGCCCTGAACCCATCAACTGCATCCACATCACACAAATTTATTCCGTTGTCCAAACCTTCCACCACGACATCTTCCAACCTGATAAATACTGATTTGATCGATATTTTTGGCCCCACGCTGTCTGCACCTCCAAAACCACCTCAGAAGTCCAATATCAGCCCACTAGCAACCGAAGACTTACTTGAGCTTTAAGGTATTGCCCTACATCACCTTCAGCAATAATATTCACTGCAAGGGAGTGCTTCTGCTATAGACTGAAGTAAGAAAATTCTGCGGCCAAATCAGGAGGTATGTTGAAGTGGTAGTATGTCATCCTAGGGAAATATTTCCACTGCTGGAGTCGTGGCTATTCTGGACAATGAGCCAGAATTCCAGATTGGAAAATCTACCTCCAACACAGTGCCCAAGTGCCCAATATTCTCAGCATCAATATATTTACTAATAAGCATTATCTTGATTTATCATCTCATGAGGCGCAGAGGAATAGATCTGAAATATTATTTGATTAGTCCTAACCTCTTCGCGACAGTAAACAACGATTCTTGCAATCGAGTGCCTCTCTTCTGTAGAATTCTCATATATAAGGAATGAATTCACCCTTTGGAGAAACCATCTTAATGTTCAATAGGGAAATTAATTTTGGCTCTTCCGCTGGTGTTAACCCCAGAATCTTTTTCATACCTACTACAACCATTAATCACTGTTCCAGCACATAATATTCCCTAATGAATGGAGAACAACAACCCCTACTATTGCTACAAACCAATCCAAGCTCAACTCTGGAGAACAACCTAACTACACTAATCAATTAATGCTACTCCGGAAGATACCGCACCCATCCTAATCATTAATGATACTCGCACCACCCTAAAGCCTGCGAAAATTCAACGGCAAATACCACCATTTTGCATTTACATTCTTCACCAAGAGCCCACCCATGCTATCAAGGCTAAACCTCAGAGGGGCCTCCCTTGCCAGAAGATATGTTTCCACCACCCAGTTTGCCAACCCCAGCATAGAGATGACCACTCTTGCCAACGGGTTGCGTATCGTCACCGACTCCACACCAGGCCATTTCTGCGCCATGGGAGCCTACGTGGACGCTGGCTCCAGATACGAAAGCCCCGGAAAGACTGGATTATCTCATATCTGCGATAGACTCGCATGGAAGTCCACCTCCAAGTATACCGGCTTGGAAATGATGGAAAACCTCGCCAAGCTCGGAGGAAACTACATGTGCTCGGCCCAGAGAGAAGCCATCATCTACCAGGCATCTGTTTTCAACAAGGATGCCGACAAAATGTTCGATGCCGCGGCTCAGACAGTCAGAAACCCCAAAATCACCGACCAGGAGTTGTTGGAGACTTTGCAAACCGCGGAGTACGAGGTGGGGGAAATATCCATGAAGCACGACATGTTCTTGCCAGAAGTGCTACATGCTGCTGCCTACAATAACAACACTTTGGGGTTGCCCTTGTACTGTCCTCCGGACCGCATTGGCCACATCACCAAGAAGGACATCACCAAGTACCACCAGGAGTTCTTCCAGCCTCAAAACGTCGTGATGGCCATGGTGGGTGTCACTCACGACCACGCATTGAAATTGGCCCAGGAGCACTTTGGCGACTGGAAATCAGTCACATCCACCAGACCAGACTTGGGCACCGTGAACTACACTGGTGGCGAAATCTCGTTGCCCTACCAGCCCCCATTGTATGGAAACTTGCCAGAATTGTACCATATGCAAATTGGATTCGAAACCTCTGGCCTCTTGCACGATGATCTCTACGCCCTTGCTACTCTCCAGAAGTTGCTTGGTGGTGGCTCCTCGTTCTCTGCTGGTGGCCCTGGTAAGGGAATGTTCTCCCGGTTGTATACTAGAGTCTTGAACCAGTACGCATTTGTGGAGAACTGCATGAGTTTCAACCATTCTTACGTGGACTCCGGATTATTTGGTGTGACCATTTCATGCTCTCCAAATGCTGCACACGTCATGTCACAAATCATTTGTTTCGAATTGTCCAAATTATTGGAAACCGACCCTTCCAAGGGTGGTCTTACCGAGAAGGAAGTAAAGAGAGCCAAGAACCAGTTGATCTCGTCCTTATTGATGAACATAGAGAGCAAGCTTGCTAAGTTGGAAGATTTGGGTAGACAAATCCAATGTCAAGGAAAGTTAACAACTATCGATGAAATGATAGCAAAGATTGAGAAATTGACGGTGTCAGACTTGAGAGCTGTTGCTGAGAAGGTATTGACCGGAAAGGTCCAGAATAAGGGTATCAGTTCCGGTAAGCCAAGTGTTGTCATGCAAGGTGATAGAGCTGCATTTGGAGATGTCGAATTTATTCTCCAACATTTTGGTTTAGGCAAATTTGAAGGGGAAAAGTTGAGTGAACCTAGAGATTTCTCTGAGCCAGAGAAGACAAAGAGATTCGGTTGGTTTTAATGTATATAGATAATAACTAGACCGAGTCCAGGGCTCAAGGCTCAAAAATGTACATAATGGTAGACTCTATGCTTACTGTTTTGCTCTACCGATCTACACCCGTTTCTGGCTCCAACAAGTCTGGCTCCAAGAAAAAAAAGTAATCAGATAAATGGTAACATTAAGTGTAGCTATATATTCAGAATTCTACCATACTTATAGTTCTAATACCCTAATTTACTCCTTAACTCCAAAACCTCCTTCTCCATGTTCAAGATATGTTCTCTCATTTCTAAATTCTCTCTTTGCGTAGTTTTGAGCATCAAGTCCTTCTCCAGATTCTCGTTATGAAGTATATCAATTGTGCTCTTAAAGTGATTGACCTTATTCTGGTAGTCAAAATTCTCATCGTTGTATTTCTTGATTAATTGGGAGTCATTATCAGCTCTAATTTGCAATTCTTTCGTGTTGCGCTCCAAAGTCTTGATTGACTTCGAGGCTTCATAGTTATCAAATTTGCATTCATCTAATTCTTTTGTCAAATCTCTAACCTTTGTCTCCCAGTATCTTAATTGCTCATTGCTGTACAATTTTTCTTCTAGCGTGTGAACCTTCGTACTCAATTCTTTGTTCACTCTCTTCAATGAATCATTCTCTTCATTGGTCACCAAAATCTCTTTTCTAAGTTTTTGGTAATCCTGGACTTCACTTGTACTTGAAATCTTAGATTGGTTGAGTTCAGACCTGATGTCATTAGATTCGGCTCTTTGATTTTCAAGGTGATCTTTCAATACCCTGTTTTCAAGTTTGAATTGTTCCAATTCACCTGTAGTATCTTCAAGCTTGTGATTGAGCTTAAGAACTTGTTCCTCTAAGTTATCCTTGGATTCCAAAAGTTGATCTCTTTGTGCTGTGATCTCATCCATGACTTGTTTCAACGAGGTAATTTGCTTAGTCAAGCTACCAATTTTTCTCTCGTTGATAACCTTATCGTTTTCAAGTTGTCTTGATTTTATTGTTAGATCATTAACCTTTACGTCTAATTCTTCTTCCTTGAGAAGAGTAGTTTCATAATCCCTTTGTAAGGTACCCTTTTCCCGCATTAAGTCTTCTAAATCTAGCTGAAGTTTCTTATTCTCCTTGACCAAACCAGTTTCAGTTTCCATTTTGAAATTGAGTTCTTTGTGCAAACCTCTAATCTCTTCTTTGTAATTTTCTGCAACTTCTTTATTATCATAATGTTTTGAGTTGTATGAGCTTCTATCGGAGAGATCTCTCAAGTTTTGTTTACATTTGTCTAATTCGAATGTCTTTTCTTGAATTCTTTCTTCCAATTTCTCCGATTCCTTTCTCAAATCTTTGAGCATGATTTGCGTGGTTCTAGATTCATCACGAGCCAATTTCAATTGATTTTTCACTTCTACCAATTCCCTTTGAGCTGCATCTTCATGCCTTTTGGAAATATTTACAGCAGCTTCTGCCAATTCCAATTTTTTGAAGTATTCATCTGATCTCTTTTTATAGAGTTCAATGCTACCACTAAGGTCTCTATTCTTACTGGATAAAGTATCATGTTTTACCTTCAATTGTGCTAGTTCATCCTCATAGTCTGAAACTGAAGTTCTGAATGACTGCCGTTTTGCTTCATACAATTCATCTTCTGACTCCCTTAACAAATGTTTGAGTCTAAGAATTTCACTTTTAGCAGTTGCCAATTCTTCTCTTGTTGATTTCAAGGTCTTTGTTATATCTTGATAAATATTCACAAACTCCTGGTTCGAGCCTGAGAACGATGTTGCAATAAAGCTGTTTCTTTTGAAGCTTTCACTTCTTGGCAAACCTCTAATTGCAGCTTCTGAATCAAAGTCTGGTGATAATACCTTTTCAAATCTTTGCTCCAATTCCCCAATTCTAATCTGAGATTCACGGTACTTGCTTTCATAATCAGTCGAGCTGTTGAGACCCCTCGTGGATTGCAATTTATTGAGTTTCTTCTGAAGTTCTATAGCATAATTTTCAGCTCGTTGTGAGCTTTGCTCTTCTTGTAGTAATTTATGCTTGAGAGTTTCAATTTCCTCGCGAAGTATATCGATTCCACCACTCAGATTGATACTCTCACCCATCGCAATCGACCTTCTGTTTTGCAGTGTATCAGACCTAATCGATCCATTGGACATTCTCTCTTTGAGCATTAAAAGTTCTTCAGATAACTTTCTGTTTTCAAACTTTTCTTTGCGCAAAGCAGCACTGTGTTCATTCAACTTGAGTTTAATATTGGCAAAATCTTCAACAAAAGAAGGTTCAGGTGGATAGTTCTCCTTTTCTATTTCCCTATCTTTCTGGGTGTTCTCCAATTCTTTCAATCTATTATTCAATAGAATAATTTTATCTGAATAATCGGACTTAGCCTTTGTGATGGTTTCACACTCCACTTTCAATTTTTCAAGCGAAGCCTTTATTGAAGTGTTTTCCTCTTTTGCAGAATTAAGATTTTTCTGAAGACTTTCGATCTCCTGCTGTCTTTGTAATTCTAGGATTTTCTTTTCTTTAATTTCGGCTTCTAATTGTTTTACTTGACCTATCTGGCCACGTAACCCATCTATTTCTTGGGTCAATTTTGCAACTTTGTCTTTGTTTTGCTTCACTTCTCTTGAATTCTGATCATGGTTAGAGTTTAATTCTCTGACTTTCATTTCGGATTCGGTTAATTGGCGCTTCAAGTCTGACATTTCATCTTCATGACGCTTAAAATTGGATCTGACTGATTTAATTTCTCTTTCTTTCAGTGTAATATTTGCAACATGAGTCCCAATTGTGGCCGTAAGTTCTTCGATCTGCTTGGATAATGATTCATTCTTGCTTGAAAATCCTTGACTAGTTGCTACATCTCTTTCCAATTGACTATTAGCATCTCTCAACTTTTTAGATTCAGACTCCATAGCGGACCTAGATGTTTCATGTTCGCGTTTTAATGAAGCAATCTGTTCGCTGTGGCCTTCCTTTTCCCTCTGTAACACCTCAATTTGGGCCTTTGTTGAAGCAACTTGTTCGATTGCTTCATCACGAGCAAGACGCAAAGCCGCCAACTCAGTGACCTTCTCCTCAAGACCTTTAGATGTTTTCGAAGATTCAAATTTTAATGCATCTAATTGCTCTTTGTAAGATTTATTCAATTTTTCAAGTTCGACCAATTTGGCCGCCAATTTCTTGATTTTCTCATTTGAAGTCTTCTCCTCTGTTTTGAGCTTTTCCAAAGAGTTATCCTTTTCCTTGATCAAGTTGGTAGTAGAGATAATTTCATCTTCTAACTTCTCAATCTGGTCCCTCAATTTGTTATTATCATTTTCAAGGTTTACCTTACTTTTCTCTGCATCCTTCAACTTGAGATTAACATTTTTGAGATTGTCATTCATCTCTTTAGAATCTAATACCTTGATAGATTCCTCCAACAATGGTTTAATATTTACGAACAAGTCTAACCAATGACTTGTGACCAATGACTCATCAACTTGCTTGATAGTTCTGGCAATTAATTGAGACGATTGAATTTCTTTGATTTTCTTTTCCATAGTTTTTCTTGCAGTAATTCCTCGAATCAAACTTTGCAAATCGGTGAAAATACTCTTCAAACTTAAATCTCTTAATTCTTCAAGTTTGCCTAAAATACCATTTTTGAAGAAAATCTTTGTGATACCGATCTTAAACGTATCCGGATCCAAGTTGATAAATTTTAAGATCAACTCACTGTTGGTTTTCATGTTTTTGGTGAATACTTCCTTGACATTGATGATGGCATATCTTTGATAGAAATCATCAAATGTCATCCTATTTGGATAACCAGCACGTGTAATACGAATACCTTCCAAAACACCATTACATCTTAATTGATGGAGGACTAAGGTCTTGTCGAACTTATTTGCTTTCTTCTCTAGGTTGGGCAAAATACACCGAACGAAGTGAGGTTCTGTTCTCTCTAGCTGCTCCATAAGATTTCCAAGCTGATCCTTATGCTTCTGAGAAGCTGTCTTCAATCTTGGTCCACCTCTCTTGTTGGATGGTTCAGCAATTAAATGCTCATCATTCTTGACCAATTCGACAACAAAGTCATTAGTCGAGGATGGTAACAATTTCAAAACATTTTCGTTGACAGGATCAGTATTCTTTTGTAACCAATTGTCAACATTATACTCCACTTTCCCTGCATAATGATGAATAATGAAACCACTTTTCAATTTATTCTCTTGAAATTTGGCAGATTTACCCTTGCCCCAATTGCTTGACAACTTCTCCATAAATGATTTATCGGACGATTTAGGAATGACACACTCTTCATCCAAAATCTTAAGTACACCCATTGGATTCTTTGTTTCTATCAAGTCAATTGTTGGTTGCAAATCTTGGCCGAAGTCAATGAATTCCCATTGGATATCCTCTCGTAAATATTCACTTTGTTCTAATATAAATGAATGATGGTTGAAAAATTGTTGAAGTTTCTCATTAGTATAATTAATGCACAACTGTTCGAAGGAATTGACATCAAAAATCTCAAAACCAGCTATATCCAAAACACCGATGAAATTGAGCAGATCGTTATCGCTGGATGAATCAATTTGTAAATTTTCATTGATCTTAGCAATGATGAACTGAAAAATCTTTTCGTAAAGATGTTTGGCAAAAGCATCAATGGCATATTTCACTTCTGACGGTCTTTTGGACTTCTGCACGTATTCTCTACCGGCCTTTACCTTTGGTCGTATTAAGTTGTTAACAAAATCCTGCTTCTCAATACCAAGCAATTTCACGATTACTTCAATTGGAGAATCATTTGTGAAGTTTGCCTGATCAGACTTCCAAGACGTAAAGTCCAAATTACCCAAATGCAAAATGACTGCCAATAACTTGAAGATGTTATTGATTTCTGGGGTAGAGAACCCCATTATGTTGAATGCTTCTACCAATATATTATATTCCTTCATGTCATCCACATGGGGGATATCGATTTTGGAATTGGAAAGATATTTGTAGGACGAAATATCTTTGCTGAGGTTCAAGTTCGATAACTGATCGGAACCCTTTAAGAATTGGTAGAAAACATGGTAGTTTCTCTCTTGGTCGGCTTGGCCCACTACTCGTGACTTTTCGAGTAAGTAGTAGTCGATGTTGGCACCATTGATAGCACCTTTGGGGGAGAAGAATATCCTGATGAATTTCCCGAATCTGGAGGAGTTGTTATTCTTGATGGTCTTGGCGTTTCCGAAACTTTCCAATATCGGATTTGCCTGAAGGATTTTTGTATCGATGTTGTGGGAGCTTGTGGGCAGGGGCAGAGGCAGGCCCAGCAAGAGAGGTGAACCTGTGGTGGATGCGGCAGAGTGGGGAGTGATAGATGACAAGTACTGGATGATTTTCTTTGTGTTTTCGGTCTTTCCCGCACCACTCTCACCCGTGACCAAGATGGACTGGTCCTTTCTGTTGGAAAGAAGGTTTCTGTAGGTGCCTTCGGCAGTAGCGAAGATATGGGGAGGCGGCTTGTCGAAGTCGTGGGAGTGGTGCTTCTTGAGCACCTTTGTGTCATAGATGGGTAACGACTTGTAGGGGTTGATGGCCACCAAAAAGAGCCCCGAGTAGGTGTAGATCATGTCGTCGTTGTACCTCAAGTAGAGGTTGTACACCACCAGCGGCTCGTTCAAGTGGGTCAACTCGGCCATGTCATCACACTTGTTGAACTTGGCAGGATTGCAGTTCTCCAATTGGTTCTGGGGGACCACCTGGTGCGTTTCCAGGTTGCCGTTGACCACGGTGACTTTACATGTGCCGTCGTTGTTGTAGTCGGTGATGTAGCCTTTGGTAAAGAAGTTGTGGGAGTCGGGGACCCACACCCAGTTCTTGGAGTTGAAGCCGTCGTCCTCAGTCGACATGGTTGTAGGCGGTGGAGGCTAGGGTCGATGTGTTTTCTGGTAGACGCTATCGTGTCGTAGATTCCTTAACAAAACAGACTGGCAACGGAGTGTCAGGTGACCAGATCGGTGTTTACATTCGCGTCGCGGGAGACGGAGGGGTGAGGTGGAATACGACAGAGTTAAAAGTATAACACGAGAGTGGTACAACAGTGCTACGACAGTGGTACCAAGTGGTACTACCGTAGCAGGTGTGCTGTAGAACAGCCCTTGCGGTGGTGGCGCCTTTTGTCTCGCTACAATGGCCCTTTTGACGGGTAGCCCCTACGGAGTAGTCCACGGGTTCCGCTCCTGCAGACACCACCGAATTACACGCAGGTACATTGATCTAGATATTGTTGCATCAGACAGGCTGGAATTGGTTATTGTTGCAGAAGGTGTGAGTAGGGTCTGGAATTGGTCAGTGGCGCCGATTGTGAAATCAAAGGTAAACTTTCATGATTGACAAGTGGAATAAATAGAAGATGGAATTCTGCCAAACGTAAACTTTTTGATTAAAGATAAGTTGTTAAAATTAGAGGCATGGAATTTTAACTTTTTAATGGGGACAAGAGGTAAAAGCTAGATAGAACTTGTAATTTTAAATCCCTTTTCGGCTCTTAATGTAGAATGGCTCTCCTACTGGCCACTTTAGGCACAATAATTTGTGCTCCCGTGGAATAGACTGGTTTCATCGGAAATTGTTTAATTAAAACTGGATCTGGTGGCTGTGGCTAGAATGGACGTCTAAGCTCACTGCTAGATGTCAGTTTGATTTTAATCCCTGAATTTACATGAAAATTTACAGGCATAGTTAAGTATCCATAATTCCAGTATCGATCAATGCGCTAAGGTCCTCGGACCGAGCAGTAACCGCAATCTTTTCAAAATTACTCCAGCAATTCACTTGATTCTCGGAAATCTACAATCTTCTCTCGGAGCATCTACAATGATTCTTAACCTCCTTTCATTAATACATAACCCAACGCGAAGAACTGAAAAAGTGCCGTAGCACATGCAAATACATCTCATCATACATGCATTACTGGCGACGGCCAGGCAGTAGACTCCGAAGTTCCGCTACTATTGGCATTCAAAGGCGAGAACTCGGTACTACTGTTTGCTGTACTTGTCAAACGATGAGGGGGTGGGGGTGGAAGAGCATGATTATGCTTAGCGATATTGCTATTGTAGGAAGCAGTGTAGTTGGATGGTTTACCCTTCGATATTCTTCTCTTGCTGTTGCGCACAATGCTGGATGTTGCGCTGGAAACTGACGCAAGAGAATTGGAATGCACGGGCGTAACACATACCGAGCTGCTTCTCTTATTAGAAAATACTGAATATTGGGAGGTGGCTGAAGGGGGCGTGATAGGAGGCATTCCGTTTTCGTAAAGATTTAAATTTAGGATGGATGTGGAGTGAAATGGATGGACGGGTGTGGTATTAGGAGACCCGGCCGACGAAGAACAAGGTGACGAAGATGTGGACGAAGATGTGGACGAGCGACGTTGCTGGCCGCGCAAGTCCATTTGGACCTCGGATTGGGGAAACTGGAGCAAGATCTCCGAAAGCTGGACGAGTTTGGGGTCCAATACCTCCTGGTCCATCACCGACTGCTGGCTCTCATATACCGAGGAGATGACGTAGGTGAATCTTTGGTGGAAGTTATTGATCACCTGAATCACCCCCAAGTTTTCGTATTTCTTGGAGAGCACTTCGGTGGTTTTGCTGAACTGGATGATAAACACCAATGCGATTTTCTTGATTTGTTGGAGCGCGTTTTCATCGAGGCCGCTGAGGAATGCACCGTGGACTTCTGGCTGTCTGTTTTCCTCTTCATCAGACGCGATGTCGGTGAAGTCACTGTCGTGGACCGAGCCGGAGTCGTCGTACATGTCGTCTTCAGCGGGAGGAGGCGGTTTCTTGTGGAGGGTTCTTCTCATCAAGTCGCGCAAGCTTTCGGAGGCATTGGGGATCTGGAGCATGGAGCATGCCAACAAGTTGGCGGTGATGGACACCAAGGACGTGGGCATCGACAAGAAGAACTTGTCGTAGAGCGACAACTCGCAGAGAAAGCGTCCCACCACGGTGATGGCCGACAACGACGAGTTGGGCGAGCCAGGCCCTCCCGCCACTGACTTGTTGTATTTACAGGGGGTGGTGGTAGCAGCGAGGTTGGAGTGGGAAATGGCCAACTGGAGGCAATCTTCCAAGTTGGGATGCGAGAGCGACCACTCGAGGGTGCTCAAGATGTGCATTTCCATCTGGATGAACATCTCCTCGTCGTAGGCGCTTCTGCACATGATGGTCAACTCCTTCAAGGTGGGCACCCTCAGCTTCTTGTCCTCGTACTTGGCGGCGATCCAGAGTGCGGTGCACCCCACCAACTGGTAGTGGCGCTTGAACACTATACGCTTGGCGCAGTAGCGGTCGATCACGTTCAAGCAGAGAAAAAGCGTCTGGGGCTGGAGCTTGAACGACGAATGCAACTCGATCAAGAAGTCGAGCAAGAACGGTCTCATGAACCACTGGATTTCGGGCTGGAGGTCGATCATGGCGGGGTTGACCTGGCTGACGGCCTCAAGCCGTGCCAATGCCAAAGTGATGTCGTGGGTATATTCACTGGTGAGTTTTTTGTTGGCCTGGGCTTCAAGAAGCTCAAGCATAATGCTGTAGGGCTTGGGCCTCACAGGAGGGGGCCCGTACTTCTTGTGGGCGAGCATGGCTTCAAAGGATAAGGAAGGAAGGAATGAACGAACGAATGGAGGAAGCGGGACTCAAACACTGTTTTTGCAAACCGAGGGGCCTAAATTGGTTTTATAGCATGGCCCTGATGAGTGTCTGGCTTTCTTTTTCTACAGGAGCGCTACGCGTCGTGGACGCGGCTTGCAGCCGTCGCGGAACCTCAGTTGCGCCAGCGGCCTGTGCAGGCGCCCACTACTTTAGTGCGATTGCACTTACACGAGAAAGTACGACACGGACACAATTGGGCCACTGGCTGGGTGTGCTGCAAACCAGCGCGACCGCGCCGAAGGAGCGCGGTCGCGGGGGGGATTTGCCGGAGGGGTGGGAGAAGTGGTGGTGGGAGTGGTGGTGGTGGTGGTGATACTGGCAGTGGTGGTGATGGTGGTGGTGTGCTACTGGTGGTGGTGGGCTGGTTCTGTTGAGAGAAGCTTCGGTGTTCTGGTGCATTCACGTTGTCACACCGACCCCCTTTCTGGCTTTGTCTGACACACGATTGTCTGCGACAATACCACCGCCAGTTCCTTGCAGCCGCATGGCAGTTTTTCCATTTGGGGACGCGAAAGCTATTTCTAGGGAGGTTGGCCGCGGGCTGTTCCCAAACCAGCGGCAATGTGGACGCGGGCGAGGACTCGAGTCACGTGCCCGTCCCAAACGGGCCTGCCGTGGCCCAGAAGCATCCGCAGCCTCCTGGCACAATACAACACGCAACGCTCTGGGCCGATTGTTGGCTTGACGTGGTGCTGCTGAAGTCCGCCCCATTGACACCAATGGAGAATGTCGCAGCCACCACCAGCCCTTGGCTCCGTCAACCTCCCTTGGCTCCGTCAACCTCCCTTGGCACTCTTCCCCTGGCCTTTGGCACCTCCTCCCTGGCCCCTCTTGCTACCACTCCCCCACGCTCGGCGCACACCCCCTGTAGCTCCTGGCGGAGAATCCCCGGACTCCTGCCGCCTGCACCGCACCGACCCCTTCGTCCTTACAACCGCCTTTGGCAGGTTTCGCTACATGCGTGTCATCTTTACACCTGTACCCCGGTTATATCCAGTACATTATCTATATATACGAGTAGGCGGCACGGTATGGAATGGTATGCACGCTATGCACTGCTTCCCCATAGCATTCTCCACTATGCTCTCACTTGCAATTTACCTTCACTTTACCTTTCTGGCGTTGCACCTTCTCTCCTAATACGCACCTCTGCCCCTTCCGCCCTCTTGCGAGTCCTCGTTCTTGATGGTCTCGTCCACCGACAACAACAAGTTGGCAGCCTCGGTGGCCGACTCCAATGCATTAATCTTCACCAACGCAGGCTCCCAGATGAAGCTGGCCATGTTGTTGCCCACATTTTCTCTCTGGAAGTCGATCCCGTACCATATCTCGCCCTTGGCGTGCGCACTTCTCAACTTGTTCAACAACTCAATGCCATCCAATCCGGCATTTTCACACAACTGTCTGGGAATCACCTCGAGCGCCTTGGCGTACCCGTTGATGATTAACTGCTGCTTGCCAGCAACGGTACGTGCATAGTCTCTCAAGTACTTGGACAATTCCATCTCGATGGCTCCTCCTCCAGCAACGACGCTGTTGTGGCTGACTGCTCTCTTGACAATCATGATGGCATCATGCAACGATCTCTCTACCTCGGCTATGACCTGCTCGGCTCCTCCTCTCAACACCAAAGTACATGTCTTGGCCTCGGGACACCCCTTGAAGAAGTTATATCTTTGAGACCCGATCTGCACTTCTTCGAAGTTGGCACATGTACCCAAGTCGTCAGAAGTGATGCCTGAACACGTAGACAAAATCCGTCCGCCAACGGCCTTGAGCACTCTGTCCATGTCCTCGCTGGCCACTCTACCAGCACAGAAGATGTTTCTATCAGCAAAGAACTGGGTGGCCAAATCACCAATAGGCAACTTGGACAACACTATGTTGGCACCAGTAGCAGCAATGGCTTCCAACTTGTTGAAAATGATTTTCCATTCGGCATCGACCACGTCCTGGTAATCCTGGACTTGTTCCACACGAACCTCGGCGTTATCTCTTTCAGCCTTCAATTCCAACTCCACGTTCAAACTGACGATTTTGGGGTCGGTGAATCTCTTGGGCTGTTGCTCAAACCCAGCGTAGGAGAAGGTCTTCTCAAATGCAACACCATCCACAAAGATGGAGTCTTCCATGGCACCACCTGGAACTTTCTTGATACCGATTAAGTTCTCGTCCAAATCGTTTTGATCCAAACTCAACACGGCATTAACCACCATCTGGGTGAAAAATTCGGAGTTCTTACTGATAAGCTTGGAAGACATAGCGGTGGTAGCACAGCGCTCCAATAATTGACGGAATTCTGCCGGATCATCTTTTTTAACTTCGACGGCCAACTCTTTGATCTTTGCCACTGCCAATTCGTTGGCTTTTCTTAAACCACGAGTGATGAAATGGGAAGAAATACCATCCTCGATAAAGGTCTTAGCTTCCTTTAACAACTCACCAGCCAAAATGGTGACAGACGTAGTACCGTCACCAACTTCGGCGTCTTGGGCTCTGGATATATCCACCAACATCTTGGCGGCAGGGTGTACGATGTCCAACAACTTCAAGATGGTGGCACCGTCGTTGGAAATGGTGGTCTTACCGTTGGAGCTGACAATCAAAATATCGGAACCAAAAGGTCCCAAGGTAGGCTTCAAGGTATCCTGGATTGCCAAACAGGCGTTGATATTATTCAAAATTTGACCCTTACCTTGGGAGGCATCGGTGCCTTCTTTCAACACAACAATCGTTGGAGTTTGCGATGAGAACGCCATATTGAATCACGAAAAGCTGTGGATTGTGGTGGGTGAAGAGGTAGTGATGGTGAAGAATTGTCGCCATTATGAGACTGGATATGGAGGATTTGGCGGTGCGCGCACGTCTTTTCAGTGAATTTTTTTGACGCCATTTCTGAGCCTACCACCACTACTCCATCACCATGTTCGGCACCAAGTTAGAAACCACCGCCTCTGTGGTGAAGACCTTCACCAGAAACATCTCTGGTAAGGGACACGTGCATTTGTCCAACAGAAGAGTCATGAGAAAAATCGAAATGGGCAAGGCCCGTCCTGCCATCTTCTACCAGTTCGACACCTTGGTGGAGCTTAGTGACGGCTCTGTCATAAGAAGAAGGTCGCAGGCGCCCAAGGACGAAATCAGAATGATCACCGACCAAAGAAATAGTGAATTGTGGAATCCTAACCGTTCTGACTTGTTCACTGGTGACTTATCCACCGGAAAGATCAGTAAGTTCAAGCAAAGATTCGCTGCATTTGAAACCGAGCCTGAAACCATACCGAAGGAGGAAGTCAAGAGTGACGAACCTAGAGCTAAGAAGGTGGATGACTTGATCGAGATGATGGGTCACAACGCCCAAGAGATCAAGGGTGGTGTATTATACGACAAGAAGAAGAACAGAAGAAGATAGAGTGGGTATTCCTGTGACGATACGGTATACATGTTACCCTTCATGAGTAAATTCTGGGTCTCGTCTGGTTCATCATTCATGAACTTGTTGGCATATGAGTTAATCGTCACTTGTTAGCATTCGATTAACAATACGGTTTTTCTTTCATGACAAGTTCTGGACCTCGTCTAGCACCAGATATAGCTAGCTTCGTCCTCCTGTATATATGTATAGCTATCTATAAATTTCCTAATGTAAACCCTGTATGCTTAGTTCCTCCATGAACTACTCAACTTTTGTCTTATAGTGACGCGATGCTTCACTAGAATACTTTGCAATGCTCAGCTATTTTGCTAGCAAACCAGGTGGTTAGTTATTCCAATGAAAAACTTCCAAGTTTCTAATTCAGAAATGGAAACTATTGTTTTCGGTTCTGAATGATTTAAAATGTGAGAATCTTACGAGCCTTTTCGACTACTGTTCGTTGACTTCTTTGGAGATCATCTTGCTGATTTCTTGCACAGAGGCTCCCAAAAATCTCATCTCCTCAATACTCCACTTGATAGTATCAATATCCGACTCCTTGATCGACTGCCTGGCAATAATGTCCAAGCACTTTCTTCGGCCCCCAGTAGAAAGAACCATGAACCGTTTAAATTTGTTTGGAATTCCATACTTCTCGAAATTGAACATCTTGCTGTACTTGTCTGACTGAAATGCATTTGACTTCCCATCTAGGGAATTGATTCGAAGATACATCTTTTTTCCAGCACGGGTACTAATAAACGTGGTCAAGTAGTCAACTATTGATACAGTGAGGGACTCTAATGCAACATCGTCTGCCGAAAGCTTCAAAAACTTGATGTATAACTCATTGAAAAATGGTCCATAATCTTCAATATTATCTGTTCTGAGTATCTCGTTGAAGATTCGAGTGTATGCCAGTTTGGAAACACTTATATCAGTATTTCTGACCATGGTAAGACATTGGTCCATATTATCTTCTTGCTGCAATAATTTATCTATAATGTAGTAAAACTCGTGGTGAGACAACCCGTTCTTTGACTTGAAAATAATGCCAAGAATTCGTTCTGCTGCTCCTTCATTATTCTGATGCATGAATGCCTTGAATAAAGACGAATATACCAGCCTGGGTAAGGGGGTGGCAAGCTTTGGAATCAACTTGTTGAATTCAGATTGGAAGCCAGGCCTGGTTCCATAAAACTCAACCAATATTTGTAGTATATCCTGGTTAGCTTCTCTTAAATGCAATGGTATGGAGTTAATCACCCTGAGCATGGTTTCGCTATCTGTCAACTTCTCGAAAAATACCCGGAGAGCAGGAAGACAAACTTCGGTGACTATAATGTGGTCAAACCAAATGGATAAAGCTGTTTCAGAAAGTCCACATTCGAGATTCACCAAGATGTAGTTCAAGAGCATTTTCTGTGCTTCCTGTGACTCTTTTTCCAAAACCGCAGAACGTTCCAATCTCCCAAGAAGCTCGTTGGCAAAGAAGATGGATTTGGGATTTTCTATGAAGTACTCAAGTAATTTTGGGGCTAGAGAGGAGTCGATTATGGTGGTCCCATATTCGTCCAATAGTTTCAAGATGGTGTAGACATTGTATGAGTGGTAGACGTCCTTATCTATCATTAATGAGGTAATTACTTGGCGAACGGTCTCGGCGCTGATGGTGATTCCATGCTGGGAGAACTGCAACAAGTATGAGCTGCTGACCATTGGTTCACCCGATGTTGTGGAGAGCCTCACCAAGATGTCGCTGAGAGTGATCTGTAACTTGATGGCGTCAAGTTTGGTTTTTTGAGAGATGATGAAATCCAAGTCGGTCACGATTGGAGCAGAAAGTATGTCCAGCTTTTGCATTTCTTGGAGCACGGCCACCACGATATGCAGCTTGCCAGCCAATAGTAAGGTGCAGATGTCATTGAGGATAAGCACTCGTATGGAGCTGGAGTGGTGATAATGGTGGAACAAGAATGAGATCATACCCTTGTTGATTCTGGGATACTGCATGAGATCCTGCAAAAAGGTGGATGGAGACTTTTCGTAGAACTCGTAACATTTCAATGCTGACCACGAGAATTTGTTTTTGCTTCCTAGCATCTGGTATGCTTGGGATAGCCTCTCGAATGAATGAGTGTCGAGCTCTGCCTTGGTATCATCGATGACGGGTATTGGTTGATGTGATAGTTTGACTTTTCTGGGAAGGGCCTTCGTGTTGAGGTGACGTAGAGACGGCTTCGGCCAGTGCCGTATACGGGATGGGATGTTAAATCGAATCATGGTGTTTGAATTGTAGATGAGAAAAATTTAAGTATGAGACTGTACCGGGTCCGCGATGTTAGAATCGTGCGAGTGTGCGTGGAGGTTGAATTAAAATAAGTGGTCACTGAAGCATGTCTAGAAGGCACAGGTTCTAGTCTCGGGTAGTTAAAGATACCAGAAAGCTGTGAATTTGGAAGTTTGGCTTTTCCCGGTTTTTTTATCTAGCAGGGCTATAATTTGATGGGTGCAAAATAGACGGACTTAGTGTAACAAAAAGTGAGGTCAAATCACTAAATGATCGTAAAGCTTTGTTTTAAATTAGAGCAGAATAGATAACTGGACATTTCTTCAAATAGGTGAACAAGTGATAATATGAATTATAATTTACGGGGTTAGTAGGTTTTCCCATCGTTTTGACAAAATTTTGGAATTCTCAACTTGATTTGGAAGAATACCACCGCCCTAAAAGTAGCGAACCAGACATTTAATTTGGGTCAAACAATACTTTCTATCACCACCTACATCTTAATTTAAATGCTAAGGTTGTATATATTGCAGATATTCAATACATATTTACAGTTCTTGAAGCTTAAACAATAGTGCAATCTCCCAAGCCGAAACCATACATGACCTTCTCAACGTGTTTTCTGATTTGTGGCCAATCTTGTCTCCTTTGAACAAATTCGTAGATTTCTTCTTGTCCAAATATACCATTAAATTTGGACAAATCGCTAACAAGCTTTCCAATGGCCTTTGAGTCAGTTCCACCAATCAAGTAGATGTTTCCGACTTTCTTCAACGATTGGTACAACGGCAAAACCATTCTTTTGTTCGATTTGATGTGGGCCACCATGAAATCATAGTACAAATTAAGATCGGAAATCAAATTGGTCGCACCTGTCACTGAAATAGTGTTGTTCTTCATAGTTTTAACGATGATTTGGAAAAATCTCTCTGCAATTTCCTGTTGGAAAACTTCAACTATCGATTTGTCAGCGCTGTCTACTAACAAGTCAATATTATCGTCCAAAATCTTGACAGCCTTTTTCGCAGCTTCAGTAGGCCCTATTGACAATGCAGTATTTGGAGCAGCATTGTAATCAGCGTCCACAGAGTTAGTTTTGTAAACATGATCGATTTCATTGACTAAGACTTCAATACCGACATTGAGTCCGTCAGCCACATACTTATCGACTAAGGCTTCAAGCTTCTTCTTGTTCTGCAAGGAGGTATTGAAAATAGAGTTTTCATGCTTAAAGATGTTTCTATTGATCAATTCTTCTTTGTAGAATATATCTATCATTTGAATAATTAAGTCTGCCATGTTGATTAATTCGAAAAACAACCCAATTGGCTCGTTGAAAGACTCATTATGTGATTCGGTGTACGTTGGAGATGCTGGATTATAGGTCTGTAAATATTGCAATGCTCTTTCAAAACCTGGTCTGATGTGTTCACTTCCAATTGTATCAAGTACGTGTACGAAAATGCCTTGCATGCTTGTGAAAATTTCATCCTTCAATGCTGCAATGGTAAATGATTTGAAACGGTAGAGTCTTTGAAGGGAGGTTCTTGCTTCATTGAGGGTTTCCAATACCAAGCTAGGACTCAATGTCTTGTTCAAAGATTTGATGTTTTCAGATAAAATTTGGGCTTTGGCTTGTATCTCTGAATAATTCTTTTCGTCAGTTGCCTCAGAATTCTTTCCAGAAGAATTATTGGTATTGACTGTGAACACTTTTTTGAAACTTGTCAAGAAATCATTTTTGGTTTCCACTTTAACATGCTTGAGGATATTTTGGGTTGTTTCTGCTTCTCTTTTGGATATGTCTTCTTTCCATTCAAGAATATGGGCTTTGGAATTGGCTTGGAAGAAAACTGCCTCTTCCCTCATGTGTTCTACCACAAATGATTCATACAGCATGTCGAATAACTCCGTTACCAATTGGTGATAGCTCTCACCCACATTTTCATTGGGCTTCAACAAAGCAATAAAGTCTTCGGTCATGAGTTGATAAATCGTTGGAACTACCGTCAAGTATAAATTCTTCAGTTTTGAGGCGTCGATAAGAATCATGAGTAATTCCTTGACTTGGTTGGAGATCAACTCCTCACAAACCTTGTACATCATAGGGACAGATTGAGGGAATATGAGGTCGATCACCTGCGCCTGTTGATTGAAAATCGCAGCTAGATCTGCTATTAATCGTTTGAATTCTGGTTCGTTAAGCTCGTACTCACGATCTTCTTCAGAAACCGGGCTATCGTCTAACTGAATCTTTTCGATCCCATCTTCAACATGGGATTCTTTCCAACCTACTGGCTCGAAGAATTTGGAGGCATCGAAGGTTTCGGGATTGAACAATTCGCTTTCTTCGTTGTCGAATATGCTCTTTTGAAGGAAGAAGTCGATGAGGGTCTGTTGGTTCTTTAGATCGATCAAAATCTTGACAAACCGCTTAGTGACTTCGTAGTCTTGGATGTCGAAGTGGATTTCCAACTCACGGAGCAAGGCGTTCTCGAAGATCTCAAACAAGGCGTTGATCTTGTCGCGTATGACTTCTCTAGAGTCGTCGATGTAGTCGATTTTGTTGTACATGATGAGGTTGTTCAAGATCTTGGCCTGGTCTTCGGGGGTGGTGAAGTCTTTGAAGATCTTGAGCTGATCGTACGATTTGTTTCCGAGCAAGTCGACGTAGTAGGGGTAGAGGCTCTTATGGATCTTGAGGAGCTGGAACTGGGCCAACTTGGGGATCTTGACCACGCTGTTGACACAGATGAGGGGGTTTTCAAGGTCGTGGATCTCCCCTGGCGTCAATGGACGTCCGTGCCCGTCCCTGGGCACTTGGGCCGTCTGCCACACCTTCATGGCCCGGAGACGGGCCACCCACACCTCGGGATCACTCACAGTCCGGTAGGTGTTACGCGACACCTGCCCAAAGCTCAAGAGGTCCTGGATGGGGAGAAACCCGGCAATGGCTTTGGCCACCAGCACCGGGATCACGTCGGGATTGTAGACGTCGATGTCTGTGTTCCAGATCACTTGTGCCATCGATGGTGACGCTAGCTCCACACAGTGAATGTATCGGTTATGGTCGAGTGCACGCAGCGACTTTCACTATCACCATTTGTCGCACCGCACGATGAGTGAATGCTCACTACCAGAATAGCGAGGCCCAGAGAACTTCCCATTACCACACCAGAACAACTTAGATGTGCAATGTATAGACTATGGCGGTACTCCTGGGGACGATCCTCCCGAATACGTGCCCCCATGCTCGGCAACACTGCTGGGCGCTTGAGGCAGGCGGTGGCCATGTCCACCCGCCAACAGCCACCCACCACAGGCTTGCAGGGCATCGCCGGCTTCTTGAAGAACTTGATTGTGAAAGAGTCGCAGGCGTTGTCAGAGTCCATCAACCGCAACTTGGACTCGTTGGACGAAGACACTCACACTGCGGACCTCGAACCCAACTTGAAAAACGACCTTGCCAAGATCTTGGACACCAACCACAAGCTCTTCATCATGTTGACGTACAGCCCGCTCCTCATCAACCCCGAGAGCTACCTCGCGCTCTACGAGCAGTTGGAAAACCCGCTCGACAACGCCCTGAAGACCCTCCTCATCAGAAGACTCTTGTTCCACAGACAGTACGAAAAGTGCTGGAAAATCTGCTTGGAGACCTACACATCGCTCACCGACCTCGAGGACTTCTTGGACGTGGCCTTCCAGGCGTTTGAGGAAAACGACAACCTTGCATTTGGCCTACTCGAGTTGCTCATAGCTTCCCAGACCGAAGAAATCAACCCGGGGTTCAGAAACCACATCGTGGACATCTGTAGCTTGAAGTACAAGATCAGCAAAGAATGGATCCAGCTGAACTTGTCCTTGTGGCTTGAGCTCGATAACCTCCAGAACATCGAGGACTTTTCTGCGTTCAAGGCCTCATATAACATCAACGACAGGAACTCCCAGATGCTATACCTCAAGAAATTGTTCGAAACCATTCAGCATAACTCACCAAACCAACAAGAAATCGCACACTTGATACAGGAACATGGGGATATCACGAAGTATCCGGGCTGGCTTTCTGTGGTGGGTCCACAATTTGCACATTCATCTAATTTTCCGTTCCTGAAGGAATGGAAAACTCCCATGATAGCTACAGCATTATCTAAGTACGTGGAAACCCTTGCAGACTCCACCAATTTGAATGCAAATGATGTGGTATACCTCATTAGGTCCAACCCCAATTTTGATGCCTACCAAACCTACCAGGCATACCATAAGAATGGCAAAAAATCCAACAAGTACATCATCAACTATCTCTTGTCTAAATTGAATGAGGCTGGAACCATTGAACAGATCAACTCCGTACTTGCGGAACATTTCCAAGTACTCGACGACTCACCTTTAATTAAATCAATAAGCCGTGTATACGTCGAGTCACACCAAAACTTTGCATCGTGTTTCAAGCAATTGAACTCATTACCACAAGATAGGAAGGAAAAACTCATTCCTGAATTTCTTGACTTAGCATTTTCATCACCCATCCCAATTCATGATGTCCACAAATTAATTAAACAATTGCATTTCTCATACAACCCAAAAGGAATCAGGAATGTGCTACGCAAAGTAGCCAACGGAGAATACCCAAGAGACGAACAACTTCATTTTTACCGCTTGTTAGCATCTGATGATCAATTACTTTCCAAGCAAATGGTGCTAGAATTGTTCAGATCGATGCTATTGCGATCCAATATATACGAACACACGTTGATCGGAGATATGTTTGAAAAGCTCTTAGAACTTACGCTTCGTAAAGAGGTTATTTTGGCGAGAAGCGAAGGATCCAATCAGAAGTTCCACCATGACATTCAAAAATTACTTTTCTTTGCTACTTCCAAGGAAAAGGCAGATTTCCATAATGCTCTTCGAGCTTTTGGCCAAACCATTTCACTAATGGAAGCCAAGAATATTGCTACGGTGATCTACAGTATCAACGAACGATTCCAAAGCGGTCAATTTACGTTCGTGACTTCCGTATATGGTAAAGATTACATAATGAATAATTTAATGTTGGAAGTCATGAGGTTTGTTGAACGCTCTGGAGATTCCACTTCGGGGATATTGAAAATGAGGGACATAATTTCGACGTTGAATGATTCCAATTCTCAGAAGGAAGCACTTGCCACAGCGCAGTCATCATTATTTAAATTAATGATCAAAGATGATCCCACAAAGGCAGTGAAACTTCTACAACTTTATCAAACCACAAAAGCAAAGCTATCGGGGAAAATTACTTTTATGATCCTTGGAATTTTGACTTCACCGAAGTTGGATATCAATCAGAAGATACAGTTTTTCAAATCATTCTTAGATAAATTGAAAGAATATGGATACAATTATAGAATTAGACAAGTTATTATTCATCAAGTGATGAAGGTTTTAAGAGATGACAAGTTAAAACTTTCACACGATTCAAAAATCTGGTTGTTTGGGATACTTCAAGAAGTTAAAGGAACCAAACGGGTAGTTGAAAAACTGATCAAGCAAAAGAGAAAGGCCCAAAATTCAAGGGCAAGTAATTAGGGAACAATCATAGAATACTGTATATATTGTAATATAGAGCAACAAAGGATTTTGCACTTTCTGCCTTATAGTTATCCGTATATTCGCTAAACCAGGCTATTTATTGTAAACAGTAAATGCCATAAAGTCGAAAAGCACAAAGTTCAAAGTCGTGCGCAAATCAATCATAATGGGTCAAAACTCAGCAGCCTTTTTTGGGCAACTTGTGCATCCGAAGGCAGGTGATTCAATCGAAAGAAACAAAGAAATGAGTACAAGGGCTTATGGAGTTACAGACCCCATATCTACAGCAAATCCTACTCCGAAGGAAAATTTGTTGAATGATTCCCTTATTTCAGAACTCAAGAATCGAGGTTCTTTTGAGAGTGAACAAGCAACAAAGAAAAGGGTTGAAGTTCTTTCACTCTTCCAAAAGATGGTCCAAGAATTCGTATACATAGCATCGAAGAATAAGAATATGTCAGATGGTATGGCACGGGATGCCGGTGGAAAAGTGTTTACATTCGGTTCATATAGGTTAGGCGTCTATGGCCCTGGTTCGGATATAGATACTCTTGTTGTTGTTCCGAAGCATATCACTAGGGAAGACTTCTTCAATGTATTTGAGCAAATAATCCGTAAAAGACCGGAGTTAGAAGAAATTGCCGCAGTTCCTGATGCATACGTTCCAATTATCAAAATCGAGTTTGACGGGATATCGATCGATTTGATTCAGGCGACCCTAAATGTGCCCAGAATTCCTATTGACATGACACTTGATGATAAGAATCTTTTGAAAAATATTGATGAGAAAGACTTAAGATCTTTGAATGGTACAAGGGTCACCGATGAAATCTTACAATTGGTTCCAAAACCAACAGTCTTCAAGCATGCCTTACGTTGTATAAAAATGTGGGCACAACAAAGAGCTGTTTACGGGAATATCTTTGGGTTTCCAGGTGGTGTTGCATGGGCAATGCTAGTTGCAAGAATTTGCCAATTGTATCCCAATGCAGTTAGTGCTGTTATTGTTGAGAAATTTTTCAATATTTACACTAAATGGAATTGGCCACAACCGGTATTGTTGAAGCCAATAGAAGATGGTCCATTGCAGGTGAGAGTATGGAACCCAAGACTTTATCCACATGACCGACAACACAGAATGCCCGTAATCACACCTGCATATCCTTCAATGTGTGCCACTCACAATATCACTAGCTCAACTCAAAAGTTTATCTTGTCAGAGCTTGAGAGAGGGTCTGAAATGATGACACAAATTGGTTTGGGTAAGAAAAGCTGGGGTGATCTTTTTGAAAGACATGACTTTTTCTATCGTTACAAATTTTATTTATGCATTGTTGTGGCGACCGTTTCCACCGATGAAGAACATTTGAAGTGGAGTGGCTTTGTCGAAAGTAGACTACGTCAACTAGTCCTCAAGCTTGAAGTTACAGATGGAGTTGAACTTGCACATCCATATGTGAAAGACTTTTCAAATTCTTATTTAGTTGAAGACAACAAGACGGAAGACATTATTAATGCTTATGGTACACTTCAGGGAGAAAATTTTATAAATTCTCTTAAAAAGCCAACCGCGGAAGATAAGGAGAAGAAGCAGATTCATATCACAAAACTATTTGTCGGTCTTGACATAAAAATATCCAAAACGGCTGGTCAACCCGATGGAATTAAGAAGCTTGATATTCAGTATCCATGCTCAGAATTCTACAGTTTGTGTAAAGGTTGGGTTTCTTACAACGAAGAAATTCATCAGATTCAAATTAAGAATGTAAAATTGTTTGATCTTCCAAATGATGTTTACGTGGAGGGAGAGGTTAGACCCAAAAAAGTTACGAAGAAGAGAAAAAAGGATGACAAATCGGACCAACTCAAAAGGGCAAAGAGTGCTCCCGTACCAGTTAACTCCGCCACATAGTACTACTCATTGACCAGATTGCATATTAATTATCTAAACCATTTATAAATTGTACTATACTTCTTTATTAATCAAATATACATCTTCAACAACCAACCTGTCGATATCTGTTTCAAACATACAGCTCGTATTTTTGATTGTTACAAACTTTTGCGAATAGTTATCTGATATTCCACCACCAATATTCAAACTCGCACATAACCATTGCATGAAGGGAATATTTTTCTCCCTAAGATTGTACACCAGTGCATATAGGGACCATTGGGGTTTACTTGGTTCATTTTTCCATAATTCTGCCAAAGCTTTCGATAATTCCCTCTGATATTTGGCATTCCGTATTGATTTTGAGTAGAAAGTTCTAAAAGCTATGAATCCGTTAATCTTACCTTTTGCATTCTTTTGAAACTGTTCATCACGAATTGCATTATTGACACTTCCAGAATAGTTGTCGCCAAAATCGCTCAACTCATTAAATTTCCACATTAAGTTCGCTAATCCTTCCGAAGGTTTGGGAAGAGGGGGTAACTGTGCGAGAATGAAGCCCTCAAACCTTGGTTCGAACTTATTGTATCTCGCAGGAGAAAATTTGTATCTTAAGATTCGGAAGGAGCTTGTCCATGGTGTTTTCTTTGCAAGTCTAGGGGAAAAACACTTCATACGCATGAGTTTTGGTTATAAGTAGTAACAAGATTGACGTTTTTGATTTAGTTATATACCTAGTTTGTAATTCATGTGTATCCCTTTTAGTACATAAATCCGGAGAAAATATCCAATCCTGCATAAGAATAACCACATTTCAACTATAAATGCCTTGGGTGATCATTTGAAATTGGTCATATAGTCTTGTATAGATGCTGCCAATACTTCTGCCTATCAAATAATTTTCAACAAATGCCTCCGCCTCATCGTCTGTTAAGTGTAATTGAAGTCTCTGCTTGAGCAATACACTCGTTGTTTCACCATTCTTGAAACATGGCAAGGTCGAATCCTTTTGCATCAATTCAACTATGCTTACAATTTGTTCACTTTCAGCTCTCAATGAAATGAAACAGTTTTTACACACCGTTACAAATTTTTTGTAAGGTGCGCTATCTTGCCCTCCTAAAAGATCCACATATTCTGAAGTGAGCTTGAAAGGTGCGGCTTCGAATCCCACACTTCCAGGCGAGTTTGATAAAAGAAAACCGAAATCAATATGTATGATATGCCCCTCATTATCTACCATTATATTACCATTGTGCCTATCTTTGATTTGGAGAATGTAACATAAAATGGAGTAGGATGCCAAACTAACAGCAAAGTTATCTTGCGCTTGTTTGTACCTTGGTGAATCAAGCGAGCCATAAATTTCAGTAAAGTAATCCTGTAATGTGAATATTCTGCCTTTTGAATTTTCACCGGATGCAATAGAGATTTCCGTAAGTGATTTTTTGATGGAGTGGATGGACATGGCATTGGTAATAGTTTCGACGAGACCAGTTCCTGCACTTGTTATCAAAATTTTCATCCGTTTCGTCCAAGCTCCAGCCCTTCTTCTTTTCCATATGTTAGATATCATGGTTATGAGTTGGCACGCAAAAGCTTCTTGAGGAAGGTCGTCACCATTTTTTGCAATAACAGAGCATAGTTCCCAATTTGGTAAATGACCGTAAATACTTGATTTTTTTATTCTTTGCTTTTTGGTATTCCAATCCTCACCTAGTTTGAAATCGTTCTCCAACTTTCTCTCACCAGCATCAGGCAAATCACCTTTGAGTTGATTCAATTTCTCGAAGTTTATTGAGTCGAACTGATCTTGCAATGAGATCATGGATTCAACAATCCTGCTTCTGATTGACAAGGATTGCTCCGAAGACGATTGACCAGAGCTATCCAATTGCTGCAACATTACTGAGGCAATTCTCATTTGATCAGCCAAAGATTTGGTAGACATTTCTGCAGATGAGCCTGTAATGATTGGTAGAACCGAATGGTCTCCTTCATTATCCAGAATATTAGGAGAATCTGTGATTTTCAATTTGCTTAGCTCATGGGCAGAGCTTTTATGAGAGAGGATCGGGAAGTCGCCCAAATCCGCTTCTGCTTGTATACCTAATACTTCCAAATCTTGTTGATTGACTGTAGGAGTAGTAGGTGGCTTGAGTTCCTTTTCAGTAATATCAATTATATCATTTGTGATCTCTCTCTTTCGAAGTTCTGTTGTTGGACTGCGTTTTGCTTGAATTATCTTTTGATTTTGCTCAGAGAAAGGATTAAAGTCACTTTCATCACTAAGATATTCAACTAATAGCAAAAATGGAACTCTTTCAGCAGAGTTGAGAACACATGCTTCGTTAACACTTAACCTTAAAATCTTATGATACTTTTTGTTCTTGTTACTAGTAACAGGAAGAAGTTGGGGAATATCAATTTCAGAAGGCAATAAAGTATCATTAATGATAGAAAGTTCGGCTCTAAGAGCAGAAAGTCTGGCTTCTTTAGGTACTTGGGACAACCTCAATGATATATTTTGCAAAGCCATAATAAACTCAGTTTCCTTCTTAGCATAATTAACTTGTAGAGTCTTGAGAAGGCTATTGTACGAAGATGTGTTCGTATTTTTCGAATATTGAGATAGATTTCTTTTTATCTTTTGAGTTGATTCGGAATTGTTTATACTAATAATGGATTCAGATTCGGTTGGGGAGAGCGAAGGCCTTTCGTGAACCTTGGATAAATCTGGGAGTGATCTCGAAAAGTTGTAAGTGTCACTTTCAATAGATTCTGAACGGAAACTAGAAATCCCTTGTTTTGCTGCAGGATTAAGCCCTCTCTTTTTCGATTTGATATAAGTATTGATCTTCAAGTTTTCCGCTATCTCACTGTATTTAGCATGCTGTATTCTGCTCTTATCTTTCAATTCCATGGTTGACATTGCTCTGGTCAACAAATTTGCACCTGCTTCATTTTCGTCGTCAGTTGTATAAACTTCTGAATCATCGGACAGGAACGTCAGACTTACTTTCTTGGGTGCTATTCTTGGAACAGAAGAAGATCGTTGATGCAGCTCGCGACTTAGCCTTGAAATCGACTGGCTACCTGTTTCGTCTTCAGAGACCACTCCAGAATCTTCAATGGATAACCTCTTGTTCTTCATCGTCAAATTTTTGGTTAAAGACTTTTGAAAGTTTGCCAATTTGAACACGAATGACTTCTGTTGTTTACCCTGTGACTTTATAATTGGTGCAATGTAGTCATTTAGACCTGGAATAGCAATCGATGCGGCAATAGCACCACACATGACAAGGGATGGCTGTAGGTTTTCTCTAAATTCTGCATGTTTATCGTTCAGTGCTTCAGTATTGAAAAGAATGTTTTGTAATTTGTTTATAAATAAACGAACAGTCTTGAACGAAGTAGAATCTGGATCATTTCTCAACTCAAAAACATAAGCTTGCAAGTTCCAAAACACAATCAACGAAAAATGAGGGTACTTCGTACAATAATCCAATAAGAAGTCTTCAAGTGCCATAGAGTTGGTGTCAAAAGATACCAACAATTGAACAAACTGAGGAATAAAGAACTCCAACTCATCGTAGGTGTAAGAATACAACCTTTTCACCAAAGCATGATGTATACCAATTGAATCACAATTTCTTCTCAAATGATCAATACACTTGAAAGCACTGAAATCACCTGATCTGATTTCCTTAAGAAGTGACACCGTATCTATTTGAGACATTGTGATCTCTAATTACTCATGCTATTCGAGCGACTCAATGATTTGTTAAGTATGTTTTGCATTTGGGCAATGTAACCGGACAGCACAACTTAAAATATTATATGCAGGATGCGACAAACCAATAATGATCCGCTTAAAGCTTAGGTGGGAAGTGCTAAGTAGATTGTATATTATTGTATTTAAAATTGAGAGTAAATTATTATTATATATCCGGGTAAGGCAATGGAGTATTGCATAAAAAGCTATTCACGCAAGGAAGCTCTTCAACCTCACGGATCAATTAATTCATATTATAGGTGTTTAAGATTTTCCGCTTGCTTTCTTATAGCCCGGTATGTCAAATGATTCATGAAGCTTCTGCCCAGGTAGGATAGGGAAAATATCAAGTACGGAACTTCTCAATGATTCTGCATCCTCAGATAAATCAATATGCTTATAAATAATGTACTCCAAATCCTTAATGTCCTGCTCCAGGTCCGACACAGGTCTAAACAAACGTGGATGAAAATCCACACCAGCTTCTAATCTCTTCTTGGCTATAATTCTTTGTTCATTTTCGACTTTAAATTTCTCTTCCGTAGCTAAATTGTGATCTCTCTTACTAAGGCCCTCAAGAGTTGGCTTCCACAAGTTCCGTGATTCATACTCCCACTGTTCATCTAATGGTTTAACTTGAGATTTTAATTGGGTTGCTCCTGCTGTATCAAACAACACTTTCTTTTCGCCTGTCTTCACATTCTTAATTTCCATGACTTCATTCCACTTACCAGAAATATTGTAAAGCACTTCGGAATTTTTGGAGTTCTTGATTACACCCTCAATTGCATCATATGTACCACTAATGAAGCCCTTTGTTTTGAAATCAATATCCGCCTCAAAACCAGTTTTGGCACATTTCACATACATGTGGTCTCCCAATTCAAGTCTAAGTTTACCAAAAAGGATACCACGACAGTACACATTTGGCTGGTTCATGATGTATACTTCATCATCTCTCTCACCAAGAGTAACATGACCCCAACCTTCCATAATTGCAGCTGACGAATTTCCAAGAAACTTGGATTTGGGAACCACTACCCCATCTACTCTAATCTTCAGCTCTGGTACTAAGTAGAAGTATGATGACTTAGGAGGATGGTGTGAAACTTGCTCTGACACATAATATGCTTTGTTACCATCGGGAAGGTCGTCCCAATAACAAGCGAAGACTTCTCCCAACACAGGATTCAATGGCTTCTTCACTGCTTTAGGAGCAATGTGCCAACTTGCAAGGTACCATTTAAGCACTGCTATGAAACGTTCCAATTCATCTTCAGTCTTGTTGGCATCTAACAAGAGGTTAGGAATTTGAAAGAAGTTCGTAATTCTTTCCAACATAGATTTTTTTTCTAATATGAAAGTTGGAAGTGTGATCTTAGATAAATCACAGCCTGGCCTCAATTGAGCAATGATTCCGGATAAGATAGATTGTCCTTCATTGTCAATCTCATCCACGTCATCAGTATCTTTTGTTTGATCTCCGTGAGGAGTAGAAGCTTTGCTAGAGGTTGATTCCAGTTCCTCGCTAGAAGCTCTAATCTTCAATTTATCAAGCTTGGACGTTAATCCCATACTTCTATCTTGTTCTTGATAATTGATGTTGTATTTCGTTAATTTGCTTAGTAGTGGATATGGGTTGTTTTGGTAAGGGCACGAAAGTTGCTATGACTAGGCAATCAGGGGATTAATTACTCAACCTGCAAGGTGTTAACCTGTAAAACAAATATGTTGCAAAATATGTGCATGCGAAAATGTGGTATTCTGATCTGACTTGTCATATTAACCCGAAGATTTCCATCCTACTGAGTAATTAGGAATGAATTCACTGATTGAATCCTTAAAACTCATCGAGCTTCATCTTAAGATGCAGATCACAACAATATGTACCTTTCCTGTTTTCAATCCAGAGGTAATCCGTGCAGAAGTCGAAGCTCACACTTCCTTTTTGGTAATCTTTCTTGAGAGAGCACCTTATATTCGAGATGGGGAGTTGGTAATTTTAAAGAATATCAGTACCCTTGTTAAAACTTTGCTTAATATGACTCGGGAACGTTATGATTTTCACTTTCAAATTCAAGAATTGGCAATTGGGCTGAATGAATCAGGACAGACAACCCAATCAAACTCCCATTTAGTTTCCAACCACAAGTTCTCTCAAAACCAAGTTGAAATTCTTGAACAATGGTATCAATCAAATTCTGAACACCCATTTCTAAACAACCAATCAACTCTTGAATTGCAAACTCGCACGGGACTCACAGTAACCCAAGTTAAAAATTGGTATGTATACAAGTTATTCTTGTTTGATCTATTACTAACTCCATATCAATAGGGTTTCTAACAAGAGGCGCAAGGAGAAGACTCAAAGTGTATCAAAAGAATTAGAGCCCTTTTTAACGTGAAATCATTTATTTTTATATAGAGTAAGAGTTTAGCACCAGTAGTTCCATAATCTTTTATGGACAGGCATGGCTCTGTTTCTCTCCCTTTCCTCCTCCATTTCCTGTCTTATCAACTTCATATCCGTGTCTCTTCTACCTGAATCTAAATCGATGTCTTTCAAAGGAACGTAGATTCTCCAGTTTCTGGTCCATATTTTGTGTCCGAGGTAGAACACCAAAATAACTACCGACCCCAAGTAGTTCTGGAAAAAGTTCTTAGCACTGGGCTTGCTGCTTCCAATGGGGAACAAAGCGACCCAGAATTGGACTCCCAACACCAACACCAAGAGCACCATCGAGTAAATGGAACCAGCAACTCCTGTGACCGCAGTAAACACCAACTCGTCGGTGGATCTGCCCTGCAACCGCATGGCCATTCTGAATCTGACGTGGCACAAGCCGATGTTGAACCACAGGAAAATGGTGGCTAAACCCGATACTGAGAGTAACCAGCCAAACACCTGTCCCTGGTCCTTGTACGCAGAAAGGAAGCACAAAAGGCCAAACACGGCAGACATCATCAATCCAGCCAATGGTCTACCCTTACGATCAACATAAGCTAAGTAGCTGGGGCCCAAACCCTGGGCCCCCAAGCTTTGGATGGTACGGGAGCACCCGTAGACGGCAGAGTTACCCACCGAGATGACAGAAATCAAGATCACGGCATTGAAGATGGAAGGAAGCACCTTGATGCCTCCATTTTTGATGGCAATGACAAATGGCGATGCAGAGGCCGTGGATGAGCCCAACAACTGGTCGGAGTTGGAAGGAACAAGCAAGCCGATGAAAGTGAGCGACAAGAAGTAGAACAAGAAGATTCTCCAGAACACCTGTCTGACGGCCTTGGGCAACACGCTTCTTGGGTTGGCGACCTCAGCTGAGGCCAAACCCACCATTTCACTTCCCGCAAGCGAGTAGGAGGCGGTAACGAAGGTGGTTGCAACTCCCTTGAAGCCGTTGGCAAAGGCACCGGGATTCTTCCAGTATTTTGCACCCACAAAAGTATGGTTGGGGCCACCGCCACACACAAGTACCACCCCGAGGATGATGAACCCCACTATGGCCACAACCTTGAAGATTGTGAGGTAGAACTCGGCCTCACCGTAGCCCTTGACGTCCAACAAGTTGATCACCACAATGAGGAGGTAGAAAATTGCCACCCATGCGACGGGGTTGATGCCAGAATTCCAGTAAGTAATGCACATGGCAGCAGCCACCAACTCTAACGGAAGCACAATCAACCACATGAGGGCGTAGTTCCAGCCCACGGCAAAGCCCCACGACGAGTCCACGAACCGGGTAGCGTAGGTGGAAAACGCACCGTTCACAGGGTAGGCCACACAGAGTTCACCGAGCGAGTGGATGGTACAGAACACCATGGTTCCTACCAATCCCCAGGCGATCAACAACGCGGCAGGGCCTCCGGTATGCAAGGCACCACCAGACCCGATCAAGAGACCGGTCCCCACACTGCCCCCAAGGGCAATCATCTGGACGTGTTTGTTCTTCAACTTACGGTGCAACTCTCCCTTGGAGGTGGCAGCAACTGCCTTTTCGATGTCGTTCATGCTGGCAGAACCGTCTTTGGTGGTGGAAGATGGCTGCAGGGTATCGAGATCAGCCCTCTGGAAAGACTGGGTGAAACGGGCCCAGCGGCCCATTTGGATGCTCTCGTCGTAGCTGACGGATTCTTCCTCGTACTTCTCGGAGCCCTTCATGACAACTGGTGAGTGAAGCCGGAAAGATAGCGGTGAAGAGTGGTCAGTTTTGGGGAAATGTCGAGGCCATTGCCTGGGCATTTGGGGCCAGTGGCTTTGTGTCATGGTCCACTTTACGGAAGTAGTAAACGAAGTCGGGGTAACCGTACGAGGGAAGTGGAGGGGGCAGAGGCAGCTACAGTGACAGCCAGGGCTGATGCTGGTGCTGGTGGTGTATTTGCAGTCGGGGGCTAGGCTCTTCCATCGGTCCTGGCGCCTGGAGCCACCGCTCAGACTGTCTCCAGCTGGAGGACCCTCTCCTGCGAAGCCCCGGGTGGGTGAAAAAATTTTCTCTCACATGACCACTGTTGGCGGCTAGGACGAAACCCCGGAGGGGGGACGGGGACAGGCCAGTAGGGAGGACGGACCACGAATGGTTGCAAGAGAGCATCTGTCATGCAAGATAGTGCTGCAGCGAACAATCAGGAGACAGGGCAACGGCTGTCACATTTTGACAGGACGGCTCATAGGTATGGCTTAGGGAGGACGGGGCCGCACGGCAGCCAATGGGAGCGCGTGGCGCCCGCGTATTCGCGCTTAGCACCGGCAACTGGAGGGAGGGCGCCGCACGATTAATCACGTGTTCGGGGACCCTGAAACTGGCCCTACACCCATACGCCTGGCTGCAACAGCACGGCACAGGGCTTCGGAAGGGCTCCCCTACCTGCTAGAGGAGTCTCTTGCGAGGCTCACAGCGTTGCTTCGCCATTGCTGACTTTCTACATGGCCACAACTTGCTTCGCAGTATCTGTGGTGCGATTGGCCACTCGTCCCAGAGATAATGGAGCAAACAGCAATCCTTCCTAGACTGGCCAATCGTGGGCCTGGAAGACAAGTGCTTGCCATGCACCCCTTCATTCCGTCTGTCCCCGTCTTTTTTGGTATAAATTGCTCCTACCAGCACATCGGAACGGTCCCTACAGCAGCCTACTACAGATGGAAGTGCGCACGGCTGACACCCTGACACTGCCAGGACAGCCAGTCAGCCTCAATCCTACGACACCCCTTCGCCGTGTCAACGTTGTAGCAAGTTGGCTATTTGGGCTTAAAATCCAATTTTAGACTTTAGCGGGATCTACTCTCGGAACTCTGTGCACGTGCTTTTACGACTTCCGGTCACCTACTTCACCTCCAACACCCCCTCGGCAAAGCTGCTAAAACCCATGAAAGAGAGCTACTTTGCAAGCCATACTAGTAAATCCCTGTCCCTTCCGCATCCTTACGAACTCCCACTCTTGTCAGGCAATTACTGGCCCCGTAGACCGAGGTCGAATGCTCAAGCATTTGAGATCACGTGAAACAGGGTCCTTCGAGTTTCTTGAGGATTTCTGCCCAATTTATGCCATTACACAAGCAACATCCTAGCCCGAACCCTCTATTCTTCACCCAGTCTACCCCTTGTCCGACGTAACTCCTTTTCTCTAGTTAGCCTACCCGTATACCTCTACTCCACGTGCCCATTCCACTCCCTTCAACACCATTTCTGCTATCGAACATCTTCTGGACCCTCTCTCGGCGAAGCCTCACGCCTGCCTCCACCAAGGCTCCTACAATGCATGCCTCGGAAACAAAAGGGTCCGTACTTAGGACAACCAGTCCAGGGATGTGCGCACGGCTGACGCCCTGCACCACCGGACCCCCACCAGAGAGCTAACAATAGCCACCACGACACCAACTGCCCTGTCCGCAGTCCCATGGAGGCGTGGGGTGACGAGCCGAGGCTTGGGCCGTTCCGTTCACGGGGCTGACCCCTTGAGTTCCGCACGTGACGCGCCCTGTCATGTTAGTAATTTCGCTCTCCATTATCTCAACCAACCATGAACACCCTGATGTCGTCCTACAACGAGAAGCCCCCGGTCCAGGCCAGCGCAGACTACTGGATGAACTCACCCTCCCACAACATGACCATCAATCCCGACATCAAGCCGCCGTTCCTGGAACTCGACGAAGCCGAATGCCAGAAGCAGTTCTTTGCCCAGAGCCCCCAGTTCCAGTTCAACCAGTCCCCATACATGCTCGACAATACCCAACCCGCATACTTACCTCCACAGAACACCCAGCCGGGGTTCGACATCTTGGGCGGCCAAAACTTCCCAGAGGGCTCCATCAGCGACCACTCGTCTCCGTCCAACAACTTGTTGTTCCACCACTCTCCTGAAAGCTCGACATCCATAGGCGTGGAAGCAGAGGTAGTCAAGAAGGCACCCAAGACCAAGGCTGCCACCAAGACCAAGAAGCAGCTCTTGGACGAACAGGACGCTATCTTGATTGCCAAAGACGATTCGGAACTTAACTACGACGAGCTCCAGCTAAAGCGCAAGGCCCAGAACAGAGCCGCCCAGAGAGCCTTTCGCGAAAGGAAGGAGTCCAAGATGAAGGAGTTGGAGGCCAAGCTCATGGAGAGCGACAAGGAGCGCCAAAAGCTCATGGAAAAGCTAGAGATCATCACCAAGCAAAATATGTACATCCTGACCGAAAACGAGTTGTTGCGGTCCAAGGGCCCTGCCGAGGAGCCGATGGAAGACTACAAGTTCACCTTTCCCCACAGTCAGAACGAATTCATCCACGAGTTGGCAGGTAAGCATAAGTTCGAGCCTCAGCACATACGGAAGGTGTATGACTCTCCCGAGCACCCAGGGAACAAGATTCTTGCGCTCGGGGCGGTTTGGGACTACCTCCAGGTGAAGGCTGACGAATATAGCATCGATTACGACGGCATTGACATTCCTTTGATAATGAGCAAGCTCAAGGGTAACGAGCGTTGTCACGGGTTTGGTCCAGCCTACCCATTGGAGTTGGTGGACAGGGTGATTGCAGAATGCTGCAATTTGCCCTCGGCTTACACTTAAGTGCAGAAGTTGACAAGTTTGGTAAAGTATGGTTTTTTCGTAATAGAGAGCTTGATAGCCCGGGTTCTGGCTATCTTCCGGGAATTCCAGACGAGATGGCACTATGTACAATAATTCAATTCACATCGTAAGCACAATGGGGCCAATTTGAGATACAATACCATGAGCTAAAGATAAAACCAAACTACCAGTAATATGTAGTGATGTATAAATCAATAAGCTGATAACTTGACTGGGGATTATGTCATGTAGATAAGCAGGATATGAATAAAAAGATTCCAAATGACAGTCTTACTGATTCTGCCTCGTTAGCAATTTAATCTGGAGATATTCTGTAGTGTTTGACTAGGCCCTCACCTCAAAATCTACAAACTTGCGGGTGTCAGACTTTTGACTCTAATCCCATTTCTTCTCCCATACGACTGTTGTAACTATAGCGGTTGGAATAATGTGAAGTACGGGTGTTCTGGACTATCTGTCTTTTTTGCGGTCTAGACATCTTTTTTCCAAACTGGAAGGAGGACAAGTCAATTTCATTCCTATCTTTATCGATGTTGACACCTTTAAACTCCTAATATGTAATCTCTTCTAGCCTATACCCTTACCAGTTGTATCTCACCTTGTCCTTATCTACAATCTACCCACATCCTTACAACCACCAGTAGTCTCACGCACTGTCTCATATGTTGATGTGCTCTCCGCCGAACTTTCTAGAAGTTCGCAGCAAAATTTATTTAAAATCAATCATTGACCACCAACCCTACCTTCACCATCATACCTAACATGTCTGCTGAAGAATACAAAGCTCAAGGTAACAAGCACTTTGCTGCCAAGGAGTTCACCGAAGCCATCGAGCTGTTCACCAAGGCCATTGAAGCCTCCGCCACCCCCAACCATGTCTTGTACTCCAACAGATCCGGATCCTATGCCTCGTTGAAAGATTTCGGACCAGCGTTGAAAGATGCTGAAGAATGTGTCAAGATCAACCCATCCTGGGCCAAGGGCTACAACCGTGTTGGTGCTGCGCACTACGGTTTGGGCAACTTGGACGATGCCAAACTGGCCTACCAAAAGGCCCTCGAGTTGGACTCTGCCAACGCCATGGCCAGCGACGGCTTGAAGAGCGTGGAGCAAGCCATTCAATCCCGTAATGCCCAACCAGACATGGGCTTGGGCTCTCTTTTCAGTGACCCAAACTTGATTGCCAACTTGCAAGCCAACCCAAAGACCGCTGAATTGATGAAGGACCCAGAGTTAGTCCAAAAGGTCAGAAATATCCAAAGCAACCCTAAGGCTAACGCCACCCAATTCTTGAGTGACCCCAGATTGATGACAGTCATGGCTGCCATCATGGGTATCGATATGGATGCCCCAGAGCCTCCACAAGCTGCTCCAGCCCAGCAACCACCTGCACCAAAGGCTGAACCAAAGAAGGAGGAGCCAAAGAAGGAAGAGCCAAAGGAGGAGCCAAAGGACGTTGAAATGGAAGAAGTTGACACCAGCAAGCAAGATGCCGACGCTGCCAAGGCCGAAGGTAACACATTATACAAGCAAAGAAAGTTCGATGAAGCCATTGCTGCCTACAACAGGGCTTGGGAATTGCATCAAGACATTACTTACTTGAACAACCGTTCTGCTGCCGAATTCGAAAAGGGTGACTATGATGCTGCTATCGCCACCTGTGAAAAGGCCATTGACTCTGGTAGAGAAATGAGAGCTGACTACAAGTTAATCGCCAAATCTTTTGCCAGATTAGGTAACACTTACTTGAAGAAAGATGATTTGGAGAATGCCGTGAAGAACTTTGACAAGTCATTGACAGAACACAGAACTCCAGATGTTCTTAATAAGTTAAGATCCACTCAAAGAGAAATTAAGGTGAGAGAAGCAGAAAACTATATTGACCCTGAAAAGGCGGAAGAAGCTAGATTGCAAGGTAAGGAATACTTCACCAAGGGTGACTGGCCAAATGCTGTCAAGGCTTACACTGAAATGATCAAGAGAGCCCCAGAAGATGTCAGAGGTTACTCCAACAGAGCAGCAGTTTTAGCTAAGTTGTTATCTTTCCCAGATGCTGTGCTTGACTGTAACAAGGCCATTGAAAAGGACCCAAGTTTCATCAGAGCCTACATCAGAAAGGCCAATGCCCAGTTAGCAATGAAGGAATACTCCCATGTCATGGACACCTTGAAAGAAGCCCGTGATAAGGATTTGGAATTAGGTGAAGGTAAGAATGTTGGTGAAATCGATCAATTATACAACAAGGCTATGTCCTCTCGTTTCCAAGCCTTTGAAGGCGAAACTCCAGAGCAAACCATGGAAAGAGTCTCTAGAGACCCAGAAATCGTGAATATCTTGCAAGACCCAGTCATGCAAGGTATATTAGGACAAGCCAGAGAAAACCCAGCTGCCTTACAAGACCACATGAGAAACCCTCAAATTAGTGAAAAGATCAACTTGTTGATTGCTGCTGGTGTTATTCGTACCAGATAAACCACAATTAATGCAGGCAATGATGAAGTAAATACTTATTTCAATGATACTTCGTAAGAATATGAGAAGAGTCTCTACGTAGCAAATTGGTTATGTTATTGCTAAACATTATTGCTCATAGCGATGGATTTCCGGCCATGGGTAAACAGGTGTAACTTCGTATTGAGGTTGAGAATGATATAACCATTTGCGTTTAAGTATGCCATTTCTCAATATAACACAAAAATGAATTACGCTTGTAGTTGTTAGATTTATAAAATTTATTCAGATTTTTAGAGAAATTGGACTGCATTGAACTAGTGTATGAAAAGCAAGCAATACAAGACTTCCAAACACTTTGGTATACGTAGTGTGTAAGTATCTATCTTAATGGAATTGGTAGTTATCCATCTTCTGGGCACTGTTGAGGATGTTCTGATTGTGATTTATAACCAGTATCATTTTGGAGGGTATAACACGAAAACGTAAAGGATACTTGAGTACCTCACATAAGGCATTCAAAATCCAGCTGATATCACCGATTGGGTTCGGCATAAGTGGGAAGAACAACAATAGTTACGTTTAAATACCTAGGCTCAATGCAAAATTTAGAAGAAATACTATATGAACGGTGCTGAACAAGTGTATACAGTGCCATCATTTTGGTAGATGCAAAAGTCGTAAGATATTCTAATAGTAAAAAATCGTTCATTCAATAGCTAAATTACATCCTTAAGTGTCCTTGTGAAATTACTGTTGCACTCCAAGGTTGTTATCAAAGAAAAAGTTTGGAAGAGTATCCATTTGGGAAAAGAATATCAGGGTCAACGCATCATCGTTCAAATAATCGCCGTAAATGTCGGGATTAGAGCCATTCGATGCGGTGGAGGTGTTGGAACCCGAAGGATGGCGAACACGGCCATTACTATCTTCCTGTCCGGCGAAGGCGTTTCCATTGGAAGTGCCATTCCATGTCGACTGGTTCATTTGTTGAAGAGGATTAATCGATTTTGGCGTACTGTTGCTGGTGTGTGAGTACGGATATGCCCACGAATTGGCAGGAACTCCCTCAACACTACCTGCGTGGTAAGGACCGTTTTGGGAAGCATTTGGTTGCTCCCCTGTGCCGTTAAGTTGCCCCGAGGAATTGCCAACATCTTGTGTTGGATGCAAAATGTTGGAAAGAGAAGGGTTGAAACTTGGTGATTGAGCAGTAGATCCAGTACTGCCTGGATCACTGCGGGAGCCTGGGGTGACAGCCAGATTTCTACTAGAAAAGGGAGATGCTCCCAACACCATACTTGGCTTCTCTGCACTCACATGTTCCTGGAACACAATTGGGAAGGCAGTTTTGACTTCATCGATGTGTTCACGCAATCCTTCATAATTACCCACAATGTCAACATTCATTTTAATCTCGTAGGATCGTATGACAATTCTCAAAATCAATTTGATCAAAAGCATTAAGATAGCATCCTTTTGTGAGTAAAGGTCGGGGTGGTCCCTCTCGAGAATGAACCAGTTGGTGCTGGCACCAAAGAAGTTCATCGAACTATCAATCAACAACTGAAGATCATTATAAGACTCTGGAGAATCGGGGTGGTTAAGCAACGCAGCACTAATATTCAAAAATGCACAAACCGGGTAAAAGATAATCCACTTGAAGTATGAGGCGGCAGTGTTTTTTCTGTTGATTTGTCTAACCAAGATCAAAATGGTTCTTGCTGCGTTGAGGGAAATGTTACGGAACTGATTACTCTGTTCACGCACTTTATCAAAGCCATCGGTACCAACTATGAAAGCGAGTCTGTTCATCAACATCAAATGCAAGAAGTATGATAATTGAACCGAAAGAACCGTTTCTCTTCTAGCTATGCTCATGTCGCTGGACATGAGCCTAAAGCCTGGGTCATTATAGAAGCGAGGTCTTTCTTCTTCTCTCATGGATGCTCCCATCTCATACATTTCCTCATTCAAGCTGTTTAACTTATGAGCCAAAGTTTCGTACGAATCATTTTGGGCATTGGCCAGGAACAACCAGTGGTAAGACTTAGATCTGAGCTTTGTGAGCAACAATAAGTAAATGTAGTAGAACAAATGTGGGTCATCTAATTTGCTAACAGCGGCCAAATGGATATTTGTTCCAAGATCAACTCCACCCAACATTTCACTGCACTCAGGATTTACACCGTGTTTGGCCCATAATTGGGCAAGAGTCTTGAAATCTTCAGTACTGTTCGTGGTGACGTCCGCAATATTAATCAAAGGTGGTTTTCCAGAACGAAAGCAGATTTCCATGTCGTAGTACTGACACAACCACCATAATTTTCTTCTTCTTTCTTGTTCATCGAAGCTTAAATTCTCGAGAGTTTCGGCTCTATGTATCCCCATTTCTTGAGCATATCTCACGGCAACTGCTATCAAAGTGTAGTTAACATGACTGGTCAAGAAGTTACCTTCAATGAATATAACAAGCAGCAAGATGGCTCCGATGGTCTCGAGACCATCACGCATAACCGATATTCTATGGTAGTAGTAGATAGCGTTGTCGAAAAATGTGTTCTGGAGCTGGAGCAATGCAGAATAGCTGATGCTGTTGACGGCACTATTTGGATCCAACTTTTTATCCTTGGATACGTTGCAGGCCAAAGATTCTTCAGTAACATCCTGGTCTAGCTTGGTGCTTATGCAGATCATCAACGCCGTGGTCATCATCAAGTACTCGGAGTACTTGAACTTTCTCTTGACTTTTGTTTCTGGATCGAACTTCTTGTAGTACTCTTCAAACAAATGCCTGATGGTGTGCCCTTCGGCTGCCAACGTGATCATGGGAATATCGAAATAGTAGGTGTCTAGGAAATCAAACACAATCTTACTGTCGGCAGGGAAAGGGGACTCGATAAGCCTCTTGCGGCCCTTGTGATCGACCAAGGGAGGGTCGATCCACTTGAGCAAATATTTCTTGAGCTTTTCGATGAAGGCAAGCGGAATGTTTTTGATGGGCAACGTCAAACTGTAGCCCTCAGGGCCCAAGGTTTGTTCAATCCAGTCCAAGGACTTGTTGGAAAAAATACACATGATGGAATGGGTGCCGAAGTACTGCTCCACCGACTTCGAGTGCAATATGCTCTTGGCCTGGGCATGCTCCTTGGGCTCCTTTGGTACCGAATGGCCATTCTTTTCCACCTTGATGTGGACGTTATCGTCAGCAGAGCTGTCATCATCGTCGTCGTCTTCGTCGTTTTCGTTGTCGTTTTCGTTGTCTTCGTCATCAGTCTCGTCGTTGGCGTAGGAGGCACCTGGGGTGAAATCGATTTTTTGGGAGTTTGGCTTGATTCCAGCAAGGGTGTCCAAACGGGACATCAAGGTGGTCAAGACGCCCTCCAAGCCCGCAAGCCTGCTGTTAATGAGGTGGAGCTCGCGGGAGCTACCGTTCAGGCGCAGCGACTTCTTGTTATCGCCAGTAGTCTTCTTCTTCACGGGACGTTCTTCGTAATGACAATTGGCTTCCCCTACTTGGATACAGTTTGCACAGGGCAGTTGGCCGTTGCACTTGATTTTCTTTCGCCGGCAGGTGTCGCAGGCGATTCTGATACGTTTCTTGGACGCAGAGTCCAGGTCTGGCGACGTGGGGACCATGGTGGTGTGTAGTGGAGGTGAGATGTTTGAAATGGACTGAGATAGTATATGTAGAGCGCCGCTTACGTAACCGGATGACAAAATAGTGGAAGAACAACTTTTAGATGTGTGTGGAAAAACCTGGATGGCGCTCGTTAATGCGGGGGTTGCGGCCAGTAATGGTTAGCGCAGTAAGGCGCATCATGTGCATCTGGTGGCGGGGCTTTGGTGACGTGGATCAGGTGGTGGTGGATGTGCTTCGGATCCATACCACCAGCTTCCGTCCGACCCGAGACAGTTGCGACCCGTGCATCCGTGCCCTGGCGCCACCGTCCGTGATAGCCGTGGGCTGCAGATACGGGCGGGTGTTATCACCGGCTGTGCGTCCCCATCCATCAGTGTCAACGCATGATGCGGCTGGACCCAGCGCACGTAGCGGAGCCTGGGACTGGCGTGCGCCTTTTGTGTGTGATGAGACGGACAGGCGGGTCATTTGGGGGGTACATGTGGTTGTGGTTGACCAGTTAGGGTCCACCATTGGCCACATCTCTGGGCGGGGCGGTGCGCGACTGTAGGATCGTTTTAGTGATTTAAAATTATTGTGCAAATTTCATGGCTAGAATTCGAGATTCTGAGATTCTGAGAAATGTAGATTGTGTTCCACGCTCTATTGTCAGCATTTCTGCTTGTGACTGAGTGGCCTGGAGTGTTTCTATTTGTACTGATTTATTGGCAACTATTTAACAATTCTGATTTTGCTATTTAATAAAGTCAACCCCATCGGGCATGGGCACGAAGTTGGGCATGTTGAACAACTGCGAGTACAAGATGGCATTGAACGACTCATCGGTGAACTGGTCCATGCCGGCTGTTTTCTCGAAGTCGGTCAAGAAGTCCATGCTGAACATATCGTCAGCAAATAATGTCTGGTTGGTGGCAGTGTCGGTGGTGGCAGTCTCGGCAGTAGCAACGTCGATAGAGCCGAACTCAGTCCGCTCAGTTCTCTCGGTTCTGGGCCAGGATTCCGCAGGTGAAACGGTGGGCGCGGAGTCCGACATAGACAGCGAGCTGGCGTATTGGGGCTCTTTTCTCTTTCTGTGCTTTAAAAATACCAAGTTGAGCGGTTTCTCGAGTTCAGTGGTATTCTTGAACAAGTCAGGGTAGATGGTTTCACACTTGGACAAATGGAGGGCAAGGGCAGGATACTCCTTGGTGTAGTCGTGTTTGAGGTCGGGCGAGCTCAAGAGTAACCTCAATAATACTCTGGTGACCAAGTCCAACATGGTACTCTTTCCGTCGTAGAGTCTTCTGCTATCCCACGATTCGTTGGGATCGTCCTGAGATGCAAAAAAGTTCATTGACAGCCGTATAAGCAAAATGATGTCTTCGTGTGCACTAGGAAGTTTGGGGAACGCGAAGGTATGGGCCAAAATCCCGAAAAAGGCCATAAATGGGTAGAAGGAGATGAAGTTGAGGAAGGATTTCGACATATCTTCCTTATCCAAGTTTGCAATCAAGTGCAACACTGTTCTGGAACAGTCCATAGATATGTTACCGAATTTGACTAACCTATCATTGGTATCGTTATATCCGAACGGAACTCTGTTAATTAATGCCAAGTGCGAGAAGTACAACAATTTGAAGTTTAAGTTGGCATACCTGAACATTGGATCATTCATCTGCTTGAGGTTCGAGTAGGAAGGCTTAGAACTCTGTTCATAGTACATGGTGGGTCTGACTTCCGGCTCCATCATTTCAGCCATTTTGTTCATTTCGGAATTAATTTCATCCAACGAGTCCATCAACTGTTCTTGACTGGAAACAACAGCCTTAGTGCTGTAAAGACTGAGGTAACTTTTGAGTCTTAACCTGTTCAATAACAAGGTGTAATAAGCATGGTAGTATTCTGAACCACGTTCCTTGCACTTTTCAAGCAATTGCGAGCTATTCTTCGTCAATACATCAGATGTAAATGGGCTCATTGGAATAGACAAAAAGTGGTCATCAAACTCGTTCAAGACAGTCATGTCATCAAAATTGATAAGAAGGTTGTTACCAGTTCTGTAAGAATAATCAATATCCATGTACTCACAGAACCAAACCAATCTTCTTCTCAATTCTGCTTCTTCTGGAGTAACTTCAAGATAACCACTGGTGTGTAATAATCCTAAAGAGTGGCTGTGCCTGACAATGACAGACGTGAGTACTTGAGTCATGACGAAATCGGAAAGATAGTTTCCTTCCACGTAAAGAATCAACAAAGCAATACCCTGAATCGTACGGAGGCCCTCACACTGTAACGAGAGACGACCGTAACAGAAGATAGCATTATCAATACAATCTTGTTTCAAGTCATTCAAGTATTGAATGTTTGAATTGTTGAGCGTAGTGTAGTCTGGGTCCCGCAAGGATTGGCTGGTGACATTACTAATACACAAGCAGAGGGCAATGTTCATAATCAAATACTCCGAGATGCCCAACCTGTCAAGACTTCTGGAATCCGAAACAATACCATAGTAGTATCTTTGGAATAATTCCCTAACCAAATTCAAGTCACACAAGAAACTGGCTAGGTAGATAGATTCGTAATGTTTTTCGAGCAATTCAAAAATTAATGTTCTCTGTCCCACCACGAAATAACTCTTGACATCTTCAAATCCCAACGGATTGTTGGGGTCCGACCACATTTCGATGGAAGTATCCACTGCATTGCTGTAGGCGACTTTAAGGTTCTTGGCCGGTAATGCTAGCCTGTCACCTTTATCGAGTCTGTTTCTTAGAAATTGAATACTCTTCTCCGAGAAAGCACCGAATATACTGTGAGAACCGAAGTAGTACTTCAAACGGTTTTTAGTACTGGAGAAGCACACTTTCTTGGGGGTGGCGATTTTCCGCATGGTTTTTGCATCGGTGACGGCAGCAGACATTGGAACCACATCGCGGGACTTCAAGTCGGTTTTCTTGTCTGTATTTTTAGCCAACTGCAACTCCAGCTGCCTAGTTTTCCAGGAATCCTGCAGACTCACACTGGAAGGAGAACTATCGAGTTTCGAGGTCAAGTTGGTTAACAAGCTCTCCAACGCCGACAACCGGGTGGACAACGCGGAAATGGATCCGTTGGGCTGGGGCTTTGAAGGTCTGCCATCGTGCGTAGCACTCTTCGTTACCCTTCTCTTTCTTTCTTTGGGAACACTGGTGTACTGGCAGAGACGGTTGAAGCGCACACAGTTGGAGCAAGGTGCCTCGCCGTTGCACTTGCTCTTTCTCTTGCGGCAGTAGTCACACGCGGTTTTTGTTCTTTGGCGGGTCTGTTTCTGGTCGAGGGTGGTGCTGGAAATTGAGGGCATCGCCTCTTCGAACCCGTCGAAGTTTATAGGGGTGGTTGAGATTCCAGCAGCAGACATGGTGGAATAGCTGACAGTTGTTGCGGAGATGACCAACGTATGTGGATTAGTCTGGGTATAAAATTCGCCAGAGGCTGTAGTGGATTTTGCGGATTTTGGTGGGCTTGTCCACTTTCTCACTTATCTTCACTCGGATGTGTTTGGAACGTGTAGTGGATGGAGATAAGGCTGAAGAACGACTCTGAGGCACTGACAGAGCGATAAGGCACGGTAGGGCAGTACGAATGACACAGGCACGGGAACGTCCAGGAGGCGATGGATAGCTAGCAGGAACGCCCAGGATGGTAGAAGGCGGGGGTATAAGGGCGGCAATTTCGGTAGCGAGCATTGGGATTAAATACTGCGCCAGCGGAGATGGATGCGCATGCCGTGCGGTGATTAGAAATGGGTGAGAAATGTGTAGATTTTGGGCCGGAAAAGCGCGGATAGGACTTGTTCTGGAGGGACAATAAAGTCGTGGAAAGCCAGGAGATGGTCCCCGGAATACACCTACATCCCCCGGGGACGAACATGGAGTGCATCAGACCTATCGTAGCCGGTTGGCCCCATGGAGGGTCCTCCAAGATGGGTCCTGAGCAGAGGCACACACGTGACGCGCACTCGGCCCAGGGAGCCGTCGTGCGCCGGCCACCACGACTTTTCACCGCTAGCCGCTCACCGATCCAGCGGCACCACGATGGTAGTCAAGAAAGCGGCGCCCATCTTCGCCAACAAGGAGGACAGCAACTTCCGCGAGGCCCTCAAGCTCTACGATGCCAAGCAGTACAAAAAGGCGTTGAAATTGGTCGAAACCAACTTGAAAAAGAACGCCAACCACGCCGAGTCGTTGGCGTTGAAAGGATGTGCCAACTACCAATTGGGCCACAAGGACGAGGCCGAGCCCTACATCTTGAAGGCAGTGGGAAAGGGCCCCGACAACTACTTGGTCAACCATTTGGCCGGGATCTACTACCGTTCGGTGGAAAACTATCCAGAGGCTGCCAAATGGTTGAAAGCTGCAAACGATAACGGCTCGCCCAACAAGCCGATCTTGAGAGACTTGTCGTTCATGCAGACCCAGATCAGGGACTACAAGAACTTGAAGGACTCCAGACAACAGTTCTTGGAGCACCAGCCGGGCTACAGAGCCAACTGGACCGCGGTGGCCATTGCCCACCACTTGAACAAGGACTACGCCAGCGCAGTGTCGACGTTGACCAAGATCGAAGGGATCATCAAGGACCACTTGACTGACGCCGACGCCTACGAGCAGAGCGAGTGTGTTTTGTACAAGAACTCGATTATTGCCGAGGCCGGTGACTACGCCCAGGCCTTGAAGGTTCTCGATGAGGACGAGGACCAAATCAGAGACCAGTTGTCGTTCTTGGAGTACAAGGCCAAGTACCTCATGTTGTTGGGCTCCAAGAAAGAAGCCTCACTCATTTACCGTACTTTGTTGAAGAGAAACCCCGACAACATGCACTACTACAACCTCTTGGAGGCTTCCTTAGAAACTTTGGACAAGCCTATCGAGTTCAGATTGAAGTTGTACGAAAGATTAGCTTCCTTCTACCCAAGATCCGATCCTCCCAAGTTCTTGCCATTGACGTTTGTCCCAGCATCCTCTCCATTGTTCGAAGCTAAAGCGAGAGAGTACATCATTCCTCAATTGACGAAGGGTGTCCCTGCCACTTTTGTCAACGTCAAGCCATTGTACAAGGACCAAAAGAAGTTGAAGGTCATTGAGAGCATCGTTGTCGATTTTTACAACAAAGAGGCCTCTGAATCTTCCAACCCTACCATCAAATTATGGACCACTTACTTCTTGGCCCAGCACTATTTGTACTTGAACAACTTGACCAAGGCATCTGAACATATTGACGCTGCATTAAAGCACTCCCCTACCTTGGTGGAATTATACATCATCAAGGCCAGAATCTTGAAACACGAGGGCAAGATTTTGGAAGCCAGTGAAGTCATGGACCAAGGTCGTAAGCTTGACTTGCAAGACAGATTCATCAATTCCAAAACCACTAAATACTTATTGAGAGCCAATAAGGTCAACGAGGCTATTGATTGTATCTCATTATTCACCAAACTCGATGAAGATGCAGTGAACGGTTGTAAAGACTTGCATGTCATGCAATGTAATTGGGTTTTGGTTGAAAGTGCGGAAGCATACTCCAGAATGTACAAGGACTTTGAGGTCAAGCTTGAAGAATTGCGTAAAGCTGGCCCTGCTGAAGGGGAAGAGGAATCTTTTAAGGAATTGGAGAATGATTTAATTGAGAACATTGAGATCTACAAGGGATTATCTCTCAAGAGATTCCAGGCTGTGGTCAAGATCTTCAAGATCTTCTTCAACGATCAGTATGACTTCCATTCTTACTGTATGAGAAGAGGTACTCCAAGGGATTACGTCGAGACCTTGAAGTGGGAAGATAAGATTCATGCTACTCCAATCTACACTAGAGTGTTGAAGGGGTTGAGTGAGTTTTACTTTGATATTCACGAATCATTGGCAACCAAGAAGACCGAGGAAGAGCCAGTTGTAATCAAGAAGAACAACAAGAAGCTGAAGAAACTCCAAGCCCAAGCTACCAAGAAGAGAGCCGAATTGATCTCTAAGGTGGAGAGCGAAAAGGAGGACGCCGATCCTTTGGGTGCAAAATTATTGCAAGACTTGACTAACGACAAAGATATCATTGAAAGATTGTTTGAGTTGTTCAAGCCATTGATCCAAGAAGGCAGCGGACTCATCTTGACTTGGGAGACCTTGTACAGAATTTACTTGATCCAAGGAAAGTATGTGTTGGCATTACAAGCAATCAAGTCCTTGAATAAGATCCTCAATCCTTACGGCAGCGAGAACAAATTCAAGACTATTGGTAAGAAGGTTGTTGAATTGTCCGAAACTTCCAAGAACGATGACAATGCCAATGCTGCTATCGTCAAGGTAATCGAGAAGGGTTTGATCAGCGCATTCCCAGACTTTGAGAATGGTAACATTTTAGAGGTGTACACCCAGTAATATAGACTCCAGAATATAGAAGTGAGTTATCACCTTGTACTTATGAGCTACCGTATCGAGAATTAAGTGCTGGCGAGTAGTTCTTACTACAATGTAGACTATGTAATTTTCCTACTGTGAACTTCCCCAATAGATCATTTTTCGTTATTATTTATCATACATCAACTATTTATCCACCCATCGACCTGGCTTCTAGCTACATTTCCTGCTAAACTTAATGTCTGTTGGCCCATTGGAAAGTAACTGACGGTGTACCAGATCGCACTCAACAATTGCACGGCCGCAAACACGATGGATAACAAGGTGCTGTGCCACGACAAGCTGGCAATCAATGTCAAGATGATACTGGTGAGGAAAACTACTGTGAAGACCAACCTGGTAGACAGGAACAAGTGAATCATGTAGGGCTGGAAGCCCTGCAAGACTCCAAAACTGACCAAAAAGAAGATGGACCCTAACGACCACAAGAAGGCAAACTTCCTGGGTTTGAGTGCTAACACCGGAAATAAGAAGATACAGATCATGTAGCAGCACACCGAGCCTCCAAAGGTGAGAGCGAAGATCAACATACGGTCCCACCTGGAAAGTTCGAAATAGCCTGGCTCTGACGTCACGTAGTTCTCATCGTCCTCTAAGTAGACTGAGTTGTTGCGGAACGGGTTCAACTTCTGGAGTTTGGTCTTCAACGAGTTGGGGTTGTTAGGCTGGGTGGCCGGAGGGGGAAGTGGCGCTCCGTCGTCCTGGCTGACGGGAGTATAGTTGTTTTTAAAGTTCTTGAAGAAACTCATGTGGAAGGGAGTGGATTTGTACAGCCTCTAAAGTGTGACACTAGGGATTGTTGGTTGGGAGGGTCAGGGTGTCAAAATAAAGCAGTTTGGATGCTCAATGTGCGTTTCAGAGGGCAATGGCGTGTTCTGACAAGTCAATTGGCTAATGACCGTTGATAGTAATGCAATTAGATATAATTGAGGCCTGTAATCACTACAAGAATAGTAGTGACGAGTCCGGGTGGGCCGCGCACGACGCGGTATTGGATAAACCCACCAGATCATTTCAGAGTGAGTGTTCCTCAATCCGAATATCCTTCCCCAATGTCCGACGAAAAGAAGTTTGTGGAGACGTTTCTCCAGCTCATCGCCCTTGCCGATGACACTGCTGCTGACCAGTTCAATTCCACCTCCGACTACGGCAAAATCGAGTCCTTGGGGCCCAGTTTGCCCAAGCTAGACTTCGACTTCCCTAAGCCCAAACAAGCTGAGGATGGCGAGACCAAGATCGCGGTGGCATTCAAGTCCATCAAGCCACCTTACAAGTTCAGCTCGCTGGTGGACAACGTGCCGGTGTCGTACTCCATATACAAGCTCAAGGGCGACTTGATTGAGACCACTCCGGTGTTGAAGGAGGCAGGCGTGGAGCCCGCAAACTTGAAGTTCATGTTCAAGTCCAAGGTGTTGCTGGATACATCCATCTTGTCCAGTTTGCCCACCCTTGAGAACGTTTCTATTATGGTGATGGTGTCTGCACCCGAAGCCAAGCCTGCCGCACCAGTGCAAGCAGAGGCTGCCGATGCCGACCCCGAGGTAAGTGAACCAGTGGTCATTGGAGCGGCCACTTGGGCCAAGATCCATAAGGTGTTACAGGAGGATTTGGGAGCGAAGGCCCAGGAGGCCCTCGAGAAATTACAGAGCAAGTGGGAGTAAATCAGCATATTATAGTCATTTTCAGAATCCAGAATAAATACGTTATTAGATTGAGAATCTCATCTTGTGAGTCTAGCACCATCAAGGTCATTACTAATGAGTACCGAATTGGATGAACCACGGGACCGAGGTGTAGTGGGAATTGTATTCACGCAAGAGACTCCGTATAGTCTTGAGCAGTGAATTAGCTTCGTAGAGAGATGCCATTAACTTTATTCAGTGTGCACCAGCAGATACAGGGCCTCTTCTGGGATTGTAGAAGTACACCATGAGAACACTGGAACATGTCTAAGTTTCAGGACGCTCTAAGCATGCCCTGAATTTGAACCAAGGGACTATTGCAATAGTCGTCTGCTTCTTCAGTATCAGGCCTTCCTGACACCGAGTACAGCATCCGCCCTCTAAAGCACCAACTCATTGCTCAACTCCCACCATCCGTCTACGAGGCAAGGCTCCTCACTTGCTGCCTCTGAACTTCTGCGCAATCAACTGGTTCAAGTAATGGCCCTCTTCTCTACCGTGTCTCTTTTCGTACAAGTAGTAGGAGGCCACACCCATTCCGATGCCGAAGATCGGATCAATCACTCTGGATATCAAATACGGATACTGCATCGTTGGTTCGTTGTTCCTGTCTATCGCTCCAGATATTAGCAGCACTTTCAGACCCACCAGATCCCTGTAGACGCGCGTCCGGGTAACTGCACCCGCTATATGAAAATTTTCTCTACACACTAAGTGATCTCTAACCAACCCGTACATTAATCAAAATGGCTGCTGTCTTTCCAAGAACCTGTTACAAGTGTGGTGAATTAGGCCACATAGCCGACGACTGTCAACAAGAAGGCAGATTGTGCTACAACTGCCGCAAGCCTGGCCACGAGTCCACCGAATGCCCTGAACCAAAGCAAGCCACTGGCAAGCAATGTTTCTCCTGTGGTGATGTTGGCCACGTCCAGTCCGACTGTCCTACCCAATCCCAGGGTGCCAAGTGCTACAACTGTGGCCAATTCGGACACATCTCCAAGAACTGTGACAAGGAGGATGCTGGCCAAAAGAAGCCAGCCCGTTTCAGCTCCAAGCCAACTGGCACCACCTGTTACAAGTGTGGAGGTCCAAACCACTTTGCCAGAGACTGTCAAGCCGGTATCGTCAAGTGTTACGCCTGTGGTAAGACTGGCCACATCTCCAAGAGCTGTACCTCTGCTGCTGGTGGTGACTCTGCCATGAAGACCTGTTACAACTGTGGTGAAAGCGGTCACATTTCCAAGGAATGTCCTGCTGCCTAAGTCAGTTTAAGTTGAGGAGGAGGCAAGTGCCCTGCTAAATTGGTGGTGGAGTTAGCATCTGTGTTTGAAGAACACCAAAATGTAACGCTAATGTCAATTCAACTGTATGATCTTTCTTTCGACTAATTTTCTTTCAATCATTGTGCTTTATTCTGGGCTTTCTTTGGTTTTATCAATCAATGTATATAATATAGTCGAATCAATGTGGACCTTTATGGGTCTAATAGGTATTTGAATGGTGCTCATATTTCCTGTTCCTGGACCATGGATCGAATGCTGTGTCCACGACGTAGTAGTTTTCCACTCCAGCTTGTAGCTTCTATCTCATCTTGGAGGGTAGCAATAGTTTATCTGCTGATAGTCTAGAAGAATTGACTTCGAGTAAATACAACAAACCTAGAATGGAAGTTAGCCTGGCTGTAGCTGGGACGATAATTCTTTGCTTTATAGTTTCCGAAGTAGGGTAGTGAATTGATGCAAGATTAGTGGCCACAGCAATTAATATTCCTGGTTGTATCGAGATGCTCCGGTGGAGTTTATCTCATCGATCGAGCCTATCATGACAAAAGCACTTGGGATTAGCGATGTGATATATGTTCTTTCCTCAAGAGTCCCATGAGCTGCCATGCTGAGTTGTGAAGTATGGATGCAGTAAATTCAATTATCAGAACTACCTTCTTCCACGGACTGATTGCGAAAAGTCCACAACCACCTCGTATCCATCAATCACACAGCCTCCATGTAGAGCATTGTATGCTTCTTCGACCTGCTTCTCGCTTTCTAACTCCACGAACGCAAAGTTCTTGATGATGGTACTTCTCACTACCTGCCCAAATCTTCCGAATATAACCGATAACGAGTCCTCAGTAGTTATTGGGTTCAACCTGGCCACGAACAACGTCGTGGGCGATGGCTTGGCCTTGTAGTGGTGTAGGTCACCAATGAGTTCTAGTGAAAGTGCCTGGACTGTGGATGAATCCTCTCCAGCAGTTTCACTGCGAGAAAATCTTGAGTTTTCGATCTGGAGTGCTGTTGGGACCGCCACTCTTATGGCTTGGTCAAGTCCTATAGTCTTGCGGAACGGATCATGGATGGTGTGGACGTGGGTGATCCGGATATCGTTGACAAATCGTCCGGATGTGTCCACAGCAGCAATGTTGATGGTTTGCAAGGTGTCGAAGCCCTCAACCACTACTGCAAACGGGATGTGGTGACTAGTATCGATATCCAAGATTTTGGAGGTCAAGGAAATGGTAAATTCCGAGCCAACCACAGTTTTGTCCAGGTGCTTCGACGCCACAAATGAGACTTTTCCCATATCATGGGTCAGGTGGTCGTCTTCGACCACAGGCACTATCACCTCGATGTTGTCCTCCTTGGAGATACCAGGTTCGGGACACACATAGTGGCATGCAGCATAGTTTTCTGTTTCCAGTGGATAATTAGGAAGTCCACAAGAAACTAAGTGGTCTTTGTGCAAGCCATAGAAGGGACTGAAAAAATAGTGATTCAACTGGCAGAGACGAAGAAAGTTCCAGCTGAGGGTCGGGTGGTTCTTGTAGTCGAGGTCAATGACAATGTTGCCCTCGGTGGTTTCTAGGAGAATACTCATTGGTTTTATAGTGTAGAAACTACCGTGTAGGTTATGGAAGTGCCTGCAGGATGCGACCGCAAAAAGATGGGAAGAGGACAGAAAGAGTGACGAAAACGAGAAGAAAAGAGAAGTCAGGATATTTAACTAGGAGATGATGTTTGGCAGTGGCTTGGTGGTCAGGAATGGTTACGGTTTAAGGAGTTTTGTGGGACGAAATGGTGTCGAGCACATAAATGTGAATTTTGTAGACTATTAATTACTGCGAAACGTACGTTGACAAAAGGACCCAAAAGAAATCACAGAAGAGGTCATAGCCAATGGGAGCATACTTTTCGACCGGAGCGACCACTACGGGGTCAATAGAGCAAGTAATTGGCAGATATTAGCCCTGCTACTCTTGCCCATATTGGCGACCTGCATATAATAAGATACCCTGGTGGCTGTTTGGTAGGATTTCTTGAAAATTCCTGCTGCGGTGCAAAAGATGCGTCGATTCGGGTGAAGATGCGGCAGAGTCGATGGAATTTACTCCAGTTTCTGGGTTTATTTCTTGTGGTCTGAAAATGTTCAGTTTTTGACAGATCCTCTCTCGATTCCTAATTGTCAAGATAAGAATATTGTTTCAGCATTAAATAATATTGATGGAACATGTAACCAGTCCACTTTATCTTTTCATGATAAGAAAATAGGTGATTTAAAGTAGTTCACGTTTCATGCTGTTTCACTTTCATTCTTGGATCAATGGGAAATATAAAGAATGCACCAGGCAAGTAAGGTAATAAATAACACCAGGAGCCGTCCTGCGGGCGTGGTGCCTATCCAAAGACCATATCCTATCAAAAAATTACTGGAAGGACTGACATAGTTTTGAATAATGGTATCGATCTTGGTAGGCTTGACATAAATTTGCGTGGGTCCACTAATTGATTCCTCGACATCGCTGAGCTCAATTGCAACTGTGCTCTCGGTCGGATCGTGCAGCATGTGTCTGTTGGGGCGCTCGCTAGGCAATAACTGCAAATACCCCGATGGCGCAACAAGTGATTGTGGTGGTTTGAGAGGTACAGTGATGTGGAGATAAACTGGATGGTGGTCCGACTGGAGCAATGATGCTATGCTGCTATACTTCTTGACCAATGGCAATCTTTGGACAGACTCTTTCTTGCGAAGAAGTAATCCCTCTCGCAAGTCCTCGTCTTCGTATGTCGACTGGTAGAGAATCCGATCGCACCAAGATGGCGATCTTTTGGAGTTGTAAATCGCAGTATTGACGTGGAACTTGTAGGTGGGTGCAAATGTGATACAGCCTTCAGAAAACCCGGCAAAGATATCTCCGCTACCTTTTCCTATGGATAACTCGTCGTATTTACGGACCAAATGCTCTATGGTTTCGGTATGGTTGGCGGATTGATCTTGCAATGCAAACAAACTCTTAGAGGCTTCCGACTCAAACTTATAGTTTTTGGAAGTTCTATAATTCAAGTCTCCCATGAAAAAGGTGTGATTCTTTGGCTTGAGCAATGCATACCCGTCTGAGAAGTCTAACGACCTGATTATGCTCAGAAGTTTTTCGTTTCTGCGTCTATAGTAGATTTCGCCCTCGTACGCTGGTAGATGAGCGCTAGCAAAGGTCAACTCGACGCTCTTCTGGCTCAATTTCGCTCCTGGAGGCAAATAGGTGAGCCTGATACCTGCTGCACCTTTTAATGAGGAGTATCCGTAGCCACACGAACTGCTAGCATACTTTATCCGCTCAAACCGCAGTGGATAAGGAGAAATTGCAAGCAAACCAATGGCACCCACATGTGTGATGGCCACAGTTTGGAACCGTACGTCCCTTTTGCCGTACTTTGTGCTTAATGCTTGTAAGAAGAGACCATTCAATGAGATCATCTTTCTAGCTGCCACGTCAGGGAAACTTCCCTCCATCACCGAACAGAACTCCTGGACACCAAACACGTAGAGTGCTGCCAAATCATCGGGAAGAGCGTCTGCAAGCTTGGAGACGAAAAGGTCGCCACTGAAGGTCTGCTTGTTGATGTTGTAGGTGAGGAGAAAGAGATCAATTCCATTGGATTCAGACATATCGGAACTTGTCGAAGGAAATCACGGGAGAGAATGGACGAGTATGGCCGAGTTCTGGTTGATCTTACGCAAGGAGCAGTTCAGGACTGGGGGGCTCGCTTTGTAGACTGTTAGCAAGCTGGTACTACCAGGTAGCAATACTGCAGATGATAGTGTTGAGAATGCAGGTTGGTGTTTGCAGCTTCTGGGGCCACCACCACTGATGGGCACCAGGACTCGGGAGTCTATCGCTGACTCGGGAGAGCCGGTCAGTAATGGCTACAAGAACCCCTACATGGACGTGAACGACTAGCTCCGCCAGTGCTATGCGATTTCTGCCTTCAGGTTCCTCTTGTGAATTGCCCCAGCTCGCATTTATGACCAACCAATATTACAGTTTACTCTCTCACCATCTCATCTCCACATCATGTTCCCGTACATCGAGTCCCAGCGGTCTAAGCTCGAGGAAATCGATGCCATCGAGTCCAACATAGCCAAGCGCTTCAAGCGCAACCCCTACCTTCTTCCGGAGAGCCGGCGTCCGTCTCCCGATATCCTCACTGCTACCAGAGCCAACAAACGTTCCCAGAAGGAGTCGGTCTTGCAACAACACGAAATCAAAAGGTTTGTTGAAAAGTACAGCACTCTTCGTGCCAACGTGCTTGGATTCAAGGAGAAGAACGAGCTCTTTCAAGAGGAATTGACCCGGATATCGGATCCCAAACTCACTTTCAGCGCATTCGATGAGGCCTTAGAACTGATCAAGCAAAAGCATGAGCAGGACTCCGCTAGCGGAGTCCTGCTGTTGGCTGCAGAAGATATCAACAAAGTGTATGCTCCATACTCAGGTGCTCTATTGGAAGGCAACCCTGCGAAAGTACAGAGATTGAACACCTTCGAAGACAAGGAAAAAGTACGAGTCAAGAAACGCTACATTATCAGTGAAGCAGCTGCTAACATAGATGTGGACCAGCTCTTCACTAGTGAGGAGGAATTCGGAAAGTTCCTTGATCTTTTGTTCGCCTACGAATTATACAAACAACACCTCAACACAGAAATTGCATCGTACGTGGAGTTCACTTATAAACTCAATAACTACCCGCTGATGGCCAAGAACGAACATTTTGACACATACCTCCATCAGATAGTGAAATATCTCGAGCAGTTTATTGTCAAAACGAACCCGTTGCTAGATACCACGAAATTGTTAGGAGATCTTTACAGTACATTCGAACCCGGTGATGTTGAAAGCCTGAAAACCCCCACCGACGAATTGTTCTGTGTAGCCTGTCAGAAGACATTTACGAAGGCTACGGTATACGAGGGACATTTGTCAGGGAAGAAACACAAGAAAAATGTCGAAAAATCTAGTCAGAAATCGGAAAACAACAGGCTCTACTTGCAATTCCAACTTGATCAGCTCTTGAAACATTTGAGCCCAGTGTTAGATGCTACCAGAAATAATGCCACTAGAAAGGAAGGAATGACAGAAAGGGAGAAAATGATTGAAGAAACCGGAAAGGCAGGAGACGAATCAGAGTACACTACTGTGAACTCTTCGGATTCGGAGTTTTCTGATTCTGATTCTGATGCAAACAGCGATGAAGATGAATATGAAAATTACAAAGATTTGCCCTTGGGTGCTGATGGTACTCCAATTCCTTTCTGGTTGTTCAAACTCCAAGGATTGAACAAGAGCTATCAATGTCAAATTTGTGGGAATATTAGCTACAAAGGTAGAATGGCCTTTGATAAGCATTTTTCAAGTGCCAAGCACCAGCATGGTTTGAGGTTCTTAGGGATTACTGACGAGTTTCTACCTTTATTCAAAAGTATTGTGGATATCGAGGAAGCAATCGATCTCTGGAAGAAGATAAAACGTGACAAGCGAATTGACGAAGGAGAGGTGGAAAATGCCGTGGAAGTAGAGGACGAAGATGGGAATGTAATGAGTGAAAAAGACTATCTAGAGTTAGAGAGACAAGGGCTTTTGTAGGTCCAGAAATAATCCCTCAAAACATCCAGTTAACTTGCCCAATTAGAGCAAATGCACTCACTTTCGTATAACTCAAAAACCTACTAACAAGGTCACAGCTTATTTATGGAGCTAGCTTGTGCTCTTGGAACAATTTTGGTATTTTGCCATCTGAGGGCTCTCTTGGCCTTCAATGCTAATGATTTTGCCAAATATGAGCAACGTTGTACAAGGAAAACCACCCACCGGTTGTGATAAACCCCAATAGTAATCCTATCGTATTTATACCTGGGAGAAATGGCTGAAAAGTGCCGTATTTCGTTCTTGATTACAGTTGTTGAAAGTTTGTTCTCTATGCACGGGAAGAAAAGGCTCAGTATTATAACGTCTTAGAACGTCTTAGAATATACCCAACCATGAAACAATCCTGTGGTGTGAGACTTGGACTCTGTGACAATAATATGATGAGCAGTTGCACGGGAAAAATTGTTTGAAGTAATGATCGAAGACGCAGATGCACAGAAGCATTATAGGCTTATTCGACCAAAAGGTTATTCAAGCGTTGTTGAAATATAGCACGCAGTTGAAGAAACTTAACGGCAGAAAATATGAAACATCAGATCCCAAATCTCAGTTTTTAAGAGGTAAAGCGGGTTTTTGATATTAGTACTACTGCTAAGCTGAAACTAACTATAAAGCAGAACCTTGCATTTACAGCTGCTATTGATCCTGCAACAATGACACTGTCATCATTACGAACTCTAAATCCAATTTCCAGTTACGGGTATCAATTCCGAACAAAAGGATGGAGCGAAGTGAAAGCCCCAAAATGCCCCAATACACATCATAATTCTAGCTGATTAACAGTGATGCTTCAGCGATGGCCTAAATTTGGGCACGCTGTTGATAACGGTAATTTTCTATACTATCAACTGCTACAGATTTAAAAGTGTTCTATGGCAACTAAGCAGTCCAGTTACTGGGCAGGAGAAACACATTATCGATTAGTGTCACCTGGCCAGAGTTCCCACATTCTGCTCTTTAGGCAACAAAGTTCCTAGGTTAAGCTGCTGGTAGATTAGTTGAAATTCAACAAAAACCAATTTCTTGCATTGTGACATGTGTCAACGGAAAAGATTGACTATACGTGAATATAAAACTGCACAATTATTTTGTAGATATTTGGAATCTGGCACTCCTTCAATCACGAAATTATTCAGCACCAGTATAGCTGTATTCCAGCCTATTGCAACTCAAGAAAGTCACATACTGATCCCATGCCACAAGACTAGATATTAATGTAGATCAATGATTACTATAAATTAATTTAGACTAATACTTACCAAACTATGCTGATAGGTCCAGTAAAATCATACAACCTGACAACATACTCCCATCCATTGTACATCTCCCACTTCACACCCTCCGTTGTAACCTTCCCATCTGTAGACCCCATACTATCGCAAATTGCTTATTTCTTCTAGCCCATCGCTTATTCCCCATCGCACCGGCGTATACGCCAAATTCGGTCTCAGAGATCGAAAACTAATGAACATACGATCTTTTGCCAGATACCTCTACAAAATGGAAGTTCCAGCTAAAAGACCAGTGTCGCCGTCTCTGGAGATACCTCCGCCTGACAAGAAGCTCAGAGACTCAAAAGGATTCAGAATGAAGCGCCAGTACATCGACAAGCAAACGCTTACTGCCTATGAACAGTTGGGAGGTGAAACGTCTAGCGATGCCAGCATCAACAAAGAAAAGACCATTCACGAGGAGGAAGCAGAGGGTGCCAAGTACATCATCGATGGCAGGCTCAGAAGAGTGAATCCGTACTACTTCACTTACCTCACCTACTGCAAGATGAGATGGAGAGACCGCAATCTCTTGGACATCTTTGTCAACGAGTTCCGGGACAGGGACGCCGAGTTCTACAAGAAAACAATAGCAGCTGGCCAGGTGACCATCAACAAGAAGCCTGCCGACATCAACACCATTGTACGAAACGGAGACTTGATCAGCCATCGTTGTTTCAGACGGGAGCCTCCAGTTACCTCCAGAGAAATCAAGATCGTGCACGAGGACGAGAACATCATCGCCATAGATAAACCTTCCGGGATTCCTGTCCATCCCACCGGAAGGTATAGGTACAACACGGTGACCAAGGTGTTCCAGCATGAATTGGGCAAAACTGTGCATCCGTGCAATCGACTCGATAGACTCACCAGTGGGTTGATGTTCTTGGGAAAGAACGCCAAAGGAGCCGATGGATTTGTGCAACAGATCAGAGACAGAACCGTCAAAAAAGAGTATATCGCTCGAGTCAAAGGAGAATTTCCCGATGGCACCACGGAGGTGGATCAGCCATTAAGCACCGTAGCCCCCAAACTTGGTTTGAATCGTGTCGATGTCGCCAATGGAAAGGAGGCCAAAACCGTCTACAAAAAAATTTCTTACGACAAAGAGTCCGATACCTCCATAGTCAAGTGCCACCCCTTGACTGGAAGATCGCATCAGATCAGAGTCCATTTGCAATACTTGGGACATCCTATAGCCAACGACCCCATCTATTCCAATGAGTTTGTGTGGGGAAAGTCATTGGGCAAAAACAACGAAGGAAACGATGAAGAAATCATTCAGAGATTGGACAAAATTGGGAAGGATGTAGCTGCTTCATCCTGGATCCACCCTGAGGGAGATGGCGAAACCTTGAGTGACGAGATTTGTGAAGTTTCTGGCATGCCTATCTACTCGGATCCCGGTCCTAATGACTTGGACTTGTGGCTCCACGCCTATAAGTATGAAGCAGAAGACAAGTCCTGGTCTTACAAGACAGAGTACCCAGAATGGGCTATTAATCCCCAAAGAAAATTCATGGAGTTGGCCATTGAAGAAGCTAAGAAGTGTGGGGAGACCCAGACCCAATTTAATGTTGGTGCTGTATTGGTGCACCGTGGAGAGGTGTTGGCCACAGGTCATTCGCGTGAGCTCCCTGGCAACACCCATGCCGAACAGTGTGCTCTTGAAAAGTACTTCGAGGCCACTGGTACCAAGGACGTTCCTGTTGGCACTGAAATATATACTACCATGGAGCCATGCTCCTTGAGATTGAGTGGAAATCTTCCGTGTGTTGATAGAATCTTGAACTCTAATATCAAAACCTGTTTTGTTGGAGTGGTTGAACCTGAGATTTTTGTCAAAAACAATTCGAGCTTGAGCAAACTCAGTGCTAAGGGTGTGGAGTATATTCATATACCTGGCTATGAGGAGATATGTTTGGAAATTGCGAAAAAGGGCCACGAGAAGATGGAGCACAAGATAGAAGCCAAAGAAGATACCACCGAGAAAGATCAAGAGAAGATAGAAGCCAAAGAGGAAACCAACGAAAATCAAGAGCACAAGAAACACAAAGATACCAGCGAAGATCAAGAGCACAGAATAGACTCTAAGGAGAGCAAATAGATCTACCACAGGGGTCTTGGTAGACCACCACAAATATTAAATACTACACTCAATCCCTTTGAAATAAACATTCCTTTGCATTTCCTTAAACCGTAGATCGCCATTCTATAAATAATACCAGTACCTTTAGGCGATCAGGATTCGTCGTCCGAATTATGGAACCTGACCTCCTTTGTGGAGTAGACAAAAACGTTCCTTCTGTTCCTAGAACTTCCCTCCAAATTTTCCCCTGTAGGAACGCTATCCACAGCATCGGGCCTGGTGCGGGTGGAAGTTTGGTGATTGCTGAGCTGAGCATCCATGCGCTCCAAATGGGTGTTTTTGGATCTTGAAGCGTCAATGGACTGGGTAGAGACACTGACTGATCTTGGGATTGCAAAACCGGCTGCAATAATGTTATCAGTCAACGCCAAAAAGCTCTCCTTAGTCTTCCGTAATGTCATAAAAAGCCTGTTGGTCTTGCCTATGGTGGCAGAGTCAGGTATCGAGTGATTCAGCCTCTGGGACTGGCTTGAGCTTCCTTCTTGTCTTGATCTATCGAGCAATTCTATATCCTCGCCGTTTCCCCCAGAGAAATCGTCGTCTCTGTCTTCCTCCACGAAAAGCTCGAATCTGTCAAGTTCGTACAACTCGTCCTCGTAGAATTTTCTACCCAAAACTCCCTCCTTTTCCTTGGCTTTTTGAATGATATTGAATTTGTTGCACCATTCCCAAGGGATCACCACACATATGACATAGGTGACCACCGAGAACACCTCGGACAACTCGTAGACAAACGCGTTGGAGACGTCAGCCACGAAGAACGCCACGGGGCTGTATATCAACACGATCGTAAGCAACGAGAGCAACCAGATTGTCTTGTTTGCGATGATGTAGTAGATCTTGGTCAAGAGGTACACCGAGATGATGGCTGCGTAGCAGAGCCCCATGACGATCCGCACAAGGTAGATGAACGCGGGAAGGGTGTCTCCAGCCTCGTTATTGTCTTTGAACTTGTAGAACTTGGCCACGGCCCAGATGACTTGCGAGGTGATGGATGCAAAGATGCCAATGAAAAAGGCAGTTCTCTTGTCCTTTTGGCGCAGGAAGATGCGCATGATGACCTGGACCTGGTTAATCTGGAGGAGAATGACCACCACCAAGTCCACGATGTTGATGGGCAAGTAGTCGTTGATGACCTCCAAGAGCTGGGTGCCGTGCAAGTACCCAGCACGCTGCTGGTCGTGGAGCACGGCCATGGACTTGCCCACCACAAGGAGAATGTAGAACGACGACAACATGGTGGATGCCTTCATCAACAACGAAGGCTTGATCGTGTAGTTGGTGAGCACGAAGATGGTAAGGAACCAGATGATCACAAACAGGATGGAGATGGCGTACACGATGGACACCACGCTGTAGGCAAAGGACCCCTGGGCGTTGTTCTTGGTGAACATCTGCCACGACTGCGCCGCGATGGGCAACGGCGTGGTGAACTTGTCGATGACGAGTCCCATGTTGGTGTTCATCATGGGTACCGAGTCGTGCCAGCACTGCTGCTGGTATACCCCAGATGTGATGTGCTTCACGGGCGAGTAGACGTAGTGTGAGATAAGCATGCCCTCCGAGAGGTTGATGGGCTTGCACGAGGGATATGCCTCTTGTTTCCACCAGTTATACCGCCAGTACATGGTGTAGTTTTGGAGTGGTAGGCGCTGTGGAAGGATGATTTATGGTATGGTGCGAAATGGTTCTTGGCAGATGGTGCAAGTGCCAAACTAATAAATTGCGAGAGTATTGGTAGGAAATTGAGAAGTGATCCGTAGCAGACCCGAAGAGGTGCCTTATACAGTTAGGGCACGTACCTAGTACCGATCTCGATTTAATGTATTAGGTCAGAAATGGAGAAATATACCATTAGATGATACAGTTAAAGGTGTTGCTATTTTGGGTAGCTGCTAAAACTATGAGTTTTGACTGCTTGGCCTGTAGTATGCAGATTTTCTATCCTGTCGTAATCTTTCCAGTAGTATTAAGTGCCCTAACTGGGTGTGGCTAAACCTGTCATTATAAGTCTGCAAAATTATGAGCTACAATATTGAACCTAGACCATAATTAAAGGAACTACGAAAGCCAAATCCATATCAAGATGTCAGTCTGGTTCTCGATGTGCAATTCCTCTCTCTCGAGACTACACTCTCTTGGATAACTACTGTAAATTTCCCAAGTAGACTTTGCCTCGTAATTCACCTCTGGTGCTCATAAAATCACCAATAGCGAATTCAAATTCTTACCATCCAAACAATTCAAAATTCATGTCCTATTGTGCTATCCCGAAATAAAGAAAGAGAACACAAGTCGCCCATCAAGTGTATATGGTGCCTAACAGTCCAGTAAAATTGTCACTACCAGAACCACTTATGAAATCTAGCCATACATTTCATCTCCACCCTTAATTTGTCACAATTCCTATTGGTGCCGCAAGTGGCAGCTTCTCTGATCTTGGCAACGCCCTGCACGCGCTCGTGCCCCTTCCGACCCCTGCCTGTCTGTTCCTGCCCCATTCACAACCTANATCACCTTTGATGCTGGGCGACATTGTCGCGCCTCCGATCGCCTATAACGACACTTCACTCTGGCAGTCTCCACCACACGGCCATGGCACCCGAGGACAAAACTGAAGGTAGTGGGTCAGGCCGCCCTCCCACGGTGGGTGGGGCCCACACGCTGGCGGCCAATTACCTCCTGACGCCAAAATCCCACCAGCGGACCGATTCGTCCTACTCCAGAAACTACTCATTGTTAGACATCTACGGCACAGAATCTCCCTTGGAAGAAGGCACAGCCCTGCCTGAAAGAGGTCTCGACGCCAGCATCATGAAAGAGTTGGACAGGCTCGACTTCCACGATACCGACAACTCGTTGACCCTTGACGAGCCCGAAATCGCCAGCCCTATCACCATTGCATTCGACCGCAAGAGCCAGATCCAGCCGATAAGCCCAGACAACATCGACGGACTCTTGAAGTCACCATACGACCGCTACGGTTTCAAAAAGGCCTCTGCCCACCACAGCACCACCAAAGAAGAGTACAACGAATGGTTCAAAGAGTACTCCCAGTACTCGCTCCGTCGCAAGAAGAAGTGGCTCTTGCTCATGAAATCTAACGGCCTCGGCCTCGACAACGACAATGCCATTCCCACCAGGTTCCCTCCCAAATCTGACAAGGTCAAGAAGATGATCCGGAGAGGCATACCTGCTGAATGGCGAGGCAATGCCTGGTTCTTCTACGCTGGTGGGAATGAAAAATTGAACAAACATGTGGGTGTTTACGATAGGATCGTCAAGGACACTGCCGAAGTCCAAAACAAGGATACAGAAGTTATAGAGCGGGACTTGAACCGGACTTTCCCTGATAATATTTATTTCAACGACATGCTAGGAGCGGATCCCGGATCGTCCTCCACCACCATTAATACAGACTCGCTCCCAACTGCAGAAACAGGTATGATTAAATGCTTGAGGCGAGTGTTGGTGGCTTTTGCCCACTACCAGCCCCAAATAGGGTACTGCCAATCGCTCAATTTTTTGGCAGGCCTTTTACTATTGTTCATGGAAGAGGAAAAAGCATTCTGGATGCTTGTGATTTTGACAGAGCGAATCATTCCAAAAGTCCACTCGGCAAACTTAGAGGGTGTCCACACAGATCAGGGTGTTTTGATGCTCTGTGTAAAAGAATACATTCCTCAACTTTGGAGTATTCTTGGAAAGACATTCGAGGGAGAGACCCTTTCGGAGGACAAAATTCTCACCAGGCTTCCGCCAGTGACTCTCGTGACTTCCTCGTGGTTCATGTCGTTATTCGTAGGAATTTTGCCTATTGAAACAGCCTTGAGAGTGTGGGATATATTGTGGTATGAAGGCTCCAAAACCATTTTCAGGATCTCGTTAACTATCTGTAAAATGTGCCTTGATAATCCAGAATTCCAGAAGGCTCGTGGCACTTCGGGTGGAGGTGCAGAGATGGATCAAATCGAGTTATTCCAGTTCATGCAAAATTTTCCGAAGATTATACTTGATCCAAACTTTTTGGTTGACAATTGTTTCAAGAAAATTGGTGGGTATGGTTTTGGATCGTTGCCCCAGGATGAAATTAACAATTGTCGTGAGTTTGTCTCAAAACAGCGAAGTAAGTTGAATAGCAAGAAAACTTCGAGTCTTGCTACAGAGTTGACAGATGAGGAGAGAAAAACATTGATATCGAGCTCAGGTAGCTCCTACAATGATGAAGATGGAAGTATCCACGACGTTTACGGGTTTCATAGATCTATTATGAGTGGGGTGGTGTGGAATAAGAATATGAGCAATAAGATGAAGAAGAAATTCTCTAAAAGATTAAAGTGATCATTTTTCTATTCAGCTCCGACTTGAATGTGTTAAAAAAGGAATTCTATATTTTTCCGTCTAATTCCTACTCGTTCGTTTATGTCTTCGTTAGAAAATACCTTCTAACCTTGGCTGTTTGCATTTATCACCAGGCTATTGCCGGTAGCCTCTAGGATTACATTTCGTGGTGAAGACTTGTTCTTCAACAAGCATCGCCTACCATTTGATTAGTCATTATCTTATATTAATATACAACTATTATTCTCTTAGAAAAGTTCTCTATAAATTGCATCGCCGATTTTGATTGCCTCCTTGGCTTCCTTCACATCGTGAACCCTGACTATGTCAGTATTTTGCTCAATACAAGCAATGATTGCTGAAGCTGTACTAATAACACGATTAGCGGCAACCGGTTGATCTGTGAGAGTACCCAAAAACTTCTTTCTTGATGGTCCCAACAAGGTTGTCAATCCATTGAAACTTAAGTAGGAGTGGGTAACTGAATTGTCAGTCGGGTCAGTCTCGTTCACTAACACTGAATACTTCTTGAAAGTCGACGCATGTCTTATGATAGAAAGATTCTGTGGTAGGTTCTTGGCAAACCCGATACCTGGGTCAGCAATAATTTGCCATTTTTTGACTCCTGCTTTGAAAGCCTTCAACATTTGAAGACTCAACTCTCTAGAAATGCCGTTAATTAAATTATTCACTTCGGGCTTGAACTTCAATTCTTGGTGCTCAGAGTTCTGGCCAACAATATACTCAATGATATCATCATTGGTATTTGACTCATATGTGGTTAATTTGCTCATGGTCTGTGCGTTACCTCTAGTATGATTCATGATGTATGGACACCCATACTTGGCAACAACTTCGAATATTCTTTCATCGTACAAACCCATAGAAATATCGTTAATGATGTCTGCGCCATTTATCAAACATTGTTCAGCAACATCTGCTCTATAGGTATCAATAGAAATGATACAGTTGGCTAACAGTGGATCAGGATGACTTCTAATGGCCTTAACAACGGGGATTATTCTTCTGAGTTCTTCCTCCAAAGATGGCTCTTCAGCACCAGGCCTAGTGGAAACACCACCAATATCTAAAATTGTTGAACCTTGCTCAATCAACTCTTTTGCTTTCACTAAAACAGATTCAATGGAAGCATTGCTGTTGCCCCCATCACTGAAAGAATCTGGGGTGATGTTCAAAATACCCATAATCAATGTTGAATGTCTGTAATTCAATTGGTCAAAAGTCAATGGGTTATGCTTTAATCTAGGAATTGGAATGATTTGATGTAAATGATGAGATTCTTGAAGCGACTCGTCTGGCTTACTCATCAATATTTGCTTCAAATGGTTATGAATTGGCTCTGCACTTACTGGATGGATAAAATCCGGTGGAATCAACTCACATAATGGTTGAAGAACAAATGTTCTTTCCAACATCGAGATATGAGGAATATTCAAATCTGGTGAATTGACAATCCGATCGTCATATAAGATAATGTCGAGATCAATGGACCTTGGTCCATTTTCAAACTCCTTGACTCTGCTAATATGACTATACTCGATCTCTTTCAATGCCTTCAATAAGTCATGAGGGGATTTGTCCTTAAATGCAACTTTGATGACACCATTGTAGAAATCATTTTGGTCCTTGTAATACATTGGCTTTGAAATATACAATGACGAGGTTGAAATTAAATCGATATTGTAGCTAGCCAACAATGCCAACGCCTTGTTGATGTTTTCCATGGGGTCGCCTTCATTGCATCCAAACGCAATGTACGCGGTGTGTTGTGAGATGTTGTTTAAAGATTCTTCGGCTTGAGAAGGAAGATTGAATGAGTTACTGCTGAACTTCTCGCCGGCATCGATGACAATTGGTTCAACGTCTTTGAAGGAATTTGAGGTCATGTCGGAGCTCACACCCACACCAACAGTGAAACTAATAGCATTAGGTTTGGTGACCTTCGCATTGACTGATTCGATTCCTTTAGGGTGGTTCTGAAAGATCAATTGACCTATTTTCATCACCAAGGCCTCAACTGTCTTGAAATTACTTCCTTCGACGTATTGTACCACGTCGTTGATGATTTTATGGATTGTGATGTCGGAGTTTTTGGCCACAGTCAAGACCAAATCGATATCCACGATTTGACGCTGAAGTCTTTCGAACGTGAACACACCAATAATAGTCAACAACTTGAGGCCCAGCACTTTGACTCTGTCGTTGTCGGTGACCACGTCCAACTTGGATCTTTGGATGGAGTATTCAATGGAATCGGCTCTGATCTCAGACTTGGTGCTTTTGATGGTAATCGAGGCTGTGTGGCCACCTCCTTTCTTCTCGTCAAGCACAACCTCGCTGATGGATTCGCCGATGTTGGCCAAGGACTTGAAGTTCTTGTGTTCGTTGTTCTTCATGAACTCCAAGATGTTTCTTGAGATCACTGCGTAGTTGAGCGAGTATTTTAAGTTGTCTGACACAGATGCCTGGTGGAAGTCTGTGTTCAATTCCACCGACACCTGGATGGGTTGGGGTGTTGGTCTATTCCAGGCATCCTTTCCAGTGATGGCTGTGGCTGCCACTTCTTTGATGAATACGGTATCTCTGAGCATGCTGGAGGAGTGGTGAAACGGACGATGAAAGACCGGAATAGACCTTGGCCAGTGAGACTTAATTGACGATAACACTTTGAAGACTGGATAATGCTGAATACTAATAGATCAATAAATTGAGTCGCGCGAATGCAGGTGCGAGTCAGTGATAAGATGTGTAGTGCAAAATGGCCAGCTCGGTGGTGAGTGTGTAGTCTTCAAGAAATCAACGAGTTTGTGTAGTTCCCAAACTGGATGATCTGGTAATTGCTCCCTTTCTGGGGCTCATTAGATACTCGATCTGATGAAGTCACTTTATACTTGCCAATGAGCCGTGAATCCTGCTCCCGAAGGTGTCTCTTGGTATTCTCTTGCTGGGTTAACTTACCTTTGCTTGGTAAATGGAACATTTGCCAGTAGAAGCATTGACCAACTCGTAAGTATAGGGAGTTCAAGCGGTCAATTTCCAGCCAGCTGTCTCCAACTGACTAGCATTTGAATGATATGTGTAAGTTTTTCACTAGCTCACATCATTGACCAACTCGTCAATGAGCGTCATCTTCGGCTTTTTCGTCACAGGCCCTTCATTGTCGCTGTTGTCGCCCTCAATGTCTTTGGTGTCCTCTTTCTTGTGGTCCACTTCTGACTCCCTGCCTTCTAGCTCGACATCGTCATCCACGTCGATCGAGTCGGCCACTATTAGACCATACTCGATGCTTTGGTGCATTAATTCTATTGCTTCGTCGATACCACAGCCGGTGTCCTCCATCACCAACCGGATAATTATCTCGTTCGCTAGCACATACGTCGAGAAGGCAGACGTGGTCCAGTAGGAGACAGTCTGGTTCTTTTTCGCTGCTGACCGTAGGTTTCTCTGGAACTGCTTGTTTATCATGTTTCCGATGATCAGCTGGCGCTTGATCCCGTAGTAGCCACCGTAGAAGATCTCCCAGTTAATGTTCCACTTCTCGGTGCTAGACATGGTGTCCTGGTCCGACACCTGGTGCTGCTTCTTGGCCAAGTTGTAGTAGTGGGAATCTTCACACTTGCCCTTCAACATCTTGGAGATCATGCCTGTGTGGGCTCCTGCCCGCTTCAAAAGCGCCTTTTTGGACACGATTGGAGCCGGGAACTTATGTTGCTCAAACTTCTGTTTGATAACGTCAATCTGGGAGCTTTTGTACTTGTTGAGCCGCTGTACCACACCCTCGATCAGCTGCACCGTAAGCTCTCCAGGCTCGTCCTGGTCGTCGCTGGAAGACGACGGCAATTCGACCTGTGGTTCGGGTTCTGTCAATGGCGGCAACTTCAGGGACTGGGGGAGTTCCAACTCGTCGATCTTGATGAGTCCACTCTCAAACTCGTCGTCGTTATCGTTATCGAGTTGGGGAGTGTCGGAGTACCCGTACTTCAACAGTCTGCCGAACACGTCTGGGTTGCTTGTTGGCTCTCCATGGATGTAGATACCCTTCTTCTTGGGCTTGGACTTTGGGGTGTCGTCGAAGATGCCTGGCTCACCTGAAGCAGACGGTAGTCCCTTCCAATTGGTGGGCTTTATGCTGGAATACTCTTTGCTTAGTCTCTTGGGCATGGTGATGGTGAGTGGAGCAGCGCGTTTCCGATCACTGAGATTGTGGTCTGCGACTGGATTTGGCACCCATGATGGGAGAAGGACGGTAGTGGAACGGTGAGGTGGTTGAAAGGAGTGGGAAAAGGCTGGACTGCAATAAGAGCAATGGATCTGTTCTGGTCCGTGGATCTCCGTGTGCTGAGAAGTAGAGGGAAAGTACAGTGCTGGTGTAGTTTTCTGGTGTAGTTATCTGGTGGTTGATTGCGAAATCTGATGGTACTGGGGAATGAATACTCTTGTGAGTTAATTCCATTTTTCAGGCTTCCCCTTAGCTTACCATAAAACGGTATCGAACTTGACCATAGATAGTAGGTATTCGTTTTTTCCATGCTTCAATCAATTGAAGCCAAGCATCACAATGAAGCCCTGAAGTGCAATGAAAAGGTCGAATGAAATACTAATACTGATACATCTAACATTCTTCCAGATGGGAGATACTAGCAAGAATTTTATAGACACCAAAGGTCTATTCCTTGGGCCCCGATCAGGTTTTACGTACTGTGCTAGCTGCATCTGTAAAATATTTAGAAGGAAGTACTTTAAGAGGGCCAAGCAGCAAGATGTAGATTTTTGTCTACTTTTTGACATCGTGGAACTTTCACTAATCATATTGGGCAGATACTGATATGTAGAGGTCGCTACCTTTTTTAGTATAGCAATAAAATCTGCCTTTAGGTGTGTAATCAGATGTTCTTATCAAGTAGCCACTAGAACTATTACAAAGTTCGATAAACAATTGCAACCTTTCTTTGTCCTGGTTGGCTTCATAAGCAACAAAATGATTAGATAGTTTACCCTTATACATTTTATACGTATATTTGACGTATTTTCAAAAAATTATACAATTTATAACAACCACATAATACTAACACTAACTTTCACAAATTACAAATGACACAAAGTAACTCTTTACAACTTTAAGTTGATATGGCCTGAAGCTGCTTATTATGTTATCGATACATTAAATTGAGGAAACTAAGAACGATTCAAGCCGCACTTGTTTATGGATGCTATACATACTATAAATTATTGTCCCTGGGGATTGATTCCACCATTTTGGAAGAGGTTGGCCAATTGGGCACTCAAGTTTGGTGGTGCTTGTCCTTGGGGCATGAAACTTGGTGGTGCTTGTCCTGGCATACCTGGGTATGGAGGTAAGCCTGCTGGAGGCTGTTGTGGAGGATTGTTGGAGTTGGCAAACAATCCAGACAATGGATTCACAGATGACTGCGAGAATGTACTGAAATCTGGTTGACTTCCGTGCGACATGTTGGCAGCGATGTTCTGTTGAGGAATCAAGGTGGTCTTGACATAGTCCTCATCAGGTTCACCTGGCTTGTTAGACTTTGGACCGTTTCTGGCGGAGTTGGTAGGCATCTTCTTAGACATGGCCTTAGAAGAAATACCAGCTCCAATTTCGATATCTGGCTCGTCAATCACCATACCACTAGAAAGTGGCTGGCCACCAGTACCACCCCATTGTGCCTGTACAACCCAGGTCTTATCAGCATCAGTCAATCTCTGGATTGGAATAACCGAAATACCGTGTTGGTAGTTGCAACAGTCTCTTGGACCAAAACCGACACCCCAACGAGTTCTTAATGGCAATGAATTATCCTTGTTGAAAGATGTAATTACTTGTTCGGCTTCCCTTCTAGAGTAAACCTTGATAAATGCGTGTTTTCTTTCACTGTTCAAAATAACAGATTGCACTTCTGCATAAGGTCTTAAGACTGATGATAAGGCTTGTTCATCCATGGTGCGTGGAACACCACCAATGAATAAGGTTCTTGACAAGACCTTGAAAGAACCTTGTGGCAAAGTAGGATCAAAGCCAACGTTTCTTGGACGGTAGTGAGGGGTACCTTCGATATTCATTTCGCCAGCAGCGAGTTGAGGGTTGAAGCCGCCATTTTGCAACTGTTGTTGGAACTGTTGTTGGAATTGTTGTTGTTGAGATTGTTGAGGAAGACCTTGTTGGAAGTTACCATACTGTTGGTTTCTTGGTGGAGATCTGTCTCTTCTACCATATTGGTTTTCACCTCCGCGTCTAGGAGATCTAGATCTGTTTCTTCTGGAATATGCATCAGCACCGGAGTCACGGCCACGTCTATCGTTGGAGTAATCCTGTCTTGGTGGTTGTGGAGGCAAACCATTGCCAGCAGGAGCTGGAGGAGCAGAGTTTCCACCTTGCATTTGCTGCAACATGTTGAAAATCAATTGCTCATTTCCAGCAGGGGCACTGGGGGCCTGTGGCTGGGATTGAGTAGGATACGAAGGTTGGGCCGAACCATTGTTGGCACCAGAGAGGGCAGATAACTGGGACAAAATGTTGTTAGCGTTACTCTCTGGCTTAACTGTTTCAGCAGCGGAAGAAGTGGGAGTGTTCGAACTAGAATTCGACTTAGCCAAGGAAGCCAACGCCGACAAAATACTGTTGGATCCTTGATCAGATCCAGCAGTAGGCTTGACTGGCTCAACCTTGGATCTTGGAGGAGTTCCTGGAGGGGTGGTAGAGACAAAATGCTTTGATCTGATTGCTTTCAAGATTTCTGGGTCAAACGTTTCAGCTCTTTCCCAGATGTCAACCACCTTACTAATCTTAGTGATTTGGGATTGACTGATCTGCAATTCCAATGCATCATCAAGGATCGACTCTATCAATTCACTGATCTTGTAAACTGCGGCACCATAACTACCTTCTGGGGCCAGAGAATTAATGGCTTGGTTACGTTGCTTAGCTTCTGTGGTGTATCCTCTTACGATAGAATCAACCACATATACCACACCTAACTTATGAGAAGATGGGACAGCCTTACAGTTAGCGTATAACGTAGTTATGATTTTTGATTCTTGATCAACGTTCTTGACAGCAATATCAGTCAACCTCTTAATACGAGAACCAGAGACACCTGGTGCCTTTAATGTGGGGATTTCTTTTAAGATGGATTCAAACTCTTCAACAGACATATTGGAACCTTTTATCAACTTTACGGCTTCTACTTGAGACTGTAGATTATACTACTGTATGATACTTACGGAGTATCTTTTCAAACTCAGTAAAAATATATAGAAATACTTCAAAATACGAGCCTTACTAGTGGATTCGACTACTGGATTTACTTTCTGTTACTGACCTCAAAAGGACTTTGATTAGATTGGTGGTAAAGAATGAATGATGCTAAAAGCGCGAAGGGCAAGGGGCAATGCTGCCTTTTATAGTCATGCTGCCAGTTACCCGGATATGAGGCGCAGCCCCAAAAGTACTGCGAGGCCCAAAATTACGCGCAGAGTGAAAATTTCCAAACCTATAACCAAAAAAGTCTGCTGCACCAACAAGCACAGATCCATACATCAGCACGTCATGAGAGGTTTGTCAGGCAACCTTAGCCGTGTGGGATTGGTCCGGGCATACTCCACCGCCAACCCCACCGTTTCATCCACCTTAATATTGTCCAGAAACCCAGTTATAACCGCGGATGTTCCCAAGTTCGAGGCTCAATACTACAAATACCAAAACGAGTTATGGAGAAGATTGATGTGGACTTTCCCCAAATGGTTCTACTTCAGAGAAGGTACCTTGGCAGAGCAAAGATTCAGACAATTGAACAAAGATCCTGTGGCTGACAATCCCAACATCGAATTCCCAAGAGGAAGACCACAAATAAGACACAAGAGAGACAGAAGATTCAAACAAGAGCTCAAGTTACCAAAGACATACAAGGAAGCGGACGAATTGGAGCCAGCAGAGTTGGAACAAGCCCAGGACACCATAACCGAGGACGACTTGGCCCGTAAGATTGTGCCCAACTCCAGAACTACCAAGGCCGATCAGGAAAACGACTTGACCAGCTTGGAAAGAAAATTGAGCCGGACCTTGTACTTGACCATCCAAAATGGCTCCACTTGGATTTTACCAAACTTCCCTGAACCTTCATCTGAACAGGTTACTGCATTACACACCTTGGCCGAAGAAGGTTTATACAAGATTGGTGGTGAAAAAATCAACTACTTCAATGTTTCCAACACTCCTTGCCATGTATATAACAACTCCAAGGATAACAAGAAGGAATACTTCATCAAGTCGCACATTTTGTCGGGAGATTTCCAGCCCCAAGACAAGTCCATGAAATTCTTATGGTTGACCAAGGAAGAATTGAAGACTCACTTGGACAAGGAATACTACCAAGATATTGAGCATTTGTTGAGTGAAATATAGACGTGTATATAGCAACAAACTAGCCATGCTAGCGAGTGTACAAAGAACATAGACAGTTGTAGACGGTCAACTCGATTGGAGATTGAGAATAAGTGATGAAATTGACTTTGGGGGCTTCACTAATTTTAGAGTAAGTTCAGTGGAGAGTTTAGTACTGAGATAGAGCTTATTTGATATTTGAACGGGAAGTATAAGGCAATACGCTCCGATAGTTCACCAGGAGTAAAATCAATGAAGAGTTGGATTGTTGAAATAATCTGTTATGAATAATTACAGCTGATATTCAAACTTTTTGGGTGGACTTAAATTTGTAGATCAATTGGAAATAATCATTAAATTCTCAATGATAGGCAGCTAAGAATTGGAGTTAACGGATAATATCTCCTAGAATTGGCCCGATAATTGTAGTTTCCTTCAAGTTCACTTGGCCATCACCAACTGCCATTTGGGTGGTAACGATGGAATCTCGCTTCCCTCGTTATATTCCAAACTATCAGTTGTTAGCCAATCGCTATTACTACTTGACTAAATTGTCTATACATTTTTGTGTCTATCATACACTAAATAAGATGGAAGTGGTAGTACAACAGTAGCGACTCTATCATTATAGTTAGGAGTCAACACAGAAATATTGAGCCACTTATTTTTGGGATTCGGTATTCAACAGTTAGGACCTTCAAGGCAGAATTACAAGTCCTTCTTGCCCTTCAACGCCTTCTCAGCAGCCCACACAGATCTGTCTAACACAGTTCCGACCATCAACACACCAGCAATGGAACTGATGACTCCAAGCACGAAGCCTGACCAGGTCTTTGCGTATTGTTCACGGTTGATTATCTTCAATGGCGAGATGTCGAAGTGGAATGACACCCCTGGAACTCCACCTTGGGCGTGGAAGGTGTGCTCGTGGTCCTTATCCTTGCCACCCATAAGTGGTCTGTCGTGGGTGATCACCGAAAACTGGTTGGTGTCCAAAGGCTGGCCTCCCTTCAAGTACTCGAATCTGGTGGCCACAACCTTGAGGTAGTAGTCGTACACTTGTTGCTTCAAGCCGTCGACCACGTGGTAGCTATCCAAAGGATGTGTCGACTGGACCAAGTCCCGTGAAATGGGGTCGTTGCCGAAAGATAAGTGGTTGATGGTGTGGTCGAAATTGAACTTGTCCTCAAACTTGTCGTACAAGGACAAATCGTGCACATGCTTGCCCCTCAAAGTGAAAGAAGCACCAGGAGCAAAGTCCAAGGTACCAGACACACGGCTGATCTGGGTGGAGCCCCGAACACGGCAGCCTTCGTTAGCAGCAATTCTCTCATTCAAGCGGGTGACGTATCCTTCCCTTTCACACTGTTCGATGTTGGAACCGTCGTAGAAGCCCCACAACTTTTCTGCGTACGCCAACTTGACGGTTTCACAGTCGTTGCAACAGTTTTCGTTGTTGTCCTGGGGCAAGGCTCCGTAACACGAACCACAGTAGTCGGATCCAGGGACGGGCTTGGCCATCTCGCTCAACGACTTGTCATTGTTCAAAGCAATGCTGTCGGTAGCAGGCAATTCCTGGCCTGGGGTGCCGTCTGGGTTCTTTGTGATTCTGAACTTTTCGAAGCCAGATTTCAAGATGTTCAACTGCACGTCGCCACTCTCGTCCAACAAGTCGAGCGAGAGGATCTCGCAAGGGATTTCGGGGAACGAGATGTCCAAGTTGATGTCCAATCTCTTGTTGATGTCTCTGTCCACCACCAACTCGGGTCTGGTGATCACACTGGTGTAGTCAACATACTCGTTTCGGATGAGTAACAACACGATCAACACACACACCAAGGTGATGATGCCTCCGGAGGCAGTCCTGATGCGCGCATCCTCTACCGTCTTGGCGAACGCATCCAACGATGTTAACTTGGGTCTGGATGACATGGTGGCCGTGGCTGATCTGAGTGTGTTCGTGTCGTTTTTCAGTGGTGCGAGACATTTGGTGCGATTGGCAGCATTTGAAGACATTCTACTAGGTAGACTACCAGATACTAGGCATCACCATCAAGAAGGCCAGACACCGCTGAGCCAGCTGAAGACATAGAAAGAGGCTACTTTTGGAGAGAAACCTTCAAACTGAGTGACCCAAAGTAACATTCCGAACCATCACTTAAGTGATTATAACTGACTGGCTTATACCAACAGATACATCAGTTCAGTTATCAAACAGAACAATTCTTTCCAGATACATCCAGAAACATCAGTTGAGCTAAACTGAGCAATTGACTGGCTTCTACCACTAGATTTCCCAGACATCTTACACTGGATCACAAACTGCAAGGAAATTGAGCATTCCACTAAAGGCTTTACACACCAGCTGAGTACGCTTGAAAGGACTAATCTATTCGCCATGACCAGCAAGGCCAACAAGAACTTTTTCAAAAACTTCACCCCCGTGCTTGTCCGGGACAAGCCACTTCCTGGCCATACCTCATCCAGCACCGAGATCATCCTCATCTCCATCAACGTCACGGGTAGCCGTTTGGTGGCGTCCAGAACCGACAAGTCGTTGAGGATATGGCGGTGCTTGCCCGACCGGGCCTCCGACCCCATTATCATCGAAGACGCACACACCCGGTCAGTGGAGCTGGTGTCGTGGAACCCCCAGACAGAACACTCATTTGCATCCGTGGGCCGAGACGAGCACATCAAAATATGGAAAGGTCTTACAGGCACCTTGGAGAGGCAGATCAAGGTGGAAAAGGGCTTGGGGCAGGCCGATGGGGCCTGCTTGAAGATCGTGGCCTACTCCAACGATGGCAAGGTGCTTGCTGTTGTGGACAGAGACTCCACGGTGTTAGTATACTCCGTGGAGCAGAACTACCAGAAGGTGGCCGAGTTCAAGATCGACGAACACATCTATGACTTAAAGTGGTTTAATTATAACCACGGGTACTTTGTTTTGGCGTTGAACGACGGCACCTTGCCGGTGTACGCCCTCGAGGACGAAGGCTGGAAAATCAGCTTGAAATCGACCTTGACAGGCCACCGTTCGGCAGCCACCACGGTGTCGGTGGATCCCAGGGGGGCCTTTGTTGCGGTAGGGTCCAACGAGGGTACGCTCAGCATCTGGAACACCGCCACCATGCTTAACACTAGGGTGATAACTGGCGTGGACGAGGCAATTGCTTGTGTGGACGCCTCGCGAGACGGAACTTACATTACCGCATCGTACGATCGAGGCTCCAACACTCGGGTGTTCGAGGTGGAGTCGGGGGAGGAGGTGTACGAGGTGCAAAACAGCGCGTCGGGCCAGCTGACATTTGCGTCCGTGGTGTGGTTTCCCAATAAGACTGCTTTTGCGTACAGCAGCGACCATGGCACCACCATTGCATTGACCAAGAAACCGTCTAGCTAGGTGCAAAAAATAAGGAGGAATATCCGCACTTATTCATCGCAGAAACAGTTAGATAATACCAAAGAACAATAGAGCATCAACTAACCACGATTCTTGAATATTCTGTAGCGGATTTACCAATCGTAGATCAAGTTTCAGGATATTATCAACCTGGAAGAACAATCCATCGTAGAGTACGTCACAATTAGATTGCTAGGACTGGCTTGACTGCCTCGGATGTTGCACATCTGGCAGCCTCGGGCAGCCCCGCTGAACGACCGTCCGGAGGCACCACTGCACCGAATTGACCCTGAAACGACCATGCACTTCATTATCATTAGCCAGGTTCTGTCGTAGTGCGCAAATCCGGAATAATAGCGTGCGTGCAAAATACGATGAAAAGCTTGAAAATTGGCAGGTGCAGCTCATAGCAATCGGGACACTGAGTGAGGTTACGAAACTTGGGGTGCACCCTTTGGCAGCTTCTCATCCCTGAAGGGGGACCCCATATAATTGGTGAGTTATTTTCCAACCTCGATGCACGGCCATGCAGGCTGTCGATGGAGACCTGCAAGCGCATTGACCAAAGGTACTGGAACTATTCAGGAGCTTATAAGGCGGAGGGTTGCGGAGGAGGGCCCCTCCTTTGCATGGGTCCACAACCACCAGCTGCAACGAAACACCCTTTCAATCGGGATGGTAGCGGGCCCCAGGTGGAATTGCCAGGGTCGAGGACTGAGATAGGTGCAGGAACTGTCGTGGACGCACCGGGCATGTCGCAGTGTCGCGGGCCCGCCACAGGGGTTTTTTTGCCCCGGTGTAAATCCAGGACCGTCTCGGTAAATCCAGGACTAGGCGGTGGAGGGACGTTAGCGCCCGGGCCTGCCACCACCACGATTATCTCTCCACCTTCTTCTCCCCAGCTCCTCCCATCCTTACTACCTTTCCACCGTGCCCCTTCGCCCACCTTTTTCCCCCATCCATTTCCCCCATCCTTCTTCCAATCCTGCCCTTCCGCACCTCGCATTGTGTCTACACCAAAACAGAAAAAATCACCTTTCTCGTGTACACCTACCACCAACTATCCATCGGATAATCCACCACCACTTGCCCAAAAGCCACTATCGCTAGCCCCCGTCTGGTCCTCGTACCCTCCCACACTCACACACCATGGACATGAACCACCCAGGGCCCCCAGGGCCTTTCAGAACCGTGTCTACCACGTCCAATCTCTCGTTGAACTCGTCAACCACTAGTATCACCAGAGTGGCGCTGGGACCCCTCCTGGCAATCAATGCCAACTTCAACAAACAGCTGTCAGCGCAGGACCACTTGCACTACCAATGCCTGGCGCTCAAACACAAATTGATGGCCATTGACGGCATGGAACCGTTTATGAATACCGCGTTCAACGCTGCTGAGCAGTGTGCCGAGCAGCAGGCGTTGGCGCTTTCACAGCAGATGCAGCAGGACACCTCGCGGTCTGCAAGTGATTATCGAGCTTCCGTGGGGTCCACAGGCTTCTCAATCCACTCCGACACCTCTTCGTCCTCCAACTTGACCACGCTCACCAACGGAACCACCCCCAACAAAGCGTTAATCAACAACAATATCTTCACATTCACGGCAGGAGTGCTCCCAGCCAACTTGAGCGTGGATCCTGCCACCCAGTTGTGGAAGTTGTTCCAGCAGGGTGCCCCCCTCTGCTTGATCTTCAACTCGATTGTGCCCGAGTACCAGATCTCTATCATCGGCAGCGACGACTTGCGCATCTGCAAAAAGTCTGTGTACGACTTCGTGATCGCCGTCAAAACCCACTTGAACTTCGAGGATGAGATCATGTTCACCATTTCAAACGTGTTCCTGGACAGTACCCAGGACTTGCTCAAGATCATCAAGGTGGTCAATAAGTTGTTAGGGTTGAAGGAGGCTAAAACCTTCGAGTTGGATGCAACCTTGGTCAATTCTATGGCGGAAATCACCATCTCGGACGACAGATCCAAGGTGTTCAAAGAAATTATCGAAACAGAAAGAAAGTACGTCCAGGACTTGGAAATCTTGGCTGCCTATCGAAACGAATTGTCCAGTGCCGAACTTATCTCCAGCGAACAGATCCATGTCTTGTTCCCAAACTTGAACGAGATCATCGATTTCCAAAGAAGATTTCTCAATGGTTTAGAATGCAACATCCACGTCCCCAACAAGTATCAAAGAATCGGAAGTATATTTATTCATGCTTCTACTGGTCCATTCAAGGCTTATGAGCCATGGACCATCGGACAGTTGGCTGCCATAGATTTGATCAACAAAGAGGCCGCTAACCTCAAGAAGTCCTCATCCTTGTTAGATCCAGGATTCGAGCTCCAATCATACATCATCAAACCTATCCAAAGATTATGCAAGTATCCATTGTTGTTGAAGGAATTATTGAAGACTTCTCCAGAAGCATTGGATCAGAGCATTCCCCCTTCTGCATCTTACAACGAATTGATTATCGCAAATGGTGCCATGAAGGAAATGGCCAACCAAGTTAACGAAGCCCAAAGAAGAGCAGAGAATGTTGAATACTTACAAAAGTTAATAGACAGAGTTGGAAACTGGAGGGGCTTTAACCTTAAGGACCAAGGTGAATTGTTATATCATGGGCTTGTTGGAGTCAGAGATATGGATAATGAAAGAGAGTATGTGGCATATTTATTTGAAAGAATTGTGTTTTTCTTTGTGGAAACCGAAAAGCCATCAGAAAAGGAGAAGGAGACCAAGAAGAAGAGAGAATTGCTTTCAAGCAGAAAAAAATCATCAGCATCAGTTACATCAAGCTCAACAGCTAATTTGTTAGAATCATTAAACAAAGCCAAGAGTGATAAACTTTCACCTTTGGAATTAAAGGGCAGAGTGTACATACTGGAGATCTACAACATATCCTCCAGTAACAATAACGGCTACACATTGGTGATCTCGTGGTCTGGCAAGAAAGAAAGTGGCTCCTTCTCATTGAGATATAGAACAGAAGAATCCAGAAACCAATGGGAGAATTGTTTGAGGGGCTTGAAGACTAGTGAAATGAATAATCAGATTCACAAAAAACTCAGAGACTCACACGGGTCGCAACTGACTAATGACTCTTCGTTATACGATGTGACAGCTGCATACTCAAACTACTCACCCACTGCCCCACATAATGCTACACCTGCCGGAGGAAGTAATGATAGTATCTCATTAAGGTCATCAAACGGATCGTCATACCACCGCCACCACTCATCCTCTTCCACATTCAGTATGATGCGGCAACAAAGAGGTAAATCAGGAGGAACTGAGCCTTCTTCAANAATTTCATCCAACGGTGGATTTACAAGCTCCACACCTGGAACAACACCAACCGAAGTCTTCGCCAATGACATCAAGATTAAATTGGTGTACAACTCTGCAGAATTGACCCCATTACTCCAAGTATCGACCAATATCCTGTTCTCCGAGTTGTATCTGAGAATATCATCACATATCGTTTCTAGTGGAAAAGTTTCTGAAGACATTGTGGTGAACAAGTTGAAGTACAAGGATGAGGATGGCGACTTTGTGGTGATGGATTCGAACGACGATTGGGTATTGGCAGTAGATATGTTGGACGAACTTAGTGATGTGGACGATAATGACGGTAACGACGCTAAACGTGATTTGACCATTTGGGTATCCTGAGCTTCAGGATCATTGTGATTTTTAGAGTTAGGGATTATACTAGGGACAGGAAGAGTATTTTCGTTTGTTAACAGTAGCTGGCAGTGCTAGTTATGAATATTATGGATACACGAATACATGTTTATTGAAAAACGGAATACTAACGTAGAGAATGTATATTTCGCAGCCATCAAAAGCTTGACAATAGGCATTGTTTGGAGAGAGGGTGAGATTTGTAGCGTGAGTCTAAGGCTATGGAAGGAGAAAGTGTGATTTGTATAGTTCTTTTTCGTCTATCTTTTGGAATACTTCACGGATTGTTACCGGTAAACAATTATGCTAGGTATTATTTCGATCAAAAATTTACCTATCATGAAATAATGTGTTAACTATAAAATCGTATCGCTACCATCATTTGGATCCTACCAACCAATTTTGCCGAAAGCACTATTTCCGCAACTTTCGCTATACCTATTGGGAAAATGATGATTCAGTATTGTGTTCCTTTGGAAATCGGGTGAAAAAATCAGTTGCACCTGAGAAGTGTATTTTTGGTTTCCGAATAGGATCATAGGATGATCTCTGAGTATATACGAGAGGACACTGTTAAAGATTCCTTTGGAGATTGTGCTATTTTGTTCTTTTCATTCCTTTTCGAATATACCCACAAAACCGCACTTTTTTACGGATTCTGTGATTTTGAAGGAATTTCACAAAATAATACGACAACTACAGTCACAACTCCAAGTCAGGATAACCAGCCCAATTCTTCATATAGAGCTCTAGCCTACCAATACATGCCTGGGTCGAGAAACATCCGAACTTCCCAACAAATTGGCGAGAACCTCTTCTGTAATATGCTGATAATCACACAAAACTATTCCACAAGTTAGCTCAAACCAGTCCCATAAGTCCCATAACCACACGTATATATCCTCCTCACACTGTATCTCCTCTGCCTCACTACCCTTCCAACCATGCTCAAACCTGTCTAGTTGTCTCTTTTATCGCGTCTTTTTGCACCCGTTTCTCTTATCATTCCGAGTCATTTTTCACACGGCTGACTCCACATGCCTTATCAGAAAGATCCACAGCCACGGCACACCACACCACGCCAATCCCACCTCTCATGCCCTGCGACAGCCACCATCATCTCCACCCACCATACCACTGACACCTTCTCCCGCCTGCTCCACGCTAGGGCCAACTTTACTGCTTAGAAATTTCCTGGTTGTGATTCGCCAATAAATTGCACCGAAATTTTTTCTGCAATCATAGACTGACTCACACGCTATTTACTGCCAATAGACGCCAGAGCAGGCTTTCATTGAAACAGCACCAGAAACCATGTTGAGAACTTTGAGGCTGACGATGACTGTCTCGTGGGCCAGAGCGCTCCATAAAGCCAGTCCATTGGCCAGAATAGTGCCCGTGGCACTGTTGGTTCGGCGGTTGCCAGCGGCCAACAGACGGCTTTGCACCAGCGCCAGAGCCGCCCAGGAGCTCCAGTTCAGCCAGTTGTCGCCCGAGGACCAGGCCACGTTGACAGAGGAAAGGGCTGCTGACGCTGTGGACGTGTGTATTGTGGGTGGTGGTCCCGCAGGCTTGGCTACCGCCATCAAATTGAAGACTTTGGACAACGAACAAGGCAATGGCGATCTCCGTGTGGTTGTGTTGGAGAAGGCAGGCGATTTCGGTGCCCACATCGTCAGTGGAGCCGTTTTGGAGCCCAGAGCATTGACAGAATTGTTCCCGGACAGCGAGTTAACCAACGAGACGGGAGGTATTCCGCTTCCTCCAGACTTGGTGACCAAAGTCACCAAGGACTCGATGAAGTTCTTGACCCAGGAGTACGCATACCCGTTGCCAGAGCCTCCCCAGATGGCCAACCATGGCAAGAACTTCATCGTGTCGTTGAACAACGTGGTCAAGTACTTGTCGGAGCAGGCCGAGGAGTTGGGCGTGGAGCTCTACCCTGGCATCTCCGTCAGCGAGTTGGTATACAACACGGACGGCTCCGTCAGAGGTGTGGCCACCCAGGACATGGGTATCGCCAGAGACGGCAGCCCCAAGGACTCTTTTGAGCGAGGCATGGAGTTCCACTCCAGAGTTACAGTGTTGGCCGAAGGCTGCCACGGCTCGTTGTCCAAGCAGGCCATCTCCAAGTACAACTTAAGACAGAACAGCGAGGTCCAGACCTACGGTTTGGGTATCAAGGAAGTGTGGGAAGTCAAGCCTGAGAATTTTGAAAAGGGCTATGTTGGCCATACCATGGGCTATCCTCTTTCCACAGCCGAATACGGTGGGGGTTTCATGTACCACTTTGGCGACGGCTTGGTCGCTGTGGGTCTCGTCATTGGATTGGACTATGCCAATCCATACATCTCCCCTTACCAAGAATTCCAAAAGATGAAGCTCCATCCATACTACTCCAACGTATTGGAGGGCGGCAAATGTATTTCCTACGCTGCCAGAGCATTAAATGAAGGGGGCTACCAGTCTATTCCTCAGCTCTATTTCCCTGGAGGTGTTTTGGTGGGTTGTTCTGCCGGTTTCGTGAATGTACCAAAGGTCAAGGGTACTCACACCGCCATTAAGTCTGGTATAGTTGCTGCTGAGTCGATCTTTGAGCAGATCAAGGACCTAGACGCTGTGGATGAAAGTCTGTTCGAGGACCCTGACTATACTCCTGTCTTATTGGAAAGCTACGCCAAGGCATTTGAGCAATCGTGGGCTTATGAAGAATTGTACAACGTGAGAAATGTCCGTCCTTCCTTCAATGGACCCCTTGGGTTCCTTGGAGGATTGGCTCACTCCGGCTTGTCCACTATGATCACCAATGGTAGCGAGCCATGGACATTGAGCCACCACTCGTCTGACTCCGCAGCCACCAAGGAAGCCAAGCACTTCACACCAATAGACTACCCCAAACCAGATGGTAAGCTCACTTTTGACTTGCTCACTTCAGTCTCAAGAACAGGAACTTATCATGACGAAGACGAACCATGCCACTTGAGAATCCCAGATCAAGACTACAGAAAACACGCGGAACTCAGCTATCCCAAGTACAAGGGAGTGGAACAAAGATTCTGCCCTGCTGGAGTGTACGAATATGTTGAGGATGAGGCAGAGCCATTAGGGGTCAAGTTCCAAATCAACAGTCAAAACTGTATCCATTGCAAGACATGCGACATCAAGGTTCCAACCCAAGACATCGACTGGGCTGTTCCCGAAGGTGGAGATGGTCCTAAGTATTACATGTCTTAGGATTCGACCCAACACGAAATCTTCGAAGAACTGATAACCCAACAAAATTGTACATATTTGAGTGGATGTATCCTAGGATATTTGGCATTAAAACTAATAATTATTTATAGACAAAAGTAATGAAGCATTTAGGTTAGCGTAGCGACGAACAGCATTAATCTTGAAGGTTTCAAATTCAATTAATTCCAAGAGTACACTTGCCCTTATGCTTATTGACGAGTCATGTGTTACTACATTTAATCGACTTACCACCAATGGGTCACTCAGGATCCAAATCTCAAATTACTACATTGTACTACTCATTTATCATTATGGTTATCATTATATTAGAAGTAGAGATCAGAGGTGAACGCCAAAATTTTTTTATACAGTCATCAAACTAGCTATACCAGTCATAATCACAATATTTTACAGATGAAGAAGTCAGAGAAATAGAGATGACCTCAAGTGAGGTAAGGAAATAATAACAAAGTAACCATAATACAACCCAATCAATTATTGTGTTAAAAGACCCAAATAGAAGAAATGATACAACAGGAGGACAAAAATATCAACAACAACGAAAAAGGGCAAACTCGTGGAAACCAAATACCAGAAGTCTAAGGGGACAAGCAGCAAAGAATTATTCGAATGGAAACTGGATGTGCAGAATTCATTCAATCAATTCTCGATAAACTATGCAAAAAACTTATCCAAATCGGACAAACTGATATCCTCAGGAGCACCAATATCTTGAGATAAAAACCCGGATCTGATCACGTTCAACCATTTTTTGTTACAGGATGATTTGAGGGAGTTTGGAGAGCTGACGGACGATGAAGGGTTGGAGATTGCCTTTAAAGCAGCCGCATGCAAAGCAGCAGCAGCAGCAGCAGCATTAGGACTGTGAGAGCTTGGGGCACGGGAGGCTCTTGGAGCAGCAGCAGCAGCAGTCATAATCTTGCACTTCTTGTTCAACGAGAGGTACGACAAAGACTTGGATCTTTTGCCGTTCTTCTTGATGGAGTCGATGTACAAATCTCCGGCTCCAGACACAAGGTCGTCGTCATCGTCGTCGTCGTTGAACACCTCGAAGTCCTCGAGCTCCAAGTCCAGCTCATGGGACTTGCTGTCGTTGCTCTCGTTGGTTGAGTTCGATTCTGTCAACGACGCAGTGACTGGGGCCGAGTTGTAAGGCACAAACAAGTTGGACTTGTCGATAGGAGCCTCCAAGAACGTGTTCTTGGTGATGCCCAAATCAAACATGGTCTGTCTTCTTGGTTTGGCCAAGGTGGCCTGCTTGCCTGCCTCCAAGGGATCTTCCAAGTTGAGTTCAGCGTTGACCTGAGGCCTGGGGCCCTGGGAAAGGCCAGACTTTGGCGATTGCGAGAAGTCGTCTCTGCTGGACTGGTCTTGCTTTTGCATTTCCTGTAACTTCTTGACATGGGCTTGGAAGTCGTCAGCCAACAAGCCACGGTAGACATACACCATTCTCTTGGGAGAAGCGTCGGCCCAGTCTCTGGATAAGGCATATTTCAAGTTGTTTTCGCCTTTTTCCACACGCTTGACATATGCGTTCAACTTTGCGCTGACGAGGTTGGAGGTCTTGGTGGACAAATTGGCCATCTCGGGGTGCTGCTCCACCAAGATGTCGCAGATCTGCTTGACAGTCATTCCGCTGCCCAGAGGGTCCTTTTCGTACAAGATGACAAAAATGGCATACAAGACGTCATCTTCGAGTGAAGGATCGTTTTTCTGTTCGGGTCTGGGCTTTTCGCCGGTCACAGGGATGGTGGTAGAAATTCCGGTTGCAATGGGAGCTCTGGATGTGTTTTTTGGTTTTTTGGTGATGTTCTGGGTGGATGGAGGCGTGGAGGACGATGTGGGGGGAGTGGAACCACGAGAATAAGACTTTTTCAAGAGTTGCGAAGAAAGTTCATTATTCATTAACGAGTCTGGCGAGATGCTCCTGGAAGTAGGAGAAAGCTCTCCAGGACTCAAGCTTTTTTCAGGAGTCAAAGGATTGATGGCATCATCGTAATTCTTGTCTTCGGGTGGGGATGTTATGGAGGGACTCACGCTGAGAGTCTTGGGATTAAATGAAGGGGAGGCGGGGATGGCAGATACAGGAATACCTAAAGGTCTTCTATCAGCTAATGCCATATTATTCTAAAGGAATTGATAGATTTTTTTCTTTCGTAACGGGACCGTTATAACGTGGATCTGGGAGAAGAGGATAATAACAGGAAAGGAAAAAAATTCGAGTTTTGATGAATCTTAAGTCTTATCAATGAACAAAAACAGTTTAACAACAAAAAGATTGATAAAAAAAGACTTGAAAAAAAACGACTTCCGTTATAACCTGTTTAGTAATGGGAGTCCATATATGATATAATGACAGGGAAGGAGGCTAAGATTGGGGACTGCTGTTAAACGATAGTGAAATGTTTAACTTGAGTAGATAAGCTAGTGGTTAATATCAGGAGGCCTGGCAAACGAATGGATGCACCAGTGGGTGACTGGAGGGATGGTGCTTACTGGAGAAGATATATAACTGAATATATATCGGGCAGACGGGCGTGAAAGTGGTCGATTTGGTAGCTGAAAAGGCGAGTGCCTGGGGGGTGAGTTCTAATCAGATTAAATTGTGAGGAGGTAATCTGCAATTAAATCATCATATCTTTCACCCACATGAGGCACAATAACGGAGAAGACACCCGTCCTGCATATGGGCGGCACTGGGACTGTTTTTTCGAGGGTCGTGCGCGGGCCCGATCTGCTGGGGTCCAGTTGCTGGTTAGCGGGGATGGGTCCATCCCCACGATAGCCGCTGGATTTCTGGTGGTGACGGGCCCAAAGCCGGGGATCGGGTTGCTGGCGCTGCTCTACACGATCCAGCGTTCTTTTGGGGCCATTTGGGCCATTTTCCACCCAGTAGGGGACCCCTTCGTGTGCGCCCACCACCACCCTCATCGTCCAGATAGGGGCATGGCCACGTGAGCCTCACGCTCATTTCCGCCATCGCCTATCAGCTGGCGGCCCGATTGCTGCAGCAAATAGCGAAGCTTCCTTCTATGGCGGGGTTGGCTTATCGGCACCTTATCTTAGGGGTCCAGCCCTAAGGTCACGCGGACGCTGGAGCGTGACCAGCTGGGAGGGCAGTGGGGGTCAGAACAGGGACCTAGCAGCGTCTGCTGGGTGCCACGGTGAAGGTGCAAGCGGTAGCTGGCCGGTGTCGGAGGTCGGGACAGGGCCCTGGCGCGAGATGCAGGAAAGAGGCCGCACGTGGTTCGGTAGCACGTGACTCGCTACTAGCGGCACCGCGCACCAGGCAGTTTCGGGGCTCGAGCCCTCGCTTTTGCACCCACGCATGGAATCACGGGCATGTTGCAGAATCGGCCGCGCGGCTTCTCCTTCCCCAGCCCGCTGCAATGCGAGGCACGAGTCTATATGTATAGAGCACCTCGAATTCCGGAGGCATGTCGGCAGTGCCGGCGTCAACCTGGTCACCCTTTCGTAGCTCCAGAGACATGTCGGCATTGCCGGCGTCAGCCTGGCCACCGCCTTGTGGCTCCAGCACTGCCCATTGCTGAGCGACAGTTGTTGGTGCAGCATGCAGCACCAGCGTTGGCTCGACTTAAGCGAGATCTTGTGCTCTGCCGAACTGCACCAACACCCATACATCATTACTCTGGAAACTCCCACCCCGTTTCATGGCTTGTGCCCACAGCCAATGTCCATCCCCGGGCTCAGTCTACTGTAGAATCTAGAAGTGATTCGGTGCATGGTGCATATTTCGAGTGGCCAACCTCATGAGCTGCATGGATTGCATAGCCGCCAAAGGCACGAGTCTATTAATATCTATGTATGTCCCAGCTGTCTCTCGCCTTCAATGCACTCCTGTGTCCTTTCCCAGTCTTGCGTCCAGTACTCGTCGCTGTAGGGCCGTGCAGGGTCGTCTGTATTCGGCGGAATGAACCAGTAGTTCAATGCAACATGCACGTTGTCCTTGTCGTCCTCGCCAAAGCTCGACACCTCGTGGAACCATCCAGCAGGCAAGTAGAGCATGTCGCCCGGCTCCAACCACACCGTGAACCGATTCAACTCCAAAAAGCCCGGGAAGTGCTTGTGGGCAAACTGCACCAATTCTTTGCGGGTTTCGGGGTCTTGGAACTCGTCTATATGGAGCAATCCTGGTGGAATGGTCGAGAAATTGGGAGGATCGAGCTTGGGACCTCCAGAGTTCACCTTTCTCGACCTCTTGTGCTCGAAGTCGAGCTGTTTCAACAATTGCTTGTGTTTTTCGCTGTCTGCGTCCGTGTCTTCGAGCTGGTCCAATTGCCATCTGATCACCTCCTCAATGATGGCACCATCGTCTCTGATGTGTCGCCAGTTGGGTGCTCTTTCGTTGGTCTCGTAGTCAATAATCCCACTGTTGTACACCTTGTAGATCTCACCCACAGTGTACAACTTCAGGGCGTCTGCTGGGCTGAACAACGTGAACCGTTTCTTTCCACATACCAAGATGTACAAATTGTCTGCATGGTCGTGGTGCAAGCCTGAGGACGAGCCTCTGGTACCTGGAATGTACTTGCCGAGGCCACACGTTTTGTCGGAGGGGTCAACGACCACCTCTGGTGCCGTTGGTCCTGATTGGCCCATCCAGAGATTGATTTGCTGGGGGATGAGTTTTGATAAGATGTTGGGCACCAATGGAAGGATGTCAGGCTTGTGGATCAAGTTGGTCAACGGAGGCTGCAAAAGCTCTCTTATCCTATGGGTTCTCTCTTCTGGAGTGATGGTATTGTCGTCTTCGAAGTCGTCACGAAGATCGTTCATATCAATGGAAGAGTTGTCGTCTTCGAAGTCGTCATGGAGGTTATTCATATCAATGGAGTCGTCATCTTCGTCGTCGGAGCCTTCGTGGGCCACGTTCCAAGCAGCTTTGCCATTGGCATCATTAATGACTTTTTCACCGCTATTCTCGTCGTTTTCACTCTCATCATTTTCACTCTCATCATTTTCATCTCTTATCTCGTCGCCACTTCCCACGTTTTCACTCTCATTTTCACTCCCCTCCTCTTCCTCGTCCTCGTGCTCGTACTGCGTCGTGAGATAGTACTCCCCGCTTCCCTCCTTGAACAAGTCCATCAACTTGCCCACAGGCATTTTAAGCCGTTCCTGGCCCGAGCCAAAGCCGTGTTTAAACTTTTTCTCCACCTGCAATTCTCCCGTATACGCTAGCGTGGCCTGCAACTGCCCCGGCATGAAGCTGGCAACATCAATTGCGCCGCCAGCGCCAGATATGCCAGGGAATCCTGTGAGCTTGACAGGACAGCGACGGTTGACATAATTGGCGTAGAATTCGGCTGGCGCAGGCTCACTGTTCTCGTAAGACAACTGGTCAATTTCAGTGTCCCGTGCAATGCGGTAGTTTTGGTAACTGGAGCCTACTGTGGCGTGTCGCTTGTAATCAGACATTACTATTGTTGGAGCAGGCAACGCTGATGAGTAGCGCAATTATGTGAAATATGATGCGTAGGAGGCAAACGCGCGAAGGGTGCTTATGACATGGACCGAAGCGGTGTGCTCAATCCAGGTGGGATATTATTTGACACTGGGCGGTTAAACTGGTCCTTTATCACCGTTGTCCGACATTGCTGTTGTTGTCTCGAATTCGATGCGAGCAGCGCTCCTTGGCACGTGACCGTCGGTTCTGGCGCCCCAGTCTAGGGGAGAAATGGGCGCCTGAGCCCCGGAATTGGGGGTCCTGGGCGGTTCTGGCGGGGTCCTGGAGGGCTTGGGCTGGCCAATGGGCGAGCGCTGGCACCTACGCCCCGAAAAGCGGCTGCCAGAACCTTGTCGTGGTCCCAGAAGGAGGGATATTCCGAGAATGGCCCGTTTTAAACCGATGGGTAGATCCACTGCATGTCCAGGGATTTAAGCGCAGGAAGTTATGCCCGAGGTCAAGGTCTGAGACGCACCCAGCGCAACCGTCCCTTGTAGGTGACAGTAGGAAACACCCGCCCAACGTCGAAATATCCTGAAGTTAAAGGTGCTCGGCCAAAGTGGGCGACCAGGTACATGATTTCACATTGACTCTCACTTGAAAATTCCAGCTGGATGGAGTTAGTAGGGTCCAATTGTATCAGGGCTGCGGCACCAGTCCAAAACCCTTCAAACTGGCATTGAATGGTGGCTAGTTAAGGTTTGGGGGCTAACAAATACGCCTGCAGTGGGGATCTTCGGGCAAACCGTCCCCTCCTACCAGATAGGGGTCCTTGACCTAGAGTGAAAATTCACGGAATTCGGGACGGTTTAGAGTTTGCAGGCAGGTATGGCTACCAGTTTGCGCCCACCACGTCGCAAGCCGTGGCATGTACCTCCAGCAGGGTTGGTGGTTCTGTACAGGTGCCGTACTCGGTTATACCTTACATTTGGCGGGCGATGAACCCATTAGCCTTTTGCTGGCTAATTTAAGGTAATGGATCACAGTTTGAGCTGCAAATCTACTCCTTCAATTCCGTTTCAAGAATGGGTTCTAGCCAATGCCGAGGCGATCTCTGCCTCGTGCTGGGCCTGGGTATGTGCCGTCCACAAGCCGTCCATAAGCCACTGCCTTTAGGTGGTCCACGGTGGGAATGGTCCAGGCAATACGAGAAGATTTGTGTAGATTCACCGACTTTACGGCTTTTATCACCGATTCCAGGCTCTAACTTTCGTGTAGCAATTTACATTAATCTTATGTATGGAGATGTGTATTTTGACAATACGTATATGCAAAATGGGGCCCTGCCAGTCACACAAGGTAATATGAATAGGAAATAAACTAGACGTGGGTGCTGCGCGTTGGATAAGCCAGTTATCAACACGAGGCACTATGAAATGGAGGGCTAAATGAAGAACACCGGTCTGGCGACAGTCTTGGATCTCTTGACATCGTCAGCGGTTTCTAGCTCGTAACTTGCGATCATGTCCAGTGCGTTCAAGTCCTCGAACGATCTTTTCTTGAAACTAGGAGGCTGCATGGTGGCCACTGGACTCGATCTGGATGAGGGGGTGTTGGGATTGACCATGGCCTTTTCGTCGGAGAAAATCAGGTCATTGAACCGTTTGGGGCTGGTGCTGTTGGAAACAGGCGTGAGTGGAAGCACACTTGGAGTAGGCTGCTTTCTGGCACATTGGTCTTGTTGGCCGTACATTCTTGGGGTCACAGGAGGATCCAACAATGATGTCAACGAGTCGGTTGCACATTCGACCAAAGACTTCATCAATTGGCTGTACTTGCTCTCTTCGCTGAAGTACTTGACTTCCAAGCACTTAGGAGGGTTGTCCAAGATCTTGATCAAGTTCTTGAAGAAGTTCTTGTTGAACAAGTTTTGGAACGACTGCACCGACAAAATAGGCTCGTGGGTCTCGTTGTCGGAGTCCTGTTTAAGGATGTCGTTGTAGAAATTCAACAAGCTGATCAAGCTAATGGGGATCTTCAAGGTCAAGATGCTGACCAAGATGCAGATCAAGCCGATCTGCGACGAGGTGTAGTCGAAGTAGATGTTGGGGTAGAACTGGAACAACTCACCGATGTAGTTCGACAAAGTCTTGATCTTGTGGCACGACTTCTTGATCAAGTTGGACACCGTGGGGTTGGTGCCGTTGTTGATCAAGATGTTCAAGTACAAGTCAACGAACGAGTCGAAGGTGGGGCTGCTGACCATCCACTCCAACGACTTCAAGATGTGTTTTTCCATCTCGATGAACAACTCCTTGTAGTAGCTATCGACACAGATCTTTCTCAAGTCGTTCAACGAGGGGATCTTGAACTTGGAGTCCAAGTTCTTGCAGCTGATCCAGAGACTGGTCAATCCCAACAACTGGTAGTGCTGCTTCTTGACGATACGCGTGGAGCAGTAACGGTCAATGAGGTTGACAGTGAGCGGAAACGTGGACTTGGAGAGGTTCAAGATGGTGATCACCTCCATCAAGAAGTCGAGCAACAAGGGCCTCATGCCAAGTTTGATTTCCGGCTGTTGTTCAATGAGAACTAAGCTGGGCAACGTTTTGGACTCCATTTCAAGCAAGTGCTGGAGCATGTCAAGCTGGTACTCCGACACGGTCGAAGCGTGGCACTTGAACTCCATGGACTGCAAGGTGAAGTTGGAGGACTTTACCGACGAATTGAGCATACGCAATTGGTGGTAGGAGTCTGGGGAATTGGAGTACATCGTGGCGAATGGATGTAGTTATATGAATGTTGTAAAAGCGTAAGCTGTAAAAGTAGGTGGAGACGATAAAAGAATGCCGCTAGGATGCAAATGGAACTGGATGCGCAACTTGCGTTATGACGAAAATGAAGATGATTACCAACTGGACATGAAACGAAGGTAGCAGGAGGACGAGCCAAGGAATGAATTGGTGGAGGGGGAAGACGAACCTAATTGGGTGGACTTAGAGAAGTATTGGGTAGAATGATTAGGTCTAGGGTGGGGTGTAAGAGAGAAGGTAGGACAGGTTGGATGTATCTATGCCTGATATATAAGTGAATATATATGACGGGTATGTGTAATGAGGAACAACCAAACCTCAATGGGTGAAAAGTGTGAATGGGTAGAGTTGTGAAAAACCGAAGCAGATGAAAAGATATATATACAACTGGGATATGTCCAAAAATTTTCCTAGTTAACAAATGTCTACGGTAGTTCACCCTGAATCACAGTGCTATAACAACCATAGCTCCTACATAATTGTCTCCTTTTCCTGTACATCTTTTCTTTTTTTTTTTTTTGCTGCCATAGAGGCTCTTAGGAGATAACACAATACTCTGGCCAAATAATAATTTGCACTCATTATAGGTTCCCAGGTTGAACTGGAAATCTCTATGGTGTTACTCTTTTTTTTTTTTGCGTGGAACCAAACCATAAATCTTTACTATCGGGATACATTCATGGCGAGAGAGCAAAAATTATTTTTCACTTAAACTTAATTTGGGGCTGTATGCAGGCGCGCGGGTAGACCAGAAAACTTTCTTTTGGAGGTGGTCTACCTGGCTCATAGCGCTTGACTCCTAGTTGCGTTAAAATGGGGGTCGTGTGCGCCTCGACAAAATGTCGCGCGCCCCCATCTTATCAGAACCGGGCTTGGATGGTTTCGTACTCGGACCACACCTGGGGCACACCGTGTAATTTTTCACCAGCAAGATTAGGGTCGGTGAAGGCATTGTCAGAATTAACATAAACTAATTTCCTTTCTAATCGCTATTTCAGTTGGTAGGGCTCATATCGCCAGTTTAGCTTTCAAGAATACTATTGTAGCATCAATCTGGCTAAGAACCATACCCCATGGAGGCATTGGCAAAAATCTATTTACATCCGTAATCAGCTCACAGTCCAGTATTTTCGCTTATTGTACGCAAGTTCTCTCCGGTTACTGCCAACCCTGTCCCTCACTGTGTGGAGACCCCCTTCCAAGCCAGGGATGGTTCTGTGCAGGTTGTGTCTGATGCAATCCTTCCCAAATCATAGACAGGGCTAAAAAATACCCTCGAGCATACGGGCAGGTTACTTTTAGGTTGAGAATCTTTCATTTCCTTGATCTGGCGTTGGTTTGCGCTGTGCCGTCACTATCCAAGTTTGGCAAATATTAAAGTTGAAATGGTGAAACCACTCGGGAGAATTGCTGAGGTGCAATTTCATGAGTTTCCCACTGGTGGTCAGACTATACCAGCCGATTTCTGGCCTCTTCATGGCCCAGTTCAGAGCACCGGCATCCCGACGCTATGCCTCTAACGCATAGAAGTATACGCATAACTTATTAATGTAAGTTATTGTGTCCAGCTCCGCCGAGACATGCCCCCAGTAATGCCTTGCGCGCCAACGTCAATAATCGCCTCCTATACCAAACATAAATTAAATGCATAACCTCAGCCTGACGCCTGTTGATCTGTGGCCATCCAGGCACCAGGAGGCAGGTAATCTAGACCGTTTGTGGGTTACAGGCTCATTGCTACAGCCATGCCCTCATCCAGCTATTGTTTCACTGGAAAGGTGCCATCACTAATGTCGTGCATTCCTGCCAAAGTGAAAAATTTGTGGCCGCTATCGCGATAGTGTAAATCCCGATTTTGGTATTGCAGGTGGGGCTCGCATATGCCCTTGGGGCAGCGATACCGAAGGCTACATCTTGGCCGCAACGGCACGGCACCTCAATTGTGAGTATGGATCTTTTAGATCAAATGGAGCCACGGGCGATCTTCAACATTGACGAGTCGATCCCCAGTAGTCTGGACCTCTGCGCCTACTACGGTGCCTGGATCTGCCTTCGCCGAAGATTGCCTTTCTTCGTCCTAGCGCTATTATGTGCTATTGTTAGACGAGGCAATCCCGACATTTTCAGGCAACGTTAGCGGCGCCCTTACGTAAGCCGATTTTTCAATTAAGCTCCAGATAGGAAATGTTATTAGGACAGCGCACAATGCACCACCCTGCACGTGACGCTACATGGCCACTCCCGGGGAGGTGCCGTCCACCCTGCCCCATGCTGTGCTGCACGCATGAGACCTGGCTGCGCTAACGCTACTGCCAGCGCCCGCTATTGTCCCCGACATATCCGAGGCTCATCCTCTCGTCAACTGACCGTTAACGTCATGTACGGGGAATTTCATTGTCAGGCACCACCAGCTCCTGAATATCTCCGATTTAGACGAGGTAATAGCCCACACGTTACACTGTAGCACTGTGCCTCGAGAGCTTAAACCAAAGTTGGGCGCACCAGCACACCATCGTCTCCTTAGATCCCCAGAAATCCTGAAAGTCTGCCTCGTTCGTCGATGGGCTCAGCGGCATTGCAGTGCCCCGGGCCCCCTATAACTCGTAAGATGCTCTGCCTCATTCCTGGGGACGAGGCTACCAAGAAAGGCTCAACAGTCGCTTCCAGGCTACATGACCTCATCGCATCGCTTGCGTCACCGCTCAACCGTAGTACCCTAGTTCCCGTGGCGCCCCGGTTTCTCCAGCATACCACATTCTTGCTTGCAGTTGCAGTCCCCTTCTTATCGGATATACCATGGCAACTGGCATGTCGCATGCACGAAAATTTGGTGGTTGGTTGAGAAACCAGCGAAAAATCAACCAGTGAAAAATCACCAGCGGACTTAAGAAGGGCTTTCGTTGATACGGTTACACCTCATCTCATCGCATCGCACTGCAAGAGCAATGTCACAGGCTGAGGAAGAAATCCCCGTCAGTGCCACCACTACTACACAGATGGATCTGGCCGAAGAGTCGGTTGAGGCCGTCCAGGCTCGCCACAAGAAGGAGGCCAAGGACTTGATGGCCACCATCACTGGAATGAAGAAGCAGGCCACCAAGAAAACCAGAAAAGGCGTCTTGGTGAAGTGTCAAGAGTTACAGGATGAGCTCGAACGCAGACACAAACAAGAATTGGATGAGTTGAATGGCGACTCAGGCGAGCAAGAAGTGACACCAGAGGAGCTTTTGGCCCGTCTTGCTATCTCGGCAGATACCCCAAGTGTCCAGGCTCCAAATTCCACTCCTGAACTGACTTCTACCGAACCTCCTGCTCCAGCTACACCAGCAGGGTCGGGCAAGAAGAGAAACCGTGCAAAGGAAAGGTTGGAGAAGAGGAAGGCTGAAATCGAGCGTATCAAGCAAGAAGCCACAGAAGAAGCTGCGAACACAACGGACTACAGGCAAATCGAAATCGAGTCGATGGACCAATTGCTCCAGTTGAACGGGTTGAAGGTACACGAAATCAAGCCTGATGGCCATTGTCTCTTCGCGTCCATCCAGGACCAGTTGACACTCAGACACAATGTCAACCACAGCATCCAGGAATTGAGAGAACTTTCTGCCAAGTACATATCAGAACACAGAGACGATTTTGTGCCGTTTATGTTTGACGAAAATACGGGTGAGCTCCGAGACCTCGACAACTATATCCAAGAACTCACCACCACTGCTATGTGGGGTTCGGATATGGAGATCCTCGCTCTTTCCAAGCTATTTGAGTGTCCGGTAAGCATTTTCATCGCTGGCGCATCTACCATAATAATCAACGAGGGAGCAGAGAATAATGAGTTGAAATTGGGCTATTATAAACACTCCTATGGATTGGGAGAACATTACAACTCCCTACGCGATGCATCTTAGATATTTCATCCCTAGAACTTACTGTCATTGATAGATACGACAAGTGCTGGCTACTGCCACCTCCAACAGTGGCCTCCATCAGACAGAACAGGGTTGAGCTGCCTTGTCAATCGTGGATCAGGAACCAGATAAATATAATGGAGGCGACCGGGTATTTTGGTGGTGCTTTCTGTGTAGAATGTAACAAGAATAGGTCACGTGAACATCTCGAACTATGTCGCAGTTTCAGGGGTTCTTCGCGACATGCAGTTTTGTGTACTTCACGTCGCAGCAGAAGGAACATGCGGCTCCTCGTAAATTTTAGATTTTCCGAGACACTTCTAAGACATATTTTTCTTAATTCGGATTAAATCGTACAGCGCCCCCCCCGCGCTCCAAAGTATTATTATTAAGCGGGTGCACGACCATTCTCTAAAGAGGCTTTCTGGTTCCGAATGAGTATAAATTGGACAACAATAGCGGAGGTACCCTGGCTTGAAGCAATGCTGGTGGTCCTTGTTGTTGATGATGTTGTTGATTGTTTGTGTGCGTTTCCTCCTCACATTGTCGAACATCGCCTCTGTGGCCACCTGACAATCAGTAATTGAAATGGATGGAATTTCTCTAGATTAGGTCTGTTGATGTTTCATCATAATAGGTTTTTCGAATTGGCTCAGATCTGTTGTCATACTGTAGTATTTATTCAAAAAAAATATAATTCGATGTAATTAACAGTTGGGCGCCCTTGGTCCCCGAACTCGGATGCTACCATGGCACTACGTGGATACAGAAAAAATATATCTCTTGTCGGATAAAGCTTGGGTGTCCACAAAGGCAACCCGTGTACCGTGTGGTATTACTTCCTTTTTCAGTTCATGGTGGTGAAACCTCTAAAAACAGAACTCAAGGGAACTTTGGTGTCTAATAGCTCCACCTCTGTTGTAAGTGGAAGTGTTCAGTTTATCGTGGTAGTATGTTACAACCGACGCAAATGAAGTACTGGAGATTCGAATTCTAGACTAAACTAGAGTGCCCAGTACAAAAATACATTGTTTGCGGTGAGATCCCCAGGCCAACCATATGTCGTGAAAATGTCTTGCAGGATTTACTCCTATTGTTTAGAGGATATATTTATACTTTCAGTATTGGAAGGGGACAGGATGGGTTTGGCAAACAACCAAGAAACTCTACCACGGATATGTAGGGGCTTTGGCCTCGGAGATAATGACACCGTCGGTCTTCCCTGTAATTGGAACTAACAGTTAACAAAGCACTGTGGGAAAAAATAATAGGATAATTATATACGAACTCGCTGGCTGATTGAGTAATTTCAGCTTATATACACTCATAAAATAAAATCAGTGTAATCCTTCCCCAGCATCTGGCACTGATTTAGTGTCAACCTCATATTAATTTTCACAATTTTCACCCTTTGGTCGCCTTGCTGGTCCCCGCTGTAGATCGTAGAGATCGCTTTGGGTTAATTCTGTGTCCACTGAGAACACATCGTGCACCATGATCAGGGAGGTCTGTACTCCGGTGTGCAACCGCCTCTATTGTCGGGAAAAGATCACCTGGTGGTCCGAGATGGACTGGGCCTTCATGCTTGCGGTAGAGGTTTTGAGTGAACCACACATACGGAAGACCCTACCCTGATAGTGGACGCAACAACCGGGATTCCTATTTTTTCCTTGCCAAGCACGCATACGATTGTTCGGTCCGGACGGACGACATCTATTTCTGGAGCTGAACAGCGCGACACTTTTTAGATCCAAATTAAGGCATATTAACTTGGGCTCAGAAATCGTCTAACTACAGGAGTCGCTGGATTCAGTCACATGCGACGACATGGAGACATTCACTTTCTTGTTCCGATTTAAACTACTGAACAATCCATATTCATGTTAATAGCTTTGGCGTGGACAGGCATCATGCACTAGTCATGCTACACCCTTAGAGCTAGCCATGCCCATCGAACAGAACCGTTACTATTCGACCAATAGTCTAAGTGGCACCCCGTGCACCAAGACCTCCCGTAAATTCTGGGTGGACTAAGCCTTTTACACACCACGCTTTTGGTTTTCGGTAAGCCAGTCAACCTCGATCGTTAATTCCAGGTGTCGGTGGGGTTTGGTAGACAATAACACCTGTTGGTGGACGGTGTGGTCTGGGACCACCTTTGCCCACCTGTGCACTGGCTCGAGCACTGCATACTTGAACAAAGTCCCGCCTATTCCCCTGATCTGTAACAGGAAAAATACCGAGGCCACAAAGCACTAGCGTTCTCCTCCTCTATTGTGCAGACCTCCACTATCCACCGGGAGAAGTATGTTCCTGTGAGTTCTCCAAACAGTCTACCGCAGCAATTGTCTAGAGATAAGCTATTCATTCGAAACTATTGTCAGAAGAGGGGCTAAAGCGTAAACCATAAATGCCACAACTTCGACATGTTCGCTAGCGAGGGTGCTTCAGTTAGGAAGGGTGTTTTCGCGGTTATTTGGTCCCCACTGCAAACTGTCTGACGTACGACATCTACGAGCACTGGCCGACTTTTAGTCCCCGGCGCCAGTTAGGTGGGGTGCCACCTTCCAACCTGGAGTCCGGACGGCATCGCTGGTGCTGTAGACGACACTCCTCCCGGGCGGTTCCCCTCGTCCAGGCCTCGTCTGAGAACTGTCCAGGCAGCGCAATCAGCCACCCTTCATTCCTGGCATCCGTACTGACCTCGGGACACCTTTGGCCAGACAATTTCACTCATGCAAGCAACTAGTTATGCCGACACAAATCGTTATCTCCACGGTTACCAAACAAAGGCATCACGTGACATGCAATCAGCGGGCACCCGAACCCCACCAGCGATGGTAGCACTGCATCCGCTTATCGCGGCTATAGGCCTACCACCTGGGGCCGATCCCATGCGTCCTAAAGTTATAGCCGGCACATTATTGCCGGCAGGTCAATCTGGCTCGCACCAAAATAACCGGAGTTGATTCACCACATGGCGATCAGCACGGATTCTGCAGTTTCTCTGATGGAACTATATTGTAGGGGCATGCAACCCCGACCTATGCATATACGGCCCCATCGTTCGCCTGTGTCACGAAACCTCTCTGGTGATAAGATGGTACCAGACGCTCACCCTCTGTCACCAATGCCCGCAGACGCATCTGGATGACCGCTGCTCACGTGACCAGCAGCTATGATTTTTCATCCCATCACAACTCATCTACACCACTGCAAAATGGGATGGTTCTGGGCTGATACCGCCGCTGCTCCTTCTGCCGGCACAAGTGCTGCTAAGTGTCCTATTGACCACACCCCCAAGCCCTCTGGCTGCCCCATAGACCACACCCCAAAGCCTGCTTCCGGCTGTCCCATCGACCACACCTCAATCTCCAAATCCGATGCCTCTGCCTCCCAGTGCCCCGTGGACCACGAGGTGCTCAACCCCATGAACAACATGCCACATCTCTCGTCAGAAAAAGCTCCTGGCCAGAAGATCACCCTTTCTACCGAAAGAACCATCTCGTCCATCCCACGAGGCGAGTCTGAGGACCAGGGCTTGTGGGAATACCCTTCGCCCCAGCAGATGTTGAATGCCATGTTGAGAAAGGGCAAGGGAGACGGAATCCCTGAAGATGCGGTCGAATCCATGGTGGATGTGCACAACTTCTTGAACGAAGGTGCGTGGGTCCAGATCTTGGACTGGGAAAGCGAGCACACCAGCGAGACCAAGGTGGAACCCAGATTGAAGAAGTTCACCGGAAGACCCCACGACTTGTCTCCCAGAGCTCAGATGTACATGTGGCTCGGCAAGATCTTCCCTGAGACCTTCAACACCGTGCCTCCGTTCGACAGACACGACTGGACAGTCTTGAGAAGCTTGGGCAGAGAGAAGGGCTGGAAGGAAGTGCGCTATGTCATCGACTACTACGGAGCTCCCGACGACGAGGACACAGGCATGCCTGCGTTCATGTTGGACACAAGGCCTGCATTGGACAGTTTCGACAGTGCTTTTGCCCGTATGAAGAGGTGGGGGGTTCCTGTGTGGAAGCGGGCCATGGGGGACTTCAGCGACCGTGACTCGTGAATTTTCCAGCGTCTGACGAGGCATCTGCGGACCCCAGGCCGAGATTAGTGAATAAGTTTTTGACGAGGTGCCTGGCTGCCTCCGGAGCCAGATATTTTTGACGACGCTACAACCAGCCCACCAGTCGTGGGCCGTACATACCGACTGCCGCCAGCCACTGGCGTGAATAACAAGAAACGAAATGACACTTGTAGAAGAGCGACAATGTCGTGATCTCGTGATCTCGTCAAAGTGCCACGACATTCCCTCCAGATCCCCAGCTTCTAGCCCCAGAATAAGCTCGAGCCTATTCCCGAAGTGGTCTGCAGCCAGGCAGTTGCTTACGCTGAAATTGCCGTCTGGGAAATTATAGCCGGCACGATAATGCATCCGGTTTAGACTATCCATCATGCGAAGGTTTCCAACTACAATAGCCAGGGCATGCGGTTCGTGGAGATTTGCGGTGAGTTTTTGTGCCAGTCGCTGTCCCCACCGCATTAATCTTTAAGTAATTATAACAATGTTACCCTAATACTATTTGTGAAGGTTTAAATATCCTAGCAGTGACCTTAAATAATTCTTAGTTATACAACTGTTACTTTCCTTGACTGATAATAACAGCTGACTATCTTCACTCTGCTGGTTAACACTCTTAGTTATTTTCACCATCCTTACTATCATTATTTCTCCTACGCAAACTCCTCACTTGCGGTCGGACAATCTGAGGCTGGTCCCACCGCAGCTGCTGAGCATACCACACGCTGGAATGTGGAGACCATACGTCCCAGGCGCAGCCTATTCAGCCTTAGGTTTCGAGCCGCAGCAAGCCTGGGTTCCCACGACGTGCGTCGTATCTACGAAGGTGATTGTTCTATGTACATAAATGGCTAATTAGTTGCGAGCCCCAGCCGCTCGCCATGGGATCGATACCTCACTGCTATATTCTGGAACACCTCCTGGTGTCTACTGCTGCTTGAGCTGTCCCAACAACTCGTTGCTGAAACTGTACTCGCTGGTGAGTGGGTGCAAAATCTTAGGCAACTCTGAGCCAAGGTCGCGAAGCTTTTGGCCCAGCAACTCGTCAATAAGGTACTGCACCCGTTCCTTGTTGCCACGCTTGAGGAAGTGGCTGAGCAAGTAGTAGTAGGTGAAGAAGTTGGGCTCCACCTTCAAGCTGGCCTGCGCCTTCATGTTTTCGTAGTACTGCAACGCCAAATCCTCGTGCTTGGCCAACAAAGACGTGATCATCATGTTCCACACACGGGCATCGTTGGAGATGTGCTTGATGTACTTGTCGAAAATCACCTCAGCGTTGGCTACTGATCCGAAGTCCAACTCACCCTTCATCATTGATGTGTAGAGCTGTGCTGACAGCTTGTACTTCTTGGAGGCACCGGCAAAAATCTGCCTGGCAGCCTCGATGTTGGCACCGTCCTTGACCAAACCGTCGATCAACGCCGTGTAGGTGAAGTCGTTCAACTGGATGGTGTTGGACTTGGTGATGCTGGCCAAGATTTGGTCCACGTCGGGAGCCAAACCCTTCTCACGGTGCAACTTGAAGAAAATGTCGATCATGATGGTGTAGGTGGCCACCTCCTCGGGAATGTTATTTTTCTTCATGAACTCCAAGATACCCTCGACTGCCTTATAGTTTTTGGTTTTAGCGTAGTGCCCCAAAAACGTGTTCATGGTGTGGGTGATTGGCACGTAGCCACTGCCGTCGGCCATGAACTGCTTCAACTTGGTCTCGGCCTCGCCAACCTTGTTGTTCAACACCAAACCCACCAAGATGTTATTTTTGGTGGGGTTGATTATCTTCAACGAGCCTTCACCCTCAGTGCTGAATCTCTGCAAGTACTCCTCGACCTTGTCGAAACGGTTCAAGTTGGCAAATGCCCCCACAATGATCGACAATGTCTTGGGAGTGATTTCAGTGCCATTGCTGACGATAGTCTCAATGGTTCTGTCGATGTTCTCTGCGATAGTCTTTCTCTTGGTGGTACGTTTGCTGACGTGGCTGGGGTGGCCCATGGCCCTCAACACGAGTTCCCACGAACTAATGGAAGGAACCTCGATTCCGTGCTGGAGCATGCTCTGGAACAAGTTGAAGATGTCTTCTGGTCTGTCGCAGTCCAAGTATGCCTTCATGACTCTGTTCATGGTGCCTTCCGTCAATGGCTTGGAAGACTTTTTGGCTGCCTCCTGCAACTCCACGAAGACACGGTTCAAGCCTGATGGGTCCTTTCTGTCAGCTGCAGAGTTGATTTTCTTGTAGGCAATTGGTCCGTTGGGGTCCAAATTATCGTAAGCATGGGACTGGACGGTCTTGGTGAACGCCTGGAACTCCTTAGTGTGCGAGGACAATAAGTGGAGGTCAGCCAAAGTGCCACGGACGAAGAATGGCGCTGGAGGCTCGCTCTGGAGCAATTTGGAGGCATCTTCTGCCAGGTACTTGACCCCCTCTTGGATGCACGACTGCACGAACGAGAAGTAGGCGAGGTTGACAAGATAGTAGCCCTTGAAGTCGATACCGGACTCCTTGATCACGTAGGGGTTGGAGTAGTAGAAGTCCATGGATTTTTCGTACTCAACGTTTTGGACCCACAATTTCAATACCTCATGGTACGCCGAGGCTTTCATCCAGTTGGCTGCCACAAGCGTGAAGTGGTACTTGTGAGCGACCTTGTACTGAACCAACACGTCAAGAATCTGGTTGGGGGAGGTGGAGGTTTCGGTGCTGATGGCTTTATACAAGAGGTTGGTGACCACTGCCTGGAACTCGTGATAGAGTACTCTTTCCGGGATCTTTTCCGACACCTGGATCTCTCTTAAGTACAGGAGTCCTTCCTCCAAGATCTCCACCGATTCGGATAAGTCGTTGGTGGCATTTTTCACCACTTCTCTGATCTGGTTGGCCACATCACGGAGCTTGGGGTTGAGCGGAGCACGCTTTCTTTCCACTGGCTTGGTTCTGTCGTTGGAATTGCCCACAGACCTCGTTGGCTTTGCAGATTGGCTAGTGGTGTCGTTGGATCTGGCACTTCTTTCACTCCTGATTGGTTCCACGCTGGACGACACCGACTGGAAACGAGTGATAACAACGCCCTGTGCTCTGACCTTGGCAAGGTTTATCCTTGTCAAGTTTCTGTAGACACTCTGTCTGAGCGGAATCATGATGGGTCTGTTGGTAGTGGTCGAATTTTCAGATTGAAAAGTTGTGGTGAGACCAAAAAATTTTTCGCAGAGAGGACTCAGAGGGACGAGAGAGAAAGGTAGTGAAGGAGTCTAGAGAGAGGACGAACAGGACTGTAGAGGATAGAAAAGGAAGTCTTGTTACTCTTTCCAGGCTCAGAAGGAAAGAGTGTGGAAGAGGAGACCAAGAATATAAAAAATGGCCTTTTCCAAAGACCGAAGTCTGGAGAAGGAAAGCGATAATAGAGCTAATATCGCCTACTCCAGACAGAAATCTTACTGGCAGTTGAGTCAACTAGGCCAGCAATCTGTAATTACCCACAAACAGGCACTTCTAGGCGTCCTACAGAGGCACATCACCACCAGCTTCCGAAATCGGAGTGGCAGGATTTTTATGAGTTCTACACAGTGAAAAACACTTCGAGATGGGTCTGCTTGTTAGTAGTGTTCAGTCACACGGTGTGTCAGATATCTAAAACCTTCTTATCATAAACAAATATCAATTGAGCTGGGTTTATTTGAAGGAGTCCTCTGGACTCGAGATCATCATTTTGCACGGCAAGCACTGTTACATACACTTTGGTTCCTTAGAGTTGGTGAAGAAAAAGTGTGAAATTGTCGCATTATATATGGATTGGTCGTGCGCCGGTAAATTGTTATCACGTGACCAACTAGGGCTGGGATGGGAAGTCAAGACAAGTTAGCCTTACCTGTGCAAGGTTGCTGTTTAAGGAACAACATTGTATAGAGATTCATGAGATGAATTTAACCCAGGGCAATAGGGTAATTCATAGTGGATTTAGCAGTAGTAAAAGGTCATAAATCAATACAGGTGGTTCGTGTTCAAGCAATATCGGTTAGTAGCCAGCCATATCTGTTATAGAGTAAAAGCTCTATTAAACAGTAATTACACCATCTTATAAAATTTGTTGTTACACTGCTACTACTGCAGTTTCTTTTTTCCAACTATGGACTGTTGGCTTTCATCACAGCGCAAGTAACTAGTCATTGAAAGTACCAACAGTGCCATACCAAAACCTAATTTTAATCTTCAACCCATTATGAGTCCTCCATCTACAATTTGCATCCTCTCTGTTCCACCAATCACTCAATTAAGGCTCCATTCCAAATGTTAGGTTATGTAAGCAATTATGTAATCCGCAGTGCACTACTGTACTCACCATACTTTTTTATTCACAAATGGTTGCGTGGTCTAGTTGGTTATGGCATCTGCTTAACACGCAGAACGTCCCCAGTTCGATCCTGGGCGGAATCATTTTTTTGCTGCCCAAATTTCTTATCGAAATCAGATTTAACTCCTCAAACGTATCATCTCCACCCCAGCAGTGCTGGCTTACTTCTTCATCCATTGGTCCAACTGCACCATGACGGCCAACATAAATGACCCCAATACAAAGTATGCCCACAAGCCTGAGCCCCAAGAGACTCCTACCAAAGACAAGCTCCTCTTCTTCAACTACCATGAATTTCTTACCTCCGACTACAAGTCGAACCAGTCCATCACTACTGACACGTCGTTAGTGGTTAACCACTTCCCAAACAACTATGAAGCCAAGGAGTCCCTCCAACACTCGTCAACCAGAATCGTCCGTATTCCCCGAGTATATGACACCAACCGCTACTCTGACGTGATCCCCCAGTTCTCAGTACACGTTCCCGGCAAGGAGCCTGCTGCGTTGACTGGGTCCAGCAGCGAGGCAGACCAGGGATATGAGGTCTCGGGAGTGTTTGACGATAACTGGTTTGGGCTTACCTCGCTAACCCCGTTGGTTCCTGGATGGCTTTCTGTCGAGGAGTTCACTGCCATTGTCACCCGGATCAACCAGTTGTTGTACGATGCTTTGAACCCATTTGATTATCGAAATGCGTTCCAAAGCGTGCTTGATGTGATGAGCGGGGGAACCCTTTCATTACTAGTCAACCCGTACTCGAAGAAGAAACTCCTCGAATTGGAGAGCTACATCGACACAGACGTTAACGTGAAATTGGCAGAGAAATGCAAGGGTCTTAAAGTGATTCCCTTGCGGCAGTCGGGATACTTGTCGCTAGACTTCCAGGTGCCTAGGCCCCATCAGTGAAGTAGCCACAGGAAAAAGGCCAGGGCGCAGGCGCCTCTGGCTTAGCAATTAGAGGAAGACCTTGAATTTTGGGCAAGATTAAAATTGGACAGCAATAAATCGGTGAATACATTATGAGATAACAATACTCCATGCACCCGACTGTTTCTCTACTTGAGACATGATATTACAGCTACTGACTTAAAGTAACATACAGTCATCGGAACTGTAAAGACAAAAGAATAGAAAACCACCACAAAAGATATCGAAACCACTTCCTGGAGAATGAGACTGAGATCGCTAAACATTCCACCATTGGGTCTCCTAATCCCATTGGATGGTGCTCACAACAAAAATACAACCATTGAGTGTGCCAGTTTCCAGCTTGATTGCAAAATGAGAATATCTTACATGCACATTCAAAATCATACTTTCAAATCAAGCGAGTGTAGCTCAGCTACTCTCTGCAATCACCAATTGTGATAGTACCGCTGCATTGGTGTTGGTGTTTACTTCTGAAAATTCATGGAAGTATCCCATCCCACGTTTACCAGAGTGAAGTACGGAAATTTTGACCTCCGATCAATAGCTTTAATCAATAATAATCTTTCAATAATACCAGTATTTAACTTCGTTCTCTCGGTATTACCGAGAGAACCTTTACTATGACATACAGTCTCCACAGAATATCTAGTCGCTCTCAGTGCAAACTAAAATCATTTCACCCACAATCACTTCACTTCCCTTCTTCTTGACATTTCAACTATTTTGTTGAAGTCAATCTATAAATTCTGGTACCAAACAAGTCCTGTTTCAACAAGCAGATGCCCATTGTAGCCTGTAAGCGCCATTTCTTCTGGCCCTATCCTCTCGTATTTGGCCCTGCTCTGTGCAGTCCCTCACTTCACCATTTCGATGAGATAAATCATCACCATGTTTCGCTTCACACCGAAAGCAATGGACGGTGTGTTTGCAGTTTACAAGCCTTCGGGCGCCACATCCGCCCAGTTCATTGGCGAAATCCAGAAATTGTTCACAGCATCTGACGTCTTCAGCGAAGACTTAAACAAGGCCAAAGAAAAGGCCAGATACGATCTCAGCTCCAACAAGACCTGGTCCAAGCAGAAGGTGGAAAAGAAGGTACGTGACCTTAAAGTCAAGATTGGCCATGGAGGCACGTTAGACCCGTTGGCTAGTGGAGTCTTGGTCATCGGAGTAGGGTTGGGAACAAAGAAGTTACAACATTACTTGACTGAATGTCGCAAGCAGTATCGAACCAAAGCGTTGTTGGGGATTTCCACCACCACCGGAGACTCGGAGGGCGAGATTATCACCCAGAACAAGATCGACCATGTCACCAAGCAAATGATTACGGAAACTGGGCCCAAATTCGTGGGCAACTTGAAACAAACTCCCCCCATCTTCTCAGCACTCAAGATCAATGGATTGCCCTTCTACGAGTATGCCAGAAAGGGGATTCCCTTGCCTGCTCCCATCAAGACTAGAGAGATCCAGGTGCACGGCTTGGAAATACACGAGGAAGACTCGTTGAAGGTCGACCACGAGTTCAACAGATTACAGAGCCAGTTGGACGAGGACGGCAAGCCAAAGGAACACGGCTTGGCCAACAACCCCACTTTGAATGACTCGCCCTTGTATTTCTCCAGCCAGTACCTCGAAAAAGCTGAAAAAGAAGGCCTCTCCACCGAAGTCTCTAAGCCCAAGCTTTTGGACGAAGGCGAGATCTTGCCTGAAAAATTGCCCATGATCCACTTCACGGCTGACGTTTCTTCTGGTACTTACATCAGAAGCTTGGTGAGTGACTTTGGAAGAGCGCTCGAGTCTTCTGCCTATATGGTGGAACTTATTAGAACTGCACAGTCCGATTGGAAATTGGGCAAAAACGTGTTCACCATCGAGGACTTCAAGAACAGAGATGAGCGGATATGGGGTCCTGTTTTGAAGAAGGTATTGGAGCAGGGAAGTGATGTCGATGTGGAAGAGGAGTTGAATTCTTTCTCAGAGAAGATCTTGCCTTTAATAGAGAAGGAACAGGAAGTGTTGGCCCAAAAGGCCAAGCAAGAGCAAGAAGCTGAAAATGCCGAAAAGCCAGAAGTTACCGAAAGTGACGAGCAACCCCAGAAGGCTGCTGAAACGACTGATGAATCAGCCGTTCCAAAAAAGAGACACATCGACGAGGTGGAAAACTAAATAGACTGTAATATAGAAGCCAAAAAAGGTTGTGTGTAATCGGAAAAACGGAACAGACGAGTGGGTTTGCGTGTGGAAAGATGGTCTGTCGGCTGAGGTTCGTAGTATTGAAAGTCTGAAGAACGGAAAGAAATAGCCATCACTTGCCAACTATCCAGCAGGAATCATCTGATGTTCATTTGTGCCCAGAGAGCAGGTAGTAAGGATGTTGTATCGGTTTCTTCAGAAAATAGTGAGTGGTGATAATTACACATGGAGAATAATTGTTCAAGTAGAGGTTTGGGCTGAAAACCAGGAACTGAATTGACATTCCAGTGTACGTCATCAAATCAAACCATACCCATAGCTCAATCAATTACCAATTATTCACTGAAGTTAACCATGAAATAATTACCGTGTTGTACTGATCGGGAACTTCCCTAATTGCCCCAACAAGAATCTGAAAAGACCACTGTTCACGCAGGATAGGAGGTCCACAAGAAGTGTGAGCTTGCAGCTAATTGATTAAGTGGTAGCAGAAAATGTACACTGATTGAGAGGCAGCTTCTGCTCTTAATTAATTAGCATCTACTCTTAATTAGCCGGCTAGGCGTATTCCCCGAACTAGAAGTATCTATGCTCATTTTTAGATGTACCTGCTCTTGATTAATTAGCATCTACTGTAATTAACTGGCCGTAATATCCTCTAGCTTGATTAGCATCTACTCTTGCCTGAGAGCCCTTATACCCTCTTCTAACTTTCTGGCCACACCCTCTTCTGATTTGCTTCTCCTATCCATTCTACTCTTGCTGGCTACACTCTCACTCACTTGGTCCCACTGCCAATGGCTAACACTGTCCTCCACCCAGTCGCGCTCATCTCATCAACTTTCTCATATATATCACCAAATCATTCTCATCATCACACCATGTTTAGAGCACTCGCTACCGCCAGTGTCAGACTGTTGTCGTACCATGCCAGAACGTCGTTGAACCCCGTCAACTACACCCTTGTACGCCCTCCCAGCTTCCAGTCGGTGTTGGTATTGTCCACACCATCCAACCTTCCTAAAGTCATCGACGAGGCCGTCCGTCTCCACCAGAGCTCGGATGTCCAGATCGTAGTAGCGGGGGTCGACAGCTTGGTGCCGAACTCCCATCGTAACGGAGTAGCCGAGTTGTGGATGAAGGAACAGGTGACTATCGCCAACTCGGTCCAGGTGGACGAACGAGACGACCTCAAGGACGCCCCAAAAGACAGTGACGGCGTCAACATCGTGGTGGCACGTAAGAACTGGAAGAACATCGCGTCCCGGCTCCGATTGGTGCTTGAGGGTGCCACCACTACCACCATCGACCTCAACCTCGCCAACACCGTGTTTGCCACCGGAAACTTGGTGACCATGTTCTACCTCCAGCCACCCGCCGGCTCGGGAGAGCAAGCAAACTCCGGCCACACGTTGTGTGAGTTGACGGTGCGGGTGCCGGTGGCGGCTAGCGCCATCAATACCTCCGACAGGCTTACGCCTCTCTACGGCCCCCACGACCACTTCCTCGTCTCCGACAGCGTGGGCAACCTCGTCAAGAAGGTCAACGGCCAGCCAGCGTCGCAGTTCCTTGAAAACAACCGCAAGTTGATGGACATCGCCTCCAAGGACACCGAGGTCTACGTTAAGCTCTACCGTGCCAACGACCCCCAAAAGGCCTACAAGCACCAGGTGATCGCTGGGGGAGGCGGCTGGGGTGCCAAGGCTGCCATCATCGCGTTGTCACCCGACGCCAAAGTGGCCAACGGCGACCGTATCGAGTTCTACATGCTCACGCCCCAGGCACGCTGGGACGCCAGTGCAGGAGCAGTTGAAGTGGACGAGGTGCGTGGCAAGCTAGCGTTTGAAGCCAGCTTCGAGCAGCAGCACTACGAGGACTCCCACCATGGAGCTCCCGCCGTGCTAGAGGGAGTGTTTGGTTGTGGCAGTGAGGACGGGTTCACAATCGATGGCGTGGGCTACAACTCTGCGGGGGAGAGGGCGGTGGTGACCACAGGCTAAAAAGACTAACCGCAGATACAATCAGCCCACACCGGCGCGATAAGATGTGTCAATGCGCCTCGAGGCCCCACAGTGGTTGGGGTTGCAACCGTGCCTGGCTCGTATTGCATTCTGCCGTTAAACGTCGGTCTAGCCGAATTAACCCCACCAGTCTGACCAGAATAGCACATAATTCTGGTTAACAGGTCTGTATACTAATGTCTGCCTACCCACCCCTCTGTATACTATGTCTGTGTACTCTCTGCCTACCCCACTCGTGTACCCCTAGTCGGTATCCCCCTCCACCATTCTGTATATAACCAAACGACACAATGCCGTATCGGTTCCTTAATCTGCATTGTCTTGCCATTTGTTCTATACTGTGAAACTCGTGCCTGGCACCTCACCCCATCGCCTCCACTACATAATCATCTTGCTGCCGGTCATTTCTCCTACATCATGATATCATACATAAAGGGAGACCTCTTCAGCCACAAGGCCCCCTCAGGCACCACCCTCCTCGTGCACGCCTGCAACTGTCGAGGCCTGTGGGGAGCTGGCATAGCAACCTCGTTTCGCAAGCGATTTCCGTCCACCTACCACAAGTACGTGGACTTTTGCAAGCAGCACTCCGACAACCCAGCAGGGCTTCTTGGGAAAGCGTTGATTCTCCCGTCCGAGGCTCTGGACCCTGGCAAGGCTGGGGTCTACGTGGTGTGCCTCTTCACCAGCGACTTTGCTGGCAAGAAGAAGCTCCAGCCCCTGGACATTGTCTACTACACTCGTCAGGCCATGAGGAGCCTCCATGCCCAGCTCCCAAAGCTTGGAGGCGTGGAGACTGCTGGAGGCAAGGTGGTGCTAAACATGCCTAAGATCAATGCCGGCTTGTTCGACGTCCCCTGGCCTAAGACTGAGGAGGCGTTGAAGGAGTTCGACCTCCAGATTAACGTGTATGCCCTTGACTAGCCGGCTGGCGTCGGCAGTCCACGCTGTATTATGCCCTGCCCCGCTGGCGGTGGGTTTTGTATGTCTAAGTAACGAATATATTTAATTTCCATGTCCAACTCACTTCTTTGATTACATGGGTCGAATTACATCTCATGCGTCTCCATTGCCAATTAGAGTTGCTTGACAGCTTTGATTACATGCGTGTGTGTTGAATTACATCTCTACATGTGTCCTGTCATTGCTACAGGTGGTCTCTGGTGACACCCTGCAGCTGTGCATGCAACCAGACGCGTGTTTCAAAGTACATCACAAGAACGGGTGTACAACAGTCTACTTGTGAGACGATGGATTGGGATGGGCTACCGACTGAATTCCTCCCGAGGTGGGAACTATCGGTTGGTTTGTGCTGCCTACTGAACTTCTCCCGAGGTGAGTTTCGATCAAAAGAGTAGTGAAGTATTCACGGTTTTCCAGGTTTTCATCATCAATGCAATCCGGCTAAGGCCCCAATTCTCTGGTGCTTCTGACGGAGAGACAATGAGAGCAAGCTACGTTGCCCCATGGTAGGTGGCACCTATCGCGCTTATTGATACCGACTGCAGACCAATTATGGGCTAATGACTGGGAAGAATGTCCTCTACAATGAGCTAAAAATGGCCACAGTAAGCAAACTGGCTCTCTGTGCTCTCCTCTGCCAGCTTCACACTTGTATCAATTTCCTTTCGTCGTGGTCAGTTTCGTGGCCAGAACCCTGTCAAAAATTACCAGCCCCAAGCGAAACACCAACTACCAATCCTAAGCTGAACGCCAACCCCCAATCGAGCCCAGATCCCCGACAACCCCTCTCGAACGGCTGTAGTACGTGGCATAACGGCTCTTTTGGCTGGGGATAGATAAGAAGAGTCTACGAGTTTACTCTTTGCCTATAACCTTCCATTGCATCATGCTTATTCGCAAGACTATACTACGCTTATCTCTATCTCTTGCTATGACACCGACTCTCCAATGACATCATTACCGCAGATCCGCTGCCTGACCTACCCTCCGCCTACCCTCTGCTACTCCAGTCGCCCCTAATCCTCACCTCAGCCGGGCGTGCGCGCACCACCCGCCACGAACACCTCAACACTACCAGTCTACGCCTACAACAATCCTCCACCACAACTACACGTCACCATGGATGAGACTTTAATCGCCACTATCAACAAGTTACAAGACGCGTTGGCTCCATTGGGCGGTGGCTCGTCCTCGCCCGTTGATTTGCCCCAGATCACCGTCGTGGGCTCCCAGTCCAGCGGCAAATCGTCGGTGTTGGAGAACATCGTCGGCAGAGACTTCTTGCCTAGAGGAACGGGAATCGTCACCAGAAGACCGTTGGTGTTGCAATTGATCAACAAGCGTGCTGCTGCCAAGTCATCCAATGACTTGATCCAGATCAACACCACCAAGGAGAACGGGGATGCCTCGGAAAACAACGCTGATGAATGGGGTGAATTCTTGCACTTGCCCAACAAGAAGTTCTACAACTTCGAGGACATCAGAACTGAAATCGTGCGTGAAACTGACGCCAAAACCGGTAAGAACTTGGGAATCTCGCCTGTGCCTATCAACTTGAGAATCTACTCTCCCCACGTCTTGACGTTGACCTTAGTCGATTTGCCAGGCTTGACCAAAGTCCCCGTGGGAGACCAGCCAAAGGATATCGAAAAGCAGATCAGGGATATGATCATGAAGTTCATCTCCAAGCCCAACGCCATCATTCTCTCGGTCAACGCCGCAAACACCGATTTGGCCAACTCTGACGGGTTGAAGTTGGCCAGAGAAGTCGATCCCGAGGGCTCCAGAACCATCGGTGTCTTGACCAAGGTCGATTTGATGGACCAGGGAACGGATGTCATTGATATTCTCGCAGGAAGAGTTATCCCATTAAGATTCGGCTACGTTCCAGTTATTAATAGAGGTCAGAAGGATATTGAAACCAAGAAGACCATTAGAGACGCTTTAGAGGACGAAAAGGCCTTCTTCGAGGACCACCCTTCATACAAGGCCAAGGCCCACTACTGTGGTACCCCATACTTGGCCAAGAAGTTGAACGGTATCTTGTTACATCACATTAAGGGCACCTTGCCAGATATCAAAATGAGAATCGAGCACTCCTTGAAGAAATACCAGAATGAGTTGAGCTTGTTGGGTCCTGAAATGGCCGAGTCTCCTACTTCCATTGCATTGAATATGATCACCAATTTCGCCAAGGACTACAATGGAATCTTGAACGGTGAGTCCAAGGAATTGTCCTCTCAAGAATTGAGTGGTGGTGCTCGTATCTCGTTTGTTTTCCATGAGATCTTCAAGAATGGTATTGGTGCAATTGACCCATTTGACCAGATCAAGGATGCCGATATTAGAACCATCATGCATAACACTTCTGGTTCTGCCCCTTCCTTGTTTGTTGGAACCCAAGCCTTTGAGGTTTTGGTCAAGCAACAAATTCACAGAATGGAAGAGCCCTCGCTTCGTTGTGTCAACTTGATTTTTGACGAATTGGTCAGAATCTTGTCTCAAATTATTTCCCAGCCACAATACTCCCGTTACCCCGCGTTGAAGGAGCAATTGTCCCAGTACTTCATCCAGTTCTTGCGTGAAGAGTTGATCCCAACCAACACGCTTGTGACCGACATTATCCAGTCCGAAGAGACCTACGTTAACACCGCCCACCCTGACTTCTTAAAGGGAACACAAGCAATGGCCATTGTCGAGGAAAAGTTCCACCCAAAGCCACAGGTTGCTGTTGACCCTAAGACCGGCAAGCCATTGCCACCATCTCAGCAACAGTTGCAACAACAGCAACAGCAACAACAGGCCAAGGAAGAAGGTGGAAACGGCTTCTTTGGTGGCTTTTTCTCCTCCAAGAATAAGAAGAGATTGCAATCCATGGAGGCCCCACCTCCTGTGTTGAGAGCCACCGGTACCATGTCCGAGAGAGAATCCATGGAGACTGAAGTCATCAAGTTGTTGATCGCGTCCTACTACAACATCGTGCAAAGAACAGTGTCGGATGTTGTCCCCAAGGCCATTATGTTGAAGTTGATTGTCAAGTCCAAGGAGAACATTCAGAAGCACTTGTTGGAGAAGTTGTACAACTCGCCAGACTTGGCTGATATGGTCAAGGAGAACGAGTTGACGGTGCAAAAGAGAAAGGAGTGTGTGAAGATGGTCGAAGTGTTGACCAATGCCAGCGAGATTGTGTCCAGTGTGTGAAATTGACGGCCTTACGAGATGGTCGTGCCGGATTTGCTCTATAATTTGTGTTTAGCTAATATAACCTACTATGGTTTCGTTTGTACAGTGTAGGAGTGTTGAATATTACACTCGGTAAAACAGAGTACTGAATTACCATAATGTAATAAAGTGTTCGTGTTCATTATTTTCTTTTAGTTCACTTTATTTTGACTGAACGGCTTCGAAGACTCGCTCAACCTCTGGTGGATGATTACACTTGTGTAGTATTAAAATAGATTGCATCGTTTCCTGCCGAAGAACTCCTTTATCTGCCGTAGCTCAGTCGTGGCTGGAAAATCTTAACCAAAGTTATTCTTCTCCAACATGATCTCAAGACAATATGACGCAAATTCAATAACTTATCGCTGATACATGCAGCTATACTTCAAACCCCGATAATAACCAGCATTGGCTGTCAGTATTTTCAATTTATTTGACAATAATACAGCTATTTCACCTGTCTCGAAGCAAGTGTACTCTCTCGAGAATGAGTGAATAAACCCGTGGCTGAAATACTTCGGATATGCCAGCTCCTGCCTAATTGGACATTCGCGAACTAGGCTTATCGTGATCCGGCGGAATGACAGAATAGCCATATTTGAGATACCAAGTAGTTCCCTCCATGTATCCGAATGAAGGTACTTGCCATGTAGCGCAGTAACTGTCCCCCATGTCAGCAATCACCTGCTAACGAAAGATAAACCTTGCCACACCACTCCGTTATTCCCCGAAGCTCTCGCTAGCACCATCGGAATTTAGTCCCTGCGGCCGATCTCTCGCACTAAAATCGCAGGGTCCACCACCAGCGATAACACTACCAGAAAGCCGGCTGGGAGTCCACTGTCCACAGCAACAGAATCAACAACAATACACCGGCCAGGTCTGGCGCCATTCTACTAACACCCTTGCCGCCTCTCCTCCCCCACGCTCCTTATCTTGCCATTCCCCACATCACTACCTCCAGTCATGTGAGTCTGTATGCACTCGCACCACTAAGAAAAATTTTCAGTATGAGTGATTTCTATTCTCCTAATTGTAGATACCACCGATTGCTCACCCCAAAGGTAGATTCAGATATCCGCAAGTTAACTCGCCAGTTCCTTTCCGTTTCACGCAGGTGCCTCCCGAACGTCCAGTCCGAGCACCTTCTTCCAATCGCCCCCGCTACCAGATTCAAATCATAGGTGATTCGTCATCGATTTGACTCTGCTATACTTCCAAAGATAGGTTTCTTCTTCCGCTAGAGTTTATGCCCAAGAAGCCCTCCCGACAGTCCCTCCTCATCAACCCACAGATCGAACCTGGATAGCACCCGCCAATTGCTATCCCACTTTATCCGAGACATTTCTAGCGAAACCGTCTCCTAATTCTTTGTATTCACAGTATCCAAAATTTCCTCAGTTATCTGCTGCTGACATCGTCGCCCTAGCTTCTGACCAGATACCGTTATTTTTCAACATTTCCTTCTGACCATCCCAACCACCCCCCACTTTAATTAGTATTCTTTGAAACGTTTCTTGCTACTTCTCTCTTCGTTTCATTAGTGGTATTAATTAAAAAGACATTTCAACTTAAGAGCAAGTTTCAATCCACCTAAAGAAAAGACACCAGTGATTACCAGAAATCGCTTCCCTTCACCCTTGGAAAGAGACTGCAGTGATAACACAAGTCACTTGATCTCCATTTTACATCCACCCAGAGTCTGCCCCACTAGACCCTGAATTAAAAGCCATTTCCAGCAACTGATTTCCAGTGCCAGCTCCTCGTACTCATTTATGGTTGCTCCAGCGTACGTCGCCGACTCCTACGTCGACCACACCCTTTCTGCCAATCTTGACTCCACGTTTGCGTTTGAGGGCCCTGAGAAACTTCTCGAAATTTGGTTCTGGAAGTCGGAATCACACCTTCCAAAGCATTTGTCCAATGAAGGTTTGAGATCCATTCCATTGGAACAATGGGTCAAAGTCTTGGACCTTGTCAATTGCAAGATTTTGTCCATGAAGTCTTCCAAGTACATGGATGCCTATCTCTTGAGTGAAAGCTCCTTGTTCGTGTTCCCTCACAAGATGATCCTTAAGACTTGTGGAACCACCACCACCTTGGCCTGTATGGACAAGTTGTTCGAGATCGTAAGAACCTTCTACTTCAAGGGCGGTGATTTCGGCTCCGCTGAGATCTACAAGATCTTTTACTCAAGAAGATCTTTTATGTTTCCTGATAAGCAGACCTATATCCACAAGGATTGGAAAAATGAGGTCAATCTTTTGAACCAACACTTTTCCAATGGTAAATCGTACGTCGTGGGTGACTACAACAGTGATGACCACTGGTACTTGTTCATTGGAGGCGAGCAGGTCCACAAGGATGAGAGCTCGAATGATCAAACTTTTGAGATTCTCATGACCGAATTAGATGAGTCCAAGGCCGCAAAATTCGTTACTTCTAGAAAGCCTGGTGTGGAGTCCTTGATTCAAAGTGGAGTGGAAGAGTCTGACTTGGGCCATGACCTTGGCTTGGAAACCATGGTTGAGACCAATCTCCACTCCCTCTTCAGCGAACCTGGAAAGTCTACTACTTCCCATTTGCCTTCTCCCTCGTTGTCTGACAACTTGGAGTTGGATGACGATTGTGAAGAGATCAGCCCTAAGGAGAAGGAATCGTTCAATTTTATCCACGATGCGTTCTCCTTTACTCCATGTGGCTACTCCTCCAACTCCATTTGTTCCAACAAGGGTGGTTACTACTACACCTTGCACATCACTCCGGAGTCAGGTTGGTCCTATGCTTCTTTTGAGACAAACTACCCTTTTGGTAAGGATTCTCCAGTCTCCATCACCGATGTTTTGTTGAAGGTTTTAGGGATTTTTGAGCCCAGAAAGTTCTCCATGACTTTAATCAACGAGGACTTTGATGGCAACAACCCTAACTTCTTGAGATTACAAAGCTCTTGTAACATCTTGAAGGACTACTCCTATGAGAAGCAAGAAAGAGTTGTTTATGACTTGAAGGGTGAGTATAAGTTGTTGTACTTGAATTTTAAAAAAAACTAAAAACATGTTCCGATATCTCTTCATGTGCCAGTTGTCGCAATGTTTAGTTGTCTTTTCTGCAGGTGGTCGATGATTTGGCATGAGAAGGGATCGAATAATTGGTTCATAATAAAAGCCTTTGATTTTTTAATTCTAAAAATTGTAGCTAGTACCACAATCCACTGTAATTCTCGAAATAAGATAGCTACGGCGTCTTGAAACTAATTCCATTGTGCTGGCCGTGTTTGAGTAGCGAAGATCAAATAATAAAAGCAGAATAATCCCGGGTTCAACTGCTTTAAATGATTATTATATGTATTGATTAATAGGATTTACTCAGGCCAATTAAACGAAGTTGAAAGGCTAGAATAGTAAGACTGTTCGTATGTTTGGTTAAAAATTAACTTTTACTGGGGAACGGTTACTTAATCGCACAACTAATTTGAAAGCTGAAGTTGCAACTTTCAGTGCCAGGCTACTCTCCGTGAGCTATCCATATCTAGATATCTTTATATACAGCTTATTTATACTTAAAGGTTATTTCGTTACACCAAGTCCGATCTGGGTAGAATTCAATAGTGTGATTTGTTTTGAAAACTGTGTGGGGCCCAAAAACATCGATACTCAGAAAATGATAGTGGTTCTAATTAATTGCCTACGTTAATACTTCCTGACTCCAATCAAACCAAGCCTACGTTCCCTGGCATTTGCCCAGTCCATATTAGTTGTGTCGGCTATTTCGTAATAGAAAATTGGATTTCATAGAAGATATGAGTTCTTGGATTGAAGAGGGCTAAATCGATGGATAAGAAAACTTCTGTCGAATCTGGCCACAGTTCAGAAAGATTGACTCAAGGAGATATAGAAGTGATGTGCCATTCTAACCTAGTACTAGTTATAAGGCATCATTAACAAAACATCAAAGCAATCTAAATGATATAGCGATCCCTATTTCGTGGACATTCTATCTAACTCTGATGGTTTAGGTTATATTCAAGTATGTGATGATAATGCAACTACATTCAGTTTCATACACGAACCAATCTATTAATTTGGATCGATTAATATATACATATCAATAAGAATAAATAAAAGAAACTAACTGATACTCCACCGTCAACAGGAATTAAAAAGTAGTGCTAGATTCTCAACACTTTGAAAGACCATGAGCAGCAGATAAAACCAGCATCTATTTACCGATTATTAATTAGTTTACTTGAATTTTTTACCGAAGACAATGACTTGCAATTGGTCGTACATGGAGATAACACCGGCACCGGCGACACCTCTCAAGATGTTAGCACCACAACCCTTGAACAAGGACTTGACACCTTCAGCAGCAACGACCTTCTTGAAACAGTCGAAAGCACCATCGTACTTAACGGCTTGACCAGAAGTCATCATCATTCTTCTTCTAACGGTATCCAATGGGTAAGAGGCGGTGGAAGCACCGGTGGTGACAGTCCAACCCAACAAGAAAGAGGCCAAGAAAGAACCTTCCAATGGACCAACCAAGACAACAGGCTTCAAGGAGTCGTACAAACCGAAGTACAAACCTCTGTAGACAATGATACCAACAACGGATGGACCGAAACCTCTGTACAAACCAGCAATACCGTCAGAAGCCAAGGTCTTCTTGTAGACATCTAACAAACCGTTGAATTCTCTGGCACCACCTTCCTTCTTGGTAGACTTGGCATCGTTGGCCAATCTGGTTCTGGCGTAATCCAAAGAGTAAACGAAAGCCAAAGAAGTGGCACCAGCAAGACCACCGGAAGCCAAGTTACCGGCGAACCATGGCCAGTAACCTTCGTCCTTCTTGAAACCGAAGAGGGCCTTGAACTTGTCCTTGAAAGCGAAGTTCAAGGCTTGGGTTGGGAAGTATCTGATAACGTTGGCAGTGTTACCTCTCCAGAAAGAACCAACACCTTCTTCAGCGGCGGTTCTTCTGAAACATTCGGCAATACCATCGTACTTTCTAGCCAAACGACCTTGCTTAAGCATTTCGTCTTGGTTTTGGATCAACAACTTGACTCTTTCAATTGGAGCAGCGGCGGTCTTGGAGACGGCGGCGGAAACACCACCCATCATGAAGTCAATTAAGAAGTTAGAATCCATCTTGTTGTGAATATATTGGTCTATGATAAGATACGTAAGAAAACCTGGCAGGGGGGATCAATCAGATTTATATATTGGTGAAGGGAGTTGAAAATTTTGCGTCCGGGGGGAATCGGGGGAAACTGCGCACTTTGATTGGCGGATGCGCGGCGTGGCCGGGTAACCGCCCGCGCCAGTTTCGACCACGCTGGTCGGATATGAGCTCGGTATCCGCCTCATCCATCAAGGCCATCGCTGGGTGGTTTTCCCTAGCAATCGTGGTGGTGGTGGCAGACATCCTTACTTCGACGTGAGCGAGATCTCCAGTGCCGGGATGGCCTGCTGGTGGGTCGTGCTGGCCGTCTCGGTTTCGCAGTACCCACTCGCTTTGGGGCTGGCTGGCTTACAATTTCATCACCTCCCAGGCCTCGGCAATCATCCTCGTGTGCGTGAATTACTGGCAACGCGTCAAACCTGGTGCCAAATACGGCCAGTGGTCGGAAGTAGCCCAGGTGGACCACCCAGCTCGGTTCTGATGCATCACCTGGAAGGTGTCTACTGTTACGGCACGTTCTCCGCTTTTCGTCCTACTGGCCCCATTGGAGGCTACCGAAGCATCGAGTTTTCAGCGTAAATTGTTTTTCTCCAGATTATTCGCTTTCTTTGATTTCTTTTCCAATGGACCTCGCCTGTCCGACGTAATTATCTCCAGGCCGCTGTTTCTGGGGCACTGCTGTGCCAGGCACGCCGAGCCAGGCTCGTATGCTGGTGGTCGCGGTGTGTCAACCGCGATGTCTGTGCAAATGAGAATTTCCAGAGCATTGCGGCAGAGCTTTTCCAGCTAAACGGGATTGCTCGGCACTGGAACTCATGGCTGGCCCAACTGTCGACTACTGCTAGTAGGCTAGGCCATTGGATCCGGTTTTGCTACCACTCCATCTGTCTGTCAGGAAATGTGATCTGGCGGTAGGTCCGGCACATGCACTTCCGAGGGTACCTCCCCACCCCGTTCGGGAAGCTTTACCCCTGATGAAAGTTTCGGAGCTTGGATCCAAGCGAACTGGAACCCACTGCTGCCCAGACACTAGAAGTAGTTTTGTGGATGTAGTCATCCCCAGGCCTGTGGAAGTCTGTGGTATTCAGGAGCCCCCTACTCAGGGCCCCACCTTTGCCCCACCTACGGCCAATTCCGGGAAGTTCCGCTGTGGTTCAGGCGTGGTCATTTCAATCACTGAGAAAAGGAATTAAACTCGAGTTGATTTGTTTGCGGGGACGTTGCGAGCCTATACAACCAAGAACGGAGCCCAGCCACGAAAATACGGAGTCCTGGCATGGTGAATTCCAATCCGCTCGTGCTGCTTTGCAATTAGAGAAAGTCATTGCGTATGGGAGTAAGTACAGTCTTTTTCAACTAGTTAGCACACAGTCCGGCCATCCTTTTTCTAGCCCTTTTCGTGCTGCAGAGACAATTTAGTGATCTTTTTGCAACTTTGTCGTGCACTTACCACATACTGCAACCATTTGCATTAGGTCTGGAAGTTATGATGGTATCGAGAAGTCAAAGAAACCATGAAGTTGAACTTTTCTGTAAATCCAAAGAAGGCCTTTTTTAGATTTTTAATGGGCCATAAAAATGCTCACACCAAGCATCAGGTAAAGATTACTTCAGGTAAAGACAACTTTTATCTCTAGAATCATTCGGTATGTAGACCTTCGTACTGTTACGATTACAGTGTGGGTAGTGTTTGTCTCTAGAAGAGGCTTTACGCTTTGTTTGTTCCACTCATGACTGTTACAGAGGTTCAATTTCTATTTTTTTCTGAAAAGCAATAATTTTCAATTTTTGAAATAAAACTTCAGATGAGGGATCAAGTTCTTGGAAGCTGAAGGATCTTCTATACTCTGTTCCAGTATAAAGAGCATAGGTGTAAGTAATTCTTAAACAATAAATGATAAACCAGATTTGAGGAATTGGTTGTTAATAAAAAGACCTTTCTAGAACCCTTTTACTTGGAATATTCAGGAATACACTACAAATCCTGGTGCAGGAGTTCTCCAACTGTGATCGAGCAGCCACTCTACATTATCATTTCGTGATAAAATCTAAAAAGTCTTGTCTATTATATCCATTGTGGCATACTATATTATACATAATGCTTAAAAGCTTTTTGGTTCCACAAAAGATAAGATAATTAAATCGAATCTTTCTTGGATCTATCGCGCGTGGAGTCTCCTCCATACTGCGCTGACATCCTTCTCACCTCCGAAGAAATTCTGTTTGCTGCTCTTTGATTGTTATTGAAATCATCCATCGCAATTTCCTCCGTTCTGATGCTGTTTGTTAAGTCCAAAGTTGAATTTGCATTCGAGGAATTGTAAGTATCGATAATTGAAGAACTATCGAAGTAACTCATTACTTTGCTCTTGCGCTTGAAAATATCCAAAACTGATTTTCTCTTTTGTGGCAGGGTTCTATTTTCCACCTTTTGGACTGTAGTATTTTCGTTCATAATTCTAGGGTCCAACGCGGAAGCACCCTCAGGTAACTTGGTCACTGGTTCATCTGATGGAACTGCAGTGCTTTGACCAAAGGTGGAGTTATTTTGATTTTCGAAATCGCTTCCCGAGGAAGTTGTGGATCCCGTGTTCTTATAGGTGTAAGGAGAAGGAGTATCATTCATCTTGCCGATTTCGGTACTGTACTTACTGATCTTAACTCTTTTTGGATCAGTTGGATCGTAGTCTTCGGGATACATATCAAAATCACCTCGTTGAACACATTCCCTGATAATGTCAACATCTTTAGGCCAGTAAATCTTTTGCAAAGTGTCATAGAAGAATCTAGGCATTAAACAAATAACAATACCAACAGCGGTACAAGCCCAGTAAGTTGCAGAACCAAAAACTTGGAACGCAGCATTATAGAACTCTCCACTGGCCAATGCTGATGTCCAAATACCAGTCCAAAAGAAAATTAGCAAAATAGAAATTGTCACAATTAAAACTGACAACCAGTCCCACCTATACTGATGACTCAATATGAATAAGTTGCAAGAAATACATGAAATGCTTGTGACAACAATACCCATCCAAAATCTATGATCTCCCGGTCTTCCACTCATATCAACAAATCCTATACGGTATAAGCAGTATGGCAAGAAAAATGAGATGACTGATTGATAAATTGCATCGATAAAATAGAACCAAAATTTGAATTCCGTCCATTCACTTCTGGTGATACCCGAACGATAAATTTGAGGTACTAACAATGAAACCTTACCACTAACATCTTGATCGAAGACACCTAAGAAAATAACAGGCAAGGAAGTAAATGCTAAATTGTAGAACATCAAATAAGTGAACTCGAATAGATAAGTACCATCGAAATCGTTATAGATACCATACCAAAACAAAGCAAAAGTAAAGATGGCGTTCTTGTAGAAGAAAGAAGGAATCATTTCACTGAATCTCTTGTATGACCATCTTCCATGAGCTAAGATTAACTTTGCGAGAAATCTGAATTGTCCAATTGCATAATCTGATGACATGACTGCTTGTCGACCCTCTTCACCTGCAATACCAACACCAATATCCGCAGCTTGGATCATGGCGACATCATTAGAACCATCACCAATAGCCAATGTCATAACGTCCAAAGTATCTTTGACCATTTTGACAACTGCAGCCTTTTGGGCTGGAGAAACTCTACAGCACAATACTGCCTTACACCTCTTACATAAAAGAAGGAACTTTCTTTTAGTGTCAGGGTCAAGGAGTGCAAGTTTCAAGGCATCACCATCAATGACTACCCCAAAGCCAGGATCAGGAGGGTCATGATTACCCATAGCATCGTCCAACTCTTCTACCAGTCCAGTGCTATTGAAGTATCTGGATAAGAAATGGCTGATCATGTAATCAATCAAATTAGCATCAGACAAGTCGTCATAGTTTGTAATATTGTAGTCCGCAATCTCCTCAGCATTTAAACTTGTCTTGAGAAGCAATAACTCCATATCATTACCCAACAAGTTACAGGAAAAACCGATATTGATTGCAGTCTCAACTTTATCACCAGTTAAAACCCACAATTTGATACCTGCTTCCCCGAGAAGAGAGATAGCATCAGGAACACCATCTTGTAATCTATCTTCAATTGCTGTTCCACCCAATAAAGTTAATTCCCTTTCAATAGAATCAGCAACTGCCTCCATTTGTTCTTCACGATTATCCAACGAAGACGCGGCTGCTTTATGACGCTTATTCCATTCAACATACTGATTCCAGGTCAATTCTCTTTGGGCAATACACAAAGTTCTTAAACCTTCAGTGGCGTATTGTTCAAGATGTTGGGAAGTTTGCTCCAAAAGATTAGGGTCGTTCTGAGTCTTCGATAATCTTCCGTAAATGATGGAATCGGCACCCTTACAAATGAGTAACGCTCTTGGTTCCTCGCCTTCTTTCTCGGCTGGAATTTTGATGATTGCACTCATTCTCTTTCTGGTTGAGTTGAACTCAAGAGCATTCAATATTTGGTACTCTTTGGTAACCCCATGAGTCTCAACAATAACACCTTTCTTCGTACTGGCTTTAAAGTTATAACCTAAAGATCTGGCGGTCCCAACCAAAGCAGCTTCATCTGGAGATTGAGCTTTCAAGTCTAATTTTTGAGGGTTTTTGGGGTTTTCCTCAACCAAAACCGAGTGACACAATGCTAAAGCTAACATGAAGTTATCGTTGCATTGTTTCTGGTGTCCCCCTCTTGCTCCAAATAAGTCGTCCACAAATTCATTTGATACAAATGTTAACTCATCATCATACAACGAGCTCATCTTAGACTTGGTATGCAAATTCTCAAGCATTTTAACCCGTTCTTTACTAATAATTTCTCTCTCGATCAAAGCTTCGGACTCAACATCAACACCTTGTCTCTTTCTTAAACCAGCCAAAGCTTCAGTGTATGCTTTACCATATGAGACACCATTGATTGTACATTTTTTGAATTCCATCAAGTTCTGAGTTAATGTACCGGTTTTGTCACTAAAAATGTACTCTATTTGACCCAAATCATCGGAGATACTCCACGACTTGGCCGTACAAGGATAGTCCAACTTTTCGTAATACATTGTCACATCAGAATAGATGAAAAATGCTTGTGCTGTTTTGATAATTTCAATAGTAATGTAAAGGGAAATGGGAACCAAAGATTGGTACAAGATCAATGCCACAAAGAAAGAAACTAACCCGTTAGTTGCTGGGGTTGAGGCAATTGTACCAAATTCGTAGAAATCTCGAGATAGTCCCGATTTTCTATAATAGAAACCATTTACCACACCTGGAACAAAACAAATGACGAATAAGACAGCAAAGTTCAAGTAAACGTAGTAATTTAAGTCTCTAGAAATTCTTGATTGTTTGGTTGGAGTGATACCAGCATTTAACATGATCTTGGTGTCATTACCTGTAAATGCAACAATTCCCACAACCCACTTAGTATTTCTGAGAGAACAACCTCTAAGAAGTAAATTATTAATTGTAACCGCTTCCTGTTTGGTTTCGTTGGTCTGTTTATCATTGTAGACCAAATTCCCTTGATAAGAGTACAAGTTGGCGTGTGGTCCTTCACTGTCAATTTGGAAGGAGTGAGACATCAAATCATCAGCTCTGGAGATCTTTTCTTCTACTGACCCATACTTCAAGGCTTGTCTAACCTTGAGATTCGTTTCACCATCCAAATTTTTGGTTTCAACATAACAACAATTATCTTCATCGCTGGTAGCCAAAATGATCAAATCGGCTGGAATCTCATCGTTGTTGTAAATTCTTAACATATCACCAACCTTGACATCTTTCCAATATTTCTTTGCAAATTTGAGTGTACGCGCAGGACGGTGACTGTACTGGCTGCCTCTAGGTCTACCATCTGTGAATGGGTTTGCATTATGAGATTCGATCGAGTTTCTTGCACTAGGAAGATAACTCTCGAACGAGTTTCTAGGGTTCTCGACTGCTTCATTCGCCTTCTCTCTCATTTTCTGTGCTCTGCCCTCTTTGGTGAATTTTTCTTTAGATTTGTCTATAGTTTTGAACAAGAGTTTCGAATTGGCTTTCTTGAATTTTCTCCACAAAGAGACCTTTTCATCATTGACGTTCGTGTTCTCATAGTGGAAGTTTGACGATGGGTCAACTTGAGTTAAGATATGCGTCACTTGATTGTTGACCTCTAAGTCAGTTACTGTTCTTCTCGAATCTTCGATAGCATCCTTGATTGCCGTTATACACACAATAACAATCAAGGGAACTGCGGCCAACACAGGAGAGGGAACACCGAAGATATCAAAGGCTCCCAAAATAAGTAACGAGAGGAAATACACGTTTGCAATATTATGGATGAATTGGTTTGAAAAGTTCTTGGGGACAAAACTTATTGGCGTATACTTTGTCGTTCTGATTTTGTTTCTTGCATAGTTTGTGGTTGGCTTGCCGGTCTCTGGATCTAGGAATTCTGCAGGAAGAGACTTGTTAAAGACAATCGATCTTTTTTCGTCCCTGCGGTCGCTTGCTTCTTTAGGCTCTGAAGGCTCGGACTGAGAGTCTCCATCGGTGTTATGATCGGAGCCATACTCGTCAATGATGTCCTCCGAAGTGTTTGGTCTTCTGATGGAGTTGCGGCCGGGCCTTCTCCTTATGCTGCCGCTCAGGGAGGGGTTGAGAAGCGCCTTCAAAGTCTTCGATCTGCTGAGGTTCTCCTTTTTTGGTTTTCCGTGCTTGGTACGCGTCGTACCCCATCTGTTTCTCTTCATGGTGGTCTCCCTTCGATCCACGTCGGCCGAGCTGGCCTCGTAGTACTCGGACTCGTTGTCGTCGGACTTCAGCAAGTCGAACGACTCCTGGATGAACGGAGAGAGTGGCTTCTGCAAATCGAAGGTCTCGTTCTCCATAATGACGTTTCGCTGGTCCAAGAACGGCGATTGGATCCTGGGGGTGTGTGGCTTGGAGGGAGACGAGTTCTGGGGGAGCTGGAACCGCAAAGACGTCTTTCGCGACGGATGGTTGAGGTTGGGGGTGGGAAATGCAGAGTTGGCGTTGGAGAACGAGGTGTCAGACGGACTTGGCGACTGGGCGCGTGGCGTGGTGGCAGCGTTGGCCGAATGGTATGATTCATCGGAAAACACCCTTCGGGAGTCTGCGATGTGGCTGGAGGACTCGTTCAAGAACGAGAACGAGCTGTGGGTGGTGCTCAGATCGTGGTAGAGCTCGTCGTGGGGAGGCGAGGGCGGATCGGAGGGCATGGTGGTGGGATGCTGGCGCTGTGGTTGGTAAATCAGCCAGGAGGATGTGGTGGAAGGCGTAGTGGTAGAAACGGCAGTTGTGGAAACGGGTGTAAACGGATGGTAGGCGGTAAATAGCGGCACAGACGCGTGGGGGAGTGGTGGTTGGCGACGCTGGGAGTGGTGGGAGGCCGGTGCCGGGATGAGTTAGCTTAGCGAACGGGTGTCTGAAAGACCAATTCGTTTTCTGACAAGGGTTAAGAATGCGCTAGTGAGATCTGAGGCAAATCGCAGCTGGTACTGCGGGCTGAAAATTTTAGCGTGTCTTTTTTCGCTACTCCTTAAATGATTAGTAAGGGAGGGAAGGGAGTGAAGAAAGGCACGGAATGAACACAGGGAAGGGAGGAAGTGGGTGGCAGAGCAGGAAAGCCACATGAGGGTACGGAGATGAGGTAAGAGAGGTACTAAGGAGGGGATGGAGGCACGAACGGACGGAAGCTGGACCAGAATTGACACCAGAATTGGTACTACGACTCCCGGACCAGCCGCGCACGTGACTCCACTACCACCAGTGTAGGAAACCCTTACCAGCGCGTTACACGCGCAGTGCCGGGACGGTTTGTGCGGAACGGGCGATCCGACCCCTGAGGTGCGCTACGTCATCGGATCGGGGCGTGGTGCGAAGGACGGTTTCCCGAGCCATTGCCGAAGCCATTGCCGAAGTACATGGAGCCAGGGCTTGGCCAGGGTGCCGTGGGGCTCGCCGGGGGCCAATAAGCACTCACGCTGGTGCCACCAGTGGCTGGAGTTTCCTGGTGGTGATCGTCTAATTATGCCCCAATCCGGAATCGTCCCATGCGCCTAGTGCCTTACAATATGATTTGCAGATGATTCATGCAGGAGATGCATTAGTAATGGTGACATGGTGGAAACGCGTCTGCAACGGCGCCGAAGTGGCGGTGACGGTGGATGTGTGGTTCCAGCTGGTCCGTAGAGGTGGGGGGAGTATGGTAGCGTCTTGGAGGAGGTAGACCCTTGCGTGGTGCTTGGTGGGTAAAACGGCTCGGTGCGGATATAGGCTCGGCATTGCCGAATTGAGTGGCTAGCGCGCGCGAACGAATGTGTCACGTGATCTAGTATCACCCGACTCTATTCATGTGATCTTCTCTCACGTGTGCCACTACACCCTCCTGGTCCCCCAGCTCGGTCACTAGGATGTATTGATGTTACTAGCAGATCTAAAACTATATAGCCAGTAATCGACTACACGTTGGCGTTATTCGTTGATTACTGCGTGCAAACCTGGGCACCCAGGCTCGCCTCTATAGACTCGAAATTCCACCCTCCACGAAATGTGGTCGTGACTGTTGGATCTGGCACAGCCGACGACTCTGACTCTAGCAATCATGGTATGAAGCTGCTGGAGCGTCCAGCACACTGACATCTCCCTCATTCCTCCAGCTTGGCCTTGGCAAACCTCACTGTCCACTCCTTGGCCACCTCAATGGCCTTCTTCTCGTCTTTCTTCCAATCTTCAGCAACGTCATTGGCCAAGGGGTCGTCTGGGTTGGGTGCGCCTAGCAACGCTTGGATCGACAACAAAATCGTCCGGATCTGCAACGCTGGACTCCAGTTATCTTTCAACACATCCAAGCAGATCCGTCCAAGCTTGTCAATGTTGGGGTGATATATCTTGGTCAAGAAACGCACCTTTGGAGCACACATGGGATAGTCGTCTGGCAAGTAGAGCTCCAACTGGAACACACCTCCAGCATAGGGACTGGACGAGGGTCCGTCAATAGTGACCTCGAAGTAGCGGAGATTTTCTTCCAGCGGGGTGGCAGTTATTCCCGGGACCGGGTCTGAGACCAACCGCTCGGTCTCTTTGATGATTCTCTTGGGCAAGGCGGCCATGATGATGGATTGGATAGGAAAGTAGTGACTTTGTTCGCTGGGGGGCAAGTTATGGGCCCGCGCACGTGACGCTCGGTCACGCGCAAAGCTATTCTAGACAACAAATTTGTCCCTACCTTGTCTGTCTGCCACCATGTCCATGAAGCCACGGCCCACGCCGCCGTTCATCAACAGGTTGATCGTTGGTACTATTGCCACGATCGCTGGGATATATGTCATAAAAGACGCAGGAAAAGACTTTGAGTGGATCAAGTTCGAGCCGCACTCCCCCGACGAGATCGAGAGAAGGCGCAAAGAAGGTGTTGGCATGAAGATGAAGACCTTGGAGACTCGTACGTTGGACTACACCCCTGAAGCGAAGGAGAGGTTGAAGAAGTTGGTGGAGGAGAACCAGAAAGATGACTGAACTTGGAGTATAGTCTTCATCCACGAGAGTTCATTGTTACCCAAGTATAGAACCCATGGCCTCGAGGAAGCACCCATGGGCCCAGCTAGTACACATTACGTCTATCGCTGGGCCCCTGGTTCCAGATGTATATAGCAGGATCAGTAAGTGGCATCTTTTAGTCCATGGCTTAACGAGTTGTTTGGTCAAGGATGTGTCAAACGGCAATTGATCTGTAAATAGTTAGCGAGAATATTCGAAAATAGTATTATCGAAGAATCCACAATTCTCCTACACTTGTCGCCGGATCCCAGCACCTTTGTTTGAATCATTGTAGTCACCATCCCCTATTGAATCAAATGACTGATAAAAATTTTAAACCACTTAGTCAGAATATTTACAATTTTGCACAAAAATGTTGAACTCTTTGACAGGTATAGCGTGCATAGTTTCGGAACGGATCTATCCAACAGCTTACTGTGGATTGATGCAATCAGTCCTGCAAGCTGTGGTCAGAAAATCTGACAGAGTTGCAGGAGACTACAGCATTCCCGACGCACGATAGCCGTCAAATTTTACCCAACAAATGGGTGAGAGACGGTTGATCGACTGAAGCTGGTAGCCAATGGGCACACAAATTTTGAGCTTCGGAACAATAATCCCATGACGTGATACAAATTTAGAACCGTGCAGCATTGATCCAAAGCCTGCTGAGAAATCTGCACATAATTAGCGTCAACGACGGACATATCACAACAGTCGGTGTAGTCTTCGTACATGCGTGCGCATATGTGTCTACTGAACAATCGAGCATTGCAGACTTGTGAAATAGGAGAACATATGATGGCAAAGCATGGAAGGAGTTATGGGACTGGCGGCCGGGCCCACCAACGCTGACCGAGCAATTGAGCACGAAGCTCTTGCTGGAGCTGCTGCTACACTGCAAATCGTCTTCACTTTACTGGATACTGTATTGCCCCAGGAGTAAGGAGCTGAACCAGAAGCCTGTGGTGCAAACCATATCGCTCTGTACTGGCCCTGTGTGCCACACAGACCAAGGGCGGACAAAATACGATGCAACATGTCTGCGACTCTTCGAGGTTATGGTGCTTCTCATAATATTCGATATGCCGTCGCAATTATAGGTTATGTGCTGACATAATTTTCGACTATTTCCAACTGATAATTCCGATCCCACTTTAGACACACTGCACCAATGGCCACACAACTGAAATTGTGGTGTGGGCGGGAATCGCTCAGAGGCCGCCTGCAGTGGTCCAGGCGGAAATTGGGTGCAGAGACAGAATACTCTACATAGGGGCAGCAACAATCGACTAATCAGTCGACGCAAGCCTCAATTGGAACAGAGCATTGTTCTAGTTCAAGTTTCAAAGATAGCACGGAGATCTCGGAGTGACCCCATTCGAAAATTGTCCAGCTAGGCGAAACGGGTGAGTCCAACTAGGTACGAATCATAAGCAGCTGCCGTTTCGCTACAAGGGGCAGCAAGTGGGGAGTCGGTTACTCGGCCAGTCGGTTTAACGGAAATGGGGGGCACATAAGGGACACAGTACGGGGATGGGCTCAGGGTGTAACCAGTGGCTCCTAGTGGAGACCCATATTTTCAGCGAAGGCTCGACTAACAAGTGGAGCCTGGTGCGTATATTTTCAGGGCGTGGCCCAATTAGGACAGAGGGGAATTGAAATCGGCTTAATTAGGCAAGTGCATATGCACGCAATTTAACTACAATCAAAAGCCTAACCAGGATGGTCAAGATCCAGGGCATGGCACAGGGATTGACCACATACCCAGTTATGCAACCTCGTACATTGCCGTTGACGCCCGGCTATTTTGTGGGTGTCGATCCTGATCCGACCCTGCGAAGAAGGCATCACCAGTATTATTCGACTAACTAGGGCGATTTTCTGGCCCTATTTTCTGGACCCATGCCCACTCCCACTTGGGCCAGTTTTTTCAGGGGAGCAAGGCACAATCCATCGTGAAAGTACATTAACCAAGGTGGTACCTTCACTAGTACTCTATAGTTTAAACGGGGGTGCGGTCTCCCGAAACGTGCAGGGACTGCCCGACTTATCTCCTCCCATGCCACAACCAACGACAACGTCATCACCCCCTTCGGATGATCGGTTTAATCCCATGCCCAATTGGTGGACTGGCAAAAAAATATGACTGTAGAGGAATGAATTCTACTAAAAATGCGGCTTATTTTTCTCCGCACTTTGCTAGGGCACATGACTTATGAGTCTCACTGATGTCTCATAGTCACTGGTCCATCGCCTGTCAGCCGAGCGAAACTTCCCCACACTGCAGTTTCACAGGTGAAATCAACGGACGCCGATAGCCACTAGCAGTAAATGGGCCGGAACAGGTCCACAGACAAGCTCTTGGGCAGAATAGTCATCCTCAAGATAAGGCTTTGGGGTGCATTAGCCACTAACTTGGGTGATTCTTCGAGCAACCACAGCCAATGGAGGTGTAGATCATCGCAGCAGCCGACAATTGAGACGACAATTGACCCGGCAACAACAAGACAACAAGTGCTTGGTGCCACCCGAAGAATGCAACGTCCTCCCAGGGCCGCTCTAGCGAATGCCGGTTGCGCTCGGAAAGGCCCGTCGTTTGCCAGATCTCGGACTCAAACGGAAAATTACACAAACACAATTTCCCCACATTTTCCAGTCTCAGTGAATTTGTCGGTGAGGATAAGAGGCCGTACAGCAAGGGAACTGGCCATTAGTGTAGCCTGGAATTGGGGTTCGACGCTATGACGTTGATGGAAAAAGTTACCAGGGGGGACCTCTGACTAATTAGTCTTACGAGGCGGCGGCGGAGTAGGTTGACCTGAGAGGGGCAGGCCCTCCAGATGGCCGCAACCCCCCTAGGGCCCCCTCGCGGGGTTATGTTCATGAAGGGGCTACATGAGGGGTCGATGGGGGGCACCTATCGGTCCATGGGTGGAAGGAAGTGGTATTCGGGATGGTTCAATGGCACCAGGGGGCCGAGGTTGTGGGAACCAGGTTGCGCAAGGACCCCTAAAGCTCTAGATGTTGGCCCAACAGAAGGGTCCTTTGGGTTCGTCAACTCCTTTGAGGCCCTGCAAAAACGTGATGGGCAATCGTACCAAAAGTTGGGCGCCCTAATTAGGCCTAGTCTCGAAAAAGGAGTGACTATTCAGGCAACCCATAGATCGCTTAGCACATGCTATTAGTACTATTTAGGCCGGATACATGTAGAACAATAGACGGTGAAAGTGGAGAAGTAATGTGCCACCGCTTAACTGGTGCGCAATATTCACCTCAGAGGCTCACAGTGCCCTCATAGCCTGCAGACGCAAATAATTACCCTTACAAAATTTCCCTATTAGGGAAAGTGGAGTACTTACCTTTCCTAATTGGATATCAACACCACCCACATCACTTCCTAATTAGGAAATGTTCTTTGCACATGGCATGTACCGGCAGCGTGCCTATATTGTTCCCAGATCATTCCCTTGAGTGACACAAATGTTGTAAGAGACGGCTTTTTGGCAAGGGGGGCACTTTCTCAAATAACCTTTCCGAACCCTCCACTCATTTTACCCCACCATCCGTAGGTTGCGTTTACCGACAATCAAGGTTTACCGAGGAACGCCCGAGCCAACACCCCTGTGGCTCTCAGGAAAGAGAGCCAGCTCAATTGCACCAGGTTTGCATTCTGGAATCCCTCGACGATAGTAGGGCCAACATTTTGTATGCTTGCCCAATCAAGCTAATTACATACATAAATATAACTGTACCCAAACTGATTAATTTGATGCATCTAGTGACATGAGCGATGGTTCTCAACATGCAGGTCATGCTCAAAAATTAAAGCCTCATTTTGTTTACAAGTTGCTAATTAGGCAAGTGAGGTACATTGTGATACCAATATTTTTTGCATTGTGAGGGTATTTTTTGTGGAATTCTAACCCCGGTTCGCTTACAATTTGCAGCTGCTTTCTATTATTGATAGTAGATTTCAGCTGATGAACGCATAGAGGATTATTTTCATTTAACTAATCGGGATGGAACTATACCTGCAAGTTATTATCGATTCCCCTCTGGTTCGTTACACAATGTCCCTGGGTATGTTGGCCGCTGTGGCGATGGCCCTGTCGGACGGACCTTCGATTTAGAATAAATACCACTGGACTCCCACCCCAATCCCACCTTCATCATCAACTTATTACATACTACAATGAACACTCAAGTCTTACCTCCAGCCAATGGAAAGAAACTCTGGAGAGTCAAGAGATCCGTCTCTGCTGGTCACTTGGATACTGACTCTCATTCACAAAGCTCCTTGGAGTGCTTGAACAATTCCTTGAAGATCTCTGCTGCTGCTTCAAAGTTCTCTATCCGCAGACCTCCATTGAGAAGACCCAAGAACAGACCAGGCAAGCCAAAGGACTTTGTCTTCGTTGACTTGTCGCCTGTCAAGAATGAAGACTGCGCAACCTTTTGTGACGCTTCTTCCACCAACTCTCCTACTCAATCTCCTCTCGAGACTCCTCCATCCTCCACTTCATTCACATCTGACAAGTCTATGTTCGACTTGCCGCAATTGAACGAATCATTTTCCTTATTGAGCGATAGTGATTCTATTTTTTCCGCATTTGACAGATCAGCCTCAAACGAGCAAAACTACATACAGGACACACACTCAATTGCCTCTTCCGTCTCTCAGCACGAGGACATCGGATTGGGCATCATGGGATTGGACGTCCAAAACTGGGAACAAAACCCAAACTTCAATGAGAGACCAGCTCAACAACAAGCTCCTCAAATTGATAACGCTGCTTTCAACCAACAATTGTACGGTTACCAACACGCTATGATGGAACAGCACAAGCAAATCCAAATGTTGAAGCAACAATTACAAGAACAACAAGCACAAAAGAAGGCTCCATTGGAGAACTTGCACAAGAGATCCAAGTCCGCCTCGGTGGAAAACCCAAAGAGAAGAGGCAGCGGCCAATTCCAATTCAAGTCATACACCGGTCCAAAGAAGGGCAAAGCTATGAAGCTCAGACGTACTGTCTCCGAGCCCTCTAGAAAGAGCACTGCTATTGTCTCGTCTGTGTCGGCGCCCACTACTCCAGAAGTTGAAGGCAAGCCACATGGACTCGAAGACTTTACCATGTTCAACGACCAATTCATGACTTACAAGGACAATGCTGCTACTGCACCTGCACAAACTCAAAGTTACGAGACTTTCACTCCCGTCTCGGAATTCTCTGACGATGACTTCTCTTTGCCAAAGAACTACGATGTCCTCTCCGGATGTGGCATTGACCAATTCTTGTTGCAAAAGCAGGACGACTTATTTGCTGGATTCGTTCCACTCTAATCGCCTCGTTTGCCTAAAAATTTGCTTATGTTGTTACGAACTTTCCTTTCGGTTGTACATTATTATTATACCCCACTATTTATTGCTACGTTATGGCTACTCCTTTGATTACACCGCATTTTGCATACCCTTCGGATTTCGATATTCAAAACTTTCGTCCCTTACTTTCGGTTCACAAACTTTTCATACCCCTTCGGTTTTCGGTGCCCTTGAGGCTACTATTTGGATACTTTCCTCCATTCTCATTTTCGCATTCTATTTGGTTTTATTTCGGTCGCGTGATATTTTCTTATTCCGCAGATATTGTGTCATGCACTTCGTTTTTCAGCATGATGTCCGTCGTATATTTTTGCGACGTTTCGGTTGGCACTCGCCAAGGTGGTTTTTACCCGGTTTTTACATATGTAAATATAAAGGTTTTCAAAGTATCATTGGCCTGCTGGCACTGTAAGCATCAAGCAAAGCAAAGAGGATATTTGTGTGGCACAGACAGTTCGATTCCAACAGCAATGGCTGGGTACCCCAGCGGAACACCGTGAATGGGGCGCAGAATATGGGGTAGCTTCACATGGATGGATTAGGACACATCACATGGATGGATTGAGATGCATCACTACTAAAAGAGGTATTTGTATATATCTTATTCTCGATTAGACTTTGGCCGTATGGCTCATGTGGCAGTACCTAGTGGACATACGGAATTACATAAGCTATGCCTCTGATATTCGATGGTTAAATAATTGCCGCAGGAAATTTGCCCAAATGGGCAATCAACAAATATTTTCAATCATATTGCCCAAATGAGAAAAGCCGTTGCTAGGGTCTTTCCCCACATTCTTATAATCTCCGCTGTTCTGTTCAAGAGTAGCGAACGCCTCAGACTAATCAGGGTCATCGCACTAATGGGTCAATTATTATTAAGTTTGCCCATGCACCTTTCGGGCACCACATTAGTTTATGCTTGGTTGATCCCAAGATGCACATGGATCGGTTCCGCCGGGTGTCACCACAGTAGTGGATCCCACTGTGACATGTAATTACGGGTATTTGCCGTGTGCCGCAGCGAGCGGAAAACGAACTCCAGAGTTACGCCTTAATGGTCTACTGTGCTGTCGGTAAAGTTGCTGTGCTAGGACAGAAAACGCAAAAAGAGAAGCATTAGGCATGGTTAGCGTAGTTTTGGATCCTATTATGTCGTCTTACAGTGGTCCATGGAGCAAACATAGTGGTTTCCGCTACATTGGATACAGGACGGGGCGTTATAATACATATCTATGGGTATAATAGGCAGACAAAAATGCCTGCTGAAAATTTTCGTTGAGAACGGATTTTGGCACCTGCAGAGAAGCGACTTTTTGACGGACGGTGTTAGCGTTCGGTTCTGGAATCGTATTGGTTTGTCATTAGCTTCCACGGACTTATCGTACTTAATTTTGAGTTGCTCTTTTGTCTTTTTGTAGCTCGTAAGTTTTCCACGGAATTATGGACGAATGTAGTTTTTGTTCCATTTTTTTTTGCTTTCAGTATCTCGTTGAGGTAACATCATGCTCTACTCGATAGACTCCTTCAAGGAGAGGAGGGTCTTCCTCACGGCTTCCGTGTGCTCGGTATCATTCATCTCTATCAAGTACTCCACCACGTTAGACACCACTGAGTTGCGTAGACCTGCCAAGCTCTTGTCGTAGTTTTCACTGAATTCTCGGACTTTCTTGACGTAGGCCTGCTGCGATTTGACAAGACGCTCAGTCTCGTCAAGGATAGCGGCGTTCTCCATGTTTAGTTTGGTTTGTATCTTGAGCAGCTCTTGGAGAAATGTCTGGATTAAGTCCACCGATTTGAGGATGCCGTGTGATTTTTCGTTGTCTTTGGGCAACAACGACTCGATTTCCGCTCTAATGAGCCCCAACGTTGCCTGCTGGTGCTGGTGGTCCTCTGGCTCATTATGGGGGTCATGGAGGTCTCGGATCCGGGGAGAGTCGGCCTTATGGGACTTGCCGTCTTTGCCAGAACGGTATCTGTCACTTAGGTCGTTCAACTCTAGCAATGCGTTTTCCAATTCCGGCAAGGCGCTATCCATGTTGATTTCCTGGTCTATCCTGGCCTCCTCGGCCTCTATATCCTGCTCTTCATGGTACAAGAATTTTCCCAACCTTTTATTCTCCAGTCGTTTCATCAGGGCCTTTTTTATAGCACTGGACAATTGTCTCTGCAACGTCCGGATGGTGGGGATCACCACGGCTTCCGAGGCATCACCGTCCATGCGCTTGATCTGGCCGTACCGTTGCTGGATGGCCTCCCATTTCTTGGTCTGGCTGAGCGAGCGGTCACCAATATACTTGAAAGGCTTGATGGACGAGATGAGGTATAGTATGAGCTTGATGTCCTGGGACGAGAGCTTGGTGCGGTGGCTTCGTATGGCCGAGGGGTGGGCGTCCTCGGTGACTGATACGATTGGGGTGGTGTTGGAGGAGGTGCCAGAGACGTTGGCCGAATCGTACTTTTCATTTCGCTGGGGGGTCGAGAATTCCATGGCTGCAGAGGTTAGAAGATTCTGGGGTTCTCAAGGATTGGTCGTAGACTGGTTCTCGGGTTGTAGCTTCGAGGATGGAAAGACAGGTGTTTTGGGTGTAGCTCGAAGACGTGAGTGGTAATCTCGTAGATGGAATGACTGGTTCTTCTCGGTGATAGCTACTGGATATTCTTGTGAATGGACCCTAGTTATTCTCGAGGTATCGCTTTCGTGGTTTGCCGAGTGTTGGTTGTTCTCAAGTTAGCTTCGGGATTCTTGGCTTGCGGTTATTCTCGAGGTGAAGCTTTGTGGATAGCTGGCTAGTACTCGTAGATGGCCACTGGCTACTTTCTAGCTGAAAGCTGGTGTTTGTGGTGAAAGTTGGTACTCTTGGTGAACGCTGGTATTCTTGGTGAACGCTGGTATACTTGGTGAAACTTGTTACACTCAATGACAAACGTCGTGGTTCCTGGGTGTCAGGTTCTCCAGGTGTCGGTATCTCGTTTCCGGAATCCTCTGGACTGCCTGTTATCACCTCTCGAGGATACCTAGCTAATCCGTCGTTGGCTCTGGTTGGCTCTTGTTGAATTCTGACTCGCCTGAGCTGTGGCGATCTCTTACCGTATTCCTGCTTGCTGGTCTGTGGTGGTCCACTCGATTTCTGTCTGTCTCTGATTACTGTCTGTCTGCAGACTTGCAGATCACTGATTGAGCGCTCTGATCTGACACCTCAAAGAATCGCTCTGGTTACGCTTCGTCCAGGGAGTTGATGGGAGTTTTCACGTCTGGTACCTCGCCTGTGCCGGTCCAATTTAGCAACTCAGTCGTGCCATGCAACGTTCTAGAATGCACGCCTTTGTCGAAACAGATCAGGGTCGCACAACTTCGATGGAACTGACAGACAATGCTGGCGCGGTGACGGCACCCATCAAATGGGGCGTCCGGGCACGGAACTAGGCCCATCCTCCGCAGGCATGTCCTGGGTGGGAGAAGGGGCTTGCCGGGGCTCACCGTGGGCTTGTGGCAATTGCCAGGCATCTGTATGAATGCGCCCATCAAATTGATGTAAACCGTTACATTTGTCTCAGATTCATTCCTGTCTGAAACGCGAACAATCCTATATACAAAATGGGGTCTGAAGGGCCCAGAGGGGTGGTGCCGGGCCGGGAACGGGGGAGCCGTGTCCTGGGGGTCCAGGGGACGCCTGGAGCCACGCTGGAAACGGAACAGGGCATTGAAACAGCGCCTTGGGCGCTGCTCTGGCCCAGATTGCTGATGGGCTGACTTCGCATCGCCGACACTTGTCGGACGCCTCGGAAGTTGCAGCGAAGGTCTAAACCGTTTTCGCTGCAGCAGCAGCAGACCTTCGCTACTGCTAGATTGTGCAGTGACTGGAGTGGTGGTAGAGATCTGTACCTAGAAGTTCAACCCTGCCGCAAACGAGCTGGTGATGCTCCTTACGTCACCTTCGATGTCCTTGTACTCGCCAGTGTACTGGTTGTTGATGACGTCCAACTTGGAGAAAAAGTTCGAGTGCAAGGGCGCAGGGCCCTTGTAAGAGTTGTAGCTGTCGCCAAGACTGGGCCACTGCTCGGAGTTCACGCTGCCAGCCTTGCGTGTGTTCTTGCTGGTGCTGCCGTTGTAGGAAAGCACACTGGCCGAGTCGAAGTCAGTCTGCGTTCCTGCAGACGTGGAGAGTGCTCCGAAAGCAGGACGCTGTCCGGGGAGGAAGTTGCCTCCTCTAGCCCCGACTTGGGACTGGTGGTGCAACTGCACAATCGACAATTGAAGATTGTCCAAGGGCCCATCCACAAGACATCCCTTCTCTCTGAAGTGGATCAACAAATGGTTCCAGAGGGTGTTGCGGCACAAAGCACGCGGGTTCCCCAAGATGACCAACCCATACTTGGCTCTGGTAATGGCCACGTTCATTCTTCTGGGATCGCTCAAGAAACCAATGATCTGTGCGTCGTTGGCACGCACACAGCTCAAGATGATAAAGTCCTTTTCTCTGCCCTGGAACGCATCCACACTGGTGACCTCGACCTCCAGATACTGGTCTTTCTTTTCCACAAGCGTGCTGTTCATGGTCATATACTGGACAATATACGCCCTTTGGCCCTCGTACGGAGTGATGACACCAATCTGGTCCGGAGTCACACCATCCTTGAACAACCTGGTGATGATCTTCTCTACATTCATGGCCTCAACTCTGTTCAAGAACGAATTCCCGCTGCTACTGATCTCTTCACGTCCATAGTTGGCCCAGAACATCATAGGATTCTCGGCAACGGGCCAAGGGAACGTGCTGTTCTTGATAACGCGGTCTTCAGAAGTGACACCGTTCTGCAAAGAACCCTCATAGAACATGTTACTGGGGAACTCAGACAAACACGGGTTCATTCTGTACTGGACTTCCAATCTAATTGGCACATGGCCCAACACAACCAAACGCTCGAACAACGATTGCTTCAACCCAGCATCGGCGGCTTTCTTGTCCAAAATGACGGGTCCCAACTGCTGGTGGTCTCCCACCAAGATGACCTGCTTTGCTCCCTTGACAATAGGGATCAAGACTTCAGGTTCCGATGCCTGCGTGCTCTCATCAATCAACACAGTTCTGAACTTCATTCCCGCAAGTCTTATGTCGCCAGCACCCACACAGGTGCAGCAAACAACATCGCACTTGTTGAGGATCTTGCGCTCAGCTTTTCTGATGGCCTTGAATAAGCTTGTTGAGTCGGAAGAGGACAATTCACCCAATTCGGATCGCAACTTGATCAACTTCTTCAATTCTCCTTTGGCAGATTTGTTGACACGATGGTGCAATGCCAAGTCACTCACTGAGGTCTCCACATCTTCACGAGATCTGGCAGTTAACCGGATCACATTTAATCCCAACAGAGCCAACTTTTCAGCTAAATGGTCCACAGCAACGTTAGAGGGGGCACACACCAAGATCTTGCCTGCGTTCAACTTGGACAAATGGTAGATGATGGTAGCCGAGGTCACAGTTTTACCAGTACCAGGAGGGCCCTGAATTAAAGAAAGTGGTCTTTTCAAGACGGAAGCCACTGCGTTAGTCTGCGATAAATTCAACTCAGTCAATCCCGGATGGGAGAATCTGGCAGGAATATCGACTTCGAATTCCACAGGTGCCACTTCATGTCCCAAAATCTTGTGGTATATGTAGCCTGATACCGACTCTTGGTCCAAAGCAAACTGCTTCATTGCCTGCTGCATTCTGTCGTAAGAGATTCCCTTCCATACAAACTCGGCAGTGAAGCCTGAAGTTATGTGGGTTGGTGGAGCAGTCTTGGCTGTGTTTAATTCCAACGTAAAGTCCTCCAGGTGAGAGTTGGGCAATCTTATAATGTAACCACGACATTCCCACGGTTCGTGACTGATGCCTGTGTATCTCAAAATAATCTCGTCACCAACGGCCACTTTCAAAGCCTTACTCTCGAAGGTGGATAACGTGAAAGAAGCCAAGTGCTTGTTGTTCAACGCCAAAGCCCATTTGACCTGGATATGCTCCAACGCCTGAGATTCCTTCAAGTTCATGTCGTAGTCTGCTTCGAGCTTAATGAGGGGGGCGAACGATCTCTGGTACTGGAATGCATCGTTGTATCTCATCAAGATGGGCAAGACTTCTTCCACCTCGTTGTCTTTGTTTTCGATGTCCTCGATGGTAGCATCACGGTTCAATCTCCACTGCGCCTCAAGCTTGGTGATCTGCTGGTGGGTAATTAATTTGGCGTTGATGAGCTCACTGTCGTTGGGGACAGTAGCCACCCATGGCAAGAACAGACGGTTATCAATGAGCGCCTGCCAGTGGTTGGTGTCCCAGATGACATCCTTGGACTGTGCACACGGCAACCTACACAAAATCACAACCACCGAGTCCTGCTTAGCACTGACAAACCCCAAGATGAACACGTTCTTGTTCCCACAGTTGTAGCACTCCAATGCGGTTTCACCCAAGCCAGACTCTTCGTGCAAGGATACCTGGTTGTGTCTAGCCATGACCAAGTGGGTAACGATGTGCGATCCGTTAGAGTTGGCGCTGGAGTTGCAGAACCACTTGTTGCAGGTGTTACACTTGACCACGGACTCAGCAGTGTGAATCCCACAGTAGGCACAGGCATGTTCAGGGAGTTTGTGCATTTCATGACCATCGTCAGCCAAGTGGTTGAGCTCACGGAACTCCAAGTCGTCGTCGATCATGTTGTGGATTGCCTGCAAGTCCAAGTCATCGGATTCCACCTCCGAAGGTTGGGTTTTCATGGGGCCAGTTGGGGGAGCGTCGCTGTCGTTGGACGCCACGGGAGGCATGATGGCTGCGGCCTGGTCTGCTGCTGCTGCCTCTGCCCGCGAGGGGTCGAAGTTCTGGAATAGTAAGTTGCTCATAGACGGGCTGGAGGAGGGCTAGCTGACTATGAGTCGAGACAGAACAGTGATGGATTTGGCATTTGACTGGCGAGCTGGTGTCACGTGATCAGTATGTTGATGGGGGGTGGAGGGGTTAGGGTGGGTGTTAAGGCTAGGGTAGTGTGAAAGCGACAGCTGGAGCACGCCGCGAGTCTTCTGAGTAGGACTATGGTGACTTTTATCAGGCTGGCACCCTAGCACGCGTCATGGAACATCCCGGGGTAGTGAAGTAAGGATGTTTCCAGAGTGGTGAAGGAAGGTCACAATCAAATAATATGTATATTTCACTTTTTGCCACTTCTGTCTCCCTTGGCAACACTCAGTAGTTAAGCAGTTCACCAGATCACAAGCACACTGCTGAGCCCAGACTGCTCCACCAGCTGCCATCCTACCCCTGGAGAAGTCTATCTGACGTGAAACTAGGTAGGAGTGAGAATGCTGGAATGGCCATGAAACAAGGGTGCAAACACCCGCGACACGACAGGCAGCTCTGGGCACCACCCTCCCTGAAGACGCCTCACACGCCGTCTAGACGTGTTGTTTGCACCTATTGTGTCATTGTCAGAGCCTGAGTAGTCCCCATTTCACCACACAGTGCGGAGACTATTTTACAGCCAATCCGCTGCACAATGCACCGGACCAACCCATAACTGCAAACAGTGCACGTCACTCACACGCCTACACGTCCCGCCAGGGCCAACGGTGGGCCAACGGCCCCATCGGAGACCCAGGCGTCGCTCTACCGGAGGCAGCGCTCAAGACATGGCGGCTCTGGCTCGCCTGGCCCATCCCTGTGTTCAAGCCACTGCCAATGGTGCCACCCAAACGCCACGTCTAGACCGCTGCATCCACGTCGTATTATACGATAGCTGCTCCGAACAATACAGCATGACAGCGAAGCTGCTGGTGCCATTCGTGCATTGATCTGTCCGTGGTGCGCAGCAAGCAGTGGTGACACATGTCAAACTGCAGCCCACTTCCCCCAAGCAACTGACAACCTGATGGGACCCTCATCCAGGGTAGCTCCTCCCAGCGCACCAGGCTGCCTCCTCCATGGCCACATGGTTCCATCCCGTATTCTTGACTTCCCGCCGTGCGCCCCTTGACGACTTGTTAGACGAAATTACACAAATGCCGCCACGCGTCCACCGGACTGGGGATAGTTGAGTTTCGGAATTAACCACCTAGCATCAGATCAAGCCATTCTCTTTCCAACACACCTCAACTGCTCCACCAATCGATCTGCGAGGCTTTCATCCCCTGGGTCCTATTGCCACAGCTCACCAGTAATCACCACCTCCGTCCCCATTAATCCCCTAGTACCCCTCCCTCCCTACCAATAGCCCCAATGAAGCAAACACCCTACCATAAATCAATACACCGCGATAAAGGTGTGTTCAACGGCAAGAGCTTTCTTATATCAACGGACTCCATCAACTGGATCCATCTGCATGCGTTGGCAATCACCGAACACGGCCAGCTCTACTCGTCCGACGAGAGTGATAACCACTACCTCCTCCTACAATCGTTGCAATCGTGCTACGTCCAGATCTTTCCCAACCTCAATGCAGCTAACAACCAGCAACAACAGGCTCGTCCCACCAGACGGATTATCAAAAAATCCTCAACTTTGGACAATGTCGGTGCCAACGAACTGGACGAGCCTCCCGTGATCTTCATCAAAACTTACGAGAATGACAAGTTGTACATAAAAGTCCCATCGAAGAACAACTTTGGAAACTTGATCAGCACTTTGCTCGTCTGGCAGGCCTTGAAACCTCAAGGCTTGGTCAAGAAGTGGTACAGTGATAATAAAGTGGAGTACTCTAACGCGTCGCTGGAGCCCCACGAGTTGTTGGTGTGTCGTTTCAAGGTGTATGGTCCTATACCTTCCAAATCAAAGAACTTGAATATAGTTTCTGGCCCTAAGGCTCCCGTATATCAACCAAAAATCGATCCTTCTCAACTGGAATTCCTAAACGGTGATAATGTGGTTGGTTCCCAATTTGGCGGTACTAATGATAATATCTCTGAAGGTTGGTTCTACACCATGGGTGTTTTGAAATCAAACGGTATCCTTAACTTCATTACTGAATTGGACGGAACTCTTCTTTATTCCATAGACATCAAATCAATTTTGTCCTCCGAAATCAGGGAAATGCATCACTCACTTTTCAACAGTTCCAATGTCTTGTTCATAGGTCAATTGAAAGAATTGAGATTCAACAACGTGATAAAGACTTCTTCGACTTTGTCTATCGATCAACATACAACACCCTTCTTGGTTAGAGAAGGAAAATTGATCCCTAATAACCTGAGAGTTCTAATTGAATTTCCTTTACATATTGATCTTGAGGATTGGTTTGTCGGATTGAACTATTTTGCCAAGAGAGAGTATATTGGCTCATATAGCCCCCACCTGGTATTGGCCACTCCCACAGATGAAGTGGATACTAACAATTCTCACAAGAATGCGAACACAAGCATGAATAGTACTAGTTCAGGTACTTCATTACCTGTTCACAACATCGCTCCACTCCAACCACCAAAACTATGCAACTTCAACCGTGATAATTTCCGTGTATCAAAGAAAGTTGCTATCGACATTATAGAAGCAAAATTCGACAACATGCAACCATTGTCATCTAAGCTCCCTCAAGGTAAAATATACACAGAAGTCAGAATGTGGGGCTTACCATGGTCTAGAACTGCAATTGTCAATCACACTAGTAACCCGTTCTGGAAGGAAGAGTTTGCTACTGACCTTCCTATTCTGACTCAGATGATTCATATCTTAATCAAAAAGTGCTCTTTCAGTGATTCAAGTTACCTGCCTAATGATAAAGTGATCGGAACAGTTTACGTTACTCCTGATATATTGACAAAACAGCTAAGCACAGCTTCTACTATGATGTCAGGTGCAGCTGGGAATGGAATTAATGTAAATGGCGTTAACACTCACAATGCTAACAACATATCGATATCCACATTAAACAACGGCAATACGGGAATCAACCATCCAACTGGTTCCAACGTGACAAAAAACTTCAATAATGACATAGTGAGATTGTCTATCTATGATTCATCCAACCTTCCTATTGGAAAATTGTTGCTTAATGTGAAGCTCAAGGAGTATCATATTTTATCACCTAATCACTTCAAACCGTTGGAAAAGATGTTGACTAATGCGCCTATGAAAGACTTGATTAAGTTCTGTAATGAGAACGTTCCAACCTCAGATTTTGAATATGTCAGTTTGATCATGTTGGATATTTTCCAGAGTCTTGGAGTCGAAGATCAGTGGTTCAAATCCTTGATGGAAGCCGAATTGGTCAATGTTGATAAGATGACCCGTAAAAACTACGCAAATAAAAGGAACAGCGAAATAACGAGTACTGCCATCGCCAATAACAATAATAGTTCGACAAATGGAAATGGCTCGGCTAGTGGAGGAGCCTCATCCTCACTGAATAACGTCTTCAATACTTTATTTCGTGGCTCATCTATTTTCTCGAAATCATTGGAAAAGTATAACCTCAGAATAGGTCAAGAATATTTGGAAAAGGTATTTGGCGACTTCTTCGCCAAGATTGCTGCAGAAAAGAAGAACTGTGAAGTTGACCCTAGGTATGTGCGAATTCAAGAAAAATTGCTTAGAAAGGGTAAATCACTTGATAGCCCAGAGGAAGACGATGACGACGATGATAGCAATAGTGATAGTGATGGATATGACTCTGATGTGGAACGTGAAAGAGATCAAAAAATCAAAAGCATGGTTGAAGAGAACTTTAATAATTTATACGAATATGCAGAGGAGATTTGGCACAAGATTTACATCACTTCAAATGACTTGCCTCTGCAAATTAAGATCCAATTGAAGAATTTCAGAACAAAGGTCGAGTTGGCATGTGATCCAGATGATAAGACAACAGCATTGAATTGCTTAAGTGCATTTATCTTTTTAAGATTCTTCTGTCCTGCAATTTTGAACCCAAAGTTGTTCTACTTAACTAAAAACCATCAAACTGGAAGCACACAGAGGACTCTTACCTTGATAGCCAAAATTTTATTAAATTTGGCCAATAGGCAAGAGTTTTCTCCTCACAAGGAGCCCCATTTGGTGAAGATGAATGAATTTTTGAACAAGCATCAGCAAGAAGTATTTGACTATTTTGATAAGATTACCGGCAGAAAGAATGACTTCAACGAGAAAATCTTGGATTTGAGTCATGAAGTTAAGAGATTTGATTTAGGATTGAGTGGAGACTCGACATCCAATGAATTACCAACAACACCATACTTGATTGATAAATACTTGAGGTTGACGGAATTGATTCATTTGTTAGACTACAACAAGTATCAAATGTACTATTCACCCAAATCATCCGTGCAACCAAGTCCCCAGAATGAGGCCGGTATGGTCACAACCAGATCTTCGATAGGGACAGCCATTTCCGTCAGCGGCTTAAATCTCCAGCAAGGCTCGCTGACGACTCAACCACAAACGCCCGATGATCATAATAGAGTGGGGTCGAGAGACAGTCATGGCGATTCCCTACAAATTAATGACGAGAAAAACGTCTACCAGATTGGATCACTCGAGTTTGAAAAATCTGAATTCCTTGACTTGGCTGGAGATAATGAGACTGAAGGGTTCCTCAAGTCTTTGTGCAGAAGTAATGAGAACATATTTTCGTTCATCACCTCCAATATTACCTTGAAGGATTTACAAAAGCAAAGCACAAAGTTGATGACCAAAATCAGCGACTTGGAAGTGTACTTGGAGAACTGTGAGTACCCTAGCAACTACCTTCCATACAATTACCAGCATACCACAAGCATTAACAATACCAAGGTAGGAACTGCCGGCTCTCCAACATTACCTCCAGCCCAGCCAGTGTCTGCCAACACCACCCTCACGTCCCAGTCGTCCTCGTCGATAGACAAGACCCTTGCACTCTGGGAGGCGTTTGTCAACGAGCTCATTCTCAAATCATACCTCGACGTTTCACGCAACTGTTTGGTATTTTTGGACAAAGACTTTGTGCCCAACAGCGGCTACCGCAAGTTGGTGGACGCCAATGCGTTCAGTGGGCTCAAGTTGAAGTTTGCCAATGACGTTGCTGGTGTGGGTGCAAAAAATACAAACGGGTCCAGTGCAACCGTCAACGGCACCACAGCCGGGACCACCAGCTCGATGTCGCTGTCATTCAGCAACGGCAGCTTGGGAAGCGTTGTCAAGACCACGTCCAAGAACCCGTTCAAGAAGTGGATGCGCAAGAATAACTAGCACTAATACATGTATAGACATGAGTAGAACTAAATGACGTCACGGAAAAGGCGGGACCACCACCACCAAAAGGGACACCTTCCACCACCGATGGCCACGTGACCCATATCCAGGAGCAACCGTCGCAGCACGGCCCATCAGCCTCCGGCACCGCCATTGGCCCACCCACGTGTTGGTACCTGCTGGTACTCCCGACCTTGCCCAACCTGGCCCAGCCTGCGGTATCCACCCTGCCGCCGTGCCGCCGCTTCCGCCCCTCCCTCCCTGTAGCAGGACACACCCAACACATGTCCTGCACACAGCCCGATACCAACAAAAACAACTCGTAATGAAATATTTGTTAATTTCGACCTGTTTCAACACTTTATAGCCGTGTTCTCTTGGTAATCTATAGACAGTGTGACTTTGCAAAAAAGCCACCCCCTACTGATCACGTCCCCCCTGAAACCGGAACACCCATCCGCCATCACCGTTGCCGCTACCATGTCATCCGAAGACGCCAAACCTAAAGCAACCATCGAGGAGATCCTTGCCTCGTACCCTCAGGTCGCTGCTCCAAGCGAACAAACAGGATACACCTCCAACTTGACTGAAGACCAAAAGGCTAAGTTGGTCCAATTCCGGGAAGAATTGACTGCCGCTGGCTACAAGGACAGATTGGATGATGCATCGCTTCTCAGGTTCCTTAGAGCCAGAAAGTTCGACATCGCCAAAGCCAAGGATATGTTTGCCAAGTGCGAGAAGTGGAGAGAAGAGTTCGGCACCAACACTATCTTGACCGACTTCAAGTACGACGAAAAGCCACTCGTGGCCAAGTTGTACCCCCAATACTACCACAAGACCGACAAGGACGGAAGACCCGTCTACTTCGAGGAGTTGGGTAAGGTCAACTTGACCGAGATGTTGAAGATCACCACTCAGGAGAGAATGTTGAAGAACTTGGTCTGGGAATACGAGTCTTTCACCCAATACAGATTGCCTGCCTGCTCCAGAGAAAGGGGCCACCTCGTGGAAACCTCGTGTACTGTGTTGGACTTGAAGGGAATCTCGATCTCCGCTGCCAGCCAGGTGCTTAACTACGTCAGAGAAGCCAGTTACATTGGTCAAAACTACTATCCAGAAAGAATGGGTAAATTCTACTGCATCAACTCGCCATTTGGTTTCTCCACTGTGTTCAAATTGTTCAAGCCATTCTTAGATCCTGTCACTGTTAGCAAGATTCACATCTTGGGCTCCTCATACCCTAAGGAGCTCTTGAAGCAAATTCCTCCTCAAAACTTACCCGAGAAGTTTGGTGGTGCTTCCAAGTGCAGTGAAGACGAGTTGTACTTGAACGACTTTGGTCCATGGAGAGATGCTCAGTACATCGGTCCAGAGGGCGAAGCTCCCAGAACCTTTGCTTAGACCTAATACACCCAATTGTTCTGTGGTAACTGTAGGCGTATTGCCAGGAGGCTCTTCCTGGACGCGCGAATCATACCTATCATTTGTAGCATCTTCATTATGACGAACAAATATGATAATATAACTATTTGTAGCTTAGCGAGATTCCAGTAAATAACAAAATAGATCTGACGAGCAACTCGTGCAGTAGGAAAAATAACCTCGGCTAGTCCGTATTGATAGAGATGGACCATTCTTCTACTGTGAGTACTTAGTACTCTCGAGTACAATTTTTACCTCCTACAAGAAGCTTCCTTGTCTTGATCTACAATTTCTGTTTGAAACCGTTATAATGCTAAAAAAGCTTGAATCACATAGAATTCTCACATCATACTGTAGATCGAATGTTGCATCACAATACCTCCTTCTTGCAAAAAAGACACATTTGCCACCGAGTGATCGTGATTTTACTTATCTTGATTTAATTAATTTACACAGTTTAAAATAAGGTTCAACCCATCTAATTTGGTTCCAGTAGTACATTTTGGGAAAATTGATGTCAGGAGTTATGAACACCAGTAAGATAGTCGAGGTCATCAAAGCCCTAGAAAAGCATTATTGCTGATTTCTCCAGGCTACTGGAATCCAAATGCCGGGGCCCACGGGTACTTGCCACGTTTGCGTTTGTGGTTCAACTTCCTTTCTTACGATGGCCCAAAGAGGTTAGACAGGTCCCAAAGGGATGTATTATCACTATTTTCTAGTTTCAATAGTCTGATTCCATCGCAAAGCCACAAATAGCACCTCAACATAATACGAGTCGTGAAGTGAGCTTTGTGGATGGATTGAGTGGGTGCACTAGTGCATTAATTTCGTTGGCACGTACTGCCTCGGCTATGATTTGGCTGAGAATGTGTAGGCGTGGGGACGAGGGGCAAACCTGCAATTAATTGGAGCTGCTACTTTGGTAGCATAGCGGGAGTTGTACACCATAGCTTCCTGGATGCGTAACGCTCTAAAGATGAGGTAATTTCGTAGATCCAGGACGGTTATTCCGGTGCCATAGATGTATCTAGCCCATATAAATAACGTACCATTGGTAGAGCCGAGCATCTAGAGACGTGACGAAAACCCTTGGCTTCCAAAACCTACACCCAGGCTCATGGGCCAGAACTCGTTGGAAGTACCTTTCTCTGAGGTGTCTCCTCGAGAACATTTCACGGAAAACGGCTCCTCAGCCTCAGAATCCCTCTGTGCCTGACTAGCTCCGCTATCATCCCACCACCATCATCATATAACCATCTCTCCTTCTTCCCCTTCTTCATCCTCCCCCACCTCTTCCTGTCCTGCAGTTTAGCCACGCTTTTCGCGAACCTTTGAACCCTTCTTTAGACGCCATTCACAACCGAACTCTTACTACACGAAGGCCTCAGCACGGCCTCACACAACCACCTTCTGTCCCTCCAAAGCTGCTACAACTTGTTACCATCTTCACGACTCAAACCTCAGTCCCTCACACCCTTCCAACCCATCGTCATGTTGGCAGCTATCGTCCTTTTTATAGCGGCAGCACTAGCCCAGACCCACACCTTCCACTTTAATGCCACCTACGTCCATGGCAACCCCGACGGAATGGCCACGCGGAGGCTTATTGGAATCAACGGCCAATGGCCCATTCCCACCATCAAAGTCAAAAAGAACGACCGTGTAATCATACACTACACCAACACTCTCGAGGACCGCAACACCTCCCTCCACTTCCATGGATTGTTCCAGCGTGGCTCGCCCCACATGGATGGACCAGAGATGGTCACCCAGTGCCCCATTCCTCCAGGTTTAACTTTCACCTACAACTTCGAGGTCCCTGACCAGGCAGGAACCTACTGGTACCACTCCCATTCTGGCGCCCAGTACGCAGATGGGCTCCGGGGAATGTTCATCATCGAAGAAGACGAGCCTCTGTCCTACCACTATGATGAGGAAGTGTTGCTTTCCGTCAGCGACTACTACCACACCGAGTCCCCCATCATCATGAAGCAGTTTTTGACCAGATTCAATCCTACTGGTGCTGAGCCCATCCCCCAGAACTCCTTGTTCAACGAAACCAAAAACGCCACTTGGACAGTGCAGCCAAATACTACTTACTTATTGCGTATTGTTAACATGGGGTTGTTCACTTCACAGTATTTATTCATTGAGGATCACGACATGGTCATCGTCGAGGCAGACGGTGTCCCCATTGAGCCCACTACCGTGGACTCGATCTACCTCTCGGTTGCTCAAAGATACTCAGTGTTGATTAAGACCAAAGAATCTACTAATAAGAACTTCCGCTTTGTCAACGTCATCGACCAGGAAATGTTGGATTTGCTACCAGAAGAGCTTCAGGTGATCTCCACAAACTGGGTCGTCTACGACGAGTCCAAAGAGTTGCCTTTGCCATTGAAGAACGGAAAGAACCTGTTTGACAAACTTGTGGCGTCTCTCAACCCAATCAATGAGTTCGACTTGACTACCGCCGACAAGGTACCGTTATTGCCCGACCCAGACTACCAAATCGTGCTCAATTTTACGATGGATCAACTTGGCGATGGAGTCACCTATGCATTTTTCAACAACATTACTTACGTAGCACCTAAGGTCCCTACGTTATATTCTGTATACTCATCACCAGATCGCACAGACGCACGGATTTACGGCTCCAACACCAACACCTACATGTTGCAGTCGGACGAAGTGATTGAAATTGTTGTCAACAATATGGACCCAGGCAAGCATCCATTCCATTTACACGGCCATAATTTCCAGATTGTCGCAAAATCCGCTGAAGGCGATGAAGAAAATCCAACCATATACGATCCCACCAACCCTGAGTGGAACAACTTTCCAGAGCATCCTATGGTACGCGATACCGTCCAGGTTGAGGCCAACGGGTTTGTGGTACTCAGATTCAAAGCAGATAACCCTGGTGTATGGTTCTTTCATTGTCACGTTGATTGGCATTTGGAACAGGGATTGGCCATTACGCTAGTAGAGGCCCCAGAATCAATCCTGTTTAATGATAATTCAAATGATTTGGTTCATGAATCCTTTTTGAATGAAACCAAGAATGACATGTTTACTTACTCAGGTAGCCATTTTGACTCTTGCTATGCAGCAGGAGTACCCTATGTTGGCAATGCCGCTGCGAGACATGGGCCCGATGGAAGATGGTTCGACTTGAGCGGAGAAAACAAGCAACCGGCCCCATTACCTGAAGGGTTCACATTAAAGGGTTACTTCGCCATGATTGTGTGCACGTTTGTGGCTATCTTTGGAGTTATCAGTATCTACAAGTACGGAATGGAGGACGTCAATTCCGAGGATGTGGAGGCCACCGTGCACAAGCTCTACAAAATTTTGAGAGACCACGGAGTGGAGGTCAACTAAGCAAATAGCCTTAATTGCAGAGAAATCTGCGACACAATATCGTACATAGCCTTAAATTATTGGTATACCCTATATATCTAATCATATTTATATCCTACGCTTTAAATTTAGGTAGCAAGCTGTAATGGAGTTTTGAAATTTTCATGGAAAATGTAGTAACTTCTACCATCCCAAGGAAAGAATACAGCCTACAGTTGATAGACAAGTTTGAACAAGGTTTCAGATCCCAGTATGTTAAAACCACCATGCTAGTACTTTACAATCCTTAAAATCTGCTGTGGAATCGGGTACGTTCTCCAAACGTGGAACAAATGAATACTACCATTTAAGTCACTAGTTTATTGCCAGGGCCACTACAACTCGATTGGTAAAGGTGGCAACACGGTCATTCCTGGGGTCCCCGTTCCATGGATGAATCGTTAACTATGATTAAAGGGCTTAGGGTTAGATTCTGGGATTGAGACACTTGCATTAGCCTCTTGAGAGTGCACTGGTCCATGTTCTATAATTCCGAGATCAGAGCTGGGACAAGACTAGCAGCTGGTGATGGGTCTCTATCTATGTTCAGATTTGAGCCACTCCGGCCATGAATAATGATGTGGGGAGAGATCACCTGGAATAATCTGAGTCATTATGTCTCCATGGCAACATTCCATGAATTGTGATCAAGAACTATCACTGTAATCTACAATTATAGGAGGTGAATGTCCACCCACTGGAGTCTCCCGAAGCAATGCCATCACTGGCAACTGAGCCAATGATAAGACTACCGAAAAACCTTCTCAGCAGTAGAACCTCTGGAGAACTCAGTAGAGTAGTTTAATAGACCGGACGACCAGTAGACGAATAGACCAGTACTTCCAACATCGGAGCATCCCTCCCCTTTCCCCAGAGTAGTCCTATTACCCTCCCACTCTGGGCCCTTTCCGCAGGGTCGCGCTCGCTAGCGACTACCCCAGTGCTGCCGCCTATCAGTGGTACCCGCACTATCTGGTACCATATAAGACCACTCCACCCCATATTCCCACCACCACTCGCGCCATGACTAAATACGTTGTGGTAGGGTAAGTCAACTGCCACCCGTTGGCCCCAAAGACTCCTTACTAACTCCAGCTCCGGCATTATCGGCCTCTACACCACCTTCTGCCTCCTCCAGCACGGCGTGGACCCTTACCAAGTTACTGTGCTCGCGGAGTACCTCCCTGGTGACGAGTCTGTCAACTACGCCTCACCCTACGCTGGTGGCAACTTCTCGTGCATTACTGATGACGACCCCGCTACCCTTGCATACGACAAGCACACCTACACCCACCTTCATGTGCTTCAGCGGGAGTTGGGCGGCCCTGCTTGTGGACTCGATCGTTATCTCTCCACCGAGTACTGGGACACCAAGCCGTCACGTCGCAAGTTGGACTCGTTGGCGTCGTACTTGGAGTGCTACGAGGTGGTGACCGATGGCCCCGCCTACGGCATTCGCTTCAAGTCCTGGAACTTCAATTGCCCGTTCTTCTTGTTGAACTTCCAGATCTACCTCCAGGACAAAGGCGTACGCTTTAAACGCGGCAAGTTATCCCACATCGCACAGGCGTACCTGGCAGACACCCGCTGTGTATTCAACTGCACTGGATTGGGTGCCCATGGCTTGGGTGGTGTCAACGACACAGCAGTCTACCCCACCAGGGGACAGGTGGTGGTGGTCAAGGCACCCCACGTCACCGAGAACCGCATGCGTTGGGGAGCGGACTACGCCACCTATGTCATCAAGCGCCCCTACTCCAACGACCAATTGATCTTGGGTGGATTCATGCACAAAGACAACTGGAGTGGTGACACCTTCCGCGACCAGTCCAACGACATTCTCGCCCGTACTACCGAATTGTTTCCCGAGATCTTGACCCGAAACCCACGCGGCTCCTCCATAGCCGATTTGGAGGTGGTCCGCGTGGTGGCAGGCCTCCGTCCGTCCCGTCACGGAGGGGTCCGCATCGAACGGGAGCTCGTGGACCACAACAAGATCTTGGTGCACAATTACGGTGCCAGTGGCTACGGGTACCAGGCAGGCTTGGGGATGGCGCACGAGGCAGTGCGGTTGGCATTAATGGGCGACTCGAAGATCTAGTCAGCAGATGTGTGAAATATAATAGACGGGCTAAGAACGGCAAATAGTTGGCGAAAAATCCTACAAAAATAAACATATTCTTCTGAATGCCTTGCTTATCCTTTCACGAATCTCTAAAATATTACGTTCGAAATGAATATTAACCAGTAGTCTGCGTTTGACTTACATCGCCTACCCAGCCATACTTTGGTTAGTGAAACTTCAATTCCATTTGTCAAAGTTACCACTCCCCGACTGGAACTGTTATCACTGCTCTTTTCCGGCTTCAGTATAGACCTCTTACAATTTAATGAATTTTCCAGCCTTGTAAGTGTAGAAAGTTGCTGCAATCATTTTGAGATTTTTAGGATCAACTTGGTATTTTTCTTACAGATAACGGACAAAAGTCTCAATATCACCCATCTATACCCTCTAATCCTCTATAGCCCTGCCTGTGAACTCACCTGATGAAAGATCACCGGCCTGACCATTTTGGGCCAATTGGCCATATTGGGTCGTGCGCGCGCCCCACAGATAGGGAGAACTTATCACCAGCATCTTGTACCATTCCTCCATCAGCCCCATGTCACAACTATTCGAGTGGGCTTTCGGCAAGAAACTCACGCCCCAGGAGAGGCTTCGAAAGAACCAACGGTCCTTGGAAAAAACCCAGCGAGAATTGACCAGAGAGACCACCAAACTCCAACAGCAAGAAAAGAAGCTCATAGGAGAAATCAAAAAGTCCGCCAAAGCGGGCCAGTTGGCGAGTGCCAAAATCCAGGCCAAGGACTTGATACGGACCCGAAACTATGTGGTTAAATTCAACTCGATGAAGGCCCAGTTGCAGGCAATTTCCCTTAGAATACAGTCGATCAGATCGAACCAACAGATGGTGTCATCGATGCGAGACGCCACCAGATTGTTAAACGGGATGAATCGGTCTATGAACTTGCCCCAACTCTCAAGAATTGCCCAGGAGTTTGCCAGAGAAAACGATTTGATGGACCAAAAACAGGAGTTCATGGACGAGTCTATCGACGACATCATGGAAGACGATGACGAACTTGGAGAAGATGAGCAGATCGACGAGATCTTGGGCAAGGTCATGGACGAGATTGGTGTGGACTTAAACACCACCTTGAAGGACACCCCCAACACCATCAACGTGCCAACTGAGGAACGCAACGAGAGAGTGGCAGAGAAGATTGGTGGCCTGGATGAGGACGACTTGCAGGCCAGATTAGATAGTTTGAAGAAGTGATCACAGCCAAATTAGATAGTTTGAAGTGGCTCTCGAATGCACGCTACAATCAGGCATATTCACGGGTCTATTCTAGCTGATCATATCGAATGATCATTTACTCTATGTACTTGTGTTCAATCAAATATTCGATAATCTTGGAGGCTGACTCCTCGATGGTGGCACCTTCATAGTTCTTCAAATGAATTTCGGCGTTTTCAGGTGCCTCGTATGGAGCACTGATTCCAGTAAACTCCTTGATAATTCCCTCTCTGGCCTTCTTGTATAAACCTTTAGGATCTCTGGTCTCAGCTACAGAAACTGGCACATCGACGTATACTTCGACGAAGGGCAAGTTATCCTTTTCGTGTAATTGTCTGGCCAACTCACGGTCTTGCTTGTACGGACTGATGAAACTGGTCAATGTAACACAACAGGAATCGTTGAACAATTTGGCAACTTCTGATATTCTTCTGATATTCTCGTTTCTATCAGCCTCACTAAAGCCCAAGTCCTTATTCAATCCGAATCTGACATTGTCACCGTCCAATCTGTAAGCATTCAAGCCACGAGCCAAAATGGACTGTTCCAAAGCACAGGCAATAGTGGACTTACCACTGGCTGATAATCCAGTCAACCAGACAGTAACACCCTTTTGCTTTCTTAATTGGGCTCTTTCTTCATGAGTCAAGTTTGCGTGCCAGGTGATATTAGTAGCCATTTTTTTTGTTCTTGATAATTAAATTTTTTGGTAAAAGACAAGAAGTAGGGGCAGTATCTGTACTATAGATCTGATCTTAGCTGGTCTAATTATGAAATTTTTAGACATTATATGCCATTGCACGTGATCACGAATCATGATAAGTTATCAAACACACGATTGCGGGGCAGTGATGGTGCGCGACAATGTCGGTCTGACCCCGTGTCGTCTTGTCATGTGCAAATTGTCAGGTGACACAATGTTTTTCACATTTTTTTCACCCGTCCTTTGGTCTTGAATACGAATACTTCTACATCAACGCCAACATGTACTATGAATTGTTCGCCATAGCGCGTATTGCCGATCCCGTGCATACCAGTAAAGAAGCAGTTAAGATTGTGTCCACCATCGGAAAGTTGATCCTCAACAATAGAGGTGTCATCAGAGATATAACCAGTTTGGGTGCCAGACCATTGCCTAAAATCATGAGCAAAGAACAAGAAAAGCATTTCCAAGGATACCACTTCCTCATGGGTTTCGACGTTTCGTCCAACGTGCAAGCACAACTTTTGAGAACATTAAGAAGTGATCCAAGAATTTTGAGAGCCAACATCCTCAAGCAACCAATGACAAAATCATTAAACGTTGGCTCTTCCGTGCAACAAGCATTAAACGCAGTTCAAAAGGTTTAGGGATATCATGACATGTACATAGTAATAAACATTATCAGAGATGAGCATCATGGGGTGAAGCTGTAGGTACCCATTGGATTGTTAAATACTGCATGAATAGAGAAATGCAGCACAAATCCAACTATTACAATCAGTTCAGGAAATATCAGACGGTATGTAATCCATAGCTAATTGGCCAGCCATGATCAGTCAGACGACGATAAGGAGACCTCAATTGTTTTTGACATCCAAAATCTGGCATTCAAAATACCATTCTGCTATTTTCTTGAGTCTACTCCTAAGAGGCATAAAGTGACAAATATTAATTAGAAACTGGCTCCGAAAAAGCATATGAAGAATACCCTTATACGTTTCACAAAACTCCCATCTTAAAACATCACTGCTATTCTGTTGCTGAGCAAAAGTATTTTAGATCTTCGAGTAATCTCGATAGGTACATCTGTTCAAGTTTGTCAAATCGAGTTGTTCATCATTTAAAAATGCATCCCTAAGTCCTCAAAACCATCACTTCGCCATTAAAGTCAATAAGAAATATGACTTGATTTTCTTGAAACTTCTAAAATTTATCAAAAATCAAAGGAATATGTAAGAATTGAAGAGCCATAGTTGGATTTGTAAAATCGTAAAATAAACGAATAATTTACAAAATCAGACTTCGTTTTAACCGGTATCACCCTGCTTGCGATGAAAAAGAACCTCGAAACGACTCAGAAGAGCTTTAATAGAAACTGTTCAGACCATTTATATACATATAGTCATCGACAAGAACTAATTAAAACTATAGAAAGTGGGAAGATTCTGCTCGTATTAGACGGTCCAGCCTTAAATTCCTCTTCGTCTTAAGAACTTGTTTGTTGGCTTCTACTTTTGTCAACTGGAAATGACACCGGAAGTAGTACTTTCCCAATATGTGCATTTTCAAGGAAGTATATAAATGGGAATTCCAAACAATGATCTGGTAATTGAAGGATCCAAAGAAAATCTAGCAGACCACTTATCTATTCCTTATAAGCAGAATCCAATACTACAAAAAATATGTCGTACTCAATTTTCCCCATAAGTGATTGTATGAATATAGCATTGCAGCCACTAACTTAAGCTTGTGGAAGATTCTGTTAAATTCATTGACTCTGTAGAACGAACTGAATTTAAGTTATTTGTCAAAAAAAAAATTAAAGTGCCTTATTTATCATTAGCCGATTATTAAGCCTCCAAATTTAAGTTTAATTAGTTCTATTTTTGACTAGATCTAATCTCTGAGTACTTTAATTTTTAGTGAGCATAACTGGACGATATCCTTAAATACGTAGCCAGTCGTGGTACTGACATTTATGCTCAGTGATACAAGGATTCTTTCTAGCTAGTGCTAACTGTTGGAATTCAAAATGGAGTAGTAAAAATTGCTTTTCTCGCTGAGTACATTATTTTTAGCAATAGTTACCCCAGACTATTGGGAAAAAACGGTTTCTACTGAAGACCGACAAATGTCTTCAAAGATACCTATGTCAATACTAATTAGTTGAAATAAAGGCATTTACTCCTTTGACGATCTTGAGTCATCCCAACATTGCTGCAACTATGTGTTGATTCTGTGTTTGTATGTGTCATATCGCACCGATACGCATCTGCGCATACTTCCACAAGAAAAAAATCCCCTCTAGTTATCACCACAAGTACCAATGAAGCTATCCTTCAATACCTTCGGATACTGGGGGTACGGGATATACTACGACATCAAGTCCCGACTCCCCTATTATGGATCCGATTTCAAGGACGCCTGGAACTACCGGGTGATACCGTCCACCATCTTCATCTTTTTCACCAATCTTTTACCCGCCATCGCCTTTGCCCAAGACATGTTCGACAAGACGCAGCAGCTGTATGGGTTGAACGAGGTGTTGTTGAGCTCAGCCATCGGTGGGGTGGTCTTTGGCCTCTTCTCGGGCCAGCCGCTTTGCATCGTGGGAGTCACTGGCCCCATCGCCATCTTCAGCTACACAGTCTACGAGTTGGTCGAGCCCAGAGGAACGCCGTATTTCCCTTTCATGTGCTGGATCTACCTCTGGTCCATGGCTTTCCACCTTATTGTTGCCGTTGCCAACCTCGTGTCTTTCTTGAAGATCATCAGTACGTTTTCGTGCGATGTGTTCGGTTTCTTCATTTGCATCGTGTATATTCAAAAGGGTATTCAGATCCTTCTGAAGCAGTTCGAACTGGTGGACTTGGCGAGCGGCTACTGCTCGGTCATGATCGCCATTTTGATGGTGATCTTTGGCGTAGGCAGTGGTGTTTTTGGCACTCAAATGCACTACTTCAAGCCTTCGATCCGGAAGGTCATCGTGGACTACGGTGTGTGTTTGGCGGTGATTTTCTTCACAGGATTCATCCACTTTGGTGGCAAGCTCGACGACACTGAGTTGGCTAAGTTGCCCATAAACAAGCTGTTTGTGCCGACTCACCTGGGGCTGGACAGACATGGGTGGTTCATTCACTTCTGGCCCAACGAGCACATCAGCACAAGCGATGTGTTCTTGGCCATCCCATTTGCCATCTTGCTTACATTTTTGTTTTACTTCGACCACAACGTGTCATCGTTGATGTGCCAGCTGAAAGAATATCCACTTAAAAAGCCATCTTCATTCCACTGGGACTTTGCGCTTTTGGGAATCACTACCGGGTTGTCAGGAATCCTTGGCATACCAGCACCAAACGGGTTAATCCCTCAAGCTCCCCTCCATTCCGACTCGTTGGTAATCCACAACCGTGACGGGAAAGCGGTACTGGTGGTCGANCAAAGAGTTACCAACACCCTTCAGGGCTTGATCACCATTGTGATGATGACTCGTCCATTTTTGGTGGTTCTTGGACTCATTCCACAAGCAGTGTTGGCTGGATTGTTTTTCGTAATGGGAATCTCAGGCTTGAATGATAACATCATCACCAACCGCATCAGGTATGTGTTCTTGGACAAGGAGTACATCGAGAACGACCCTTCATGTCCTGCCGTATTCACTGAAATCCACGCCCTAAACCCCAACAAATGGTACTACATATTTTTGTTGCTTCAAATAGTGGCAGCCATGGCTGAATTTGCCATCACTTGCACAAAAGGGGCTGTCGGATTTCCAGGGGTGTTGTTATTCTTTGCTATTTGTGCCAAGTGGATTTGGCCCTTATTTATTCCTCAACAGGAGCTCAAGAAGCTCGATGGTGAGGTCGCAGACGAGTTCATCATCAAGAGTCTCCGAATTGTGGAGGATGCGAAAAGGAGATACAGCGACGAGGAGAAGCAAGAGCTAATCTACTCAGCCGAGCATGAGCCAACCCTGGGAGTTGATAGTCCACTATAATCATTTGCATACAAAAAACGATTGAATACTGGAATACCTTTTTCTTAATCAAACAGGTCAATAATTGGACCCGAGTAACAAGTATTTAATATTTAGTATCAATACAAACGTCAGAATAAAAAACTTAAACCTTTTAAACTGAAGTCTTTCATTACCAGCTGGAATGATACCAATTCACACGACTAGAGTCAATCACAAAATGCTTGCATATACACCCTTTTACTTCTCAACTTAAGAACTCCATGACTTATTACTAATAGTATTGGAGAATTTTACAACCTACAAATTCTGGCGTAACGATTTTGCAACAACGAACCTGGAGTTAATCTACCCAGCTATATTTACCAGGTGAATCTGGGTGTTTGATAGGCAGCACATTAATAGTTTTAAAATAGAGCCGTTCGAAGAATACAGTCCCGTCACCAACGTAGAGACCATAGCCACTCATACACTGGAAGTGTTTCATAGCGGCGTTTCCAACTACCGCAGCCAATAGCTTCACCAAAAATAAGAGGACATTGTAAGGATCTAGGTTACTTATTTGAGTGGTGACAAAACTAGGCATCATGGAACCAGCTGACAAAGCATGCCCCAGTAATTGCGAGTAGTCCTAGTAAAAATTACACCCATAAGCAGTGTCAGGTGTAACCTGGAGCGATGACTACACCCTATAGATCAACCACATATCGACCACTCTGAAGCCCCTTCTCGCCAGTTCTGTCGCATTCCTATCCCTTCCCCCAGCTTACCCCTAGTTTCACCTGCCAATGCCCAGACTTTCGCACCGTCTGCCTCACTACTGATCTGTCACCGTGCTCGTTTAGTGCTGCGCTCCCGTCATCGCGCAACGTTGTGGGGCCAGACAAATTCGCCCATCGAAGATTGCCTGAGCATTAATCCACGAGGTTTGTCCGGAATCGCACCACCCGACCTTGACCCAGACATCAGTCGTACGACTTCTCGGCTAGAGCAGCTACTCTCCACACACACCGGGCCCAATTGTCTACCCTCCACTCCAAGCACCTCTTCCCGTTGCCAATCTCTGCGGGAGTCCCAACGCCAGAACGCTCGCAGACAGATCACGTGTGCTCCCCGATCAGGCAATCCAAACACTGACCCAAACAAATTCTCCCAAACATCCGTTACCCTTCCCATCCTTCAACGCTACGTAGCGATTCTGGAGCTCAATCGGACCACCTGCCACCCGTCGTCTCTTCGTCGAACCACCGCCCTTGCCCAGGCTTGTCCTCCTTCCAGTCGTCTCCCTGACTGACATATTCTACCGGTGTTCCCAAAATCCGGCTAAGCTATTGTTGCACAGTCTGTTTGTTCCTAGCTTGCCTGTTTGGAATTCCCAATACATCCATCCAGGGACCACTCTGATACCGCTTGCTTACTGACGGCCCAATTGTTTATAACCATCAATCCGTCCTACCCACTCCATTCGTTCTTTTGATCCAAGCATGGACACCGCATTGAATAAAGAAAATGACTGTACCAGTGTGATATCCCAATCAGTTATGGACTCTCATTTTTCAGCCTCCCCAATCAAACCCTTGAAGTCACAGCGTTCGTTGAACTCGTTGAACTCGCCCATGAATTCGCCCTCCAGAAAGTTGGATCCATCCCCCACTAGACGAAGAAAAATGGATCAACCTGCCACAAACCCGTTGTCGGGTCTTCAGAAAGAGTACACCCAGCTAGAGAGAAAGTACACCGACTTGCTACTCAAGAACAACGAAATATCCGCAGATTATGCTCAACTTGAACAAGATCTTTTCTCCAAGGATTCCACTATCAAGGAGCAGAAAGAGCGCATCGCCAATTACGAAACCTACGTAAGAAACATACAGGATGACTATACCAAGAACAAGGACCTTCTCAACAAGGAAATATACTTCTACAAAGAATTGATTGAAGAATTGCAGTTCAAAGTCAAAAAATTGAATTCAGAATTGGACACTAATAGGAAGCGCGAGAAGGAAATACAGCAGAAGTCAGAGGACCCAAAGTCACAAAGCGATGACTTGCAGGACATATTGGAGATATCTGAAAAGTTTAATCGTCTTCTCAAGGACTTCAAAGTGTTGCAAAGTAATTTTGAATTGGAGAGAAACTCCAAATTGGTTTTGATAGATCAAATTGAATTCTTGACCAAAGAGAACGAACTATTATCGAACCAAAATTCTAGCAAGAATTCCGTTAAGCACGATGAAGACTTACTAGAACATATCGATCAATTAAACGATAGTGTGATAAATGATTTTGCAACAACCATACACACAATGAATGAATTGACAGACGAAGACGAGGAGGATAATAATGATTATGATGACCAACAACCTAATAATGACTTAAGCATTGACGACTCGAATGAAACTGATTTAAATCACTCAAGTGTGTTGAATTACTTTGCTGACGAACTGCAAATTAACCATTCATCTCCTATCAAGCATCAATATGGTAACGACGAATCTTTGGAAATTTCCAAGAGCTTCCAGTTTCCACCTCAAAATCTGCAGCCATATTATCCTCCTTCTCCTGATCCTGAATCAAAAGACTTGAAAAGGAAATCATTACCTGTCAAAATTAGAACTTCTCCTCATTTGGATAATGAAGAGTTCGTGCTATCTCCATTGAAGTTGGCAACCAACACTAGTCACAACTATTTCGATATCGATGACAACAACACACCCAATAATACCATAGAAAGATACTCCAATTCCAAGCCAACCCATTCACGTTATAATAGTTATGATATTGTCCCTATTAAGGTTGAGTTTGAGACTGTGCATCCATCACCAAGAAGTACGTCAGTTCCTGAAAAGGAGCACCAGAAGAAGAAGTTTGGAGTCATAAATGAGACCCCTGAATTGCCAACCAGGGGAGCCACCAAGTCATCGGTGAGAAATAGTGCGTTTTATGCATTGAACGGATATGACGCGGACGTACCATCAAATAGAAACTCTATCACTACCGCAACCTCATCTAAGAGATCGAGCATGATCATGGAAAATCCTGCCCAAGACATGACCAAACAAGAAATCATGAAATTAAAGTTCGAATTGCAGTCCTTGAAATTGCACAATGAGAAATTGTTGTCGTATATTGGCTTCGAACTACAAAAGCAAAAGAATCATATTAAGAAGCTTTCCAACAAACAATCGGCAAGGACATTAAAGAAGCTAAACGACGTCAGCAAGAATATTGAGTATTCTGATGCCAAATTGATCGAGAGTTCCAAAGATATGTTGATTCATAAGAAACGGGTGTTGAGACTGGTATCCATCAATCCAATTTTGTCAAAGAACTACGGAAACAACAATGCAAATAAAGCCTCCAACCCAATAGGAATTATGAACAAAGGGATACTCCCACTTGCCAATCAATTACTAGAGGGGTTTGACCCCGAGCACCATGAATTCATTGGCGACCAAGCAGAGGATGATTACGGATTTATGAATCACAACGATAAGTTCAGCAAACGGATCTTTTCAAGTGGATTGCAAGCATACTTGAACTGCGATGAATTGGATGAAACCGAAGGTGCCGTCGAGGATTCGTTTGAGTCTGAAAATGAGAGAAACATCAAGAAGTACAAATCGCAGCTGTTCTTAATGGGGAAAGTGCTTGAGTCCAGTGATGATGACGATGACGACGACAGCATCGAGGAAGTTGAAGAGACGGAAGACACTCACGCCATGAAGCGCAAGGACTCCGAATGGGATAGTGATGGGGCCAGCTTGTCTTCGGACGAAGAGATGGGAATGTTGACTCAGATCAAGTATCTCATTTTGGGGTCGAGTGCCATCATGCTGAAGAATTCCAAAAAGAGACGAGAGCAGCAGCAGTTGGTGGACGATGGGCTCAAGTTGAAATTCATGACCATCACCCTAGGAATTATGATTCTTGGGTTGAAGTTATCGCAACAGACCAATGCGTCTCGGTAGTGTATATGAGTAATAGACATTAGAAAGAACCAAGCCATAGCAGGCAGTAGTAAGGATGTTCTTTTTGTGGGAACGCTCCAAAAGAGGATAAGATGGAGTTTCCACCACATCCAGAGACAGGTGGGATCAGGATGTGGCGGCGGGGGTTTGTAGTTAATACGGCCCAACACCAATCACACCTACACACGAGAATTGAAAAATAGCATTTGCAATGGTAGGTATTATTTTCGTTAGAAGATCTCTTCCAGACCAGGTACCGATACGCGAGAGATACGGATGAAAGTCGGCTTATTTTTGGGATATTATTTGTTCTTGCCTGCTAGCTAAGAAGTGGCCTGCTCTGGAAAACTTAATCACGGTGTCGCTTATGTAAGAGACATTTACTACTACTACTACTACTACTTCTACGAGGATGCGTCACCGTAATGCACTACGCTGCAACTTCACTACATGCACCAAAAACCATACGGCAACGCCCAACCACTATTTTTGGCACGCTTATCTCTATCGCCCCCAGACCAGTTGCACATGGTGTCGTTTACACAACTACCGCTCAGGGCCCCACACAAACCCCAGCCGTGGAGTCCCGGGTGGTTCTGAGTTCTGGCCTGGCCGCCATCTTTTCCGAGTCCGCACTCCTATCAGGCAATGTCTGCCCGATCGGGCAGTCGCGGCCGGTGCAGCAAATCACTAGCGACAAAAAGTGGAACCATGCTGGAGCTAAAATAACCTGATTTATGACCCTAACCTAGGGTCGGGAAATTCCCGCATAGCATGCTCCAGTTACGGATTTCAGGATGGCCACCGCCCCCGAAGGCCAGCTCTCCGCATTTTCCTGACCCAGCCGCCGTGGGGCTCCCAACGACTGCCGCTGCCGTGCTCGGCGGCTGCAATTTCTGTCCCACAATATATAAGCAAGGCAATTCCAGTAGATAGGGCCAGTGATTACAGTACACAGAACAGTGCTCATCACATCAGCTAGTGTCCACTGTCCAGCTGAACCAATACCACATAGCGTTACTTTCACCATGGCCCTTAGAAACTATCTCTACGCCAAACACGGCAACACGGCTACCGCCACCAAGATCAACAAGGTAGAGCCTGCTCCAGCAGAAACCACAGACTCCCAGACTACAGTGTCAGGATGTTCTAGCAACAGACAGCTTGTGTTAGAAGACGGCACCACTCAGTGCCGCAACTGCGCCGACTGTCCCAAGAAACACGCTGACCACGACATGATTCCCAAGGTGATGGTCGAGGTGAACCGCGAGGAGCTCAGTCATCGTGTGGACCACACGCTCGCCAACAAGCTTCAGGAGATCGACTTTACCCACTCGATGTGAAACATTTATTGATATATGGTTGCTAGTAGAGTACAGAAGAACAGGCAAGTTTCCACTTGCCCCGATCTGCTAGAGCATCTCCATCCAACATATTTCTTGCTAAATCTACCATCATCCAGTATTTTGCCAGATCGGCCAGACAATTCCCTCCAGATGCATTTCCTAATTCTGCATTGCCAACAAGTCGTACACCAAGCGCAACTTGGAGATCTTGTCGTCCCCCTGGCCAGGGTTGTTCTTGCCGTAAATACGAACGATGTTCCCCATGATGATCTCCAACTCAATGGGCCGTCCATGGAGGGCGTCCACCAACATCGAGGGCCGGTAGTTGTTAACAGCATCACTCTTGCGTGTGGCGTCCATCAAAAAGGTAATATTTTCGCGAGAAATGAGCCCGTTGTGCTCGCCATAATCATAGCGCTGCAAGTCGTCGTTGGCAGCCTCCATCACTTGTTCCATCATGGGAACAATCACGCGGTCTGTGAAGCCCTCGGCCTCAAAGAGCTGGCCCACGTCCTTCTTGGTCAAACAGCACACGCTGTTGAAAGAGGCGTTATAGAGGAGCTTCTTCCACCGAGTCAATCGGGTGTTGTGGTCAATCGAGATCGAATTGTAGGGGTTGCTCAAGAGCTCGACGAACGTCGAGAGCGATTGCTTGGCCTGCAAGTCGTCCAACCGCGTGAAGTCAAACAATCCATAGAGTGAGATATCGGTGCCGTACTGGGTCACCAAGCAGTCGATGTTGGTAGAACTAATATATGAAACTCCACTGATCAAGTTGACTTCGGGGGCGAGCGAGTCCCAGTACTGTTCGATGTCAATTCCGTTCTGTACAAGCACGATGCTGGTTCCCCTATTAGGCTTGATGAGGAACGACTTGGCCTGCTCGACGTCGTCCCAAACGTTGTTGTCCAGGGGAATACACTTGGTGGAAACAACGATGTAATCGAACGGATCGCTCAGCTTCAATTCAGACAATGCCTTGACCACTTTGTGAGGCCTGAAGCCTTTGATGGCGTTCTCGGCCTCGTTGGGATCGTCATTGTTCCGTCTGCCACCGTAGTCCACAGAACTGATGGTGTAGCCTTGCTCCGTGACTTTTGTATAGGCAGATCTGACCACGGCAGTTACCTCCACTTCGGGGTTAAGCAGGAGGCCATAGCTGACAATGACCCCCACACCACCCATGCCAATGCATAAGATACGAGTCATGACGAGAGTAGATGGTTCTTGGAGACTGATAGGTGTCAATGGCGTCTTCTTATAGTTTGTGGGGAAGTGGTAGCCGCGAGTACCCGACCAGGATAGTCAATTTTGCCGATGCTCGATCGGGGGCGTTGCAAAAATGTCGCGTGTCGCTAGACTTCAGAAGTGTCTAGCTATTATAACGTAGCACGGAACACTTCAGTCTGAGAATTTACTTGACTGTTCGATATAGTCAGGCAGTGGTGCTTTTTGAAGCAGCCAGGAAGGGGTGACTTTTAAACCAATCAAGCAGTATTGACCTTAACTTTACCATATACTTTCTTCTTGTCTGACCGATGTTTATAATACATAAATAATACATAGCGATAGCCTAGCATAGTGGTAGCGCACAGAATGTGGCGAGGCTTCAGTTTTACACTGGTATAGGTTTGGGGGTATCTGGACGGATACTGCTGAAATCTGCTGCTTCTTATCGGTCCAACTTGTATCGCTTGTTTCCATTGCCCAAGCTTGGGGCAGATCCGCCAGAGATCACGGTCGATCCGCTCCTCAACAGCCTGCCAATATTGGATGAGGCCATCATGGGGTCCATTCCAGCGCCGTTGACGGAGCCAGAGCTACGATGGTGGACATGTCCCTGGTTGTGGTAGTGTTGATTGCCGTGCATTTGGTTGTGGATGCCAGAGTTGGAGGTGATGTAGGTATTGTTGGAACTGCTGGCTGCACTGGTGGCTGGTGTGTTGTTAGTGTTGTTGGTGTTGGAGTAGCTAGTGGTGGCACTTGGGGTATTAGTGGCCGCAGTGCTGTTAGCGGAAATGTCGATGTTGGCATTATTCGAGGTACTGGCAGAAGATTCTTGCCCCACCGCAGCTCTTAAGAAGAAGTCGTCGATTCCCGATATCTGCTGTTGCTGCTGTTGTTGCTGTTGCTGTTGTTGTTGCTGCTGAGCTGCTTGTATCTGCTGTGCCTGCTGTCTGGCATGGAGTTGCGAAATAGTGTCGGCATTCGAAGCCTGCTGCATCATTTGCTGTTGCTTTAGAGAGCGGATATTAATGATTCTCTCATTGAAGAACGAGTTTTTGAACTCCTGGAATATTTTGACGGTTTGTGGGTATTCGTACTGGTGGTCATGAAAAAATCTGTCCGCAAAGATGTAGATAAACCTTTCGATATCGGACGCATTAATGCCCAGTGTTGGAGCCAGCTCGGTCTCTGTACTCACAGGTGGAGCAGCTGAGGCTCCCGAAGTTGAGGCGGCGGCAGACACATCTAGCAGGGGGTCGTGATGGCGCAGCTGTTGGGGAGTAGTTGACTGTGGGGGAGGTGCAATGGGCGTGATGGAGCTAGTAGTTTCGTTGGATGTAGCTGGGGCCGTGGCAGATGGGGCCCGCAAATTGGTACTGTTGCTGTGGCTAGGATTGCTTCTGGTGCTCGACCTGGTGAGCCGGTGTTGGTGGTGGTCATACTGGTGTTTTTGATTTTCGTAATGGGCCCGGAGTTGCTGTTGGTAGTCGTATGAATTGTCGGAGGAGTCTTGCAGCTGGGGCTGTTGCAGAGGCTGATGGCGCTTGTTGCCGTTGTACTGCTGGTCGTGGGGATGCTGGGATTTGTGCTGGTGGTGCTGGGACTGCAGCTGGTATAATGCAAAGTTGGAGAGGTTGAGGTTGGGGGTGTTGCTCGTGAAACTAAGACCCTGCTGGGGATGGAACTGGTTACCGGCTGTGTTTGAGCTGGAGGGGTTGGAGGTAGATGCTGCGTTTTGGGGGTTCATGAGGTCGTAAGCCGAGTCGGTGCCGGAGCCACCGGGAGTGTTGGCTCTGTTGGAGCCAGTTGTGGTGGAGGGATTGGCGTTGTTGGTGGAGCCGTTGGCAGAGCCGTTGGAGAACGATTCTGGGTTTGTGTGCTCGCCGTTGGACCCAGCGCGGGTCTTGTACTTGTTGATGTTGTCGGGGTTGGAGGAGGTCGTTCCGGAGTAGGCCTGGTAGTTGGAGGCGGAGGCCAGCGACCCGTTCAAGTCGGTGAGCGACGACACCGGCACCACGGATGGTGATACCGAGGCCGAGGAGTCTGGCGAGCCGTTTGACAACGATGCGGTGGTTGCAGACGAGGCATTGCCGCTCATACGGGACTTGTTCAAGCCGTGTCTCTTCTTGAACTGGGACAACCAGCCATGACTGAAGCCCACGAGACGCTTGGGGTCATCGACCCCGAACTGGTGGGCATAGATGGACCAGTGCTCGCGGAGAATCGGTTCGTTGATGGGCTCGTTGCGTTCCAAGCGTTGCTGGACCAAGAGGTCCATGGCGCGGTTGATCTTTTCATACTTGAACTTGACTCTTCTTCGGCTATGCTTGGAGAACGAGCCTGCCTGGTTCAATCTTTCACGGAGATCGTCCTCATTTTTGAGCCACTCGCTGAACGAGGACGTGGAGATGGATATATCGTTCTTGTAGCGGTCCACGGTCTCCAGCTGGGGGCGGTTGGACTGGTGGTAGAAGTCGAGGATCTGGATCTTCTGCTCCAAGGTGGCCCTGGGAAGCTTGGTAGGTGGCATGCTGGCGTGGGGAAGACGGGAGCTAGCTTGGGAAGACTGGCCACGGGTACAGGTGGGTAGCACCCGGTTTCACTATGGTCGGTGTGGGGGAGAGTTTGTGAGCTCAGCGTACCAATTAGCCGGAGGCACTTTGGGGCGAGGGTCCGAGGAGGGTCGGGTGTGGGTGGGGCTTCACTTCTAGGTCCACAGTCGAGGTCCTATGCTTGTTGGAGGTAACGGTGGATGTGATTCGAAAAGGATTCGCCTACGCTACACAAAAAAAAAACCACCATACAGGCAGCCTGAAGCCAGTGAGAAACGTGATAAGACCACAGGAGGGGATTGTAGGAGGCTCACCGGGAGCGGAAGGACTACAGGGTGGGAAAGGCCGCGGGAGGGAGGCGCTGGGGGGCAGTATCAGTCTGGGCCAGGGTGGCGCTGCGCTACTATGGAGGCAGTGGTAGCATTACTGGGCATTACTGACGCTAGAGGTGGCATTCCTGAGGCACTAGTAGTAGTGGCACACTGGCGGTAAAACGGAGATACACCGCAGGGTATAAATAGCCTAGCACAGAGGCCGATTGTGGTTCAGGAGATTTATGTCGGACAGGCGCCTGACAAACAGCAAGGGGGATTGACACGACCGGATTAGGCAGTGAGCGACAGAACATCAGTCTCACGTCAGTCAATGTACTTCAGTGTCAGCTACACACTACTAATAATCGTTCGTGTATTCACTAATGGGAGCCGGCACCTCTGGACACCTTTTCCAACACGGTTTCGTGGGCCACTTCCGAGAAGTCAGTGCCCTGGATGTCGGTGGAAATTCCGTTCAAGGCTCTTCTCAAAGCGTCCTTGGACGAAGCGTACACCATCTTGGATCTGATGGGGGCAGTGTCAGGAGACCAGGTGTAGAACACAATCTTGGATCTCTTACCTTCACCACCGCCGATCTCGTACTCGAAGTCGTACACGGCGTACTTGCACTCGTTTTCGGGCAACTTCTCCAAGAAGGCGTCGTAGTCGGTGTCGGTAGAGGTGGAGTCGACCACGATCTGGGTCTTGGACTCGTTGAGGGCGAAAATCACAAACTTGTACTTCTTACCCAACTTCAAGTCGTTGAAGACTGTTAAGGATTCATCGGCAACGGCAACACTAAACGTTAGTATGGGGTTCCTGAGGCCCTACCTGGGCTCTACCACTCAATGCGTACCCTGATCTGGACTGATTGCGTTAGTATATTGTTCTGGAGGCATGGCGTATGACGCCAGTTGGACATCGCCACCACCATTGGTGAAGCCAGCCATTGGTCGATCAATCGATTGGCCCCACTTCCCGAAGTGCTCCTGGGCGGTCTTGGCTCGTAGAACTCACGTACCATTTTGAATGTGTACTATTAGGATAGGAAAAGCTATGGTGTCTTTTTTGGACTGTTTTGCTCTGGTGCTGGTCGAGACTGGAGATTACACAAAGGTCGTGGGCCACGCATTATATGGAGGACACTGAGGTGGATGTCAGGGTGGCCACCATGGCAATGGCGGACAAGTAGATGACGAGGGGCATCCGAACGAGTGGTAGGTGCAAATATTGAGCTGACCGATTAGTACGGGGGGTTATTGGAACTAAAGGGGGGTATAGAGGGTGGGAGCACTATTTTTCATTTTCGCAAGCATTTACTTCAGGGAGATTTCACAGCCTCAATCGAATTTTGGAGAATCTGGTACCATCTAGCCGCTTAGGTGCATACTGGTACTATTTGGTGGCCATTAGTGGATGACTACTAATGCATTCAAAGTAGACAATTTATTCAATTGGCAATTTGCATAATCATACTTCAAGTTTCTACTTTTTTAGGGAAATCCTGGAAAAACATCAGTAGAGAAAGATGGCACAAGATTTCTGGTTACCCTATTTACAGAAATCTCAGGAAAGGTGTCCAGCCGACAAGCCACTACAAACTTTGTCAAGTAGTCATCAATTCATATTTAAAGTCTTTCCAACAAAGACGAGGCATGCGACCGCTCGGTGAACGCCCCTCCATCCTCGCTTTCCAAGTACACAATGTGGCCATCATCCACAATTGCCGCGTATCTGCTGCTGCGGGTGCCCAAGCCCTCGCTCGATAGATCTGCTACAAAGTTGTCTCCCAATTTGCCTGATAATTCAGCCTTAGGATCGGTTGCGAAAATGACGTAATTCTCTTCGTCCTTGTAGCCCAAAGCCTTGGACCAGGCACTGTTGACGAAGGGGTCATTGATGGTCAACACCACGATTCTGTCAACTCCTTTCTTCTTGAATTTACTCACATTGTTGAGGTAGGTAGGCAAGTGGTTCTCGGTACATGGAGGAGTAAACGCCCCAATTGCAGAAGTGAACACCACTGTCTTGCCAGGCAATAGCTCAGATAAATTGAGTGTTACTGGCTTGGAGCTGCTGACTATTTCAGCGTGTTCTTTGGTGTAAGGAACGTATTGCAACTTGACATCTGTAGGAAAAGTGTCACCACTGGAAGACATTGTAAAATTGGCGTATTTGTTCCCTTTTTGAGAGATCCCCTATTTATAAATCCTTTAAAGATTGAATTGCGGTGAGCAAACGTGGTAGCTATTAGTTATTAGTGTATCGCTACTGGCGCCACCAGCCGCCATTACCGCTTCGGGGATGTCAAGGTTTGAACTTTGGGGCGTGCTTTCTTGCTTATCCATGTCTATTTTCTAAATATTTTACTTACTACGGTAATCTACGGAAGTATATGCATTATATGAGCCAATATATGGGAGATCTCGATGCCCCGTCAACTTTTCGGAGTTCTAAACCAGAAATTGAACTTGATAATTCCTTTCCGATCTTCGGGTTATTCATCCAACGAACGGTATAGTAGCATTAGCAATACTTGAAAGAATATGAAGGACTGGGGATCATTCAAAGCCCTACTACCAGTCGGCTACCCAACATACTGTCATGCAAGCCCCGAACCTCCCCTCATACCAGGGGATACGGCCATGGCTCCCAACAGTCACGTGCATGTTCTTGGGTGCAAATCCGGGGTAAGAATCAAGAGTTGGACATTGCGAATGAGTACAAGTAAATTGTATGGCACTAATAATTTGAAAGTGGGAAGGGAGTATGGGTTTAAAGAAGCAGCGACTGCCTAATTATTACCGTTCAGATTTTACGGAAGCTCTTCTTCTGAGTGAAGAGCTAATTAGTAGACGCATTCGGCTGCGAGGCCAAGGAACCTGACCGGACATTCGAGGAGTCATTACTCAATTGATTGACCCTGATGCTTAGTAACTGTGAGATCATTTGGCAGTATGGCGAGTCATCTATTACTAGGGGCTTAATAATTGTGTCGGAAAGACCTCGAAAAAAAAAACAAGCTGAATCATGGATAAGACTGGGCGTAGTCTTGGTCTTGGTCCGGGGTATAGCGGCCATTCAGAAGTATTACAGGGTAGCTTAATTCACTATTAGCTCTTTTTCCTCCAACCAGATTCTGGTTCCCTACGTAAGCTCAATATCAAAACATACCCAACTATTTTATCACGCTTATTCAGAACTGAAGTCGGCAAAAAACAGTGAACTGTAACTGGAAATGGTGTATACGTATTTTATTCCGTGTTGAAGGTAAGCAAAAACTGAAGTTTTACTTTATTGCCATTTGCTGCCGTTGACTTCTCAGTCGCTTATAAAGCAAACCCATAACAGTCCTTGCGACTTTACATCACTAAGAGCTCCAATCTTATCTAAATAATACATAGCCACAAAAATATTCCAGCTATTTGTATAACTAAACATAATCTCAACAAAAACATAAACTCTATCACATACAATCATCTAAGTTCTTCTACTTAGGTGGCATTTCATGTCTCATCAACTGCTTCTGATTTATTTTCTGTAGCCCGTTGAATTGGTACTTTCAATGGTCATTTTCCATCCAATCAATGCTTAGCCGAATTGCATTTCCATTGCTAGTAGAGTGGTATTAGAGTAATGAGTTTCCTGAACAGTACGGTTAGTAGCATTTGCCCATAAGTCCGGTGGTCGCGCTCTATTCCACTACCTCCGTCCATCGCATCTCGGGACCATCTCATTTGTAAGCTGTCAAATCAAGGCTTTGTCTTTAACTTTATTCACGATGTCAACCATGAAACAAGCCATTCTGCTTGCACCCTCCGAGCCTGACACCTTTGTCCAGGTTGGGGATGGCCCTGTTCCGCAAATCGATGACAATAAGATCCTTGTCAAGGCAGTGGCATACGCCGCCAACCCATGCGACTGGAAGCACCGCGGGCCTGGATGGGGCCACTACGGAGCCATTGCCGGCACTGACGCCTCTGGCATAGTTCTTGCTGTAGGCAGAAATGTCACTGGTTTCGAAGAAGGCGACCATGTGTCCACGTTCTTGCGTGGTAACCTCGACTTCAACAGAGGTGCGTGGGCTGAGTACGTTGTCGCAGACCCTGCCACCACCATCAACTACAAAAAGACTCTAAGCGAAACCGCTCTTCCTATGGGAACCAGCCCCTCTGGAAGTATTGCCAGTTTCGAGGGGGCTGCGTCAGTCACCTTGAGCTTGGCCACAGTGGCGGTGTCATTGTCCCACAGCATCAATATTCCTTACAATAAGCAGGAGAATGCCTCCAGGTATATTTTGATTTGGGGTGGTGCCACCAGTGCAAGTGTGCTTGCAATTCAGGTGGCCAAGTTGGTTTATGGTTTGAAGGTCATCACCACTGCCTCCCAGCGTAATCACGAATTCTTGAGATCGTTGGGCGCAGACGAAATCTTTGACTATAATGACGCTGCAGTAGTAGAAGACATAAAACGGACTGCTGCTGGAAATATTTCGTTTGCTCTCGACGCTGTGGCGACTCCACAGACATTCCAACAACTCTACGACTCATTGGAAGGCTCCCAGGAAGTGTGGGTCGACAATTTGTCATTCATGGGCCCCGAGAGCATCAACACCGATTCGTCGAGAAATATCCATTTTGGAAGAACATGTGCCTATTTCGGCGATGGAAACGCTCAGACTTTGGCTGGCCACTTAGTTCCTGTCTTTGGGGGCTTGACTGAAAGCTACAACCAATTCTGGACGACAAAGTTGCCTGAGATTGTCTCTCAGTTGAAAACTTCCAACTTGCTTGTGTTGGAGCCTGGCTTGGAGTCTGCCAATCAAGCGTTGCATTTGTTGAGCACAAACAAGGTTAGTGCACAGAAAATCGTCTGGAGAGGCAACAGTGCATAGAAAAGAAATGGTTACCATGGTTTAGTCTGTCGAGGCTAGGACCAATTGATAAAAAGGGCTAGAAAAGAAATAGAATCACGAATAAACAGCGTTTTTGCGCATACCGGCCCTATGCTACATCACCATCGCCATGGAATAATGTTCATCTCATACTCCAATTACTGCTTGCGAGTATGAATGTAGCAGATCTAGTAGTTTGTAGAATTTTTCCCCTGAAAGTAGGTTTTCCTTACATGTAGCTGAATAAATGAAGCATGTTTTCCCAATTCTTTCTCCCCTCTAGATTGAAAATCAGACCTGGCTTACTCAGTTATCAGTTTACGTCGTGACTCTTGTTTAGTCGAATATAATCTCCTGGAACTAATCGATTTATCAATGAAGAAGTATTACAAATTTTCAATGCTAAAGTGAATTTATTTACTCTAATTCTAAAATGCTTAGCTGGAACAAATGGGATTGGACAAGGACTTATGGATTATTTGGTACGGCCCTATGATCAATAATGCCAACAAGAAAGATAGCACTATCGATACAAATCCGTACCTGTAAGAATGAAATACCTTTAATGCACACAACTCCACCACAAACGTGCTAACTGTAGTGAGGGTCCCACAGAAACCATCCTCAAGCCCTCTCAACACATGGCAACTGAGAATGTTACTGTACGAGTGAGCCCTATCAGCAAGAACCCCTCTGGTCAATAACGTGAGAATTGCGAGGATAACTGTCCCAAAAATATTAACCGTGTAAGTACCTAATGGGAAGCTCGGAACCTTCGGATTCAACACTTTGGAAAGATACCATCTAAGGATGACCGCAAAGGGAGAAAAAAGAACGGAAAATGTCCACAGTCGCCAGGTGCCATTATCCTTCACGCCCAATAACACCAAGTTGACAATGTAAGCACATATTCCTAGGACGATCATTGCCAATTCCACAAATTTGTATGACTTCCTGGTAAAGGCTGGAATGTGGATGTCTGTTTCTGCAATAAGATGTCTTCCCGCTAAGTATCCCCCGACTGACACTGAAAGGTGTGCTATGATCACCGAGAAGAACTCCTTAGCCCCGTCACCATTGGGGTGAAATTTCTCGGTCGAGGAGTTGGAGGTGAAGGTGTAAATCTCTAGGATAAATGACGAGAATGATGATAACGTACCACAAAAGCCAGTGGTAATGCCAGTGTATAAGGGAATAGAGTCTTTGTTGGGGTACTCAGGGCCAACCAACCCCGACCAGACGTGGTTACTATCCACTGCCATCCCCATAATAAAACATGCAGCAAAATTGGCCCATATAACTCCTGCAAGATATGCCCCACGGTAGGTTGTAAGTTCGATGAGACCCTTTCTAGCCAAAACTCCCCAAATAGAGGCGTTAACTAGGTGCAATAGTATGGGCAAGTATTTGATCACAACAGACCCCAGCAGAGGCCGCAGTGGTTGAGGGACCTTCTCAGACGCGGAGTCTTCGGACACATGTTGACTGGCGGAGGCAGCATTCATTTGTATCTCTTCCATGCACTAGTCTTTTCGGTCAGAGACTGCTTCATCCAGGCTTCACTTTAATGGTAATGGTGATTGGAGTTTCTTATCGATTATATGTCAAAAATATATCGCGCGGCTCAACCACAGATTAGTCATGGTACCTGAGACAGAGGGGACAATTAAGGAGAGTGAGGGGAGATCGGTGGGTAGTGAGTGTGAGTAAGTGGGAATTCTATTAGATGAGTCTTCTCCTCCAAGGAGGGCAGGAAGTCTTTGTTGTTATCCAGACCAGGGTTTTGTTTTGTGCTCATGGGATGTATACTATAATTTTGTCTCTAGATTCCTCTTTAAGTTTCAAGTAACTTACCAGAGCTCGCTAGGAAAACTATCAGCCTATTTCAAAGGAAAATGTATCATTATTTTAATCATTAATGATAAATTATGGTCAAGCCTGATGAGTCAAGTCACGTGAGTTTTTCTCACATAACTGCATCTATTCAACTTTTTCGGTTGCGCTTTTGTGAACAAGATACGATGGCCGAGTGGTTAAGGCGGGGGATGCAGGTTCCTCTGGGCTCTGCCCGCGCAGGTTCGAACCCTGCTCGTGTCGGTATTTTTTTGCCTTTTAACTCTACTCCAAGTAGCTTACCTTTATGTGAGCCCAACAGTTCTTAGAATCAGGGAATGGCTGACTGTAGAGGTCGGGAAGTCTGTAACTATTAATAATTTCTCTGGACGAGATGATTAATTCATTTGGCATCTGCTTCTTAAACATGGCCATTGTTAAACTTATTGCTTCAACTACAGATCTCTGTGTAGAATAATCGATTACTTCAACCTACTACTCCATTCTTCAAGGCGACTTCTTCCTGGCAACCCATAAATATTCTCCTTCTAATCACGCACTAAAATTGATTAATGAACCCTTAAGTCTTCCAGACATTTCCTGGCTGAAATTGTCTCACTAGTACTATGATGTGTATCGCTCGCCACCCGATGTGCTGCTATCTTCGCATTCCCCAGCTTCTGATTTTAAAACAATTTCTACGGCTGGTAGTTTTCGGTCAGTCATCCTCATCTCTGGAAAAAACCCATATGCTCACTGATTTGGCAGGAACATATTACTAGATACCCCAGGAATACAACCATCATCGTGCTAGTCTTTCCTGCTGCTTGCACACTCATCTCGAGAAATACATACCAGTGAGCGAGATCTGCAACCACGTTAGTGATGACTTCGTTGTACGAGATATTAGAAGTGGAAACCACTGCCACACCTTCGGAAATCAAGAAGGCATACCGTAAGTTGGCATTGAGGTACCACCCGGACAAAGTGACTGAAGAGGACCGAGAGTTCGCCGAAAGCAAGTTTAAGGAAATCTCCCATGCCTACGAGATCTTGATTGATGAGGGCAAGAAAGAGCACTACGATACCTACGGAACTACTGACCAGAATGGTGGAGCTCCAGGCGACTTTGCAGGCAACCCGTTCGACAACTTCTATGGAGGAGGAGCTGGTGGCGAATACGGAGCAGATGACTTCTACAACTTTTTCAACAACATGAATGGCGGTGGCCCCAGCCACTCGAGGCAGAGGCCACCCAACAAAACCGAAGACGCCGAGATCGACGTCGAGGTCACGTTGGAAGACCTTTTCAAGGGCAAAGTCATCCGTACAACATCCACCAGAAACATCATTTGTACCCACTGCAAAGGGTCGGGTGCCAAAAAGTCGGCAGTGCTGAAGAAGTGTGGTGTCTGTGAAGGAGAGGGACATGTCCGTAAAATCAGGAGAGTGGGCCCAGGATTGGTCACCCAAGAATACGTCACTTGTTCCACTTGTGAGGGCACAGGCTCCATCTACCGTACCAAGGACAGGTGTAAGAAATGTACTGGAACTAAAGTCATAGAGGAGACCAAGATCTTGGAATTCGATATCGTCAAGGGATCTAAGTCAGGCGATACTATTGTGTTGCCTAAAGAATCTGATCAGTTTCCCGGCAAAGAAACCGGCGACGTCAAACTTACCTTCACCTGTAAAGACCACGCAGTGTTCACCAGAAAGGGCGACGACCTCTATGCCAAATTCAAAATCCCTCTATTTGATGCATTATGTGGTTTCTCGCAAGTTGTTGTCAAACACTTGGATGGTAGAGGAATCAAAATTTCCACACCTCCTGGTAAGGTGATAAGACCTGGCGACTACATCAAAATAAAGAACGAGGGTATGCCAGTCAAGGATGCTCCAAAGAGTTGGTTTGGGGGCAGTGGAGCCAAAAGAGGTGATCTATACATCGAAGTCGATATCGAGTTTCCTCGTGACAATTGGTACTTGGAAAAGAATGATATTTTGAAGATGAAGAATTTATTACCTAACGAACTTCAAAGTAAACACGATATTAAGAAGCAGACGATTGACGGAGACTCGTTACCAGAAGCCAACATTGATACCATCACAGAGTTCACCATAGCAAAAGCAGACGCCTTACCCGATTACGCTGAAGACAAACCTGCACCAGAGTATAATGACGACCATTATCACGAAGATGCCTACGGTTCTGCCCAGCCCGAATGTCAGCAACAGTAACCCTGTAAGTCATATGTATATAGGATGCATGTATATAGACCTATATGTAGAGTTTTCTATGTATAAGGAACACAATCACAAGTAGGTGAGTAAATACTACCCGGGCTAGATTAAGTATAACTCTGCGCTAATAGGAACTAAAGATGTAGTGTAACGATAATTGCGAGATTCTGTCGCAATCTGGATCTATAGAGTCGTTGACCATATATTTGCCCCGTGTCGCCACAATGAGAATGAATTGATGCAGTAAGTAAGGTCTTGAGAAGCGAAAAATATGAGTTCAACTCACACTTAGCACAGCTAAAACGCTCCCCAGAGTTAGGCTAATCCAATAGATCGTGCAACTCATCAACGCTTAATCCTAATTGCTCATCCTCTCCTGTCGTTTCCGGAACTTTAGGGTAGTTGAGGCCATCATTGGACACCTCCTCTTCATATCCGAAAGAAAGACTGGTATCGAGATCCTTGAGCATCACTCCATTGTCGAGTTGTTCAAAAGTGCTATGCGATGATTTGGTTAAATGCGGTTTGGAAAAGAAGTTTAGATCATCGTTATCGAGTGATTCCATCCCAAGGGGAACATAAGGAATAGGTGACTCTTCTTTAGGAACATATTCAAGACTATAGTCGTTTTCGATCAATTCTTGGTTGAATTTCTCCAAACGGTCTGTGCTGAACTTTTGGGCCTTGTTAGTGCCAGAATCCATGGAACTGGAACTGGATCTTTTCAATTTCTTAACGGGGTCAACATTGTTGTAGTTGATGTCATGGATATAGATGTTTGAAGCATGTAGGGTTTTGGTTTTAGCTGTGAGGGTGGAGGATAATGCCTGACTATCAGGAAGAAGATGTTCGGATGCTTGCTTCACAAGATCGTCTGTAGGGGTATCGGGTATCAAGTTGACCAGACGGTTGGCTTTTTCGGGGCCCAATTGTGTATCATTGGTGAATTTTAGTGTTGGACGGGTGTCCACGGGTGCCTCGTGCGCAACTGCGACGGCAGGTTTTGTGAAGTTGGTGCTAGTATGGGTGAAGCCAAGGGAAGAGTTTGCTTTGGACAAGACGGGGGGTTTGGGCAAAAACACCTTGGGTCGGACGTTCTTAGTGTTAAGGGTAGACTGCGACCTGCTCAAGCCAGGAGCCAACATATTCAGGTCTTTTCCACCCAAGGGCACTCTGGCCATAGGAACACGTCTTCCTTGCGTAGGCTTGGCTCCCAAGGGCGCTTTTCTTTGGGGAAACTGATTTTCTGAGTTCAGAAAGCCTGCCTTGGGGACAGCCTTGGCGGCATTCTCCTTATCAGAGAAGATAAGGGGTCTTCCGGTCATAACAAAGGAGGTATGACAATTGCTTGTGACGAGAGGGTATTGGGAACAGACTATGTGGAGTGTAACGACTTGAGTGTCAGGATGTGCTAGAATTATTTGTAGCTAGGGAGTTGCGATATTTGTTTATGTCTGTGTTGCTGCGGATGGGCGACACGTGATGCGACATCAAGTATCTCCATAACAGCGGCACACACAACTATCCACACATACCCCACAGCATGGCGTTCCGCGACCAGCGTATATCGGTGGTGTCCAACTCTCTCGAGCAGAACTCGAGCTGGATCTACTTGGTGGACTGGATCTTAGCCCTCATTTTGGGGATAGCGTTCGTGTTCTACTTTAACCGACTTGTGGGATGGGTACTATCGCAGCTTTTCAACATCTTGTTCCAGAAGAAGTGTGGAGTCAAGCTCCATATGCAAGCATTCAAGGTGTCTCCGTTGGGAGGGCGTATTGTCGCCAAGAACCTCACCATTATTACCCAGGACTACACCATATCTATCATAAAGCTCAACTTGACCTGGCGATACTGGCTTTTCAAGCTCACACGAATATCAGCATACTTCATAGATCGAAACGATTCAGAAGGCGTGGACATGGACAGCGAAAACAAGAAACTCCCGTTCCGGTTCTTGTTGAGCTTGGATGGGGTGGAGGTATTCTACTACAATAGAACATTTGCATACGACGGGATCATCGAAACCCTCTCCCAGCAAGACCAAGGCAGAAGCAGCGACGAGTGGTTTTCAAAGGAGTCTACCCACAGCTCCAGCATGAGGTATCGGAATACCAGCAAGTCGGTGTCGTCTTCTGAAAATAGCATGAAGAACAAAGAAGACCCGCAATTAAAGCCTTTTTCTCCTCCTATGTTCCTTTCCATGTTGCCCCTCAAAATTAGAATCAAGAAAGGTGCTATTGTCATGGGTAACATATCCACCCCCTCCATTCTAGTAGCATCGTTCAAATCGGCCAATGGGGCAATCGATTTGACCAAATCCCCCAATCCTTTGGACCACTATAGGTTTTGGCATGATATCAATTTTGACACCTTTCAGTTATGGATGAAACCAAATATTTCTCACGAAAGAAACAGATACGCAAATTCAGAAGACCGTGACACAGAGATTGGTCTCAAAAACTTGAGCCATATGAAGAAATACAGCCAATGGTACAAATTCAAAAAGTCTATCAACAAAGTGCAAAATTTGTTTAATAAGGCACAATCACGAAGAAAACAAAATTCGAATCTAGATTTGGACTCCTTGAATGAAACTTGGAAAGGGTTAAGAAGATACGTTGGTGCCCAGGAGGACGCGAATCTCTCCTCAATCATTAGTTCTGATGAACAGTATGCGAAGTACACTCTTATCCTTGATTCGGTTGTCACTAGAATAGTGTATTATTATGACAGTCCTGGCCATGTTATTCCAAATTACCCACTGGTTCCCGTTCCAGAACATGGGGTCGAGATCGAACTTTCTATGGCAACAATTTATTATGGACCTTGGACAGACAAGCAAAGAGTACCATTGCAGGCCGTGTTCTTTCCATCATTAGCACGGGATTCGCAGCCCAAGTCCCTTCCACTGGCATCAGGTATGTCAAGAGAATATGCTGGCTTTAAGATTACTACTATAGTCAAAGACGAGGTAATTTTTCGAGTACCCACCAGAGAAAAAAGTAAAGACAAAGAAATGTTGAAGTTGAAGAATCAACAGAATCATCAACATCCACAATCTCAACAACCTTTGAATAAAGTATCAAGACCATTTGGATGGTTGGAATTGAAGTTGAGCCAAGGTTCAACGTTTTCGTTCTATACTTCTTACATTTCTGACAAAGTGAATGGTTGGGACAACAGGATGAATGTTCTCTTCATAGAGCCTGAAATTCGGACCTCGGTCAACCATGATATACTTTTTATCGCTGATTCTCACGAGATTAATGCTAAAGTCGGATATCCATTGGAGTGGAATGGAAAGTGTGAATGGCAGTTTGACTTCATTTCAGATAATGCTAGAATATTCTTCCTCAGGGAACATACTCTTCTTTTTTCTGATATATTTGGGGATTTTGCATCAGGTGCACCTACACCGTATGAAGAATTTAGGCCATTTATCTACAATATCAGATGGGAATTACAAAATTACAAGTTGTACCTTAATGTTAATGATGCTAATATCATCAACAATCCGTTAGATTTCAATGTTAACAAGTATTTATCTTTTCAAGGTGATTCATTGACATGTGATTTGTCTATTCCATTATATGGAGAGTTCACGAAGTCAAGTACTGTCTCCTACAGTATCAAGACTTCGTTCTTCGATCTAGTATTAGATACTCCTCCTTGGCATACAGCCAAGACCTTTATGACAGAGAGTAATGTTGTGGGAAGAAGTAACAATTTCACCATTGATGGATCGTACACTTTCTTCAGTTCAATTGAGATTAATACGTCAGACTATATTGAAATTCGCATGGTCGGTGATTTTGTCACTTTGAAATTTTACGGTTACCTCATCAAGTACTTATTTATGATCAGGGAGAACTACTTTGGAGACCACATTCATTTTAGAACATTCGAAGAATTCACCAACACCGCTGAAACAGATGGAATGGAATCAGCTGAGAGTGTTTCAAAAGTTTCTAGCTTGTCTTCGGATCAACCTGAAGTTGACTTTTGGAAAATAATCAAGACCGATAATGACGTGGACATTTTATTCACTTTCCAAGTACGGCATGGATTGATTGTTTTGCCACTTAACTTGTATGATTGCAAGTCACACATTGGTCTCTCATTTGAGTCATTAGATGTGGACATTAGATTCACCAATTATTACATGGATTTACAAGGTGATCTCAGTCCAATATCTGCTCTGCATGTGAGTGACGCCATTGTAGTTGAAAATACAGGTATCAACGATATCATATTTGACATACCATACTACAAATCATTATTTTTGAATGGCACCCCAGATCTCACCATTGATGGATTAAACATCCATGCCCACAGAATGTTTGGAATACCCCCAGAAGAAATTACATACTACTGTAAGTGGGACTTCGAGGCAGGAGCTATTTCTATTGATTCTGACCTTGGCTTTATTACTTCCTTAGGTACAGCGGTTCAGAATTTTGTCTATGGGTATAAGGACATCGAGAATACCATGATCATTCCAGAGCCTATTGTCTTCGATGCTCTTAATCTATCATTCAGGTGCAGTGATTTGCAATTAAAGTTGTCTGTGGCAGGGGCAGAAGGTGACGTTTTCTGCATGATCTATCTTAGACCTATTTTGTTTTCTTACAATGATATGGCTAACAAGAGGTATTCCACAAGAGCATCAGCACTGATTCCCTTTATCCTGGCCGAAATCATAGGTGAGAAGGACGGAACTCGGGCAGTCTTGGGTGCTTTGAAAACTTCTTTGGTATTCAATAATTTCTGTCAAAAGAAAGACATGTTGGAGCATAGAAAGAATCAACAAGATCACATCAAGGTCAATGATACACCATTTCACAGATCCCCATTCTTATTATTTGAAGAAAATAGAGATGGAACTTATGATGAAGGCTATGGTTGTTTCCTAACCAACCTTGCTCTTCCCGATGTCAACCACCCACTCAATTCATTTTCCTATTCAAAATCAACAGTTAATAGGAATTCATTCAATGGTAAAAAGGAAACGGACTCTTTGCAAGAATGGGATGATTTCAGTGTGAGGAAGACTCCCTCCAATCCATTCAATCCCGAGGAACCAGGGTTTGGCAGCGAAGAAGAGTTCTATCCTACACAAAACTATGACCCCAGTGACTATACAGCAACTTATGAGCCAGATCCAATGTTTGAATATGATAATATAATTATTGAACTTGGTGACATTCACTCATTCTTAACACCATGCGGCTTGCTTCCAATTGCAATATTGCTCCAGGAAAAAGATAACTTTTCACTAGATAATGTAATGGACAAGCTTCAGTCGGAAGTGGTATCAAGTTTAAATGCCTACTTTTCAGCGTTGTATTCAATTGTGAATATAAGACTTATTACCCAGGAGATTTCAATTAAGTTTGGATCGTTTGAAGTCCAGCAAGCTATGGAAGTTTTTGAAAAGTCTCCTAAAGTACCCCATACTAATATTTTGATAATGGAACCCTCATTAGCACTATCAATCAAAACTGAGAAGCCAGAGAAATTAAAGACCATCCAAATTGAAACAGATGTGACAATGGCAATTCATATTAAGGAACTCTTTTTGTCAATTGCTAATCCATCTAGTTTCAAACTGCCTATCTCATTCAGTGTCAAGGATGTGGAGAGTTGGGCTCAAATTCCAATTGATGAAGAACTGGTCACATCGACCAATATTGAAGAAATTGATTTAGATATACAGGAAGACCAATTCGAGTGGTTGATGCAGTATTCTTTTGAACTTTATCAAAAGATTGTACCAGCTATAGAAGAATTCTCCAAACCCAAGATAACCGAAAATCAAGCTATGGCGGCATTGGTTTATAAATTGACGATAGCTTCAGTTGATTTTTCAATCGATAATGACTCGGATGTTTTGACCAAGCCTGCCAATATTTTAAGATCGAGTGACGAGCATGTTAGGTTTTTTGATAGCTGGAAAATCAGCTCTAGATTAAGGCATATTTTGAGCAATTTGCCGAAGGAATGGTGTGAAAAAGAGAATTTGGTTTTCAAAACCAGTAATTGGCAGGTTCCTGATACTGCTGTTGATGAGATATCAGATATATTTTCGCGTTGGAGAAGTTGGGAAGCAAACCATGATCAGAGAGCTTTTTTCTTCAACTACGTTTTACTGAAGAGAAAACAAGAAAAAGACAAAAAGAAGAGTTTCAACGCACAGTTTAATATTCCAGAAATGTTAGTGAATATTTCCAGTAGCTCTGGCATTTTTGATTTCCTCAATATCCAGAGTGCTAGCGTTATTGCTCGTGTGTACAATGAATCCAGAGATAATAGCTCAATAGGGTTGGGCGTGTTCAATAATGTTTCTGTTTCAGATATCATTTTCAATTTGGTTACATACAAGAGTCATTTATCCACAATTTCTATGAACATGCTCAAGAAGGGTCTTGCATTCATGCATTCTAACAATAAAAATGGGAAAACTGAAGTCTCGGTGGCGGAAATGGAAGTAATTGAAAATCCTCTGGAGTCGCCAAAACAGCAGAATGATCAAATTCCTGCTAATCACCAGATTTCTCTTTTATTCAATCTCGATAATTTTGAACAAAATGTCCAATTACCGAGTACTAAAGTTAAATTGCTATCTGAATCTATCACTTGGTCAATTGAATCCTCCATCTTTGGTAAACTTGAAGATTTGGCTTTATTCTCCTTTGCCAACAAATCGTCATACTTTGATTTATCCATTTCCTCGAGCGGCTCCAAACTTGGCTGTGTTACTGTGATTGACTTGGATGCACTAATTACAAATGCTGGAGGGATAAAAGATGGTTTGAAAATTGCAGATCTATCAATTGAGAAGGTTTCTGTCAAAGTATTTGATAAGAATGAGGAGCTATTGGACAGTATTACCAGACTTATCGAGCAGGATATACCTTTCTTAGAGGCGCTTGTCCCTTCAGAAGTTACCTCAACGCCATCTGTAACTGCTGTTTCCAGGCCACAATTGAATACGAAGTCACTGCATGGTACTTCAGCCATTTCAGGATTATGTCTTCAAAATATTGCTGATTTTGTTCTAAAGATTGATATTAGGGAGTTCACTTGGGTTCTTGAAGTGTTGAGTCCATTGCATGTGAGCGGTGTTGTGCTTGACAATAAGTTTAGTATTGAGAATTTGGGTGGAACGCTCTTAGTAGAATCTTTCATTCAAAAGGTGGATCTTGGAGTGAGAATCCATAGAAGTCCAATTTTAGAGTTGCTGAACTCCCAAATACTTACAAGCATGAAGTACAATTGTAACGAAGATCTCAATTTGTTATCATTTACATCGAATACCGGTTACACGAAGCTATTCGTTTCTCTGATTGTTGAATCCATGGAAATCGTTTTGAAGAACTTAAACAATTTGAAAGCTAGTGCGGATGGATGGGAAAAGATATTCAAGAGCGACAAAAGTGTTAGCAAGCCAAGGAGCCTGTCGAGCAGCCCAATAAGAATCTTAGACCTGTTGGCATTTAAGGCTAAATTGAGTAATGATTACATTGGTGTCTCTACTTTGGATGGGAAAACAAAATACTCCTTTGAAGTTGAAAGTGCTTCTATTGGGGTCTACAATGTTGCCAACACTTCGGACAATATCCATAAGATAGTTCCGCTTTATGGAAACTTTGAGATACCAACTTCACGACTAAGTGTTATCGATCGTTCTATTCCTATTGGGCTCTCTAATATCTTGGATGTTAACATAGCGGTGAGATTATTGAACTCTCCCGATGATACTACAGATTTGCAGTCTCTACAGGTGGAGTCGCAGTACTGTAGGGTCTGTTTGAGTTCTCCAGTTTTAATTAAAAGCATTGGGCTTGTTGATAGCATTATGAAAGTCATCGACTCAGAAGACTTCGCATTCCTTAAAGCCAAATATTTAGAGGATTCGGCTTCACCTGAACCTATTTCAAGAAGCTCTACGTCGTCTTCACCCCTGGAGACCTACTCGTTTCTTGACAACTTCTCCACGGTCCACCTTTTAGCTTACAACTTCTGTTTTGGATGGCTTTTCGAAGACTCACCTAAGGATTATCCAGGTGTTATCATAGGAGCTGAGCGATTCTTTGCAATTATGGAAGAAAAGGTAGGCAAGTTAACATTGATGGAAGCATATCTCTCAGTGGCTAATGGGACAAGGTCTTCCAACTTCTTTAGTTCCCTGTCTGAGAAAAACAACTTGAATAGAGCTTTCTTGCCCACCATGCAATTAGTCTATACTATAGATAAGGTTGAAGACAAGAAGAGCATGAGGATAAACATTCATGGTGATGAATTGGATGTTAAGTTCCTTTCAAATTCCGTGGTCATTGTGGGTTATGGAGTTAATTCAGTATCTCAAATGCAAAAGTTCTTTGCTAGTCGTTTGAAAAATAATCCGCCTGTTGTGAAGCCATTACCGAAGGAAAGTGAACAGCCAAATGAATATATTAGCACCTTTAAGCTGGTTTTCGACTCTATCGAATTAGTTGCCACTTATGAAGGTTCAAACGTGTTACTTTACCGATTAAGTGACTCATCCTCAGAATCCGCCCCATCATTGTTCTTACATTCTCCAGCAGTGAAGGTTGCTGGAATGTACAGACATGATAAACTGGCAGCCAAGAAGCATATTTTCAAGGGTGAAGTGTTGACAACATCCTCGGACAACGTTCTCTACCCATCTTGTATCCCAATTATTTTTGACATCGTTGAAGGTATCAAAGATATGATGCATAAAGCAGAAAAACAGACCCCTACTGAATTGAACAAAGGGATTGAAACTGCACCAGTTTCATCTAAGGGCTTTGATTTTGCTAATGTCTTTAGTGATATTGATATCCACTTTGGTGTTAGAATTGAAAAACAAGCACTTACCCTTAGCTGCGCTCCAACAGCGAAGGTTGCGGCTATTGTGGGTTTAGAGGGCATTTACATTCAATTGAATAGTGGAACGACAGATGACCCTAGTATGGTGCTAGCTATTTTGTTTGATTCTGTTTCGGCATCATTGCAACATGTCTATTCTAGGGAAATCAGTGGAACCATCAGTATCAAGAATGCTATGCTTACAAGCTCCATGGAATTTGGCGAGGTTGCAAGTATTCTATCCTCGGGATCCTTAGTAGATGTTGACGGTTATGTCAATGTCAAGCAATTTCAGGATGTCGAATTGTTCAAGGATATTTGGTTCCCCAAGGAATACTTCCGTGGAGAAGAAAATAGAGAGCATTATGTGGATCCAAACTATCTATTGCAAACTAGATCTGAGCTTGCTTCAAATAAGAATATTTCATCTAGATTCAGAGAGGTCTCCACGTCGTATGCTATCCCTTGGGTACTTACATTTATTGTTTCCAATATTAATTTGAGAGTCGACTTCGGACAAGCATTAGGAAATTTCAAGTTAAAGTTAGGGAAACTATGGGCAGTATCAAAGAAGTCTACTGACTGGGCCCAGGATTTGAAGATGGGAATTGACACAATTAGTTTAGAATCTGAAGGTAGATTGGGCGGGTCATTTGATATTCAAAATGTGAATATTCATACTGCCATTAGCTGGAAATTGGAGAACGGTACAACATTAGATGTACCATTAATTTTGTTGTCGGGAGGTGTTGATGAGCTTGCTCTCAAAATGTCATTTGACTACCATGTTTTTGCAATTGCCAATATCCAAAAAATCAGTATTGACGTGTTCAACCAGAAGAATGAAATCAGCATATCCAAAGATCACTTATTTGTTTGCATGAATTTGGACTCCGTGGAGTTGTATATCACATCATTAACTGCCTCTAACTGCTTAGATATCTACCACACGATCTCAAGAATGATCCAAGAGAACAAGAAGTCGTACAAGGAGACGCTTCGTGAATCTTCAAGAGGAAAGAGTATATCCAAAAAGTCTATTGGAGATCGAACTAAATCATTCACTGGAGCAGATATTTTGGAAACGGTGAAAAAGCTAGAGACAAGAATTCAAGTCATTGCTGGAAGAATTCTCCTTCACGTTTATCCTTCTTCTTTCGATGATTCAAAGGTCTTGGTAGTGCATTTGGATGAGTCAAGAGCAAATTTCCAGCAAAATGAATTCAAGGAGGGTATATCTAACGACTTAGAGATACAGTTCAATGACTTGAACGTCTCATTATCGATGACCTCAACAGTACTGGAGGACTTTATTGCCCAGTGTAAAGTTGAGGAGTTCGTGGAGTATGCGCAAAAGGCCCGTGGAGGAACTATTTTTGTCTTTCCTTCTTTTAAGATTTCCATGAGAACTTATCAGAAGTATGACAACAACGTTATTGAATACCTTTATCAGTCGTCTTTTGGAGGAACCGTGGATGTTCGTTGGAATCTTGGATCGGTCAATTTCATACGTGAAATGTACTCGATCCACTCCAAGGCGTTGAATTCTCGTATCGAATACAGAAAGAACTCGTTTGACTCTACTAAGTTCAACGAAGATATCTTTAACACTCAAGGTACAAAATCTTCTTCTATTTTGAAGCTGAAATTGGACGAAGAGGATCCTACCGAAAAGATTGATCAGGCTATCAATGAAACTTTGAATAAAGTGTCAGACGAATCAAAATACGTCTATCTGCCATTAGCTCCCGCCATTATCGAGGCACCACAATTGAAGGAATTGGGAAATGCTACTCCACCACTAGAATGGTTCGGTTTGCACAGGGATAAGTTTCCAAATGTCACACATCAAGTCGGGATTGTTTCTTTGCAAAAATTGATGCACGAGGTAGAGTCCCAGTATTCCAAGCTTTTAGGTAAAGCATAATTATGCATTTTAAAATTCTCCGAGAATTTAGGGTTAATTAGTTTTTCCTAGTTAAACTACCTTGCGATCTGGGGGATATGAAAATATTCCACAGTTAATTTAATACATTTAATCGATTTATATTCATCATTATTTTTGTGTAATCTGAGTAGAAACTAATTTTCAGGAAATTTTGTAAAAATTCTAACATGTACGATAGTGGCTCCACGATTTGTTTCTTGTCGATAAAGTCAAGATCCAGTATGAGGAGAAGGGAAATTCCGAATAAGTAAGGAGAAACAGAATTTTCTCTGCTAGACGGAAACATTTGTACTTTGAAATGTCTGAGTACCGAGATTGGATAAAGATCCAGAAATTGCTTATTTAATGATACGAAACGTTTAACAATATGTTTACTCGAGGAGAAAAACTCCGAATAGTGTAAAAATTGCAATTAATTGTAGTACAGTGTTTCCAAAGTACATTCGAACCCTCGGCCCGGAGTTTTTCGTAATACGGGCAAGCCAAATTTCATAATAGGGGCCGGAACTATTCATACTTGGGCCAGCATATTCATACCTCAAAAAAAATGTAAGCCCCCCACAACTGAGGTCATTCGTGTAGCATACATCTAGAGAATCGTGCTTAGATGTAATCGAAAACAAGGCCAAAAGAACCTCTCATGATTTCTCTCCCTATTTCATCTAGAATAATCGCTTTTCTCTACACAATTCAATATGTTCACTGGCATGTCTACAAAATCCTTCATAGCTTTCAATAGAGATTTTACTTGTGGCATCTTTCACCTTTGGAGTTAATTGCTCCTTTTTACTTAGGTTAGAACGTTTTACTTTAGACTTGCAGACTGACCAAAATTCTTCTATGGCATTTAATGCTGGAGAATAAGGGGGTAAATAGACTAGCTCCAATCCACTCAGAGCAA